CACTCCATCTTCGAGCGCACCCATCTCCAGCCCCTGGTCCCAATTGTGGGCTGAGAGGCGTGCGATGTGCACTGTGCCCTCCTTAGGGTTTAGTCATGCTTGATGATCCTCCTCCAGGATCAGAAATTGGGCGCGGAAACCCAGGCCCAATCACCCTCAAGACTTTTGCCCGTTCAAGCACAGGAATCTGAATACCCGTCGGGTAGACTCGGCCGCGGGAGATGCCCTTGGACAATCGATTCTCCATTGCCGGGGACCTTTTCTCCCGCGAACCATTCGCATTTCACCATCTCGCTGGACTCTTCCGACCGCCAGAGGCACTTCCGTCGTCAGGTGCTGCTGCTCGCTCCGCCTGTGGGTAAATGACAATCCCCCGGCTCCGGTCGGACAAGAAGACCCTTCGTTGGATGCCGCCCGTTGGATATGGACGTCCCTCCCGGCTGAGACATCGCGAGCTGGCTTCTGACAACGGGGTGCGGTTGAGACATTCGTGTGCGATGCTCGGAGACACACGCAAGACGTCCGCGCGGGATTCATCGGGAATGAGGTCATCCGACGAAATATGCCAGGCAACGTGAAGAGTCGGTGAAGAAGAAGAAGAAAAAGAGGCGGGGGAGAAGAAGAATGATTCAGATTCTTTCCGTCCCTCTCTCTCTCTGCCCTCGTGGCCCCCGTCGGATCTTGCCACGGCATCGCTCACCTTTTTTTTCTGTCTCGGAGACTGCATCGAACACCGCCTGGGAATGGCGGGAGCGTGCTTCTGCTGCCTCACCACGCCGAGCGTGCGTCGCACTGCTAACGCAAGAGCGTCCCCAGTTTCGTTCACAGCATCCTTAGCCCATCATCCATCAATGAGTCAGCGGAAAATAAGCAGTGGGAAAGCAAAGACATGCAGCAGCGCGTTTTCTTCTTCTCCTTACATGTATGTGGAGTATGCGGGCTTGCCTTCACCGACAACGACACACACAGACGAGCTCGAGAAAAGAGACGGCGAATATGTCGCGCAACTCGAGAGGAGCACGCCGAGAAGGGCTGGGAGCAGATGTGGCTGCTGCAAAGCGCGGACCACAGCGAGAATGATGAAACGGGCTTTTCTCTTCGTCGAGTCAAATCTGACTGACCGCGATCGCTTTTCCCAAACCGGCCGTAATGAGATAGATGATAGATATCGGCTGGCTTACGCTGGGTCTGCACCAGCACCAGACGTTGCGATACCAGATCCTGTCGAAGATGGTGAGAGCTAAAACATCGATACGGCATGGTTATCAGATATCACCACGAGGGACTCCAGGTTGTCACGGCACCACCCCCCAATCGATTTTCGACCACTTACAAGCAGCTTGCGGCCATCAGCGAGGTTGTCTGTCTCTCCAATGGAAAACGTCTGTCTCAACTGACTCTGCGGGGTTTTCGAGAGAGAGAAGCTGGCTCCGGATTTCTTGTCGTACCACCATCTTCGAGAACCCCCAAATCGCTCAACCACTCGTTATCCTCCGCCAGCCACCCCTTCTCTCTGTCTCCCTTCCAAGATGGCTTGTTATTACTTGATGTCCAGCTCCTACCTGTCCAGAGAACAAGGCCAAGAAGCTTCGTTCCACCGCGTCGAGCGGTGCGGGCTTGCATCGGGTTCACGCATTACGGTCCTGCAAGAGCCAAATGCACCTGCATCAACCATGTCTTCTCGTCACACAGTTTTTGACCGCCATCTGCGAACCCCATGGGATAGATGGAATATGAAGTCATACGTGGGTAAAGCGACCAGGGCAGCTAATGATCTGATGCGAGTCTTTCTGTGCGATTTGGTCCAGTCGAGCAGGTCATGTGCTCTGAACAACATCCTTCCGGTCACGTTGCTCATTATCGGCCGGGGGCGATTGGGCAGCAAATCCAGGGACGTTTGATTTGCTGTTCGCAAAGCTGAGAGCAGGGCGAGGCGGGCGAGGCTAGTTGCGATCCACGGGCATCGCCGACGGTTACACGCCAGGTGGAGGAGAAGAAGCGCAACGGGCGACCGCCATTGTCTGCCATTTTGATAGGACGCATTGTGATCCGGACCGTCCCATTTCGCTCGGATAATGGCTCGCCAGTGAAGACAAGCAAACAAAAGTTCGCCTCATCTTGATCGTCTCGTGAAAAGAAGCCATCCGGAGAGGCCATTGGCCTTGTCGCCCCCGGCCGGAAGAGGAGTCTCAGTTTGATGGGATTTCTCCGATGGAGGCCCGACGTGCAAAGCGAGTGGCTGAGAGGGACGGTGAGGGGAAGTCAGTTGATGATGGTGGGGTATCCAGCCCTTGGCCACGAGCAGTCGAGACTCGTCGAGATCGGAGGCCGTGGTGGCTGTAGGGAGCCGTGGGGTGCAACGTTGGATAGAGGTTAGACGGCCGGGGTTGAGGAGTTTCTTTTTAGCTTTCCCATCGGTGGACGGTCAGCAAGCGAGTGGCCGGGTGTCTCTGATTGTTCCCGCCTCTCCGGGATGACAATGAGAAACAAAAAACGGCGAAAGAGTTGCCAAAAGCGCTTTTCGCGAATCTTTCAATGTGGGGATGGACTGCTCGATAACATTGTATGGCATGGCGTTCTCGTCCGGTCCATAAGCTGTGCTTTTCCCGTTGAGGCTACAAGATGCAAAGCCTGTGCGCCAGCTTCATCCGGGGAAAGAGGACTTGATAAGATAGAGGATTGTGATGACGGGAACGATAGTGACAGTGACAGGTGCCGCTAGCAGAGAGGGATGGTGTGCGGCGGCGGTCGTTGTCGTCGTCGTCTTCGTCGTCGTCGTTCTGCAATGACTGAAAAGGGAGCCCTGCAGAAGCATTAGGTGATGGATGGGCGAGCGGGAGGGCGGGTAAGCAGCTGTTGCTTGCTGAACGCCGCTCGATGCTGGGGATTGCTGCGAGGCCATCAAGAAAGTGTGTGTGCCGGGGAAGCTGCTCATCCTGCCCCTGGCCCTGGTCAAGGTGTCCTTGCAGGTGATGGACAGGGCATATGGATATGGGATTTGACTCGATGCCTTGGGTGGGGGAGTCGCAAAAGAGAAAAAGAGCAGCTCAGCACATCGCAGCGCTGCGAGTCGAGGAGTCTGGGAGATTGCGGGCGAAGACGGGGTTGTGAGCAACGAGTAGAGAGCATGGCACCGGGGGCGTGTGCAACGTCAATAGGTGAGGAGAGGAAGAAGAGGACGAGAGAGGTGTGAGGTGAGCGAGCCGAGTTTAGCGTCGAGGTAGTGGGTCCCTGTGACCCACACCGGCCGACCCCTCCTTTCCGTTTCTAGTTTCCCTCTCTTTCCCATTTTCTGCTGTGCTCAAGTCGTGGTGCTCTTGGCTCCGTAGACGGCGGGCGGGAAGACGCTGGGATGGCAGGCGGTGCTCCACTTAAGCAGACCGTCAGGCGAATGGCGACTGCTCCGTCGCCGACCTTCTCGGACGGGCGCTTAAAATCCGTCCAAGCTGGGTCGGGGGTTGTCTCATTTACAACCAATGGCGTGTTAGCGTTCCCGAAATAAAGTCGCACAATCTGATTTTAAACCAATAGGGAGCTCTAGAACCGCCTCGCAGTCATGCCCGTCGGCTGCGCATGCACGGAAGTTTTTAAGTGCATCCGTCCAATCAGCAACCAAAGATGCCACAGCTTCGCGCCCGTTCCGACCCCGAATCCCTACCTTTGCCTACAGCTCCATCCGCCATCGCATATCGAACTCTGCTTCGTCCTGCTCTTCGACCGCGCATACGTATCTTTTTTCACAGACTGCACACATCTCTGCCCACGACGGCCGGCTCTTCCTGCTATTCCTGCCCGGTCGGGTCCCGCTGCTGTGCTTCGCTGTGCCTGCGCCGTGTGTGCTGAGGTGCGCTTGAGAACATGGCATGGAACGATTTCTCCTGCTTCTTATGCTGCTCTACTGCGAGTGCAAAGTGCTTGCTTCTCGGTTGTGCGCCGTCGTCCACATGGATGCCGTCCGGCTCACACACCTTGGCCGGGGAACCAGGCCTCGAGCATACGTGATTCCCTCCATCATCGCCCAAGATATCCCGCTGCGTGACAGCTACGCTCGTCGTTCGTCTATCCAGCCGAGAATGGCCCCCCTTTCGTTGCTCCCTCGTCCATGGGGTCGGTCCATGGCTGGGCCCCGTCGCCCGTTCGACCACCCATCCACGCAACCACTGAGCCACTACGGCGCTATTATTATACTGTCCTGCCATACCTGGTCCCGTCAAGAGTGCCGCTATCGCCGCCGTGCGCAAGTGCCACGGGTCGAATCACACCAGAAGCAGCATGCATATACCTATGGCAAGGGCATGGGAAGGGGAAGAGGGGACTGCTGTGCGTGCGTTGCGTTGCGCTGCGCATACCTCCTGTGTGATCCGACGCTTAACCACCATGCATCTTTCTCCTCATCCCTCTCTCCTCGTCTACGTTTCCTCCAACCCTGGTTGACATTTACCGCCCAAGCCTACACTACCATGCCCATGCCCCCCTGTTCATCGACGCACTAGACATACATAACTCGCGGTAGGCGCCCGTCGTGTACCGGATCCTCTCCTTCTTCTCTTTTGCGACCCGTTGCATACCATTTGAGCATATCCAGCTCTGTTTTGGTTTTTCTTTCTGTCTGCTTTCTCGGCCTTTCCTATCTTGATTTACTCCTCTCATCACGAGGCGTTCCCGAGCTTTGTGTCTCGGAATATCGACAGGATATCAGCATCAAAATATCCCTAGAACAGAAGTGTTTGCCGGCAACGGTACTGGTCTAACAGCCCTCTCGGCCGGAAAAGCAACCCAAGCCACCAAAAGAGGCTGCACTGCGCTGTAGGCCGCCAGCCGGTTACAGCCAGATCAAGCCTCCCCACCCCACTTTCCGCTTTGGAGATATCACTTACACACATACACAATAAAATGGTAAGGATATCTGATGATGGCTTCGACGTATAGCATGGGCGATACTTACACCTATGTAGGAATACCAAGAGTACGCCAGAGGCGAGCGTCGCCTGCATCGAGAGATGCGTGAAAAGGCCAACATGCGCGACACGTTTTTCGGTCTCAAGAGTGAGCCTCAGAGACCAAGCTCAGTGGCAACCGAGTTCATGGACATGGAATGGGACGATGAAGTGCTCAGCGAACTTGAAGACAACTCACCAAGGATAAGCGTCAACTCGGTAAGCCTCGCCTTACGTCTAACAAGTACAAGCAGCTGATGCGCGCGCAGTCTGGTGGCCAACCAAGTATTACTACTCTTTCGTCTTACGATGAGGTGCCAACGCCGAGATCAAGTCAAGATCGTGGCGTATACGCCGAGACTTTGTCATCACAAAAGCCAATTGAAGGGCCTTCCGGTCCGCATCTGTTTCATTCCTCGGCCTCGAGCTACTTCGACGAGGCCATCCTGACCCTGTCGCCTATTACACCAAAGACAGCGCGGCCATTTGACGATTTCCGATACACCAAGCTGCCACCACCGCCAGTGCCAAGACAGCCCAACGCACCTTTCCAGTTTACCTACGAAGAGTTTCGGTCAAGAGAGCTTGTCTCGTGGACCCCGGAGATGGTGGCGCAGTCGATGCTTGATGCTGGCATTGAGCTCTCGGTCGCCGGCCGCTTTGTGGAGAACGACATCAACGGCCCTATCTTGATCACGTTGAAGTTTGAGGACCTGAAAGAGCTCGACATTCCGTCGTTTGGTATGCGGACAAGGGTATGGAACCAGATTCAGCTTCTCCGAGACAGCAGGCCAAGCTCTATGCGCGCACCGACGCCCATTCAAGATGAACCGAGTCGTGAGGTCAAGAAGGAGGCCCGCGAGATGAGAGCGGCGGAGCGCCAGGCGGATGATTGCAGTCTGAAGCGTAGGAAGAGCAGCAGGAGAAGGCAGAAGAAGACGTCTCACGACGATATCATCACTCCCATGGAATCGGTGTCCATTGTCGGCATTGAGCAAGTCGTTCCCAAGCCGCACGTCTGCCCCAAAGGAGACAACTGCTCTCGGTACAAGAAGCAACAGCGTCTCATCGAGGCGTTTAGAAAGGAGCACCCTTTCGTCGATATGGAGAAGGAGACGGTTGTCATTACTGGCAACCCCGGCAACCCTGAGACTGCCAGAGCTCTTACTCCCAAAGAGATCCTCCGCCCTATCTCGGACGCCGTGCCATCAGTCGTTGCATCTTCTGATGTCTTGGGTCCCGGCAACGCCACGCCAATGCAGTACCTGCAGGAGGCTACCCTTCGCAACGTTGTCGCAAGAGATCCCCAAGACAACGTGAGACAGTTCCTCGACTTCCAGAAGCGTCAGAGCAACACTGTCCCTCCTACTCCTCCGTTCGAGATGGGCGCTCCCTCGATGAAGCCTCAGCCTGAGGGTCTTCGTCGACTGCCAAAGCTGTCCATTCCGGGCAAGCAGGCTCCGATGCGCCCCAGCACCCTCAGAGCCTCTACCGTCCCTCCCGTAACTCAACCCGAGAAGCGCCAGACCTCTCCCCAGATGCAGCAGCAAGGCTTCGTCCCGTACGTCATGGACAGAGCTGAGGCTATGTCTCCTGACTTGCAGAGCCCCGTCAACCCTTACCGCTTTGGTACTCCCTTCTCCGAGATGGATGTTCCTGTCACCGCGATTCCCATGGACCGCGTGGCTCGCGATGTCTCTCAGTCTGTTCCTCCTGAGATGAACTACCGCACAGGCACTTCTAAGCAGCAGCCCCCTGTCCGCACTCAGTCCCGCGCCTCTGCTCGCCGCCCGTCATTCCCTGTCATGCCTGCTTTGGACGAGAACACACCAACTCCTATTGCACGTGTCTCTCCAAACCGCGCCTCTCCCCGTTCTCCTCGCTCTTCCACTCGCACACAGCCTCTTCAAGCCCCTCCTCGCGTCAACTACCCCTGGTCGCCGATCGAGCGCACCACCCCTTTCGAGCAAGCCATTCCTCCCATCTCCCACCTCGCAGGTGCCGTCCCCGTCAGGCAGGCCGCCGAAGCAGCTCAGCAAGATGGCGTTACCTTCCAAGGCCCCATGAAGAAGCGCAAGACCAAGATGCTCCGTCACGAGTGGAACGACACCTTCTGCACTCTGAAGGGCACTCGTCTGGCCGTCCACAAGGACGAGCGCACCGTCGACCGTACCCTCGAGTACGTCGATATTGACGACTACGCCATCGCCTGCTCCAGCCTGGCTTCCCAGAGCAAGCTCTCCGCAGCCTTCCGCGCCGTCCACTTCTCCTCTCACTCCCGCGAGAAGAGCGACCCCGTCGCAGCCTTCAGCTTCCAGCTCATCCCTCAGGACAAGGATGCCGCCAAGCTGCGCAAGCGCAGCAGCGCCCTCCACGGCTTCACCCACAACCACTCCAACTCTACGTCCTCTATCCCTGCCGAGGGCGCCAACGGCACTGGCAAGACGCATCACTTTGCTGTCAAGAGCCGCGACGACCGCATCGACTGGATGCGTGAGTTGATGCTCGCCAAGGCCATGAGGCAGAAGGGTGACGGCTTCGAGGTCAGCGTCAATGGCAACATGATCTGATGAAGCTCTTTAAACGCCCATTATCTCTTTCCCAAACCAGGGGGGCAAAAGTCGAATTGAACCAAAACCAAACCCAAAACCAAAACCACAAAACAAAACAAAAACGAAACATGATGGATAATGACCCGCGTCTGCATTTCACAATTCCCCTTCAAGAAAGCAGGCACACAGCCCCGCCTCTCAGGACCCAAGTCCGCAGCGGTTCAAAAGGATACCTATTTGTTCTCTGCTTTTCTTCCATTTTTTTCATCTGATCTACCTCCGATCTCATCTCATTATGTTGCATAGTTCTGGATAGCGGCATTTGTTATATCCTTGCTCAGATTCTCCTCCCCCCTTTACCTGACACCGGGTTGACGATGAATTTTTGGACCAAAAGAACAAAAATACGGGGGGGAGGGAAAGGATAGGAACCGGGATTTGAATTCTCTTGGCTTTGTCTGTGATCCCATGATCACATCGTATATACACATACACACACACTCTCACACGACACGCAACCACCCTCACAAAACATCTACCCAGCCCGAAAAGACGCTCCTTGGTACACAATAAGTTTAGGGACGGCTATTATGATACCTGGCTAGTTTAATTAGCTCAAGAAAAATGAAAAGAGGGTCGTGGGGGGCTTCTATGAAGTCCGGATCCTGGCATGAATGAACCTGATTGTACTCTTCGGTCTGCTTGTGTGATATGATAGATTGTGCTGGTCTATCTACGTTGATGATCATGGATACGTGACAGGTGATGCTTGCTACAACTTGCAAGGTGCGAATTCGCGAGGCTGTAAACGATGTTTTGTCAAAAGCAGAACATGAAGAGGTTCCATAGGAAAGCGACGAATTCCTCGCGGCATCGGGTGCCTCCGCGCAACAGTCCGTCACGTTCATGCCATTTTGTCCCAGAAGCTGAGGCTTCACGAGTGTTTAGATCCCACATACAGTGCATCGACTGCTTTCTCATAAGCGTCCCGTCTAGATAGGCCACCTTCAGAAGCAAAAGAGCGACAGAGGCGACTGACTGTAAGTCTCGACTTGAGGATGTGACGACGGTCAACTCTGCGATCCAGCATCAATACTCAGAAACAGCTGATGCCGAGATAGTTCTGAGAAGACGAGTGTACGTTTCAAGGTGTAATTCGGCTTCGTTATTGAGTTGACTATCGAGCTTTTCTGTTCATTCTCCAATTTGTTTATGGGTGGATTCGAAATGTACGTCTTGCCTACTCAACGATATCTGTTTATGCTTTGACATAAACAGTGGTTTTCACGGCCCGGTAAGGCATGGATATCTCTGCTGAACTTTTATACGTATAAATATGCAATGATGTTTCTTTTGGAGATTGTACACTTGCCTACCTTAGTACTTGGTCTTCGCTGCGTGATCACCAACGACTGCAACGTCGGCATTTCCCTTGGATTATCTTTTATGAACCCATCAGGTTCCTGGCACCTTCATTAGACAGTCTTGCTTGATGCCCACCCTTCAAATTCTTTGAGGCTTTTCTACTTCCCTTTTGCATAAAACACTTCTGTAGATTACCATGGAGTACATAACTGGAACTCGGTTGACCCTGACCCCCTACCAACGATCTACACCGAATGCGCTTCTGACCCCTCGGAAGAGACGAACGACCATCGCACGTTGAGCCAGGCAATAATGCCCTCGAAAATTTCGACCCTTCACTGTATAGGTGTCGTGAAGATGCTCTCCGACAGCTGATGTTTGATGTCAAGAGGTTGGAGGATATGGGGTTTCTAAGGACTATTTGGGGGAACGTGGGTTTTGAGGAGTGGTTGGAGAAGATGTTTGAGGGGCATATTGGGGTGAATGAGAGGTTTTGCACGCTTGAGGAGGAGGTTGTGGAGGATTTTGACTGGGTTATTGTCAAGAAGGGTGTCTTTTAGGGACATCTCGGAGACATCGGGTATACGAGAAGAGAGGGCTAGAGATGATTCGTAAGGTATTATTCAGGTTGCTTGTTATTGTTGTTGGTTATGTGTATTGAATACACGACGTACTGACGAAGAGAAGTGGCGAGAAAAGTTCTCGGGAAGATGTAAGTCGGCCTGTTCTATCTTCATTCATATGATTATGACGCTGTTGTCACGCGAGCATTCACTTTCTCTCGACGTAGCTGTTGCAGCATGATATTTAAACCTTCGCTTGTCACAACACGGACCATCGAATTACTGCCATCAGGTCTTCGAGCTTGTCTTGCAATTCGCCATCATGGCTCTTGTAACAGTGCCAGTAGATGACTTCCCATGTCCCCGCCAACGTTCGCGCCCTCGAACATACACTGAGTGTCTCAACACGAACGACACGCATCGATCCTGACCGTCTCTGTGAACCGAGTATTGTAACAAGAGCAATCAAAAGACGATTAGCCCAGAGAGTGGGTGACCATCCCAGTCCCCATCTACCCTCTTCATTCTCTAGACTGCGTCGTCAGACATCTTCAAGGCCCAGATGGCATCTACCACCAACACCACAATAGCGCCATCAACAGAAGAAGAGAAAACGTGCCAGTTGCAGGTTTCGACTACGGAATGGGAACACCGTTAAATATCATTGCCGCTTCGTCGCTCTCTGCCGAACATGCTTTCAGACGCGTAGAGAGCACAGTGCGGCAAGAATCGAGAAGGACCATGACCGGGAATTAATATCCATAGCTTGCCTTTGCACTAGTATTGCCACGGATAGAAAAAGGGGCAATAAGAACTTGAGTCAACTGCTGTTGAATTCAGCTTCTTGCTAAAGGGCTGACTATCGCTCTTGACGCCGAGCGCAAGCTCTCCTCAATGTCGCACTCGTCGCAGTCGAGGAACTTATCCGACGTAGGCCTCATCACCAGGAAGCTTTGAACAGTTGGAGTTTCTTGTCCTTACCACTATATCGATTGATGCCATGTCTGTACTTACCTTCAAGCATTGCAAAATCATTCAGTGTGCCTTTGTCCGATTTTCAGGGAAATTCCGAGCGACATTCTGTCGGAAGACTCATCCCGTCGAACACACAGCGATACTAGGTATCATAGTAAACCAAGCCAGGTACTCACCCAGCAACCATGTCAGGATACAGGGGAAGGCCAGAAACCATGACCTAAGCTGGTTCAGAAACTAAGTGGTACAGCATAGTACATTTGTCCCGTCTGTATATGCAGCCTTTCTTTCTATTCTTACAATACCCTTTTTTGTAATTCCTACAACACCGCCGCCGCCGCCGCACAGTCCCAGGCGGGGAAACCCACATCACAAGGTCCCTTTCTCGTCCCGGTGTGCCGCTCTCATGATTTCTTCCCTCTCATATATCCCAAAATCACCCCTCCTCGAGCCCTTACTGCGCAAAACTAGGGCGGGTCTTGATATCCGCGGCGTTGAGCACAGCCTCCCAGTTGATAACCTCCCACCACGCCTCGGCAAACGCCTTCTTGCCGCCGAGACCACCGACGCCCAGCCCGTAGTCACGCAGCCACGTGTGCTCCCACGTGTTCAGGCACAGCAGCGGGACGACGTCGAGGGCGCCGGGGGGCTTGGCGCCGGTGACCTGGGCGCTCGCGCTCCTGCCGAGGAAGTCGGAGGCGGTGCCGCGGGCGCCGCGGGTGTTCATGTCGACGCTCTGCAGGCGCCAGTGGGCGCCCGGGTAGGGGGAACCCGCGAGGTAGGTGGAGAGGACGCGGTACTGGCCGTTGGCGGGGTTCTTGACGAGCCAGACGAAGCCCGGGCCGAACATGGCGGAGGCGGTGAGGACCATCTCGGTGCGGAGGGTCTCGACGGAGGAGAAGGAGCGGACGAGGTCGTTGGCGAGGAGCTCGGGCATGGGCTTCGGGGACGGGGTGAGGTTCTTGAAGAAGAAGTGCGTGTTGTGCGCCATGGAGGCGTGGTTGAAGACCGGGGCCTGGTCCGGGTCGCGGGCGGTGGCGAGGAGGATCTGTTTGACTTCGCGGGCCTCGAGGTCGGTTCCTACGGGGGGGAGAGGAGGGTCAGCGTTGTGGTTTTTGGGAGTTGGAGGCGTATCAGGCGAGCTTCGTCCATGTCGCATTGCGATTGCGAGAGAGAGGGACTCACCTGCGATCAAGGCATTGAGCTTATCCAGCGTCAAGGTCATGTACTTTGTCCACGCCATGTCGAAACCGTCGGCGGAGAGCAGCCCCGGGACGCCGGCGCTGAAGTCGTGGGCGAGCTGGGGGATGGCGTGCATCGAGCGCTGCTGATGGCGCACCGCCGGGGCGGCGGCGGCCAGGATGCGCGGTATCCTTAATGTTGAGCGGAACATTGTTGTGTGTGAGTGAGTGTCGGAGGAACACACGAGGGGGTTCCGGCGAGGGGGATTGAGGCGGGGGTGGTTGTGTTGGTGGTGGTGGTGGTTGAATGTTCCGCCGCCGGCCTGTCACTACATACACAACTCGTCCCGAAGCTGGAGCTTTTGGATGGTGAACTTTTTTTGGGCGTGGCTCGTGTGGTGCTGCTTGATTGGCGCGTGGCGGCCTTATGATTGAGGCGGAAAAGTGCGCCAGGATGGGTGGGGCGCTTTTTGGGAAGTATTGGCCAATGGGAGAGAAGGTGTTGGCTGTTGGCGATGGCTTCACTTTTCAATGCGAGGTGTTGCGACCTATCACCATCGGGCGAGCCAATATTCACATTGAATGCTGATGTTACACCTGAGATTATTTCACGGGGTTAAGTCGACCTAATATTCTTTGGGAACAGGATGAGTCACAATTCAGCTCACAGCCAAGATAATTTCATCACCCACGAGGCAAAACATTCAACATGCTGGCCTCAAGACTGTACTGAAAGCCGTACACCGTGCTGTGATTTCAGTCAATTTGCTACGAACAACTCAAGGACAACTCTGCCAGCCATTGGACCTGGCGCTTATGGGTTCGCCTATGGCCCAAATGCTGGAATGCTAGGCTTACAGCCGTTAGGATACCTCGACCCTGAGGCAATGGCAGAGTCCTGGTTTTAACCATATAGACATTCTAAGGTATTCAAAGCTGGCTGCGCAGGCGTCTAATGTCCAGTCATAGTATAGCAGAGCGTTTGTTTGTTATTGACATCGGACGGTCAAGGGATATGTCACCTCATTTTACCCCTCTTCCCGGACTGCTTAGTGGCCGAGGCTCGCACAGAGTTCGCCAACAGTTGGGACTTCGCTAATAATAATCTACTCAAGCCCATTTTCTTCGACACGGGCACGTAAGATAAATCTGTCTTTTCAACATCACCAGACTTGTATTCAGCGACCATCCACCGTGGACTTTTCGTTAGTTTCTGTAGCAAGCTTTTCCGAAACACTCTTCCAGCTGTGGCTTCCCAAGTCACTGAGTTCCTCAAGTATGTGGTTAGTGATGATCCCAGTTCTGTTTGATAGCTCTTCCGAATTGTTGAGCAGGCGAATAGTTAATATACAGCCACGCTTTCATTTCGACACACAAAGTTGCTCAGATTTGTCAAAAGATATTTGCTTTCGAATTGATGATATGATATATGATCGAGAAATAACGCCGTTACAGATGCAGCCGACCGATGCGGAATGATCATCCTGACCCAACGGATATCCCCACGGAACACCACCATGCACGAGAACTCCTTATATACAGACGCGGCCAGACCATAGGTCAAGGCTAGTTGTCCTCGATCATGCCGAGCACGTCCAACTCGGTCTTGACCAGACGCTCAAATTCCTCCCTGTCGATACCGGACGAGCGCGCCAGCAGGAACAGGTTGTGAATACTCCTCGACACATGCTGCTTCACACCGAACTCATTCGCGCCTTGCTTTTCAGCAGTCTCCTCGAGCTTCTCGACCATGCGGCTTCCGTTGCTGCTTGCGCTCGAGGCCGGACGCGGGTGTAGAAGCACAGCCGCCCGGTCCTCGTCTTGGCTGTGGATTGAGGGGGACCGCGGCGGCTCGGCCATGGTCCAAGAGCCGTTGGTGTCGGCGAAGCCCGGCTCGGAATTGTCTTGGTTAACAACAGCGCCCAGGCCCAAAGGCGGAGCGACATCGAAACCCTCAACCTCCTCGTCAGGATCGTGAGCGTCCATTGCTGGCTGCACTGAATCATATTGCGCGTAGTAGGCATCTTCCGCCGAGTCCGTTCGGAACTGGCCCAGCTGCGACGCCTGCATTGCTTGAGGTGCAGGCGAACGCTTGACGGCCGGTGTTTGGTTGGCAGGCGTGCGGGCAGGCGTCGCATCATACCGGTCCCAGTAGCCGTCGTCTTCGTCCTCGTCAACCTCCTGGCTGGAGGTGGCCGCCGGAGCCTTCGCGCTGGTCGTCCATGAGGCCTTCTCGTCTGCGTGTGCCTTCTCAGCCTCGGCGATGGTCGAATAACCACCGAAGTCACCGAATGGAGACGTCTTGTCGACAACGCTGACCTCGCCGATTCTCCAGCCGTCGCCGCCACCGTCCTTGTCGCCGACGCAGTAAATCAGGCGAAAAGACAACTCGAGTTCCTCTAACACAACGAGTGCTTGCAAAGTCTCGAGATCGAGCCGCCTGTACTTGGTCTTGGCGTCATACTCCCAGTCCACCTCGACCTCGCCCGATACAGGATGCGGCTCTAGTCTGCCACTCTGGACGATCTCGTTTAGTCGTGCGGCCTTGTCTGTATCGTAGGCAAGCAGACGAAGCCAGGGCTCGGTGCTGGACTCGGAAAGAAGTTGGACCCTTTGCCTGAGAATCGGGCTAAGCAGCGGTAATACGCCAATCGCTGGCTGTCTGGAGATAGAAGCAGGAGGCAATGCGGGCAAGATGGGTGCCAGTAGCCCGCCAATGTTGGGCATGGGTGGTGCCGTTGTGGTAGCCATGTTGGTTGTGATGTGTGGTGTGGGTTTGGTTCTGGTATACCGTCGCAGCCAGTGTCCACGGGGATCTGAGATATATGTGAGGCGAGGGCGGCGGCCTAGTCACAGACAGGCAGTAGTGGGTGTGGCAGAGTAAGTAGGTGTTGGTGACGATATCACATGCAGCCACTGCTGGGGATAGATGGATGTCTCGCTGGTCAGCCTGACTCGGAAATCTCTGACTTGGCGTTTCCGAATAGGCAAGTCTCGCACAGAATACTGGTAAGGTGAAGTGAAGGCAGAAGGGGCAGAGGAAGGATCGTGGGAAGTCGTGGTTATAATAAAGAAATGGGAAGAGGAGGAGGAGAGGCGGCGCGAAAGTCTAATGGCCTCTGGTCAAGTTACGCAGACGGCAGTGGGAGTCGGCGGTCCCATGCTCCGTCGTTTCTTAGTGTCGTGTCGTAGTCTCCGCTGCTCCTTCCCCAGCCAGGGCTGGACTTGGTTTTCCCGCTCCAGAAGGTCGCAAGTTCGGTCGGGGGGCTACTCCCCACAGTGAGGGGGGGCAAGGGCAGCTAGAACGCCAAGCCAGCCAATTCTAGCCAATGCGGAAGCACCTCAAAGGCAGCTGCGACTCCGCCCAGGGGAGTCGTTCCGGACGGAGGGAACCACTAACAATTAGCGAATTACATGTCTTCGTCCGGGTGCTCGAGCACACAGCGACAGCGACTTTGGCACGTGTTATTGAGACCAGAATCTGGCTGAACCTGCCACCACTTGCCTCGAATTCTTTTTTTTCGCCCTTCGTCTCGTCCCAAGTCTGGGTTGTATTCCGGGAAAGTCCATCGTGGCAATGCTGGAAGTAGCCGTCTAGCTGCCGAAGACTACGTAGCTCGTTGGTCGGCCTGGACCGACTCTCATCGTCGTCGGCTTATCCTCTCGAAACAGCCATACGCCGGGCATTGATGAGACAGCGACATTTGTCAGGACGCTTCCATTAAGGATTCCCATTACCATACTTCTTCAGCATGTCATCAGTCATATGTACTCATGGACTTTCTATCATCTACGTGTCGACGCCATCCTCTCCGAGTTCCGACATGTTACTTTTTCCTGGCCACTCCTGACTGAGGCGTCACCCTCTCATCTCTCAGAGTTGCTAATTCTGTCGTCACTCTGTACCTTGCTGTAGACTCGCCAGTCGTCACAAGACGCAAGCAGTCACGAGAACACAACAGAGACCAACAAACTCGCAACTCTGATGGAATCGAAATTCCTCTGCATACCCGCACGTCTCGCAACGGGTCCCGTGGTAGACTGCAGCACCGTCTCGTCTCCCTGCCAGACCAAACAAGACTTGCATCTGCATCGCATCTGCTCTCTGCGCCTTTGATCTCGCTCACCTGGCCCGCACGGGTGAAAGGGACCAGACCCTGCGTGGCTATGCCCACTAAAACATGCTTGGGTAAGGCGAATGCCCCCTGCTACGGTGACGCCCGCAGTGGGGTTCCAAACTGCTATCTCTGCCCGAAATGCAATGGTGAATCTCCCTGACAAGCGCGCTACGATCAAAATTGCGTCACGATGCTTGGGGATTGCTGTGGGCGTGTGTGGTCTAGAGCTAGGTTCTGAATTAATTAGGTAACTACGCAAATTTCCCACGCGAGCAACGAATCTTTCTTTCGGAGATCAACCACCAAAAACCACCAAAACGAAACGAACAGACCACGGCCTTGTCTGGTATCTGGCATTCATCGGAAAGATTCTCAAACACGCCTTAGTCAATTGAGACCCCTCAGCCTCACTCGCGCGAGCCGCCATCTCGTTGTTTCGAACTCTCCCAGCAGTGCCACGCCGATAGAACTCGCGGGAAGACGCCCGTCGAGCCTCGGACCGCGCCGCTTAGACGAACACCCACAGACGTGAATCATCTGACCCCGATAAACCTCTCAACCTCCTCTTCCGGTCACGAAACCACCTCGCGCACGCCTCTCTAGCGAGCCGACCTCGCTGTCAATCTCGCCCTCCGCAGAGTTTCTACGCAAGTCCCCACGAGGACACAGCCGGATGCATGTCGCCCAGCGGCGAACGCCTCAAGGATGAGGTAAGGCAACCCAGCCCCAACGGACGGCCTCTCCGATCTCTCTGCCGCCGTTCCTGGGTATCGAAACGTCACGATGCTTACACACTGTCCGCCTAGGGCTCCCGCCTGCAGGTTGTAACGGCCGGCGCCACCGCCGGACTGTTTGCACGGTATGTGACATCCCTTAGCTGCCAAAAGTCAATTGTGACTCAATGTTGATTTCCGCCCAATAGCTTTGTAATCGCACCTCTCGATGTCGTCAAGATTCGACTTCAGCTGCAGTCGCACTCGCTCTCCGACCCTCTGTCGATCCAGACCGCCAGGGGCGGGCCCGTGTACAAGGGCACCCTGAATACAATGAAGCACATACTTGCGAACGAAGGCATTACGGGATTATGGAAGGGCAATGTTCCTGCTGAGCTGATGTACGTCTGCTATTCTGCGGTTCAGTTCACGGCCTATCGTACAACGACACAGGTCCTTCAGAAGACCTTCGACAACCGACTGCCTAATTCCGCCGAGTCCTTCATCGCCGGAGCCACCGCCGGAGCTGCGGCCACGACAGCTACATATCCCCTCGACCTACTCCGAACGCGTTTCGCGGCGCAAGGGAACGACCGGGTGTACACTAGTCTTCGGCGCGCCGTCGCCGACATCTACCGAGACGAGGGCCCTCGCGGCTTCTTCCGCGGGCTTGGACCCGGTGTGGCGCAGATCGTGCCTTACATGGGCATCTTTTTCACTTTGTATGAAGGGCTGCGCCTTCCGCTCGGTGATCTGCAACTTCCGTGGGGTGGTGGCGACGCCACGGCTGGTGTAATAGCCAGTGTCTTGTCAAAGACGGCCGTTTTCCCACTAGACTTGGTGCGGAAACGCATTCAGGTTCAGGGCCCCACGCGGGCTCGGTACGTCCACAAGAACATCCCTGAGTATCCCGGTGCGGTTCGTGCTATGCGGATGATCTTCGCGAGTGAGGGTATTCGGGGGCTGTACCGAGGTTTGACGGTCAGTCTCATCAAGGCTGCCCCGGGAAGTGCGGTCACTGTGTGGACCTACGAGAGGGTCTTGAGGGTGCTAATGAGATATGAGAACTCGGATGAGAAGCGCTTCTGATGGTATTTTGAAGATTTGGGCATAGAAGGGAATCATGATACCCCATTATAGAAGATGTGATCGGGCAACGTGCCGGGTACTCGCGGTTAGAATAGAGTAATCGAAGAAGCTACATCATAATACCAGACATAATACATCTGTACTTATGCTAGACATACTTGGGTTAGCTACATACCAAACTCAAAGCCAACGGTGACGAAGCGGCGGGCAGCAAGTCGGCCACTCTGACTTGGCCGATTGTTGAAAGTATATGTTAGTCGACCTGAAAAGTAGAGTATTGATCACACTGAAGGAAAAAGGGTCATCGAGGAGGATAAAAAATACATGGACGACGATGAGACCTAGAAGAGTATCCCATACAATGAGCTGAGCAAGTGGTTGACGTAGGTTACCACAAAATCCTACGAAGGCAGAATCGTTCGCGAAAGAACCAACCCAGGCATTCCCTCACTACCTTATAGACAGTCCCACATAGTTTCCCGCATACATTATGCAACCGATCTAGGATAAGGAGAGCATTCAAGAGATTTATCTACTTTAACTTAGCTAGAGCCAGTATATATAACTGCTGTTTCTGACGAGTTTATACGGGAATAACTTACTCCTGAAGCTGATATCTTAGTACCTGGCGCCTCGGCGGGTTGGTGGCGCGCAGGTGTGGCATTTATCCCCTTGGGATGGGGTTAAATCGCAGTGAAATTTTCCACTTGAAAGTGCAAGATTTCTTCTATGTGCTTACTATGTAAGATTTCTATCTAATCAATAACTACTAGCGCGAGCAAGTATACATCTATATTAAGGTATGGTTATTCTGACTGCGACAACCGTGCCACTCTTCAACGCTGGGCTCAAGATAATTGCCATGCTTTTATTGTTACGTTTGCATTAGGAGCCAAATCCAAATCGCCAACAACGAAATCCTTCTTAGCACGCTCTTATCCGTTATCTCTCTGGACCGGGGCGTATTCGTGGCGTCTGAGTGACAGGTGAGATCGAGGGCCTGGATCTCTAGAGCACATAAGTGTTACCATCCAGCCCGCAACAACGTCAACTTCAACTTCAGAGACTCGTGGCAATCGTCGTCCTGTCTTGCCACAAACAGCCTGGCAGATGGCCTCGAATAGTCAACGACCATACCATGATCGTAGATCAAACGAGAAGAAGAGGAAACGTCACTGGCTGTATATGCTTCCATAGTACGTATGTAAAGGACTTATATTCAAGTAATAATGGCTCATCCAATGTTCAACCGGTACGCCCAACTTGCATTTTTTAGTTCTGCAGCGTCCCGTTCTCCTTCAGCCCCGTCACCTCACCAGCATTAACACGGTCCGCCCTCTCCGTACACTCCTCAATGACCTTCCAGAACATGGGAATGTCGAGGCCGCGGGGTATCCTCACGCCCTCGCTACCGGGCTCCAGCAACTTCGCGACGGTCCTGCCAAGCTGCGCCTTGCCCTCCTTGGCATCCTCGAGCGAACCCTCCGTGATGACGGTCAGGTCGAAGCGCTCGTGGTACTTTACGCAGTTGCCCTTCTTGGTGTCGAAGTCGTGGAAGGGGATCTCGTGCTTGGTGCCCGTGAGCACGGCGGCCACGGCGAGGGGGTCGTGGAGGGGCGGTCCGGCGGTGATGCCGAAGACGTCGCTGGAATCAGTCAGCCTTTCATCTTACCCTTCATGACTAGGAGAATCTCGAGTGGGCATACCTATACGTCTTGGCGAAGAACATGAGGAGCTCCACCAGCATCTGCCGCAACGTGGTCTTGCCCCTCCCCGTCTTCTCACCCCCTTCCTTGCCGTACAACAACAACTCCCTCACCTCCTCGGTGGCGAGAACCTGATGCGACAGGTCGAGCGGCACGAGGGTCGTCTTGGCCGCGAGCGCCTTGTTGTGGAAGACGCTGGCGGCGGCCTCGGGGTCGATGATGATGTTGAACTCGGCCCAGGGCGTCCAGTTCCCCACGCGCGCGACGCCGTCGACCTTCCCCAAGACGATGTCCGTGAAGCCGTCGCCGATGGCGCCGCCCATGATGCTGAGGCCCTTGATGTGGGCCACGAGGTCCGGGTACTTCTCGAAGAGCTGGGCGACGTTGGTCAGGGACCCCGTCGCGACGAGCCAGGCGGTGCCGGGGGCCTGCGCGGAGAGGGCGGCGGCCATGGCGTCGACGGCCGGGGTGCTGCGGTCCGCGGGCTTCAGGGGCTGCGGGAGCAGGTCGGTGCCGTCGAGGCCGGACTCGCCGTGGATGTCGGTGGCGGCCTGCATGGGCGGGCGGGACATGGGCTTGGCGGCGCCGACGTGGACGGGGATCTCATTGTGCTTGCCGATTGCCGTGAGGATGGAGCAGGCGTTGGCTGTTGTTTTTCTGCGCGGCGGTTAGTAGGTGATTCATGGCGGGTGAGGCACATCGTGTAAAACGATGCTGCTATGAGGGGCAACATACTCTAGGGGGGCGTTTCCGAACACGGTCGAGAGACCCAGGAGCTTGATCGTTGGGTGGTAAGCGGCCAGGAGGATGGCGAAGGTGTCCTGTCGACGTCAGTCAGTAACGGTGTTGGTTCCGTACTGGCGCGCGGCGGTATGGCGCAAAATCGTGCATGAGTTCGCATGCGCGGTATGTGTGAGTGAGGCCTGAGAGGCATGCAAGTTCATTTCATGCTCGACCCCTCACTCACACCACAAAAAGTGCGGGCAACTCACATCGTGACCGGGATCACAGTCCAACCAGACTGGAACTGGGGTTTCCGGCAAGTCGAGGTCAACCATCTTGTAGGAGAGAAATAATGTGCAAAAATAAGAATGCTGGATTGTAGGGAATTACAGAAGACTCTGGACAGAGATTGTGGCAATCAGGTGCGTGAGGGTTGTCCGCGGCGGCAGCGGGTGGACAGCCACGGACTCGTCGCCGTGCGCTTTTAGTGACACTGGTGCGTTCCCACTCCTCGGTGGATAAGACCAACCAAACGGGCACGGGGGACCCTCTGGGGCTGTTGATAATACGGGGGCGGGGGGAACCGTTGGGAACCGCCGGGAGAGAGGTGGACTGGCACCTGGGCGGTGCCTGAACGAGAGATTGGGCCAATCCCATCACATGATAATCATGATGTCTGCGGTGTTTTGATTGATTCTTATTAGACGAAACCGTATGAACGGTGCTCTGGGCTTTCGGAATGCCGAGCAACTTGGATGGGGGCCTTCGGGCGATTACCTCAGAGAAATAGAACGACTTTGGGGGGCAGAATTGAGCGGTCATTGATGGATGAGGCGGTGCCCTCCGAGCACACGGCATGCGCCCGTTTCGGAAGGTCCAGCAGGCCAACACCACCACCACCGAAAACACTTCCGTGTTTGCCGGGTCTCGCAGAAGGTCATCCGCCTGCTTAGTCATCGAACTCTGATATCCTCAACGTCATTTTTGCGTCTCGAGCTCAGTAGGCCTTGAGTTTTATCACCCAAGCAGGCCTAAAGCGGTTGTCTGATAAAGCTGAGTACCTGGTGTAAGGCATGGCCATAATGGTCCATGTAGATGGCGCGCTGCAGTCGTACGCGTTGCCTCTTGAACGGATCTTCGTGCGTTTGCTGGTCCGATGCTCCCTCGAAGAGAAACGCGAGGGTATCGCGAAACCATGACGAACTGGGCACCCTTCCAAGTCGCCAGCTAGACGTTGCAATTGCGAGTTGAAGGTACGACCGCTCTGATTTAGAGCTTTCGTACCAAAGCACGCGCCTGTTTAGGACTTCTCTGCAGCTTTTCGCTGCTCCATCACTCGGAGCACATCTGCTGCGTTGTTGCCATCACCCTTCCTCTTCTTGGGGCCTCTCTTCCTCTTCGCCTTGCCGCCGCGGCCTTCGTCGTCGTCTTCGTTGCCCCACTCTGACAACTTGATAGGCTGATCATCGAAGTCGGCCTCGTCTTCAAAGCGGCTGGTGCCGAAGCCCATATCTAGATCCTGGGCGTCTCGGTCAACCGACTCCAGCATGTTCTTGCGGCGCGCCGCCCGGGCCTTGGCCTCCTCATCATCTTCGTCATCCTCTTCCTCGGCCTTATTCGCTGCTCTGAGTTGTGCAGCCTTCTTGAACGCTGCCCTGATCGCTGGGTCTTCCATAGAAGGTGCTTTGAGTGTTTGTGATGACATGAGCTCTGTCTTTGAGTCCTTGAAATAATTGCGTGGTGCCGCCGGCTTGGGTGGCGGTGGCATGGACATGGAGTCGGGCTTCGATTCTTTCTTGTCGTTCTTTGTATCAGGTTTATCCTTCACTTCGCCCTCGTCGTCATCGTCAGAGCTGCTGCTGTCCATACCGGCAAGCGGATCGTAATCGTCTCCAGCGTCGGCAAAGATGTCATCGTTGTCGTCTTCAGCTTCCTCCACCTGCTGCTTCTTATAGAATTCGGGCACCTCCATGCCGAGCGGCTTCGCGTCCTTACCAGGAATGAACTCCTTGCGCTGCTCCTCCTCAGCTTCTGGTTGAAGTTTGCGGACCTTCCGCTTCTCATGTCCGTCTTCGTCGACAATGATCATGACCTCGCGGCCCTTGCTGTCTCGCTCAATACGAGTCCCGGGCTTCTGCTTCGCCCCGATCTTCCGGAACTTGTCACCTAGATTGTCCTGCGCTGCCTTCGCAGCCGCCCGTGCGGCCTTCATATCAGCAACGATTTGATCTCGCGTTCTCTTCTTTCCAGGAACGAGTCCTCCGGCAGCCATCTGTCCCTTCTTTTTGACCGTTTCCTTCTCGATAGCCTTCACTTCTGTCTCCTCAATTTCGTCAAAGGCGTCGTCCACATCCTCTTCGGGCGGCGGCGCCTCTTCTTCTGCATCTTTCTTGTCGTTCCAGACGTCTTCTCCTCTGCGTATCCTCTCCAAGAGCTTGAAGTCCAGTCCTTTGACCAAATGTGTACTGGAGATGTCACCTCCTGCAATTTCGTTGCGCAACTTCTCAAACGTCGATTTGTCGATCTCCTCTTTCTTGTATGCCTCCTCCAACGCCTTGATCCTCTTCGCGCGGTCGTCTTCTTCTTCGTCGTAGCGTTCTTTCGACCGGTCCACGTAGCCCTCGGCGAGTCGAGATCCTTTCGGCGCTGATGACCGAAACTTCTTTTGAGGCTGTGCTGCTTGATTTCGAGCGGCAAGCTGTCGCGCGAATTCATTGTGAGGATTTCTGCCACCGACAGAGCGACTAAAGTATACGTTAGACCAAAATGTCGAGGGAATGTGACGGAGGAGCTTACGGCGTCATGGGGATGCTCGATCTTTGTCGCGAGCCCAGCGCCCCAGGGGCAGCTGGGCTGGCCTTGCCTGTAGTCTGCCCATTGCTTGGTGACGCAGGCTTTGCCGAGTCTGCTCCTAAGAGCTTGCGGAATTGTTCGTTATTCATGGTCGCGGTGCGTTGATGCCACAGTCAGCGAACGAATCGCAACCGCGCCAAAACAGTCCGATGTAAGTTGGTTGACTGCGTTAACTCCGAAAAGCTTGCGGATGGCTGATTAGTCATGGCTGAGGATCACGTGGGGCGCGTCAACCACGCGCCGCGGATTGCCCCACTTCACTTTACGCGGTCCCAGGCATCTCAGCGGTGCTCCGTCACACCCGTCGCATCATTTTTATTTACACATTCCCGTCGTCTCATTTCACTTGGATGACATACGATGAGCGCCGCCCCTCCTCATCGTTGGAAATGTTCGATGTCTTGGAGTCGATCTCTTGGACTACACGTTTGGTGAAGAATCCGTCAGAGCGCTAGCACTGGGCTATCGCCAATCATCCCAGCCTTCAGAACCGTCAATTCCACAACATTTTACAAAAGTCGACCAAAATGGGAAGCCGCCTCGACAAGAACTCCTCGCAAGTGAGGAAGCGGATCGAAAACCATGAGTTCACGGACGAAGCTGGCGAGGAGTATGAGCCAAGCGCATTCGGCGGCTTCGGCGACTACTTCAGGCGCAAGAAGATTAAGCTACAGAACCTTGACGCAGATATGAGAGTTTCTTCGCGTGAGAAGCCTCAGATATTCAAAGGCGTCGTCGCGCATGTTACGGGATATACGCAGCCGCCTCTTCATATGTAGGTCGCCTCTCCATTGCGCAAATGTGACTCGCTAACGGACATCTTGAAGCCTTCATCGCGAGCTCGTGCAGCATGGAGCAGGGTTTCTGCAATATCTGGACTCCAAGACGATGGCGACACATATCATAGCGTCTTCTATACCGCCAAAGAAATCTGTGGACTACAGCAAATACCGTCTAGTGAAGCCTGCATGGGTTACAGAATCGATTCAAGCAGGGAGACTTCTACCTTGGTCGGACTACCGAGTGGATAACGATGGGCCTCGGCAAAAAGTTCTGAAATTCGACGATTCCAACAGGCTCAGTCAAGCTACTCCTCAGTCCCGACGGGGATACAGAGAGCAGACGGACAACAGTTTTTACACCAGTCAATTCAAGGCATCTGCCGGCAGCCCCATTACTCCATCCCGGACGCGCGTCGCTGAGCGTGCCGAGTCACCACTGTCTCGCAAGCATGACTTTATCACTGACAGTCCGGGGGACTCTCCTCTTCGCAAGGTTCGGAAAATCGAGAAGGACGATGTTGGAGAGTTTGATGATGTGGAAATCGATGAGTTGATGGTCGACATTCTTCCCGTCGAGACGGCGGTTCCTGGATTCGAGAAGACAAAACCCAATCCGACGACTGAAACCCCTAAGACCGAGCAGATGGTCGAGCCGAAAACCGAAACTACCGAGACGAAAGATACAGTTCCTTCAGTGAAAGAAGACACAAAACAAGTCGCCAAAATGCCAGCAAACATGACATCCGAAGAACACAACGCCTGGCTGCTTTCGGACCCCAAAATTTGGAAGTCTTCAACGGCGAACCCCGAATTCTTGAAGCAATTCTATTCCGAAAGCCGCCTTCATCACTTGTCCACCTGGAAAGCCGAGCTGAAGTCCAGGATGCAAAAGCTCGCCAAAGAGAAAGGACCTGTGAAAGCTATCAAGCGAAAATCAGGGTCACGACGGTACATCATCCACGTCGACTTCGACAGCTTCTTCTGCGCAGTGTCCCTGAAACGCAATCCGGAATACGTCGATAAGCCAACTGTAGTCGCTCACAGTAGTGGCACTGCATCGGAGATCGCAAGCTGCAACTACGTCGCCCGCAAATTCGGGGTCAAGAACGGCATGTGGATGAAACGCGCGCTTGAGCTGTGTCCGGATATCAAGGTTCTACCTTACGACTTCCCAGCGTATGAAGAAGCAAGCCGCCTATTCTATAGCGCCATCTTGGACGTCGGAGGGGTCGTTCAAAGTGTCAGTATTGACGAGGCACTCGTTGACATCACATCCATTATCCTTTCCAGCGTCGGTTCTGATGGCACCGGTGTCGATGAAGGCAGCATCTGGAGAGAGCAAGACAAGGCCGAACAAATTGCTCTCGGACTCCGCAACAAGATCAAAGCCTCGACTGGGTGCGCGGTTTCCGTTGGTATTGGAGGCAACATTCTCCAGGCCAAGTGTGCCCTCAGGCGCGCGAAACCTGCCGGCCAGTTCCAAATCAAGCCTGAACAAGTGCTCGATGTCCTCGGAGAGCTCGAGGCAAAGGATCTTCCGGGAGTCGCCTACAGTCTCAGCGGCAAATTAGAGGAAATCGGGGTCAAATACGTTAAAGATATTCGACAAGTTTCGAAGGAACGCTTATCCTCGTCTCTGGGGCCCAAGACTGGGGAGAAGCTCTGGGAGTACGCCCGAGGCATTGATCGCGCTGAGGTTGGAGACCATCCTCCTAGAAAATCGGTGTCAGCAGAGGTGAATTGGGGTATTCGCTTCATCAACCAACAAGAAGCTGAGGAATTCGTGATGAATCTTTGCACAGAGTTGGAACGCCGTCTCCTCAATGAGCAGGTCAAAGGGAAGCAGTTCACAATGAAGATCATGCGCCGATCTCTGGATGCGCCCCTTGATCCAGCAAAACACCTAGGACACGGCAAATGTGATAGCTTCAGCAAGAGCGTCATGTTTGGCGTTGCCACCCACAATGCCGAGACGATTGCAAAAGAGGCCGTCTCCGTATTGAAATCATACAAGTTCAGCCCTGGAGACCTCCGGGGCCTTGGTGTACAGCTAACGAAACTTGAACCCATCAAAACCGGACCAGCTGGCCCAGAGAGCAGCCAGAGGAGGCTAGCATTTCCAACTTTCAACAGCACAACATCAGCAAAGAAGAGTCGTGTTGATCCCATTGAGGATTCCAAAAGCCCTTCGAAACCAAAGCCAGCTCAAAGGCGCGGGGATGTTGCACAAGATCCTATTGCCGATGATCCTTTGACACCAAGGAAACCCAAGGTACACCCAGCCCTGGCGTTGGCACGGGCTGGCGAGCTGGATGACAAGGCTCATACACCATTGAACATCATGGGAACCCAGTTCATCCTCCCGTCACAAGTCGACCCAGCTGTCCTTGCCGAATTGCCAAGCGACATTCGATCGAAGCTGCAGAGGGGCCAGAAGCCACCGCCTGCACCTAGACCGGCCTCGCCCAAGATCAAATCGCGCAGTCAAAGCCCTGCTGTACAGCTACAGGATGAGATCCCGTCACAGGTTGATCCAGAGGTTTTCAATGCCTTACCCGAGGATATGAAGGCCGAGGTCCTCGCTCAATACGGTCGAAAACCCGCCCAAGCCCAAGCCCGCCTGCCACAGTCGCCACGCAAGGACAGACTCATCCAACCAAGGAAGCAAACAACACCAACGAAACGCGGAGGCAGGAGCTTGTTCAACAATGCCAGGGAGCGACAGCAAGACGCAGCCGCGAACCGCCAGCAAACGAGTTTCCTGCCGATCAAGGGAGCCGCCCCGGCGCAGCACAAAGAGCCGGAGGAACTGGACCCGGAGTTCCTCGCCGAGCTGCCCGAAGACGTCCGTCGGGAGGTCATCGAAGACCACCGGCGACGGTCCCTCGCCCAACGCTCGGGGCTCAACTTCAACGCTCCCCGGAAGCCCCGCCCGGCCGAGGCGAGCGACTTTTTGCCCGGCGGGCAGACCAAACTCCAGTTCCCGGCGCCCCCGCCCAAGGCCAACTTCATGGGGTCCGCGGTGAAGACGGTGCAGGAGATCAAGGACATGATCGAGGCTTGGCACGACGGGACCCGCGCGGAGGGGCCGCATCAGGACGATGTTGTCATGTTTGAGAAGTACCTCGCCAAGGTCGTCGCCGAGGAGCGAGACATGCATAAGGCGTCCAAGTTGGTCCAGTGGCTCGAGTGGCTGGTGGAGGAGGACGAGAGTGACGGGATTGGAAAGCAGGGATGGAGGAGGACGATCGGCGACATCAAAGCAGGAGTGCAGAGGGCGGTTGAGCGAAGAGGCTTGGGTCCTCTCAAGCTATGAGTTTGTATGATTCACGATTCATGCCCGGGATACCTTTGGATTGGCGTTGGGGTGCATAGGAAACCTGAAGCCTGTTGAATTGATTGTATGTTTTCTTATTCGAGAATGTCTCAACCCGACTGAAATCATGATGCAGCGTCAGGGGTATCTTCCAAAACGTTCTCGAAAAGTGCCCCCGGTATCCAAAATTCAATTGACCTACCACGCCCAATGTAAAACTACTTCAATCGTAAACTCGTCAAACAACATCACAGATAGATAAGCGCCAACATTGCGACGGCCGAAGCTGCCCAAGCCGTAGCCGTGACGCGAGCGCCTCCGCTCTGGACCATGTACACGCCCAGCTTCAACGCGCCGCCGCAGGCCACCTCCTTGTTGCCGTCGCACGGGGTATCGCACGCCGCATCGTCGAGCTTCGTCGCGAGGCTGGATAACTTCTGGGAACACCAGCACTCACTGAGACAAATGTCAGCATTTTCGCGCCGATGTGGGATGGGAGATTCTGTGAGATGTCAGAAACTTACCGGGAGTACTCGACGCCGGCGTACTTGTAGTCAGTGTCTGTCCCGCTGCTGCAGAAGCTCAGGCACATGGGCACCGTCATGTTGCCGTTGAAGGCCTTGCTCGCGCCGTCTGACAGGGCGCGCAGCTTGCCCGTGTTCTCGATCTCGTTGGTCTCGTTGAAGCAGCCCTGGTACTTGTACTTGTCGGAGTCCTTGTAGATCGAGAGGGCCTGCGCGGAGGCGAGGGGGGAGAGGAAGGCGAGGAGGAGGAGGGTGGACAGAAGCTGGGCGAGGATGTTTCGTGTCATTTTGCGTGTGGTTTGTCGGCGATTGCGACGACCCGGCATTCAGATTTCGATATGCGATGTGGCGGCCGAGCAACACAGATTCGGTTCGCGCGCAATCGGCGATGCTGGGATTGTCGAGATAAGAGGCTCAACGGGCGCGTTCTCGCGGGGCTTCGGAATGTTTGCTGACGGTGGGCGATTTAAGGGTCAGATAGCAGGAATCTCACGGCAAGCGCAGCGCGTTCTCACGACGAGGCCATTCTCGGTCTGCTTTCAGGGGGACGGGAGAGACACAGAGGAAACAATCCGAGCCCGGGTAGCTGAGGAGAAGAAAGGGTGTTTCGAAGAAAAAAGGCCCTTCTCAGTTAGTGAGCACCTCAGCCTAATTGGAGTAAATTCTCTTTCTTTTTTTCCCCTAGCCGGCGTTACCAATGGAAAGCCAAGGAGATTATGCGGCCTGCTGCTGCGCCGTGATGGCGCGCTTGAGGAGGTTTAGCAGGCCACTGGTGAGAGAGGAACGGGATTAGCGGGGTGTGAAGTGCCTGAAGCGGGCTGGCTAGGGACGCAAGGTCTGGCCTGCTCCTGAGGTGTGGCGGCTGGTCTAGGCCTGAACGGGACGGGACGGAGGGAATTTGGGGGTGGTCTGTGAGCTGAGAGATGCTGGGGGTATCGCTGCCATCCGAAGTCATCGCGAGGTGAGCTGAAAACCTTCGTGACTTCTTCTTATTCTTACTAGTGGTGAGGTAGTCTTAAATATCTCTTTCCTCACTGTGTTTTGAAATCCTTACATGCTGATTTCATCAGCTGGATTATGATATTTGTGCCATTGACACCATCCGCGGAGAAAGCATCTTACAAACCGTATCAAGCCGTACGGGCCAAGTTGACGAAATTGATAAACACCTGCTCTCTCTATGACTCAAACGAAATATTCACTGGCATTCATCTGTTGTAGTTGGAACGATGTCCTCGTCGCCGTTGGGACTCAGTCGGAGGGACACCGGCCGTCTGCGAGAAATAATTGGAGCCGCTCCGCTGGGTGGTTCCGCCTTTTCCCCGGGGACATTCGGGGTTCTCGAGTATCCCGAGCCCGACGTGAATGGGGAACACCACGCGGGAGCCGGTCAGATTAAGCGGGGCCGTTGTGATGCTGCGTCCGTCTAGGACTTTGAGGTGAAGAATGACGTTCCGCGGCGGACAAGCGAGACAGTGGCGCGGCATATTGCGATTGCATTCGTCGAAAGTCGCACCTCAGCAATAAGACACGTTTCATACCAATGATATTTCCCAGCAGGCAGCACCAGGCATCAACGGTAATCAGATGTAAACTCGTCAGCACGCCGCGTACCCAATCAACGTTGAATAATTTGGAGATGAATCACCATGTTGATGGGTGACAAGTGGCCACTTGAGAAGGACTATCGGTCTTCGCTTAATCCAAGACTTAATAGGACTCTGAGATATGGAACTCAGGACTGGCGACGCCGAACGCACGGCCCGTAAATTGGAAGTTTTACGAAGGATTCACGGCACTAACACGAAGTGGGACGTGGCGGTTTGCCTTCCTACGACGTAAACAGGTTGAATTGCAGGCACTGAAAACATGATTATAATGCTTCGATAGGTATTGTTGATGTATTACATTTCGGGGTTGACAGTCAATCAGGTATTCCTGCTCCCAAGAACCTGCCTGAAAGTGGAAATATCTTGTAGTCCGAACTGGCAGGTTGCTTGGCAGCTTACTAGCTTCAAATCACTCACATCATGGCAAGCTGGGCACTGTTCTTTAGAGGGAACGTCACTTTCTATAGACGTCGAGGCTCGGCGGAGTTTTGAAAATCCGCCGAATAGAAGGTCACAGGGAATGGAAGCACTTTGATACTCCTTCAAGACATGGAAGAAAACAGACTCGAATTAACCTCGAGGGACCCCTAGCGGAGCGAGCAACTAGTGGTGCGTGCACTGTCTCCGGGCCATTCCTGAGCGGGTCAAATATCCATCCGGAGTGGGCCCAGCTGACCTCCCGCCGGTTCGACTGGGTCCCCCCCGGCCGGCATCCCTCCTGGCTTGCCTTTTCCGGTCATCTTGATTGGCTCCAACCGCCATTTGTACGAGACCTGCAGATTTACGAAATACGGCGGGGGATGGATTCAACGTGGATGTAATACTAGGACTCGTGGCAGCCACGTCTCGTCATCAAAGTGAACGTAAGTTCCATCGAGATGTGGTGTTATTTTGGCCTTTCCATATCAACCCACGGGCACCCTTTACCTGGCTCGTAAACCTGTCCTAGGCAGCCTTTTGTTCTTCGTCGCGAGCTCCTTTCATCCACGCAACTTCTGCAAGGAGTCGACTGATTGGCATTGTATCTTCGCCCTTCACACCACACGCTGCCCATTATCGACTCACACTTCATATATCGACATCGCACACGATTCTTCCTTCGTCAACCTCACCCTCATAAGACAATGCTTCTTTGAATTCCACCTCAAGGCATTTAGTTATGGACACCGTCAATAAAGATACCGCACCGGCGGCGGCGGTCGTGGACGAAAAAAAGGGCCTCGAGGAATCCGTCAAACAGAACGAACAGCCGACACCCGAGGCCAAGATCAGACCTGAACGCCAGCCGGCTTTCAAAGATTACCTCCGTGTTTTCACGTACGCGACAAAATGGGACATTTTCGCCTACTTCGCCGCCGGTCTCGCTTCCATGGGGGCCGGCATCACAATGCCGTTGATGAACAGTAAGAACCCATCGCCGTTGGATCCCACGGCGCCGATTAACCCGCGTCTGCAGTCATCTTTGGCCGGCTCGTGAACGACTTCAACGGGTTCGCCACAGGAGGGAACACAGAGGCCCAGCAGGCCGAGTTCAAAAGAGTAGCCGACAGGCAGTCGCTTTACCTCTTCATCCTGTTCCTGGCTCGTTTTTCCCTGGGATACATCAACAAGTTCGGCTTTCGAATGATTGGAATCCGACTGTCCTCCGGTATCCGTCTTCACTACCTCCAGCGTCTTTTCGGTCAGACCATCCACGTCCTTGATTCGATGCCCGCAGGCGCGGCGGCCGGTACCATCACATCCACCGCAAACACCCTCCAAATCGGCATCTCCGAGAAACTCGGCGTATTTCTCGAGTTCACGACGATGATAGTTGCCTCAATCATCATCGCGTTCACGTATAACTGGGCATTGACTTTAGTCACAGCGTCATGCATCCTGTTCATTCTGCTCGTCTTGGGCATCCTGCTCCCCTTCATCATCAAGGGTCACACCCAGATGACCAAAGCGGAGGGCAAGGCATCCGCAGTTGCGAGCGAGGCTTTCTCGAGTATCCGAATGATCACTGCTTGTGGCGCAGAAGATCGCATCGCAGCGCGGTATGCTCGCTGGGTCCAGGTTGCTCGTCAAAAGGGCCAGTTCACGGCGCCGTTGATGGCTCTGCAGTTCGGTTTCATCGTACGTTGATACACGAGAACGTGTTGACTCTAGCTAACAGGCAATAGTTTTTTGCGCTTTTCGGTGCCTTTGGTCTTGCCTTTTGGTACGGCACACATGCCTGGGTTGACGGCCGAGTTAGTGACGTGGGCGAAGTCATCATGTAAGTGGCTCGTGATCAGACACATGGGTCGTACTAATCCTTTTCTCAGTGTCCTCATGTCTGTGATGCTCACTGTAATGTCTCTCGAACGCATCAGCACACCTTTACTCGCTATCAGCAAGGCAATGGTAGCAGCATGCGAGTTCCTCACTGTCATCGATGCGCCGACTCCCCATACGGGAGACTTGAAAGAACCACAAGTCTCCGCCAGCGAGAACATCGTATTCGAGGACGTCACATTCGCGTACCCGAGCAGGCCACACGTCAAAGTCCTCGATGGTCTCAACCTCACCATCGAATCCGGTAAAGTGACGGCGATCGTCGGGCCATCAGGCTCCGGCAAAAGCACGATAGTTGGGCTGATCGAGCGTTGGTACACGTTGCAAGATCAATATGTTATCGCCAAGGCGGTCGAGAAGGATAAGAAAAAGGAAGCCCAGAAGAAGAAGAACAAGAAGAAGGGAAAGGAGGACTCCGACGATGAAGACAACGAACCTGAACCTGAGCAGACTGGGCCCGCTGTTGAGCTCAAGGGCTCAGTCTCAACCTGCAATCACTCCCTCGACGACATTGATCTAAAATGGTGGCGGTCTCAAATCGGTCTCGTCCAGCAAGAGCCATTCCTCTTCAACGACACTATCTATCGAAATGTGGCGTACGGACTCATCGGTTCTCAATGGGAGGACGAGTCAGAGGAGAAAAAGAGAGAACTCGTCAAGGAGGCATGCCAAGAATCGTTTGCCGATGAGTTCATCGATCGACTGCCGGATGTAAGTCCTTCATGTTCATATTCCTTCTTGATAATCACCGCTGTCTATTCTCTCGTCTTTATCATTATATCTGTTCTTGTTGCCATCGTCATTCTTGTCGCCATATTACCGAGCACTAGCCCAACTCTACGACACAATCTTTGACAGACACTGACCTTATCATAGGGATACGAAACTCTCGTCGGAGACGCCGGTGCAAAGCTGTCAGGTGGCCAACGTCAACGAATCGCCATCGCCCGAAGCATCGTCCGAAAGCCGAAAATCGTGATCCTAGATGAAGCAACTAGCGCCATCGACGTTCGCGGCGAGAAAATCGTGCAGGCAGCTCTCGACAAGGTTTCCAAGAATCGCACAACCATAACCATAGCTCACCGTCTCTCCACTATTAAGAAAGCCGACCGTATCGTCGTTCTCAAGAAGGGAAGAGTCGTTGAGCAAGGTACGCACGAAAGTCTTCTCGAAGACGATGAGGGCGTGTACTACGGCTTGGTCCACGCGCAGCAACTTTCCCTGGGCGACCAGACCGAAGACAGCGACTCGGACAACAAGGAAGACGACCTCGGTGCTGTTCTCGACCGCGAGAAGAGCGCCGCGAGGTCCGAGACAGGCACCACACGCCAGCAGACCCAAGCTATCAACCGCAATCTCTTCCAAAGCTTCGGAAGGCTGCTGTACGAGCAAAGAAGCCGATGGCTGCTCTGCATCCTGACGGTCGTATTCGCGGCGTGCGCGGCGGTCGGGACACCCATCCAAGCATGGCTGTTCGCCAAGGTCATTCTCGTCTTCAACCCCAACAACGGCGACGACAAGATCCGGAGTGACAGTAACTTCTGGTCGCTCATGTGGGCTATCCTGGCCATCGGCATCGGTCTCTCGTACTTCTTCATGGGCTTCGTCTCGACGTATCTTTCAGCCTTCATCTGCGCGGTATACCGGCAACAGTACTTCGAGGCCATCTTGTTCCAGCGAACCTCTTTCTACGACGAAGAAGAGAACGCGCACGGCAGCTTGACGGCCCGGGTCGCTGGAGATCCCAAGCAGCTAGAAGAGCTGTTGGGACTGAACATGGCCATGGTCTATGTGGCCCTCTTCAACATCGTTGGAGCTTTGGCGATTTCGTTCGCGTTCGGCTGGAAGCTGGCGCTCGTGGCGCTCTTCGTGACAACACCTATCTTGCTTGTGAGCGGGTACTTGCGGTTCAAGTACGAGATCGAGTTCGACAAGATGAACGCGGCGGTCTTTGCGGAGAGTTCGAAATTCGCCGCCGAATCCATCGGGGCGTTCAGGACGGTGTCCGCGTTGACGCTGGAAGACATGACATGTCTTCGATACGAGAAGCTCCTGAAGGGCCACGTAACCCAGGCGTTCAAAAAAGCTCGCTGGACCAGCTTCCTTTTCGGTTTCTCCGATTCGGCCTCCATGGCCTGCCAGGCTCTCATCTTCTGGTACGGAAGTCGACTCCTCGCCTCCGGCGAATACACCCCCGAGATGTTCTTCGTCTGCTTCATGGCCGTCATCCAGGGCGCCGAGGCAGCCGGTCAGAGTCTCAGCTTCGGGCCAAACGCGGCGCAGGTCACCGGGGCCTCGAACCGAATCATCAACATGCGGGACTCGAGGAACAGGGACCAGATCGCGGCGACGGAGAAGATCCCGGACACCGAGGGCGGCGTGCAGATCGAGCTGCGAAACGTCCACTTCAAGTACCCGACGCGGGACATCTCGGTCTTTAAGGGGCTCAACCTGACCATCGAAAAGGGGCAGTTCGCGGCCCTCGTGGGCGCCAGCGGATGCGGCAAGACTTCCATCATCTCGCTCATGGAGCGGTTCTACGACGTCGACAGGGGCGCCATCCTCTGCAACGGCAAGGACATCAAGGACCTCAACGTCTACGACTACCGCAAGAACCTATCCCTGGTCGCGCAGGAGCCGACCCTCTTCCAGGGCACGATCCGGGAGAACATCCTCCTGGGCGTCGACGAGGGTTCCGTAACCGAAGAGCGGCTGCACCAGGTGTGCCGCGACGCCTCGATCCACGACTTCATCGTCTCCCTCCCGGAGGGGTACAACACCGACATCGGGAGCAAAGGCGTCTCGCTCTCCGGCGGTCAGAAACAGCGAGTCGCGATCGCGCGGGCGCTCGTCAGGGACCCGAACATCCTTCTGCTCGACGAGGCGACAAGCTCGCTCGACTCCGAGTCGGAAAAGCTGGTGCAGGCCGCGTTCGAGCGGGCGGGCGAGGGACGCACCATGGTTGTCGTGGCGCACCGCCTGGCCACTGTGCAGAACGCGGACGTCATCTTCGTCCTGGGCGAGGGGAAGCTGCTGGAGAAGGGTAGCCATTCTGAGTTGTTGAAGAAGAAGGGTGTGTACTGGCACATGGTAAGTTGTCATTCGCGTCTCGTCTGGAAATGGGTTGCTAACAAAACTTCCAGTGTCATAGCCAAGCGCTGGACCGTTGAGACTGCTGCGAAGAATGTGGTGTGTGTGGTTGTGCGTTATGTGACTGCGGGTCATTGTGATAGAACTAGAATATCCTCACTTCTCCCTGAATTTAGAAGCACTCCGGTCTTCACCGAAGAACAAGTCATTTCTATTTTGAAAGTAATATCCATACGTATATGAGTACCGACCGGATGACAACGGCGACAACTTCAGCAACGACAGCGACAGCACTTACATACGAAGCATGAGCCAAGTGAGGATACAAGTCATCACCATAGCAGAAAGTGCTATGGAAGGCCACCAAGAAACTGGATAAAAGTGAGTCCCCAATAATCAATCAGATCCCGTCTAGAAAATGAATAAGAGGACGTGACTCAGTGAACTCCGATTCAACGTCTCAAATGCCTCGCGTATCCCAAGTTGCCCTCTATGTCTACCACATGCTCCAGTCGCTCAACATATCCAACACCATCTATGCCTGCACCTTCAAGCCCCAAAACGCATCAATCTCGTGCATGATATGCTCCGTCTTTGTCATCACGAAATCATGACCGCCAGGCAGGATCCTCCACAACACCCTCTCCTCGCCGCCCAACAACGGCAACCCGTCCTTCGCGTAATGCTCCACGTCAACGACCTCGTCAGTCCGTCCGATCAGCACCGCCGTGGTCCCCTTCTCCCTCCTCCCCAGCGCGCGCCACGTCTCGTGCTGGTCCGTCAGCGGGGCGTGACGCACGCAGCTCATGAACGCCGGCACGAACCCGGCGTGGTGCGTGACCATCCACGGCACGTACTCGCGCACCCGCCTGTCCACCAGCGCGTCCTCCTCCCCATCAGGCGACGTTACCTCCGCGACCGCGACCTTCTCCGCCGGGTCCTTGTCGTCCGCGATCACCACGCCGGGGCGCTTGGGGGCCAGGGGCCGCTGCAGCCTCTTCGTCGTGACCGCGGCGAGGATGCGCTCCGGGATGAGGCCCGACTGGAACGTGATCTGCGCGACGATGCCGAAGTTCTCGGCGCGGATGAGGCCCGCGGGGGCGAGGAGCACGAGGCTCGCGACCATGTGGGGGAAGGCGGCGGCGAAGGAGGCGGCGACGACGCGGACGGAGGCGGCGCCGGACCAGGGCAGCGGGGAGGAGGCGAGGGCGAGGAGGACCTGGGTGGTGTAGAGGCGGGCGTCGTGGGGGAGGTCGCCGACGCCGTCGGAGAAGCCGCGGCCGAAGAGGTCGTAGAGCATGACGCGGCAGCCGCGGGAGACGAGGGAGTGGGCGATGCGGCCGAGGGTCATGCAGGACGTGCTGATGCCGTGGATGAGGAGGACCTTGGGGCCTGTTTCAGGGCCCCATTCGTAGACGCGGATTGTGCCGTACTGGATGGTGTCAGTTGTTTGGCGTTTCAACGGATATGAGAAGGGGGAGAATGTGGCGAGGGGTTTTCCCTGGTATGGCTGGAAGAGTGTACAACACAGTTGGAAGGTCTTGCGATAGCTCCATGTACCCTGACCGGATGCCATCGGCGCTGACAGTTTCTTCACAGCCACTCACTCAGGTCGACCGAGACGCCTCAGGAGGAAGTGATAACTCACCGGCGTATCGACATCCCTAGCTCCAGGGAAGTGATCAGGACGATAAACAAGCTTCTTAACCTCGTCAGTCGTGAGCTGAGGCATCTTGGTCTTGAGGGGATTCGGGATCGCGGAGCCCCATTTCGGATACAGGCCTCGGCGGGCGAGGGCGAGCAGGGAGAGGGTGGTGAAAACAGTCGTGGCCACGACGGCCACTGTGCGCGGTTCAACAGAGGGACTGACGAGCGAGTCCATGATCGTCTTTCACTTCCAAGGCCACCTTTTCGAAAATCGAGGGAGTGTTGTCGAAGTTGAGCCCCCTCCGGATATCACGGCGCAAGGTGGAGAGCGTCGGAGATTCGGGTGTTTGCGAGCGAAGCCCGTTTGCGACTCTTGATCTCAGTTGAAGTCTTCCTCCCTCGACTGTGAATCGTTACACACGCGCGCGCACGACAGAGGGAGTCGTACCGATTCAGCCTTCAGCCTTGACCTCGTCGCATTCACCCGCGAGGCAACCGTCCAACAGAGAGAGGATGACATTCCCGCGTGCCCTGCGGGTTCGCGTTCGGGCGGGTACTGCGTACTCGCCTCCGCGAATCCGTCCAATGAAGGAGCGCATCGGTGCCTGCTGGGGAAGGGACCCTCCCTGGCGCGGCCGAATCCTCCTTATCGATGGACCCACGTGGCCGAACCCGTGGGACGCGGGTGGATCGGCCTCTCCCGAGCCTGTCAAAAGTGGAGCCCGATGCGCGCCAAAAATACAGTCTACCGACTGGCAGGTAACGGTCCGGCAGGAGCTGCCTTTCGGACGACGGGTTAGACTTTTGGGGAGGTAGGTTTATCTGGCCCCCAAACTGAGATCTACCGTCACGATAGATTCCTTTTATGGAGTTTCGGTAGTTTACGATTGCCTATGAGTGAGATTCTGTGTTGTTTTTGCCGGTTTTCGTGTACGTGGTTTTGGCATTTGTTTACTGCTTACACGTGCCAAAGGTGGTCGTTCTTGTAATGAATATGAACCTCTTAGTTATTCATTCATGGGGTAGAATTATCTCAGTATTTTTCATCATCTCACTCTGACAGCTTCGAAGACGATTTTCTGAAAGTACAGCAGCTTGCTATCCCTCAACCACTAACCCGCCAAGCCCAGCATGTTACTCAGCGGCCAAAAAGCGGATTTTCCGCCTAGAAGAAACTGAATCCTCGACAGTGATCAAAACAGGCAGAACCATGCCATCGTCGCAGCCATGCACGAGCCCGAAAAGTCGATCTTCCAAAACGAGTTCACGCAAGATCAAAACACCGTAACGAGCGACGATCACAACGCGGCGACCTTCCAGCTGCGCAATTGGTCCTACCGCCTTTTACGCCCGCCAGCTTGTCGTGGCATTAAGGTCGCATCCATCCCAGTATCCCTCCCCCAAAAACTCAGGGTAGGGCCCAAGAACGGTCCTGACATCATCATGTGAACCCCAGAGCAGAAGCTACTACAACACAGCTGCTGCTCCGGCACGGCACAGATCAACAAACGAGACGGGGAACGCGGGCATGAGCTTGATCCACGAATCAGTGTTTCCCGGATTACTATAAAAAATCACACAGACGACATGTAACGGGGACCCCGGATCAGGTTTGGGTTGTATCTACAGAAAGACACAGCGCGGATTACGAGTCATTGCGAGAACGTCGATCTTCTTCTAGAACCACCACGCGCGAACGAAGAAAAATTCCGCAAAAATTTCGAGCTGGAGGGGACAAGACGAACCCCATCACATCGTCTGCGTGACGAGATCGGCGAACCCCGACCCCTTTTTAAAAGAATTGCAACTGTAGTTTTCAAAACCAAGAAACTACGAAACTCCCAGACGGCTCTCGTCTAAATGCCGCAAAAAGCCTTGGTTTTTGGCTCAATCAGAACCCGACGTATTGGATCTCGACACAGCCAAGCTCCTCCCAAGCTTCCGAAATCATGCTTTCCATTGGGTGCTGCACCACGCCGTGACCCAGGGCTCCGGGATGGACGAGAACATCAACGTGGAAGACCATTATCCGCACAACGCTCCCAAAGCCCTTCTCGCAGCAGGGAAGCTGGCATCTTGCAAAAAGGCAAGGGTAGCACCATATGATGCAATTCGAAACCTCTTTCTCGGCAAGAGATACCCTCACCAGTTACCTTGTACAAGAGACCGGGTTCGCTTTCGGGTTCGATCTCAGTCCTGGTTCGTCCAGAGTGCAACTCCTGCCGCCCGCGTGATCCGCGGTGACCCTGACCGGCGCGGGAAAAAAAAGAAACTCAGAAAACTCAATTGCAAGAAATCCAAGAAAATCACCCCCAAAAACCGCCTGTCCCGACCCGATCCGATCCGATGACAGGATAACTACCAGGTCCTCGCTGTTTCATCGACCCGACGTCCACCCCAAAATCACGCGCCAAAACGTCCACCGGAATCAATCTCACGCGTCGACGTCCACCTAATATCACGCGCCCGTTAAGAGCTATCATCCCGGCACGATATGACTCGCGGCATATCAAGCCACAGCTGCCGGGATACCGCCTTCTCCCCAGCGCCTTTACGTAGGAACACACGTGTCGGGGGGCCGCCTTCTAGTGTAGTGTACCCATTCCTATAAAAGCCCTATAGGGCGAATAGGGGGCGGTGCAGGCAATGCGTCTGTACTCGTTAGCCGTTGCGTAACCCCCGGCGCATCACCATCACGGGTAGGTATCCAGATGAGAGCTCTGCGTACCTATAAAGCCACTTTACAGCCCCCAACTGGAGTAGTCCGCGTGGCCCCCTGCTGCTGGCCGTTGAGCTGAAAGTCAGCCCTTTGCTAGCGGAGTGTTCCGTCCAGTTCGTAGTCGGGGTCGACCTGGAAGACCTCTAGAGTTCGTACGCGTCCGAGCGTCCCTCCGTGGGGCTAATCCGAGCAGTTTCAAGGCCGGCAAGGAGGATGGATAGGACCGAAAATGACTCTGCTGCTTAGCATGCTCGCCCGTTCCGTGGGTTAGGCTTGCTAGGACAAAGATAGACTACCCGATGTTTCTAGTCATGGGGTAGAGCTCGCCTAAGCAGTAAGCATAATCTTCATACAAAACGACAACCTAGTTCTAGTTGACGTGTTGACGTAGTTAGGACGTTAGAAGTTGCCAATTGAGTTCCACATTGTGATAAGTAATAGACAGTTGAAGATTTTAATCATGAAGTCGTCAATTGAGACTGATGGTGCCTCGTCAGCGGCCATAAATCTTCATCCAAATACGCCAAAAGACTGCTTTTCGGTACATGGGTATACATCCATTCCCCCGCCCGCTATAGACTCCGTCATAAATAGAGAAAGAAACAGGTAGATGACATTTCATATTCGAACAGCAGCATGTCATGACATGCCGACGGCCCAAGCAGCGTGCCCCAGCTGCTTGATCAGAAGACAAAGGTTTTCAACAATGGGCGGGTTCGTGTCCGTCGAGTCGCGGAAGTTCGCCCGGAGGATTTCCTGGGCTACTTCCATGCATGCCTTGGGGTCGTCGACTGAAGCCTCCGTCGCGCCGGCTCTGCTCATGGGGCCCAGAATCACCGGGCGGCCTTGGTTGAAGCCGATGAAGCGGTGCACCAGGTTCGACTCAGTGCCATCTAGGAAGATATTCTCCTGCTCATACCCGGGCTGAGGCGTTGGCTTGTTACCGCTCGTCTTGGTAACCACGCCGTACGTCCAAATCGCAAGAGCCGCATGATGGACCGCGACGGCGTAAAAGTCCTTCAGGTGACCAGGGGGGAACATCTTGGCCTGGCGTAGGATCTGGCCCGCGTGCCACAACGACTGGCGAGCCTCCGCACTTTGCGACCATTCTCGCAAGTCGCCAAAGACCCGACGTGCCTGATCCTCGCCCTCCTTGCCGGAGAACAGCTGCAGGTCATTCAGCGACAGGTGAAGATTCATCATCAAGAGGTGAAGAACCAAGCTCTCCTGGGTGGAGAGCATCTCATGCCAGTCCGACGTGACCAGCAGGAAACTCTGCAGGTCCTTGCAGAGCTCGGCATGCCTCGAGCGCAGCACCTCCTCCGATTTACCTCCAGTGTTGTTCAGCCAAGTCCGGGTGCGCAAGACGGAACAGAGCTGGAGGTATTCAAGGATGAGCGCCCAATAGCCGTGCAAGTATATCGAGATTGCATATTGCAAATCCAGTCGTTGTCGGTTCGTGGCCAGCAGGTTGATATCGCGGAATAGGTCTGCAAGGGAAGGAGGTCGCTTGGATTGTCCAGAAGTTCTCTCCAGGTAGTGCATCTTCCATTCGGCAGCCGTCTTCGCAAACCACAGCTCCTTGGCCTCAGGGAGGGGAAGCGTGAGCTCCGAATACGACATCGAGGGGTTGGTGAGGGTGGTCATGGAGGTCTGAGCGTCTCGCACGAAGCAGTGGAATAGTAGTCTAAAAATGTTAGCGCAAGGATATCCCAGATACAGAATCTGTGAGCTTACCTCTTCCACGACTCACGCTCGCACCAGGTCCTCCACTTCTTCTCCAAAACCTCACCCTCATCGGACATATTGACTTCGACCAGGGGGTACGATGCTCGCTGGAACTTGCCCCGATACCTCATCATCTGATCGCGCATTATTAGCAACTTGCCGCACGGAGACACCGACGCCATTAACTTACCGTGATCGGAATCAGGAGGTGGCACTCGGCAATCTCCATCTTGCGTCGGTTCCCGCTCCAGAGACCAATGTCTTGACCCATGATTAGGGTCTGGACCAGGCCCAGGTTTTTGATCGTCGTGTTGGCATCTTCGAACCTTGCGGGAATGGTGACTCGGACCGCCTCTTGAAGAGCGAACCCAAACTTGCGCAAGGTTTGCACTGGAGTCAGAGTAGCTCCAGCTGAGGCTGCAACCGCGAGCCACTCCGGCCATTGCGTGTTCATGGAAAAGGAGCCGTGGTGTATCCATTGTGACGTCTGGCAAAAGTGCGACGCCAAGTAGATGTGAATCAGACTGTCCATAACCTCGAGCGAAGGAAATGACGAGGCTACTCTGGTCATGATGGTGTCGTTCTTGCAGGTCTGCAGAACGATTGCCAGAATCTGGTCGCGACCTGATTGGTCCAGCTTGTCCTTGACGATTCTCGCGTGCTTGGTGCGGCTTTGCTGGAAGGCCGCGCTGCTTGTATCGCCGGAGGGTACAGAGAAGTTGCCGTGCTCGACGTAACCGGAGTCCTTGTTGTTCGGCGCCCATTGCCACGGAGAGTCGGTCCAGACCTTGACCAGGGTTTGTCGCATCTGCACCAGGTCGACGGAGTCGTCGGTTCGAGGCGTAAAGCTCTGGTTCGACCCAGCATTCATGTTGTCCATGTTCCAATGGTCCAAAAGGCCAAAGTCCACTTCGTTTAGTTCGAGGTTCGAGTTGTCGCAAAAGTCAAGGACTGCGAGGCCTTGTGCCTCGGCCATCCTCGACGCGTCCATTTCGGGCTCGTAAATGACGTTCTGGAGGAAATCGGAGAAGGGCATGGCCATGTCGACATTCTGCCCCCCTATTTCGTAGTTGACAGGCATGGCGTTCGGCATCTGTTCCATCCCATTATCCGGGGTTGGTAGCTGGCCGCCTTCGGACTTGATGTGGTGTCCTGGAGTAAGCTGGCCGTTCATGGCTGATGGCTGTAAACCGCCATGATGTTGCTGGGGAGGTTGCTGGTACACTGCGGACGGACTGCTGTCGTAGGCGGACTGGGAGGGAGATGTTGCTAACGACCCCGGAGTGGATGTTGTCTGGTTGGGGTTTCCAGACAGGTGAAGAAGGTGCATGGCAGCGGCAGATCCAGCTTCTGTGGAGGAGTACTCGCAGTTCAAGTTGCGGTTGCGACAACGAGTGCAAGGCTTGACCTCTTCGCACTTTACACGAGCCGTAGCACAAGGTCGGCAGGCGTGAGAGACGCGACCAGCACCAGGAGAGGTGTCGGTCCGGCGCCGCTTCTTATTGGGGTCATTGTCGTTCTCGTGATTAGTGACATGGCGCTTGAGCAAATCCTGGCGGGCAAACGCCTTTCCACAAATCTGGCATGAGAAGCGCTTGCCAAGGGTATGGGTCTGAATGTGTCGCGCAAGATGCTCAGGCCGAGAATAACGTCTTTGACAATGCGCACACTGGTAAAGACTGGCGGTGGCGGCGTGACTCTGGTTCGCAGGAACTGATGTGGGATATGAGGGCTGGTTGCCTTGGGTAGCCGGTCCAGGAGAAGGGGAGACGGATTGTGTAGGTGCATTCTGGGCGTATGTGGGTGCCGAGACGACAATGGTGCCCGAAGGAGAGGGCCTTGAAGCCATTGGGTTGTTGTTGGATGGCTGCATTTGCACTCGGGAGTCGGCAACGAAGGCTCGTTGCTCTTCGGTACCGGGGGCTTGGGTGTGTGCAGAGTGTTGGGAAATAGGCGTGGACGACCAGAGTTATTTAGGTAGTGACGTCGGAGCGGGTCCGGCAATTGGCCGCAGAGGTTGGCCAACGGCGCCGGACGGAGCGGGAGCGGTAGCGGTATCGGTAGCGGTACGAGACGGTCGGAGGGAGAGAGCGGGAAAAGGGTGGCTGCCGTACGGACGGAAGAGTCGGCAGTGAGATGGCGAAGGGGAAAAAAAGGCCTTGCAGAAAAAAAAAGTTCTGCTACCTTGACCAGAGAAGGGTAGATCCGAAGTGGGAGGTAGTCGGGAGGAAATAAAAAAAAAGCCAAAGTGAGCCAAGGGCGGACAGGCACAACAGTGCACCTAGGCGCGAAATTGGGTATTGGGCGGCTGCAGCCAAGACCAAAGACTGCAGGACAAGAACTCGACCTGTTGCTTGGTTTGCTTAGGGCGTGTTGGTGGTGTGTGGGCTTTAAGGGTAAGGTAGCTTAGGCCAGTTAGATAGGTTGGCCGGCTGGGGAGGAGCCGTATGTGTATCTGTACTGAAGTGTTCGTACGGATATGGGCGAACCTGGAAGACCTTAAAGTCTGGTTCGCTCAGTCCGGGCAGGGAGGTAGGTAGTAAGGAAGGTATTCGTAGGGAAGTCGAACAGTTCGAAGGTAAGGTCTGGTAGAGAGCTGGAGAGGTAGGGGAGGACCGGGAGGAATAATTAGGCGGGAAGGCTCCCCTCTAAAAACGGTACGTACTGCGGATTGTGAGCGAGGGCTGTACTTCAGTATCCGTACTTGGTACTATGTAAGGCGCATGAGGATGAGAAGACGAGGGTTGAACGGAGCCATGCCATGTGCACTGCTCGACTGCGGCTCGAAGCGGGACGAGGAAGAAACCAAACAGAGGCCAACCTGGAGAAGGTGGTGAGGTGCCGCGTCAGGCATTCAAGGTACTATTCAAGGTAATATTCCAGCGCCACATCGAAGTACGTCGACCGCCCGTGGTGAGTATATTGCAATGACGGATCCAAACATGTTCAACTGCGAGGGCCGCCCCTACGAACTAACTAAAGCCCGCCCGGGGCACAGCGCGAGAGAGGCTACAGGACAGCGATCGGGGGTGGCCTCGTCATCCTCACGCCGGCGCTGGGCCTGAAAGGGGAAAGGCTCGAGCTGCCAGAGCTTCGAAACCCAAAACTCGGTCGTTGGTTGCATTTGGTGGAACGACCAGGTCTGGAGTTATGCAGGGCCGCTCGACCATGGGATGGGACCCAGATCCCGGCCGAGGCGTCGCAAGGATCCTTTCAACGGCCGAGCACTGAGACGACGACGTCGCGGCTTTTCCGCTTGATATCATGTCCTGTCCTGTCTGCCGCAGACTACAGAGTACCGCCAGCCCGAAGAAAAGGTCTCCCCGTTTAACATTAGCCGGCAGGTTCTAGACCATCAGCTGCTTGGCTGTCATACGGATGACTTGCCTGAACTTCAGCACAACACTCATTCATCTCGACGCAGACGTGAGGCTGAAAGGGCCGGCGTAAATCCTGATCACCATCATCAGACGACAGCACGCGAACCACAAGCTTCGTAGTCCAGAGGAGCCCAAACGCCAGGTTAGGAATCCGGACGGTCAATCTCTGCCATGTGGACAGATGGATGTACATCAGGATCCATTGACATGGAGCAAATCGGATAATCTGCAAATCGCCCGAAGCGGCAGGCATCCTTGATTAATGCACCATGGAAACCGTGGAGGCCGCTTAGTACTGCGGTCAAGTATTCTCCTGCTTCAGTACACAGTGGTTGTGCTTGGCATCCGTTGATGGAAGCTCCGGTTGAGTTATCAACTCTATCCGTGGACCGCGTCTTGGTGGAATGCCTGCCGGTGTCAGCCAAAGCGCTGTCATCTTGTCAAAGGACCATGTCTGCGTCTGCCGCTGCTGTCCCTTTGCTCGGCTAGATAACTGCGCCAAAGTCAATTGAGGTGCTGACTTGACTCGTGGAGTCGCGGACCTCGTTGACGCGCCAGTATGGCAACTTACGGCGTATGTTGCCCTCCACTGACCGCCGCACTCGAGGACTTGGTCCAACGAAGGAAATTGAGTGGAGTTGAAGAATCGAGCAGCGGAAAGCTCCTCTCCGCCGGCCGGTGACGGAGGTGCAGAGACAGCCTGGTAATCCCGGGCGCAAGAAGGTCGGTGACTGGCGGCATGTAGCGCACAAAGTGCACTACTGCAAGCCAGAGGGGACACGGCTCTCGGTGAATCCAGGGTCCCTCGCTGCATCCCCGAGCAGCTCCTCATGTAGGTAGGTATCCGTAGACCCACTGGCGAAAAAAGGATTCGAAGCGCCTGGATATTGCCAATGCCTTGCGCTTGTCGTTGTGAATGTGACCGTGGTTATTGATGGAGTCTGGAGATGGGGTGTCAGTGAACAGGCGTTATCAAACAGCCGCCCATTGGGTTGGAAGGAAGGGTAAAGCGAAAAGAGTGTTACGTAGGCTCTAATATCTGTGCCATCCCAGGGCCTGTCCGGAAATCTCGAAAGGGGAAGGCGCGATGGATATTCCGATGAAGCCCCACACGAAATGGTTGAGCCACTAAGCCGCTATTGATAGATTTCCTCCACTAACTTTGATGATGGAACCCTTCAACAGGACACTTACGCAGCGCCTGTACTTTGCGACCATGTACCTCCTGCACTCCGCGCCGCATGAAAACGCGCTTGAATACATCCTCCCTCACTCAATCCAAAGTACCGATCACTAGCTGCTTGGCAGGTCCACCTCATCTTTCACCCTGCATCTGATTGCTGCAGCTCTGATTCCACGTCGTCTCCTCCACCAACACTACAGCGGAATTGGACTTCGAACCGCTACTCGAACCGTCATTGGCGCGCCGCCTCTATAGACATATTCAACTTCAGATGACAGGCGGGCGGTATTTGCTGCTTTACAGGTCGCAGGATGACGAAAGCGGTTTCCCCCGTCCTTAGCCTCGTCAAACCCATCCCGGCAACCCTAATCTTTTCGACCGACCCGTCCGACTCTGGAGCCGTCCACGCTGGCACGAAGCTTGAATTCTGCCTTACCTGACGGGGCCATCGCCGATATCTGGGGCAAGCTGAATGAGAGCAAACGCGTCCTCTGCCCAAAATCGCTCCATTCGCTATAGGGCCATTACGAGTCCGCATTGTTTCGAGACACCGGCGCCAGAGCCGAGCATCAAAATTTAGAAACAGAAACCTCGGCCGCCCGATGAAGCTTCTTTTACCCGCTGCACCAGAGATCGGGGAAACGTCAGTTGAAACACTCCTTACTGTCAAGCACGCGGAGAACGGGGACGATGACTTAGACAGGCCACACTGGCGCTCATGGCCCCTGGTTGCGTTTCGGACATGACATTTCGACTTTTTGCCGAACGTCGACAGACGCGACACATCAGATGCCAGATGCCAATTGCCTTGGGAGAACGGTTGGATGGAAGGAAGGATGGTCACGCCTTCGAATACGCCTGTCGAGTCTCGCCCTCGGTCCACGGGTGACGAGATAACGGCTCTGCATGTCGTTCGACGTTGCACGTCCTGGGGACGGCGGTCTCCGCGGTATGCTGCATACGCAAATGCAAGTAGGATGCATCACCTGCAACTTGGGACGAAAAGCTGCAGTAATTCGTTCCACAAATCTCCAACTCCCAGGAACCGCAGAAACAAAGCGGCCTCCAACGTTCTGGCTCGTCAATCATCATCTACACCCCCCTCTGTTTGTGTGTACTGACGTTGTCTAGTGTCCACGGCAACATATCCCTCCAAGTTCGGGAACCATGCGTGGAGAGCGCGTTGCGCGTCTCCTAGGCGAGACTAACCAGGATCATTCCCGCTAGGCGCAGTGCTGCCAAATTTTGCTTTTTCTACCCCATATTAAGCACCAGCCACACTTTCCGCTGCGTACTCCTACAACCTCTAATAAGAGACTCAAGTAGAGCGCAACGACAAGGTCGTGGATCGTGACCGGAGCAGTGTCCGAAAACGGCTCCATGTGTTCTGTGCGCCGTTCATGCACCACCGAATTCTCCTCTCTTTGAGGCTCTTTCAACAAGGCTTGGAGGCTGATATCTTACGTACTCGACGGTGGCGGCGGGGATGATTCGGCAAGACACGAGGGAATCCCGCCTTGGATACAGAGTACTCGATCCTCGGTTAGGGACGCCGATATCCTCTGAATGGTAGCTCCCCGAGAACCTGAAGTAGAGACGGCGTCATCCCCATCCCATCTCATCTCGGAGTCTGAAAGTTCTGTCATCTGTCCTTTTCCTCCCTCCTCCTCCTTCTCCTCCGTGCTCCTCTTCCTCCCTCATCTGGTCCTCGCGCTAGTGCTTCCAAAGAACCCACCAATTGGTTTTCTTCTGGTCATGACCTTCATGTTTCGGCCGCCCATGTCGCATGTCTTGGCAAAAGGCTTGTTGGTGGAACTTGCCCCTAAACTCGAAAACCCCTTAGTCGCGGATAAGACAGTGGCCGCTGCGCTTGAATCCCTGCCGCGCTTTTCACAGGCCTCGCCAAGTCTTGTCCTCATCTGGTGTGCTGCATCGATGAGCAGGGTTGGAGCCTGACAATCTCCTGCTTATCCCCATGCATCCTGGAGAAATGCCATCCATAGTCCCAGCAGCCATTCACTACTCATACTATCTCACTGAGTAATATTCTTTCGCTCTTGTTTTGCGACGTCACATTGAGATATTGCATCGGTAACCTTTGCTCGTCCTCAACCTGCCTTTGGCATCGTCAACACCAACTCGTTCCCGTCCCTCTCCTCACCATCTTGCTGAGATATCTGCGATTCATTGTGTTTGGCATCCTCTTCCGGCCCCGGTTTCCCCACAGAACCCAATCAATTTTCTGCCGAGAAGGCAAAGCTTAAACCTGCTGCCGTTTGGTCTGCGCGAAGCGCCAGGTAGCAACAGTGAACCACGCGCCTCGTCTAGACCTCCCTTGATGCAACAACGTTGAACGATCGTCCCGGCAGATAGCCCAGTTTCGATTGTTTCATCGATCGCGGCCGTCCTTGAGCCGGGGAGTAGCCACCCTTCACTACTCCCCGACTTCCCGGGTGGTCTTCAGACAGTCTCCGACTCGTCCGTCTGCAAAGAGCGTCGCAACCCCTTCAGAACGTCCCCATATCCTCATCTGAGGACCCTCCAACGAAGCGGCTCCCACCGCTTCGACTTCTCAGAACCTTCATCACAGAGCGCCACAATGGATCACATCGCGACACACGGGCGGGGAGAGGAGGCACCTCTAAGGACGCTGGGCAACGTCCGTCTGAGGGACGAGGCTACCAACGAAATCATCCTGATCCCAAAGCCTTCTGCAGACCCAAGTGATCCCCTGAACTGGTAGGTTCCGAGTGATCGGATCGTGAAAACCAGGGGCTCTGGCTGACCCGTTTAGGCCACAATGGTACAAATACTACATGGCGGGGTTGATCTGCGTGGCCATGATGATGTGCAATTTTCTCGCGGCGGGTAAGTCGGCAGGGACGCCATAAACACGACGACGTCTCTAACAGCATCGTGACAGGCCCCTCAATAGCTCTTCTAGAAACGGCGTTGGAGTTCTTCCCAGCCGCCGCCACGGACGATGCTGCTCTCTCGCTCGCGATCTCGCAGACTGCGTACTTTTTCACGACGACTGCGCTCCTCCAAGGCGTGGGGAACTTCTTCTGGGTGCCCATGGCCAACAAGTATGGCCGACGCCCAGTGTACGTCGCTAGCTACAGCATCTACTTCGTGTGCACGATATGGCTCATCTTTGACCACTCGTACGCCGGCTTCCTTGCCGGGCGGATCTTGATGGGATTCGGAGCTGGCGCCGCAGAGACGATTGCCCCTATCTCCATCGCTGATGTCTTCTTCCTGCACGAAAGAGGAACCATCATGTCGTAAGTACAGACTGCGGCTGATTTGGTCGGTTTCTTCTAGCTAACCTTTTCGAAGTCTGTATACCTCATTTCTGTCCGCTGGAGTTGGTTTTGGACTGGTGATTTCTGGGTAAGTGATGCAGAGGTCTCTTGTCTCGTCGACTCCGTCTAACCAGTGGCTTTTACAGTCTCATTACCATCAACCATGACTGGAGAGTGATTTACCAGGTTTCCGCCGCGTTGATTGGCGTCGTTCTCGCGCTCGCTTTCTTCACCTTCCCAGAGACAGCCTACGAGCGAGACGAAGCGAGCAACTGGAACCGAATGGCATCGATTGACGCCAATAAGCCCGGCTCGATGGGCTCTGAGAGCGAACTGGCTCCCCGCTACGCGGACACGTCGATTTCTCGCTCTCGAAAGACATCTTACCTGTCGTCCCTGAAAATCTTCCACAAAACCTTGACTGAGGAGAGCCTGCTGAAGCTGTTCCTCCGGCCCCTGGGTCTAATTATCCTCCCTCCTGTGTTGTGGGCAGCGTTGGTGCAGGCTGTGACTGTTGGCTTCCTCGTTGCTGTGTCCTCGAATATCGCTTCTGCCTTCAACACCGCGTATGGATTCGATGCGTGGCAGATCGGCTTGTGTTTCATCGCCGGCATCATTGGAGCCGTGGCCGGCATTCCGGCCGGCGGACACTTTGGAGACAAGGTTGCCGACATGTTCACGCGGCGGAATGGCGGCATCAGGTATCCAGAGATGCGACTCCCCGCCATGGCCATCTCCATGGTCACGACTCCTCTGGCCCTGGTGCTCTACGGCGTTGGAATCGAGAACCAGCTGCACTGGATCTGTCCCACCATCGGGCTAGGACTCTGTAAGCCCCGGTCCTCTGTGATGGTCATCTTGATGTGTTGTGCTGACCACACTTTTCAGTGACCTTCTCCATCTCCCAGGGTACCAACATCGCAACCGTGTACGTTATCGACGCCTACCGACCAATCACCGGAGAAGTGACTCTCTCGGTCATGGGCTTCAAATGTAAGTGCCGGTACCCCGGTCTTTTCGTCCGATGTTCGAGGCCTAAGCTGACTTGTCGACGTTTCGTAGCACTCTTCGGCTTTCTTCTGTCCTTCTACACCAACACTTGGATCGAGAAGTCAGGTTACGTGAATGCGTTCGGGGCGATGGCGGGTGTCGCGACTGCCGTACTGGTCATGTGGGTGCCGCTATTCGTTTGGGGCAAGACGATACGACACGAGTCGTGGAGGTGGCCGATCGTCTCGTATATCCATTGGAGCGAGGACAGGGAGGTTGGAGAGTGAACTTCGGAGGTCGATGTGAGGTAGTCGTTTGTACCGACTTTTTCTTTCTTGTTTCTTGTACGCAGCACGCGACGCATACGACACACGCATGGCAGGCAAAACGGCGTTTCGGCAATTGGATGAAAATGGTCTCTTAAGAAACACGGCGGTTTTGGGAGCTCTTGGTTTTAAAACTTCGCCGCCTTTTTACTTTATTACACCTTTCTGATGCCACTAGTAACTCGTTCGTGCCCGCCCCCCTCCCTCCTCCGGGATGTGGGAGACGAACCCCTACCCGAGACCACGCACGACGAGGGAGGGTGGGGGCCAACCCGCTTCCCACGCATCCCGTCTACGAGTGTGAGCGCGCGAACGGCTCGCATCTGCCCCCCATTCATCCTGAACCCTTGGCACCGACCTGGCCATCTCATTCCATTACCTTGATTTTTTTCTGCGTCTTCTTCCCCTTGGAGCCTGCTGTAAAGGGGCCAAAGCCAAATGGTGCTGCTGCTGCCTGAGGGATGATCCAACGTGTTCTCACACACGACCATGTCAATCCCTTTCTTCGTGAGAGAGTCTGTGCCTTCCTGCGAAGAGAAGAGGGCGCCCTCAGATATGCAGGCCCCCGTCGATGACCACGTTGGTGCCGGTCACGCTCCTGCTCCTGGCGAAGCAGAGGACCTGGTCCGCGACGTCCTCGACGGTGGCGAACCGCTGCAGCGCGGTCCTCTCCCGCATCGCCTCCCGCTTCTCCTCCGGGAACTGCAGTCCCCAGTCCTAAAGCGCGCCAAGAAGTGAGCCGATTGTCGCTCGGAATGGGCAGAGGGCGGCGTGGGTGAGTGGGTTTTGTGGCGCTCGCGGCCGGTTGGTCGGTTGGTGTCTGACTTACCGTCAAGAGAAGCCCCGGGGACACGCTGTTGACCCGTATCCTGGGGCCCGCCGCCATCGCCAGGGCTTTGACGAGGTGAATCTGTGCCGCTTTCGTCACGGCGTAGGCCTGCGGTTTACATTTCCGAGTTTAGAAATCGAGGACCCGTGGCCCGTCCTGAATGATGTCCAAGGACACGGGACCCGGAACAGGACGGCAGAGAAATGCAAACTCACCATGGAGCTCCCGCTGACCTTGACGCCGGCCAGCGAGGCGGTGGTCACGAACGCGCCGTCGGCCTCGTCGAGGTGGGGCCGGGCGGCGTGCATGAGGAAGAGGTGCGACTTGACGTTCATGTTGAAGCAGCGGTCCCAGTCGTCCTCGTCGAGGTTGTCGTCGAGGTCGCGGATGTCGCGGAGGCGGGTCCATCCGCCGTTGGAGAAGACGACGTCGAGGCGGCCGAGGAAGGCGACGGACTCGCGCACGAGGCGGTTCACGTCGTCGCGGCTCGCGAGGTCGGCCACGACGGCGCTGAAGCGCTGCTGGTCGAAGGGCAGGGGGGACGCGGAGCGGAGGTCGCGGACGAGGGCGGCGGCGCGGTCGGCGTTGTTGGCGTAGTTTATGACGACGTTGTAGCCGGCCCGGGCGAAGTGGACGGCCGTCGCGGCGCCGAGGCCTGCGCTGCCGGCCGTGACGAGGATGGTGGGGACGAGTGGCTGTTGGGACATTTTTCTTCTTGTTGTTTTATATGACGCTGTGATTTCTATGTATTAGTGAAGGCTGAAATGATAAAGTGACGGACGTGCGGTGGTGTAGATGGGGTTCGTCCGATTCGGGAGTGAGTGTGGTTGTGGTGGTGGTGGTGAGGTGATTGAAGGGAGGGGTTGAGGGTAGCTCCGGGTTTCGGTAATCTACCCCGCCCCGATCGACGGAGCCGGCGCTGGCAGCGGACCCGACTTGTGCGAGGACGGGACGGCAGGACGGGATGCCGAAGGGGTTCCACATAGGCTTTTTTGTTGCACGACGACCTCGATTTGGTAACTTCTCACGGCATTTTGCGGTTGCTTTTTTCGGGAAAACCGTCCGAGATGCGGAAGTATGCAGGGTGAGACCAGGGAGATGCTGTTTCTCGATGATTGGGTTCACATCATGAATCCCACAGTACCCGTTCCGCTCATTGTGCGAAGCGGGAAACGAGAAACAAATGCAGACGGGCCGAGTAGCAGAACGGGAGGCCGGTCGGAGTCGTTGTGCGTAGATGAGAGCGTGGGTTGTCTCTGGAGGTCACTTGTTTGTACTCCTTTGACAGCGGCTAAGATACTCTCAGTGTGAGGGTGTGAGGTGGTCTGCTGCAAAGTGTCAGAACGAGAAGGGAGGTCTCCACCCCCACAAGCCGGGCTCTTGCTCGGCACCCCTCCATCTCCCAGAAAAGTTCCCCGACAACACTAACAAACAACCGGTCACGAGCAAATCACCATTGGTCTTTGCAAGCTTCGACTCGACAACGTTTGCGCCCTAAAACTAGCTACCTTCTCTTCGCTCAACTTGTGGGTCTGTTCTAGCAGGCATCCCGTCGGTTTTGTTATGCATAAGCTGCCTCGCCTGGTCGTCGAAGAAAGCTTCAAGGTAGCGCTGGAAGATCTACTGCGATGTTAAGGCCGGCGGGAAGCTCCATACTGGTCCCTCCCCCGCCATTCTTCCGACTTCCCGCCCGCCGGCAGAGAATGCGGGGGAACAGACAGCAACAGCACGCGGGCCAGAGGTACGGCATTGGAAATTCGGTCAAATTAGCTGGAGCTATCCCGACGGGACGGTAGATGCTGTCGGAGTTGGTCGCTTCTGCCCCACGGATTCGACAGACTTTGGCGCATTCTGCAGGTTGTGGTGGTTGACAGGAAGCTCCTCGTGGTGGTTGCGATGGGGAACAGGGAGGGGCCGAGTACGAGCGCGATGATCGATGCGGCGGCCGGGTGGGAGTGTTTGAGATGACCCTCTGCGAGCCCGACAAGGCCGTCTTGCCCTGCTCTACGCATGTTTCTCTTAAGTTGGGGCGGGCTTGGCTATATGTCGGTCTTTTCTGTATTATTTCATATGCAGCTTTAATCCCAGAACTTTTCTCATTCACATTCTCTTCCACCTTTCACCGTCCCGGGAGTCGAACTGATCGTGTTTCACATCCATCCACGACATCAAAAAGAATCTGACCGGTTCAGCTCGGCAACATGTTGGTCAACGGCGAGGCCCAGCGCGCGAATGGCGCATACTCCAGTCCCCTCGTCAACGACTACCCCAAACCTTTGAAGATCGCCATCGTCGGCGCTGGCATTGGTGGTCTGAGTGCCGCCATCGCTCTTCGCCGGCAAGGTCATCAAGTGGATGTACGTTTTTTCACGAGCTATCTGCGTCTTCCTTCTTTATACTGACTGCTCCATCTCACAGCTGTATGAGCAGTCGAGGCTCAGCAACGAGACCGGCGCCGCCGTGCACCTGGCGCCCAACTCCAACGGCCTTTTGAGGAGATGGGGCATCTACGCGGAAACCTTCGGCGGAAACCCGGCGAGCCACTTCAAGGAGAGGGACCAACACAACAAGGGCGGCTTCGACGTCGACATCTCAAAGTCCAACGGCCGCTGGCAGCACCCGTGGCAGCTCGTCCACCGAGCGTACCTGCACAACGAGATCCGAGCCGTCGCCACCGCGGAGGACGGTGCCACGCCCGCGGCGAAGGTGCACGTCGCGTCTAAGGTCGTCGGCGCGGATCCCGAGAAGGGCGTGCTTCAGCTGGAAGACGGGACGAGTATCCAGGCGGATGTCATTCTTGGCGCCGATGGTATTTACGTGAGTTTATTGCCTGTTTGGTGTTTTTTTGGAGATGAGCTGACGGACGGTGATCAGTCCAAGACGAGAAAGTTTGTCACCGGCACCGACTACAAGCTCTTCCGCTCGGGCAAGGCGGCGTTCCGCTTCCTCATTCCCCGCGCCGCTGCCGACCAAGACCCCGTCACCGCGCCTCTCATCGACAAGATGAACCAGCTCGGTATCTGGTTTGCTCAGGACAGGCGGATCGTCATTTACCCCTGCAACGACAACCAGCTCCTGAACTTTGTGTGCATTCACCCCGACGAAGAATCTCACGCTACTGCGAGTGACGGTATGTTCGTCGCTCTCTTCTCACGATCGCATGACTGACGGTATCCAGAGTGGAACAAGAAGGGCTCAATCGAGCAGCTTCTCAAAGTTTACAAGGACTTCGACCCGGCATTACTGGAACTCATCAAGAAGGTCCATCCTGACGAGGTCAACGTTTGGCAGTTGTTGGATATGGAGCCCATGCCGACCTGGACGAACGGCAAGCTGGCACTTCTGGGCGACGCTGCTCACCCCTTCACACCTCGTAAGTACTCATGCTGCTTATCCATACAAGATACTAACAAGAACACAGATCAAGGCCAAGGAGCCGGCCAGGCTATGGAGGACGGCGCAGCACTTTCAGTCGTGCTACCCAAGGGCACTTCTCCCGAAGAGGTCCCAGAGCGCCTTCGTCTCTACGAGAAGATCCGATTGACCCGCGCCCACACCATCCAGGAATACTCCCGCCAGGCCGGCAAGGACAGGATACCCGGCGCCCCTCCAGCTGTTGAGAGTATGTTTTCACCCCCCATGACCTGTCTCACAACGCCCTAACAGATTCCTAGTGATGACCTACCAAAACTACAACTTCGGCCACGACGAGTACGACCACGCGACCAAGATCTACAACCGCTGGCTGTGGAGCAAGAAGAAGGACATGTACTGGCGCATGCCCATCGGCTACGGCCCCTTCCCGGGCCCCCGCCAAGACGCCCTCGGCCGCAGACAGCCCGGCGAGGCCGAGCGCACCTTCACGACCATGTCCGTCAAGTTCCTGACCTCCCGCACCTTCCTCGAGAACATCCTCCCGACCGACTCCTTCCGCTTCAAGGACCCGGGCACCGTCTGCTCCGCCTCGCTCTCCGTCACCAGGCTGAACAACATGTCCTGGCTCGGCGGCGGCGGCTACAACCACCTCGGCCTCTACATCCACGGCATCGAGTACCTGAAGAAAGACGGCACCGCCATCAACGGCACCCACCTCTCGGTGCTCTTCGAGTCCCTGACGGACCCGATCGTCTCCGGCCGCGAGGAGCTCGGCATGCCGAAGCTGTTCTGCGACATTGACCTCGAGACGCACGCCACGGGGGCCAGAGTTAAGGCTTCGTGGAGGGGGACCGCCTTCGCAGACATCTCGCTCAGGGGGCTGCGGAAGGACGACCCGGCGACGGAGCACGGCACCATCGGCGGCGAGGCGGACTACGGCATCCTCACGTACCGGTACATCCCGTCGGTCGGGGAGCCCGGCAAGGCGGACGCCGAGTACGCGTGCGTGGTGCCGCACGAGGAGGAGGCGCGCGACGTCCCCGCGACGGTGCACGCCGTGTCGAGGTCGTCCGACGTCAAGGTGAAGATGGAGGGGCACGACTGGGAGAAGCTGCCCACGCTGCACCACATCGCCAAGTTCCTGTCGGAGATCCCCATCTACGATTTCGTGAGCGCGAAGGTCGTGGAGGGGACCGGGGTGCCTAATGTTTCGTCGGCGAGGAGGATAGAGTGAGAGGGGGCGTGGTGGACTGCGTTGGATCGATGGATGGGATGCAAGGCCTCTGACAGGCGCTGTACATAGCTGATTGTGGCATTGGAGCTGCGAGACTCAACACCCCCCTGTCGAATACCCAAATCTGTATACATATTTGATTACATATGGTTACAACATCTTGCGACCTTGCCTTATGGAAACGCATTTCCGAGAACGAGAACGAGTGTAACGACGTTGCTCTGTCGCCGGTTTGAACGTTTCAAGCTCGAGAAAGGGAGGCACGTAGGCATCTTCCTTTGCTCTTCTTCCCAACGCAAGACTCCTCTGCATCAGATTGTCATCCCACCGACTTCTCATTTCATGAAGACAGTTGTCAAATTCCGTCGGTGTCCATGAGAGAGCTGACCCTGTGCCAGGCTCAACAGCTGCCGGAAATGCCAAGTGCATTCATACTTTCCGCCGTCTCACCCCGCACAGATCCTCTTCCTTCCCCACCCATCCACCTCTCTTCCCGCCCCTCCGGCCCCGCCTCCACCTTCCGCGGGGAGACCGGCCTCGCACTGCTCTTCCTCGGATGCCGAACCGGCAATGCTTCAACGATGTCGCGGCGGCGGGGATGAGCTACGAATCCTGTATGAGACGGGGAAGCTGATTATTAAGTTCCAAGCTCGGTAATCTGGGAGCATGGAAATTAGAGGGGAGTAGAAGAATGCCACTTCTCTCGAGCTAGCAGCGTCATCCAACCTTTTGTTACAACTCAATTGCATCCGCGTCGTCAGACATCCGCTATTCACCATCCCAAGAGAACAGAACCAAAGCTCAATATCTCGAACCAGCCAATTCACAACCAAAACACCAACCCATCTACCAAAACACAAAAAGAAATGGCCTCCCCAAACCCCCCCAACGACCTCCGCCGCCCCCAGCGCTTCATCACAGACCACGCCTCCGACGGCAAGGCCATCTTCAACACCACCCTCCCCGAACAGATCCCGCAACAGACCGTCGGCGGCGACGCCAAGTTCTACCTAGGCTACACGACCGAGCAGACGCCCGTGTCGCTGACCTCCAACGCCGACGTAACGGCCTACGCGGAGCGCCTCGCGAACCCGCCCGGCATCGTGATCCCCGGCGGCAGCGTGATGCGCATCGTCGACATGCCCCCGGCCTCGCTGTCGCCGATGCACCGCACGGTGAGCCTCGACTACGGCGTCGTGCTCGAGGGCGAGATCGAGCTGGTGCTGGACTCCGGGGAGACGAGGCGGATGAGGAGGGGGGACGTCTCGGTGCAGAGGGGCACGATGCACGCGTGGAGGAACGTGAGCGAGACGGGCTGGGCGAGGATGTTGTACGTGCTTCAGGAGAGCCGGCCGCTCGAGGTCGGGGGGCAGGTTTTGAAGGAGGATTACGGGGTTGGTATGGGGGATGTGAAGCCTTCTGGGAACTGAGTTTGGGATGGGTCAAGATACGTCTATAGAGAATGAGAGAAGGTTACGAGAAGATTGCCACGCGGTTTCCATGGTCATTTTGAGTCTCATTGAACTCAACAATATATCAGATGGCGTCATAAGATAGAGAGCTCTCTTACACCAGATTAAGAAAAAGCAGTTTGACACGGGAGTTATGGGAATGAGAATCATAGCTTTGGAGCCGGATACGATTCTCAGCGATCAAGAGCAGAGGATTCGAGCTACCTGGAGAGATATGCGCACGTATGTCGCTTGATAGTTGCCTGAACATGGGCTCATACTCTGCTTCTTGCTTTTACAAGTCAGCTCAAACTGAACACGAATATTAAATTCATAGATGATTCTTGTTTTTCGTTGGTTCGTATGAATGTTCAGCTGAATGGAGTAGAGTTGGATGAAGCACAGCGCATGAGCCACTGCTATTAGCCGCAGACTTCCAACCCTTCAGCGAAGTAAACCATTCTGCTACGAAAGGAGGTGTGTGTACTGTTGCCGTTGCTCTGAAGGAGCTCCAGCAACTTACGCAAATCTATGCGCGCGATTCTTATGAAGTAACTATGCAAGGAGTATTGCCCGTAAGTGCGTAGGGAGGCGGTCATTGTGATATCTCACAACTTCCAACCAAGGTGAAGTTTTATGAGAGAGTACAGAGCGTCACGCCACCAGAGGATCGGGAAATTTTTGTGTGTAATATGTCAGGTATTACATTAACAGAGAGTCAACAAAAACTATCTCAATATAGACTTGTGGAATGAGATGTGACCTGTATCATGGGATTACCTGTGTGCCTTGGGCAGCCTTAATGGTCAACGTGAACGTCACGGTCTGCGTCAGAGTTGCGGGATCAATTTGCAATGTAGCTTCAGTCTAGACCGACTCTCATTAGACTTTCTGTCATTCCCGATATGTTCATGAACTGTAATCAGGTATGAAATATCGTACCAGCTAATGAGAAAATTCTAAGTGATAACTCAAACCAGATTCTCTTGATGACAGTCTTTACTCGGTAAGGTAGGTATTGAGCTATTTGTTACAGCCATAGATGGCCACAATGAGAAACTCAGATGTTCAAGAACGTTGGCCGACTTGGGTTGGTCTCATGAAACAGTCAAGGGATGCCGAAGGTGCCCAACAGCGCAAGTAACACTGACAGGGTGTTCAGACAAGCTTGTCCTCCAGCGGCGAGAAAAAGTCCAAACAATATTCCCAATGTTTGCTGGTCGAGCTGCGTGGTAGGCATCAGGTTTTCATTGAGTCGAGGTCAGGAAGACGCTAGAACCTTGACTCAGTGGCCAGCTGAAATTAGGTAAGCAGGTAGGACCCACCGGCCGTGGCCACCAGGGCGGACCCACCAATGAAGGCCTCCGTCCGGTCGCCACAGACTGTGACATGACTGGCGGCGCCAATCGCGCGATAAGATGAAGTGGGTCCAGGCGGCGATAAGCACCCTCCGCGACTAAGGCGGCTTGGACAGGTCCACGGGTGCATGTGCTCAACTAAGGTGCTGGTGCTGAGGCTAAGGCGAGGTGTTGGTGGGTTGGCTGCTCGTGTGCCATGCATATCTCCCCAAATATTCCTCGCTTCATCTTCTAATTCTCTCTTGTGTTTTCTGCAATTATCTCGCCTCGTTGCCAACAGTCTCGAGACCCAAATGCTGCAGATTGCCGCTGGACGCCGCTTTCCAGGTAACATTCAACCCCACCATGCACAACGGATATTGTCTCTTGTTTCGTCATGCTGACTTATCACCGTCAACAGCCTGACTGCCGATTTCCCCACGACTCGCGAACGACAATCGACTGATTGACGCAGAAGTATTGCTGCAGGCCAGATATCACGACGCAACGATACTCGACGACCTCGCAGATACCCATCGCATTATCGGAGACGATGCAAACATTCTAATATGGCTAGCCCAGACCCTGGAACTGCTCCAGCTTCCCTTGACGATCACCGCTTGCGCGACGATGGAGAATCGGTGTCGGGCAGCTCCCACATAGGAAGCGATGCTTCGGACGATTCTTCTGAACGGGAAGAGTGTCGCTGGCGAACTGCCCGTTACCACAACATGGAGTGCTCCCGCTTCTTCGATTGCCCGACCCACGTCGTAGAACGACATGTCTCCGACGACGAGGACGAGGATAGCGATGCGGGGGAGGGCCCGTCACGACAGCTTCAGACGGCCGGCGACAGTGCCGAGCGTTCTTCGAGCGCGAGCCCAGAACCACGAGCAGAAAATTCCAGACTCACGACCGGCTCTCCTGAGCGGGAATCAACAAGCTTTGCGCCCGGGCCTGAAGAGACGAATACGGAGCGAACGCCGGAGAGGGCAGATACAGCACGGGCAACATCAGCACGGGAGATCGAAGAGCCTGGACAGTCTCAGGATCCCGATGAATCCGCGCCGCTGCCACCTACGCCATTGAGCTCGCGGTTGTCAGAGTTGTCTGTACATAGTCAACGTCTCCCACCAACAGCCACACCTGCTCAGCCCACAGCAGAGTTCGTTCCGCCGGAGAGAACTTCAAGTTTGGCTCCCTCTCAGGGTCCCAGCACATCAACACAAGAACCTATTCGCCCAACACCTATCCGTCCATCATTTTCGTCAACCCGGTCGCAGGAAGGACCGCCTCCGCCGCCTCGACGGTCGAGTTCTTCGCTGCCTGTCCCTCGCCCTCAGCAGGCACCCGAAGAACGGAGAGGCCCCCCCGAGTTTGTCTTGCCGCGGTGGCAGCCCGACGCAGAAGTCACCTACTGTCCCATATGTCATACACAGTTCAGTATTTTTGTTAGGAAGCATCATTGCAGGTGGGTTTGGAACGCTTATGTGACAACGCGATTCATGTGTGCTGACAGTGCACAGGAAATGTGGCAGAGTTGTCTGCAACTCGTGCTCGCCTCACAGAATCACTATTCCCTACCAGTACATCGTACAACCTCCCGGCCAGCCGCGCCTTGCAGCCCAGAGATACCCCTCGTCCCTCATCAGCGGTGAAGGAGGATATGCAGATTTTAGCAGTCTCGGAGGAGGAGAGCGCGTCCGTCTTTGCAACCCATGCGTTCCTGACCCAAACACGACGCCCCCACAACCACTCGATTCGCCCTCGCAGCTATCGCCTCGAGCAACGCATCACAGATCGCAAAGCAGCATTAGCACAATGTCTAGCAACGCCCCTCCGCCCAGCAGGTTTTCGGGCTATTTTACTGCCAGCCCTGCCCAGGACGCTTATGCGAGGTCTAGAAGCATCACGGTAAGCACGACACCAGGTCCGGCTCTAGTATGCGGCTAACAAATCCAGCATTCCGGTCCCTCGGGCTCTCGCGCACATTACCACTCCACCCAAAACCGGATCATGGCGGGGACCCCTCCCACATACTACCCTTCCTCTTCGACCGGCTACCCGGGCTCATCCCGTTACCGTTCGATGCTCGACGTCGGGCCCTCCTCGTCATCGTCCGCCGCACAAAACCGCGCGCTGCCCCCTCCGCCGCCGATCGCCGAGGAAGACGAATGCCCCGTCTGCCACAGAGAGCTGCCCTCGCGCAACCTGCCCAACTTCGAGACGTTGCGGGAGACGCATATAAATGTCTGCATCAACTCACACAGCACATACAGCGGCACTCCGACGAGCGAGACGCCGCAGAGCGGGACCCCTCCGCCCCTAGCCGCGCGCCGGACCGGCATGTTTCCCTACACCGCCACGGAGAAGGACTGCGTCGACTCCGCCGAGTGCACCATCTGCCTGGAGGAGTTCGAGGTCGGCGTCGCCATGGCGCGCCTGGAATGCCTCTGCCGCTTCCACCGGTCCTGCATCACGGCATGGTTCGTCAACCATCCCGGAAGATGCCCCGTTCATCAGCATGATAGTTTTGGCTATTGATACCTCGGGCTGCTTTTCTGTCTCCTCTTGTCTTGAGTCCGCATCCAGGCGTTTCGGTTTGCATGGGGATCACGCTCCTTACCCAAGTCCATCTTTTGGAACACACAATGTTTTTGTTTTTATGGTCGGTCGGTCGGTCTCCTCCCTTATTTTTCATTTCCTACTTTACTCCCCTCATTCGTGCGACACCCGTCCCAGCCGGGACATTTTCCAATGTGACATACACCAGGTATCGAGGTGGGAGGGAAGTGGATATGCCGCGTGCGTGTCGTCATCATGTGGGCGGTCTGTGAGGAGACACACCTCCGGCTGTCGTTGTTCTGGACTCTGCCCCATTGGCGGCGTCGGGTTACACCAGGGTATGCCTTTTTTTCAGTAGATACTGCTCAGCAGAGAAAGAGAGAGAGGTTTGCAGAGAACGCAGCGTTGCTGATCAGTCACTCTCGGAGCGCAAATCACACAAAATGAACTCCCCCCCTTTTGATGGAAATACCAAACTCAGATTAGATAGATGTCATTTTCTGTATCCAACAATGCCACTTCATGGCGAGATACCCGCCCAAGTACAATGATGATTTCTCCGTGCCGGTAGGCCTGCTTTTTTTCGATGAGGACATGGCTCGATCGCGGAGTCATCTTAGACAAAGGCCTTGTTACTTGAGAACGAGCTCGATTGAGCCAGTTCAAGCTCAGGCAAGCTTTAGTTTCTCTTCAAGTTGAAGACGTCGACGTACGTCTGATGTCGCAGTCATCTGGACTCAAGGTCGTGGGATTCCTCCCTCCCCCCTCAGGGGGAGAGGAGCCTAGAACGTCGCGCCCAGGGGTACACAAACCGGCCCATCGTCGATCCCTGGAGCGAGTCCCCCGGTGCTCCACTCCCCGACCCCACCCGCGCCGACTGGCCCGACCTTGCCGGGGCGGTTCTCGAACTCGTTCCATTTCGTTCGGGCGGCGGCGGTTGATTGGCGCATTCGGGTCATGCAGATTTTGTAGGAATGGGCATCAAAAGTACCTTTAACGCCCACCGGAATTTGAGATTGATGAGCTTGTTTTTGTTTATTTTATTCTGGTTAAAATTGCGAGTCGAATTCACGCATCCTACACTACTGATTCGGCGCCGCGACCGGGGGTCGACGCTGTTGTATGTATATAACACTACGCGCGCAGGGAAGAAGAGGGTTGACTCTGCATTGCTCAAGTCATTGGACGAACCGGCGAGTCTTACCGTGATCAGTGCGACCCGACGACGTTGATGCATCCCGCGACACTCCCGCTCCCGCCCTGCCCTGCCCTGGGCCCCCCTAATAGGTTCATCGGATTAATTGTCAAGATGCGGGAAGAAACAAGCAAAGAAGGGGGGCGGCGGCGGTTTGGGGTAGAGGAAGGAGGTGCTATGCTATATCGTCGTTCGGGATATGGCACACGTCGTGCATGATGTTAAGCAAGTCGGGGGGACGGGGCGATGCAGGTTCAGCCCTAGGTCGGTGTCACCAACACCCCTTCTCCCCTCTCGAGAAGGTGGGGTTTTGACGTTTCCGAGTGAATCAAAAGCTGTCATCGGACCCGGTCTGGAGGTTCTGGACTGGATTTCTTTTCTGTCCGTCTCCCGCGCGCGCGTGCGTTTTGTTCTGTTTCCGCGAGAGATTTTGTTTGGCGCATACAAAGAGTTTCCCCCGGGCTGTTTCGGACCCCGGTCGATTTTAGATGACGATGGAGCCACGCTCTCGCCACGAGCAGCAGGCATGCCTGCAACGGCACCACGGAGCCGGGAACCACGGCGGAGGAAGGGTGGCGTCCTTGCAGCGTGTGTTGGCAGTTTTGTTTCCGGCCTGCCATGCTTGTCTGGTCCGATGGTTAGGACGAGGATGAGGGCGCGTGTAGCCGTATGTGTGATGGCGGCGCATGGAAGGGGAAAATAACTCGCGCAGTTTTTGCTTGCTAATTAGTGGCGTTGTTTTTTCCCTCTCTCGTTCCGTCAGGCTGCGGGAAAGGGAGCAATGTTAATAAAATAGGGATCTCCCGCCCCCTTTTGCTCGAGAAGGCCGTCGTAGTAGTCGTCTGTACATATCAACGTTGGTGTGTTCTTTCTTCCTCATCCACGCTGGTCTGGAACTGTCGTTGCCCCCTTTTCGCGGCTAATCACTCCTTCACTGCCAACTATCATTCTCTCATTGTCCTCTTTGCAAAGGAATCGAGCTTGTCTCTGTTCACTCGACTATCGTTAGCAGTTCCTCTTCGGTCTAGAACTCACCAAAACCTCGTCTTCAAGTCCAAACTTCGACACAATGAAGTACCAAGTTCTCCTGCTGGCCGCCTCGGCCGCTAACATGGCCTTCGCCAAGCCCGTCAAGGGCTGCTCTGCCCGCAGCCGTAGCACGAAGATCATCACCCACACCCAGACGGGCACCCAGGCCCCGGTCCAACCGACTCCGATCGTCCAGCCGTCCCCCGTCGAGACCCCCGCCGAGCCGTCGGCACCCGCCACCACCCCCGAGGCCTCTCAGGCTCCCGATGAGGCCGCAGCCCCCGCTAGCTCCTCGACCTTGAGCGCTGCCAGCAGTCCCTCTGCTTCCTCTGCACCGATCAGCGCCGCTGCCACCTCGGGCGAGTCCACCTTTTACGGCGGCAACACCTCCGGCGGGATGTGCTCCTTCTCCACGTACACCATCCCATCCGGCCTGTACGGAACCGCGTTCTCGGGCTCCGCCTGGAGTTCTGCCGCGAACTGCGGTGCTTGCGTGAAGGTCACCGGCCCTAGTAAGTTGCCCAGTCCCTGAGGTGAGAGTCATACTTGACAGCTTGACTGACACCATGTGAAGAGGGAACGATTACCGCAATGGTTGTCGACCAGTGCCCTGAGTGCGACGCGGGCCACCTCGACCTCTTCCAGGACGCCTTCGCCAAAATCGGAGACATCTCCGCCGGCAAGATCCAGACCTCGTACGAATTCGTCGATTGCGGTATCAGCTCGGCGATCAAACTGCACAACAAGTCCGGCACCTCGTCCCATTGGTTTTCCATGCAGGTCCTCAACCACAACGAGCCCGTCGCTTCCCTCGAGGTTAGCACGGATGGTGGAAGCACCTGGCAGAAGACTACTCGTCAGCAGTACAACTTCTTCGAGAACTCGAGCGGCTTCGGTACCGAGACTGTCGATGTCAAGGTGACCAGCAAGTCTGGAAAGACTGTGACTGTGAAGGATGTCAGCGTCGCCGCCGACTCGGAGGCTTCGGCGTCGGGCAACTTCTAAGATGTGAGCGACAAGCACAGGCAGCCGGAAATGACGCTGGTCAAATGCGGGCGTTTCTTGGGAAATTCGGTCCAGCATTTCGTGTCTTGCAACTGTTGCAGCGGCTCATCTCGGACTGTGCCATCGTTAGCCACTGGGCTGACCCGGCGGCCGAGAGCACATTCTCTTCTTCACTTCTCTCTTCTCTTCTGGAACGCTGATGATGACCGGCGTTACGTTTGTTGATGGTATTCCGGTTTTGTGTCCACCTGGGTGTCTGGGAATAGGCCAATCGATATCGGAAGCAGCAGTGGATATTGTAAAAGGCTTATGTGTGTGCAAGCTCACAGCTTTGGCCTCAGTTTGCGCATCTTTTGCGCAAACAATGTAGCATACTTCGATTCAGACGATCTCAATTGAGCCGATAGCCGAAGGCACATTTTATCTGATATGTCGAAACCTAAAAGTTGAAGCAGCCCAACGATCGGATCCGTGCTCCGTTTGGAAAAGTTCTGGCGTGTCCTTCCACGCGTCTCTGCAGTGTATCAGATGACAAAGAACATGTCGGATCGTATCATCTGTGCAGCTCATACGCAATATATGATAGCGCGCGATACGACAGATCGAAGAGGATCAACGGTCCGAGAGGACTGAGAAGAGGAAACAATCAGAATGAGATCGCTTGATCGGCATTAACAGCTTGCTATCGGCAAAATTGTCTCGTAAGTGGTCGGCAGTTGCAGCAAGCTAGGAAACGTTAGTCGAGGTAACGCCGTGGCTGGGCCCTGCCAAGCCGGCAGCTACAATGTCTCAGTCTAATAAAGCTGCTTTGACATGTCGGTGGCAACCATGATGTCGTCGAGATATTTGTAGTCCAGAGCTTGCTGGAAAGGGCCTGGTTGGTCAACGGTCGGGTTCTAAGCCACACCCAAGTCAACTGAGTGCGCTGTCAGGTCATGGCGAATGCCTCAGCCCGAGATTGCGTGGCTCTGATAGTCTGAGTAACGCGAAAAAGCTTGAACCTGTAATTGGCTCTGTGTCAGCAAGAGACATTGACGCAGTCTGAAATCATGAGTCTCACAGGTCGAAAGTGGTAATTCCCAACTCGCACCACCAGCGCGCCACCAAGTGTCAGTCTGGCTGAAAGACGTGCCAGCCACCAGCCAGTCTTCGGTTTGCAATGGACCGATCGAAGAAGGATGCGCGGCAAGGATTTGCTAGTCGGGATGGCTGTGATTCGGCAGAGCTTGCGCCTATCGAACAGGGTAGCCCAGGATAAGGTGTGTCCAAGTTTTGGGGTCATGCCCTCAGGCGCGCTCGCAGCACCTCGGCCCCGTCTAGCCGCAAGCCCTCTTTCGGGAGGGGCACAAGAAGAAGGTGGAGGGGCAGTTCGTGGATATGGAGTCTTGGTCGGCGACGGCGACGGCGATGGCAATGTGTCAAACGTACGTGTCATGAAAGCACAGAGTGTCGGAGTTTTGGTCGTCTGGTATGAGTGATTTGGTTGCTCCTGCGTTGCGTGTGCGCTTCCTGTGTTGACGGCGTAGCAAAGTGTAATTGGCGCCGGATTACTGAGCCGATGAAGAGAAAGAAGGTGGGATGAGATGATAGGCGGCGGATAGCAGTATGCCTTGCAGTAGCATGTTCCATATGCATCTCGTTGGTGGCGCTAACGGCTGTTGTTTGCGGTAGGCATTGCTCGTGTCGCAAGTAGGTAGGAGAAGGAGAGATGGCCAAGTCTTGTTGGAGTAAGGTATCTGGTTTTGAGTCAGCAAATTGATGGCTGGAGAGGTGGATGAGGATGAGGGAGGATAAGGTGCAGCTGAAAGTCTGGAGCCCGCGGCATCCAATTCTCCAAGCACCCAAGCTGGGAAAAACGGCTTCCCAAACCTGAATGGAACGAAGCCAAATGGAACCCGGCCCTGTCTTGAGCCTCTCCCCCCGCCAGCGCTGGAACCACTATTGCTTCCATTCCAAGTGCAACCCTTCCGGGAGGTCACCCAACCAAGCTGATAACCCCTGCTGAACAGCTCCATCAGCCAATCCCAATGATCTGGCTCGACCAGGGGATGATGCCCTTGTCGTGCTGTAGGCCGTTCCCCGCCCGCAGTCAGTGGCCAGTCAGAGGCTACCTAGAGCTGCGTCTTGCTTCATCCCCAGCTGAGCAATTACGTCGTTATCCGCAACCAAGGCCACGGGCCACCTTACCTTTCAGCGAGCAATAACTTTTCCTCCACCGACCTAGCGAAAGTGAAGCCTGCCCGTGCTATTCTGGGTAAGACGGGAGGGGAGCTCTTGGACTTTTGGTTCTGGTCTAGCTGTCAATTTCGCTGCTGCAGATGAGCAGCATAGCACTATTCAGCTTGACCGGCAGCAGTCTTCGACGTGTCATCTTGTTGCACTTGCACAGCCCTTGCACCGGTACCTCATTTGTGCCCAGCTTTGTGCCAGCTTGCCAGCTACTCATCCATCCCTCTTGCACCACCTCCAGTCCTCCACGGCCAGCTTGCAACTCTCCACGCCACGGAGACGCCGCCAACCTGACGGGTCCCTAGCCGAATCTGACGTATCCAGGTCTGCACCAAACGTCCATCCAACCTTCACCTTTTCCCCTTCTCTGCCACCGAATGTGACACTTTCTTACCTGTCGCCCTCAGCTTTAGCTTCGTGCCTTGTTTCTCTTCCACCCTCTCGTTCTAACCTCCACATTCTCACCACTAGTACACTAGTGCCCAACTACTGGTCGACCAGCCACAATTCGGCCTTTCCTCCGTTCACTCCCTCCCGTCCTTATTCCCCTTTCTTCGCCCATCATATCAATCGTCTGTTTCTAGTCCGAGACCCTCCCTGAGACCCTCGATTCCGATTCCGATTCCCCTTCCCCATTTCTATTATTTCTTCCCTGCCGTCCCCGAGAGGAAACCCGACCCGACCATATTGCCGGTGCACGTCATCCATCGCGAAATCCACGACCCTTCATGCGTCAACACGGAATTGCGAGCTGAGTGCCTTGTCAATTGACCTCGACGTCGCAACCGCAGCTGCGGCGAAATGACCTCCCTCGAAAAGAGCGAGCTCAAGGTCCAGGGCGTCGTCGAGGCTGCCCAGGACCCTGAGACCAACGTCTCCGCCGATGATGCTCAGAAGAAGATTGTGGAGGAGTCCAAAAAGGCTGGCATCACCGCCTTCACTTTCGACCCGGACGCGAGTCCCGAAGAGAAGCGCCGCCAAGCCGCAGCTGTGAGTTTTGCGCGAATAACCTTCTATTCGATTTCGGGCTTGGGCTGACCACGTTTTGACAGGCTGTGCCGCCCGGCTTCCATTCCCAACGGTCCAAGGGAATCTCAGTCGTCACCGATGTCCCCGATTCGAGCGAGCCTGTTACCGACCTCCCCGAACCCACCAAGGCTGGCGCCATCGAAGTCGTCAAAGACCAGGACGGAAAGACGATCAAGTCAGGCGGAGATCCTCACGGCCAGGAGGAGGAGCCCTTCAGTAGAACTGGTTGGGCCCCCAAGTTCGGTTGGCCCAAAGACGAGGTCCACGAGAGCCTGAGTCTGCTTGATCACTCCACCTGGCTCGAGAGCAACATCCCCGACAAATTCTACGGTGACTGGTACCACAATGCCGCAATCATTGTCTTTGCCTGCATCTCCTCCTGGTTGGTAGCAGTCTTGGGCGGTGGCCTTGGCTGGGTTTTCATTCTCATGGCCGTTTGCTCGACCTACTACCGCACCTCAATCCGTCGAGTCCGGCGCAATTTTCGCGACGACATCAACCGAGAGCTGTCCTTGAAGAAGCTTGAGACGGAGGTTGAGTCTCTGGAGTGGATCAACTCGTTTATGTTGAAGTTCTGGCCCATTTACCAACCGGTCCTCGCCCAAACGATCATCAACTCCGTTGATCAGGTTCTGAGCTCTGCTACGCCCGCTTTCTTGGACAGCCTGAAGCTCAAGACGTTCACTTTGGGCTCCAAACCGCCCAGGATGGAGCATGTCAAGACGTACCCCCAGGCTGGTGACGATACCGTCATCATGGATTGGAAGTTTAGCTTCACCCCCAATGACACGGCCGACATGACCTACAAGCAGATCAAGAACAAGGTCAATCCCAAGGTTGTTCTGGAGATCAGAGTTGGAAAAGCAATGATCAGCAAGGGTCTCGACGTTATCGTCGAAGACATGGCATTCTCGGGCATCATGCAACTGAAGATCAAGCTTCAAATCCCTTTCCCTCACGTTGAGAAGGTGGAGATGTGCTTCTTGGAAAAGCCAACGATCGACTACGTCTGCAAGCCTCTTGGAGGCGAGACCTTTGGTTTTGACATCAACTTCATTCCTGGACTTGAATCTTTCATTCTCGAGCAGATTCACGGCAACCTGGCTCCCATGATGTATGCGCCCAACGTGTTCCCGATTGAGGTTGCCAAGATGCTCGCCGGCACTCCGGTTGACCAGGCTATCGGTGTGGTCGCCGTTACGCTTCACGGTGCTCAGGGTCTAAAGAACCCCGACAACTTCTCTGGCTCCCCGGATCCTTACGCCGTGGTGACCTTGAACCGTCGCCAGCCGCTTGCTAAGACGAAGCATGTCAAGGACACATCGAACCCGCGCTGGAACGAGACTCACTACATCATCATCACCTCTTTCAACGACTCGCTCGATATTCAAGTATTCGACTACAATGACTTCAGGAAGCACAAGGAGCTCGGTGTCGCATCTTTCGCCCTTGAAAACCTGGAGGAATTGGCTGTTCACGAGAACGAGCATCTGGAAGTGATCGCCGACGGCAAGGCCCGTGGTTTTGTCTCTTGCGACGTCCGTTTCTTCCCCGTTTTGGAGCCCAAGAAGTTGGAGGACGGCACTCTGGAGCCTCCCCCGGAGTCCAACACTGGTATCCTCAGGTTCACTGTGGAACAGGCCAAGGATTTGGACGGCACCAAGAGTCTTGTCGGTCTTCTCAATCCTTACGCGACGCTGCATCTCAATGGCAGGGATATCCACCACACCAAGAAGCTCAAGAGGACGAACAATCCTATTTGGGACAACGGATCTAAGGAGATGCTTATCACGGACAGGAAGAACGCTAAGCTTGGAGTGACCATCAAGGACGACCGTGACCTCACAGGCGACCAGGTCCTCGGCAAGTACCAGATCAAACTGGAAGACATGATGGAGTGCATGGAGAAGGGCCAAGAATGGTTCCATCTATCCGGCGTCCAGACTGGTCGTGTCAAGATGATGGCGCAGTGGAAGCCTGTTGCTCTGTCTGGTATCGCTGGTGGCACCGGTGGCTATGTCACTCCTGTTGGTGTCATGCGCTTCCACTTCAAGCACGCCCGTGACCTTCGCAACTTTGAGACGCTCGGCAAATCTGACCCATACGTCAGAGTACTCCTATCTGGCATCGAGAAGGCGCGCACTGTTACCCACAAGAATACTCTGGACCCCGAGTTCGACGAGGTTCTCTACGTTCCGGTTCACTCTGCTCGCGAAAGACTAGCTGTTGAGGTGATGGACTCGGAGAAGATGGGCAAAGACCGTAGCTTAGGTCTGTTTGAGGTCTTCGCAGGTGACTACATCTCACAAGCGGAGAATGGAGAATACAATGTGCACGATCAGAAGAAGCTTTTGCAGGGAGGCCTGCAGCTCCATGGTAAGGGTATTGCCAAGGGCATGTTGACCTACAACGTGGCGTTCTACCCCTGCCTCAACATCGCCGACCCTGAAGATGAGGAGGAAGAGGAAGAGGCTCAACCGATTGAGAAGCCGGCCGATGGCACGACCCGTTCCGCTGATGCTGGCAAGTTTGCTGCCATCGAACAGAAGAAGGAGGAGAAGAGGCAGAGCGGGGCTGAACTTGAACCGAGCCCGCCCAAGACTCCAGTCACACCGGTTTCACCGACCATGCCCAGGAAGTCCAAGGATGAGAGCGGTCCTCCTAAGATCAGGCTGTCTCCTCAAGAACTTCTCAAGTACGAATCTGGTCTTTTGATCTTCAAGCTGATGGAAGCCGAAATGCCGGAGCACAACACGCATCTAGAGGTGTGGGTTGATGACATGGCTTTCCCCTCTTACACGTCATCAGTGGCCAAGCACAAGAAGCACACTTTCGAGGAAATCGGCGACTGCTTCATTCGTGAGCTCGACTTCTCTCGATTGACCCTCAAGGTCCGCGAAAAGGGCGACAAGATTGAGGGCAGCGAGAAGGACAAGGACCACACGATTGCCAAGCTGCAGGGCAACACATTGGACACATTGAAGCAGTGCCTGGTAAGTCAACCCTCTCAATCCAAGGTGACGCATTACTAACTGAAAGTAGAACAACCCCACGATCCTCAAGCTGAAGGATAAGGAGAACAGGCCTAGCAGTGTCAGGGTCAGCCTCAAGTACATTCCTGTGAAGATGCAACTCGACCCGAGCGAGAGTATCAACAACATGGGAACTCTTCGTGTCGATGTGCTGGATGCACAGGATCTCCCCTCAGCAGACTCCAATGGCAAGAGCGACCCGTACTGCAAGTTCGAGCTTAACGGCGAGGACGTGTACAAGACCAAGGTCCAGAAGAAGACTTTGCATCCCGCTTGGAACGAGTTCTTCGAAGTCCCCGTACCGTCCAGAACAGCCGCAAAGTTCAAGGTCACTGTCTGGGATTACGACTTTGCCGACAAGCCGGATTTCCTCGGCGCTGCCGACATCAATCTTGAGCAGCTGGATCCTTTCAGACCAAGCGAGAGCCGACTGATCCTGGACGGCAAGTCGGGTACGGTGAGATTGAGGATGCTCTTCAGGCCCTCGTACGTCACTCGTACACGACAAGGCACGTCCACCTTCTCCGGAACCTTCGCGGCCCCCGGCAGAATTGTCACGGGTGTTGTGGGTGCACCTATCAAGGTTGGTGGTGCAGTTGGCCACGGCGTTGGAAAGGGCGCCTCGTTCCTCAAGCGTGGCTTGTTTTCGAGAAAGGATGATGACTCCGATGGACATTCATCAAGCTTCACGGATATTCCAACTATTGTTGAGAATGGAGGCAGCCCGCCTGGCCCGACTCCTGGTCTTGGCCTCAAGCGAGCGACTGGGTTCTCTACCTCGGATGGCAGCGAGTCTCCAGACACACGACCAGGCACCTCCAACGGCAATGGATCGACTTTGGGCCATCATCGAACTAAGAGCAACGGCGCAGCTTCTGTTCATAGCTTGAACCCTGGCTCCCCTGGCTCTGGATCCGCTTCCTTCACGGTCGTCTCAGCGACCGGCTTCCCTCCGTCGACAGATCTGTACATTGTCATCACCCAGTTGACACCTAAGGCCAAGACCATCGGCAAGACTAAGCATCACAAGGACGCCACTGGTTTCTTCAGGTACAACGAAACCTTCAAGTGCACTTGCACCGCCGACACACAATTCAAGATTGAGGCCAAGGGTGAACATACGTTCAAGAATGACGACGACTTGGGCGAAGCTCTCTACTTCGTTGATGAGAGTGGCGCCGGAGCCGATAAGGAGATCAAAGTCGGAAGTGGAACGGTTGTCATCAAGAGCAGCTTTATCCCCTCGGAAAGCTCTCTGGAGCCTGGAAGCCCCAAGTCGATCGTTCGCCGAAGCTTCATGGGCAAGAGAGAGAGCCGCAGCAGGGAGGGCACCCCTACTTGATCCCACCTCGGATTGCGTTTACGGTCCGAAGATTGCATTTCGTTTGCATATCCTACCAGTGTGTTTTCTTTAAATCAAAAGCTTCCCATTGCTTTCAGATACCTCCATGCCATTGAATGGCGAAATTCATTCGCTGGCGGAATCTCATTTCTTCTTCTGATCTTTTTGGAGGGCATACGGAGTCGGAGGGCCTCGAAGGACGGGTAAGGACGGTGGCGAATAAGGCAGGCAGAACGTCGCAAGCACCTGGCAGTAACATTTGCCGGTAGCATATTTCTGGTAATTAGGATGCAATTAATGGAATTCAATTGTTCATATCCAAATCAAATTGAAAATAACCACACGTGAAGAGAACACTTATAATTGCTCTTGAAGACGAAGTGTGCTTATATAATCAACCGTGCACGGACGCTCCGTACCTGCAGCAAGGGCCAATCCGAATAAGGCAACAAGGCATCAGTCAGCTACGCACTTTCCCTGCTGAAGCTGTCCGTGACGCGAGCATGGAGCTGCCTGAGCTGGCTCCCCAAGTCGACCACAAAGAGCCCCATCGTCCATTCCAACGCCGACCTCACCACAACCAATACACAACCACCCCCAGCGAGACGACGAGAATTGACGATCACGATACAACACACCTCTAATCCAACGAAACCCATCAATCCCACCTCACCCGATCGTCGAGATGGATAGCCTCGTGGCCAAGTACAGCCGCCCGGCGTACGAGCAACACAACACCTTCCGGGACGATGAGCAGGAGGATCTCGAGCTCCTGGGCGAGGCGCCGCCTCTGTCGTTGAAGTTCGCCATGCCCCCTGTCGCACATGTGAGTTCCAATTTCCTTCCCTCCCTGTTCGTCGCCAAAAGAAACCAATGTCACTGATATCCCCGCCCCCTCATGACAGCCCTCCTCCTGGCTCCGCGCAGCAACAGACGACCGCTCCAACCCCGACTGCCCCATCAAGATCGCTCACGGAACGACGACACTCGCCTTCCGCTTCCAGGGCGGCATCATCGTCGCCACCGATTCCCGTGCCACCGCCGGCAACTGGATCGCCTCGCAAACAGTCAAGAAGGTCATTGAGATCAACGACAAGCTGCTCGGCACCATGGCCGGTGGTGCAGCCGACTGCCAGTACTGGCTCGCCTGGCTCGGTATGCAGTGCCGTCTCCACGAGCTCCGTCACAAGCGCCGCATCTCGGTCGCCGCCGCTTCCAAGATCCTCGCCAACCTCGTCTACTCGTACAAGGGTATGGGCCTCAGCATGGGCACCATGTGTGCCGGTGTCACCAAGGAGGAGGGACCCGCGCTCTACTACGTCGACTCAGACGGCACCCGCCTCGCGGGCAACCTCTTCTGCGTTGGCAGTGGTCAGACCTTCGCCTACGGTGTGCTCGACGCCGAGTACCGCTACGACCTGACGGAGCAGGAGGCTCTCGACCTCGGCAGCCGAAGTATCCTGGCTGCCACCCACCGTGATGCCTTCTCTGGTGGTTTCATCAACCTCTACCACGTCAAGGAGGAGGGCTGGGTCAAGCACGGCTTCAACGACACGAACCCCATTTTCTGGAAGACGAAGCTGGAGAAGGGAGAGTTCACCAACGTCACGGCCGACTTGGAGTAGAACACGGCGCGGACGATTGACGATGATGACAACGCACAGGGTGGACGGCGGTGGCTCTCGGTGCTCCCATCCGCGAGGAATCAGCAAGGACGGCCTGTTCACCCCGAATAAGAGTTTCGGGCGGTTGAGAACGGATCCAATGGCTGCAGCCGGTAGAGGAGAACGTCTGAGGAGACGGATATGAGCTGGCTAGCCTTTCCTTTAGGACATCGGCATCGAATACGGATGCGGATGCTTTGTAAATTGTAAACTAGACCATGATACAAGTGCATTCTTATGATCTTACAGTGTTGCACAGGTGGTTTTTTACAGGTGATTTACAGTCTAAAAATGGGGGTATCATGATGACTTTTCTCTATCCCTTCTCAGCCAGCCGCCAATGCCAAGGATACCACCTTCGTCACTCGCGGGATCAACAGACCACTTCTTCAAACATGATACAGACAAGGCGGTCTCCCAACCGGCCTCGTACATCTCCATGCCGGTCCACGCAATCATGGCCGCGTTGTCGGTGCACAGCGCAGCCGGCGGCGCCGTGACCTCGACGTGCCCGAACCCGCGGGCGTCGAGCATCCCGCGCAGCACGTGCATCAGGAACCGGTTGCTCGCGACGCCGCCGCTGACGACCAGCGTCCTCAGCCCGTCCTTCAGCCCCGGCTCCGCGTCGAGGGCTATGAAGACACGGCTGGCGAGGTGCTCGAAGATCAACCGCATCGCGGCCCGCGCCAGAGCCCGCCGCTCGTCGAGCGTCATGTCCGCGCCGCCCGCCTCGGCGACCCTGCGCAGCTGGCTGCCCAAGCCGGCGAAGGCGTAGACGAGCTGCCGCGAGCGCTGCATTGGAGGGGTCAGTTTCCAGGTGTACGGCGCCGGGGCGCAGACCGTCAGGACCTCGTCCGCGCGGCGGGCCGGCGGGGTGTATTCGTAGTCGTAGTCCGCCGGGTTGGTCTGGTCTATTCCCGCACTCGTGCCATCAGGTGGGAAGGCGAAGCGCTCGAGCAGCGCGCCGTACATGACGTCCCCGTGCGCGGCGAGTATCTCGGGCGGGAGGATGTCGCGGGCGGCCTTGTCGAGGGCGTCGCCGACGGCGACGTCGATCGTGTTGGCGAGGATGCGGTGGGTTGTGAGGGAGCTGGAGTGGACGAGCTGGGTGTGGCCGCCGGAGACGAGGAGGGTGAGGAAGGGGAACGCCGGGTGGTTGTCGTCGTCTTCGTCTGTCATCGTCGTCGTCGTCTTGGACTTGCCGGCGAGGGCGGCGACGAGGCGCGGGGTGAGCGCGTGGGCTTGCATGTGGTTCACGGCGAGGAGGGGCACGCCCCACGCGACGGCGAGGCCCTTGGCTGCCGAGAGGCCCGTGGCGAGGTTGGCGGACATGCCGGGGCCGCGGGTGACGGCGACGAAGTCCGGTTTCTGGCGGGCCACGCCCGAGATCGTGAGGGTGTTGTCATTATCTGTGGTCGGTAGTGCCGTGGCTGGGGGCAGGTGGGAGAGGGACTCGGCGATGAGGGGTGCGAGGGAGGCGTCGTGGGAGCGGAGGGCGACGGGGGGCCAGACGCCGCCGTAGGCGCGGTGGTCGGAGGTGATCTTGCGGTTGAAGTGGAGGGTTGCGCGGGAGGAGTGCTTGCTCAGGACGGCGACGCAGGTGTCGTCGCATGATGTCTCGATGGCGAGGGTCAGGAGATTACGGCGGGGGTTGTGTTGGAAGAGCCGCAGCCGGGCTGGCGGGTGGCGGAGGAGAAGTGGGCGCCATTGTATGAGGGTTCGTGGTGGGCGCATTGAGGTTATTGGCGTGTTTGGGGAAGTGAGATTCGAGGAGGTGATGGGGTGAGATGCGGGAGGATCGGGGGGAAAGTTTGGAGCTCTTATCTTATCGGGTGTCACACCGAGGTTCACCGACTGACACGGTCCACACCGAGCTCGCAGCCGACTCGCATCTCGAATGTGTTTGAATGAGCTTGTACTATATGATTTCTGATTAAGAAACTATGCAGAGATGCTAATGCGCATGTTTTTGATATCATTTCCTCCGTAACCCATGTTTTCCTAGAATGCCAATGCTGAGTGAGTCCTTCCCGTATCCCATATCCATATTCATTTCATGCCCAAATTCGCTGCTGCTTATCGTAAAACTCATCCATCCTCACCAAGCTTAAGCGCTGCTGCTATCCCTCCTGGCAATGAAGTTCGCCCACTCACAGCGACATCCACCGGTACCACCATCTTGCCCTCCGAAACTCATATCTTCATTCCTGCGCGGGTTCACTCTCGTGCCTCCGAAACCGAGGTCGTTCGGCAACAACTTAGGGCTGCTCGTGTCAATGCCCTGCCTGTCATTGACGGGCCAGTGCCAGACGAACTTCTCGCCGGACTGTCCGCCGTGAGTGTCCGTCTTGATCGTGACGGGATACGGCATCGTGCCAGGCCTCTCCGCGATCATGTTGTCCTCGTCCGCGCCATCGCGGTTGCCCAGCAGCTGCGTGGTGTTCTCGGACCGCGTCCAGATTTGCACGAGGAAACGGGTCTGGGACCACGTCACGAGGAACTTAGCCTCGCTCCTGCGGGAACCGCCGTCCTTGTCTAGGGGGACGTCGCTCTCATCGTCGGTGCCGTTGAGCGTGGTTACGGACTTGAGGTAGATGGTGCGCTTGAAGTAGGTGTAGAAGCCGTAGTGTTCGGTGGGAAGGCCACGATCGTAGAGGCGGACTGGTTGTTGAACGGCGTGGGGGAATAGTTGAGCGGGGGCGCCGGTACCGTCGGCTTCAAGATCGGGCGGCGGGAGGTTGACAGAGATGCCACCTGACGAATCCCCTGAGCTCTGGCGCTTATCCATGGCATTTGGTCCCACTGTGTCGTTGGTGGACTTCAGCATGCTGAGGTAGAAAGGAGTCGGTTCGCCGCCCTTCTCATCGGAGACGATGCCATCTGTGGTGTTTCCGAGGAAGTACATTTCTTGGAACTTCGGCGCGGCGGGACTGGGCTTAAAAGCCGGGTTCTGCCTTCGGATGAACGAACCAGCTCGGGCAATCAGACTGCCTTGCTTTTCACTGTCTCTCTTGATCTTCGAGCCAGGTCGAGGAATCTCGCCATTAGGCACGTTCCACAGATTCCGGGTGCTGTTATCCCACTGAATCTGCATGATGAAAGTCGGTTGATTCGGGCGGTAAGGTGCCACTGAATCATGCTCCTCCTTTGGCAGAGCGCAACTCCAGACAGTCGAGGGGCTGCTACAGCCGGTAACGGCCGCGGTGTTGTCGGGTCCGACCATAGAGAGAACTCCAGTCGGCATTGGAGGGAAGTTTGTGAGGTTGACGAAGATGCTGTCGATTTGAGGAGCGTCGCCGCCTCTTGGGATGAGCGTTACGCAAAGAACGATGATCAGAATGACGGCAAGAATGCCACCACATACTCCCAACCACACTCGTCTTCTCTTGCGACCTTCTCTGCCACGGCGGCCATAGCACCCACTTGCGGGGACACATCCTCGACCTTTCCAGAAGCCTCCGGCCTTACGAGCAACAACCTCCTCCTTCTCATGGCGGCGACGCTGTCTTTCTATCCGATGAGCATCACCAGACGCAGCAAGGAAGTGCTCTTGAGGAACATATGTACCAGCGACCCTGTCCGGTAGGCGGTGTTGCCCATCTGGAGTTGTGTCTCTCGGGGCTGGTGTGAGAGGAATGTCGGTCATGCTGATGCCGCCCTGAGAGCTCATAGTTCCGTTGATAGCGGGCGAAATAGGACCCGGAGAGGGCGGGTACAGCGATTGAAGTGGATGACCTGCAGGGAAGACGGCACGATATCTGACAGCCTTTTGCTGTTGGGGAGGCGAGTATGGGGGAGGTTGTTCGGACGGCGCCGGGCTGGGCTCGGGGATGGGAACTTTCTCTGAATGAACCTGCAGTCTCGGTGTGGCTGAACGAGACGATAACGCTGGGGAAGGTTCGCGACGGTCCATGAGTGGTGATGGACTTCGCCTGGGTGTAGGAACTCTGACAATCGGAGCTTGGATGTTTCGCGGTGATGGCTTAGGCGATGAAGGTAGACCGGGTTTCTGAACAACAACTTGCTGGATTTCCACAGTCTTGACAATTGTGGGCTCCGTTGATGTAGTTTTGGGTGATGCGACCTTCGACTCCTTTTCACTCCACCAGTCGTCGTGTTGTGTTTGTTTGACTGGCTGTGATTCATTCTTGAATGTGGCGATGGGGCTCTTCCTGTCCATAAATGGGGTCGTGACATGATCCCACCAACCACGGGTCTGGGTCTCAGCACTTCCAGGGCTCTTTGATACCTCCTTGGCCTTGACCGACTTTCGCCGGTTGGAAGCCGCACCATCCTCCTCGAACAAAGTGCAAGGGCTGCCTCCATCATCGTCGTCGTCTTCATTGTCCTTGAGAACAATGCTGACCACCCTTTCTTGCTGCTTGTAGGTGGAGGGCACAGAGGGAACTGGGGGTGCGTCATGAGCGACACGGACACCCAGACCAGTGGCCTGTGAGTAGATGCTGGAGGTCGCTCGCGGAGCCTTGAAAGAGTTTGCAGAGTCTGGCGTGTCGGGGCTCCAAACTGATCTTTGTTGAGAAGGAGTCAAGGGAGTGACGGTGTTTGGGCTTGTGGTAGGCTGTTTGTTGTATCTGGGTGGCAGGTCATGGGGAGTCTCCAGAACAGCTGTTTGGGGGCTGATTTCTCGGTTGGCCATATCCGATGGCAAGGCAATCCCAATGACAATGGGGCGGTCGTTCGGTGAAAGGTCTTGTTGCCGAGTACTGCGGGTGGCACTTTGGGGAGACTTGCCGCTTGAAGCAGGCGAGTTGTTATTTGAGTCCCACGGTTTCTTCTTCAACCAGTTCCAATTGCCGACTGAAGCAGAGTTGGGCTCACCCTCCAAAGCTCGCAGTGCTGCAGCATCAACAAACTTGGGGTGAGGTATCTGAGGGCTGCCGTTCTGGGCGGCTTGCTGTTGCCTCAAGGCCGTCATGTCCGTCACCAGCTTGATCCCGGCTTTCGCATTTTGAGCCTTCTGACGTTGTCGAGATTTGAGGCGTCTGATTTTTTGAACGGAGTACCGGGACTGCGAGTATCTGGTCGACGATGACTTCATTGGTCGCAGTGGGCTGGGCGCAGCCGACTTATTCGTGATGAGTTCCTCTTCGTCGTCCATGATGGGTGTTACAACATCGTCATCTTCCCAGTCCTCCCAATCTTCTCTCTCTTGTTGTGTTCGGCGTTCGGTTATTTGCCGCGATGGCGTCGGGGCTGTTTGTGAAGCCATGATGATGTTGCCGTATAGAGTGAGATGTGCAAGTGATGATGTAAACACTCTGATCCAAACAATTCCGAGTTTCCTGTAAGAGAGTGACTGGATACTGAGTCGCGAAAAATGATACGACTACAAGGTTTGTAACTTCGAAACCAAAAATCTTTGTCTTCGAAGCCAGTCGAGTAGAGACAATGTGATGGTTGTGAGTGGTCAAAGAGGGTGATTGGGGATTAGGAAGAAAAAAGTGGAAAGAGGGAAGGAAGTGAAAGGTCGGAAGGAGCGCTGAAACGATAGACAATGGAACGTTCCAAAGGAATACTCGAGAATGAGTTGTGAATACGCGCACCAGAGACAAGGAAATCGGAAACCAGGTCACCATCCACCAGAGCTGCGTCTACTACCGTGGAAAATACGAAACAATCAAGAGGGAGCACATCAGCGCGGCAGGAGTGATTAGCATCATTATATGACTGGGGAGATCGAGCACGAGGCGACTTTGGAATATCCATGGGTCATGACTGGGCTTCACGGTGTTTGGCTGGACACTGCAGTTGCAGTATGAGGTAGGCGCCCAGTTGGCCATCGCGAAGATGTGATTGGCCATGGTGCCGCTGACCAGCTCTCGGGCCTGCACAAGCGACCGCACTGCTGGCCAGTCATTTGGCCGCGGTTGGTGGAGGCCTGCACGAATTCGCGGTTTTGCAGGAAGTTGGGGAGCCGACAACGGTCTCGTCTCGCGAGGTCGAATCAGTCCCTGGCTGGGCTACGATGGGCGATATTGTGTTGCTAAAAGTGAAGTTGAGGTTGAGTTGAGAAAGCGCGATGAGTCGAATGGCTCGTGCGTGACAGCGTACCCGGCTGACATGATGGATTTCTTACCTAATCCATACCAAGTCCGGTGTCTGGTCTCCCTGTGGTCGGCGCAGTGGGGGCCGAGACAGGTCTGGATCACATCCGGGTGAGCACTCGGGAGGCTGCCGCACTCCCGGCCGAGTCGTGTATCCCTTTGCCCCTTGCTGCCATATCTTTCACCTCTACAGAGTACCTTACCTCCAGATGTGCAGATAGGCCAGGCTATTCGAAGCCATCGAAGGCCGCTTCCGCGTCGTCGGCAGTCTCAAGTCAGAATCCCGAACAGGCCACGAGACCTTACTGACTGGATAGGCGTTGAGAAATGTCTCGACCGCATCACCAATTTTCTTTCCTCGAGAAGCCCTTGCACAAAGGTAGCGAATTGAGCGATTTATCCATTCGATCAATGTTCCCCTTGCTGCTCAATGTTCTGCGACACATCGGATGAGCTGTCAGAAATGAGGCCAGCATGAAGTTGGAGAGAAAGACAGCGCGCCCGTACGAGCCGCTGGCATCACAAGCGGTCGAGCTCGCTACCAGTAGGTATCACGTCTTATCGATCACAGAATTTTCGCATGGCACGTACGTAACATAAGAACACATACGTCCCAGTTGCCATCCCATCTTACGTATCTAGGACGACTGCACGCCAACCAAAACCGCCCTTATTTCCCGCGGCCCTGGGACCTGTCTTGGCCTTGGATGATGAGGAGGATCCCGACGCGTCCGGTCTCAGGTTCTCGACAGGCGGACAGCGGCATAAGTGGCTGTGCACAGGTGCTTCGCGACGGATTAGACGGAGAAATTGGCAAAAGTTGCCGTGTGGAAAAACGAGGCGACACAGAGAAAAGAGAAGAAGAGCGTTGGAGTCGGAGCGTTTGAGATTATTCAAATCTCTTTGTTCTCGTCAACGGCATGGAAGGCTAGTCGACGCCTTTTTAGTCGTTGTCTAATGTCCTCGGAAGCGCCGCCCTCGAGGGAGTGCTATTTCGATAGGGCGCTGTTGGTTGTGGAGTTGCCCTTGACATTCTTCCCATTGTCCCCAAGAGTGCGAGTCGCTGACCAGGAGACCCAGGGTTGTTGGTGTCACCGAAACAGCGTTGTTAAATTAAAATTCGGACCAGAGAGGGCGAGGGGAGGGGTCAGCTCCGCTTCGATCTAGAAGACATCTCTATCCGGGAGGATCAAACATGTTAAGAACTGCGGTGTGTGGGTGGTGAGGAGCGCCTCTAGGACGGGCAATTTCACGTCCTCATCCTAAGCACCCATCCGAACACCATCACGAGACCTCGCCCGACACGAGACAAAACGGTTGCTGATGGTACGGCTATCCTCCCGTGTCTTGTACGGCTGTGATGACTTCGAACCTCGAATTTCAGCCCGCAGGACACTAATGACAAGAAGCAGCCCAATGTTATCCGACATCCACTAGAATCTCAGCTCAGAGAATGCGAGATCCCTCGGCGCTCCAATGGCGGCTCGCCAATTGAGCCTGAGTCGCCAATGTGCAGCGAGCTGGTGTGGTAGCTAGGTAGGGAATCCGCCCGCAGAGAAATGGCCTGTCGTTCGTGTCTTGGCCAGAAGGTGCTTTATTAGTTGCTTCTCTCACCTCCTTGCTTCGACCAGTGCAATTGCGCTATCAGTCAAATCATCCCTCGGTGTCAGTATCGCGCGGTTCGCCATTCTCACTCATATGTCGCTCTCGGCATATCCCTTCGCCTTCAATACTCTTAATATCGCGCCCATCAACCTAAATCTAATCTGCAGTTATTGTTTTTTTTATAGATAAGAAGTTCCCAGGATATAATATAGCTAAGGTATATAAGCAAAGCGTATTTATACGCTATATAACTAATATTCTAACCTAATTTAGTAATAAGATTAATACTATTCCTAGTACTATATATAAAAATAGAATTACTCTATTTAACTTATAAAGTAAATCTAAAGTAATATAAACTTTAAGTATAGAGTTTACTTAAAAAGTAGTTATAAATAGCTTTAACTATTAAGGTCTTTATACTCTATTTAATAAAGTTATTAAGTAATAAAAATAAATTAAACTTTTTCTCTTTTATTTCTCTTTCTCTTTAATTTTTACTTTAAGATAATACTTATTATTATTATTATAAAAATAGTTTATATTCTCTATAAGAACTTTAAGAATAGCTATAATTACTTAGTAATAGCTAAATAATATATATATTAATTTAAGCTCTTCTTTAAGAATAAAAGTATTAAGATCTAAAAGTCTTACTATTTTAAAGGTAAATTAATATAACTTTTCCTCTATAATATATAGCTTTAAAAGATTATTATTATTACTTATTATACTATTAACTAGTTAATTTATAATATTCTATTAGCTATATATTACTATCTTTAAGTTAATAATAAGTAATATAATTATTATTTTATTAGTTATACCTATATATAAACTTATATTAAATATAGAAATATTATCCTTAATATCTTATTATTTATTAACTCCTTAAGAAAAGATTAATAGAAAGGGGGGGAAAAGTATTAAAGATTATAATAAAATATAAGGGGAATATAGCTATATTATAATAATAAAGGAGTAAATAAATAAGTAGAAGTTTAGTATTAATTTATAGTTAATATAAGAGTTAAATAACTACTAGGCTTTTTTATAGGAGCTACCCTAGGATATAATATAGCTTCTGCCACGTTATTTAGTATTTGGGGGGAAGAATGTGAGAAAGTTCTGGACCTGTGAGTTTATTCTTCTCGAAGACAGGCTGTCCAAGTAGACGAGACCTGGAACACGTTAGAAACCCAGCGTCAGTGCCATGTGTCCAATACTTCACGAGGTGACGCCGTGGAGGGGGCCTGATGTAATGTCAGCGGGCCACCCCATCTTCGTCAGTCAAGGAGACCCTCCCGTCCGAAAAAAGATTAGACGCAAAGACGGCGGGATTCCCACGACGAGAAAACCTTACTGAAGTGAGGTTGGCCCCAGGTACAGACGCTGCAGTCGAGAGACAAGAGAAGGGGGGGAAGGGCTTTGTCCGTTTGCCCATTTCTTTTTGCAGATACGAGACCAAAAACCAAATAATCACACAAAAGGCGGGCGTCCTTCGTTTCTTCAAGAGTCAGCAGACATTGCATGTGCAAAAAGTCCTCGGACGTCCATTCCCTTCGTCTGTTTCCCTTCCCGTCAGGTTTCTTCCATTTCTTCCCGTCCTGTCTGTCATTCCCAACCTAATCCCCCCAATTCCTAGGGCCTGGTGGCTGGCTCACTGACAGTGAACCCCCTTGCCCCTCCCCCTTCCCCGGTGTTGGAGTGCCAGTGGCAGCAGGAGGCCAGTTCGCTGCAGCCGCGACCGCGAACGCCCTTTTCCCTCTCTCAGGTCCCTCCAATCGCTCGCCCAGAGAGACTGAGGTGGACTGCCAGAAAAGAACCCCAGCCGGGAAACGACTCTCCTCCACTTTCGCTCTCCTCCCAATAATTTTTTACTCCTGTTCGCTCCCCCCATCCCGATCTGTCAACGAAGCCGACTGGACAGCGTCCTCGTCCAGAACCACTCGAACCTCCCGAGACTCGCGCTCTTACGTTTCGCCATAGCACCCTTCCCGGCAAAGGGGACCTGTACAGCCTCACGCGGGCCGCCAAAAGTTACTCCAGTACAGATTACCTACCTTACTGCTTGCATATCTACTACTGCACGACAACCCTCAGACTCCCTTCGCCCTTGACTGACTGGGCTTGCTTCACAAGAGGAGAGGACCCCCATCCCCTTTTTCGGATACGGAGACCCCCTTAGGTCCCCTACCTACGGATACCGTACATTAGCGAACACATCTTGCCTGTCTCTATCGCGCTGCGTTGTAACCAGACGGCTAAAGAGCCATCTGGTCACAACCCCCATCAATTCTTCAATCTGGATTCATCACAGAATTACGCCGCCTCTTCGTCCTTTAGCGAACGTAGGCCAGCCCGCTCACATCACCGACGACGTTCCTCTGCCTCGAATAATCTTGCCATCACCATCGACGGGCCCGATCGTGGCTCTCCTCAATTCCTGGGGGTCCAAGGCCACGGACACGGCCAACAGCCTGCTCTCGCTCCGATTCCAGGTACGTCCTTTTTTTTTCTCCGGTCCCGTATCGTGTCTGTATCTGTATCTGTATCTGTATCTGTATCCTCGCCCGCAATGCGCATTCCACATTCCAGTCCGTGGCACACCTCCATGCTATGCCGTCTCTTTGTCTTCTGGCCCCCCCAGTCACCGACATGCCACCGACGCAGATACGGGTTGGACAGCTAAATGATGGGACCCGCTTGCTGACTTCTCGTGTTCTTTGAATCCTGCAGGCACCCCCAATACCGCAGGAATGTCCCTCTCCCGAAGCCCGTCTCCTATACCTGGGGGCGGCTGGGCAAGCCCTGGCTTGACCATCAACACCAGCGGTCGATCGAGTCCGAGTAAAGGCTACTTCTCAGGTTCCAACGGGGCATCCATGCCTTGGGAGACTGCCAAAATGAGGTCTGCAGGCATGAACGGATATCCTTCGTTTTCTACCCAGAACCAGGGCTTCTTCACACGACACATGCGCCGCATATCGAGTAGCCTGCCACGATTCAACAATCAGAGCCAGTACGCAGAGAAGGAGAAGTTGGGTAGAGGGTCATGGGCAGCTCAGAAGGCGCCATTGGCAGGGAGGATACGGAGCGTCTTTGCGCGCATGGGCAGGAAGATGAAGTTTCGACTGTTACTTCTTTTCGTGTTGTTGCTGTCGCTTACGATTTTCTACACGACCCGTACGCCAGGTCAGAGCCCTTCTAGCAGAGTCTTCCGTCCTTGCTAACCTATTGACAGCTTTGGTTCACCACTGGCGAAGAACGATAGGCGGCGGCCAGAAGCATGTCATCATCCTGGCAGCAAACATTGGCGGCGGAGTGATGGAGTGGAAGGGTGCTCGCGAGTGGGCCATTGAGCGAGACAGCGTGCGGAACAAGAAGAAGTATGCGTACCGGTGGGGATACGACCTCGAAATCGTCGACATGAGCACCAAGAAGCGTTACGCGCACGAGTGGCGCGAGAGCTGGGAGAAGGTTGACTTCATCCGCCATGCTTTCCGCAAATACCCCAAGGCTGAATGGTACGCAATGTGTCTTCCAAGACGAGAACAGGGACTAACAACGTGCCACAGGGTTTGGTGGTTGGATCTTAACACATACGTTATGGAGCTATCGTACCCCCTGCAGAACCACATCTTCAACGACATCAGCTCGCACGTCTACCGCGACATCAACGAATACAACCCTCTGAACATATCGCATCCCTTCACCGATCCCTATCTCGACGAAGAGTCACGAAGCCCTATCGGCGATGGAAAGTCGGAGTCTGTCAATCTGATCCTTTCTCAGGACTGCTCCGGCTTCAACCTAGGCTCCTTCTTCGTGAGAAGAAGCGCATGGGCCGATCGCATGCTTGACGTCTGGTGGGATCCCGTCGCCTACGAGCAGAAACACATGGAGTGGGAGCACAAGGAGCAGGACGCCCTGGAGCAGATGTACACGACACAGCCCTGGATCCGCAAGCATACGGCCTTCCTACCCCAGCGCATGATCAACAGCTTCCCGCCTGGCGCTTGTTCCGAGAATGGAAACGACACTCGTATCCATTACGATCAGAAGGACCGCGACTTTGTCGTCAACATGGCCGGCTGCGAATGGGGTCGCGACTGCTGGGGAGAAATGTACAACTACCGCGAGCTCAGCTATTACCTGAACCGCAACCCCTGGGAGCGCTTCAAAGAGGACCTCATCGCTGTCATCTGGTTCAAACTCACCGGCCAGAAGGTCAAGCTTTGAGATTGCTCTTTCCCCGAGATTTGGTCCCGATGCGTCGTTTCGTATCGTTTGTCTGGACCACTTAATAGCGGCTGGTCGACCGTGTTTCTCTTCCGACGTCTGCTTATCGATAGGGGTACCTATCTTGTATACCACAGAAATACGCATGCGGAGCCCGGAGTGTTGGAGACTGTGATGTTCAGGCATCATGAGCGATGCGAACACGAGACGGAGGCAGTACGACTTGCTATATGGACATGGCGGTATTTAAAAAGGAGGGAATTGAAGACGGGTAGGAGTATGGGTTACGATTTATCGGACGAATGTACAACATGGTCTTTTTTTTTCAACCATGCACCTTTTGTCGTTGCACTAGACGTTGTACGCCAGGCGTGCATTGGCAGAGCAGAGCCTCTTGGATTTTCTGGCATCAAGAGCTGACGCCGGCTCTTTGGTTCGTGGCACAGGTAGATTGCATTTCAGTGGCGTTCAATCACAACCTTGTAATTTTTTTCGACCTCAGGACGTTCAGTACCAGACTTGTTGTTCTTTATGAAGGCATCGCATTTCAGTCGCTGTGCTGCTAATGCGCTGCTCTTCAACATGAAACCGCGGAAGCTCTATGTCCCCATGTAAGTGTTGCTGTTGCTTGATTGATTAACAGGCCAAGGCTTTTGAGCCGCCGAGCCGGGCTTGTCGTCAATCTACCTGAAAACGATCTGCACAATGCAAAGACGGCAACTCTAACGCAAATCCCAGGATGCGGCTGCTTGCTTGTTCCGACTTCAGGACACATCGAAAGGGCCGGGTGAAGCTCGGTGGCGAGTGATGGGCAGGCATTCCCTGCCCTGCGTTGGATTTAGATTTCGGGGTCCGAAATGGTGGTGGGTGGCGATACCTGCTGGCCGTACTGTCAAAGTGTATATGGAATACATGGACGACGATAGCCACGAGGATTAAGGGATGTGCATGGTGTTCAGGGGCGCTTATTGTAGTTGTTGGGTTATATCTGTTATGCTTCTCTTCTCCTGGCACCAGATACGTGTGAGTCAGATGGTCATGCTGTCCAAGCATAATAATAAAGGCTTCCAGCTCCCAGTTATTCAGACACCCGACAATCGTGGTTGCCGAATTCCAGAGCACCTTTGATTCGACCGTCGTTTCATATTATGCAGATAGCCGTGGGAGGCTATCCGACCTGCCAGAACTGCCTGGCTTCCTCTTCGATGAGAAACCTAACTCTCCATTGACAGCTTATACAGAGCCGAGTTGTCTAGGTACGAGACAGAGCCTGCCTAAACTGCCTGGGTTGCACTGCCCTGCCAACTACGATCGAAGTCTGCCGCGCGTGAGATCTTGTTGCGCTCCAGGCGGGGTATCGTGGTGTTTTCTCTGAAGTAGAGGTAATCATTTCCCCGGCCGGAATACGGTTGAGAGTATGAGCTTGCGTCGTTGAGTGGTACTGAGACCTTGCGCGCATGTGTCTCCGATATCTCATCGAGGCATCTAATGCTCCAATGATTGCATGCTTGTAGCACGGTGATATGGAGAATATCCTTCTGATGCTGGTTTTTCGGGTGGATTCCCATCACCTCACGATGCATCTCGTAGCTGTTATCTGGCCAGGAAACTATTAGACTGGTGGGTTTCCTTGATGGCCTACAGCTGGAACTTAATCGCCTTCAAAGCGGCTTAAGCCTTGTTACTGTGGCGTTTGCACACACTGCCGTTGTGTCTTCCTGTGGAAGCCTGGTCGGATAATAGCCTAGGTACTCCGGTGGGAGGTTTAGAGTGTTCTGTTTCTCTTGGTGTTGTTGTTATTGGGGCATGAATAAGCAGAGGACGATGACGGACGATAACAACAACGAGGACGACAACAAGGACAACAACGAGGATAACAACGAGAACAACAACGACGATAAGGATGACAACAATAAGGACAACAACGATAAGGACGACGGGGACAGCAACAAGGACAGCAACAAGGACAGCAACAAGAATAGCAACGAGGATAGAAACAAGGATAAACAAGAGCAATAGCAATAAGGATAATAATACTAAGGATAATATTTAGAAATATTAGAAGTAGTAATAGTTAAGAGCGCACTTTCTCTATGATCTTCCTAAAGTATATAGCAAACTAGGTTAATAAACAACCCTACCTAGTTGAATGCTCGTACTCAGTTTCTACCTCATCTAGTTATAAATTTCAAGGCTAATAGAGAAAACCTCCCAATTACAGTCTTGTTTGCCACCAACGGTATCTTGATTCGTTTTCCAAATGGTGAATTCCACACAACTTTGTTTTCGTCGTTATTGCTCACGTATCTGGTAGCTTTGGCCCCGTATATTTTGATCTCAACACGACGTCGAGGGAGCCAAGAAACCCAAGAAGGAAACAAAAAATCAATGTTTGGGCCCGGCATGGGTAGTGTGGCGGGCCCAGCTTTTCCATACTTCCCTGGTATTTTTTTCATATGTAGTTCATAGTATACCTAGGGAATCCAAAGGTTTACTTGTTTTTTGTGTCCATGTGTCGCCTCTCAGGGGTCAAACAAGCAGTATATTGGAGAAGGGTAGCAGTTGGCAAAAACGAGGAGCATGAAAAAATATGGGAATTGCGGCGCGTGGTGACATAAACGAACAATTGCCGGCGGGCAGGGGTGCCGGCAACCAACAAGAGAAGGGTCCGGTTCCGCATAAAGTGATCTGCGCGCCGACCGTTCGGATGGCAGCGCGCTTCTTTTTTTTTTTTCTGGAGACGATCTTTTCGCCTTCTGGACTCAGGGGTCTCACTGGAGACTCGGGATGCCAAGGATGGTCTTTTTGGATGATATGGAGGTTTTGATCCGGGACTTTGGGGATGTTTGGTCTGCATCTCTGGAGCCGCGGCTCGAGATTAATTAAGACTCCAGCCGGTGCCCGGCATGGTGGGGAGGTTTCAACGGATACTTGAGATGGCGAAAAGACGTGATGCGGCTGCCGGCGCGTCAACGGGACGAGATCTCCTGCGCCCATGTTTCGTCTCAATGAGCCCGAAGGAAACGGACATCTCTGGTTTTTTGGAAGAGTCTGGAAGAGCCCTCGTGGGCATCAATTTTGGAGAAACCCGTGGAGACGGGACGTGGCGGGAAAAGGGCCTTCTTCGGGCAACTCAAACAACCCCTGCCTTATCAATCTCGAAGGTTGTGTACCCCCGAACGTCCGATGCGGTGCTCACCGAGACACCGAGGCGCATTCCCAGAGGGAAGGGACGAACGAGGCTGAGCTGTCAATACCAAGACCAATATCGCTGACAGACATTCCGCGGTGCGTTGGGAATAGTTTCAGAAGTTCAGCTGGGCATTACTGTTCCATGGGGATGGAAGGGCTGTTCGTACGAAAACCTCATAAAGTTGAGTCCGTGTGAGTGTCCCCGTCACCCACACCTCGAAAAGGTCCGGGGTGGTATAATATCGAGTCCACGTCTGTGGCGCCCGTGTCTGGTGCGAGGAGTGTCAAGAATGATCGTGCGCGCGATTGTGTAAGTGCTGAGTATGTGGTTGGGCAAATGTTTCAATTCAGCCCGCCCTTTTTTTTGGTGGTGGCATTGCCTTGCTGTTGTTCCCTGATTCCATCCCTCCTTCTGGACTTCGTGTGTCTGAATGTGGCAGGAGTTCAGAAATGTTTCACAGGCCCGCCTTCGAAGGGAACTGTAGAATGCCACGGGATCCAACGGCACCTAAGCCAGGCGCGGCGAGACTCGAGCGCAGCGCAGCGCGGCGCAGGGGGGCGGCCGTCTTCTTCTTGTCAGGGGAAAAACGTGCGTTAGTCGAGGGAGTGACAGTCAGGAGACGCTGCGAGACATACGTAGTGAAGTTGAGCGCAAGTATCTTTTTCGCCTTTTAACGGTATCGATGGGACTTATTCTCGGTCCTCTTGCTCCTCCTGTCAGGGACATGCAACCTGCAAGATTGGTGCCGCCAACGCAACGCAAAGCAAAGCAATGGAAGCCCAAGAGCCACAGTTGAACAACACAAGGGACCGCCTCCACTGAAGAGTGGAGTGAGTGACATTCCATTCCCTGAACAAGCTGGAAGCGCACCGAGAAGACGAGAAGAGCAGGGCGATTGGAAGAGCCGCCGCCGCTAGGGCGGGTGGGTGCCGCGTGCTCCAGAACCGGCAGACCCGCCACGGCGGGAGGGCAGCGATTGGGCGGCAGCCCGCCCGCCCCTGGCATGGGGCAATGGCCCGTGTTTCAAAACGGGCGAGGTCCAGAGCTCTGTATTGCACTTGTCCAACCCAAAGCCAACCAGCCTTTGACATTCAAACGTCATGTCGTCCACAAGTCTCTTGTTCTCCCTATCAATCGCCATTCGCTTGGCTTTGTTCTCCGTTTTTTTTCCTTGTTCGTTTTTCTTCTCTGTTCATCTCGACTGGAGAAAGATCTCCACGTGCTGTGAGCAACAGCAAGGTCCTCGAAGATCGTTTCCCACTTTCTTCTGCTTCCCTACCTTATCGCTTATCCGTAGATATGGACCACGTACATGATGGTTAAGCCTCCAAAAAAGCACGCACAAACCCACCCAAACACCTCAACACACAAGGTAAGGTACGCACATGGGATGCTCTTGGATCTCGTCTCGGAACCAGAGAGAAAAAAAAAAAGTCGCATTATGTACAACCTATATCGCCTCTCTGCTACAGCCCACGTCCACGTCCACGTACACGTCCATCGGCCACCGAGGCAAACTGGAGCACCCCTATCATCCCATCTTTCGCCCCGTCAGGGTTCGGGATTCCCCTTGTAAAAAGCTGCCCAGGCTTGGCGGGTAAACACATTGAAACAGGTCCTGTCGTTCGTCGAGCCGCGAACAACGTCGTCCCGTCCAATCCTCCACATTTCTACACCCCCCGCATATGCGTGCCGTATGTACACAGCAAACTCGTCCGGATCCCTCCCACTCCCAAGGAGCAAGGCCGCCCAGGGGTTGGGCCGAGAGAGAGAGATGCGAGCGCATACTCGCAGCAAAAGAAAAAGTCTCACCATGGTTCCTGAACAGGGCCCATGTCTTTGTGCGCCGTGTACGTGGCCCTTGGACCTTGGGACGGGTCAGATACAACGGACGAGATTGGTTCCCGAGTCCTCTGCCCAGACTTTTTACAGTCCTCTTGTCTGCGGGTCGTCAGGTCCAACTCAGAGTCATCCAAACGCAAAGAATGTTCCCCAAGACTTGTCCGATGGCCGGGTCTCTTGGCCCTTGGGCCCTGGGCTCTGGGCCCTCCCTCCTCTCCCCCCCACCACCCAAAGGAGAAGCCGTATTTAGCTGGCTGCATTCCCCCATGTGGTTGAGGCTCATGGTCACTCGTGCATCAGTTGTTTAGTGTTCACGACGCAAAAGGGGCCCTCCTCAGCCTTCTCTTTCTTTTCACCTTCACTCCTCTTACACACCCTCGGTGGTGCTTTACTTTCTTACCTTCCGAAGCTTCCATCCAGCCCCTCAGAGGCACAGCCGTTTCAGTCCTTCCGGCGGAAGATATCGTCAGAATAGTGTCATTCCTTCAGAACACTCCACACTCGTCCCAGTCCCGGGACCTCGCCAAGTCGATCCAGACCCGCGTCCTATTGACTAGGACATCAGCAGGCAGCTTCAGTCCCCAACTCATCTCACCACCGCTCGCGAGTCGACGTAAGAGCTGAGATAAGCCAAGAAGCATCGTCATAAGCCAACTGCGCCAGGTGCTCTTCGGTTTCCATTCCTTCAGACATAAAGACGAGAAGGTCTAGTTCAGTTCCGTGAACCAACCTCACCCGTCCAGCAAACACTCCCTTTGTTCCCCTTTCGAGGTTCCAGAACAAGACGAACTCGAGAGACTCAAGTCGCTCACGGCCAACCAACGAACCAACCACCTCGTCATAGTCAGCTCATTCGAACTGTAAAACATTCTCTTTCCTCCTTCTTCCACCTCTTTGACTCTCACTTCTCGACTTTGATTCAAACCTTCCAGACACGACTCCTTTCTGGTGGCTTCTTCTCGAGCCTTCCACGCCCTCATCCTAGCCGAAGAGACATAAGAATCTTCCACCTAAGACCCCCTGCCCGTCAAGAGAAGACACGCAGAGATCGCGATGCCTTCGCAAAAGATCAAGTGTGTCTTGGGCGCCGCCGCCCTTCTGTGCTCCGGGCTGGCCCAGGCGCAGAAGTATGTCCTCCACGACAACTTCGACCAGTCCAACTTCTTCCAGGAGTTCAGCTTCTTCGACCAGGCCGACCCGACCAGGGGCTCCCAGACCTACACCAGCGCGCAGACGGCCAACGACAAGGGCCTCGCCGGCTTCGCCCGCAATGGCGTCTACCTCGGCGTCGACGCAAAGACCATGGGCCAGGGCCGCCAGTCGGTGCGCGTCACCTCCAACAAGGCCTACGACTCCGGCCTCTTCGTCGCCGACATCGCCCACATGCCGACGAGCAGCTGCGGCGTGTGGCCCGCTTTCTGGATGTTCGGTCCCAACTGGTGAGTAATCCTTCAGAAAAAAACATCCCATGACGGGAACTAAGACCCCCGCGCAGGCCCAACTCTGGCGAGATCGACATCATCGAGGGCGTCAACACCCAGGAGACCAACGCCGTGACCCTGCACACGGGGCCCGGCTGCACCATGAACAACGACGGCACCACCCCGTCGACGACCTTCAAGGAGAAGGACTGCAACGCCGGGTCCGCCGGCACCGGCTGCGGCCAGCAGACGGCGAGCAACCAGAACTACGGCGACGGCTTCAACGCCATCGGCGGCGGCGTCTACGCCGTCGACTTCAACGCGCAGGCCATCTCCGTCTGGTTCTTCCCGCGCTCCGCGATCCCCGCCGACGTCGCCTCGGGCAGCCCGAACCCGGCCTCGTGGGGCGCGCCCCTCGCCAAGTTCAACGGCGGCGACGCCTGCGACATCAGGTCCCACTTCAAGCAGCAGAACCTCGTCTTCAACATCGCCCTCTGCGGCGACTGGGCCGGCAAGGTCTGGAGCCAGAACGCCGAGTGCGCCGCCCTCGCCCCGCAGTGCTCCGACTACGTCGCCGCCAACCCGCAGGCCTTCACCGAGGCCTACTGGCTCATCAACTCCGTCAAGGTGTTCCAGTCGCAGTAGAGCGCGGCAGCATGACGACGACGACGACTCGGGCAGGCCATTTTTCACTTCTTCTTCCTTCCGGGGTTTTCTTTCCTTTTATTAGATATGACGACTGCAAAGATCTGGGATCGTGTTGGATTAGACGACGGGTAACACGATCCAGGGGCGTTGGCGGCTTTCCAAGGTTTCGGTCCTTTTTTGACGACGTTTACGACATTTGTGGCTTCGACTCTTTCTTTCTCTCTTATGAGATATTCTCTTCGACCTTCCTGATATCTACTGGTAGATTCTTCTTCTTTGGTGACGGTTTTGGGGCATGACGGAAGGAATGGCGTTTCAAAGGGAAAGAGGGGTTCTTTCTTTGAAGAATTACCTAGATTAGGTTTTTGGCTTTTGGGTAGATACCCTGAATTGGACTATGATGTCGTTTACTCGAAACTTGACGTTTGGCCCCGCTCGAAGCATGGTGTTGTACGCTTGTACACATTTAGACCCAACAGGTTTCACAGCTGGTTGTAGGACCTGAAGTGTCTCAACTTGTTGTACTTCCAAGCAGATACCAAAGACAGCGCAATGCTGACCATCACCTATGCGTTGTTCATATTGGAGCGTCTTGAGAAAGACTACTCTCTCAGCCTCTGCGATGCAATCCTCCGTGGAGTGATTTAGGCCGAACTAGGCCTTGCCCAGTGAGGTCAAAGGTATCGGAAACTCGGACAAGACGTATGTCGATTGTTCTGCTGAGCATTGAATATGAGGCTACCGTGAGTAGCTTGTCGACATGATTAAGATGAGATAACTTACGGCCGACTCTGCGCCCAGAGGGATGCGATACATCCTGGGGGGGAAATGCAACTTCTCCTAGTATAAGCTCAAATGACATGACCTTGATCCGTCGATTTAGCCGTGAAAAAGTTTGCGGCGTACACCAGAGACTACATTGATTCGGCCAAGGTTGAGTCTAATGTCTGGTGTGATGTTTGATAAGCTGGCCTCGATCTGAACTCTGCATCGCATTTTGGTGTTGCCGTTGCCTGAGTCGAGGTCTGCTTTGGTTTGCGAGCTAAAATGAGGTCTGCTTGTGATCCAGTGCCGACAAAGTACAGAACCACATTCGGCAGCGTGAGTGAGTAACCGGAGGGTCGTTTCGCCAAGTAAAGTGTAGGTGTAGATCAAACTTGAATGCTGGGACGAGTCAGGACAAACAACTGTCAGGCGTCAGCGATCCGTTATCGTTAATCGAGACACACACGAGAGAAAATACAATTTCCCGTGAGCTGGTTTGCCGCCCCTCGAAATGAGCCGGTGGCATTTCCGCGGGCGAACTGCTCTTGAATCAGCGCAAGAACGGGTATGTGTGTGTCCTGCCATCCGGAACAAGATTCACTTGACGTCCCGAGATGAGATGTCGTCCAACTTTGAAGGTCAGCAGCCACTAAGAACGGCTGGTTTCTGTTATGCTGCAGGGAACCGGGGGTTTTGGAAATGGGTGCCGAAACTGAATTGGTTCACCGGGAGGGTCTGCGTCCGATCTCTGGTGCGGGCTGCATGAGTGGCAGAACCAAGCACTCGAAACGCGCTCATCCGGTGCCCGTCTGGATGGGCGGGCGGATTAAGAGAGTCGTCAAAGCCGCCATGGTAAATCTAAGGGCGCGGATCAGGACCGTAGATCCTTGAGCTTGAATCAAGACGATCGGTCGTTGGGGAGATGGACGGTAGCAAGGTGCTCTTCGGGGTTCGGTCGGTTACCCCGAGTCTATTCGCGGATCTCGTCAGCCGAAGAAGAATATTATGGAGAAAGGAGTCGATATTGAGCAGCGAAACGACCCAGGGGACAGGAGCTGGCCAAGACGGGAAGTACTCCAGGATAGAACTTGGCGGGCAGAAAAGGAGGAAGTTTTAGACGTTGATGTGAAGATGGCCCCTCAACCCCGTGTGCTCGATGTTGGTCGCCGTTTAGTGCACTTTTTTCCCACGCGCGACCGGGATGACAGCAGGGCCCCACTAGCTTAAGACATGCAGCTAATGGTCCACCACCCGATCAGGCTTAGCCGCCAAGGGTGTGAGGCAGATCCACCGTGATCTTCGACAGACTTCAAACTCGCAACAGGCACGCAGCCAAAACCTCCAGCTTCAGTCTCTTGCGCCAACCGACGGGAAGCGGTCTGCGCTGGCACGCCATTCGACTCCGAGAGCCCTCTTATTGGGTCGCGACCCGCCTAAAGAGACAATCTGCTTGGCTCGTCGATCTGATGCTTGGCAAAGAAGCTTGTCTTCTCGCGTCGACTCGACCAGGGACCGACCCCGGCGTCGATGGTCCTGGGGGACTTGTGATGCACCTGAACCAGCCCACATGTTGCATCAGGGCTCGGATGAGACGCCGATGGGCGGTCGTGTTGCTGCTATCGCCTCGTTCGGACGACTCAGCACCTAGGGCGCGGATGGGGGGTGTTTGTCGGGGAAACCTGAGATGAGGGTTCTGTCAGGCCGGCGACTGGGCCGATGAAGCCATGATGGAACGGGGCGACGGAGGGAGGCCGCGGGGTCCATGAGAACGATCCATCAGAGAAGTGTGGTTTTGCTATAGGATGTTCTGGTATAAGATCCTCCCGCTCGCCCCGGACCACATCTTGTCTTTTCCCTCTCAACATCAGCTTCATCTCATCTCATCTTGATAATCATTCCTTCTCTTCATTCTTGTCAGCAGTGCTGTACTATCCATTCTTTGCCGGTCAATATCTTAAAACTGTAAATATTATAACCCACACATCTTTTTCGTCAACACATCGACACCAACGTCAACAATATGTACTTCTCCAAGATCGCCGTTCTTTTCACCCTCGCCGCTACCGGCTTCTCCGCCCCTGTCGATGTCGACAAGCGTCAGGCCAAGCTCCTGTCTGTCCAGGACTACTCTCAGTTCCAGGTCTCTGACGGTGTTGCTGGCAACGCTCTTGCTGAGGTCGCCCAGAAGTTCCCCGTAAGTCTACCCTAGCTCGCTTCTATCAGCACCCAGCCACTTACACCGCACAGATCGACCAGATCAAGGCCAACCTCGCTGGCGTGAGCAAGGACGACCTCGCCATCCTTCAGGCTGCCCGCGTTGCTGCCGAGGGCGCCGAGACGGACGCCGGCGGCTTCAACGACGCCATTGCCAAGGCCTCCGGCACCGACGCCGACGCCCTCAAGGTCGGCAAGATCAAGAACAAGGTCCTCAAGCTCCAGCTCGAAGTCCTCGCCCTGCAAGTCCAGCAGGCCCAGGGTGCCAGCAACCAGGCCAAGATCGATGCCGAGCAGAAGAAGCTCGACAACAACGTCAAGACCGACACCGCCTCCAAGGGCAAGACCAGCCAGGCCGTCGCCTTCAAGGCCACCTCGGCCCCCGGAGGAGCCAAGGCTGCTGCCAAGCCCAAGAAGGGAAAGAACTGAACCTTCTTCTCGACGGGACGCGCGGTCATCCATAGGAGGCATCGTGTGCGTTATCGTGCAGGAAGGAAAGAGAAACGGCGTTAATCTTCTCTTGGCTGTACTGGTGGGGGAACCCGGCTCATGAAACAATGACGGAGGGAGTTTGCGCGTTTGGGGGCCAAGTTTCTGCTCTAATTCGTGGGACTTGAATAATTCAGCTGAAGTTGGGAAAATCGGAGCAGGAGAAAATACAATATTGAGTTGGGAAGCGCTCCATGAGTCCATGTGCCGCACTTGCCTTGTTGCAGGCGCTGATGCGCCGCACTGTGCATAAGTAGTGATATTGGTGATGTAGGTACTGTGTTAGTGTCTGTTTGACTTACTGTGCCCAGGCTCCCACCCCAAACTCTAACTCACCTCATCATTTCTCCCTCTCACTCTTTCCACGCAACCGCATCGCAAATCTTCCAAAGTCATCGAAATTCACCGTTGGCGAAACCAACCAATTCGAGCTGCGATTTCAAGAGCTATTACGTGGCCCTCGTCGCATGACTGACGTCCTCCAGGCCCAGCGAACCGGGCGCACCCGGTGGCAACATTCGCCCTGATGTCGGCACCATCGAATTACATCCCTTTGGGATGCTTGGTCATCAAGAAAACCGACAATCTCATCAAGGACGAAATTTGGATCGCACTTCAAGAGAAACACGGAAGCTGGGCGGATGTTTCTCCAGTAGACCCGGTCCCTGATGCTAGCGGCACCCAGCTAGCCGCTTTCGCGGATATCGACGACGCCCTTCTGAGATCCAAGCCCTTGAAGAGTTTCAAGAACCTCACTGCCGCGAGATGGATTCTCCTACGAGTGCTCGTCCAGCAGGATGTCTGTATCGTCCGAGTACACGGGCTGCCCGACGATGTTGACAGGCGTCTCGTGAATCGAGATAACACCAAGCTCAAGTACGCGCGAGGGTTGCTCCTCAACGTTCTCGACTTTTCACCGGAAACCTGGGCGGGAAGGCCAAATTCTTCACCCGTACCAATTTTTCGTCATTCTTTGGAGGAGTCGGGTGCTGAGGATGCCTCGCTTTCACTGTTGCAGATGTTCAACAGCATGCCCTCACCAGATCCCGACCCTGGCATCATTGCGAGCCACGCGGATCGAGAAGCTGCTTATGCTGTCCAAGACAGCGATATTCCTGGCTTGACTACGAAGCTGTACAACTACCAACGCCAGTCTGCGGCTCTGATGATTCAGCGGGAGAGTGAGCCTGGTCAGGTGTTAGATCCTCGCCTGCTCAAGGGCTTGGACCAGAATGGTGTCACTTTCTACTTCGACCCAAGTTCGGGCATCCTCCTGAAGGATCCCCGATTCTACGACGGTGTTAGGGGCGGCATACTTGCCGAACAAATGGGCGCCGGAAAAACCCTCATCTGCCTGTCCGTGATTCTGGCAACACGGGGTTCGGCCACCTCGACGCCCGACATCTACAAAGGAAGCGACATACCGGTCAGACCCGTCACCGGTACTCTGGCCGAGATGGTCGCTTCCAATATTAATCGCAAGGGAGCCCCCTGGAAGATTTACTTCAATGCTTACGGGACGACAAAAGATCTAGAATACTCGCGTTGCTTGGCTGCGATCAAAGAGAACCCTGGTTTTTACCACGTCCCTGCTCCTCCGCCGAAGCGTGCCAGCCGTGGCCTCTCGGCAGTCGCGAAACCACCGATCAAGATTTGGCACAGTCATGCATCGCTGGTGGTGGTTCCGAATAATCTGATGAAGCAATGGGAGCAAGAGATCACCAAACATACTGCATCGAGAGAAGACCCGGCCTGTCTTAAAGTCCTCACACTGACCAGCCAGAAAGGCGACATTCCACCTGCCCCTACGCTGGCAACATACGACATTGTTCTCATCTCGCAGACTCGCCTCAGCAATATTTACAAACAGACATTAATGCACGATTGCCCCTTGTCCGAAATCCTTTTCAAGCGCTGCATTGTGGACGAGGGCCACAAGCTGGGCTCTGTCAAGATCTCGAGCAAGACGGATATGCTTCTGGCATTAGACTTGATGCATATAGCTGCTCGCTGGATCGTCACTGGTACACCATCGCCGGGCTTGTACGGCGTGGATATGGAACACCAGAAACCTAACTGCTCCGATGGGGAAACTGGCATGGAAGACAGCAAATTCTCGGCAGAGACAGAACGACAGGACCTGTCCAAGATTGGTGCCATAGCATCGCTCTACTTGAACGCCAGGCCATGGTCGAATACCTCCCTGGAGATAGGAGATACAATGGCGGACTGGTCTGTCTACGTCATGCAACCAAAACACACCTCGAGGAGCAGTGGTCGAAAGGGAGTTCTGCAGGCGACACTAAATTCGCTTCTGATTCGGCATCAATTGTCTGAGCTCAACAATCATCTTCCAGCCGTCAAGGAGAATATTGTTGTTTTGGAGGGCTCCTATCAAGACAAGCTGTCGCTCAATGTCTTTTCAATGATGACAATCTTCAACGCCGTCCAGTCTCAGAGAAGCGACAGAGATTACTTCTTCCATCCGCGGCAACGAAAAGCTCTGCTTCAACTACTGCACAATCTGAAGCAAGCCAGCTTCTTTGGCGGCTCATTCTTTTCACCCGAGGACATAAAAAAATCTCTGGACACGGCGGGAGAGTTTTTGACAGAGAAGAAAGTTCTGATCAGTGATGAAGACGAGGCTTTGCTGAAGAAGGCCATGGATATTGCCCGGATCGCGCTCGAGGACCCGCTGAAGATACTCAGCAACAAATTCAACGAGATACCGGTCTTCGTTCAAGACTTCCTGCCGAATGGTGCGGGTGCGGCATGGTCTTTGGACGACGAGAACAACAATCCGACCTGCACCGATGCAACCTTGGTGATGGCTGCACAAAAGCTGATCCGCTCATCACTCGGTAACACGACGAAGATGAACAGCTTACTAAACGGGCAGTTGCTTGAGGAGGGACACCAGAGGCTGCTGGATCAAGCCGTCTCCATTGCCGAAAACACAGAATCTGAAAGAAAACAGACCAAGGGGCCAAGCGTCCTCGCCGGGAATACAGGGCTGGGAGGCGACAGAGTTCCTAGACAGCTTCGCGCGAACGCATTTCAAACGCTCGAGGCACCCACTGGACATCAGGAGCCCCCCGACGACCTTAAGAAGGCACGTCTTGTCTCCACCGTCTCGGCTAAGCTATCCTACTTGATCGATGCCGTCACGGAACATCAGGCAGACGAGAAGATCATCATCTTCTACGAAAACGAGAACGTGGCTTGGTACTTGGCAAGCATGTTAGATGTAACTCAGGTGCCTCACTTGATTTATGCTAGATCGTTGTCATACGACCGCAAGATGCAATACGTCAACACTTTCAACCACGACGCGAAGTTTCGGTAAGCAAAATCTCTTGGATACAATCATAGAAGCTAACGCACACGATCAGTGTCATTCTCATGGATTTGTCACAAGCAGCGGTTGGCCTCGATATGCGTGCCGCGTCGAGAATCTACTTCATTAACCCGGTGCTGAACCCCCAAATACAAGCGCAAGCGATCGGTCGCGTACGGCGTATCAGCCAGCACAAGCCCGTCACAGTTGAGACCTTGGTACTTCGAGGAAGTATCGAGGAAGTGATTGTCGAGAGGAAGAAGAGCATGTCCCAGATTGAGCACTGGAAGTGCAAGTCGATCCTGGACGACCGTCCAATCTACAACTGGATCTTGAATGCGGCGATCCTCCCATTACCCAAAGACCAGACAGAGAAGCTGGACCAGGCTGTGCCACTGAGATATCCTCAGCCAATTTTCGGCAGCGGTTTCGGTCAAGAGCACCACCCCAATCAAGACATCATCATGGGTGATCTAAGTCCCACTTCACTTTCCAAGACACGACGGCCGGCGAACGACACGCCTTCGAGCAGCTTGAAACGTCGTTACACTCCCGAGCCGCAGGACGATTCGGGGTCACCGGATGTTGATGATGATTCATCACGCAGAGTCCGCTTCAAAGCATCCCATGACGGTGCGATGGGAGATGCCACCACAATGGGAGACGCAACGAGCGGTGATAGTCAAGAATCCGTAGTTCGACCCGGTCGGCAGGTTCGATTCGCTGGTGTTTGAACGTATTTTGTAGGATTTTCACTTGTTTGGCATGGTGTTAGGATTTGCGTCTCCATTGGTTCATGGAATGCGAGGTTTACATACGTTTGTAGGAACAAAATGGTGGTCGAAAGACTCATACTTTTGAAATAGAAGGGTTCACCACCATGTAAACTCATCAGTCGCCACATGTTCGGACTTCACTTGCTCGGGCGTACAGTATGCAAGTGATAAACAACGCATATGCAAACACTTTGTTCGGACCGCATCTCGGGAATCCGATCTGGACAGGTTATGCATATTCTCAGTCCGCTGGTTGCCGCAGAAACTTTAGCATTGCAGACGACCGTATTGTTCCTCCTACAGGCAGACCAAAGCAGGCACAGAGTCCGAGGACCGTCCTAAGCTATTCATAGTCAATGACACCGAGTTGTACGGAACGGACAACAGCACGGAGGAGGTGGTGGTCCTTGCAGCGCTCGTTCCTGACCCACGAGGTCGTGTGAATGAAGGGACTAAAGCCAATGACAGCGGAACCCGGTCACGGCACATTGTTAGTAGCGGGCCGTGTCGCCCAAGACGCTGGGAGAGGGACGGACCACCGGTCTTTATTTGGAGGGTTCGGACGTCGTGCACGGAAGGTGTGGGAAGGGGACTGACTGTGCTTCACCGGATATACCTTAAAAAGTGAGGTTCGTGAGCGACCCAAACGGCGAAGAAGTGTCCGTCATAGACATAACACTGGAAAAATCGACGATGGAGATTGCGATGCCAAGAGATGCGTGGTGGCCAAGGCAAGTGATCGTTCTTGGACTCCCTCGCCGAGACGGCGGCGGCATCTTGCGGCGCGTGTAAGTCTCCATAGAGGGAACCGAGATATCCGGCTAACGGGGTGATGCTGACCACGCGAGATGGGTCCTTTTTCCCTTTTTTCTTTTTTAGAGGAGTGGTTCAAGTTTCGGCAAGAGGCGATGATGCAATGCGGAGATGTGCCCCATCGCCCCAGAAACTTCCTTGAAGAGGCTGGGAAAGCTGATGACAGAATTATCGGGCCAGCCGACGAACGTTCCGTAGGGTGGGAAGAGGAGGAAGAAGAAGAAGCAAAGAAGCAGAGAAGGCGCCTCCCAAATGACGCCTGCCTTGTTGTGTATCCGTAACTGTCACGTCTCTGGGCTGAGGGCGGGAGGCGTTTCTGTCCAGCCCATTCCTTCCAAGTTTCATGGATCCTTTCAATCTCGACCCCTTCCACGTCCCACCTTCCTGGCAGGCACCACCAAAACACAACCGACAACCTAGTGTAAGGTCTTGACTTGCATCATTGTCACCGCATCCCGACGCGCAAGCGAACACGGCCAGAAACAGATCTGAGTGCATTAGATTGCCTTTTCGCTTGCTGTTTGACAAGAGGACGTTATCAATTCGATGAACATGATCCACAGACATTTGCCATTCGAAAAAGTCCAGAGGCTGGGTTGGACATTCGAACTGTTAACTAGAAGACGCTAATGTTGGGACTAGGACAGGAAGAAGCAGGGACGCCCGTTGAAACAGACACAACAGCTCGCCAGGGCAACGATGATTAGCCCGAAAAGAGTTACCTTGCTCCGATCTCTCGGAAGCATCCTATTCGCCTTGTGATTTGCATTCTGTTCTGCGCCTCACCCAGCTATCACAACGGACCGAGGTTTTGGATGTGTGCCAGACGGACGACCTGGACGATGAGCTGCTGCAAAGGACGGGAAGCAAAGCGGGAAGGCGGATGCGAGTCAGACCGTCAAGATTGACGAGGCGACCTTGATACGACCTCAGCACGCGCTACCGCGCCGGGGGTCGACAGCTCTCTCGGAGAGACGAATGGGATTTTCGTCGTCCGTCTGTTTCTGCTTCCAAGGAAGTCAATTAGCGGCGCATCCGATGCTGCAGCTCGAGGGGTTCCAGCCCCGTCTGTGCCATGGATCGAAAACCTCGAGGCTCGAATGATCCCGTCATGGCTAGCTGCAGTGAGCACACCCCCCCTTCAAGTTGGCGTGTTTGACGCTGCAGGGCGAAACGGGATCCCCCAACCTCTCGCCGATATGCTTCCTGGTCGCCTCATTCGTGGACTCAAGGTCCGGACGAAGAGCTTGGGAAAAAAGATGAGACCAGACGACGAGAGGGATGAACGGGCGAGGGCCAAGGAGTGGCCAACTCGCACTCTGCCCCGAGACGACTTGACTACCAACGCACATTCGCATCACCATCGCATGTACTTGTCTCTCTCGAGGGCGGCGTGCTTCACATGAAGGACGACGTGCGCAGCGCTGTTTGGGCTGTGCAGCATGAGCGAAGGCCGATATTACTGGATGTCGAAATCGTTCGCCGCAACCCCGCGAAACGGGACAGGGAATGATGGCATCTGCCTTGGCTACAACTTAGCAGCTTATTGGCCTCCAGCACTCGGGAGTCGTCGTCGTCCGTCTGCCGCTCCGCCACTCAAGGAATCGCCTGGCTTTCCAGTAACGTCGTCAACCCTGTCAACCTTGTTTTTTCTTAGCACAGGTGCCGTCTTTTGCAGCAATTGTGGGTAGCCCTTTTGTATGGGTAGCCTGCGACACATCGAGATTGATGGAGGCGCGGCGGCCTAGACGAGGGGGAACAGAGGGGTTAGATTGCCCGCATTCCAATCATTCATGCCGACTAAGGCATGACCCAGCCGCTGTGTTGCAGAATTGCTGCCTTCATATTGCGTCTGCTTTGCGGGAGAAAGAAAAAAAGAGTTCATGGGACATGCCAGGTCCAGAGCGAGCGCCGACACATGGGCATGTCTTACCGCTGGCAACGGCCTTGACGGATATTTCGAGGAACTGGGTTGGGGGTTCTTCTGCCAGTCGGCTGCTCAGTCCAGATATAACTCGTCCGACGCATGAGTTTCTGCAATTTTGCTCACCTCGCAGCTCATTGTTCTTTTTGGTTTCCCCCTTTTTTCAGCTATCGTCTCTCTTCCTCGTTCCTTGATTTCGGTGGAATGGGTCCGGGTCTGAGCTTTCACTGTTTCTGACCCCTATTTCAGCTCAGCTGGCCCTGCTTGGTGATGCCCTCAACTTGGTTCGGGCGGGTCGGCTACTGAATCGAAAACCCACCAGGGCAACAACGGCAACTAGCCAAGCTCCCCACGTTGAATATATTAAAATTACGGCACAACGACCTCATGAAAACCAAGGTTGCAGGCACACTTTGGGGACAATAAAAAGGGTTGACTCCCCAGACGGAGCGTGAGTTTCAGCTGGAGTTGTGCGGCTGAAGCGGAAAATTGAGAGAAAGAGAAGGAGACGAGTTCGGTTCAACAGATCTCACCAAAGCCAACACACACAACCGACGTCGGCAAGAATCGAGCTTTTGAAATTCGATACCGACGATCTCGACCATCGGAACAAGATGATCAGCGGACGGCAGTACTACGAGATCCCACCCGTTCGAGGTGGTGGCGGTGGTGGTGGTGCGGGCAACGCGGCGAACGGTTACGGCGGCGTCCATCCGCATCGATTCGACCCGACATTCGGTGACGGCTACGGCCACGGCCACGGCCACGGCCACGGCCACGGTTACAGTCGCAGCGGCGGTCATGGTGGCTACCATTACGATCGCAACCACGGGACTCGCCAGGCCCAGCAGGAGGAGGCAGGCTACCCGTACGGATACGACGACAACGACGTTAAGCCCGCTCGGGCGGCTCCCGCTGCGAGGCAATCCCTCTCGGCGCTGGACGAGAAGCGTGCCAACGAGATCCGTCGCGGCGTCTACGCACACGTCTTCCTCGACGTCAAAAATAGCAGCAAATCAGAAGTCTTGTAAGTCCTTCTTCCGTCTTGCCCCTCTTGGGGTCTGGTCCTACGTACCATCATCTCCGTTTTCTGCTTCTGCGTCTGCTTCTATTGGTTGTCGTTGGTGGCTTCTATTTCTTTTCTTCCGGTGTCCCCATCGATTCGTCCACTTTCACGTTAAGATTCATTTTCGCGCGCGGCGTTCTGTTAGTCGAGTTTGGTCGTTCGTTGTACACATCACTCTGCATGGAAACATTCTCGTGTTCTGCTGCACTTTTGCTGCAAAGTCTGCAGCTGCTGCGCCTTCGCAGCCTGTCCTGACTTTGAGGGTGGTTTCATCCGTACAAGTTGGGACGGATTTGTTTGGGCTTCAGGTTCATCCCATTTTCCCGACTGTCACTTCACCCTTTGTTTGAACGTTACTGTGTTTTTTTCTGCTCGATGCCCACTCTTAAACAATGTCGATGACGACTTTGGCTACAAGTCCGACTATTGTCGCGTCGCTCGATTCCCGAAAAGAGTCGGATGGGGCACTGCTCCACGTCTCATTTCATCGGCGCCCGAGATTTCCAAGCGGACGTGGAGCTGTTGGTTTAATGAAATTTGCCTTTGCTTTTTTGGCTTGGGGAGACGTCTGCCGGATTCAACGCATGCGCGAAAAATCCAACGAACCAAACACTCAGCCGCTTCCTTTGTGATGCAGCCAAACTCCTCCGAGGCTGCTCTGTTGTGCTCGTTCTCTGAGATTACGACCCCACGAGATCCTCTGCCCAGTCTGGGGCCAAGCACGCCCATCATCGACCTGTCACTTCTGAGATGGGAATGTATCGTCCCCCCAACATGGATGGAGCTTTGATTCCCCCGAGTCGTCTTCCATGTTTCTTCCTCCCCCTTGCGGTAAACAGCGAGATACCCCTTCCTCTTCCGTCCTTCGTTCTCCATCCAGGATCGAATCATGTTCATCAATCCTTGCCATAAGCCGCACATCACCCACTCTTCCGACTTGGATCGGATGCTCTCAATCACACTCGTCAGGGAGAACAAGGACAGCCTGGAAACAAGCCAACTGGACGAGGAGGGGTTGTTCGGAAACGATAAGCCCAACAGGGACTTCAGGAGCTTCCTAATTTCCACCAGGAACAGTGGCGCGCGTCTCTGCCAGTTGCAGGCCAAGGCACAAGATTCGCGCCGCTACCCGCCAAGCGGCACGCCATGGGAGGGGGAGCGCGGCGCACTTCTGACTTCTGGTTGTCTTCTCTTCTCAATCTCTACGGTCCCTTACTCGTCCCTTTTTCGCCGCTGCACGTAGTGTAAGCCCTAGCGCATCCCCCAAAGTAGGGAGTTTGTCGTTCGTCGCACCCACGTTGCCGGGTTGCGCAAGTCGACTAAGGCTTGATTACCTAGTCTCGGCGCCTGGCAACGCCGCAAACGCCTAGTCCAAGCCTCGAAGCCGTCGAGGCAGACGTTTCCTAGCAAAGCTCGACGCACCAGTGTCCCGCGACAACCCACGGCTGAGGTTCGCGAACCGGACCAGGGCACAGGGGACCCCCAAGTTGCCCCAAGGGGGTGGAGGGGTGGGATGGCCAGTGGTCCCCCCGGTGGATGAGCGGGCACCCATCAGTGCCATCACGCTTCATTGGGATAGGATGATCAGAGCAACTGTCTGAGCACTGCCCACGCACCTCTCTCGCGTGTATTGGACCAGTATTATCTGTATGCGTATGGTACTCTGCTCTGTAGAGTGTGTACCTCACAGAGTACGTGTACCGCAATACGCAGCCTCCGCTGAAGCCAAGGGTTCGGGCTGTAGCCTCTCCTGCACCAGTGCCGATGTTGCGCTGTTTTTCTCCGGTCTTTTCGTATTAAACATGACAAGACCCCCCCTTCGTCACGTCATGTTGGCGCTTGTCTAATCTTTTGTTTTCCTGGGTTTTGCTGTTTGCCGATTTCTTGTCCTTTCTTGGATTGAACATAACACCGGGACCGTTGCCGAGTTCCGTTTGCCGCCGAGACCAGAAAGGTATTAACACGTCCTCTCCCGCTCTAGTAATCCAAGGATCCAGCAACACAAGAGAAGAGCCTCCGCCTCACCTGCTGCTTCTACTTACGTCGTCCGCGATGGAAACCGCTTGAGAGTTCCAGGCCGTTTCTCCTCTCGCCCAGCCGTCGCCGCCGCAGCTACCCTGAATCCCATTATGGCCGCCAGCCACGGACCCGCCCCGGCATACTTCGGAGCCCCGGATTTGTATCCCAAACGTGATCAGTCGATGAATGCGATGGCGCCCGCACGATCGAGCCCGCGGATCGCCCGCGTTCCCTACGCCCTGCAGACCACACCCGCCGAAGAGAAGGGTGTCGTTGAGGCCATGCCCACGCCTCTGAACAGGCCGCGGAAGCTGTCCCAGGCCTCCACCGTTACCGTCACCAGCATCAACAGCCCGAGAGACAGCTTCGACTCGCGGTCGAGGAGTTCATCGTGGAGCAGCAACAGATCGAGTTTCGAATCGAGGGACTCATGGAAGCCCGATTATCTGCAGCAACGACCGACCATCCCCGCAGCATTTAGGAAGAAGGCCAAGCCCGGGGAGATTTTCGCGAGGCTGCCTGGGGAGGTGTTGGAATTGATCTTGGACGAGCTGAAGAAATCACACCTGGAAAAGGGAAGCAACAGCTGCGCGACATGTTGGATGAGGGATGTATGCTCCGTCAGCCTAAGTGCTCGGAAATGGTGCAAATTCGCACGGGTGGCCTTGTAAGTTGGACGCCCGCGATAAGAGGTCGTTGATGCTGACAGCTCGAAGATATGAGGACATTCAACTGGTGGGCCTTGATTCGACATCACAGAAGAAGAAGTACAAGCTCGGCTTCGGCTCCAGAATGATGCTCCTCCGGCGGACTCTGAGAGCCAACTCATATCTCGCCGCTATGGTTCACACCGTGAAGGTTCCCAGCGCGCCTGCAGGCATTGCGCTGGAAGATTATTACAACCAGGTGGCCGCGCTGGTCATGGCCTGCCCCAACTTTGAGCGTCTTATGGGCATCCACCCCCAGTATGACCACTCATACAGCAAGCTCTTCCACGCCCTCTCGACTCGCAAGCGTCTTAAGCACATGGACTGGATCGTTCAGACCTCGCCGTTCCAGCGACAGCACCGATTCCGAACCACTTCGTCGGAGAGCGTCCCGACGCTGAGCCAGCCGCAACGCGAAAACGTAACCCCGGGAGACCTGCAACCGCACCAGAGCGCGACATTCCTCGATTTCCACGTCGACTGGGCTCACCTTACCACTCTCACAATCCACTGCCTCCCCGGTGCGACACTTACACCGGACAACCTCGTCAGCTCGGCGTTGATGCACCTGACGTCCCTGCAGCACCTTTACCTGTCTCGGATGCCAGTAACGGCTTTCAACGACAGCACTCTCCTCACGCTGCCCCCCTTGCGCACGCTATCCCTTTCTCACGTACCCGGCGTCACCAGTGCCGGTATCTCGGCCTTGGCAACTCTGCCCACAAGCCAGGCGATCCAGAAATTGACTCTGCGCCACACCAACCTCGACTCCCTCCCCGCCCTGGCCCGCATATTCTCTAACTTCACCTACCTCGAAGTCTTCACCCTCGTCCAGAGCTTCGCGCCTACCCTCCCCGAGGACACCTTCATCTGGCTGATGCCGTATCTCGCCTCCGGCTCCCTGCGCAAGCTCCACTGGGACATCACGAGCAACACCACGAACGCCAACGCGGCCGATTCCATCCTGGCCCGAAGCATCGCCGCCGGCGGCTTCCCCTCCCTCCGCAGCCTCCGCACCCCCAACGACCCCGAGGGTGCTTTCCAAGCCCTCTGCCGCCCGGTCGAACGCGTCGATTTCTCCAGCGACCGGTTCCGCACCCCCGTCGCAAGAAGCGCCTCCTTCCCCGCCGCCACGCCGCACGCCCCGACCACGAAACCCAAATCACCGACGTCCGCCGGCGGCGCCGGGCTGCCGCCCCCGTCCGAGACATTCCGCGAGTCCAGCGACCTCCACCAGGCCCGACTGGCAGCGCAAGCCCGCCTCGAGGCCGCGCGCCCGTTCCCGCGGTTCTTCGTCAACGTAATCGACGAGGACGGCACCCTGCTGGAGAAGTACGGCCTCGCGGGGTTCATGGGCACCATCGAGAGCCGCATCACGTACAACCTCCGCCCGGACCCGGGGGCCAAGGACGAGCGCGGCGGGCTCGTCGAGATGGCGGACCTGATGGGCAGCAGCCACGGCGAGGACATACCGAACGGGAAGGAGGGCTGCACCGGACGCTGGAACGTGTCCTCCGCGGTGGCGGAGAAGAAGGACAAGGAGCGGTGGTGGCACACGGAGAGAGGCCGGTGGCATCAGCCGCAACTCGCGTGATGACGGAACGACAACACACAAAGCTTGGAGGCAATACCCCTATTTGACGTCCTCTTCAAACAACACTTTTCCTTGTTTCTATGGTTTTTGACGGCCTACCATTTCATGATATCCAGATTGTCTCAGGACATTGGGGATAGATACCAAACGAAACCTCGCGCGTATATATGTAATGTTTTGTAACGGTATTTTACAGGTCGACAATGGCGGGCGGAGGTGGATGTACGAAGAATAAAGTAGATAGAGACAGTCACGATATTTACTTAATCAACAGGCCTCCTTTGGTGGAAGTTCCTGACGACGAAAAGCCGTTTCTTTGATGAGGAACTGTGAAACGTGATAGAATATGAACTTGTTCCGTCGTTGCGTCGCTCGGGCGGGTGTTTGTTGGGTATGGAATACTCTGGAACACCCGTCCGCCCGGACGTTTGGAAATTCGTCGAGGCAGCACGAACAAAGCTGGCTTACCTCAGCCTGCGACATGTCGAAAAAAGGCTCAAGCAAGCTCATCTTTGCCTGTGCTCACAGTCATCACTGGTTCGCCAGGCGGTTGATTGCTGCCTTCCGGGGCCTAATGACTGCAACAGCCTTAAAACCATCCTTCCTCCCACCTTCCCTCGACGACACCTGTGACCTTGTCCCGGTACCTACCTACCTACCTAAGCTTGGTGCCTGCCTGCCTGCCTGCCTGCCTGTTTGCCCCGCCCCCCACTATTCCAGGTTGTGAACGAACACCACCCCCGCAGCGCCCGCCTGCCGTAATCCGCACCCGCACCCGCCGCGCCGTCGTCCGCCCACCCCACCTGACCTCGACTCTCACCCGACCTCCGTCACTCAGCCTCAAAACGACCACCGAACGACCGCGCGGCATCTTATCAAAGTCACGTACCAGCCGTTCATCTCAATACCGAAGCCGCGCGAATCGGATACATCCAACCTCTGACTCATTCTCACCGCGCCCAAACATCGTCTCCCCTATCGCGATCTCATCATTCAACAGAACCAATAACGTCATCATTCATCCCGGACCGCGAACATATCCAGCACCGCGAGATTCTCTCGTTCTTCGAGTAGAGGAACTCTTCTTCGAGTGAAGAGACCCACAGGCGGGGAGTGGGAAAGCAAGTCACGCACATCTTTCGAAGCATTCTGCACGGGGGAGGGAGGACCAGACATTGGACAGCCACGGGGGGAAAGATTGAACGAACGACCACAGACTTAAACCCCACCAACATGGCCGGGGACAAGACGCTCCGCATCTTCTGCTTCGGCGACTCGCTGACGGCCGGGTACACCTACTCCGGCGCCGCCTACCACCCGTACACCATCGCCCTCACGGAGAAGCTGTCCAAGGACCTGTCCGACACGCAGGTCGTCGCCGTCGAGAACGGCATGCCGGGGGACGTCGTCACCCAGGGCGCGTTCGCGCAGAGGTTCGAGAGTGAGGGTGCGTCTTGATTTCTTCTTCTTTCATACACCGTTCTCCCACACAGTCTCCCCGTTCGTCCATCCGAGACCGATTTTATTACACGCACGCTCACACTCACATGAACGACGCCGATGCTGATGATCTGCTCTTAGTAAACCAACCCGAAAGCCGTGACTCGGAGGGCCTCGAAAACCCGACGACGTATGACTGGGTCATCATCCTTGGCGGCACGAAGTAAGTCTACTTTCCTTCAGTTGCTACTTGTCGAGCACCCAAAAGGCTTACGCCTCAAACCCCTCCAGCGATCTGGCACTAGGCGTCACGCCGGAGAGGATATTCGAATGCCTCAAGGCCGCGTGGGACTCCGCCCTCGCCAAGGGGGCCAAGGTCCTCGCGCTGACGGTCCCCGAGTGCGCCTACAAGAACAGAGTGCTCGACGCCGCCCGGCGACGGCTCAACACCGCCATCCTCTCACATCAAGCGCCGAATTAGTGAGTCCCCGCACGTTCTCTTTCCCCCTTCTCTGTTTCTCCTTCTTGTTTCCCCCGAACACACTCGGAGGCCATCTAACCGCGTTCTCCACCACACAGCCACGCCCTCGACCTCAACTCCAGAACCCCCTACCACGACCTCACGGACAGGGAGCGCAAGAGGTACTGGGACGACGGCGTGCACCTCACGCCGGACGGCTACGACTGGATGGGCGGCCACATCGCCGACGCCCTGGGCAACTTCATCGAGCTGGAGAGGGACCCGACCTCGCGCAGGTCGCAGCGCGCAAAGAGGTACAAGGAGGAGGACATCGTCTCCTATGACGAGGAGACGGGCGACCCGCGGTCACTGAGCGAGGGGTACGTGGTCGTCAGGATGAGAGACTTGGATTAGATACCTTTTTTTCATGATGCATCTTTATTTCTGATATTCCCAATCTCTATCTATGGTCGGCAGTCCACCACATGGTCTGCTGCTGCTGCGGAAGAAGTGCACCCATTCACCTGACGATCTGCTGTGCTATGCTCATTTTTGTGTATGATTCCCGGAACGCCGATACCCCTTGACAACGCCAGACATGTTCATCATTCAGTCGTAGACGTCGTTTCATACAACCAAGTTGGCCTCCACGAACTCCTGTTTTTGGGAAGTCAGTCATATTACAAGTATAGAAGACAGTGATAGGGGGGCAACTCACCGGGAACTGCCTTTGCAGAGCGTTGGTCACGTTCTCGACCTCCTCGGCCATGCTCTGCACGTTGGCATCCCACTGCCTCATCTCCTTGCCGACCGTCACCTCCGCCCGCCCGCTGCCCTTCTGGCCCGAGGCCTCGCCGCCCTCGAACCAGATGACCTCCTCGAGCTGGTCGATGCGGCCGAGCAGGCGGCCCTGCTCGATCATGCGCGCCGTCGTCTCCTCCGCCTTCTCCCCGTCCAGCCCGAGCAGCGAGCCGAGCGCGTCGAAGCCGATGTTGCGGTACAGCCGCGAGGCGCCGAGGAGGTTGTGCTCGACGACGGCCTTGGCGAGGACCGTGGACCCGTCGGCCGTCGTGGCGAGCTGGTGCGGCTGCAGGCCCTGCGCGAACTTCTCCACCTCGCCGGGCGCGAGGAGCCGGTCGAAGAACATCTTCTCCAGCATGCCGAACTCGTCGAGGCCGGCCGACCGCTCGTCCTTGTACAGCTTCCCGAGGGCGCGGCTCCGCATCGGCCCCGCGGGGGCGAGGATGGCGCACTTGACGGCCATGCCGAGGGTGTGGAGGCGCTCCTCCTCGGCGATGGCCGGGCTGAGGCTGATCTCGTGGTACCTGTTGCTGGCGCCGAGGAAGTCGCGCTTGGAGTCGAGGATGCGGGCCTGGGAGAGCTTGAAGTGGAGGTCGAGGTCGCGGTCCTGGACGGTGTGCATGATGTTCTTGAGCTTGTTGACGTACGTCTCGGCGGCGGTGGTGTCGTCGACCTCGAGGTAGTTGCGCGCGATGCGGACCCAGACGCGGGCCTTGTCGTCGTTCGTGACCTTCCGCTGGGAGCTGTCGAGGGGGATGTCGGCGAGGCACTTGGCGGCCTCGAGGAAGTCCTCGTTGCCCTCGTGGGCCTCGGCGACGAGCTCGCGGACGGCGGCGGCCTGGTCGAGGAAGGAGGGGGGCTGGGCGGCGAGCTGGTCGAGGGTGTGGGTGCCGACGGCGACCCAGAGGTCGTGGTTGCCGAGGGCGCGGAGGGCGGCGACGAAGGAGGTGAGGACGGCACGGGTGGATACGATGCCGAGGGCGGCGGCGAAGAAGGCGTCGAGGACGGCGTTCAGGTCGGCGGCGGCCGTAGGCGGCGAGGAGAGGGACTTGATGTCGGCGAGGATGGAGTCGTAGGCGGCGGCCTTGTCGGGGGCCGACTCGGCTTGGGCGAGCCGCTCGGCGACCTTTTGTGAGGGCGCCATCGTCGTCTCTGCCCCTGTAGAACTCTGGCGGTCTTGTTTACGTACAGAGGTTGTTGAACTTGGTAGGTCTGTTTCAGTTGAAGTTGCGGAGCTGGAGATGAGCTGTCCGTTGGTTGTTGATGGGAAGGTTAGGCAGGCAGGGAGCCATGGTGGGGTAGTAGAGCTTGGGTGGAGGGGTGCAGGGGCCCCCACACTTCACGATTAAAGGCTGGGCGTGTCTTTCAATAAACCTAAAGATACCTATGGATGGAATCTGGATTAGTTCTATTGTGGCCATTGCCTGTGCAGCTTTGTCTGCACGAAATACTGGACTCTTCGTTCAGCTCTTCTCTATCTGTCATTCTTACCGTTAAAATACCAGTTTGAGCTTTTACGGTCTCACATATCTCACCTGTCAGAATGGAATAGTAATTGACGTACTGAGCGCAGTGTATTTTCAAAAGAAAATCACCAGCATAACTGCCTATGCTTTGTCATTAAAAGGCGAATTCGAACAGAGTAGAGGTATGGAAAAGAAACTGGCAAGCTAGAACCTATGTGATGGAGTAAGAGCTGGCGGCGAAAAACAACGTTGATGAAGCTCAATTGTAGCCACGACGACAAAAGCTACACCGATTGTATGCCATCGGATTTGGCAGCCATGTAAGTATAAGAGATGCCATGTTAGTCTTCCAAGTCGTCGAAGAGAAATGTAGAAAAGCTGATGTTATTAGGTTGACCTCACGACACCCCACGACCAAAGTTTCCCAAATCGACAAATTGCCTTAAGTTGAGCGTCCCATGCTGAGAGTGACTCGGTGCATGATCCCATTCATAGGTCGACTGGTTTTCACGACCTTGCTGGGCCATTCATTCCACGGTGGAAGGATGGTGTTTTAGGGGGTCGGGAATTTTTGCCAAACACGACTCGCACTCACCCTCGTGGATTTTGACCTCACTCCAAAAACAGAAATCAACGGCAGGGATAATTGATTTGGGTGATGTGCATAGGAGTAGAATTTTGTGCAGACATTATAATTATGCAAATACACGGGTATCTTCCAACATCGGCCCACCATCGGCTGATGATGACGAGCGAACCCTTCCAGCCCAAAAGAAAAGGTATACGGAACGCTTTTCGCGCACAGTCTTCTCTACTTTACAAAACGCAACAGTCCCGTTTCTCAACATTTCTCATCTCTGCTTTTTTTTTTTTTTTCTCTTTCAGTGCTGCAGCACAATGGGCTTCCCAGACTCCCAGTTGTTCAGGCTCTCCTGGATGTTGACCCAGTACCTCAGCTTGACCGCCTCCCTCTTCGCCGTCTCGATGTCGTCGTGCCGGAAGGCCTCCTCCAGCACCTCCTCGCTCTCGCGTATGCGCCCGTCGTTAGCCGTCCGCTGGCCCTCCAGCTCGCTCTCGTCGGTCGCCTCCTCGATCTCCTCGCGCGCCTCCAGGACCACCATCAGGAGCTCCGGATCCTCGACCTTGAGCGTCTCGTCGTTGGCCACGTCGACGCCGCGCAGCTGGAGGAGGTACTGCGCCCGCAGCAGCGGGTTCGAGAGGGTCTTGTAGGCCTCGTTGATCCGCGCCGAGGTCGCCTCGGCGCGGTTCTTGAGCTCGGCCGGGTGCATGTCCGGGTGCGCTTTGGCTTGCAGCCGGAGGAACTCGCGGCGGAGGGCGCGCTGGTCGATGGGGAAGTGGCCCTTCGGCGGCGGTCCGTCTGGAAGGGTGATGGGAAAGAATTCGTAGTGCGTTTCCGGGGGCCGGCTGCTGCTGCTCTCTTCCGAAGAAGCGGTTGCTTGCTCACTGGACGCTGCGGTCGCCGGTCGTGCTAAGGATGTTGTTCCCGACATCCACCGCGTTTGGCCCAGACTGCTAGAAGTCTCTGATGGCCATCGCATATTACGTGCGGCCAGCGGCGTGCTGGTAATCGCCCCCGCCCCGTGTATCCGGGACGCGGTCGCCTGGCGCCGGCATCTCACGCAAAGACGCGAGATGTCTCGTGCGCTCGTGGTGATTGAAGTTCGCATTGTGACAGTGTCTCTGACTCGACTTGATCTTGAAAAAACCGCAGCGCAAACAGAAATCCGTCGGCTGTCGTAGGTTATCGTCGATTGAACGGTCGTGAAGTTGCTCGACGGCAAGATTATGAAATTTGCGACTTTCCAGGACGAATGGATGACGTCCCCCCCCCGTAATAGTAAATTGCCCACATTGCCGCGCCAAAGCGAAGCGAAGCGGTCTAAGGTGGTCCTAGCGCCGAGCAGCCGCGCCGACAAGTCCGAAGTCGGGGTTTTCGCGGGCTCGCGGCATTCTTCCCACGGGCGGGTCCTCATTGTGCATGTTCCCACCGTCTGTGGTCACTGCGTTGACAAAAAAGTGCGCTGTGATTCGAGGTTCGACCCCAACCCCAGATCAACCGTTCCCCCACGGGCCTTGGGCTGGTTTCTGTGCCAGACTCCGTACGGGGTAATTTACGCCGAATGATTGGCGACTTAATACGATGATGTGCCCGCTCGGTCAGTTGTTGAGACTCTTCCCAGTTTTTCTCGGGAAGTTGAGTTGAGAACGCGAACTGCTGTCAAGATGTTGAAGGTATTCACTGCTGAAGAAGGTCAGTTCATCATCATCGTCGCCAGCTTGCTGCCCCAATCCCATGCTGACTCGGTTCTCAGTGTCCAAGCACAACACCCCAGAGAGCTGCTGGGTCGTGCTCTACGGCAAGGTGTACGACGTGACCGAATTCCTCCCTTCCCACCCTGGCGGCTCCAAGATCATTGTGAAGCTGTCCGGCAAAGATGCGACGGACGAGTACGACCCGATCCACCCCCCGGGTATCCTCGAGGAGAACCTGAAGCCCGAAAACTGCCTCGGCACCGTAGACCCCGAGTCTATGGCCCTGTTACAACCCGCACCGGCGAAGGCACAAGACTCGAAGCCCAAGGAGGGACCGCCGCGCCTGGAGACGCTGCTCAACATTGACGAGATTGAGGAGGCTGCTACGAAGCTGATTCCCAAGAAGGCGTGGGCATACTATTTCTCCGCTAGTGATGATCTGTGGACGAAGAGCAACAACGGCCAGGTATACAGGCGAATCCTGCTTAGGCCGCGTGTTTTCGTCGACTGTACCCAAGTTGATACCTCTACATCACTCCTGGGCCACAACGTAGGAATCCCGTTGTTCGTGTCGCCAGCTGCGATGGCAAGACTCGCCCATCCTGATGGTGAGCGTGGCATTGCCAAGGCAGCGGCCAGATTCAATGCGATGCAGTGCGTGTCGAACAACGCCTCAATGACGCCAGAGCAGATTATTGAGGGTGCCCAACCGGGCCAGATCTTTGGCTGGCAACTCTACGTCCAAAATGACAGGGCCAAGAGTGAAGCCATGCTGAAGCGCATCAATGCCATGCGGGATCACTACAAGTACGTCTGTTTGACGTTGGATGCTCCATGGCCAGGAAAGCGTGAGCTTGATGAGAAGCAACAGTTTGAAGGTGCCTTCGAGGTGGAGTCCGAGTCTAACTCCAAGACTGAGGAGGCGAAGCGGCCGGGCGGTGGTGGTGTGGGACAGCAGCTCTTCTTCGGAACGGCAGCCGATCTGACCTGGAAGACCACCCTGCCTTGGCTGGCGCAACACACCGATTTGCCAATTGTGCTCAAGGGAATCCAAACGCACGAAGATGCTTATCTGGCGGCCAAGTACGCGCCACAAGTGAAGGCAATCATTCTGTCAAACCATGGTGGACGTGCCCTTGATACTGCCCCACCTGCGGTTCACACCCTGCTGGAGATCCGCAAGTACTGCCCCGAGGTCTTCGACAAGATCGAAGTCTGGGTCGACGGCGGTATCAAGCGTGGAACAGACGTCGTCAAGGCCCTATGCCTGGGTGCAAAGGCTGTAGGAGTTGGCCGCGCTGCGCTCTTCGGTCTCGGTGCGGGAGGTCAGGCCGGTGTTGAGAGGACGTTCGAAAGTAAGCCCTGCGTGTCTAGAGCCGTGTCGTTGTTGATGAGTCGCTAACTTTTGTCCAGTCCTGAAAGCCGAAATGGAGACATGCATGAGGCTGCTTGGCGTGAAGAACGTCAGCGAACTGGGTCCCAAGTTTGTAAGTGACACCACCACAACCCAAGTCCAAGACTTGAATGAGACGTCGGATGCTGATGACCGCCGCAGATCAACACTCGCCAGGTGGAGAGAGATATCTACGATGGCGAGTCTGGGCTTGAGAATAAGGTTAGCCTGTGGGTGAAGTCGAAGTTGTAGTGCGGACATCCCCAGAAACACCAGCTGAGTTGAGGCTGAATCGAGCCATGGAGCTTGGAAGGGGGGTAAATTGTTGGGCGCGCGGGGCGGATGTCATCATTTTGCCCGCAAAGCCTCGTCGCATTACTCTTGGCCTCACAATAGTGGGATGCGCCGCATGTTCGATCCAGGGTGAGGCCTGGATCTCGACATCCGAGATTCAGATGGACGATAAGAAGACAATGGAGATGGCGGAATGGTTTTCGAAACCAAGCACACGACAGCGTTGTAATTCCGCAGGCTTGGTCAATCTGAGAAGGCCGTGTAGAGTCATACATGAGGATAGAGAATTGTAGAAAGTTCTGCTGCGTCGGATGTCAGTCGCTGTCAGTCATCGTCATCTTGTCAGTGGCTGGTCTGATGTTTTGAAACGAAACCCTGGAAGATTCTGTCGTCGATTTTATTACCGATCCGACGTCGCCGCTTCGACTCGCAGATCCGAGCACCCGCCATCCCACTCAGGCGATGGCAGAGTGTCCGGTGTGGTGGGTAGCCATGGGCTGTGTGCCACATTTCTCGGTCAGTTAACGTCAGGCGGTAAGGCGACTTGAGACGGAATTACGTCTTTTCAGTGTCTGAAAGGCTGGGAACCGTGGTGGACGGCGACATTGTGGTGTAGATATCGCGCGAGAACTCTGAAATTTGAGCCAGGTTGTATTGGGTACTTTTGCGGCATAATTGATGGGCGAGGGATCCATAGCTCTCTAACACGGTTAGTGATGCTATCGTGACGGCCGTGAGCAAGTACGGATGATCGGATCGCAGGGGTCATTCAGGCCTTGGGCAAAGTTTTTGAGAGGCCGGGGTGATTTATGGGCGTAATCTGAAGGTGGTGGACGACATGTCCTTCATGTCATTCAAGACAAGATTCGACCGATCGAGCCAAGACCATTACTGAGGGCGATGGAGAGGAAAGAAGTCATCGACTGAGTGCAAAACCCAAAAGTCAAAACAAGAGGCATTGCACAGGATGATATGTGTAATGCAGCAGGACGATCGAAATGAGTACGACGCTGTGATGCCTTCCACTTTCACGTCAATTGAATGATGATGAGAATGAGGAAGGTCCGTACAGAGCAGTGGGCGGCTTCAGCTCCACTGACTGACATGTCGTTGGTTGTGGTTGGCCGCTGTGAGTGTGTGACTTTAGTGGGTAGTTCCACCCGGGCATGCCAGGGCCTCAGGCCTTGTGGTCCTTCGGTCTCCGCTCCCCGCCAGCACCCGTCGTGCCCAGGCTGGGGTATGCAGGGGTCCTGGGTTGGGATAGGCGGGCACACGACAAGCAACCGCCAACCTAACCTCACCCAATGTCGGTTGCCCTCGCCGTCCTGCAGGTCTGTACGTACAGAGTATCCATCCGTACGGCAATACAGACCGGAGTGCCTGCTTTCGTTTTCAGTTTTTTTTTTCTTTCTCTTTTTAGTGGGCACACATGCAAAAAGTCCCCTCCCTTTTTTGCCTCGTACTAACATTCGATTTACTCGAAAACGAAGCAAATCATTGGCCTTCTGCGTCAAATCTCCGAGACCAATTCGAAAAGCCCAACCAATCCCGACCCATCCTCAGCCCATTTCGGTCCTGCTGCCGCTGCCCTTTTCTGCGCCGTTCTTTTCTCTACACGAGCACACAAACTTGTAGCTTTCCCCCGCTCGCCTGCGCCCGCGTGCGCAGTGTCTACGGTACCTTGCGGCGTGCCTTCGAAAAGTCTGTGTCTTGTGATGCCACCACACTAGACTTTCCGTCGTGGCTTGGGCACCCCCAATATTTGATGCGATCTAGACGGCAACCCCCGGGTTCTTAAGACTTTGACATTCTCATTGGCTTTTGAGCTGAGTCCAAGTGGTTCACCAGTGGCGCGGCGAGCAAGACGAACGCCATCAGCCTCAGCATCACGATGCTTTCATTGGGCAGGCGAGGATTCCCTCCCCAACGCTAGAAGCCGGCCGGATCAGCCTAGTGACTACGGGAAAAGTCTCAACGTCCACTGGTTTGCTCGCCTCCCGGGTGAAGCTTGTCTCATCGAAGGAGCCAAAGCCTTTACGCCGTTTGGTCCTTTTACACCGCACGCATTTAAGTGCTCGGGCTATTAAACCAACTGACTAGTCAGACAACCTATCATTACTTCGCAATGAACATGCCATAAGCATTGTCTTCATCGCAACGGCCAACCGCGTTCTCGCCCTGCTTCCAACTCGTCCTTTGGGGCATATTGGCGGCCAAGCCACCAGGGTCGTATATTGCGCCGCCAGACGCAGACCAGTGCTACCACCCACGAGATCACTTTCATATGCTCCTGCGTTATTCACAAGATGCCGAGGGACCGTCAGCTCATGGTCCACGCCCAGCCAGGATTGCAACTCTGCGTGTTGGTGGGCAAGGGGCCACCCCAGCTCTCATCGACACACAATGCGGGGCAACCGCTTGGAGATGGTGTCGACCTTGTTCTCGGCATGCCACCCAATCCGGCAACGCTGCCCCGGCATGCCCTTGCAAGTCGACCATCCATCCGAGACCAAGCGCAGATTCGGACGTCAAATTTCGTGACCTGACAGCTTTTTCATCTGCATCCAGTCACGCTGTGCCATCTGACTGGTCGATCCGCTGTCCTTGTTACGCAGCTGGGTCAACTATCCGTTCGATAGACACACAAATTACCAAGCTACCTCATCCACTTCGCCCTCATGTGGTCCCAGGTACGCCGGCCACATACACAATCATCATGGACGCCCAGGTACCCGCGCCGCACCAACTTTAGACCACCCTGTTTACCTCCTACCGCGTTGGGGCGCCTTTTCAAATGGGTCGAAGGAAGGGAAAGGGTTACATGCTTGAATTGTTGTGGACACGAAGATCTCGAGCTATCGCTGCCGTGTGATGCTCTTGCTTTAAGGGTGCCTGTTATTTCCCGGCATCCCCAGCCCTTACCCCAGAAAGCATCTCTCGATCTCTGTACTTAAACACCTTTGGTCCCACTCACTGACCTTGCTCCTGGACATCCCGGGCATCACCTGTTCACCTGTCATCGAGACGTTCAGGCGGACTGTTTGCTCCTTCAACACACATCGGACTTTCACGGAAGCGGACGCCAACTCTCCAACTATTGCATCAGACAACGTATAATACGCATACTACGATTCAGACAACATGAGAGACAAGCACGATATCAACCACTCTGAGGATGCCCTTGGCGGCATGGACACCGGACGCCGCGGCAAGAGGAAGACTTGCATGAGGCACTGCGCGAAGTTCTGGTGGGCGTACCTGATTGCCTTCATCTGCTTTGTCGTTCTCATCGTTTGCTTGATGTAAGTTTGGGAGATCGGACCCTCACCCATCACCCGCAACTGCATGGAAGCTGACCCATGCTATAGCATCTTCGTTGCAGTTCCCAAGATTGCCCAACACAAGCTGGATGAGGCCGAACTCACCGTTGACGGCATTACCCTATCTAACACAAAGTCCAACTCATACACCATGTCGATCAACTCGACATTGAGGTCGGATGGCAAAGTCAGCGCTACGATCGAGCCCTTCGAGGGTGCCATGTACCTGGAGGATCTGGAGCCGCACACCCCCTTCGTCACCATCAACTTCCCCGAAACGAAATCCGTCAAGATGCAGACCGTCAACGTCAGCCAACCGATCCAGATTGCAGACATGGCGGCTTTCACCACATTCAACACTTGGTTCCAGGCCAACGAGTCCGTCAGAGTGACCATCAGGGGCGACACCCACGTCAAGGTCTCTGGAATCAGCAAGAGATACCCCGTCACATTCAAAAACACCGTCACCTTGAAGGGTACGATCAGAGTTCAGCCCCATTGATTTCGAGCATGAAGCTAACAGAGTCTAGCCCTCCATGAATTCTCAGGCCTCAACGTGACGGAAAGCGAGATCTCTCTCACCCCCGATGCCCGAGGTGACAACTTCCACGGCAAAGTGACAATCCCCAACCATTCTGTCATCACCCTCGAGATTGTAAGTTTCAGTAGTTCATGCAAGCTACCGTACTGCAGCCAATACTAACACGATACTTTTTAGGGCAACGCCTCATTCTCCAATATCCTCAACAATGGAAACATCGGCACCGTCTTCATCGACAACCTGGTGCTTCACCCGGGTAACAACGACGTCGAAATGCGCGCCAACATCTCGCAGGCGCCCGTTCTGACTGCTCTTGGCAAGCGTCCCGCCTGCGAGAGCGGCGTGATCGCATTCGGGCTCCAGGGCAAGGACGTGGTCAATGGCGGTGAGAGGTTGTCGTACTTCGCCGACGCGCTGGCTGCCGGTACGGTTGCCACTGACATCAACGTGGGCGGTGCCCTCAAGAAGATCGGACTCAACATTCCTTGTAGCTAGACAAACATCACCATGAAAAAGAGAGAGAGTCTCACGGAAACGCATGCGGGAGGCAAGGAAGACATTCGCAGGTTCGACTAATGGTTTACTTCTGGACTTGAGGGGGGATTTATGAGCTACATTGTTTCTATACCTTGACCTCCGTGTGGTTTCATGCCAGATACACTGCGAAGCCAGATACAAAAGCTGCGATAGCTGAATCATGATACCTATCTAAAACAATCGGTTTTCTGTAAGCCTTGCATATGACTTCCTAGCGCCCAAAACAGCACAGAGAAACGGCAACCACGACAGTCGTTCATTCAAGATTAACCCTATTTTAATCGTCGTTAGACTAAACCCTATGGCCTTTCACTCCTCTGACCGTGACACATACTCCGTCAGCTGTCGTCCAAATTCTCGATTCGGTCCGTGTCCCAGACGCCATCTATCTGACGACACAAATGACGGTGCACACCCTCGTACAAAGAACACACGGATGTTATCATCCGTTGGGGGGTATCACTATGCCAGATTCCCTCACCTTCTCACCCACCATGGGACGCTTCGAAGCGAGAGGTAAGCACCGACTTCCATCCCAATCCCACGTGCTAGGCCCAGCAGTGACGCGCGCCTCGGCCCAAGACATCTGAGACGCCTGCAGAAACCTTGCTCCTCTTTTCTCAACCCCACGCGGCGGCAATGGGGACCATGTAACCCAACACATCTCCTCGCTTAAGACTGCATATCGCAGTCGTCGTGTTCCATCCGCAGACCAAGGGCCCGGGAAAAGGGATTCACCAGGCGCCCGCTTTTCGCTTACCCGGGCGAAGGCCCCCTTGCTCCGTCGCCTCGTTACCCCCGGGTACGGCGACTTCGTAAGCGGGAGCAGCAGCAGCAGCAGCAGGAACGAACTCGACGGGCCCGCCGGCCCTCCTCAGCTCGGCGCGGTCGGCGCGCACCCGCTCCTGGCTCTGACGCAGCGCGGTCCTGGAAGCCCACTCGGGCAGGCTCTCCTCGGATGTGGGATCCCAGATGTCGCGGGGCAGGGTGGTGGCGTAGCCCGCGCGGCCGTCGAGCTCGACGAAGCCCAGGAGCTTGTCCGTCAGGCTCGGGTTGCGCAGGGCGGCCGACTGGGCGAGCTTGGCGTTGAAGTGGACGCCCTTGTTCTTGAGCTCCAGGAACTGCGTGAATTTGGTTTCCAGGGCCGGGAGGGGCGAGCCCGGCGGCGAGGGGGGGATGTCGAAGTTCGGGACGGTGGGAAGGGTCAGGTCCCGGAGCAGGGCGCGGGAGGCCGTGTACGGCGAGGCTCGGGGCTGGCCGTCGTCTGCTTGGGATGGAGGGCCTTCGGGACCTTGTGGTTCCATTTGTGGTAAGGCTGGGCCTAGCGGGACTGAGTGTTGTTGGACTGGGCCGATCGTTACTTCTGGCTCTGGAGCCTCATGATGTTTTTGGGGTGGTGGTGAGGGTTGCTTGGTAGAATCTAAAGGCGTTGTAAGTATCTTTGTGCATGGGTTGCACATGTTTTCTTACTTGAGTCGGTGTTTTGAACGGGAGGTGTGCTCGTCTTGGAGTTCTCAGTCTGTATGTGATAGCTCAGTGAACTGCATTGATGAAAGTGTACGTGTGAGTGAGCGGCAGTACCTTCTCGGGAACGACGTCTTGAACTTCATCGTCATCGTCACTGCTGGCGTATGCGACTAGACCAGCCATTCTGGCAAAATTGGAAATTTGTTTTTATTCAGATGATCGTGGAGGTTGTTAGGATGAATTGGCGGCCGCAACGTGATGGTGTTGATCAAGGGGTCTGGTATGAGGTTAGAGGTACCTTCATCTCAGGTTGCTGCACCTCAGTATGCTCATTAAAAGTGGAAATTTTCGATTGGCCCATTAAAGTGGATCCATATCGTCGAGGTCTGACCTCACGTTTGGAGCAACCTAATTATCACGTCGCGACCTTTTTCCGCCCCCTCCCCAAACTTCTTCAGCCGCATGTCATCTGCGTCGCTATCCTAGTTCGACTGGCGCATGCCTACCTTCTTCACACATTTGTTGTTCACCCTCCAAGAAGCTACCATAGCTAGACTCCAACGGTGCACACACCCCTCGAGTGACAGACCCTGCGAGAAGTGGAAAAAAAAAGTAGCTCTCACCAAACGTAGTGTCTTGCTGAGAGTTCGAGACCTACAACATGGCTCGGACCAGGGACTCGCGCTCACCATCGCCTGCAGGAAGCCAACACAACGCGAGAAATCGCCGCAAAGATGACGACAGGGACAGGCGCGATCGGGATCGCCGCGATGACGGCAGGGACTACCGTCGTCGCTCGCGGTCCAGAAGCCCTGGCGACGTAAGAAACCACCAACACCGGAGACGCGATTGGGACCATTCTGATACATACCGCGAACAGCGCCGATACCGAGATCGCGACCGTGATCGTGGCGGCGACTCTTACCGCCGCAGGGACCGCTCCGTAGACCGACGAGACGATGATTCATATCGCGGAAGCCGACGAGACAACGACCGTCACCGTGAGCGGAGGAGGTCGCGTGACCGGTACGCCGACAGAGATCGATCTCTTGACAGACGCAGACACCGCGACGATGGCAGAGACAGAGATCACCGCCCGCGGCGTGACGACTCTAGGGACAGAGCGCGCGCAAGGCGCGAGGGAACGGCCGACTCCCACCCTCGCAGCAGGCGCGATGACAGCCGTCCACGCGGTGCGGCGCCTCCGGAGAGCAAGACTGCTGCTAGTGACGAGGTACGAAAGCTTCAAACGACCCAGAATGACCAAATAGCTGACATGAATTCGCAGGCTGCGAAGCCCAAGCCTACACCGGCACAGACCGAGGCTGACAAGAAGGCCGAGAGACTTGCTAGACTCGAGGCATGGAAGAAGGCCAGAGAGAACAAGGCGAGCAAAGAGAATGAGGTTAATCCAAGCCAGACTAGGAATCTCCTTGCGGAGATGGACAAGAAGTCCGTGCCGTCCCCGACTCCCGCTTCGCCCGCAGTGCCCGCCGCGGCTTCACCCGCGGTTGCATCCCCTGGCTCAGCGTCGCCGGCCCCGACCCCGGCGCAGACCGCATCCGGAGCCGCGTCGCCGGCCGTCCCTTACGCCGGCAAGTTCGATCCCAAAGCCATTGCGAAGAAGTCGGCAGCGTCGCATAAGCAGGCAGCCTCGAATGGCGTTCTAGGCTTGCTCGACGGCCGCCCTGAAAAGCCGACTGCTGCTGCTGTTGCACCAACTATCAAAGGTACGCCCACGCCCATATCTCACTTTGGAAAGCAAACATGTCCTCACACGGACCTCGCAGCTTCGGCCCTACCTGCCAATCGCGGTAACATCGGCGGTTTCGGGTTCCACAAACAGAACGATAGCGACAAGCTCGCCAAACGCAAGCTGGACCTCGATGAGGAGGAAGGCACGAAGAGGAAACTTACGAAGTTACCCGCACTTCCCCTCGAGGCTGATGACACCCCCTATGCTGATCAAGACGAGGATGACGAGTCTGATGGCGGAAACTTCGCCGAGACCGAGGAAGAGGCCATTGCGGCCGCCCGCGCGGCACACGAAAGGCGAGAGAAAGAACTTCAAGAAGCACAAGAAGCTCAAGAGGACAAGCCTGACGTTGCCATGGATGACGTTCCAGCACAAACCAACACCAACGGCACCATTCCAGACGAACCCGCCGCCGACAAGATGGACGTCGAAGACGAAGATGACGTTGATCCCTTGGATGCCTTCATGGCCGACTTGAAAGACACGAAAGCTAGGCCAGCGGCTCCCCAGGCAAGTACATCATCGAAGAAGGTCCAAGAGCCAGAGGCGTACTTCAGTGACGATGACTACGCTTTCAAGGCAGAAGACAAGGACGCCAACGCCATCCTCGCCATGGCCGCCAAGCGCAAGAAGAAGGACATCCCCACCGTCGACTACAACAAGCTCGACCTACAGCCTATCCGCAAGAACTTCTGGGTGGAGCCCGCAGAGCTCGCCGCCCTGACAGAGGCCGAGGCCAACGATCTTCGCTTGGAGCTTGATGGTATCAAGGTTTCCGGGAAAGATGTTCCAAAGCCTGTGCAGAAATGGGCCCAGTGTGGTCTCACACGGCAAACGCTGGACGTCGTGGCCGACTTGGGGTACGAGAAGCCTACGTCTATTCAGATGCAGGCCCTTCCAGTCATCATGTCTGGCCGCGATGTCGTTGGTGTAGCCAAGACCGGATCTGGTAAAACGGTCGCTTTCCTCCTGCCCATGTTTCGTCACATCATGGACCAGCCTCCTATCAAGGACACCGACGGCCCCATCGGCCTTATCATGACTCCGACCCGAGAACTCGCTGTTCAGATTCACCGTGACTGCAAGCCGTTTCTCAAGTCGATGGGCTTGCGAGCTGTTTGTGCCTACGGTGGAGCCCCAATCAGGGACCAAATTGCTGAGCTCAAGCGTGGAGCCGAAATCGTTGTGTGCACCCCTGGTCGTATGATCGACTTGCTTGCCGCCAACCAGGGACGTGTCACGAACCTACGTAGAGTCACCTACGTTGTCCTTGATGAGGCGGATCGCATGTTCGACATGGGTTTCGAGCCTCAAGTCATGAAGATATTTGCCAACATGCGGCCTGATCGGCAAACCATTTTGTTCTCGGCAACGATGCCTCGCATCATCGATTCTCTGACCAAGAAGGTGTTGAAGTCTCCAGTGGAGATCACCGTTGGTGGCCGCAGCGTTGTCGCATCAGATATCACGCAGAAGGTTGAGGTTATCCCCGAAGACGGCAAGTTTGTACACCTTCTGGGACTTCTTGGTGAACTTTATGAGGAGGACGAGGACGCTCGTACCCTCATTTTCGTTGAACGCCAGGAAAAGGCAGACGACTTGCTCAAGGAGCTCATGGTCAAGGGGTACCCTTGCATGTCCATTCACGGTGGCAAAGATCAGATCGATCGAGACTCCACGATTGCTGATTTCAAGAAGGGCATTGTGCCTATTCTCATTGCTACTTCAGTCGCAGCTCGAGGTCTGGACGTCAAGCAGCTCAAGCTTGTTGTCAACTACGATGCTCCTAACCATCTCGAAGATTATGTCCATCGTGCTGGACGAACCGGACGAGCAGGCAACAAGGGCACTGCTGTTACCTTCATTACCGAAGAGCAGGAGAACTGCGCCCCTGGTATTGCCAAAGCCTTGGAGCAAAGCGGGCAACCTGTGCCTGATCGCTTGAACGAGATGCGCAAGGCTCACAAGGACAAGGTCAAGGCAGGTAAAGCCAAGGATACGTCTGGTTTCGGTGGAAAGGGTCTGGATCGACTCGATGCCGAGCGAGAGGCGGCCCGTCTCCGCGAGCGCAAGACTCACAAGGCCGAGGGTGAGGAAGACGATGTCAAGGAAGAAAAGACGGACGAAGACAAGGGCAAGGATGCCGCATCTGCCATCAAATCAGCCGTGTCGGCGATTGTGTCCCGCAGCACCGCCAAACCCGAAGGCGAGAAACCGAAGGAAGCACCCGCTGCTGGTGGAGGAGCCGCTGGTGGTAAGAAGCCACTTGATGCTGTTAGTGCCGCCATCAGTGCCATCAACGAGCGACTCGGCAAGGCCGGCCAGCTTCGGTCGGGTCAGCCCATCGACAACAAGGGACCAGACGCCGGCGCTTACCACGCTACGCTGGAGATCAACGATTTCCCACAGAAGGCAAGATGGGCCGTCACCAACAGGACGAACGTGGCCAAGATTCTGGAGGCGACTGGCGTGTCCATCACTACAAAGGGAACGTTCTACCCGGCTGGCAAGGAGGTTCCTCCCGGAGCAGACCCGAAGCTGTACATTCTTGTTGAAGGTGACACCGAGGTCGTCGTCGGCGCTGCCATAACCGAGCTCACCCGACTTCTCAGTGAGGGAACGGTGGCCGCGGCTACGGCAGACAGCCGCGCTCCCGCCTCTGGACGTTACAACGTTGTCTAATGGCAGTTTTTATTGTTTTGCCGTAGTTTTGATAATGTACCTAAGTCGATTGGTGGGCGTTGTGGTGCTTTGGGACATGGGCGGTTTCCCTTGAGACATACACGAGGGCAAAGTTCGGGGACGGCAACTCGCAGTCAGCAGTGTTAGTTTAGCTGAAGAGCAATAGTCAAGACTTTATTCGAAGCCAGTCTAGGTGTCTACTTGAGAATGTCTTGGACTATATCAGATCCTTCCTCGCTAAACAGAATCAAATCGCTAAACCGAGTGTCATGAGCTCTCGGATTACCGAGTGCCGGTCGTTGGATACCTTGATGGCGAACCAATCAAAGTTATATCTTCCCGTGCGCTTCAAAATCTCCAGTATTCGTAGGTGGTATTATCGGGCAAAGCGCCCGCCAAACTCCGTGTGAACTTCAAAACCCCCCTCTTGTTTTCCCAACACCGCATACTCGCGACTCGTCGTGGTTTAGTTATACGTCCTCGCCTCGGCGGCAGCGTCGGCATCGCGCTGTCTCAACTGCTGGGTGCTGGCGTCCTTGAGGAGATCCGCCTGCGTCTGCTTCTTTTGCGCATTCAGTTGCGAGCTCAGTTTCCCGGTCGACTTGCTCGCGGCTTTCGCTCGGGCCTGTTGTGACGATGTGGAGTTAGCAACTGATTGGCCTGTACTTCGCCGAGTGAATCACTCACCTCCGCCGCCTCAGCAGCCTTCCGTTTCGCATCGTCCACGACGGCGTTTGACCGCTCTCCGGAGGTGCTGCTACCGCCGCCGCCGCCGCCCAGCGTCCTCGGCGGGCCTCCGACTATCCTCGCCGGGATGGGCGCGGTCTTGGGCTGGGGAGGGGGCGCGGAGCCGAGGGGACGGCCCGGCGAGGAGAAGTTGTCGTCGCCCTTCTCCTTGCCGCAGACGGAGCCCATTGTCGCGACGGGTGTGTGTATTTCGTTTCTGTCTCTGATGGATGCGCGCGCGCGCGACGGTGGCGAAGTTGCGGGTTCGGAGGGGGGGAGCGCGCGATTCAGCGCGACGCAGCGGACGGGGTGCGGATGAGGTCAGAGGTTCGCGGACGGATGGACGGGAGGCTCCGGGGGAGGAGGTCGGTGCGGATGCGGATGTACGTAATTACGGTGCAAGTTCGGGCGGCGGCCGGGATGCAGGGTCTAATAAGTGAGTGTGGCTGTCCTGAAGCCGTGGGCTTTTTGTAAGTGTATGAGCGATCACAAATGCTGGTCTCGTCTAAGTGTTAGGTGTACTGTAGATGTTTGGTGTTGTCCGCGCAGGAGGCGAAGCTGCGAGAAAGGGAGGACGTCGATATTAGGACCGTTTTCCCCGGGGAAATAGAGGGCCGCGTAAGGTAACCTCGTCTATCGATATGAAGCCAAGAGCGACCCGACGGGAGGGGAGGTTCAACGACAGCTGCGCCGCACTGCCATTCCTGACGAGGAAGGAGGCTAGCGTCGTTTGGAGGCGCATCAGTAGGCAAGGGTCCCGTGTGCTACTCCAACGCAGTCTGAGACGGTGGCACTCTAGGTCTGTCTTGCTGGTCGCACGTCGACCGATGTTTCCCGTCTTTGTCTAACCCCATTCACACTACCTGCCGTTGACTTCATACCTATCTAGATGGATTGGAATTGGATCTAAGCTACCCGCCTAAAAGGTCGGTAGGTAGGTACAGCGGGGTGCGGGGTTTATTGGCCCGAAACAGGTAGGAAAAAAAGTTGACGGACCAATGGCCGAAACTCCAATTCTCTCGCAAATCTTCAAAGTTTAGCGCTCAGATTCAGCAGGCGGGGAACTTGCTGTTGATGCAACGCAGTCCAAGACAAACCATAGAATGTCCGTCTTCGCAATCAGGTTTGATTCTTTCTTGACTCGTTGCAGTCTTCATTGTGAAGCAGCTAGTCTCGATCATTTAAGTACAACAGTTTTTCGCGTGCTCAGTTTCCCCTCATCGCTGTCCCACCTCGAGAGACCCCGGGTGGTTGGTTTGCGCTTGAGGTCACTGTCGTCGCATTGCTCCCGTTGGAGGGACGAGCATGCAACGTGGGGCAAGTAACCTGGAAGATACCTTGTCTAGCACCGATATCCCCCGCGAAGTCCCGGTATCACCTCCGTAGTCAACGGGTTTTTCGCAGCTGCCCCTCCCCCTCCTTAATCGGAAGCCGATTTTGCGCGCCTGCCTCTCCCACCCACAACGCATCATCGCGCAAGGCAAAATTTTTGCTTTTCTAACCTTCTTCTTTCTTCTCTTCTTGAACCCATCGTCTTTTTGTTGTTCCCTTCTGTCATTCTGACAACAATTCTGCTTCGTCAAGATTTGAAGGTACCAAAGCAAAGATGTCGGGTCAGAAGATCGCCATCGTCTCCGTCTACGACAAGACGGGTCTGCTGGACCTGGCCAAGGGCCTCAACCAGCAGAATGTCCGTATCCTCGCCTCTGGCGGTACCGCCAAGATGATCCGGGAGTCTGGATTTCCCGTTGAGTAAGTCACTCTCAGAAGCCTTCACCGGAGCTTCCGCCTTGTGGCACATGCTAATTGGGACGTTGCGTGCAGGGACATTTCCGCCATCACCAAGGCCCCCGAGATGCTGGCTGGCCGTGTCAAGACTCTCCACCCCGCCGTCCACGCCGGCATACTCGCCAGAAACCTCGAGTCCGACGAGAAGGACTTGGCCGACCAGAACATCAACAAGGTTGACTACGTCATCTGCAACCTTTACCCCTTCAAGGACACCGTCGCGAAGGTCAATGTCACTGTCCCCGAGGCTGTCGAGGAGATCGATATCGGTGGCGTTACGCTCATCAGAGCCGCCGCCAAGAACCACAGCCGTGTCACCATCCTCAGCGACCCCAACGACTACGCCGAGTTCCTGAAGGAGCTCCAGTCTGGCGAGATCACCGAGACAAGCCGCAACCGCTACGCCCTGAAGGCGTTCGAGCACACTGCTGACTACGATGCCGCCATCTCCGAGTTCTTCCGTAAGCAGTACGCCGCCGACGGCAAGCAGTACATGGCCCTGAGATACGGTGCCAACCCCCACCAGAAGCCCGCCGCTGCCTTCATGAACTCTGGTGAGCTGCCGTATAAGGTTCTTGGTGGATCCCCCGGGTACATCAACCTTCTCGATGCCCTTAACAGCTGGCCCCTTGTCAAGGAGCTGAAGCAGGCTCTCGGCAAGCCCGCCGCCGCCAGCTTCAAGCACGTTTCTCCCGCCGGTGCTGCCATCGGCACACCCCTGACCGAGGAGGAGCGCAAGGTTTACTTCGTTAACGATATTGAGGGCATCGAGTCCTCTCCTCTCGCTCAGGCCTACGCTCGTGCCCGTGGCGCTGATCGCATGAGCAGCTTCGGTGACGTAATTGCTCTGAGTGACATTGTCGATGTCCCCACTGCCAGCATCATCTCCAAGGAGGTCTCCGACGGTGTTATTGCCCCGGGCTTCGAGCCCGCCGCTCTTGAGATGCTCAAGAAGAAGAAGGGCGGAAAGTACCTCGTCCTGCAGATCGACCCCGACTACGTCCCCTCCAAGACCGAGACCAGGACCGTCTACGGCGTTACTCTGCAGCAGCACCGCAATGACATCGAGATTTCCCCCAAGTCTTTCAACAGAATCATCACCCCCAAGGAGTCGGGTCCTCTTTCCGAGTCCGCCCTGCGTGATTTGACTGTCGCCACGATCGCCCTGAAGTACACTCAGAGCAACTCAGTCTGCTACGCCTACAATGGGCAGGTGATTGGTCTGGGTGCTGGTCAGCAGTCAAGAATCCACTGCACTCGTCTTGCGGGTGACAAGGCAGACAACTGGTGGCTCCGCTTCCACCCCCGTGTTCTGGGCATCAAGTGGAAGAAGGGCACCAAGCGCCCGGACAAGAGCAACGCCATCGACTTGTTGGTCAGCGGCGAGCTCCCCAAGTCTGGTGCTGAGCGTGAGATGTTCGAGGGTGTCTTTGAGGAGGTTCCCCCCGCCTTCACTGACGCCGAGAGGGAGGAGTGGCTCGGCAAGTTGACCAACGTTGCCGTATCGAGCGATGCTTTCGTGAGTAGATTCGCCCTCGTAATTGCTGCCGGTTTTCTGACAAAACTTAGTTCCCCTTTGTTGACAACGTCTTCCGCGCATCTCGATCTGGTGTCAAGTACATCGCTGCCCCTGGAGGCAGCCAAAACGACGGCGCCGTGTTCGACACTGCGGAGAAGCTGGGTATCACGTTTGTGGAGCAGAACATCCGTCTCTTCCATCATTAAGCGTCTCGTATGTTATTGAAAAAAAACAGGTGTTTGGGGGATTTCAACTTGGGATGGGATGGCCGAAAAGTATGACGCGCCACAATGATAGGCATCAGTTTGCCAAGGAGGGTATGCTTCAGACATATGGGCAAAACGCCTCTAGGACACCATGTCGAAATGGCAATGATATTCAACATATATCTGGAGTAATTGGTTGATGTTATTGGGCAGATAGCAGCGAAATGCGAACAATGGCTGCAAGCCATGAACTTTGAATTATGCATGCATGCGCGGATGCTGGCGACATCAGACATCACGCTATGTGTCACGTCCTCGGGCCGTTTGTTGGGAATTCTGCAGCTAGGCCGAAGACGCCTCTATTGGCGGTTCGCGCGTGAAAGCCCGCTTCATTAACTTGGCAGATGACCTGTCGCCAACAAAGCTTGATCTGATGATCTTCCGGCGGCCGGTCGAAGGTTGTCGGATCTCAGCCGGAGAGTGTGGGGGGATTCCACGGTAGAAACTGAGAGAATGAGTGTGCATTTTCCACATGTCGAGCGAATTACTCCGATGGCGGCGTTTACGTCGTTTGGACTGGGTGGCTGCTATTAACTCCCGCGACCGCGGGGACATTGAGCTTTGGAAACAGACGAGAAGGTAACATGCCGTGATGACTTCGTCTGTTTTCTCCTGTTCCTGCTGTGTATTGAAGAGTATTCAGCTGAAAAGAACAAAAACGAGTTGCTTTTCCAAATATTTGGTTTCTTTTCTTTCTTTCTTTTTTCTTCTCAATTGCTCGCACTCTCTTGGTGCATGCCCAAGGTCATCTTGGCTTTTTCTGCAATAAACCTTAAAAATGAGACGATTTTTGTCCGTGAGGCTTGCGGCTTATCCAAGATAGGGCGAGGCAACCACGGCTACCTAGGTAGGATGAAGTATGGATGACCGCCATGAGGCTTTTCGTACGAGATCCATGGATGCGCTGGGCCTTCTCCGAACGAGTACGTACATAGTACAGACAGATTATGTTTAGATCATCCCGTCGATGCACAGGCGCAGGCCAAATGCACGCAAGCTGCCAGCTTACGTACACGAACCCTGGGCTGATGTCCTGGCCAATGAGGGATGGCTCACCTGCTAAGAAAGGGCACCGAGTGGGCCTGGTTGCCAACCACAAGCCACTGATTACCATCCCCCTGTGCGCCCCGCACCCCCACGTTGCGAGCCTCTCAGCAGTCACACTGTGCACAGCTCTGAGTCCTACCTACCTGGAGATCTCTCTTTCTCCACTGTATCCGTCCACGCTCTCGTGAGAAAGAGCGTTGGGTGGAATGGTCAAAAACGCAAAAGAGAGCCTGGGGACTGGGCGCCTCTCGCTAACTCATCGCGCAAGGCGACCGACATTGAGTTTATGAGAGGTAAATGCAGGAGCATATCAGCCGGCAGATTTCTAATCTATATAAGCCGGCACTCGAGGTTCATTGTTGAGAATTTTGTGGCCGATCGAGTCTGTTGCAATTTACATCACAACAACGCAAAAAACCCTCCAAGGGAGACCACGTCCACATCGTTGTCGCTCACTTGGACCCAACCCAACGGTAAGTCTTCTGAAATGATATGCGCTCCTTTGACATGGTTTTTTTTGACATGGAGCGTACAGGGATTCCGGTGTTACGCTGTCGAGTTAGCAGCCCCTCCGTCACCAGTCTGAGAGGCCGCATTTTCGCGCCGGAGGCCATCAAGGTTCTCAAACCGCACCGCAGCTGGGCATCGCACTGCAACACCGCCTTCCCACTCCACGCGCAAAAGACGCTGCCCGTCATAGGAAACTGGCAGGTACGAACCACTGGTTCCATACCTGCAGTCCAATCCAGTTTCCCAATTTCTTCTTTACCCCTCGAACTCATAGCCTGTACCTACCTCTACCTGCCTGGGCCTTGTTCAACGGCCGGCTGACTTGGTCTCGTCTCGCCTCGCCTCGCTTCTTTTCTCTTCCCACCATACCAACTCTCTTGCTCATATACTCTACGCCGCCGCTTCGGTTCCGTCCGTCTGTTAGAACATAACTGGACCTCTTGGACATCCCGGAACGCTACGTCTACCCTCCCCGACTCGTTGGTTCAACCAGAAGGAACTCTCCATTGGGTCTCAGATTCGACATTTGCGGCTCTGTCGTCGAATCTTCTTGCCTACGGTCCCTCGGCTCCGTGGCCCAAGCCACCCTTCCCGTTGATCGGCAGTCCTCGCGGGGTATCCTTTCGGAAACGTCAACTTCGAATTTTCGCGATACCCAACTATCACATCACCTGAAGCCATGGCCGACCCAAACAATGAGCTGGCAAGCTTCGGTCTACACGACCCAAGGTCTGCTTTGAATCTCTCGCCGTATTATCAAAACGACCTCAACAACAACAACAACAACAATAGCAGCAATAACAACAACGATAACAGCAACAACCACATCTACAGCCATATGTTCTATCAAGACGCGGACAACACTCTCGCCTGCCATCTACCTCACGATGCCCACGACGACAGTTGCCTTGACGCGAATGCCCTCCACGGCATGTATCATGGCAAGCCTGAGGAGCCATCAGCCGGCTTCCTACATGCCCGAAGCATGAGCATCCCAGGACCAGGACCCCCTGCGCGCCCGCATCTCACCGCACATCTCAGCGAATACACCAATACTATTTACTACAACGCCGGCGTTGAACCCTTCCCTTACGCCGATTTCATGCCACAGTCCGATTCTCCTCAGTCGTCTCCCCGAATCTCGCCTCCAGGCAACACCGAATCGAGCCCGAACGACAACGATGACTGCAACTCGGACTGCAGACTGTCGCACTGCGAAGCGTGTACCGAAGGCGGCGAGCCATGTCACGATACCGACTGCAATGCCAACTGCGACACCATCTGCGACAACGCCGAGTGCAAAGACGCTGCCACGCCTTGCACTGACACCAGCTGCCTGGCTCCTCCAGACCACTCAGTCCAAGCAGCCGCGAACGTGCTCGCGCGGTTGCCCGCCGACCCAATGTCTGGTCAAACCTCGTCTTATGGGTTCGTGCCAGACCACACTCCTTTCCATGATGGATTGTCAGGCGCCATGGGACAATCGATGGGCTTCCAGACTGCCTCCGCAGCCCCGGGCTTGCTTGGCAACAACTACGTGGACTTCACCGCTATGGATACGTGGGTGTTAATGGGCCATCACGTTTCCCAGTATCATGCCTCTGGCCAGTATGGCGCAGGCGCAGACTGCATCGATCCTTCTTGCGTATATACGGCAAACGTCGAAAACCTTGAGTTTCCTCTCGAGCGGTGCCCCCTTCCTTATCAGTCCCATGCCCATCCGGGTCAGCAGAACTTTTGCATCGGCCAGAACCAAGAAAATTTGCAACTTTGTCAATTTCAGCCGACATCTAAAGACGCGTGGCTGGAGCATGTCAAGCAGCAACATCCTTGTGTGCCTCAAGACCACTCGTTGATGCACGCCAATATCAACTTCCAGAACCAGTCTGTTTCCAATCCCAACAGCAACATCCGTCTCAACATTCCGACAAGCATGTCTCCTGCGATCGCATCGCCCACTTCCAGTTCGCCGGCCTACCCGCAGTCTTCACCTCAGACGCCGTTGACGCCGGTCGACAGCATCCAGGATGATTATAGATGCAAGTGGGTTGAGAAGGGCTTGATTTGTGGAATGGAATGCAAAGACGACGACGAGCTTCAGAAACATTGCAGAGATGTCCATCTCCAGGTCATTGTCAAGGCGGCCAATGGCTTCAAATGCCAATGGAATGGATGTAGCCGCGCGCAGGATTTCAGCCAAAAGAGCAAGCTGGAGCGTCATCTGCAAACCCACACAGGATGTAAGAACAATGCTCCCAGTTGACATGGTAAGGGCACTAACAGGACATGCAGTCAAACCCGTCAAGTGCACCGTCTGCGGTGTTGCCCTTTCCGCTAAGCAGTCGTTGGCTCAACACATGCGCATTCATACCGGAGAGAAGCCGTGGGTATGCCGCCACCCCGGTTGCGGGTCCTCTTTCAAGCAGCAATCGGCCTTGAGTAAGTCTTGTCGACTGGTCGTTGGGATCAATGCTGACTGTCACATAGCTATGCACACACGAACCCACACTGGCGTAAAACCCCTCAAATGCGATATTTGTGGCAAGGCATTCGGGGAGTCTTCGAACTTGTCGAAGCACAAGAAGACTCACAACATCAAGGGTCAATACTCGTGCGAAATCTGCGGCAAGGACTTCCATCGGCTCGACCAGCAACGCAGGCATATGAAGGTCCACGCCAAGGACAACGCCAGCATCGAGAGCAGCCCCACAGTCGACAGTCCTGGCACCATCGCGAATATGCCAATCCGCAAGTTGAGCCAGGACCGGGTCACCAAGAGGAAGTGATTTACTTGGAGGATGCAACGGGCTTCATCACGGAGTATGGGAGGCGGTTTTCTTTGACTCACGACAAACGTTTCACGAAATAGATACCTTGGGCTATGGGAATCTGGACTGATCATCACGTCAGGCGTTACTTTCGGGGATGGGACATGAGATACCTGGAATCGGTTCACGAGCTTGGCGTCAGGAGAAAGACGGGAAGATTAATTTTGTATTTGATAATTGGCAAACGGGACCCGGAGTAGTATGGTGTTGGAACAGGCACCACAGCCTCGCCAGAAACTCATGGGTTCAACTCAACGTAGTAAGTAAAATGTAACGCAGTTCGCTGCAGCTGGCTTCGACATGTCTTCCTTGTGATCCGAAAGTCGCTCCGCGGCCAACTCTACTCGAAGCTCCTTCTTCTTTCTCTGAGTTCTCCATGAGTTCGTCTTCCGCGACTTCGCCTAGCCGCTGCTTCCCTTTGATCTCATCTTTCCAATCTCGTCTTTCTAAACCTCAGCTCAACTGACAGAAACCATGACACCGACTGCCGTGGCTTGCATAGCTTGGCAGTCGTCCCTGTCTTGACTCATCCAGATCTCTCCCGAGACGCAAACAGGAAGAGCAACCCCCATGAATGTACCTCATTCCCTTACACTCACCGATTCCTACGAAAACTTCTGAGCTTCCCCCCTTTTCCCACGTGTCCCTCCAGAACTGGCGCCATGAGCCGGCAGTAGTCCGCGAACCACGTGAGGGTCTCTTTGCGCGAGGCGGCCAAGAGGAGTCGGATTAGACTCGGGGTTCGGGGGGGAAGACGCCATGGTAGTGGTGAAGTGATGGAACACGCATGGCTGAACTCAGTTCTGCAGTTTGGGCAGTGAGAGGGGCAACCGCTCGATATCTTCTGGTCTTGTGCCGAGGGGTGTTTCGTGGGGAGTGATGCCTTGAGTCTAGGGCTTTCAGTCGAGAGTGAGGGAGGGAGGGAGTGGTCCGCCTGTTCGTGAGTTAGTTCGCCTCGCTCGTGAAGTTGTTGGGGAGAAAGCTCCACCGTCTGCACCGGTGCCCTCTCCCTTTGGTCCGACGCGTGTGATTAAGGTTGTCGACGAGGAGGCAGTGGTGGATATGAGGCTGTGGGGGACTGGTTGCGAGATTGGCGGACTCTGCGTCGTGGCTTGAGAGGTTCTCGTGAGCTGGTGGGGACTCCTGTCCGTCAGAGAAGAAGCTTTAGGCTGCGCATGTGATATTGTTTCTCCTTGACGCCACTCGTGGCCCCTTTGTGTGGTCTGATGCGACTGATTAAGGTTATCCGTGAGAAGTCGGTGGTGGATGCGAGGCTTTCGAAGTATGATTGGAGATTGGAGATCGGCGGGCGGTCTCGGCGGATTATGCGTCGTGGCTTGAGAGGTTCTCGTGAGCTGGCGGGGACTACCGTCGGCCAGGAGAAGCTTCACGTCGTGTGTGTCTTATTCTTTCTCCTTGACGCCACCGATGACTCTTCTCCTCTTCTCGTCTCTGCCTAATTCTAATTGGGACTGGACAGAGGGTTACGTCGGTGGTGTATACAGGTCGTGGGTATTTCGAGTTGTTTTTTCCCCGTTGAAGCTTTCGCACATGGTGATCACGAGACGAGTTATTAGAGCTTCCGAGACATCACGGTAGCTTGAAGTTTTAGGTGGGGAAGAGAGGACTCGGTGAGAGGAGGGAAGACGCATGACGGTGTTGGACGGGTGTGGTACCCGCGGCCGAACAACACGCCGCGAATCTCGCACTGGTCCGCGACCCAGTTCCACGATGGTCTTTAGGCTGGCCGCGTGAAGAAGAGGAAAGGGGTGGGTGGGGTCTTGGATGGTGAAGTCCTGAGGATGGGATCTGACGTAGATCTCGATTGGTCGTTCCGTGTCCCAGTTTCCGAGGAGCGTGTTGTGTTGCAATATGGCGTTGTAGGTCGGGATGTCCTGGGGGGACGGTGTAAGTTCCTCCGTACGCCACGGCGAAGACTTCAATTGGGGTCTCCACGAAGATCCTTTCCGTGTCCTGATTTCTCAAAGGCGCATCGTGCGTGTTCCAATATGGTGGCGTTGTAGTTGAGAGTAGGAACGGAGCAATTTGGCCCCCCTTCACTCTCTCCGAGCCGCATGCCGCAGATGAGTCGGACACCTTTGACACGGGGTGTTCACGAATATCGACTCCTCGTAAGTCTCGGTCAGGAGATAGGTTGCAGAGAAGCCTTCAATATTCTGCGTGATATTCAGGTTTGAACATTGAGTTCGATAATGCGACCCTGGGGAAGTGATGATGAAGAACAGCTACAAGCTCGATAAACACACTGCCAAAGGAGGTTGGCTTCACGGTCATGAGGCAAGCCAGGAAGATTCAATATTCTGCGAACCAGTGTTTGAAGTTGTTACCCCTAAGATCATGCTCCTGAACGTACTGCTGATGAATTGATATGAATTCGATGGATACACCATCAAAGGAGGCGTCAAGCTCGCACCTCGGGGTAAGTTGCAAATAGCGCAGATTATGGAGATGGACTCTGGATGCATGATGAAGTGTACCTGACATTTTTCTTTTCTGTCTCATTTAGCACGTTGATCCACAAGGAGTACTGTCTGACATCTGGTTGGGAATCCGACACGGACGAACTCGCTGAGATGGAAGGCTTGGAAATGACGGTATGTCTTAATCACTCAAAGCTTTCCAGCAGTACACTACAGAAAATCGTATGTGAACACGTGCTTGAGGAACCCTCTTCACAGTCGCAGTCGTCTTCAGGGGGTTGATTTGGAGTGAATTCTGGTAAGGAATTACTCCAAGTGAAGCCAGGCTGCGCCCAAGATCTTGAAGTTGATGTATCTACGATAAGATCTTCCTTGTATTGACAGACGGTTCTCGTTACTCCCGGTTGTGCTCTTCAATGAACGTTTTGGCACGCTCGTTGGTCTTACCGACGTAAGACTTGAGACGAGACTTATGAATACCTCTCGTTTTTTCGAACTCTTCCGACACGAAGCCAGCGTTATCAATGAGCTGGCATTTTCCCCACTAGCCCCTGTGTGTGTCGGCCATCTCTAGAGTCCTAACATGTCTTTGCGTATGTCGGTTTTGTTGCAATCTCCCTTTTCGAGATTAACTCTCGTTGTCCGCTCGGGCTCATTCTATCCCGTTATGAAGCAACGTCAGCTCAGTTGGTGCTCGACTCCGAAGAGATGCTAGGAGATGTTTTCATCGGAACGATACGACATGTTGAGCAACCGTCGAAGAAACAGCGACCCCGGTGGAATACTGATGATCAGAACTTTTCGCCAGCTGTCTGTGGTATGATGGCTCTCAATGTGATTGGAGAGCCATTCATTTGAGAACACAAGACATAGCATGGCAAGTACAGAGTCATTGGGACTGAGCGCATGTGAAGTAGCTAGTATCAGAGTATCGTACCCGCCGTCAGAAAACCCGCCGGATGAAGCGTCAGCCGTTATTCTATGACCGACGGTTACGAACTGCGTTACGAGGAACCAACGTCGTTGCTTGAAGTGCAAACGACGACAAGACCGTGAGCCCCAGCCCTTACACTGCGGAAGTCGCGTCCGGCGATATTTGTACGTCAAATCTATGAGAGGCAGGCCCAAATCTCTTCTTGCGTTGCAGCTCGAGTGATAGTTGTCTTCAACTTGTGCGGACATGGCGTGTCCTATGCTTCACAACTCCAAGTGGGTATCGGGTTCTCAACTGGATAAGACGCACGACGAAGGGTTTCGAGAAACGAAGATCTCAGTGCCACTAGGCATATTGCTATGATATCGGCCAGCACCATGCAGAAGTCTTCACGAGCTGCGCGACAGCTGTGAAGTAACTAACGACAGCAAGATCAGCATCGTTGCCGACCTGGCCGAACACCCGAATGCACCGAAAGCGGGGACACCGGAGGCGGCGAAGGCGGCATTGATGTTCAAGACATGGAGCAAGAGCACCGTGACTAAGGCCGGTACGTCGGGTGTGGTGCCGTTGTGCCTGCTGAACCTAAGGGATTTGGAAATAGGACCGGAGCGATGCTAAGAACGATTGAAAGAGCAGTATAGAGAACGTCTGCGGGCAAAGCTAGGAAACCCCGTAATCAAGTCACACTGCAGACCAAGGGTCGGAATGACGAGAGGACGATGAGAGGACGAGTAACACACTTGTTTTGGAAACGGAGGAAGTATTTTGAAGTCGGGACATCTTTGGCCCCATTTGACATTTTTGCCGGCAGCTCTATGCTACCGACCACACTCGGAAGGGAGCCCTCTCATGAAAATGACAGAGAGAGCAGACACCCTGCGAGCCAAGCTTTTTCGTTTTGCCATGACCGGTTGAGAAATCCATTTGTTTGCAGCACTTGGGAAAATAACATAGCGCAAAACCCTTTAATTTCCCTCCGTGACCATGCTATGCATCATCGAGTAAATCGGGATCCCCGTGTGCCAAAAACGTGTTACGCCTCCGTTTCCATTTTCGTAGTTCCTCATCCCCAACCCTAGATACCCAGGTGCGGTTGAATTTAAGCGGCCTGCTTGCGAGTTAGTGACCGAGTTCCTCAACACGTACGGGACGTTGAGTTCTGAGGTGTAAGGACGGCGGAATGATTGACAGGAGCAGCAGGGCCGTAGTGCGTTGGCAACCCTTCCTTGACTGCCCGTCGCATCATTCCTCCATTCCCTAGCACCCTTCCTCAACCCCGCGGATGGGTTCCAATTCGACTGACCTTCACGGCGAACTTGCGTTGAGGGAAGTGGACGGTGCGCTTCTTGGCCTTCTCGGTGACGAGAGCGGCATCTTGCGCGGACAGGCGGCGGCGGATGGCACGGGTCTGCTTGGCGCGGAGGTCGAGGGGAGCGTACTTCTTGTTCTTGTAGAACAGGCGGAGCTGGGCGCGTTGCTTGGCGTTGATGACGGTCAGGACGCGGGCGATCGACTTGCGGATGTCGTGGCTATAACAAAAATTTCACCGGTCAGCCTCTCTCTGTTCCCTCCATTCGCAGGTGGTCCCTTTCGCGTCCTTCCAAATTCTCGTCGGACTCGATCCGTGGGGGGAGTGGTAACGCACATCTTGTTCAGCTTGGAGCCAGAGGAGGTGATCTTCTGGATGCGGAGCTGACCGAGCTCAGTCTTGAGCTCTCCGAGTTGCTTGGTCAACTCGTTCTTGTCCTTGTTCCAGAGCTGGCTGGCCTTGACCTTTCCGGACGACTGCGACATGACTCTCGTCAGCGTATGCTCTCCTTCAGGGTGATTGACAATTTATTTTTTTTCGTCGGTCGGCGGCGCGGGGCATGTCGATTGAATTCGGGAGAAAAAAGGTCGTGCTGTTCGGGAATCGCGAGTTCCATCGTGATCAAGGGGTTCACTCACCATCTTGACTGATATGGGGGGTGGCGCTGGATATCTGGGTTAGTATCAAAACGTCGTGGTCGTGGGCTGGACAAGATGGACTTTACGATGAGAGGAGTGCCTCGCTTGAATTTTTCGAGTCGAGTTGGAGTTCAGTGTTGTGTGCCCTATGGGGAATAACGAATCTGATTGGCCGGGTTTGCTGGACCGGACCCTCAGCATGGAAAAGTGGAAGAAAAAAAAAAGTCGCGCCACAGTCAGCCACAGGAGCGTTTTCCTGGTCGGGTCCACACCTGGCAGGCTTGGTCGATTCACCGGCTCACCGAGCTCACCTCGGACAATTGCATGGGGGACTGCAACTGAGAGTCTACATAGTAGATGAGCCATAGTTGCTGAAGGCGACATCCGCAGTTGCCGCTGGCTATAGCTGTTGACTCACATGTGCTCTGGCAGCCCACACTATCTCAATTCATTTGACCAAAGCATTTCTTCTGAATTCCTGGCTATATGTCATCTCTAAAAGTTCGCGGGTGAGCTCTGAATTCATAGCCTTGACTTGCTGACATAGGCTTCACCATCTCAAAATGATTCCCAGCATCGACGGATGTCTCTTGCTTCGCCTCCATCAAAATGCTTTACAAGACATCCATGAACTTTTAGTGAATTTTTCTCATGCCTCTTGAAGCATGATTCATTAGGATAAATCATATGGCTTTCTCTATTGGAAATCGAATATGAAATGCAGCATGAGTCTGTAGTCAGGTTTGAGCAGTTCAGCAACACTCCACGGGTGTTCGTCCCGGCAATTACATAATCATGCCGCGATGCACGGACCATGTGACGCCGAGCTCCTCCCTGCTGCATCGGTGCCTGCCGAGCAGTCCCAGACACGCGGACATATGCTAAGCCCATCCAAAGACGACAACTCGGAAATCGTCAGTTCAAAAGGACGAGCGTACATTTACCACCACAAACCAACATCGCAGCGCCATGGCTGCGGCTTCGGGAAACACGGGCTGGACCCAGCTACGGCAACAGGTGCGAAGCCTCGAGACACAGGTACGGCTTCCCTTCCCTCGCGAACCAGCGTCACCTCTCCACACCAGGTTTCCCTGACATCCGACGCCGCGCAGACAGAGACGCTGTTCCACACCTACGCCCAATTCTCGACAGTATCAGATATTCCAGCCAAGCCCACAGAAGAGGAAAGGACAACAGAAGCAAAGCTCCAAGACCTCCTCGAAAGAGTACGTACGCCCTTCCCCCGCCGATCCTCGGGGACTCAACTAACACACCACCCACCCAACAGCGAGAGAATGTCATCTCCCAACTATCCCGCCTCCTCGACTCCGAAGCGACCCTCACCTCGTCCGCCCTGAAACAAAACAACCTCGCCCTCCTGCGCGAGAAGCTCGCCGAGCACAAGCGCAACCTCGTCCGCATACGCAGCACCATCGCTCAGGCCCGCGACCGCGCCCACCTGCTCTCCAACGTCCGCTCCGACATCGACGAGTACCGCGCCAACAACCCCGAGGCGGCCGAGGCCGAGTACATGCTCGCTGAGCGCAGCCGCATCGACAACAGCCACAACATGACCGACAGCGTCCTCTCCCAGGCCTACGCCGTCCAGGACAGCTTCAACATCCAGCGCGAGACCATCGCCAGCATCAACCGCCGCATCACCATGGCCGCCAGCCAGGTGCCCGGTCTCAACAGCCTCATCGGCCGAATCTCGGCCAAGAAGCGCCGGGACGGCATCATCATGGGCGTCTTCATCGCCTTCTGCTTCCTCGTCTTCTGGTGGTTCTTGTGAGGGGGTTGAAGCATTAAAGAGAAGGAAGACTGTATTGTTTGACGTCCTCGTTATGTCTGATTTTGTCACAACAAGCCGTTACGACTGGGAATGCCGGCATAAGGGAATGCGGTGGCGTTTTGGGATTCTGTCATGTCTGGTTTTCTCGAATTGAGGGTATCCCTGGTGCATATTGTACACTAAAAGAATTGAGGGTATCCCTGGTGCATATTGTACACTAAAAGAACACGGGGTATCTACAGGCAGCAGGCTATGACCTGATTGCCGTATACCGTTGGCTTGCGAAGCCCCGAATAAGCTGTTTTATGTTTGAAATCTGTATGTGGACTTCTTCTTCTTCTTCACTGTCTTCTCCCCCTCGGCAGCCCTGGCAGCCAGCTTCGCCACTTCCGACGCCTTCTCCATCTTCTCCCACTCGGCAAAGAGCAGCTTCATTCCCTTCACCAAGCTATCCCTCTCGTCCGGTTGGCTAGGACCGCTCGCCGCCCAGCGTATCCTGCAGAGGTTGTCCACGAGATACACGTAGCCGACCTTGCTGTTCAAGTATCCGATGGACTCGCTAATCTCGTTGGTGACGGCGCGGGGGACCAGGAAGTACTTGTCCCAGTCGCGCTCGGGGGTCTGCTTGCGCAGGTTGTTCATGAACAGCTTGACGATCCACGCCTTGAATGAGTTGTCCTCGATGTTGAGCTGGACAATCTGCGCCTTGCCGTCCATCTTGGCCACGAGCTCATGCAGATCCGGGTTCGCCTCGGGGGACACGAACGTCTTGGTCTGGTCCTCGGCCCACTTGCTACTGTACATAGCCACCACCGTCACCTTGTTGAGGAGCGTCCGCGTCGTGTCGCGCGGGTTGGCGCCGCTCTCCTTCAGCAGGGTGTCGCCGACGAAGTTGGGGAAGAAGAGGGACATGTTGCCCTTGAACGGCAAGGGGGGCGCGATGAAGGATTTGCCCTCGTGGAACTGCATGTTGCGCCAGTCGCGGAAGTACGGACGGGCCATCTTCTCCTTCCTACGTGCACATGTCAGCAATTGTTTCTTGTGAGAGGTAAGGGCATGACGACTCACAGCTCCTTCCTGCGAACGAGGTGCTTGTCATAGTCGACGAAGTCATCCCTCCTCTCCTGCAACGACCTCCTGTCGACGCCCGAGTTGTCCTCTGGGTGCGGCGGATGCGCCATGCCGATGGGCCGCGGCAACGGCTCCGGCGTGAAGTCCTTGACCTTCTTGCCGTATGCTCTCGGTGCGTGGATGGCGGACCCGGGCAGATCGGGCTTTGGTTGCTCTACCGGGGCGGCGCCCGGGGCCGGGGCCGGGTTCGGGGCTTGGGGCTTTTCGGCGAGCCGTGGACGAGTGGTGCTCAGGTGCCGCCTTGCTGCGCAGACGGTGCAGGACAAGGCCGCCCTTCTCGAGGGGCCCATGGACAGCGCCATCGTGCGCAACGGGGCGATCGGAGCCATTGCGGCGGTCTAGAGGGCGGGTTTCGTTGGGAGGGATGTTCGGCTCTCAGCGGTAAGAGATGCAATCAATCCCTATGCAAAGCGCAGGATCAAAGGTGCCGTCGTGCTCTCGAAAAATTTAGCGCCACAGTAACCCCCGATGCCGCGTCGTTCCGTTAGCTGGCGCCACGAACATCAAGCCACATTTCGAAAGATAAGGATCTGTGTTGTGGACACTGCGGAGAGAACCGACGGGATGAGATGGGATTGTGAGGGGAAGCATAGAGGCGGGTCTCGGGCCATGCTGGTTGCTCCGAGGGTCCCCATTGTGTCATGGGGGACTTGGACGGCCGCAACACCGCGAATAGCCGAGTTTCTGGGGGAGAGACGGTGCCTGCGCCGAGGCGGTTCATCCTCCTACAATGGCTGTTCGCACATTCCTACGTCTACCCTTCTCCCCCTCTCTCCTCTGGTTTTCCCCAGAAAATGTGAATTGGCCCTTCTCTTCCTTTCTTTTCGTAAAGGTCCAGTGAGCACTCCAAGATGTTTTTGCAACGAGGTTCGCGCGCGGTCAGGACGCAATGGCACGTCTCCAAGAGCATGGCCCGACTGGCTGCCGCGAGGGCCGCCGGCGTCTACCCCTCGAGGCGGTTTCACGACACGGCGCACCTGAGGGTGGTGAAGCCCGTTCTGCTGGCGGATATCGGTGAAGGTAAGCAAGATCGATAGAAAAAGACCCAAAGAGATCTGTTTTCGGCCTCGGCTTACACTCGGAAACACAGGCATCGTGGAGTGCGAGATCATACAGTGGTTCGTCGAGCCCGGCGCCAGAGTCGAGGAGTTCTCGCCGCTGTGCGAGGTCCAGAGCGACAAGGCCTCGGTGGAGATCACCAGCCGCTTCTCGGGCGTCGTCAAGAAGCTGCACTACGACGCCGGCGACATGGCAAAGGTCGGCAAGCCCTTTGTCGACATCGACATACAAGGCGGGGCCAAGCAGGAAGACCTAGACGCGCTCACGGCACCCACGGAGCCGGCGGGGGAGAAGAAGCCCGCCGCGTCGGAGCCTCCAAAACAGCAGAACCAGGGGACAACACAATCACAGCAACCAGCGGAAGAGACACGGACAGAGGCGGCGGCTGGGACAGGAGAAGCAGCACCGCGGCCGCCAAAGGGGAAACACGCCGCGCTAGCCACGCCCGCCGTGCGCCACCTCTCCAAGACGTTAAACGTCGACATCGCCGACATCGACGGCACGGGGCGGGACGGCAGGGTCCTGAAGGAAGACATCCAGAACTTCGTCAAGCGCCGCGAGTCCGGGGAGGGGACCCAGAAACAAGCGGGTCAGGCCCCGGCGGGCGAACCCACCAGCCCCGCCCCGTCCTCCGCGTCCGGACCCCAGGTCGAGACCCGCGTCCCGCTCACCGTCACCCAGCAGCAAATGTTCAAATCAATGACCCGCTCCCTCAACATCCCGCACTTCCTCTACGCCGACGAGGTCGACTTCTCCAGCCTCGTCCAGCTGCGCACCCGCCTCAACCGCGTCCTCACCTCCGCCCCGGAGCTCGGCGGCGGCGCCGACGGCGTCGCGAAGCTCTCCTACCTTCCCTTCATCATCAAGGCCGTCTCCATGGCCCTCTACCAGCACCCCATCCTCAACGCCCGCGTCGACCTCGACCCCTCGTCGCCGGCCTCGAAACCCGCCCTGGTGATGCGCAGCCAGCACAACATCGGCGTCGCCATGGACACGCCCTCGGGCCTGCTCGTCCCCGTGATCCGCAACGTCGGCGGCCTGAACATCCTCTCCATCGCCAAGGAGCTCACGCGCCTGCAGAAGGCGGCCTTCGCCGGCAAGCTGACGCCGCAGGACCTGGGCGGGGGCACCATCACGGTGTCCAACATCGGCAACATCGGCGGGACGTACCTGTCGCCGGTGATCGTGGACAAGGAGGTGGCCATCCTCGGCATCGGGCGCATGCGCGCGGTGCCGGCCTTCGAGTCGGAGGGTTCGGACCGCGTCGTCCGGAAGCACGTCACCAACTTCAGCTGGAGCGCGGACCACCGCGTCGTCGACGGCGCGACCATGGCGCGGGCCGCCGAGGTTGTAAGGAGGGTGGTCGAGGAGCCCGACGTCATGGTCATGCACCTCAGGTGAAGAACTGCGGGAGAGGGGGAAGGTGTGTGTTGTATGTGAGGGGGGAATGGGGGGATCGGGGACTTGCATTTGCTCTATACAATACCTAGTCAACTGGCGAATAGGAGTGTGCCAGCGCCGCGTGATCAGGAGCGCGGGTGGTGTGGTGGTGGTGGTGGTGACGGGTGAAAAGAACCGACAACTAGACGTTTAATGATTTGTACGTAGATAGGTGAACAGGCATCAACGAGCTCGGCATCGGGGTATAGGCAAAAAAAGAATCTAGGGTTCATAGATCACCTGTAAGATGCTTGCTGCCCGACGCATGTCTGACAAGCGCTGCTGCTGCGTGTTCATGTATGTATGTACACATCTTCTTCTGCAATGACACCTTGTCCGGAGCCACGTCCCCCTCTCGGTGTGGTTCCTGAAGAGATGTGACGGCCCAGTCAGGGCCGGGGAAACGCTCTCCACATCCTCACCGAGTTGACGTCCGCCAATGCTGCGGGGGCTCCTTGGGAAGGTAGAGTGACGATTATGCCCTCCCTGTCTGCCCGAGCTGCATGTAGCTCGATTGGGGTTTGGCGGCGATGTTAGGAAACAGGACATGACCAGGTTCAAGGAGCCAGCACATTGTACATTTCTTTGTATTTCCAACTACAGACCTGGTGACGAATGGAAGACTAAGAAAACTTGCCATCGCGTCCGATCAGCGAGCGTTCCCCATCTCGACCTTGCATGAGAATACGAGCCCGACCTCACACCCAAAATCTTAGAAGGCTGTCCCGGACAAGAAACTTCCTGCCTCGTCTTCTTCTTCTCTCCAGTGTTCCGACGTTGTCGTGTCCTTCTGCTACGGATGCGTACATCCACGTCCCAGAAAGATTGGACGAGGCTCAATGAAATGTTGCTCATCCTTTGACGCAACATCTATCCACAGCCTCACCGTCCCGTATGCAGCTAGCTGTCTCTGTCGAGCCAGCGGTTTTGTAGACAAAACCTCCCATTATTGCGCCGTGAAAAGAAAACCCAAGTCAACGCTGATTGTTCTATGCCCATGAACTCCGTAATCCCGTGGGATGATTTGTCGCAAATTCCAGCAAAACGCGCGCATCACAGCCAACGAGCCTATTGCTCATCTTCCTTCTCCATCATGGCTGTGACGCGGGCCAAGGCATCGCGCTTGACCTCATCGATGCTGCGGCTGACGTCGACGCTGATAACGTCCGTCTCATCGTCCATGGGGGGTTCCAATGACTGGAACTGGCTGCGAACCATGTTGGCGCCCATGTAGTGGTTGGTGGAGGCGCTGCGGGCTGTAACGCGTTGTACGAGGACGTCCTCGGAGGCTGAGAGGTAGATGAAGTGGATGAGAATCGAGCGGTCGTAGTATCCAGCAACGCGGATGACGTCCCGGTACTTGCGCTTCAGTGCAGAGCACGTCAGGACAACTCCGTCAGAGCCTGCGGCAAGCTGGTGTCGGGACTCCTCGCGCAACGCAACGAGCCAGTCCCATCGGTCGGCGTCGGTCAGGGGGATTCCGTTGGCCATCTTCTCGATATTGGCTTTGGGGTGGAACTTTGCGCACGAGTCAGGAAAACACTCTCAGAATACGAGGCACGACGCAGAACTTACGCTGTCTCCCTCGATGTAGGGAAGCTTCAGGCTTTGCGCCAGATACTCGGCCACCGTAGTCTTTCCGCAACCAGCCGGGCCGGTAACTAGCCAAATGTGGTGGTACTTTGTGTCCAGAGATCCGTTGACGTGGGCGGCGTTGCTCGCGGAAGTCGGAACCCCAGGCACTATGGGCTGGGCCTTGGAGGCGACGGCTTGCTGAATGCCATTGGTAAGGCTCCCCGGGGACTTGGGCGGCTGTCCGTTGACACCGTTGACGGACATTGGGGAGTCGTAGGAGAGCATCGTTTCGTGTGCGAGTAGCGGAGAGGAGTTCGAGGTGAGGTTCGTTGTGTGGTAGTCTGTAGAGCCGGCGTGTGACGCTATTGCATCGTTTGCAGCAGACGTAATTGGAGAAGTGAGTTGTAGAGATACAATGATACTGTTGTGCTCAGGGTATTTGAAGATACAGGCGATTCAAGGAATAAAGTAGTAGATCTGAATATATCTATTTTCAGCGCAAGGGCAACTCCGGGACTGGATTGAGAGGCGAGGGACGGGACGAAGGCGCAAGGCGATTTCTTATACTTTGTAAGTGAACATAGCAGGGACTGCTCTGGGTCTGGGGATGGATGAGGTAAAAAATTCCAACAAGGTGACACAAGGGGTGCCTGACGGCAACTAAAACACCTGGAGCGTTCAGCAGGTTCCAGTACCTGACGTGAACCTCAGCGGACTTCTTTCGGTCCAGGATACGGCATGGGCAAGACAGCCCAGGACAAGGGGCGTGTAAATGACAGTGACCCGGCTCCCAAATGACGGCCAAAAAGCAACTCTGCCCAATGATCAGTCCGCAAGCACTCCAGCGGGGAGAAATCCGCAGTCAATAACGGCGTGGACCGGGGGACAGAGGAGGGGTGCGCCCAGACTCGTCGTGTGTGCGTGCGAGCGTCCAATGTTTCTGGTCGCTCCCCAGAACGTACTGGTTCTCTCCACGGGGCCGAAGTTACCAAGGGATTGCATCTGGGGACAGACGTGGGACGAATGGCAGCAGTCTTTTGAGGGATTAGATTCTGTCTCGCCGAGACGTGGAAACATCTTCACCTCTCGGCAACTGGTCGTCTTGTTTTGCCAAAAAGTGTTGGGGCCGACTTCCATCACCTTCTCTTGAAAAGTTTCGCTGAGCGGCCCGACGAGTGGTTTGTAGAGATCGGAGTGACTGGTGCCAGTGCTCGCGTTCGCGCGCATGCGCATGCGACTATTAAGATCATCTTTTCTTTTTCGTCTTGGAATGAAGACTTTCGAGATGGACTGGAGCACGCTTGTGGGCTGAAGCAGTCCTGTCATCAAATGTGACATGTTGCTGGTAAACCAAGTAAACCACTCCGTACCGCGATGGCGGTACGAAATACAGCAAGGCAATGGAGATCGGCAACGACAACTGTCAGAGAGAGAAAAGTGGTTGCGTCTATTGCCGTCTGCCCTGACCGAGCTCGTAGCGTATCCGTACCGCTCTCCTGCACCGGGCGGCGCGGTGCGTGCGCGCGTACTATGTATGCGGGATCTGTATCGAGACGCGGACATGGTCCAAAGAGTTGGTCGTCCCAGGAAAAGTGATTGTCCAGGACCTCCTCTCAGTGAGTTAAGGCCGGGCGAGGGATGAGGGGTGTGTCGTTAATTGACCGTAACGGCGAAGGCGACGATGCCGACAGGACCTGTATCGCGGGCCCGGGGAGAACGGAGAACGGGGTTCGGTCAAGGAAAATAGAACAACGCAGTTGGCCAGAGAGAAAAGGCATGACGATGCTAAGGATGGAAAGGGTCAAGAAGCCAAAATGGCGGGGAGGGAGAAATGGTAGGTACTCTGAGAGTACATCTACGGGCAGGTGGAGGAGGGGTGGTTGATGTCGCAAATGTGGAGGAGGCAGCGTGGGGGCTCACTTTTCTAGAACAGACACTAGGAGATAATTTCCTGAACCGGGCAGGGGGCCCAACGAGGTCACTCGACACACAAGAAAAACTCGGCCAAGGAGACAATTACTTGGTGGGGGAAGAGTGTCCGATGATTTTTCGCCGTGAGTTGGAAATACGGGAAAAGCTTTGACGCCAAAGCCAGACTGGACTGGACGTTGGAAGAGACACAGGTAAATGCCAGATGGCCGTCAGTGCCCGCGGGAAAATGGAAGGACCCAACGTAGGTAAGTTGGTGACACTGCAACAGCCTGACAGCTGGCAGCTGAATCCTGGGGATACCGCTTGGAGGACGGGGAATACGGGGGAGAGTAAGGGGGAACGACAACAATTCGGAGTCTCCTTACTTTGGAGACTGAGAAACTACGTACGGGAAATAACTCGTCCGGTTTGTATTCGGACAACTAAAATGAATGGGGTCTTTTTCCAAAGCGAGGTCCGCTGGTCTGGTCTGGCCTTGTCATCGTGGTTGAGGTTGAGGGAGAGCGCTTTCTCGGTCAAGGCCCGAAGAGCTATAATTACATCATAAGGGACGGGAATGGGTCACGATTAAGCAGCCCGCCCTGTCGCAACTGCTTCTCTGGAGTCTTACTCCATGCTCCTCCCGTCTCTGACCCCAACATCAAGCAGGGCTCAAGATGCGGGCAAGAGTAGTGTTGCCTGACTTACCGGAGATATGTATGGACTACATTGCGTCAATGTAAGTTGCGGAGTTGGAATCAAGACGACTGATCTGTCATTCCGTCTTAGCCGACAAGACTCAACAACACCACACAACGCTCTCCAGTCTTGCCACGATGTTCATACCGCAATCCATATGACAGACTTAACACATATACTAGCTATCGACGACATAACAGCAAAACTCCAGGCGTTACGATGATCCGATATCAACCGCTGTACCAAAAGCTCTCTATCAACACCAAAGATGTTGAACACCATGGACCCCGCCAGATTGATCACGAGCTGGCCAACAAATACCCGAGTGCCACCAAATGAACTGTCATCGACCATTCAACTCGGGTTGCGAGAAGGCACCCGGCTGCGGTCTGCACCTCGCCGTCTCCTGCATCTGCATCTGAGCCCAGCGAGTTCCGCTATCACGCTACTGCAGCAGCACGTCGCCAACTCGTTGAAAGTACCTACCTACCTACAAATACAGCGCTCTCAGGGCGTTTACGGTCTGGTTGAGGTGCTCTTCGGCTCGGCTGGAGTTCCGAGTGGGACGGGACCCGACGCTGGCCCGGGACTTGCTGCAGCCATCCCGTCACCTGGGAAAGGAAATTGTGGTTTTACGCAGCAGAGTCCCCAGCACTGTCCCCGTTCATCACAGTGACTTCATTCCAGCCATTCGGAATGCGCCCTCCATCGTGAGACTTTTCTGGTGCTCCTCTTTGTCCTCCACATCTCTACCTGTCTTCGCCAGCCAAACACGCATACCCTCCGCAAGACTCCGCTAGATCCTGGTCCCTGCCTCCGTCCCTATCGCTACGGGCAATTCACCTCGTTCTTTTCTTCGTTTGGTTTCTCATCCTCCCTCCCCCTCATCATCCTGCGTCTTCGACAGCCTTCTCCAAGTGGGTGGACCAAACCACTCCAGATCACTCTCCCCGCCAAGTGCCTTGCCCAACAGCGAACCCAGCCCGACGGTCAGGGGAGACGACACGCGAGCGGACAAGGATGGTTCGTTCTCGCTTTAGACACTTCTGCGTATTCCATTCATGTACCTCCTAGTACTCGGTACCCAGGCGCCCTCCTACACTCCTTCGACTCGGATTAGCTGGTCGAAGTCTCCCTCACCGCTCTCGTGATGAAGCAGCTGACTTGCTTCTCAGTGGGTCGTTGCCTCCTCCAAATTGCGTATTGGCCGATTGATCGGTACTGAGCGTCTCCATCAGCCGTCGGCTCGGCTTTTGAGTTTGACGTGTCGCGATAACCACGTTGTGGAGGTTCCACCACTGCAATGTCGCATCACAGACCACTCGTCAAACTCGATGCTATCGCCGTCCTATCCTTCGCAAGAACTTGGCGTAAATGTCACAACTAAGGCAAAGTCCAAGATACACAACACATCAAAGGAACCATAGGATTCACAATCCAGCGCAGCTTGTTAATCTACCTTGTTGATCTTGAGTCCTTCCGCGGTGGTCGGGAATCTAGGAACTGCAAGACGTTGAGGTCTATCAACCGCCTCGTTCAACTTTCTCGGTCCTTTGAACCTACCATGTAAAGCTGCCCGCAAAACCTGATCAGGCTTCAGAAGCCTGCAAATTGGTACGAATATAACTCGGCGCGCGCACGTCATCTTTCGCATCTGACGAGGCTGGCAACAAGCCGGGAGTGTGCCATTCCTACTCAACTCTCCTTGCCCGTCCATACCGAAGACTAAGCAGGGGCCAAACACGATGCACGACATATCATGGCCAGCCACTGGCTCGCCCGCGCGAAGCAAGGCCAAACTCAAGCCAAAGACTGCGGTGAAACTTCACTTCATCTAGGCCCAAGCTCGAATGCACGACGGATGTTCCCCGGTGCCCATTCCGTCCAAGCAACCCCGGTCAGTGAGCTCGGTTTCAAGGCGCCCAGGCTAATGGTCCGAACAGTCGGGAGCTCCGGATTCATTTGCTGCTTCCCCGGGCGAGAACTCGGCGAAATTCGAAACTGCCCGCAGCACACGCCGGCTCGCCCTCCCGGCCGAGTTGAGAACTTCAACGACGGATGGACTCACACCACATCCAAGACGCCGCAAACATCATGCCGTTCAACGTTCCCTGCAGTCTATCACGTTGAAAGTGAGGAAACGGGTTGCACGGCAGGTCCAAAAGACCACCTGACCAGGGCAATGCCGCCAGCATTCCGTCTCTGGCGCAAACATCCGTGCCGACCCGTCCCTAGATGACGCGGGGCGAATCTTGTAGTACGACCGCCCTCTTTGGTCCTGGGGGAATGCGAACCATGAAAGCAACCACACAGAATCTGCTTACCTGGCGATGTGCGCACATCTCATTCGCCGTTCCCCTCTACTCATCCGCATACCACCACTCGCCAGGTCATGGGGCCGGGCTACAGCCTTTGCGAATGGTCATCTACCTTACAATCCGTCAGATTCCGCCGGAGGCCAAGTCTTGCGGGGTTTCAGGCAACCCCTTCGCCAGCTCGATGACATCCAGTCAAGACCGCCCATCACCGTCGGCCGCTTGTCTGCTCGTTGGAATAACAACTTCACGCCGGGGACGACCTAGGTTCGCACGCTTTGGGTGAGCGGCAGGGATAGTGGCGATCCGTGTCATATATCATCAATCTGGACCTGATTTTGGACCAGCTGCGCGCGAGCCTCTGTAAGGCGCTCTGCGCGACGCGCCGGGTTGCCAAATACCCCATTGGCTCTGTAGCCCTGTGGACAAGGGTGCTGAACAGGCCCGGTCTGCGAGATGCATGCTGGACCCTCTCGGTGAGCAAACGATACCGGGGACGGAAAGGAACGTCGTCTTCCCCGGAAGGGACCGGGTTCCCGTTGCCTGATCTATGCGTCTGGTCAGATTCGGCAAGTGAAGGTGACCAACTGAAGACGCTTGTCCTCTCGAACCATTGCCACCTCAGCGTCGAAGAGGACGAGTGCCACCTCAGCGTCGAAGAGGACGAGCAGCTTCACATTCTGAATCTGGACCAGAACACGACTGCGAAGAGTCACATACCTTCCATCACTTCGTATTTTAGGCCTACCAGTGTGTGGGGCATTGAAACCTCGGTGAAGGGCTGTAGACGGGACTCGTCATCAACACATGGAGTCTCAAAAATGACGAACATTTCGGGATGCTCACGTGTTGGATGAGAAACCCTGTCCTCGGCGACACTTTGCGCTTATGCCTCACCTTACAGTTGACAACCCTAGGACCGGTGTATTAGCACCCGTGGAGGGTAGCTATTGGCACGCCGTCTTCAGTATCTGAATTCTCACAGGCTCGATTGCTATCTTTGGCTGTACCAACGTTGGACTTCCCATTGCTACTACGATAGGATTATCTTAAGGAACACCCTGCAAACAACTTCAAGCAAGATGGCAAAGACGGCAGCTAGGACGGCATTAAAGGATTAAGACAGTATCGGCAGCATCAACATTAGCAAAGACGTAAGAACGATAGTAAGAAAGGTGACGTGTGCAGGCAACATGGGAATAGTAGCATTGTGATCTAGGTAAGTATATCGCCAGGTGGACGCCAGTTGATATTTCAAGTTGAATCTCATAATTGATGAGTGAAACAACTAGCCAGCTAGCACTTTCAAACCATATCAGGCCATTGAGCGATAGTGAGAAAGGAAGTCAGCTGACATATACGTGCTTGTTGTATGGTCTTGACTTCAACTTAAAAGAGACGACATCGCTCAGAAACCCCACTAAGGTCCCCTACGTTAGAGCCTCAAGATTCGGTTCAATGGTAAGGTACAGTTTGAGTCGAATCGAAAGTTAGGTTGTCATTGGACGCGCAGTGCAATTTTTCTCATACAAAAAGAGACATTATTCTTTCGCTTCGTGGACCACCTTCTCTTTCCGAGCAAGTCAGGCCCATTCCATTTCCAAAAGATCCCCAAAAGCCCCAATTGCCCCTCATCGTAGTGGCTGAAGCTCTCGCCCGCCTTCCGTTTTGGGTAGACCTGTGTGGCTCATTGCGGGGTTACGAACAGATGGAATGGAAGGTTGCGTGTTCAGGCGCCGCCAACTGACTGCCTGCCTCATCCAGTAGCCAATAATCAGCTGCGGCACCATCTCGACTCCTCATGCGGGTTTCATCCATTACCGCTCTCCAAAGGCTGACCACTTTGCGAGTTGCTTCTCCTTCCCTTCATACCTCTCTGAGGACCGTCAAACCTAAGTCTCACTTCTCCTTTACACTCACCAGCCGGCAGAGATTTTCTACAATGAACGCTCAAGAACTTACTCACTACCTCGCCGACGCGCCCCCGAGCGTCGTCAGGCTCGAGATCGAGAAGCACTTCGAGCCCCTCACCGACAAGCAAAAGCGCTATGCGCACTTCATCAGCAAGTAAGAATACCACCTTGAGCTCGTGTGACATGCAACCAGCCCGTCTGGACCGACGTGTACGTGCCAAGCTTTTATGGGGTTCCGGGAACTAAAGTGACATCTCCCAGAGCCTCATTCGCCGGCACTCGCATCGTGCTCAGACAGATCTCCCCGGAGTCGGAGCCAATTTACGACTTCATCATCGCTCTCCACAAGGCAAGCGGTGGCGACTGGAACGCTCTCGCCAAAAAGGCCGGCGTCGACGAGACCCAATTGACCCATTTCCTGGAGTATTCGGCCCAGTTCTTGGGAAACAACGGCAACTACAAGAGCTTCGGCGACTCCAAGTTTATACCCAGGGCAGATGAGGAGACGTTCGCTGCTCTCGCAGCCACCTCTCCCGAGGCGGAGCGCTTCTACAAGGCGACCAACGGTGGCATCTTCAGCGCTGAAAAGCCCGGACTGATGCATCTTGGCTTCCCTGACAAGGGTCACCTGACCACTTACTACCCTGACTCTCCTCACATTACCCAAGCCGAGATTGACGCGGTCTCGGCCTGGATGGAAAAGAAGGGTCTCCTGCCTGAGAACACCAGACTTCGTAAGACGGAAAATGGCTTCGACATGCTCATCGCCTCAGCTGTGACTACTGTTCCCGAGGAAGGAGGCGACATCGGCAAGGAGACCGAGTTTCAGATCGAAGACGGTCCTCTCAAGGGCAAGACCATCAAGCTGGTGTACGGCGATTACTCGGAGGAGATGAAGAAGGCCGCCGAGTACATCAAGAAGGCCGGCGACAACAGCGACAACGATACCCAGAAGAAGATGCACGATGCATACGCCAAGTCTTTCACTACGGGCTCTTTGGAGGCCTTCAAGGACAGTCAGCGGTACTGGATTAGGGACAAGGGCCCGATGGTTGAGAGTGATCTGGGTTTCGTCGAGACCTACAGAGATCCGGCGGGTATTCGTGGCGAGTGGGAAGGCTTTGCTTCTGTCGTCAACCTCGAGCGCACCCGTGCCTTTGGCGAGCTCGTCTCTTCCGCACCGAAGTTGATCCCTCTTCTGCCCTGGGGCAAGGAGTTCGAGAAGGACAAGTTCTTGTCCCCTGACTTCACCTCCCTTGAGGTGCTGACCTTCGCCGGCTCCGGTATCCCTGCTGGAATCAACATTCCGAACTACGACGATATCAGACAAACTGAGGGCTTCAAGAACGTCTCCCTTGGCAACGTCCTGAGCGCTAAGGCACCAAACGAAAAGATCCCATTCATTTCGGAGTCCGACCTGGAGCTGTACCAGAAGTACAGAGATCCTGCTTTTGAAGTCCAGGTTGGTCTTCACGAACTGACCGGTAAGTTCCTCCACCTTTTGATGTTATCCTTTTTTCTTTCTGTTGCTTTTGTTGTCCCCGTTCTTGCTATTCTCACTTGCCGCCGCCCATCGTTCTGAGTGTTCATAATCATCGCTATTATTTTCACGTTGAATGTTGTCTGTGAACTTCTGTTGATAATCAATCATAGGCCACGGCTGCGGTAAGCTTCTCCAGGAAACCTCGCCCGGAACCTACAACTTCGACAAGGAGAACCCGCCCGTCAGCCCCTTGAACAACAAACCAATTACCACGTGGTACAAGCCCGGTCAGACCTGGGGCTCGGTATTCGGTAGCATCGCCGCCTCGTACGAGGAGTGCCGCGCTGAGCTCGTGGCCATGTACTTGGGCTGCGAATTCCCCGTACTCAAGATCTTTGGCTTCGGCGACGGATCCACGGATATCAACAACGAGGCCGGCAGTGTTCTCTACGCTGCTTACCTGCAGATGGCGCGTGCTGGTTTGGTCTCCCTGGAGATGTGGGATCCCAACAGCCAGAAATGGGGCCAAGCTCACTCCCAGGCCCGCTTCTCTATCCTCCAGGTATGTCTGCCATCCATCGACTCTCTTTCTCTCCTTCACTCGCCCGTAGCCCTTTTATGTTAAAGATATGTATGCTGACCGACCAATCCTAGTGCTTCCTGCAAGCGGGCGATGACTTCTGCAAGCTTGAGTACAAGAACGAGGATCTGTCCGACCTGGAGATTAAGCTGGACCGCTCTAAGATTCTGACGACAGGACGCGAAGCTGTTGGCAAGTATCTCCAAAAGCTCCACGTCTACAAGTCCACCGCCGATGTCGAGAATGGCATCGCCTTCTATAAGGAGATGACCAACGTCGATATGGACTTCTGGGGAACCAAGGTCCGAAACATCGTCTTGAAGAACAAGCAGCCCCGCAAGGTCTTCGTCCAGGCGAACACCTACGTCGACGAGGCCTCCGGTAAGGTCAGCATCAAGCACTATGAGGCATCGCCTGCCGGCATCATCCAGAGCTGGGCCGACCGCGAATTGTGACTGAACAATGATTTCTCGGATGGCAAGGAAAACGGTCAGAGCTGGACCGTAAGTACCCCCCGTCTCCCTCCATCTGCATATCTCATCTCATCCTACATCTACATCCGACTGTCGTCTTTGAAAGATTCACTAATATTTATCCAGAACACAACGGCTACAGCTAAGTTGTGATGAGGCGGATCTTTGCCCTCACGAATGGAAAGGGGGGCATGACATCACCATGTAATAACAAGGAATTAATATCAATGCCACCAGAAGGGGGCCCCCAAAGCCTATACTCAGGTTCAACCTGGATCGTGGAAAAAAGACAAATGTGAAGTAACAATATTTTCCGTACAGGTCAAGCCGCGTTTCGTGCCCCCATTTCAGTCACGTCACGGAAGAAATCACCAGCCAAAGTGCTATCCTGTGTTTCGGCCATGTGAGTTGTTATTTTTGTTGTTTTCTCCCCTCGGTGTGGCAGAGTGGGTGCGCATGTGCGTTTTGTGCGTGTGGACCAGATCTTATCTTTCTTTGTGTGTGTTGGATTTGAAGAACCTCATTACAGACGCCAAATGTGACCGATGCCGTCGTACTTCCAAATGCAATTGGCAAAACCAGCCCAGCCCGTAGCCATAAGTTCTTCTTCGTCTACAACAACATCAAACCCGAATTGTGTGATTTCCCAATCGCCGCCATTCCGGTCTTTTGTCATTTTTGTTTCCACCCATCATCCCCCAAGAGATTGATTTTGCCTCGTTCCGCGCGCGCGGGGCCGCCCTGGCGCAAACGCAACAAAAAGAAAAATCCACCGCCACGAGTTGTTCTTTTTTTGGTTTCCCCGACAAAACAGTTTCCGCGACGGTTTACCAGGTCATCTCGTGGGGCTTGTCACCCTTGCGCAGGCTGAAGGAACTCGCCAGGTAGGAGGGAAGGAACTCGACCTTCTTGATGCTGGCGATCAGGGCCTTGTCGATGGCCTTCTGGTCAGCCGCGCGGCTGCTGTTGACCTCCTTCTTCTGTTAAGACGCACGTCCAGTCAGTTTTCCGACTGTCATCTTTGCCAAAAACATCGTGTCCTAAAACGTACCTGGGGCTTCTCTCCCTGCTTGAAGAAGGCCTCCTCGCCAGACTTCTGCTTGGCCTTGTCGGCGGTGAAGTACTTGGGTTGCGAGATCTCCTCAACCTTCTTCTGGTCGAGGCCAGAGACGTCGACCTTGTAGGATGTGGCGATGACGTAGCGGGAGTTGACGCGGCGGAGGGGGACGCCGTTGATCTTGAAGGGGCCGGTGACGAGGAGGACGCCCTGGTCGAGGGTCTTCAGGAGGACGACGCGCTTGCCGCGGAAGCGACCGGCGAGGAGGATCAGGACGGTGCCGGGCTGGAGGGAGTTGCGGGGGGCCCAGGGGCGGACGGCCTTGCGGACCTGTTTTGTGACGGCTCGGTCAGTCTTTGAGTCTTCTCACTTCGTTTCTTTGGTTGTGGTGCGGTCTTCGTTGCGAAATGAATTTTGGCATCGCGAGTGTGTGATATGTGCCGTTGCCCAGGTCACGAGCGGTTGGTCTGGTTTCCTCCTCTTACGTCTTGCAGTTGCCGATGTTCGCTGGTTGGGGTTTCCGAAGTGTGCGTGTTGTGTGTGCGTAGTCTTCTCGGTGTGTGTTCTCGTCTTTGGTGACATCCTTTCCAATATTGCCGATGTGCGCGCAAGACTGCGAATTGCGAATTCCATATACCCAAGACTCTTTCGCTCATGACCCGGTGGTGTCGACAGCTTTCCCCCCTGCTCAAACGATCCATTCGAAGCCCATGATAATTCCCAAAAAAACAAGGACGCTCTCTTCACTGCCATGAGGAACTCACCTTCTTGGCCTCGGGCTCATCGTCGGCGTTGTACCACTTCTGCGCCTTCTGGGAGGAGGCGGGGACGACCCGAGTGGACGAGCCGAACTTCTTGGTCGTGGATTCCGTCTTCGCCGACATGATTGCTTTCGTTCCTCGTTGAGGCGGCTGCTGGTGGTTAGCGGGAATGGGGAACGAAAAAGAAGTTTATGGTGGTTGATGCGCGGTCGGATTGTGAATTTTCGACGGTCGACAAAATCTGTGTGGGTGTCCAGTCGAAGCCCTCCTTCGCGTACTACGCTCAAAAGGGCTTAGTGCTCGAAATCACCAAGCCCCACCAGCGGCGGACCCCAGAGAAGAGGTGGCGTCGGCAGAGCGTTTTTCCTTACCCGTCGGATGCCCACCTAGGTAGGTCGGGTTGGTCGCCCAGGGTTCTAGCCTCAGGTCCTTGAGGGTGGGCCACGTGGTGATAAGATAAAGCTACCCAGCCAGCATCCTGGGCTTCGCCGAATCTGCGAGAAAGTGCCCGCGAAGTCTGCTTTCTTCGGGAAGTGACATCACGAAGTTCCAGGCCCTGGGGTATTTAGAGTTGTTGTTTTTCTCGCTGTTTTTCTTTCTGGCACACGTCTTTTGTCTTTTACTTCGATTTGCGTAATTTTGCAACTGGTTCTGACCGGTAAAGACACAATGCAAGCCAGAAGGCAACTCATCTCATCAGCCCGGCGATTCGTCGGCTCAACAACACCAAGACCTACACGGCTAATTTCAAGAGCACTCATCAACGAATCCGCACTGCGCAGTACCAAGCTTCTGCCAACCCTAGCCATCAGGACATATGCCAATGGCAGACCTCACCCTCCAGGCGGCACGCACCGCATGGACATGGGCGGCGGCGAGCCTGAGAAGCCCGCACTCGAACAATACGGAATCGACCTCACGGCCAAGGCCAAGGACGGAAAGCTAGATCCTGTCATTGGTCGTGATGCGGAAATTCAGCGAACGATTCAAATCTTGTCACGACGGACGAAGAACAACCCTGTCGTGATCGGAAAGGCCGGTACAGGAAAAACGGCTATCCTGGAAGGCCTTGCACTGAGAATTGTGCGTGGTGACGTTCCCGAGAGTATCAAGAACAAGCGTGTCATTGCCCTTGATCTTGGTTCTCTCATTGCAGGTGCCAAATTCAGGGGCGACTTCGAAGAGAGACTGAAGAAGGTCTTGACCGAAGTCGAACAAGCCCAGGGCGAAGTCATCCTCTTCATCGACGAGTTACACACTCTTCTTGGCCTCGGCAAGGCCGAAGGCTCAATCGATGCGAGCAACCTGCTGAAGCCAGCTCTCGCCCGAGGCGAACTCCAATGCTGCGGTGCCACCACTCTGGAAGAGTACCGCCTCATTGAGAAGGACGTCGCCCTTGCACGTAGATTCCAGCCGATCATCGTCAACGAACCCACCGTTCAAGACACTATCAGCATCCTCCGCGGCATCAAGGACAAGTATGAAGTCCACCACGGTGTCCGCATCACAGACGGCGCCCTTGTCGCCGCGGCCACCTATTCCAACCGTTACATCACCGACCGATTCCTCCCCGACAAGGCCATTGACCTCATGGATGAAGCTGCCAGTCACCTGAAGCTTCAACACGAGTCAAAGCCTGAGGACATCATGGCCCTCGACCAGAAGATCATGACTATCCAAATTGAGCTGGAAAGCTTGCGCAAAGAAAAGGACGTCGCCAGCCAAGAGCGCCGCGAGAAGCTGCAAGCCGACCTCAAGAGGTACGAGGACGAGATTGCTGAGCTCACCAAGCGCTGGGAGGCTGAGCGTGCCGAGATCGAAGCTGTCAAGAAGACCCAAGAGGACCTCGACAAGGCCAGGATCGAGCTCGACCAGGCTCAGCGAATGGGCAACTTCGGACGTGCTTCGGAGCTGAGGTACAGCGTCATTCCCTCTTTGGAGGCCAAGATCCCCAAGGACGGCGAGAAGCAGAACGGCACGCTTGTCCACGATGCAGTCACCGCGGACGACATCGCAGCGGTCGTCTCCAGAGTCACTGGCATCCCCATCTCCAAGCTCACGTCTGGCCACATCGAGAAGCTGGTGCACATGGAGGACACCCTCCGCCAGGCCGTCAAGGGCCAGGACGAAGCCATCAGAGCCGTCTCCAACGCCGTGCGCCTCCAGCGTGCCGGACTCAGCGGAGAAAACAGACCAACCGCTTCCTTCTTCTTCCTCGGACCTACTGGTGTGGGTAAGACGGAGCTCTGCAAGAAGCTTGCGGGCTTCCTCTTCTCCACCGAATCCGCCGTCGTTCGCTTCGACATGAGCGAGTTCCAGGAGAAGCATACCATCTCCCGTCTCATCGGCGCGCCGTCCGGCTACGTCGGCTACGAGGACGCCGGCCAGCTCACCGAGGCCGTCCGCCGCAAGCCGTACGCCGTCCTCCTTTTCGACGAGTTCGAGAAGGCGCACCGTGACATCTCAGCCCTGCTCCTCCAGGTCCTCGACGAGGGCTACCTCACAGACGCCCAGGGCCACAAGGTCGACTTCCGCAACACAATCATCGTCCTGACCTCCAACCTCGGCGCCGACATCCTCGTCGGAGCGGACCCGTCTCACCCGTACAAGGAGACGCCCGACGGCGACGTCGACCCCAGCGTCCGCAAGGCCGTCATGGACGTCGTCGCCGCGAACTACCCGCCCGAGTTCCTCAACCGCATCGACTCCTTCATCGTCTTCAAGCGCCTCGCCCTCGCCGCCATCCGCGACATCGTCGACATCCGCCTGAAGGAGCTCCAGGCCCGTCTCGACGATAAGCGCATCGTCCTCGACGTCCCCGACAAGGTGCGCGACTGGCTCGCCGAGCGCGGCTACGACCCCAAGTACGGAGCCAGGCCGCTCAACCGCCTCATCACAAACGAGATCGGCAACGGCCTCGCCGACAAGATCATCCGCGGAGAGCTGCGGCACGGCGAGACGGCCGTCGTCTCGGTCAAGCCGGACGACTCTGGTCTCGAGGTCGTCGCGGCCCAGCCAACAAAGGCTTGAGTTATCTTCTCACGTCACGAAGCATGACAATTCCGCATTTTCAAGGAGCAAAGGAGTTTTTGATTTCGACATGTTCCCAAGGGTTAGATTCCCCTCTCATGAATAACTACTGTATCACCAAATTTTTCTAGAATCTTGTATGTAAGCTAGACTGTACCGAATCAGTGTACATGAATAATGAAACCCATACTCACGTACTGTACCAAATCGCCCATCTCATAACGGTCGTGCACTTATACCCACCTTTGGTGTTTAGACATTTGTCCTTTTCGGAACCTTCTGCCATCATCCCTGCCCGCGACAGCGCGTCCGGTGCGAACGCTGGTGAGGCGGCTTTACACTTTGGACCGGATCTAGATCGGTTCGGGGTGCCGTGTAGAAACGTCACTCAACACGCAGAGGGGATTGTTTATAACGAATGCAAGTCTATAACGATTTTGTCCACGGCTAGAACTACCTAAACCCCCTCCAAACCTAACAAGACGACAGACCGGAAAACAGGCCACAGGCGAACTAACCCCTGATAGGGATTCAACCAGTCGTGAAGCGCATTGTCAAGACCTCGTAACGCATCACCTCCCGCACACCGAGAGTGGCCATAAACACCAGAAACAGGAAAGAGCAAACACCAATTCATGAGATTCGCATCGAATAGAAGGCGAAAAAGCCAGGGTTCATGGTAAGGCTTCTCCGTTGCATTTGGTCGGAGAACCCGTGTAGAGTTGCTGCGTGTGCGTGTGTGGACTGTACAGATTTCCCAACCCAAGACGCCCCCGTTCTTCCAAAACGAAACTTGTCCTTTTGAGACCAGAATGTGTGCTTGCTGCGTCGAGAGAATGCCAATGTAGCGTGGCTCACGAGATGTCATGGAGGACCACCACGGGGAGGAGGGATGGATAGACGGAGTGAGGAAATGCGATAAATGAGTTATGGACTATTCGATTGCCTTGTGACCGGTAGCTTTGCGAATTACAACCGTACCAGAGGGATGACGTGAGAGAAGAGCAGAAGAGAGGGAGTCCGTCCGGCTTCTCTTCGCGTCTTTTACTGGTGACCCGCCTTGCGGAGGGTGGTGGCGAGCCACTCGAGACCCTCGTAGAGACCATCACCGGAAGTGGCGCAGGTAGACTGGATGTACTATCGAAGGGGTCAGTATGATCATCGTGAGATGGCGCAGAAGGAAAACCTACCCAGGCGCGTTGTCTCAGGCTGTGGAGGCCAAGCTTGTCTGTGATCTCGGCGGCGTTCATGGCGTTCTATAGTTGACAGGTCAGTCGCGTGCTTCAGGGCATCAGACTTTGAGGAGAGAAACGTACGGGCAGATCCTGCTTGTTGGCGAAGACCAGGAGAATGGCATCCCGCAGCTCGTCCTCGTTGAGCATGCGCTGGAGCTCCTCACGGGCCTCGACGATACGGTCGCGATCGTTGCTGTCGACGACGAAGATGATACCCTGGGTGTTCTGGAAGTAGTGTCTCCAGAGAGGACGGATCTTGTCCTGACCACCGACGTCCCACACGGTGAACTGAATGTTCTTGTACTCGACGGTCTCGACGTTGAAACCTAGATGGCATTCGCGTCAGCGCTGGTTGTCCTCCATTGAAAAACGACGGCATTGGGTTGGGGCTAGCGACGACAGGCGGGGGGCGCCACTTTCGATGATGACACGGGGCAGGGCGACGGGACGATTTGGGGGGAGGCAATTGTTGGGCATGCGTACCGATGGTAGGAATGGTCGTGACGATTTCACCGAGCTTGAGCTTGTAGAGAATCGTAGTCTTTCCGGCGGCGTCAAGACCGACCATCAAAATTCTCATCTCCTTCTTCCCCCAAAGCTTGTCGAAGATCTTGGAAAACGCGAGACCCATGGTTGCGGTTCGGACTGTGGTATATGTCTAAGTGTCGGATGGATTGAGTAGACGTGAGTGGAAGAAGTAATCTAGGAAGCAGAAAGTGTAAGCGAGATGGTCCAGACCAGAAAAGAGTAATTAATTAAATTGTGGTGGTGACATCGAGGATGGCAAGTGCGGGCGGGATATAAGGAAAAAAAGATGTGTCGGAGACAGAGAGGACAGATCTTGTCGGAGACAGGGACGGGTCACTGACGACAGTGTGCCTGATGGCGCTGCTGACACGGGAAGGCGAAGGCGATCGGAGATGGATGTTGAGTCCAAGTTTCGATGTTGAGGTTCAGGCTGCCGCAATTCGCAAATAGAGGAGATAGCGGGATGGAAGAAGTGGATGTGGACAGGCGACGTGGAGGGAGGGAGGGATAGGGATATTGAGTTGGGGGCCCGTACGGTGACGGTGGGCTGCTCTCACTCAAGTCTTGGGCGGCATACGGTGGTGTATTCCTGAGGTGTCGTGTCCAGACCAGACAGAGACCAGACCGATGCAGGCACGCGCTCAAGAGCAACTTTGGCCGAGGGGTGTGGGATAGGGGAACGGGAACGGGAAACCGAGCAGCAGAAACAAGATGGAATATGACACGCGATAGAAATCGATAGGCGGTAGAGGTATCGATCGAGCCAGACCAGACAGAGAATAGGGAAAATATCTTCAACTCACTTCTTCGCGACGGCTCCTCGGCGACGGCGACAGGATGCTCGTTTGGTGATTGTCGGTGTAGGGGGGAGGATAGTCAAGTGTCAAGAGGTTAAGGTGGAATAGAGGGGGTGGCCTTTGGTAAGATAAGTTCGGCTCGGCGAGGTTGGTGGTGATTTTAGGAGCCAGAAAGGCCATGTTTTTCAAACTCTGAGGCCCCACTCTTGACCACCACTACAAACGGACGCCACCCTTTGGAGTGAGTGAGTGAGTGAGTGAGTGAGGTCCACGGGCAGTCTGTCAACTTGCTGCCAAGGTACCGCTAGCCTGCCGCAAGCTAAGGGAGGTACCTATCTATCTCAGGTCGTCTTGCGTGCTAATGAAGCCCAACCACGGGCCACCTCACTCAACTCCATCCCTTCCAGCGCACTCTGGACCACTAGAGACCCTTCTGAAGCATCGAGTACCCGCATCACGTGCAGGGGTCTTCTTCCTGACCCTGAGTTCCTGTGCCGGAAAATACTCGGTCCTTGCACGACATCGCGACGCGCTAATCCCCTTCGGGATCAGCCTCAATCCAACCAAACTTCGCCAAAGTGTCCAGACTCAAGGAACAGGGATCATCTCCAGGAACCGATCTGGAGACCAGCCTGGACACAACCAACGTCGCTCCTTTTTCCACTCGTGGCCCTGCTTGCCTGCGCGACGCCTCACAACCTCCAGAATAGCTTGTGACTCTGCGGCAGTCCGACCTCTCTCACCAACCAGAGCTTCTCTGCAACCCACCCAAGCTTTCAAGCAAGCTCCCCGTCGCCCGCCATGTTCTTTCCTTCGGTCGCCAAGCTGCTCCTCGCAGCCGGCTTCGTCCACTCGGCAATAGCCCACAACATCCAGCTGCCCGCCCACGGCCGCGAGTGCTTCCACGAGTCGCTGCACCGCGACGACAAGATGACCGTCACCTTCCAGGTCGGCGATCGCGAGTTTGGCAGCGCCGGAAACTTGGACATTGACTTCTGGGTATGAGGACACGACGTCATTCCGGGGCCTCTTGAGGCGCGAGATTGCGCGCGCGCAGAGGTCTCTGCAATTGGGAGCTCACATAGACTGACATGTACGGCTGTTGGTAGATCACGAACCCCATGGGTCAGTACGAGACCTTCGACAAGTCCGTCTCCAACGGCGACTTCTCCTTCACCGCGAAGCACGACGGCAAGTACACCTACTGCTTCGGCAACGAGCACTGGGGCGCCCACAGCAAGGAGGTCTCTTTCAACGTCCACGGTATTGTCTATGTCAGCGAGACCGACGTTCCTGCCGACCCCCTCGAAGTTGAAGGTACGAAAATGGAACCCCTGAACGCTTCTACGAGGGCAATTGGACTAATATACTACTCCTCCAGTCCGTCACCTCTCCGAACTCCTCGCCCAGGTCAAGGACGAGCAGTCCTACATCGTCGTTCGTGAACGCACCCACCGGAACACCGCCGAGAGCACCAACAGCAGAGTCAAGTGGTGGAACATCTTCGTCATCGGTCTCGTCGTTGGAGAGTCTGTCTTCCAGGTCTGGTGGTTGCGCAGGTTCTTCGAGGTCAAGAGGGTGGTTTAAGTCACTTGTTTTTGTTACTCGGATACCCGTGCTGGGGACGATAGGTTGGCGTATAAAAAAGGGGGAACACTAGGAGGAGGGAGACCATAAGCGTAAAAGCTAGGTTTCCTGATTTCTACCTAGAGACGTTGAGAAACATGTATAGTGTATCATAATCACACATGAATGAATGAAAAGACGAATGGTTCTGGATATGAGAGCATAAAAAGACTTTACTCAATTTCAAGGGCAAGTAGCTCAATCGAGTTGACTTGGTACAAGTCCCATGACGGATGAATAGGCACTTCGGGTTCCAAAAACGAAACTTAAACTGGTACAGGCTCTGGCTTCTTGGCGGTTCACAGACCTATTGCGTACTTCACGGTCCTTGATGATCATAATCGCACTTTAGCCAGTGCTTCAGGATTCAACCTAAGTCACACACCCTCAGACGACAGCTATTGATGTTGGGACCAGAGTGAGAGACTGACTGTACTTTGCAGACTAGAGGGAACGTCGAGAGAGGTAACACATTCGAACTACCTAGCTAGTCCGAGCTGATAGAGCACGACAGGCAACACCATCTTACCGCCTGATTTCGTTCCCGCCGTAGACTCATAACTCTCCATCTTGCATGAATAGAAAGGAGACAAGTGTTCATTTCCGACAGAAAACTCTCTGGTGTTAAGTGAGCCTCACCCTATCCTAGAATGCTGCCTGGCCATTCTCCACGACGTCAATGCACAAGCTGGACAAGCGCCGTCCATCCCGCGCGTCAGCCCTCCCCAGCCCGACGATGGAATGGGGCCCAGACGCCAGTCCAATGCCTAGCCTCGTCCGAGCCAAGGGCGCATGCCCGTGTCTCAGCCGTGACACCGGGCAGCCACTTAACGGAACGGAAGCCGGGATCCCAATTCCAGCTGCCTGGCGATGACTTGAACCCTAGCTCCAACGGCCCAGCCAGCCAAAGGACAGCAAACGACAAAACGACAACGGTGGCCCGAAACGGCATCTGATCACAAGGCAGGCGACCGATATCACGGAGCGTCAGGACAGATCTTCACTCGGAACACGGTTGCTTTCTTTCTCTCTTTTGGAATGTAATTTCTTGTTGGTCATCGTTGTGGCCATCATGACTCCCTCTAACCTGACAGTCATTATGTACATCATACATCATGTATACGGCCAATGCATTATGCCTTTCCTACGATTCGACACGAGTCCCGTTCTCGTGCGGGGCCTCTGAAAAGAATCCAACAAGCCAACCCCAAGACGCCATACCATGTGAATAACCCCAAAAAGGTGGCTCCTATAATAAAAATCGAAAACAAAACAAACACGTCATCCGTCATATACTGAGTAAGAACAGCCCGCTTTTTCATGCATTCGGATCAGACTCCGGGACGTTTGTGTCCTTCACTTCCTCGGGTATCACCTCCACAGGCAACTCGACTCCCTTGACGGGATGGATAAGCATGGGCGGGAGGCACATGCGACCCTCGCCGCCACGCATCTGTCCAACGGAAGAACCGTCCTTAGTCGTGTCCTCGTTCAGCTCGAATTCCTCGCCACCGTCGTTGTTGACCCTGAGGCCGAGCCATCTGCGGTACAAGTTCGGGGCGAAGCCAGAGTTGTAGAACCAGGAAAGACCACGCAGGTTGTGCTCGCGCTGGCCAAAGACAGCAGTGCGAGAACCACCACTAGCGCCGTTCTTACCGCCGTTGAGGACCTTGTCCATGTACTCCGTGGGCCATTCTCTGTCCACGTACATGGGGTGAGGGGCGAACACGGCCTTGTAGCCATGCTGGAAGGCGACGGTCGCAGGCCACATCTCGGGGAAAGCGAAGTGCTTCTTGAAGGCGGTCTCGCGGTGCATCGTCATCAGGAGACGACGGGAAAGACGGGACGCCGTGATGATGTGGGCTCGTCTCGGCGGCATGCGCTCGTCGCGGTTGTTCTTGTTGTATCCAGTGATATCCTCCGAGAGGAGCCAAGTGGTTCCCTCCGGATCGAAGATGGGGTTGAACGAAATGAGGTCAGCTTCCTCACCGACTCCCCACTTGTACTTGTCCTTCTCGTAGCTGGTAGGGGGCTTCGGGTCCTTTTCGATTTCGAACCAGTCCTCCTCGTTGACGGGACGTTCCGGACCCCAGATGGTCTTCTCCCCTCTAGTGACTTGTGTGGGGTCCTTGTTCTCCTTGCCCTTGCCGCCGGGAATGTTCTTCCACATGTTGTCTGCTCCGTCGGTACCCATCTCGGACTGGACGCGAGACATCTGCCGGAAGTCTTCCCATGTGCCGTGAACGTTGGGGAAGTAGAAACGGGCGTTGCGCTCCCAAAGCCCCTTTCTGGGCTGCTCCTTGGCCCAGTTCTCCATCTTGCTGAAGAGGTCGTAGTAGTGTCCAGTGTAGCGAATATCCATCTCCCAAGACCAGTAGTACTCGTACTCGGGGTGCTGGTACGCGAAGTATTGCATAGCCATGGAGAGACCGCGGTAAACACCGTGGACGGGCAGGTCAGGACCACGGGTGAACAAGTCGAAGAGTCCCTGGTAGAGTGACAGCATCTGCGTCTCGGTCCACAACGTGACCAGACCGCGGAACTCTTCAGGAATGCGCTCTCGAATGCGGCGCTCATAGACTTCGTGGTCGGCGAACACAGGGTGCGCAGCGTCGTTCTTGATCTGGACGAGGAGGTGGATGTCGTAACGACCACCGGAGGCAAGAGCCAGCTCAGAGATGACGGAGCGAACGTTCATAATGTCGTCCTCGCGCCACAGGTATTCGTCCCAAACTCGGATCACGACTGCGGTGCGGGCACCCTTCTCCTCGGTCTTGGGCTCCTCGCTGGCGGGCTTGCCATCCGCCTTCTGCTCGGTCTTGCCGTCTTGAGCAGGCTTAGCGGTGGGCTCCAGGTTCTCGAGGGGATCACGGGCGACCAAGGTGGCATTTTGAAGGGGCTCGTCGATGTAGAAACCGCGCGCGGTCGGGGTCTTGGGCGGCATCGGCTTGAACCTCTGTGCGTTGGACTGGTAGCAACGTTGCTGAGCGTCAGCCCAGTTGACCTTGCGCCAATCGACCTTCGGAGCCTGCTCCCAAACATCCTCAGAGCCTTCCTTTTCGCCATGCTCACCGACGCCAAGGCCACCGGCGGGAACAGAGTATCCGAAGCCGTAGGGACCGTAGCGTCCGAAACGTTCGTAGCAGATGTTCTCAGGAAGGTTCAGGAGCTCGTAGGATCCTTCGACGTGCTGAGGGAATCCTTGGGGACGTCCGTCAAAGTATCGAATTGGCGGAACGCGAACCTTATTCTCCTTGTCGACGAAGCACTCGGTGATCTTCTCGGGCTTCTTGTTGAAGATGGCGTCGGGGTGGTCGAGGAACATCTTGCTCTTGGGCAGGGCTCGCCTGATGGCGTCATCGATGCCGTCCTCGCTTGTCGCGGTGGCCGTGGTGTTGATGTCGAGCTGATCCAGAGGAGTCTCGTCCTCGGATCGGGGGTAGGTTGGAATGTACTTGCCCGGAGGTGCGATTGACCTGATGCCGCCGTAGTACCTTTGGAGGAAGTTGAAGGACTCCCACACGGGAGGGGGGTCTGGTTTCTTTTCCAACTTGCCCTCCATGATCATCTTGTTCTCGACGTGGCTGGCGCGCGCCAAGGACATGATCATGACCAACATGAAGGTAAGCAGTCCAAAGCAGAGGTATCGAATAATGCGGTTGGGCAACCTGTACAGATGGGTTCGCGGCCGGCGGGCAGTCGCGAGGGCTCGTTTCGGCAGCATCATGGCGGCGCTGGAGAGAGAGGAGGAAGTCTGTCTTGAGCTCCTCGCGCTCGGCGAGGATGTGGTAGAGTAGTCTTCCGAATCTTCGTCGGAGTAGTAGTCGTCGTCGTCATCTGAGAGGCGCTCCTTGTTCCGTAGAGGACTCAATTGCTCGTACTTTGGTAGTCTGTTACTGCGGTTCTCGCGAGACCGCAGCGGGTTTGAGAAGAGCCCCATGGTGGGCGCGAGTCTGGGGGATCTCGTGTTAGCCCCGGCAGGAAAGCAGACAGGCGCAGGCGATTCTTACTACTGGGAGCTTATAGGCAAGTCCAGTTCGGCAGTAGAAGCCGTATTGCTCAGTCAAGTATAGGTATAGGTAGCAGAACCCGGCGTCGATGCGTTCGGTAAAGAGGTCGACCCGGGGGATCGGTGGGAACTGCGACCTGGGGATTGTACGGAGAGACGAACAGCTCCTAAAAGCTGCTTGTAAGTCAAGTCGGGTAGGCGTTGACGGAATAAAGTAAAGTACAGTAAGGTAGGCAAGCCAAAAAAAGATGGAGATGAGGATTGGGGACGCGATGCTAGGGCATCATATGGAAATGAAGCACAGCAGGGGAAACGAGAGACGGAGGTCAGTTCGGGCCAGGACTGGAAGTCCACCTTTGAGCAAGGTAATATGGATCTATCAATCCTGGATATGAGCGACCCAGCGACGGCGGGACAACGTGAGAAAAAAAGGCAGGAGAGAAAAATAGCACTACTAGCACGTCAGGTACGTAGCTCCCGTCCCGTCCTTTGGTCTCTTTCGTCCCGTCCAGCGCCTTATTCGGTGGTCTGGTGCGTCCAGTCGTGCGGCTTGCGGCGTGCAGCAGTGCGGCGTGCCAGTGGTTCGGCAGTCCGAGAGGTGATTGGCGGAGGCCACACAGTGTGACGGTCTTCAGAGGCTCAGAGGTGGGTGGTGTGGGGCCCGCAGTGGTGTTTTCCCCCTATCCCACGCCATTGCCACTGCTGTCCCAGTACGTACAGTGGATCTGATTGGGGAATTGGTGGGGGGAACTGGACGACGACTGGCCAACAGGGAGTTGCTCAGAGCAACCATGCATCTACCTGCATTCTGCCGAGACATACCGCCCACCACTCCGGGACACCACATGCCTGCTTTTGTGGGTGAATTGCAAGCGATGACACTGACTGGAGCAACAAAAGAGCAGAAAGCTGCTGGTTGAGATGTGCGCGCCAATGCGGGCCTCGCAGGACTCGAAGGCAAGGCAGGGGTCGCCGCCTTGGTCTCGACTCCTCGTTGGAACTTGGAACCGGGGTCTCCCTGACAACCATTTAACCACCTCCGGGACTGGTTGCCCGCTACGGTTCGGCTCCCTGGTCGAAGGCGTGTTCCACTTCCCGTCCTCTCCTCTGGTCCTCCGGTCTTCCTGGCGGAATGAAATTCAGGACCGTTGAAAGCTCTTTTTCTCGACACTGTCCTCGTTTCCTAGCCCGTCCAGATTGTCATGTCAGCTCCGCGATATTGACTGCGACTCTCACTCCGGTCTCCTTTCCGAAGCAGGACTCTGCAGCATGCAGTCCACTTTAAACCAACCAGGACTGGCCAGACAATTGGATGCAAAAGTACGGAGTAACTAACAGATTACAGGTTATTGTGAATGAACACAAAAGCTGAGCCATGGCTGCTGCAGCCACACCTCGAATCGTTTTCTGTCTCGTCACGACTCGTCCAACCGTCAAAGAGACTGGACGAAGCTGCAACATGGTCGGACGCGTTCCTCGGTTTCGTCTCATTGTCCTTCGATTCCAACGCTCTTGGCCCTTCCATGAGACAGTCTCGCTCAGCGCCAGCAATGCTAAGCCTTCCAAACAAACGACCGGAGGCATTTCTTCAACCAGACTTCCAACCTGTTCAGTCTAAAATTCGTGATCCATCCATGCACCCCGCAGTCTCTTCCAAAATCTCCGTCGCCGACGTCATGTCGCCAAGCTCGACGACCATGTCTGAGAGATGATCCAAACACCGCGATTCAGAGGATGCCCAGCCAGAGATTATCCTAATGAGAGCTCATACCGGAGCGGCAGTCCATCAGTCATGTCGGCCATGCAGAATTCCAGATGAACAAATTTAGAACATGGCCGAGATTTATCCCCCGAATATCGATTTGCATATCCATTTTTCATCTCCTCGTACATGTGGCTGAGACGGCAGAAATCAAGCCTATTCCGCTCGGTGTAACCCCCCTATGTTCATCCTTGGCCAACCCTACCGCCCTATCGTCCAACCACCGACCCTTGCCACTGCGCTTAATTCAGCATCTTCCGCATTCTTCTCGTTTTGTCGGGACCAAGAAAAAGAGAGAGACTGCACCATGTATAAGATCAGGTTTACGAGCCTCGACGCGTCTCGTCTCACCAGCCCGCAGCCAACCGCCAGCCACATTCCTCAAGGGTTCATGCCGGCCACTGCATTGGTCCCGACGAGGGCACCAAACACCACGTCAACAACTCGTATCGAGAAGCAAGGACAAGTCAATAGTGGTTCAGCGCTGCCAAACATGGGCAAACTTCGCCGCCATGGTCTCGGAGTGTTCCCCGGCAGAGAGGCGCAGAGTATAACCTTTGACACGAGGTTCATCATTTGTGTTGCGGCCGTGACGCAACTTTATCATAACCTAAGTCCGCAACCTTCTCTGGCGGACTACGCGCCGGCAACGTGAACCATGTCACCTCGACTACGAACTAACTTTGGTTGTGCGACTGGAAACCTCTCCTACGCAACAAACCAGCAAAGCAGCCAAACAGTCTACCTATCCTCCGTGGTTGAGACAAAGAAGCCGCGACATCTTGATAGGCCCGACTCCAGGTGTTTCCAACAGCCGCCTGTCCCAGCTATCCTCAAGCGTCAACCAACAGACGGAAACCAAACCCGCTCTTCATTGAAGATCAAACTGGCCTCCTGAATATCCCACCCTGCGACATCATAATGTGGTAAGCCCACTGGGTCCAAAGCCGCAGGGAATTTGGCCGATCAGCTGCCGTCGTCAAAACGCCCAAGTGGCCCTCGAAAGGCGGGGATAGTCACTCGTCGTCGCACACGACACACAAAATGCAGTGAGAAGTCAGATCGTCAAACTGGGTAACGGGCTCTTGGGGCCACCGCCTATTGGGGTTTTCTGTGTCCCTCCCTCCCACACTCCCTCCCGTCGGAGGATTTCCAGAGGCCCCCTCCGTCACCGGCGCTCTGGGTAACATTCACCCGAACCGGCGGTGGAACCTGGACGACCTCAACCCAACGTCATCCAGGAGTTCTCTCCGTGAAGCCCAGCGGTGCCGTGCCGCCCGTATCCCCCGGGGTGGGGGGACTCGGACGGTGAACTTGACGCCCGACTAGACCGCAATTTCACGGACACGCATCAGAAGAGAGAGAATATGTTCCAAGATCCTGCTGACCGTTGAAGACGAGGACACCCTTTTGTTTTATACGCATTGCCGTCCCTTACCCCAAACCAGAAATCCGGGGTAGACCGTCACGAGGGCTTCGACAACAAAACCCCAGGCCACGGGGAACCATGAACAGAAGTGCCATTTCTAGCTCGCCCTACCCTAGTCTGCCTGCTGCTGCTCGCCGAGGCGGAAACTTTGCCCAACTCTAACAACCTTCGCACGAGCCCGATGGGTTGCAGCTCCCTTCCCCCCAGGCTATTTGCGGCTTGTGTGGTTCAAGCTCTCCCATCCGTCGACCGGCCCTACCTTTTAGCCACTCACGTCTGACCATTTTGTCAAACGAGCGTCACTTGATCCCCTTCAACGGACCAGCTCCCGAACCCCGCATGTTGTTCGACCTGCGACGATAACGCCTGGCGGCTTGGGGAATTCGAACCTCGTGGCCACTCGTTTCCGGCTGTGTCAGGTCAGCTTTACCTCATACTGCCTCTCGAGAACCTTGGCCCTTCTTCCTCTCTCCCTCTCTCCTCGCCCGTTTTGTCTCTTTGTGCTGTCTTATAATAATCTTTTCCCTATCTCTTCCTCGGTGACCTTTTTCTTGTTTGCGTGCTTGAGATTATCTACCCCTCACTGTCAAGCGAGGCGTCGGCCGTGCATATTAGTGCCCATGCGTCTCTCGTAACAAGCAACACAAGCGGCCATGTCTGTCTCCATCACGACCACCTCGTCGACAAGCCCTCGCCTCCATGAGGACCCCCTCATCGCGCCCAAAGCCTGGGGCGCCGGCCTGGGCCTCGACCCCGTGGCCGCCAGCTGCGTCCTGAAGCAGGAGCCCATCTCCATCACCCTCAACGGGCCCGCCATCTTCACCGTCTCCGTCACCCTCGCCTTCATCATCCACTTCCTCGAGCCCCGGACCGCCGAGATCCTCATCATCCTCGCCCCCGTCCTCCTCCTCGTCCGCAACGACTACCAGAACTTCCTCGGCCTCGGCCCCGGAGGCACGCCCGCCACGTTCCAGGGCTACGTCCGGATCGCCTGGCTCAGGCTCTGGGCCCTCCGCGACCCCTTCACCGCCCCCGAACCGAACCCCGACGTGCTGCCCGAGAGGGGCATCCTCGTCCAGCAGCTCGGCGACGACCTCGGCCTGAGCCGGCTGCCGTACCGCCCCGGGCCCCGTCCGCTCGTCGCCGGCATCGCCCCGCAGCGGCAGCTCGACCAGCACGGCACGGAGCCGCACTACCACGCCCTCCGACGGACCCTGGAGCGCCTGGCGGCCGAGAAGCCTGCGAGGTTCGGTACGGCGAGGTCGTGCCTCGAGAAGCACGGCCTCGGCCTCTTCGCGCGGCACCCGGTGAACGTGACGTGTAACGGGGAGGTGTGTCACGTCCACGACTCGGACCACTCGTTGCACATGAGTCTGCACCCGGACGATATCCGCGAGGTGCTCGCCAAGGGATGGGGCCAGCGCCATCCGCTCGCGTGGAAGGGGCGGCTGGTGCAGATGCCCGTACCTGAGGAATTCATCATGGTGTACGCGCCGCGTGGTACGTGTTCCGAGTTGGGCGACGAGAGACTTACAACGAAGTTTAGGGGTATCCGTGAAATGCTTGCAGCTGACGTGCTTTGCAGATGACCACGAGTTGAAGATTGTGTGCCGAATCATAGAGGCAGCCATCTGGTACGTCGTCTCCGAGAAGACTGAGATTCAAGTCGAGAAGGCCGTCTAAGACGGCGGCCTCTCGTTGAAAGCGCTCATATCCATATATAGCACCGGTTTACACGTCAGAAGTATTTTGGCTTGGCGTTGGAGGAGAAGGCGTCGGATAAACAGGGTAGAACATACACATCGAAAAGCTTTGAATAAACTGGAATTTGGCCTGTCTTGATGCTCCGAACTCTGATGATCGACTATTAAACACATCTATCCATACAATTCCAATGTGAGTCCCTTCCTGAGCGTTGACCTGACCTTGAGTTGCTCAATGCCTAATCGAGACTGAGGTGTACACTCCTCCCTGTCTCTCATCTCGCAGTGCTTGCGTGCTAGTTGGAAATCGACTTCCTCGAGGATAGTGCAGGTCCTCCAGCTGGTCCTGGCAATGATACTGGGTCATATCGATAACCGGAGTGGTAACTCACTTCTCGTCTTCGTATACGAGAAGCTGTATCATTCGCTGTCGCTAGGCTCGCCCTGCTTCGACTTCTTGAATCTCTCCCTGCCTGTTGACACAGACGCCTCCACCACACGTCCGTCGAAGCTGCGCCCGTTCATGAGCTGTATGCACGCCTGCGCCGCCTCGGGCTTGGAGAACTTGACAGACACGACGCCGTCAGGCTCCTCGTCGTAGAGCACCACGTTCGTCACGTTGCCCAGCTTCGCGCACTCCTCGCGAATATCCTCCTTGATCTCCAGCAGCGCCGCCGGGTCCTCCTCCAGCTCCTCGCGCGTGAACATGTGTTTTAGGATAACGGTCTTGTCCCACTTGGAGTTGGTCTCCGTTGGTAAAGTCGAAGGCTCGTCGTCGCTCCAGTCCGCAAGCTTCGCCGCCAGTTTCTGCGTCTTGCGAATGATCTTTTGCCTGTCACTGTTGTTCTTCTCCCTCTTCTGTTGCGGTCCGTTCGACGATCCACCGTTCTCCCCCTTTCCCTCGGCCGCGCCGTCTTCGTACTGCGTCTTCTTGTAACTCGAGTCCGCCGCTTGCACGCGCATCTTCGGCTGGTCCGCGGGGCCGTCGAATCGGAAGTCCGTGTCGTCGAGCAACATGATGGCCATCTCGACGCTCTGCGGCTTGAAGAAGACGATGAGCGCGTCGCCCTTGAACTTGCCGGTTTCGGCATCCGTGTACATCTTGATTCTCGGCCGACCGCTGTCGATCTCTTCCGCTATGACGCCTCCCTTGCGCGAGAACAGCTCGTGGATCTCGTCGACCGTCGCGTCGGAGGGGAGGCCTGTGACATAGACGGCGGTGTTCTGGCGCGGCTGCGGCGGAGCGCGCGGGGGTTTTGCCTTCTTCGCCGGGCGGCCGTTGCCGTTTCCATTTCCTCCGTTGTTGTTGCTGTTCCGCTGGTCGTTCATACCGCCTGGGGAGTCTTTCCGTTTCCTGGAATTGCTGGGTTGCGCTTCGGGGCCGGCGCTGGCGCTGGCGCTTCTGGAGAGGTCTACAAGTTGCGCAGTGTGTTCGTCGACGTCGAGGGGTTCGATGGGCTCGTCGGCGGCCTCAGCCCACGTCGCTGTCGCCGGGTTGAACTCGAGCTCGGTGCCATCGTCGAGGACAGCGAGGTACTTGTTGTCGAGCTTGGAGAAGGATATGCGCTCGTCACTGCCAAACTCCTCGATGGACGTCGGCAACGGATCTTTTAATTGGTCTGCCATGTTGGAGTGATGGAGAGCGCAGTCGTGTTTGCGATTGATTGCGTTCGGCCACAAGAAGTACAGAAATTCAGATGATAATTGGCCTCAGTTCTAGTTGCTGCCTGTCTTTAAACTTAAGTGTGGAATCCAAAGCGACGGAGTAATCTTGGTGACGTTAGTGGAGAAACGGCAGGTGCAGACAGGGAGCACCGGCAGGGACTTGGGGTCGTGTGGGGTCAATGGGTCTGAATGGAACGGAACGACAGTCGACGGGAGCTTACTGGCGCAGCTTTGAGCTACCTATACCTACGACTACGAATACCTTACCAGGTACTTAACTTTACGGAATCTATTAAGGTATATTAACTTCCAGGTCAATGTCACTTGAGCCGCCAGGGTTGGCCTTGAGCGTTTCTTTTTGAGATTATTCTTGCTATTAGGTCTGTATTGCCAGAGTAGAATCTCTACCGTGTATGTAGAGCTCAAAAGCATGAACAGTAGCGACATTGAAAGGCATATCATCGTTATTCTCCCTACCTATCAGAGCAAGCTAAGTGCCTCCTTGTCTATGTTCATGTCTATTGTGCGACCGCCCCGCCTTCGCATGCCTCTTTTCCCGCTCAGCCCTGCTTCTTCTCCTTCACAGTGGATTTGACGCCCTCAACGAACGCCTCCACAGCTTCACCGCCCCCCAAGGGCATGGCACCGCCCCTCATGTAGCCCCCGTTGGGAACCTTGACCTTCAGCGCCTCGGCAACAGTGGGGAGACCGCCGTCGCGGAGAGCCATTGTCAGACTGCCCAGAGCTTGGTGGAATTGAGGGCTTCTGAGGACCCTCTCCAGCAAAGTCTTCTTCTCTGCCAGACTCAACGTCGCCTTGGCAGCGGCGGCAGCCTCTGCCGTGGGCTCCGAGTCACCCAAGTCGTCGTTATCCGTGGCAAGAATGAGGATTGCCGGCGGTAAGAAACTGAGGAGACTGTCGATGTACTCCTCGGAGGCTGAGCGGAGCATGGGGATCGTGATTTCGTTAGGGAGAAGGTGGTTCAGGTAGGGAAAAGGCTTATCGGCTTGCTGCTGTCCACCCTGCTGAGATCCGCCCAGACCAGAGTTGCCTTGTAATGAAGCCAAGAAGTTCCGGACGGCAGCGTCCGCATCGGTATTGCCAGAGCCACCAGCAGCACTATCAACGAGTTAGCACAAGATCATCAATCGAGCAAATCAAGCCGTGGGCACCACGAAAAATGGCAAACTCCGAACCCTTGTGTCTTTTGAAAGGCTCTAAAAGTACAGGTGGCGCCACATCGCGGGCCTCACGTCTTTTCCCTGACCGTGCCAAAGCAGTCCGTATGATTCTAGTGACCCTGGACTCCAACCACAGTAGACATGCATTAGGAGAAAACCTACGCTCGAGCTCCGTCACTTCCACCCTCTCTAGCATTCTCGCCCTCTTCGCGGACGTCGCCGCCAGTGGCGCCAGCGCCAGCACCACCGGTTGTTTGATCGTTCCGGTCTCCCTGGCCCTCAGCATCTTCCATTGTCTCGTCATCGTCGTCGTCCCGTCTGTCGTCGGTGTTGCGAACCTGCGCCAGCTCTCGGTTGACATTGACGTCTTCGCCTTGAAGAAGCGCGTTGACAATCTCGCCAATCTTCTTGTCGCGAGGGCTGAACCAGCTCGGGTCGCCGTTGCGGGATTGCGGCTTCGACTGGAGCCAGAAGAAGTGTCTCTGGGAGGAGGAACCGAACTTGAGCACGAAGACACGACCGTTGGTCTTTGATGTCGGTTGGTTGTCCGGGATATGGGGGACGAATTCACCGTCCGTCGGCACCATGACGAGATCGAGGTCGGGGGCGTCCATGGCGGCACTGCGCTCGCGCCAGCAGAAGTGGATCAAGTCTGCCGGTTCTTAGATGCTAAGTCATGGACACGAGGGCGCTCGACATACCATCTTCGGAGTACAGGTAGATGTAGCCGGGTGTGGCTTGGGGTTTGACCTTGTAAGGCTTGCTGGAGGTCTTTCGTCAAGTTAGCAAACCGGGGTCGGGCGATGGAGGTTGCGTAGGTAGGTCACTGACGTCTGCATCGCAGGTACCAGCCTTGAAGGTGATTATAGGCACAATCGACATCTTGTGCCTTCGAATCTGGGTATCGGATGATGTGGCTGTTAAGAGTCCAAGGTAGAAATGGCAATTGTTCGTGATGTCGTTTGTGAGATGGGTGTCAGGTTAAGCTGTTGGAATTGGAGCTCTCGATGGCAATTGCGTAGGAGCTCCCTGCCTGCCTGAATTGGCTGTCCCACATGCGCTTGCGGCCCCCGTCGCAGGGGTCCACCTCGGGCCGTCCTTAGTCCGAAGAGGGGAGCAAGGAGGGGCACCGGGCAACCAGCGGGGTCCGTGCAGGCCCAGGAAGCGCAGAAGCTGGGAGCACCGCAATCAAAGGGAAGAATAAAAATTTCGCTTCCCAAACCCCACCTCGACCTATTTCTACCTGAACCTCAACACATCCCGCTTTCTACAGCTTTCTCTTTTACCCCTTTCTTCTCTACAAACCTCTTCAAATCGCAAAAATGGGCTTCGCCGACCTTCTCACTGATGCTGGTGCTGCCAGTAAGTTTCTGCAGCGTTGAATTCTTCCATTCTTTCATCGACTGACTATGAGTCAGTGCTGAACAGCTGGCTCACCACCCGCTCCTACATCGTTGGGTACGTTGATTCCCCCCCCTTTTGCGCCCCTCAAGACTTCCTATCCATTCAATTCTCCCGGCAACTACATGATGAGGAACATTGGTCCGTGTTTCGGAGGCAGCTTAAGACCCTGCTATTTGACGAAGCAACCAGCACTTCGTGCAACTCTGACTTTTCGCCTTGCCCTGTCATATTTGACGCTTCAGCATCTTTGGGCAAAAACATGGTTGCTGACGATTGAAATAGCCACTCTCCTTCCCAGGCCGACGTTGCCGTCTACAAGGCCCTTCAGTCTGCTCCCAACGCGGAGAAGTACCCCCACGCCGCCAGATGGTACAAGCACATCTCCACCTACGAGAGCGAGTTCGCCACTCTCCCCGGTGATGCCTCCAAGGCCTACTCTGTCTACGGCCCCGAGGCCAGCGAGCTCCCCGTGAACCCCGCCAAGGCCCCCGCTGCCGAGGAGGACGACGACGACGTCGACCTGTTCGGTTCCGACGACGAGGAGGAGGACGCCGAGGCTGCCCGCATCCGTGAGGAGCGTCTCGCTGAGTACAAGAAGAAGAAGGAGAACAAGCCCAAGACCATTGCCAAGTCCGTCGTCACCCTCGACGTCAAGCCTTGGGGTATGTTGCGCTATTCCTGACTTTGTGACCAAACCAATGCTAACCGCCAACTAGATGACGAGACTGACATGGTTGCCCTCGAGGCCTCCGTCCGCGGTATCGAGAAGGACGGTCTCGTCTGGGGTGCCTCCAAGCTTGTCCCCGTCGGTTTCGGTGTCAAGAAGCTCCAGATCAACCTTGTCATTGAGGACGACAAGGTCTCCCTGGACGACCTCCAGGAGGAGATCCAGGAGTTCGAGGACTACGTCCAGTCCTCTGACGTTGTTGCCATGCAGAAGCTGTAAAGTGTCTTACGACAGGACGGGCGGGATGATTTCACGAGGCATGATGGTGGAGATATGATAATCCATAGAATCCTCACAAAAAAAGGTCAACGCGGGGTTGCTCAGCACCGGCACAGGCTACGACCTGTCGCTCAAGAAAGAGTGCGAGCCCAAGACTTTGATGAATACAAATGAGGTTACGAAGACCTTTTCAAGACGTAAACAATGAACCAAATTCTCGAGTTTCCTGTGATCAAAACACAACAGTCATACCTGTACGGGGAGGGGAGCTTGATGAGAAAACCCCGCACTATCGACCTTGATACCTAGCAGTCAGCACAGAGTCATTCAGTTACTCACAATTTGATAGGCAACACTTTGGGCTCTTGTGGGGCTAGGCGCTAAGTGAGGGGCAGCTTCTCACTTTCCAAAAGCGGTCAGACAGATGCAACGCGACTCGACAGGTTACCTAAGGCGGATTCCCATTCTTAATTCGCAAACCGCGGGTCTTGAACGCGAACTTGCAGGCGGGACTCACAAATTCACGCGTCAGACCTCTCCTGTTACGACTTTGCCGAATTGCACTCTTCCCATCGCAAAATGTACGGCGATCTAGGCAACAAATTAGTACGAACGATTCAGCTCGAAACCACGATATCCAATGGGAAACTGACGCGTCTTGCAGGTACAACATGCTAAACGGACGCAAAATCTCACACATCTGCCGCCGTACCAAGCCGAGATGGTACGAGCCGTAACGCGCGAAGTCAGAGATCTCGATAAAGACGTGAACGAACTGCTGGAGCCTTTTCAGGGTTCCTTCGACCCATCCGCGGACCAGGCGACCGCGTGCACGCTACTCGTCAACCACCTCTCGATGCGCAGAAACAAGCGATGCCTTCTCGCCTACCACCGAACTCGAACAGATAAACTCGAAGAGCTGGCTTGGAAGGGAGTCGACGTACTCGACCTGTCCGGACAGCAAGTTCGTCACGCAGGATCGGCCGGCGGGGCGAATGGCAGTGCAGACGGGCCAACAAGCAGTCTCAGCCCGCAAGAGGAGGAGTACGTGAGACAGTATGGCGACCTGCTGGCCGCCTACAAGGGACAGTGGACTGATATTGACTTGACGGGGAGCTTGGAGCCGCCTCGTGACCTGTTCATCGACGTGAGGGTTCTGAAGGACGCAGGAGAGATACAAACCGAATATGGGTGAGTTTGGCTGCCTCAATCACACGGAAGTTCTGCATCTGACGCCGGGGATACAGCGCCATCAACCTGACAAAGAACAGCCAGTTCTTCGTGAGGCAGGGAGACGTTGAGCGGCTCATAGCGCAAGGTTACCTCCAAAAACTCAGCTGATGAGCGAGCTCCAGCTTGATAACGCGTTATCAACATTTGGGGAAGTCGATACTAAAAGAAATGTGTCTACGAACCTCTGCATGGGGAACATTGGGGCAGGAGGGGTACGGACGATGCAAGGTCGCCCTGCCCGGACCCTTGCACGGGCAAAAATCAAAATAGATGTACAGCGGCATGGACGCCACGCAGTGCGCCAATCGCGGCGGAATATCGCAACACGCTGCGTCAAGATGATGCGAGAAAGTCAACATCTGAGCATGCCTTGCTGGCGTCTCGCGGAATGCGCGGGGCTTGCATGCAGTTTCAAGGGGCTTGGGGGAACGGGAACGGGATTCGTGACGGAGGACCATAAAGGGTCCGGGAGGGGATTTTGGTCCTGCATCGGATCTGGATGACGGGACCACAACCAGCAAAACATGGCCCGGAGCAGAATGGGGCCAAGATCAGCGGGCGGATGGGTTCCGGATGAGTTCCGGAGCGGCCGACACAGGAAAATAGTGGCTAACACGGCAACCTTCTCGACGGCACGCGGGAGGCTCTGGTGGAGGGCGCAATGAACTGGATCCAGACCGCGGACATGGCACGTAAGAATGTCTGGGTTGCCGGGCTCTTCAATGGGCCATTGCTTTTTGTCTGCTCAGCGAGATTAGCGAATAATCGGAGAAACATGCCTCGCATGTGGCAGCAGACGCGCGCACGTTCAAAAAGCCGGAATTGCAACACCAATTGATAACGGGCGCAGGTCGCATAGCTCGGACGTGTAGTGGCTGCGCGGAGAATGGACATCAGATGTCGCGATATCGGCGAAGGATGAGCAAAAGACAAACCGATAGCGATTTTCGACAACCGACCTGCATTGAAACCTCAGACACGTCCACGACTCTACATGTCTCTTCAGCAGATTCCAAGCGGGCCGTCATCAGCGTACCGGCCATCCACTACGACCGTTGGTCGTGGAGCACAGCACGGCGCGGCACACAGGCATTTGCAGGGCACGGCAGAGCAACAGACAGGGCATGGGCTGGCCTGGTGCGCTGCATTGCATCATGCTCTGCATGAAGGCGTTGGCACACCTGGTTCGGCCTCCTGATCGTCAGCCCAGTGGAGGGCCGGAGCAGGAGACGGAAGGACGGGTAGCGATCTTGGTGGTGTCTGGTGATTGTTGGACGGGCAGCTTTGCCATGCTGCAGATATATCGGGCCATTGTCGGCGAGGATGACGACCAATTGACAGGATTTCTCCAAATGACAAACCGTTACCCCACGGGAGAAGTGAGGAGATGAAACTTTGAGCATTGCGTTGGCCCTCTTCAGACGTGAGCTTGGGCTGGAACAGGGCCGGTAAGTCGGAGAGTGAGCAGCGAGAAGGACCCGCAGGCTCCTCCACCACCTCCAGCTCCATCTGGTGTCTGTCAGCTCCAGCTTGGAGGAGTTGGAGGTGCCCGGTGCAGTGTGGCCATGGCTACGGCTTCCGAAGAGCGAAAAGGCAAATCCTGGATCCGAAGTGGGACGCCGACCACGACGTGAGGTGAGAGGTGACACTGAGTGACTGATTGTGCCCGCCGGACTGGAGCGCGAAGGCTCGTCCACGGAGACTGCCACGCAGCGGCTGTAAGTGGTTCGCCGTCCAAGCCAGAACTAGTGAACTACGTACTTCAACATGGGTAGGATGGATGGATGTAGGTACCTAAAATGTTTTGGTGATCCCGTTACGTAGTGCGACGTGAGCACGCAGCTTGGCAGCCCTGGAGAGTGGTCTGCAGCGTCTTTCTGGTCTACGGAATGTCCGCTAGAAACATCGAGGGTGTGCGCTAGCCTTCCTTTGTGTGGCCCAGGTACAGCGGCACCATGTCTCTTATGCCGTGGGCGTGGGAGGTGCGCTAGTGAGGGGCGAAGAGCCACATGCAAAATGCAAATTTGACTTGGTTCAAGGTTCGTCTAATTCTCTGCAGTGCTGCGCTGCTCTGCTGCGTGCGCGCGCCATGTTGACGACAACCTCGACCAGACCACAGACTGATGACTGTCGCTCTTCCGTCCGTCCTTTTCTCTCCTCTTCCTCCTACTCTATCTCCGTTGCGTTTCCCCTCTTCTAGGTTGTCATCTGCCACCCACACGTTTCGTCGCGCGGGTACAATTCCTTACTAACCTAGTCTTTTGTTTTAGCCTCTGGCACTTCAATTTGCAGTACATAGCACCACTCAGACCAACATCACCAAAAAAAACTAGACGGGCCATCCTTGCCTTAACTTGTAGATCCAGTCCCGCCCACAGGCCGTTCGTGTAATACACTTTCCCATCTCTTATCAGCGCCGACGCTGCCCACCCTTCTTACTCTCTCTCCATCTCTCACGCTCACCCCTTGCCCAACGAGCTCGAGCTTCCCAGTTGCCCATGATTTCCAGGTAAAACTCGCAACAACCCGCCGCCTCAACCATTGGCCTGGTCCCCCGACAACTGGCACCCTTTGAAAGGTGCTCCGGCGAACCTTCGGTGCCCTCCGCTCGCGCTCCCGCCCGCCGCCGTCAACAGCAAACCTAACCAGCTAGCCATGTCCTCCCCAAACTTTGGCTTCTCTCCGTGGAGGAGGAGAGCTTCATCCTTGAGCTCCCAGAGAACCGGCGAAAACAACTCCGAGAACCCGCTCCTCAGCCCTGGCCGAACTTCTCATCTCGCTGGCGCAGATGCCAGAAACCTGTCGTCTTCCTTGAGCTCGAGTCACCGAGAACCGATCCGTTCCTTCATCCATGGCACCGTCAGAGATCACTTAGGCAAGCAGTCAATACTCGGCGCAAGCGCCATTCCACGCACCCCAAGCTAACTGTTGGTCGGCAGCTCCCCAGGATAGCGCCCAGTATGCTCGCAGCGTGCGCGAAGATACCGCAGAGCTCGCCTCGTACCTCCTGTCGGACAAGAAGACCGGCCAGAGCCCGTCATTTCTTTCGCGTCAACGATCACAGAATTCGCAACTTGCTCGGGAGACGGCAGTTTCAGACACCGAGGAGGACGAGGCAGGAAGCGCGCATATCAACAGCTCCGACACAATTCAAGAAGTCTCTGAGCCTTCATCACCGGAGGAGGATTTGGAAGGACTACCGGAGGACGGTCCCTCAATCTTGACGAGCTTGCTGAAGAGGTCACCACCCCAATCGCACCGAGAGCCCTCACCCGACCCTCAACCCCGCCCCGAACAATCCGAACCAGACACCGTCGAATCGAAGCCGAAGCGATCGCCGTCCAGAGAAAGGCACGAACCAGAACCGCAGCCGTCAAACGGCGCCGCTGCGGAGGAACCGACCGAGCGCACGCCCCTCATACCCAGACTTTCGTCTGACAGCTATGAGACAAACGGAAGCACCAACGGTGTCGACGTGGAAGGGCAGAAGCAGATGCCCAAGAAGCAATGGTTCCGCGGTTTGAAGGATTTGACGGTTAATGTTGAGGATCACATTGTCCACGGCGTCCAGGTCGTAACAAGCCCCAAAATTTGGGACCGGAAAGTTATTTGGCAGAATGCTATCGTAGCTCCGGTGTCGTGTTTGCCTGCCGTAATAGTTGGATTGTTGCTCAATGTTCTTGATGCTTTGTCTTACGGTAAGTTTCGGTGTAAGTCAAAAGCTTTGGACGACATATCTGACAAGTCCAGGCATGATTTTGTTCCCCCTTGGCAAGCCCATTTTCGCTGGTCTTGGCTCGGCTGGAATATCCATTTTCTATGTCAGCACCATCGTCTCGCAATTGACGTTTTCCTTTGGTAGTATCTTCAAGGGTGGCGTCGGCTCAGAGCTTGTAAGCAAGATCCGACTCCAAATCAGCCGCCAAGATTTGACTAACAAGTTGTAGATCGAAGTCGTGCCCTTCTTCCATAACATGGCCCAGACGATCACTGATCACATTGGTGAAGACAAGCCTGATGCCGTGATTGCGACGACGATTGTTTCCTATGCAATCAGCTCGATGATGACAGGAACGGTTTTCTATCTTATGGGCAAGTTCAACTTCGGTTACATGGTCGGCTTCATCCCGAGGCACATCTTGATTGGCTGCATCGGAGGTGTTGGTTGGTTCCTGGTAGCCACAGGATTCGAGGTCTCAGCCCGCATGGACGGTAGCCTCGAGTACGACCTCGATACCCTGCATAAGCTGTTCCAGACCGATACAATCCCTCTGTGGGTTACACCACTGATTCTTGCCATCATCCTCTTTTACAGCCAAGCCAAAGGAGCCTCGAAATACTTCTTGCCGCTGTACATCATCTCAATTCCCATTGTCTTCTACTTCTTTGTATTTTCTTTGGATGCGCTAGAGCCCGATTCTCTGCGCGACCATGGCTGGATCTTCGAGGGGCCTCCCGCGGACGAGCCATGGTGGTACTTTTACACGTTGTACAGTAAGTTAATCTCGATGCGTCACGGTGCGCAAACTCTTACTAACGTCCATCACAGAATTCAACCTCGTCGAGTGGGACGCCGTGCTCGAGACCATTCCGGCCATGCTTGCCCTGACCTTCTTCGGCATCCTCCACGTTCCTATCAACGTCCCCGCTCTAGCTTTGCAGACTGGCGAGGACAATGCCGATCTCGACCGCGAGCTGAAGCTTCACGGCTGCTCCAACTTTATCTCGGGACTTGCTGGCAGTATTCAGAACTACCTGGTCTACGCCAACACTGTTTTCTTCATGCGGTCTGGCGGAGACAGCAGGCTTGCTGGAATCATGCTGGCAGCCTTGACTTTCGGTGTGATGATCATCGGACCCAAGATTATTGGCTTTATCCCCATTATGATGGTCGGCACTCTCATCTTCGACCTTGGCTTTGAACTTCTCCTTGAAGCTGTTTGGCTGCCGAGGAAGAAGCTCAAGCTGGCGGAATACCTGACGGTACGTCACTGTCTCACATATCAGATCAGTCGGTGCTAATTGTCTTCAGGTTATCGTGATTGTACTTGTTATGGGCATTTACGACTTTGTCATCGGTATTGGCGTGGGCATTCTGCTCGCCTTCATTTCACTCATCATTCAAACCTCGAGAGTTCCTGCCGTCCGAGCGAGCTACACGGGCGAGATTGTTGGTTCTACCGTGCGCAGGAACCCCTCGCAGCACCACTACCTTCAGGAAGTCCGTCGGCAGATCTACATTGTCAAGCTCACGGGCTTCCTCTTTTTCGGAACTGTCGTCAGCGTCGAGGAAAAGATCCGAGCGTTGATCGACGACAGGGCTTTCGCACAACGGCCCATCAAATATCTCATCCTTGATCTGTACCACGTCACAGGCTTGGATTACTCTGCTGGTGAAGCTTTCAATACCATCAGCAGACTTCTGGATAACAAGGGCATTATTCTTGTTATCAGTGGAAAGGACGCAGAGAGCGAGGTTGGTCGGAACCTGAGGCAAGTGGGACTAGGCGACGACGATATCGAAGTCACATTGCTTCCAGACCTCAACTCAGCTCTCGAAAGTTGCGAAAACGAATTATTGAAGACTCTATACGCGAGCCAGGACGAACTTCGCAGAGATAACCGCCACGCACCGACGGCAAACCTCGAAATACCGGCGAAATCAGACGGGCCGTCCTTTGATGTCGTGATCAACTCTCCGAGACGTAGCCACCTCTACGAAGCCGCCAGAAACGCGCTGGCGAACACCGAACCCCTGGGAACGACGAAATGGCAGAGCTTTAAGGAGCCTCTGCGGTTGATGTTGCAGATCTTCCAAGGGCTCAGCGAGAAGAACGAAGACTTTTGGTTCAGGGCCGTCGGGTACTTCGTCAGGAAGGAGTACCCGGCAGGCACTGTCCTCTTCACGAGAGGAGACGTCGCGAAGGGCTTTTACCTCGTCGAGAAGGGCATCCTCCGCTGCGACTACGACCTGCCACAGGGCTCTCTCACGGAGAGCATCGTGGCGGGCACGACGTGCGGCGAGCTGCCCTTCTTCTCGGAGACGGACCGCACGGCCACCGTGACGGTGGACAGAGACTGCGTCGTGTGGAGGTTGGACAAGCAGGGCTGGGAGCGGCTGCAGAAGGACCAGCCGGACGTCGCGCAGGAGCTGTTGAGGATGTCGCTGAAGCTGACGAGCGAGAGGATGACCTCTATCACGTCCTACATTCTGACCATGGCTGGATGATGGGCAATTTATCTATCTACTGGTTTGTCATTTTTCTGGAGTTCATATGGATACTAAAAAAAAGGATGTCAAAAAGGGTGGGCTTTTTTTCTATGTTTGGCGGTTCTTATCATAAGCGGGATGCTCATGTCTCTTTCGAGTAGTAGCTGAGAATACCTAGATTGGGAGGCGGAGAGTAAGTAAGTCCTCTCTGGGCGAGCGAAGTAGTTTGAATATGAGATCTGTGTGAGTCTCACTGTCCGGCTCGTCAAGTCAAACCGGTGAATCATTTGTGTCGTGATCTGGCCACGGGTCCACGCATTGGAGATATGGTAGAAGTAAAGGGTAAATTAGTTGCAGTCCGCGCATGCCCTTTTCTCTTACTGTTGTGCTGTAAAACGCCAGACAGGCGACAAAGACGACGACAGTAGCAACGACGATGACAAAGAAAGGGAATAGAGATGAGCCTGAGATACTCTATACTAAAAGGAAGACATTTGTGTTGCTGGGGGTCTCCAGGGTCTGAAGCCGATGAGCAGCTGCGGTGCTTAGACAGGCAGCGAAAGATGATGATGGCTGGTGGGATGGAAGCCACCGGGTAGGCTGCCGCAGGAGTTGTTCCACTAGAAACACTTTCCTTCGGCTTATAAGAGCACAGTACGACGGGTACGAGAACAACAGCATCATGTCGTTGCATACCAGGGAGATGAAAACCGTTGCGATGTCTAGCTGTCAAGTTCAACTGATAGGTCAGGTTGGCACGTTGACGAGTAAGATGATATACCATGTAAACGACATCTCGCTGTTTCTTTTCTGCTCTTTCTGGGAATTATACTGGGCGCAATACACCAGTAGTGGGATACGGAACAGGAGATCCTCCATGACAGCCCCCAGACGTTGCTAACGAGTATGATCGGTATAGGGTCCCCTCGATTGTAACTCCGATACGGCCAAGACGTCGCTGTCTCCGGCAGAAAAAACCGCGGTGGCTTTGTCCGGTCCCCGAGGGATGTACAAACCCCTGTCCCCTTTTAAGCAGTGATGGTAGTTTGAACTGCATTATTGGCTTTCCTGTTGCATAGTTCACAATGGCTGTGGACGAAATGTTGTGGTTCTTCAGGGTTATGCTGGGGGACGGATGGGTATTCTGCCGATTTTGACATTTCCGGGAGGGATCTAATTCTTTCAATTGCGAAGTCCTCGCCCTGTAGGTATATTATAACCTCTGGGTGTGATCTTAGCTCGGATCAAAGTCGCAGTGAACGGTGTCGTTGGCGATATATTTTGCCTTGTGGCCATAGATGAGTAAACCGTTACAACTCATAACCGACCGGCATGGTCATTCTTGTCCTTGAATCACTTAAAAGGGAAATAACCAAGCAAATGACTGAGCATTCGTTGCCTGGTAACTCTTCACAAACACCAGAGTGACTTCATCGGTCGGCAGCGCCATATGTCCGTCATAATGGCTGTCGTCTGGTGCGTCGGTTTTTTTCTCGTTTTGATTGGGTATTAACTTTTTATCAAACCAGAACATCTCATCGAGGGGCTGAGGAAACAAACAACCATAGAGTTGTGCCACTAATCTTGAACTATCTGTCTGGGGCAGCAGGGTCATCGGTATTCACGCTCTTTTCTATAGAGAACTGAATTGACGTAAACCATGCGTCCGGGGTTCCTCTGACACTTCGTTTTATAGTATAAACGCTATGTTGCTGGTTGCTTCATGCTCAAACATGTCACCTCTCTGAAAGGCGTTTCTAGAGTAGCCCGATGACACGTACAGAGCGCTCAAATACCAGCTGCTTAATGGCGCATTCTGGGGGCTGCAGGTTCATGCATTGATCCAGGGCACAACTAATTCCTCCGTCTTTCAACGCCGTCCGACATCCCGCGAGTTAACAGTGTAATGAGCAGGAGTCCGGGTCTTCGTTGGTGTCTGGACATGCACTATATACAGCTATAATGACGCCCTTATCAAAGATCTTTATGTTTCATTACGTGGTCATAACAATCTCCTCAAGGCTACCTGAAAGAAGCACCAGCAATAAGGCCTCATGCGATGGAGGTACACACGGCTTTATACGACTTTGGATGATATTGGACTTCTGCAGGGATATGCAAGGTCTGTTTTCAGCCCCCTCGCAAAATCAGTTCTGAATTCAATCTCTCTGAGAGGTTATATGAAAAGCTGCAGAGTCGTTCAACACTGTTGAAAATCTCCAACGCCAGCACCCCAGTGTTCCACGCAGGTGTTCTCGGCGCATTTTTTGTGGAATACGATCACATTACTTTATGGTAATACGTAAGGAGGTGCTTCTTTAGCTTGTAGTCCGAATCCAACTTCTATTTGACTCATCTTCACTATTCCTCAAAACCATCCAGCATCTGGCGAGTATTCTCGTCGTTGTGTAATGAATCGGCAAAGAGGTCAAATGAAAGAAGAATACCGTACCTATACACGTTCCGCAATCCTATCTGGATCTTTGCACACCTTCCTCGCGATTGGGTTTAAGTGATACTTGAGCAAGTCGTCGGAATTACCACTTTGAGGTCTGAACGAGCTTACACGAGCAATAGGCACTTCAAGACGTCTTTCACTTCTTCTATGTCAGTGAGATACGATACTTACATCACCAACGTTCGAATCACAGACTTTGTACTCCAAACTATAGTTAGAGATAATCCGAAGACTAACCATACACCATCACGCTCAAGGGGTTATGTGCTATGTCTAGGGTTCAACACTGTGGACACCGGATACACGAGAAAGAATAGAGTCAGCCGAGAGTCATTAGGCTTGGTCTTCTCGGATCAGGGGTCACATCATCTTCACTTCGCACTCGCATCAAAAGGCATCCGAGTCACAGACTCTCATATCCTCCGAAATTCGTTCGAGCGGCTTCGCATACGTGAAGACCGTTTTGCCATCTTCCGGAATCTTTCCAACACCGTCGAAGTGACCATTCTGGTCACATCTCCGTTCATATCCTTCACATAGGCGCCAGGGTTTTCCGGCCTGCCAAAGATGGTATTGCCGAGAACGGCTCCGTGTCGCTCACACCCACGACCGCAAGTGTCAAGAGACGCCACTCGTTCTCCGCCGCCGCACCTTATATTCATCGCATGCTTGTCCTTGCTCACGTATTCCCTGTCTCCTACGTATTTCTCAGAAGTTTTAACGAAGGAAGCTGCAGGCTTTCTTTGACCCGGCCGAAAGTATGAATTAGTTTCCGTCTGAGAGTCGAAGCAGCAATCTCCACATAGACACAACAAGAAATGTTCTCAAATTCTTGCTCGAAACGAATTTCGTCATCTTTCCTTTAAATCTATTATGTTCTAGTATAGCCACTTTCTGTGGGATTATCATCTATTTCTCTTATAGCCATTGTCTGGATATCTCATTGCCATCATTCATCATTCGTCGTCCGTCGTTCCATCACCGGCCAAATTCGTCTTTCTTACCAAATAGAACCGTACTAGCGATGCTATATCGACTGATCTATTCGCACAAGGTTGCTTCCAAACCGCACGCTTTCATATCCTCCAAGATCCATTCCATTGGTGTGATATACGTCACATCCGTCACGTCCCTCTCAGGATCAGAACCGGAGCCCGCCGTGACGATTCCAGCAACGCGGCCTTTGAAATCCCACACGCACGCTCCAGAGTCTCCGGTTCTGCAGAAACTCGTGGCACAAGGGGGACACGACATTGATCTATGTTCGTATCCAGTAACGCCGATCGCGAGGGAAAACAAATCTCGCGCGCCGGGATGTTTGTGTCGGATGACGGAGAAGGCCTGGTTCGCCAGACCGAAGGTCAGATCCGAGCTGTGCCCGTATTTCCCGAGTACGAGCGTAGACGGGCACTGGCATACGCCAAACGAGTCTATGGCGTCCTCCAGGTAATCGAAGTCGGGCAACTGGAATTCGGCGAGGGGTACCGGGCCCGCCAAGGTGACGATGTCGTCTTCGTCAGGTTTGGCGTCATCCCAGAATAGGGATTGCCATTTGAGGGCCTTGAACTTATGCGATTCGCTTGCGACCGAAACCTGATTCCTCAAACTGGCCAAGGGTTGTTCATGCTTGTCGCCATCGAGCCGTATCAAGGCCCAGTCGCTCTTGAAGTGCCTGCCATCTCCGATGTGACAGACGTGGCCAAAGGTCCTGGCTTCGATATCCCCGAGCGCGGTGTACGACGCCCAAAGCCGGTTTATCTCTGCCAGAGTCTCCCGTTCCCGGCGTAAGTTATTCTCCTGCGCAGTAGTGAGAACACAGCCCCCGCTGGAAGATCTTTCTTCATATTTGTCGATCCTCTCTTTGGAGGAGCTTTTGTCGCTCTCGATACGTGCCAGCATGCGGTCATAATCACCCGGTTGGACGACGGCTTGTGAAAGGCTAGGGGCCTTCTCGTTCCCGAAGAGAGAGTGCCGACACGTCAGGGCACAAATCGACGTCTCTGTCTTGTCTCCGTCCGTCATCTTGACACGGAGGTAAGGGCCTTTGGTGCCTATACTTGCTGGATTGTTGGCGGCGGAAATTGTGGTCCCCAACAGGTTGGTCAGCTGGTGTTGATACTCCCTAGACCCCCACCAGAAACGGGGAGTCCGTTGGTGACTCGGCGATTTCTGCAGACGGAACACCTCAGAAGCCCTGAGCTCGCAGGAGACATCGGTGAGTCCGTGAAGGCCTAGGACGTGCTCGCATCGAGCCGCGGCGTCGCGTGCCTGGGCCGGCGAGATGCTGCCGGGTTGGACAGAGACCATGAGGACCACCGGGAGGTCCTTGTCGTCTTCGTAGCCGCATCTGAATATGTCCACCGAGTTCCAGTCGACCGCCTCGAGGCTGCGTAGGATTTCGAACCTCAGGGAACCGATCTCGCCGGTGTTGTTCCACTTCTCGACGATCGGATGGCGACATACGGGCCTCAGAGTCTTCTTTACCGGATCGCCTTGATAGTCGTAGTACCCCATATCGTCCACGATTTTGGGGTCCCAAGGGGGATTTGGTGCTCTTGCTAAGAACGTGGGACCGGTTGGGAGTCCACGATAGTACCAGCGATCCTGATTCTGTATCATCTTCTCCCGGAGGGCTGAGAAACGAGTGTCCATGATGTCAGATTTTGGGACTGAGTATTGCCGATTTGCTAAAAGACAATTTTGCAGTATTTCTGGCTTATGATTACCATTTCAAAAGCAGCTCTTTGAAAACGCGTGGGGGTAGCTTCTTTAATAGTTCGACGTCTTGTTACCGGCTGTGGCGCATCAGTAAAAAAGCTGCGGCCAAAAGTTTAATCGCCGTGGTACTGCCAATCACATCTACCTTAGATCAAAAAACCAACTCAGACCGGAGAAATCAAGAAGGCTGTGGGTTTTTTCCAGTCATAATCTACCATCAAGGTGGTATAAGCCTTGATACCGTGAAGGACAAGTTAATGTTGCCGGATTGGGCCTGCGTCAAGTTCTATTACGTGCCCTTCGTTTTTCCCTAAGCCAGCAACGAGACGAGGAGGTTTGAATTGGTAAAGATCCATGGCAGTTCAGTATTGACTTCAAGTTCACAAGGTGGTTGGTACGACCCAGTTCGAGGAAAGAACGCTTGTGTTAGTTTATTTTCTTAGGATATCATAACTCGTGAGGCGATTCTAGGTGAGCAAGGTAGTTCAAAGTACGTAACATAGAGTAGCACGAAATATTCGCAGAGAACGTTTGCGACCAGAACATCCACGCAGCTCGGACTCTCAAATTTCGAGCCTACCCAAAGACCATCAGCCGCCTGTCGCAAGGCAATAAATATATCGCAACCTACCTAGAGAAAGCCCTCAAAAGTCAATTCCTATCAGCAGCTACCGTCCACGTACAGCCAGGGGGGAGGAAGACGACGTGCCAAGGTTTCGTTTGATGTTCGTCCCAACGCGAATCCTGCAGGCGCCCGTTGCCCTCTTTTGTTTTCGTCCCAACTCTGCTCATGATTCCAAGAATAAACCAATCCCGACGTGACAGTTGATGAAAACTTTAATCCGGTCACAGAAGATGACAACACACCGCAGAACCGCATCTTTTTCCTCACACCAAGTCTGTCGGACAACATGCGGCGTCAGCTACACATCCAAATTCAACGTCCTTGTTCCTCTCGTCGACCTTGAAATACCGCGGTATGCTGATTAAGGGAAGGTGGCCGTCCACTTAGATCTCACGCCCGGACCCAAAAAGGCCGTGTCGTTGGATTTGCCACCCACGAGGTCCCACCCAAAATTGTCATCCGGAAAGGGCGTGCGGCGTCAACCCATTAAAAACGGGAGTGGGCCCCGCGCCGCCGGACTTCCTTTCCGGATGCCCTCACTTCATCCCACCTTACCATCTTCCCAAACCTTTTCTTTTTATTGTCCCCTTTGTCTAACCCCTTTCTTCCCACCCACCTGCAAGAACGCGCATACGCCCGGAGAGATGAGCCTACGATCAATACTCGGTGGCGGCCGAGTCAAAAAGTCAAAACCTACCAAATCTCCGGCTGCATCCCCACGCAAGAACAACGGAACCAGCAGTCCGCGGACAGGCGGGGGTGCCAAGAAGAAGAAGGTCGAACCAGATTCAGACGGCGATGATGATTACTTCAACGACAGGCTCGACGATGCCGGGCTGGTCGCGGCACTGGCGACGGACATGTCTCTCCGGGATGTCGTGCAGGCCATCAGGTACACCCGCAACCACATGTTCGGCCCGGTCCCCACGGAGGCGGCGGGCATGAAGTCCACGCGCATCGCCGAGGTGCTAAACTACCGTAAAGCAATGCCGGGGCTCGTGACGGTCTCGCACCTGCACGCGCTGCTGGCCTCTCCAACGGCGGTGGAACGGGAGGTCGCAGAGTTGGAGCGCGGCGGAGCGGTTCGAAAGATCTACGTGCAACGTCGCGGAGGGCTGGGCGAGGCGCTTATCCAGAGTTCCGAGTTAGAGGAGATGATCACGCAGGCCGCGGGTGCGGGGCTTGACGATGAGACCAAGGCCGTTTTCTCGAGATATCTCAAGGAGAACCCGCAGGCGCAGACGATGCCGCGCTCTGCTTGCAATTACAAGCAGGCTGACGCCTTGGTAAGGGCCGGGTTCCTGACGGCCAGGATACACTCAGGAGACGTAAATACGCCGTTGATGAATCTTCATTTACGCCCGGAGGTGCGCGCCAGCTTGACGAGTATCGAGACGGTATCTCGCGCAGCGTCCGGCAGCTTCGACGCCGTGGGCGGGCAAGGAGCAATACATGCCGCGGGTGGTGGGGGAGGGGCGCCGCAGTTGCCCCGCGCCGACGCGTCATCTCCGGGAGCCGATTTCACACTCGCGGTCCCCGGGAATGGGTCATTCCTCAAGCTAACCGCCGCCGCGGTGGAACATCTTTCCAAGCTGCTGTCTAAATCGCAATTTAGGGAGATGCCCGTGTCTATGCTAAAGGAGCGATGGGAAGGTGGCGTGGCCCGTGACGAGGCGCGCCTGGCAAGGAGGGCCAGGGGAGAGTTCGCCGGAGTGATGCCAGGAAGGACGAAGAGATGGAAAGACTTTTACGGACTGGAATTTGACTGGGTACTGGAGGAGGCCATGGGTGCTGGTCTAGTTGAAGTCTTCGAGACACGGAGTGTTGGTAGGGGAGTCCGTTTGCTGTAGCCCCGGAGTCCGAGTGTGTCGGCGATGAGCGGGGAAGTTTAAGCTTGATACCACGAAGATCTCGAATAGGCTTCGAATCTCGAACGACCCATAGATGAATCCAGTGAAGAATTGCTGCCGGTGAAACTTCTCTGCGAAAGCTGTAGTATCGCTCAGCATGACACACCAACCATTCCGGAAAGCAGTGACCGCCTGCCGGCATGTTCATCCGAGTCCGATGTCTTCCAGAACAAATTGAAATCATGAAGACAGTTGGTGATTGAGTCAGGTATTGTTTGTCGGTGTTTCCAGAATTAGGACCGTCATATTCCTTGTCAGGACGACGTGGACGCTTAAGCAGCGGCAAATCCGTCATGATGTGAGGGCAGAATAGGGGGGGAAAGCCTGCTCCCACGGTGTTTCTCGCAGCCCTTGCTCCCTGCCTTTCGTCTGTCGCCAAGCACGGGATTGTTGTGAGGGGGCCGTACTTAAGAGCGAAGTGGCGATGCGGCTCCAGGGTAGTCTAGGTCAATCCCGGGTGTTTTCAGTTTGATCTTCCATGCTTCGCCCAGTCGCAGCGCTGTTCGTGGAGGGCACAAATTTTAGGCGAGAACGTCTCGCTTTGATGTGACTTCGAGTGTCGAGAAAGCCGAGTCATTCACAGCGATGCAAAGCCTGGAGAAGCATGAATGTCATTCACCTCTCATCTGTTCTTTCCACCGATTCGCGTAGTGCTGTCAAAATCACAGGCCTCGGCCTTGTGCGGTGGACCGTGAAGAGTTTCCTGCAGAAAGCGATACGCACCATCGTTTTCCCTTTACACGATAGTCAGCCACAGCAGAACACGAATGAATCGCACAACGCAGAAGCTGGGTCTGAGATGCTATCGAGTTATTTGGCCGTATGCACCACTGAAGCAGTGTGGAGATGGCTCCCGACAGCGCATGCTTGCCCGTCTGCAACTAGCGCTGCAGACCAGGTAGACTGCATGCTCTAAGTATGCGAGAAGTTGACAATTAAGCTGTGAGGCCCAGAGATCAGACACTTCTCGAACGAAGTGTGAAAGATAGAGGCGCAGCGACTCGACGTTAGGATCCGGGGTGGCTGAATGCTGGGAGGTTTGACGTTGGATGTAACACCAAACGCTTCTAAGTTGTAAGCTGGGGTTGACAAACAGGACTCTGCTCAGGGGCTGAATTGATGAACGACACGACTGCTGGCAACGCATACGGGCGATGACCAGAGCTTCCTGCCGTTACAAGACGACGGGCTGTGCAGCTCGCATGCCGGTTCGAAACCCCAAATGGGCAGAAAAAGCAAGAAAGCTACTGCACTGCGGAGTACGGATAGATGCAGCCCCCGTCAGAAGTGCTTCGGACACGCAGAGGTAAAATGAGCTCGGACCGCCGCCTGGCTTTTTCCAAGAGACGGCTGGATGGAATACAATTCTCCCGAGGACTTTGTATGAACAGCGGCAGCTGTCGTGCTGATAGTAATAGCAACCATGGTGAGGCACTTGCGCTACCGTTCTGCGACGTGGGATTGCGGAGTTGCAGCAACTTCAAGTGCCAGGTTCGTCGGATAACGGAATCGCAAAGGTACGGGATGGATGAGTTGCAGCTGACATCCGTTGCAATGAGACATCGACGTCCAGTGTGGTTCGGAGAGACTGTCCCGGTGTCGGTGTCGGGATCGGTCTCTCTCACCTCTCGCCCATCTTCCGTCTCGCCGACACCGTCGTCGCGCGAGCGGTTCTCTCCGATGCCATCAGGTCAGCAGAGGAGCTGCGGAGAAGAGATCTTCAGTCACCGGGCAAGCAATTGACCAATTCGAACGAGGAACCCCACGGGATTGGTGTGATGGGCCAGGCCCAGAGATTGTCAGAGCTGGATCACGTCGAGTCGTTATGGACGGACGAATGGGAAGTGGCGGGGAGTGGGCGAGGCTGCAGCTAGCGTGGTGGTCGTCACACAGACTCTGGGACGCCATTGTGTGACTTCTCCGAGCTTGGGAATTCTTGGGGACGCCAGGAAGCTTTGCCGGAGACGGTTCCTGGTGCGGTCGCGGATTTTCCCAGAGGATGATGGGTGTTATCAGAGGCGTGCCTGGCCGATTGGCGCACGGCCACGCCACACAAAAGATATCGTTGGCTGGAAGAGGTAGTGATGTGAGGGCGTCCGGAAATTACTGCGTGGTCCGTCCATATGGGGGTTACTGCCCATTCGCGGGAATCGTTTGATTGCGACCATGGCTGGCACTTTAAGTCCTTGACTTGGCCTGGCATTTGCCGCGCTCTGTCCAATTGCTGATCGAGTCATCATCGAGTAGCCCGGGCGACTGGCTTTCCTAATCGAAAATCGAGGGTCTTGTGCGGGTCCGAGAATGGAGGTTGGAACCAAGCATTCGGGCACGAGGCAGGCCGCAGCAGTTCCTGATGGAGGGACGTGACTGTGAGTACCCGTACCCGTCTTGCCTTCTGGTCGCTATCCGAACCTGGACGATGGATGGAAGACATATGGCTGGATTGTCTCTCCGTGTAGGACGACGTCAGGCAAGCTGAGGCTGCAACTGCGGATTTGGGTGACGATGAATGCTTGCTGCGCGGGACCTGCATATGCGTGTGCAGTGGTACTGTACGAGGCTAGCACATGTGCATCCTGCTGTCCTGGTGTTCTTGTCCGTGTCGTCGATGAAGTGCCGTCCGTCCCAGCCAGCGACATGCTCGCAGCTCACATGCGTCGGACCGGGAGTGAACCAGTTCGGATTTGACAGCAGGGGTCCAAGATGTTGGAGGTATTTCGAGACTTGCCGACGAAGTAGCCATCAGGAGTCAGACCACAGAGCGACGCGGGTTATCTTGCTGAACGGCAAATCAGGCCGTTAGCGCGTGGCTCCGTGGTGGCAGGTATTGAGAGAATCCAATTGTGTGCGTGGCCTTCGCGATTAAAGGGGGGTCGCGATGTGCCGAATACTTGGGATGCTGGTATTTCGCCGCCAATTAGCGTGTATCTTTGGACTAATCCAGAAAGAGCATACTCCCCTGCTGTGCCTGGATTGAAGGCTGGTCCTTGCATGGGATTTGACAGGGGTAGAGTTGAAAGTCTGGGTACCAATTTGGCGATGGGCAGGCAGGGTGGCAGGCTAGCAAGGGAAGCTTTCTGGGGTGATGATTGAGTGGTGCGCCAGCGGTCCCTTCAGCATCGCCCATCATCTGGCTAGTCATTATTGATGTTGCAGTGGTTCGTTCAGTGGATGTCTGGATCATGGATGAGAGCCCAGCACAGAGATTTCGTGACCATACCTATTTGTACGGATACGGACCGATATAATAGGCCTCCCAGACTGAGATGAAGGCGCTTCGCGTTGGTTGAGGAACTGACTTGGATAGGTAAGTTTAAAGTAAAAAGAGCCGGGGGTCAGAGAAAGTAGGGAATAATGATACACGAGCAAAGAGATGAGAAGTGTGAGCTCCCAGAGGCAAGAGGAGCAGGGGGGAATATGGATGAAAATCTTTACGGAGCACCATCCGCACCGCAGTACAGTTGTGCCTGCCAACCAAATCGTATCGCTCTTGCCCCTTTTGCGTGTTTCTGGAGACAAACATGCATCGCCTTCCGTACGGAGTACCTGCCTTCTTTCCCTCCCATCTCTTCCGATCGGAACACCTTTCCATGGTCGTCGGGCCCAGCAGGCGGCCTTTTCTCCCCATCTAGCATTCTTCGTTGTTGATGCCCGTCATTAGTTGACGCAGATACCAAGGATCGCCAGTTTATCGTTTGGTTTAAGAGCTTGAATTGCGCAATAGAGTACCTTATCCGTCAGCCGTTGTCGGCATATCCACGCATAACTTTCTGTGGGGTATCACAAGCTCCCGTCCAGAAAAAGCAAAGCGAGAGGGAAAAATAAAATAAAAACGGTACGTACCCACCTTATTGCATGCCGTCTGCTGTTACCTCCCTCTTCCAGATAGCAATAAGTCCCACGAAGGAAAGGAGCAGCACTGAGGACAAGACAGACGAGACGGAAGAGAGAGAGAGAGAGGAGGAGACTTGCTTGCATGCTGCATGCACCTTTTGCTTGTTGATTGCTCGGCTTTTCCCCCCCTCTCATGAGAGGAGAACCAACAACGCGCCGCGCCTAACACGGGAAAAAACCAAGACCCGACTACCACCAAGAGAGAAATACCCTAGGCCAGGCCTCGAACGTCCCATCTTGCTCCAGGTTCTCAACTTCCCCCGACCGATCTAATAATCGGGCAGCCACTCACTCTACCTGGGGCCTACCTTCCTTACACACGAATACCTTACTCTTCGCCTTTTGGACTCCAACAATTCATTTCCCGCTAACCTTTTCACCACTTCTGTACCGTCGACGACACTAATCGTACCGAAACACACTTCTCATCACCACATTCTCTCTCAGTTTCTCCATCTTGTCGACCAGACACTCCTTTTCATCTCGCCTCTTGTACGCACGCGCGCACGTACTCGCACACGTACAGTACAGTACAGCACGCGCTCACACTCACGCTCACGCTCACGCTTTCGCTCTCGCAAGCACTGTTTCCGGTCCCAGTCGTCGCGCGCGATATTCAGGACGGAATCACCGACTTTTTTGTGTTTTCCTTGATCGCTTTCATCGGCAACTCTTCTCACTTTGCCAAGCCAAAACACAGCCCTCCGCTCGAGACCCGGATCTTCCCATTCCACGAAGCATCGGATCGCATCATATCGTATCGCATCTCCTCCAGCCGAATCTTCGCTTCACCAAGGATCAGACTTCCCGCAATTCAATTCCCGTCCTGCCGTCCCGGCCGAATTCCATACCGTGCCCGCCTCCCAACTTTACTTTCGCAAACTTGTTTCCTGCTTCTCGAAGCCGACACTCTACGGCTCTCAGCGAATCCGCGCTCGCCTAACCCACGTCCAGCATTGCCGTCGAAACATTTCCACTGGACGAAACTGCCCCCTCCCTCCCTCCCGCGTCCAATTTTTGAGTTTCCCCAACCTGCCGCCCAATCTGAGTACCCGTCGCCATCCCAGTCCTGCGACTTTAGCTGCGCGAGGCACACGAGGCACCGTGCTCACCAGCCGGACGAAAAAGAAAACCCACGCCATACTACGCAGTACATAGACGCCGCCGCTAGCGCAAGGAATACAGCTCGACCAAAATCCCGCTACAGTCAGACCTTTGTTTTCCCTTCTGCACCTGGGCCGGCAGAAGCAACAACCTCCTTTTGGACGACAGGGAATACTCCTGTGAGGCATACGAGTTGGCTTCTTTCCAGGAATCCCCCCCAAAAGTCTCGACGTTGGCCACTCCTCCACTCCTGCATTTCCCGCCAACCACCAAACAATTCGGGAACACTATACCGCTCGACTACACCCACAACCTCGTAAGTTCAATACCGCCCACCTCCCTGCCACCTCCCGCTCCCGCCTCGTGGGATCGCCCTCGTCGCTGGTCAATCTGCATGTCATGCTTTACTCCCGTGCTCGCCGCTATGATTGTCAGGATCCCGGTGCACTGACAAGTCTCCTGCCAGCAACAGCGTCGAAATCCGATGAAAAGTTCCCACGTCACCACCCTACACACCCTCAACGCATAATAACGTTTCATACGTCCCTGGCTCTCGAGAGTTCCAACGTGCCGGGATACAAGCCATACGAAGGCCAGCCCCCCGTCGACGTTTGCGGTCTTGGGACGAATCAAACCCACGCGAACAAGTCCCTCGTTATCGACGTAATCAGCCTTCCGACGATTGCCCCCTTTCTACCCTCCGAGTTCATGGACCAACCGACTCTTTGCTTGCTCCCGACAATCTAGAAGGTGTTCTGCCCGATTTTGGGTATTCCGTTACTTTGCAGAACACCCGGTTCCGATTGATTGTTACACGTAATGGCGACGACACTTCCACGGCCAGCGAGGCCGTCAAACGGTCCGCCTACGATGGCCTTGCCTGCTCTTCCTGTCCCCAAGACTAGGAAAAGCACCGGAAACTTGCCTACACCGGCCTCCAAATCGAGCCCGACGACACCCAACCCCAAGAGCGGTCTTCGGGCTCCTTCGTCGTCCTTCCTCCCTCCCACGACCCCCGCCCCAACATCAGCACTTCCGCAACCGCGTGCGGTCTCTGCCATGAGCACCTCTTCTGTTAAGACGTTGCGCAAGACAGTGAGCATTAACTCGTTCCCCCAGCCGCCTCGAGGCGACAATCGCGTCAATAGCCTACCCCCGAGTCCACTGGGTGCTGACTCCTCGCGGAATCCATCACGCAAGTCAAAGGGCTCCACCACATCCAGCTATTCTCATTTGAGCAACGGGGCTCCGAGTCTTTTGAACAACAATGCCGAGGGGAAGTCGATATCAAGCGCGAGCGTTCGCATGTCGGACGGGCTTATCAGCATATCATCGCCACCTCAAAGCAGGAGCTCGTCCGCGCAGGACTCCTATTCAACTTCGGCGACGACGTATGATGACCCCATTGACGGAGCAGCGGCAAAGTCCTTATCTGACAACATCAGTGACAAAAGAGGTTCCAAGCTGGACGGCAAGGGTAATGTCGTAGTCAGTGTGAGAGTAAGACCGGACGCAGGCGGCAATGAAAACAACAAAACCGAGGGGGAATGGATGGTCGACGGGCGCAAGTCTCTTGTTGCTTACAGGGGAAAGGAAGGCGGTGACTACTTCTATGGTATGTTCCTTACGTATGCGCTGCGAACTCACTTCTGACGCGATGACAGATAACGTTTTCACGACACATGACGATAATAGCCGAGTCTACGACTGCATAGCAAAACGCTTGGTACGCCGTGTAATGGAAGGTTACCACGGAACAGTTTTCGCGTACGGTATGACTGGTACCGGAAAGACGTTCTCGATGCAAGGAACCGCCTCTTCACCGGGTGTTATCCCTCTAGCGATTACCGATATTTTCTCCTACATCAGGGAAACCCCGTCCCGCGAGTTTCTCCTTCGCGTCAGCTACCTTGAAATCTACAACGAAAAGATTCACGACTTACTCAGCATGTCCACTGGGCCCGGCGCTGGGGCCAACGGTGGACAAGAGGAGATTAAGTTGCGCGAAGACAGCAAACGTGGAGTCTACGCCAGCCCCTTGAAGGAAGAAATCGTGCAGAGTCCGACACAACTCTTGAGGGTGATTGCCCGCGGAGACCAAGCGCGCAGGACAGCAAGTACCCAGTTCAATGCGAGGAGTTCTCGAAGTCATGCAGTGGTGCAGATTGTGGTGGAGAGCCGAGAGCGGATACCAGGGAACCCTGGAGGCGGCGACAGCAAGCGATCCGGCATGCTACCCGGCGGTGTGCGCGTGTCAACCTTGAGCTTGATCGATCTTGCTGGATCTGAGAAGGCCGCAGAGTCCAAGGAACGAAGGACAGAAGGTTCACATATCAACAAGAGTTTGCTGACTTTGGGCACCGTCATCTCGAAGCTGTCTGAACACAAGGACAAGGACGGAAAGGCAGCCGACAAGGATGGAAAGCACTTGCCATACCGAGACAGCAAGCTGACCAGATTGTTGCAAGGGGCTCTGTCAGGCGGCTCTCTCGTGAGCATTCTATGCACCATCCAGATTGGAGCCGCCGGCAGTGCAGCCTCCTCCAACTCTCACACCTCGGAAACAATCAACACCCTGAAGTTCGCGTCACGAGCCAAGAACAACATCGTCAGTCATGCCAAGAAGGCCGAAGAAGCTCTTGGCGCGGGTGGCGACGGCGGCGCAAGAGTCCTTCTGGAACGATACCGCATGGAAATTCAGGAACTGCGGCAGCAGCTGGACACGCAGGCCAAGGAGAAGAACTCAAAGAATGCCGAAGCAGAGAAAGAAAGAGACGCCGAGGAGGAGAAGGCCCGGGAACTCGAGGCTGAACATCGGCATGAAGAGCAAATGCTCGAAATGCAACTCGCCCGCACAGCCCTCAAGGAACGGATCGATCATCTTAATCGTCTGATCTTGAGTTCCAAATCAATTGGCGTCAACGCGAGCGGCTCCTACAGCGCCTTGGGCATTCACACAAGGACTTCCATGGCGTCTGTTCGATCCTCATTGGCTACATCAAATGGCGGCAGACCCATACTCGAAAGAACGGCGTCCATGACGTCGGCATCATCGACGATCGGTCGTCGATCTAGTGGCCGATCAAGTGGAGGGCAGCGAGTGTCCAGCGGCGAGGGCGGAGGCATCACGGATGACGACAGCGTCGGCGAGTTCGGAGACGGTAGCGCTTCGTTGACGGCACAGAACCGCGCTTTGCAGGCCGATCTTGCGGACAAGACGAGGTACATCCAGACGCTTGAGAAGAGGCTCATGCAGGCACGAAGAGCCAGTTCCTCCCGGACTTCGGTCGGCTTCTCTGCCCCTAACAAGGGTATCATGGTGGGGGAGGACCATAGTGTGTCGACCGTACTGAGGGAGAAAGACGCCGAAATCGCCGAGCTGAGGGCACGACTGGACGACAAGGACCGAATGTTGGCTGCGCTACGTTCCGCAGCCCGTTCCAGAGAAGTGGCAGAAGGGACGGAAGGCCGGACATCGGCTCTGTACGAACACAGCCCACCACCAACCATCAACCCGCCTCCGGCACCGCACAACGCTTTCGCCGGCCGATCGAACTCGCTGACGAACCCTCGCAGTCGCACCAAGAGTGTTGACGAGGTGAATAAGATTCTCGACGAGATGATCCAAGACCGCGTGGAGACCGGCCACCTCGTTAAGGGCGTCAGAGGAAGTATTCGGGTTGCCAGCGAGCGCAAGCTGGAGCCCCACCCGGAGCACTCACTGCAGATGGAGCCACTGAGAAGGACGGCATCGTTTGATGACGGTACTAGGCCGGCAGCAGTGGAGGCGTGAGACTTTTCTGTTGGACAATGAGACTTCAGTTTTCTATCATGTGGTGACAAAGGGGGGTTTGGGTCAGGTTTCATACGAGAGCCTCTTGTAGGCATGGAAAGGCGTTCAGGATGGGTCGACACACGACTCTGTTTTGGTTTTCTTCTTATACCCGACAACTTTTCTTCGCCATGGTACTTGGCTGAAAAGGCATCTTATGCCTTGTTTCTCTGCTCGGAATCAGCCTTACCGGACGTCTTGTTTTATTAGCGTGGCAGAAGGAGGGGGGGACCGGTGAAGAGTTTCTTGTCACGATCAAGTCGTGCGACATTGAAGCACGCCGGGATCAGGTTATTTATTCGGGCAGAAGGCTCGCTCTGCGGGCAGCAGGAAAAGCGACGAGGTCTGTCACTGGCTTTTAATATTGGGCAGATGATTGTGATGGATCATGTACATCAGAAAGCAGGCCTGGTCAGCTAGCTAATTACGGACGAGGAGCGACGAAAAAAAGACAAGACTATGATCTATCAGATGCAGCCTCCCATTCATTGCCATTATATTGACTATGAGCCGCCGTGTGTGGATTGTCTATCTTCATCACGGCTGGCTGCCTGCAGGAAACTCGGCTTGGTTGGATTCTTCAGCTCGGGCTCGCGCATGTTGTGGTCATCACAACGGATGTGGTGTTCACCTGTTTGCGACCTGTTTGTTTGTTTGTTCCGTAAACACGACTTCCGTTTGAGGCACGCGACTCGCTTGACGAGACGCCCAATTCGTGATGTTGAGAGGATGACATGAGAGAGGGCAGCCTTCCAGAGACCCCAACGCCGAGGCCGCTCTGTGATCAGCAGCAGCCTACTCTCATGGAAAGAGAAACACCCGGCAGTGAGTCAAGCCAGTTGGTTAGTTAGCCAGTCGGTCAGCCTCACGAGCCAGATCGTACAAAAGGGGGGGCTGAAGTGGTGGGATGGCAGTTTGGCACAGATCGAAATTGGGTGGCGTCCGGGGGAAGGATTGAGAATCGCAGTCACTGGGTCCGTCACGGGAAGCTTCAGAAACAGACTTTGGGACGGTTCCCGGTACCGCGGTTTGGAACGAGGCGGCGATCTTTCTGGGTGTGCGTGGTTGGAGGGCTTGAGGAGAGAGAGGCGGGCAGTGCGCGGTGCATAGTAAGTTACATGGTAAGTGCAAAGGGGTTGAGCTTATTCTCTAGCCCCCGAAAACCGACCTAAGTGAGATGGACTAAAGTCGAGAGGAGGGTGGCATGGGAAAGGCGCGGTCCGTTCTCTGGGAGGTAGTTTAGCCCTCTAGACGCGTCGCGGCGTGGGAGGGACTTTGGGAAGTGAGGCTTAGGTTTTGTCGCAGAGTGTGATCGATGGGTGAGTGAGAGTGTGTGTGCACGGTTGCGATGACGTCCTGTCCCAAGTTAGTGACTGATCACATTTGAACCCTTTTTTCCCTCTGCCCCCCTGGGTGACATTGACTTTGGGCGCTCCCATGTGTTTGGATGATCGTGATGAATGGGAGGGAGCTTGCTGATTGTTGGTGTTGGTGTGAAAACTCGTGTTGGTGAGGGTGATTTGAGTTTGACCACCGCGAGCGCCTCGGATGGAAAAGGAGTTGGACTGTGCTCTATTTTTTTTTCTGGAATTTCTATTTCCATTTGCTCTGTTTGATGTGTCCATGTTTCGTAGACACCCTGGTGATTTTCAGATGACGCTTGGGGTTGTTCGAGGCTGAATGGAAAGAGAGGACGACGGGAATGCCTCGGTTCGTTTGCTAGGCCGATCGCCCGTGCTGTGCCCGACCGACAGGAGGCCTGCAGTTGCGGTTGACAAGTGAGGGGATCGCAATGAAATTTCCTTCGTATGACGGAGTAAATTGAGTTGGTCCCCGTTTGCAATAGCGATCTGCAGAGAATGGAGGCAGCAGAGAAAAAGTCAAAACCGTAAATGTAAGCTTGGACCTCTTTTCTCTTGTCTCTCACTCTGTGCCCCATTCCGTTTCCCGCGCATGACTCTCGCTCATCACGAGGTCGACTGCTGTATCTGGCGGAGCGGAGGTTTTGGTGGTTTTTTTTTTCTCATTTGTTTGCCTGGTTCGGACAACATGCAGGAGGCCTGTCGTTGGTCGTACGACGACCTCGTCCCACGGCGATATGTTTTTTGACGAGACTTTCTTCTTTGGCTTGCCGACTATCTCGCGCCTCTCGGAAACTCTGGAATCAGGACCGGATCCCGCGCGTGAAGTAAGGGTCAGGAGCAGATTTTCTCTTCTGTTCTTGTCAAAATTCAGATTCGGAAGCGGCCTAAATTGAGGGATCCAGAAAGGGGTCGTTGCCGGGGCCGTGATTCTCCATCTCTGCAGTCCACGTGCGGCCTTCTGAAAAGGGATTCTGTAGTGATCATGACATCGTCACTTTTTTGGCGCTTACAGGAGCTGCAGGAGGAGAGGGAGAGACAGACTCAGGGAGTGCATATCCGACAGGGGGACAGAAAGGAGGGATTTCGAGAATTCAACTGGACGAGGACGAAAGGGAAAAAGTCGGTCGGGATATTTGGATGGGTTTTGGCGGGACCACTGACGAGCCGTTTTGGTCTTGGTGATGATGACTTGACGGATGGGGCTTCTTGAGAAGGAAGTGATTCCCATCTCTGGGATGAGGTCCGGGAAGCCGCAGGTCTTGGAGATGGACGGGAGCGGTCGTGATTGGCTCGTCAGCAGGAAGTCGGCGGATCTCTTCCGAGAACCCTTGCCTCGACCGAGGCCTCTGAGTGGCTGCTTCATATTCCGCCTCTCAAGCGGCACCCCGGGGATTCTGAAACGTTCTAAATCGTGACTGGCAACGACAGGTGGTGGGGGAGAAGCATCACCCTTGCACCACCGGCTTCCTTTTTGGGCTCTTTGTCAGCGCCTGCCAGCCCTGGACCCCTGATCTTGCAGCAGATGCTCTTGACGGTTTTTTTTATTTTCCCTTGAGCTGCTGGGCTCTTGCAGGCCGTCCTCAGCGCTTGCTTTGGCGGCTTATTCTGTGGTTCAATTCCATATTTCCATGTCTGTCCACTTCTTCTGGCGTCCCGGTCACAAATGCTGCCCACAACGACGCGACAGCGGATACACCTAACAGCCAGGGCCCCTTCCCATCCCATGACTCTGGGATGAAAGGTGGTGTTCGCTTCTCTCGGTCTGGCGGGCAGTTGTTCGTCACCACCAACGGATCTGCTTGGGTATGACGATCCCGTGAGGATCTTCCCAGCTTCTTGCTTCTTCTGGCCTCAGCTATGGTCGAAATGCTACGCCAGCGAGTCACCCACTACGTAAGAGCCGTCGCTACCGCAGAGACTTGCTAGCTGACAGAAGAGAGAGGGGAGCTGAAGATGAGGGGAAACCCTGAACTGAGTTTCTATTCGGGGGTCGATCATGATGCCAAACACCGCCTTGCCCTTGAGCCTCGAAAGAAACCCGACGAGCCCGATGCGCATTGCCATTGAGGGACCACGAATACATCCCGCACTGCCACGCGGGACCTTCGGTTCCTCGTTTTGCTGGCCCGGTTGCCCATCGTCATCTGTCGAGCACTCGTTTCGCCCGCCTCGTTGGTCCAACGCTGCCCGTTGCAGTTGCACGGAGGAGGCGGCAAGTGTAAGACAATGTGTAGTCAGTCAGACTCAGCTCACAATAGACAGTGCAGCTTTGTCCTTTGTTACAAACGCAACGCCCCGACACCCCGGTTTCTCTTAGACGAGTACCATGTACGAATGGGAAAACCACATCGACAGTCCAAACCAAGCAGAAACGTGACAGCTGCTTCTCTGCTCCCACAGACAATGGCGCTACAGCCTTCGCGCGACTTGACACGAGCCCGACAGGACCAAGACAAGTCAAGACAAGAAAGACACGACACTGCTCTTCCTCCGGGAAGCTCTGACACGTCTTGTCCTCCCATCTTGCGCGCTTCCCCATCCGCCCATCCTTCGGCCCATCTTTGGCTGCTTGCCTAACCACGACCACCACCACCACAATCACCACAGGGCCACCCCCCTCACCTCGCCTCCGCTCTTCTCCCCCCGTTCCCTTCTCGTCTGTTAAATCAGGTAGGTATCAAAGTAAGAGAGGCCCGGACGAACAAGCCCTCTCGTCCGATCTCTTACCTCGCTTCGGTCCAATTGATTTTCAGTACCATACTCCCTCCTATTCTCGCTGTCACTGGCCTGGCATCGGATAGAGTTTGTTCGACAGAAAGGGGAACACCAAGGCCGAGGACTGGTTCCTCAGCTGCCGGTTGCATTGTTGCAAACAATATACCACAGACTGGACGAGACAGACGGACCGCAACACTTGAACACACACACGCATCACATGCGGCCCGGCATACGAAGCCGTCTCGTCTCGGTGAGAGCAACTCCGCCCGTCAGGTCTCCATCTCTGCATCTTGCATTTCAAAGTCTCCAATCTTCTTGTCTTGTTCGTCTCCAACCCGGCCGAAGGAGCGAACCCAACGCAGACACGAGCGCAGGGAATCTGCTGCAGCGCTGCAGCTCCCAGCTCCTCTCCTCCCACTCTTTCTCTTCCCACCTGCTCCAACAACCTCGAACCCTGGTCTTGATGATCGCCGCCAAGACCCACCATTGGTCATTTACTTCACGCAGTTGATCGCACTTTTCGTCTTCTTTCGTCGTCCCCTTGGGTCCTTTTCACTGCGTTTTCCATCAATTCTCGGACAAGGGCCCGTTGCCTTTTCCATTGCCGCTGGATCCCTTTAAGCTGCTGCAGCTGCAACCCTGAGCTACCCAAATCAATCCGGAAAAAAAAAAGTAGAGAGAAACTGGCCGAGTTGACGCAGTATTACTACCTCACTTCACCCCCACCATCCCCGGTCTTTCCAGCTTCTTTTCTCTCTCACCATCGACCGACCGCGCCACTGGCCTCGGTCTCGTGCTGTACGGATACGCAGAAGCTGCATTGCTCGTCTTCCACCGCGCTGACCACCGCATTGCCGCCTGCACTCCTCGGTTTCCCTTCTGTGCGACCATTGCTGGAACCGTTTACTATCATGAACGCTTCCTAGAAGGAAGAATACCCTCTCCGTCCATGACAACCAACTAGGCTCGACGCCCACCGACGCTCCTTAACTAAACCACGAGCAACCCGCCGAAATTCTCTTCTCGCGGCTTCAACTTCGTTCTTCAAACCGAAGCCGCCATTTTTTAAAAGATACCCATTGGTTCGACCCGTGTTAGTGGACGACCGACCAAAACGACTCTACGAACTTTCTATTTCCGGAGATACCAACAATTCATCATCACCAAAAGTTGCATATAATGCGAGCAAAGATGCCGGCCCCCTTGGACCTCAGCAAATCGAAGCTGTCGGTATCCGATCCGCGGATGAACCTCCGACGATCCGCTTCACATACCGGCACTTCAAAGTGGGAAAAGGTTCCTCTGTCCGCCACTTCGTCCCGCTTCAGCTTCAACCATCTTCTCTTCTCTTCTCCGCCACCATCGCCGAGTCTGCCGGCCCTCATCCCGCCGCCCCGGAAATCACCGATTCATCCCCGGCCCAGTCGCGTTTTGCGTTATACCTTTTGGGCGGCATTCACGGTTTTGCTGCTGTACTTTGCGACTTTCCCATTCCGAACCATCTTCGGCGGCATGCCGACGCTGAACTTGCCACATCTTACCGGCCATGACGACTTTGAGATGGTTGGGCAGGATGACTTGCCCGACTTTCCGACACCTATCGTGATTACCGACCACAGTGGAAGTTCCAAGTGGACTGTTTCGATTCCCCCGAGTTACGACTTCCCGCTGTCAGTGAAGGAGTATGGGGACATGTGCAAAAAGTGCAATGAAGTTGCTGCGCGTGTCAGAGACATGCGCCACCGGACTCAGATCCCCGATCAGAACCTGCTTGGTCATGAGGCTCCGAACGACCCATACTTCATCGATGTGTCGGAAGCTCAAAAGTCTGGTCTTCTCCCGGGCGTTGCGGACGCTTGGTCGAGCAAGGGCCAAGGCCATGACGGTGACCTGGTCGGAGAGAACAAGGACTCGCTGGTTGAGAAGCCCGTTTGTGAGAGCTCGATGACGTTCATCATGGAGACGGCGGACGCTGGCATCGGACATACCATCATGCAGCTCTGGACCTTTTACGGCCTCGCCAAGAGACAAGGCAGGGCTTTCTTCATCGACGACTCTCGCTGGGCGTACGGCAAGTACACCGACATCTTTCAGGCGCCCGCGACTCCCAACTGCCGCCCTCCCCCGCGCCACGAGATGATTCCTTGCCCGCCTCGAGCTCGCCATCTGGTCGTCACTTCTGAGACAGCAAAGGAGATGTGGGCTGGATCCCTGAGCAAGCCTCATTCCGACTTCAGGGCACAGGACGACGAGGGACTTCGGGAGCTGTTTGACCTAGCTCACGAGGGCTACCAAGCACTCTGGTATCTCAACAGGGACGACGCCACATATGTCGACAAGCGAGTCCAGGAGATCAAGACGAAGGCGCACACCGACTCCAGCTCCAACAACGGCGCCGTTGTCGGAGTCCATGTTCGCCACGGCGATTGCCATCCTCTTGAGTACCAATATCGTGGCACATACATCCCGATGGAAATCATCGCCAACGCCGCTCAGGAGGTCATCGACTCGAAGCACAACGACACCAGAGATGGCGCTGATGCCGAGATCGCCAAGCGCCAGTCCTTCATCGTTCTAGCCTCTGACGACCCGACTGTCTACGACTCTGAGGACTTCAAAGGTTCTATGCGCGCGCAGGAGCAGATCCGTCTGGCGTCCAAACAGGAGGTCCACAAGCCAACACCTGACAGGCACGTCATGCACCGCTTCGAGGACGAGGCTTTCGGCTGGGAAGGCGGATTCTTCGCCGCCATGTTCTGGAACCTTGGTCTCTCCTCCATGAGTGCCTCCAACGCAGCGACGGCCAAAAACAAGCAGCTTCCGCCTTCAGCCGAGGCGCTTCGTCTTCGAAGTTATGTGGGCCGCGCCTACATGATGGATCTCGCCGTCCTGGCCGGCTCGAGTGATGCCGTCGTTTGCACCGTCAGCGCCATGGGCTGTCGCCTACTGGCCGTCATGATGGGATGGGAGCGCGCCATCGAGTCCCATCACTGGATCAACGTCGACGGCCCCTACGGATGGACCGGTCTTTCGTTTTGATTTTGTTTATAGGAGGGCATGTATGGCTCGCTCAGCCGAGCCATGAGGACAGCATTCAACATCTACTTCATATGCATGGTTCCAGGTGTACGGCGTCAAAAGCGAAAGGCACATCGTTTTTTTCCTATTTTTCACGTTATTTCTTGATCCAACTTTTGGATGGCATTTTTGGGTTTATTTCTTTCGGGATTCATCAAAGAGATACCTCTGCAACTGCCACCGAGACGGGGCGTTGCATGCATTGAGGCTGAGAACAGAGAAACAGCCGACGGTCGTTACCTACATCTAATCATAAGTCAAACAAACAAAACAAACACAAACACCCAAACAATGAGGCGCTGCACTGATTAGGCAGACGCACTCGAGACTAGCTAGCAAGCAAAAATAAAAAAAGAAATATTGAAATAACTATGGTTTCATTGTTGCGGCGTCGAAGAGCCCTGGCACGTCGCAAGATGCGCAATGTAGCGTTTATCTGATCATGAACGTAAGCATGATGTATATGCCCTCCGCAACGAAATTGCTAATACATAACTGTGCCGTCTCGGCCGTGGGCAAGGAGGATAAGCAAGCACAATGCGTCTCCATTTTCTATTTGAATACCTGGGGTTGTCGCAGATGTTATCTTCGGGGTCGTGTTCGGGCCAAATCCGACCGCAGCTGATCTTTTCTTGGCAGGGCTCTCGGGGGCCGTGATGTTGGATGAATTCTGTGCGTGAATAGGGAAGGTGTGATCGTCCAAATCGGAGTCGCCGTCGATAGTGATCGGGAACTGTGATGTACCAGTGATCTGCTGTTCAGATCAGCAAGAATTGCAGAAGGATGGCCGGGCGATCCCTCGGTGGTGTGACGTCGCTGTCTCCGTCACCGTGATGGTAGTAGTCATCGTCGTCGTCGTTGTCTAGTTGTTGAGTATTATGGCACCACTATGTGCAAGTGACAGCAGGAAGAGCTTTCGAACGATCAAAGATCTACCCTATAGTCTAAATGGAGTCTGATGATAGGAGCATCGCCTTTGAGAACCGCCGAGCTTCTGCCTCTGGCGACCACGACATCTCTCGGAGAAGATGACAGGCGGAAGGTCTCGTTGAGAAAGAAGCGGTGCAAGGGCATCGCAGGGGTTCTTAGATAATATATACCCGGGAGAGCAGCGTGTATGAAAAGTGATCGAGGTTCTCCTCCAACCGGTAACATATGAATATCCACTCGCGGCTTAGGGGAAAAGGGGTGAGTATGCGCGAGCTGTCTTGTCAACAGCAAGGAAGAATTATTGCTGGGCGAATCGATATCCGAATACTTTCGACCACTTGGTGTTTCTCGACGGTATTAAAAGGGGTTCCGCAGTTGGCATTAGCTTAACTCTGCACTATCTCATCTTGGCCCATTCGAACCATCTGTCAAAAGCAAGTTCATTGTGAAGGGTATTTCTGGATGGTTGATTTTGCTGTTAATGTTCTTAACTACAATGATCGGATGGTCATGTTCTATTGCTACTTATTCTCGCGGTATACGTCGGAAACAGTGACCGGCTCCAGGGCCAGCGGCACCACGATGGCGTCGGGGTAGACCATCCAACGTCTGAGTACCACGCCGGACGGCAGGTTTACTGCCGAGCAATCGGCCGCCTCGGCACTCATGGAGAGCTCGGGGTGAATGTAGACTTGCGAGGGTGCTGATGAGGACGAAACGTTCATGTCTGTTTTCGGTTTGACTTCCAGAAACGAAGCTACAATCTCATCATATAGACCCGTAATTACTGCAAGCATGACAGATTTTAGGAATGCGGCTATGAGTGTGCGCATCTTGAGTTCGACAATCTCTTTCCGCAGATGTGTAACGAGAACGCCCGGGACCGAGTAACTGGGACTGGGAGTCCTGACGGTAGCATCGTACTCTTGGATAATCGCCTTGTCTTTCCCCTATGAATCCGCGCGGAGAGGATGGACTTTGACATGACTGACCAGCCAACATGAAGTCAACGACTACTTCATTCAATGCTCCGAAGATAGGCCAGGCCAAGTGAACATGAAAACATGGGAAAGACGGTTCGATGTCGTCGTCGACACGGTCTTCTACTGTGTTTCCGCTAGGAAGTATTCCTGCGCTGTGTTGACGAGGGACGAAGAAGGACGACGATTCGGAGACATGCTATGTCGAGATTCAGTGTCTGGCTGCTTGAGCAAATACAATATGTTCAATGTAACGATTCCTCAGGTTACTTGGACTCTGATGAAAGCATTCGACAATCCACTTCGAGCATGCTCTTACAGATTCTTCAAGACCAGGACCAGACGAACCATATAAATACAGGGCCCTTCACGGCACACATGGACACAGAGATGTCAATTAAGAGTATTGGGTTTTAGATGAAAACAGCCCGGTTGAGTTGCTGTTCGTAGCCACCTCGCACATTGATCTTCGTTCATAATCATCACAGCTTCTAAACATGATAAAATGAGCATAGATGGAGCAGCTCACTGTACAGAGAAAACAACAAAGCATCGTAGCTGATTGTGTATTGGTCTAAATCTGACAAGTACGTAAAAGGGACCTAAGTGTTGGCTCCTGGGATTCTGGGAACACCGAGTCACAAGGTGGCGGCTGGCCGGGTTGCCGGATCAGCCGTTTCGGCATGTCTTCTTCGACGTATCGTCGTTCTTCGCTGCCCGCGTACTATTAGCCGGGAATAAATGAGAAGCACCAGTATGAAGGACTTACACACGTCGTTTATGACGTGATCAGATCGACGGCCTCTGGTACAACAAGAACAGCGAGAGTGCGCGCATCGTCCACGTGCTTGCTGACATGGAGAACGACGATTTCAACTCTGATCCTGTCTCACAACCGCGAAAGAGTACTTTAGGAGCCTTTGAGAGAGAATCAGGGCCGAAGGCAACTTCGGTTGAATTGGTATGTATGATTGCCTTGGATTGATGTATTTGAATTGCTCTTGCTTGGACTGACTTGGCTGATCTGGAACAACTACTGGGGCTTGATGTGATTTGAACGGGGCTGATCTTGCTCAACCAGAAACTGATGCGCCGTGAACAACACACTGAGAAGTCTGTGATCAAGGTGAGCTCATCTTGCTCAGCGGTCTCCGGCCTCACACCGTTCAACTGATGAAGCCGAACTTGATCCCAGCTGTTAGACCCCTTACGCAGGAGCTCTCGAAACAGGTGATCTGCAGTTCTTTTCGATGTACCATTGATACGCCGTGATAAGAACATACGGTGACCATGTATCGCTTTCCCGTATAGCCCAGCAGGCGCTTCGCCCAGAAGTACAGGCCTTGACGGGCCAGACTTTCGGTAATTAAGACGACAATTTATCCGGGCATTCTCAAAGATGTAACTGGTAGCTATGAATGATTCCAACCATCATGAAGTTCCACTTTGAAAGACGTAGTGTTACCCTATGTGATGCAAGTCGGCATATTGACTGGTGAAGTCAGAAGGCAGGCTGGTCGACCCTCGTCCAGATACCCGCACCTCGTATTCGGGTTCCGAATGCCGCTTCAAAGTCCATTCACTCTTCATTAGTCTAGGATCGGAGACTTGCGGGTTTTGTTATCTTCGGACTCTGTTCTCTTTAGAAAGTGGACTAGCGCTGACGTTTATTGCGAGCATCAAGCGTACTCATCTATATGGAGAACTGCATGAGAGGACGCAAGGCAGTTTGAGTTGCCATATCTGCTCAACGCACTCGAAGCGGGTTTGACGTCGGCCAAGTCGGTGGATACGGTCAAGGCAGCCGATGTAACAACCGGTCAGGATCATATCGGAGATGGACAACACGAGGATGGCGGTTCACGACACGTCTTGGAGTCTCCCCTATCTGCCTCTCAAAAGAATTGCAGGAGCTCATATCAGCGGCGCTGCCGCCAGGGACGGATTCGCGGAGAGCGGGAGCAATGGCTGGCGAGGACCACAGAGCCGTCCCGTTGCGTAACATCAACCACGGTAGCACAAACTAATAAAGGTGCGCCTCCCTGACAGATATGCCATGGGCGTCGATTCTTTACCCCGCTGGTATCAGGGGAAGCAGATCCGTCAACGCGGGGCAACCAATGTCAATATCGATTTCTGACAGCCAAGGATCGATGCGGGAACCGCCTGTGTGGATGCCATTCGCTAAGAGCATCTAGACTGTCCGTCGATGGGCAACCAAGAGACGGGCGGCAGCTGAGCGGAGTAAGTGTGTACCAAAGTCGCGAGTAGATTTACCTGCGGAGTTGTGGTCGTGAAAGGAGAAGTGGTCTGCCGGACGTCTCGCGTCATGGGCAGTTCGTCGTGAGCGAGTGCTTCTTCGCAGATTGCAGCGCGACTCAAGTCCGGCTCTTCAATCGTCGGTTAGAAATAGAACGACGAATCTTAGCAGTTGAAGTAGTACGATTAGCCATCAGCAAGGACCGATTTCCATGAAGTCCCTTCGCGGCTTCTGCTGGAATGTCGATTAGCGAATGGAAGTTGTTCGGCAAGAATGGAGGGGCAGGTGTCCGGCCCTCGTCCATCGCAGAAATGGCTGGCACGCGATAGGCAAAGATGACATCGGGGACGACGACAGTATCGGCAGTTACGAAAGGATCAAACAGAAGGCTTGTAAGACCCTGCAGAGCTGAACTTCTGAAGATATCGTGAAAAACTGGAGTTCCTCTGAAAGCGCTCTGTGGATGAAGGAGGATGAGGCGCAGGTTGCTGATGGTGGTGAGGTCAGTCTAAGCAGGGGCGGCATCAGCCGGCTCGGATTCTTATTCGGGTTCCAGGTCCCAGGTTGGCAATGGAGCACATGTGAGTGGCCAGAGATGACAGCACTCTGTGGCCGTACTCCGTACCTGCCTCGGGGAGATTCGCAGATTTCCGCCAACAGGGTCGGAGAGGGCTGGGGTGACATCCAACGAATTGGAAGAATAGGGGACCAGACCTTCTTGGCAAACAACGGTGACAAAGTGCGCGCAACTGACGACAACAGCGAAACCAATTTCCTTGTGGCTTCATCGCATTGAAAATGTGGTTTCCAGAGTTCTCAAGTTGCGCATCCATCGAATCATTCCCATCACCCATTGCTGGATTAGGCAGGGAGGGTCCAGGAACACGAATACGAATGGTATGTCATTGGCCGGGAGCTGGAGCCACTCATTGGCCCATTCTGATGATCCCTGTTCCCGATTTTTTTTGACGCAACATGCAACCTCAGCAGCAGGGCACAGGAAGGGGAAAGAAAGGACGACGGGGGAAAAAAAGTCATTGCAGCGCCGTTCCTGGTAGCTCCAGTGGTCTTCCACCCTACCAGACGCTAGAGACGACTTACGGAACCCTGTGACAGACGCCCCCAAATTCGGATCTCGGTGGCCAGATGCCACAGCTTCCAGCAGAGAGAGAGGTCGTGCATGGATATGCAAGATGCTTGACCGCCTGGAGCTTTTCCATGCGTTGGCTTGCTGGTCGCACAGGTGGTTGCTCGCGCAAAAAAATGTGGAACCCGACAAAACGCGGCAGATATCTAATCTCATAATGAATAATTTAAAACCACCTTGAGCCCCCCTACTCGATGCCTCCTGCTCACATTCGCGCCACTGTTGCTCGTGTGCTACGTCCTGTCGACAAAGTTGGGATCGCGAGAAAAGACGACAACACCGCGCCCTACTGCTTCAATTGACGTCTTTGTCCTCTCCTCTTCACCTTCAGTGGCCTTTGCGTCATCCCACCCCTCGAGAATGGGTCTCGTTCAAGAGATCGCGGGACCGTTGTCCCAGCAGTTCCAGTCCATGGGCACTGGTCTGCAGGTCTTCAGCGTCTTCACCGGCGTTGTCGTCCTCTCCGTCATCCTCAATGTCCTCTCCCAGCTCCTCTTCAAGAACCGCAATGAGCCTCCTATGGTCTTCCACTGGTTCCCCTTCATCGGCAGCACCATCACTTATGGCATGGACCCCCCCGCCTTCTTCAAGACCAACCGCGAAAAGGTATGCGCTCAACTCCCATGTCGCCTGTCGCAATAAACTTCCGGAATGGGCGCCCCGATCTGACAAGCATCTTCCCTAACAGCATGGCGATATCTTCACCTTCGTCCTCCTCGGCAAGAAGACCACCGTCGCCGTCGGCCCTCAGGGCAACGACTTCATCCTTAACGGCAAGCTCAAGGATGTCAACGCCGAAGAAATCTACACCGTCCTGACCACCCCTGTCTTCGGACGCGACGTTGTCTACGACTGCCCCAATGCCAAGCTCATGGAGCAGAAGAAGGTGCGCGGACCAAGAAACTCTCCCGCCGGAAGCTTTGTTGCTGACAGTTCCCGCCCCTCCAGTTCATGAAGATCGCTCTGACCACCGAGGCCTTCCGCTCTTACGTCCCCATCATCGCCGACGAGGTCTCCAACTACTTCAAGCGCAGCCCCGACTTCAAGGCCAAGTCCGGCGTCGTCAACCTGCCTCCCAAGATGGCCGAGATCACCATCTTCACTGCTTCCCACGCGCTCCAGGGTGCTGAGATCCGCAACAAGTTCGACGAGTCCCTTGCCGCTCTGTACCACGACCTCGACATGGGCTTCACCCCCATCAACTTCACTCTTCACTGGGCTCCTCTCCCCTGGAACAAGAAGCGCGACCACGCCCAGCGCACCGTCGCTCAGATCTACATGGACACCATCAAGGAACGCCGCGATAACGGCCGCACCGACGGTCTCGACATCATGTCCCACCTGATGAACTCTACCTACAAGAACGGCATCAAGGTTCCCGACCACGAGATCGCCAACATGATGATCGCCCTCCTCATGGCCGGCCAGCACTCCTCTTCCTCCACCAGCTCCTGGATCATGCTTCGTCTCGCCCAGTACCCTCACATCATGGAGGAGCTCTACCAGGAGCAGGTCCGCGTTCTCGGTGCCGACTTGCCTCCTCTGAAGTACGAAGACCTCGCCAAGCTGCCCCTCAACCAGGCCATCATCAAGGAGACCCTTCGCATGCACGCTCCCATCCACTCCATCATGCGCGCCGTCAAGTCTCCCATGCCCGTCCCCGGAACCAAGTTCGTCATCCCCACCAGCCACACCCTCATGGCCGCACCTGGTGTCTCTGCTTCGGACCCCGCCTACTTTCCCCAGCCCGACCTTTGGGACCCCCACCGCTGGGAGTCCGACTCGCCCAACGCCCCCAGACTTACCACCAAGGACGCCGAGGAAGAGGAGAAGATCGACTACGGCTATGGGCTGGTCAGCAAGGGTGCCGCGTCGCCCTACCTGCCCTTCGGCGCCGGCCGTCACCGCTGCATCGGCGAGCAGTTCGCCAACGTGCAGCTCCAGACCATTACTGCCATGATCGTCAGAGAATTCAAGTTCCGCAACGCCGACGGCAGCGACAAGCTCATCGGCACCGACTACGCTTCGCTCTTCTCGCGGCCTCTGGAACCCGCCAACGTCTTCTGGGAGAGGCGCGAGGCGTAAGGTATCGGAGCGGAATTTGCTAGATTTTTTGGGTTTAAGGGAATGTACATTGCAAGCCATTATGACTGTATCACATGGTCGAGAGGAAAAGACATAGACATGAGAGCGCTAGAGGCGCAGGCAGTAGACTAAGACGGTCACTGTTCAATAATATTAATACAAAAGAACATTATGACATCACGACCATCCATCTCACCAAAAATATCTTGATAACGCCCATCAGTGAACTGTAATCGCGCTGATGAGCTTTTGACATGTGTCGCCAACAATTGGCAGACTCTTGGGCCAAGGACTGCCCAAAGATAGGCACTGACAAGAGGATCAGGATCGCTGCGGGGCTCGGCCGAATGGTGATGTTGACGATTTACCGCGCTGAGACTTGATCGGTCGGCCGGCATTGTTTCGTTTCAAGGTCAGTGCGGGATAGCCGGGATGGTCTGGACGACGTCTCAGGCCAGGCCAGGCCATCCCCTCTCAACCTTTGCCTCATCTCCAATCCTACCCTGCCTTAAGCTCACTCATACCAAACCGTCATTAACGCAATCGCCTTACGAACAGCCGCGTTAGCGTGGGGATTTGAGTTTATCCATTGACGTCGCATGCCAACGACGACCGGTTTCGTCGTTCATATAAACTGCGCTTTGCCGCACGGCATCAACGGCCCAGCCCGTACGGCTTTCGCATTACTCGCAGAAACGTGCCCGGGATCTCGGAAGCAGAGAACTTAAGTCGGAATGAGCGCGGAAGACGAGAACCTGGGGCCCCTTGTCCGGCTATGGGGCCTCCGGACGGAGCAGCTCCCGGCGCCGAGCGCCACAACCGCCGACTTGGCGCCGTTCCTCATCGCCGTGCTGCAGGAGGCCGTCCCCTTCATCGACGCCGTCGCGCCCAAGGACGGCACGGCGCGACCGGCCGAGTGGAAGGCCAAGGGCACCAAGTCGTACCCGGAGTCGACGGCGCAGGTCGAGCTCTACGAGCGCGTGATCCCCGCCGCGGAGCTCGAGAAGGAGGCCGCGAGGAATTCTATGTCGAACGGCGTCGCCGCGCCCGAGACGTGGGCTTGTCGGAGGAGCATCCACAAAGACAGGCCCGGCAAGGGGACGGCGGCATGGGAGGAGTTTGTGAAGTGCTTCAAGGAGGACCACGTCGAGGCGGAGAAGGCGTTTACGCCGAACATCGTGGCGGCGAGGGAGGCGCTGGCGTGGGATTGCGCCGGGGTCAGTGTTGAGGAGGGCGGTTTGGTTTGGGAGGAGTTCAAAGTGGGCGTGTTTGAGATTCAGCACAAGCTCGGGATGCCGCTCAAGAACCGCGTGTTTCCTGAGCTGATCATTTCGGCCAAGGCGAAGGATGTCGACGAGTTCATCGTGATCTCGGTCCCTATAGCAGACCTAGGGGCGGCAGAATACGGTGGACTTGTCAAGGAAAAGGGGGTTGTCGTCGGGGCGTACGTCAGTGTTGAGAGGGTGAGGAAGACACCGACGGGCGCCATCGAATGGATCATGGCGACTGCGTCGGACGCCAAGGGAGTCCTGCCTGCTTGGATCCAGGCTAAAGCGGTCATTGGGGTTGTTGCTAAGGATGTGGCACTCTTTCTGGGATGGATTGCCGAGGAACGTGAGAAGGGGACGAGTGTGGGCAAGTGGACAGCCGTCAAGGGCAACAGGAGCGACACCAACCGCAGGTCGACTGCCATGGATGACGGAGAGTCGTCTTCGCAAAGAAGGAACTCGAGGCAGGGGCTGTCATCGAGGCACGGGCAGGAGTCAGGGTCAGGAACAAATGGGGCGAGGGCAGGTACGAACGGTGCACACGTGTAAGGGGATGTTTTGATATACCAGGGCAGTTCGTGTGAATAATCTGGGGTGCTGAACGTTTGGTAATTTGCAATACGACTAAATTCAAGATGTGTTCGGGGTCATTTCGTTCTCATAAGCTTGTGATAGACAATGAATACCTATCACTGTAAAGTCATGCTGACTGCCCCAAAGAGGTATCGCGAGTTGCGCCTTCCACTTGCTCTTGCCAGATCGAACCCGGGAGGCAGGCTCAGTGCCGGTCAAGGCAACTGCACCTTCCGAGTATCGAGGATGGAAACACCCAACCCTGGTACATGACTTTCGTTGAGGAAAGAGCTTGCTTGTATGGTAATCGCCTGTCGTTACCTCGACCCCACAAACCTCTTCAATCTGCATTGAACCATCTTCATCCCACCGTCCCTCGAGGGAGCTCCTCGCTGATGCTGTCCTCAACATTCCTTCACATTCTGTGATCCGAGATCCCCTGCCTCCTGAGGACACTACAGTGTATCACATTCTCCAGAGGATCGCAGCGTTCTGTGGCCTCATCCCCGCAAAGAAGATTTCTATCTTCGTTTCTCACTACTCTCTCTCACCCTATCTTACATCGCGTCAGATTTGACCGTTGACATCCCTACGGGCCACGAATCACGTCCCTCGGTCTGTAGATTCTCTGGCAACAACGCCTCGTCATCATGGTTACGACATGTCCTACCACCGGGCAGACCTCAGGTGAACAGGTGGTTCCATGGACCTTGCCAGTATGTCATTTTGTCCCAGACTACGCATCGACCACAGATGTTCAAAGCTTGTTAACCAGTTACAGAACCACGGCAGCATACCTGAGCCTTCCGCCCCTGGCAAAGCCTCGGAGCTGACGGCCCCCTTGATGTTCTACGATCTCTACAATCAGCTGTGGAATCTGCGGCAGAAGCAGCAAGATGTCAACGAAGAGATGAACGGAAAAGAGAAGCAAAGCTTGGCCTCACAGGCCAAGTTCGACGCCGAAATCCAACGCCTCACCCAACAACTGAGCAATGACACCCGTCTACTGGGACTCAGAATCCAGCAGCTGGAGCAGTCGGCGGAACAGAGGATCAAGGTCTTGCAGGACCGGATTGACATGTATACTCAGACTGCCTTGTCGTTTGGGGCAAACATGAGCGACGTGAAAGTTTCTGAGAGCCAGCGTCAGAATGAGATGGCTTCTAGCTTGACCATGGCTCCCAAGCTGGTGAACTCGAGGCACGAAAGACATGCCAACATTGAAGGTGAGAAAGTTGCCTCCGAGGCCGCGGGAGGAAACTGACGATCTCAAGGCAACCAGTCTATGGGCAAGCGGCAAAGGGGGAACGAGCTCTCGAAGGCCCCCGAATCCGAACACTCACCACCCGGACCCTTCAAGCGTCAGAGAAAAGCTACGTCGAAGGCTGCGAAGCTTGACGAGCCAAATCGGTCGCGTGAACCTCTCAAACGTCAGAAACAACCGGCTAAGTCTGGTCAACCATCTCCCACCAACGCTCGCCAGAAGACCGTCAAAAGTCGTTTTGCCGAGTACAGAAGGCTGCAGAAAGCAGCCGAAGAGCATTACCAGCGATCGGGGTCCAAGAATTACGCGACGACTCGATCCACTCTGTACAGCTTCATAGATAGCATTTCTGACAAGGACATCTCCACGACACTACAGCAAGCACTCATCAGAGAGATGCCTGACAGTTTTCGCGAAGGAAGGTCACATCGTGCTGGACGCAATGTTGTCGCTTTCGCCAAGTTCGCCTGGGAAGATGTGCGCCGAATCGCCGACTCAATTGCACCTAACGGCGAAGGCAACTGAGGGACTAGTATGTGACGGAAATGTACCGTATTTACCGGTGATAGCAGGGTATTGGTCGTTTGTGTGAAGGAAACGGACTGCAGGAGTATCATGGTTTAGGTCACGATCCGGCGCACAATGCGCATTGCTTTACCTGTAGTAGATCGTTAGATGAAGTAATTGCAGAGTTCTCATAATAAACCAAGAGTTGTCGCAGCAAACCAACCCCTGTGAGAGGTCAGAGTCTGTGCACCACTTACCACTTGGGAGTGGAGTTGGCCATGACCGTTGTCGTTTGCACGCTAAAAGTTACCACGCGCAAGCTGCAAGGCTGCGGTACCCCCCAGAAAGATACTTTCTTCAGGTACCTTTACCTCAGGCCTGGGCTCTCTGACATATTGCCGATACCACAGTGCGCTGAACCAGTTGGAAGGAACTGGTTCGAGCGACCAAAGTCCCCAGATCTCTGCGTGTCTATCGGTGTTCGACCAGCACGCAGGTCTCCTCGAATATCAACATACCCCGTCAACTTCTTTCCTTTTACGAGTCCTCCGCTCACGAATGCGATCTACATAATAACATCCAAAGGCGACGACCAGGGCGCCTGCCACTTTGGCGCGACAGCTGCCTTCATCACCACCGACTCTCTCAAAGCCCTTTCCCGTCGACATCAGAACCAAGCACGACAGCTACAAACGACTTCTCGACTTGACTCGCGATGCCAGATATTAGCGCGCCTCCTCCGCCGGGTCGGCCGAAGCTGAAGCTCAAGGCTTCATTCAGCGAACCACCCAACGGCGCGCCCGCGACACCATCAGCCTCCACTCCGAAAATCAAGCTCAAGGCTTCACAACCACCGACACCCGCCAACCCAGAAGCACCCAGGCCGGTGAAGACGAAGGCCGGAAGGCAACCGAAACCCACAAGCAAGCTCATCGAATCGAAGAAGCGCGAGCAAGACGAGACCGAGGACGAGGGCGCAAGCAGATTGGCCAAGAAAATCAAGCTCCTCAAGACACCGACTGCGACAACGCCGGGAAACCGCCACATTGTTGTCAAAGCCAAAGGCAAACCACCATTCCATCCTCCCGGCGATGGCTACGACTCGGAGGCAAGTGACCAAGAGAAGGATCCCGTCATCGAAGAGCAGTTCGTGCTGCGTATGATGCCCGGCGAGGACTGCGAGTACGTCAGGAAATGCATAGAAGAGGGCAAGGTCGGTCTGCCGCGGAAGGATGGTGGCGCAGATATTGCTATCAAGTTTTTTGACGACGAAAGCCGGCGCGCCTTGGTTATCGTCCGCGGCCACCACTACGTCGCCGTCATGGTGGAGTTGCCGACAATCACAGAGGGAATGAAGTCCTGGGACAGGAAAACGTTCATGAAGTCAGCCGATATCTGTCACATGCTTCTTGTCTTCCAACGAGTAACGGGTGAGGAAGAGGCGAAGAAGGTGCCACTTCCCTCGATGATACAGCCCGGATTCAAGTGGCCTCACGGCCTGACACCACCCATGCACGACGCTGTCAACCAGAGATTCGCCAAGGTCATCAGTCGTTCCGAGATCGAGCTCAAGGAGAACGAGGTTAAGAAACTCCTGGCTGCCGACGCGGCAGCCATTTCTTCAAAGTACGAACTCATCGACGAAAACAAACCGTCATTCGAGGAATTCTCCGAAGACGAACAAGATGCCGAGGGCGAAGCAGACGACAGCGGCTATTTCCCGTCTGAGGGCTACGCTAACGGCGAGCTATTCGACGATCTAGAGGCTGAACTCGAGGCCGCGTTTGAGGAGGAGATGAACCAGCCGACAACTGAGGTCGGAACGCCAGCGACACAATTCGAGGCCGCCACACCGATGACGATGAACACACCGGCACCCAATGCGCAGGATAGTGGTGACGGCGAGGAGTCGGCTGTCAGTGAGGAAGATGAAGACGACGATGAGGACGACGACGACGACGATGACGATAGAGCTCGTCTGGATGAAGTCAAGGCCGTGAGGGAGGACATTACACAACTAAAGAACGAAATCAGCAAGAAGGAAGCTGAGATGGCTTCGATATCGAACAAGATTCTCAGGGGACGCGTCGAAACCCGTCTCAAGGATCTCAGGGCGGAGCTTCACCTGAAGATGACATCTATTGGGGAGGAGGAAGAGGATGAAGACCAAGAGTAACGGAGGCAAACATTGGGCACCGGGGGTACCGTGGATACGTACTTCCAGATTGCTTGACCTTGTGATGGGGCCACTTAACAAACATTCTCACGGTCATACTTTTAGACCATCATCCCCAGACGTACAAAATTTAATATCAGAGGCATGAGTGCCTTGCCAGTACTTTCCCCTTGGTTCCTCTAGACTTTTGACATTGCAGTGATGATATAGAAGCCGGCCGCGCCGACAGTAGATATTGTACAAGAGCCCCTCCATTTCATGCTCTCTATGATACAAAACCCAAACCCCAGTCCCAACGTCGCTGTTACGATGTGAACAGCCACGGTGCATACACCACCCACATCATGTTTACATGGACTTGAGGTAGTTGGTCTCCTTGATCTTGGCCTTGCGCTCCTTGCGCATCGCCTTGCGCAGGGCTTCTCTCTTCTCCAGTGCGTGGAGGTTGTGCTCGACGTCTCCGCCCTTCTCTCCGGGCAAGTTGATGGATTGCTGCGACAGCGGGACCTTGGGGGCGAGGGCCTCCACGTCGCCCGAGGCGAGAAGCTTGGCCTCGAGGACCTTCTGGCGCTTGGCGGCGATCTTGCGCTGCTTCTTGGATTTCGCTGGAGGACGCACGAGCACGTTAGCAGAGGTTCCGGCTGGTCACGCGAGGGGTACTCTCCCCGTCACTCGGGGAGACGTGGGGTATCGGGGGCAAACGTACAGAACATCTCGGCGGCGAGATCTTCCACGGACTCGGTGACTTCCTTCTTGGCCTCGAGACAGGTCCATAGCCAGTCGGGGTAGTCCTCGTCGGGGAGGGCGACGGGGTCGGATTTGCCCTTGATGTAGTTCAGGCCGTTGAAGACGGTGCCGGCGGGGCACGACGAGACGGGCTTCGCGGGGGTCTTGAGGGTCTCCTCCTTCACGTTGGACAGCTTCGGGGGAGCGGCCGGGTTGGCGGGGGGTGCTGGCGCGGCATCGGGCGCGGCGGTAGCGGCGTTTCTCGTCGGCGCGGAGAGGGAGAAGGGTCTGAGGAGGGCGCCGGCGCTGGGGGTTTGGAGGCGGGGCAGAGCCGGGGCTCGCCGCAGACATGTCCTGCAAATCATGTTGTGTGTTTTGGCGGCGACGGGACGGTGGTGGTGGCTCTCGTCGTCGGCCGAGGGTCGTGGTGTTGTAGTATGCGTGAGCTTTGAGCTCGGGGTGCGGTGGAAAAATTCTGGGGCGGGCGGGACGAGCCTCTTGCGCACTCGGCATGGGCCTCAACTGCGCGGTGCTAGCATGGAGCTTCAACCTCACTTCATCACGACGAATTGACGCCGGAGCGCAATTGATCACTCAATTAACCCATTTCTCATTCTTTTGGATTCTGCAACTGCGCACATGCTCGAGATACTCTAAGATCGACTTCAATGTCGGATAAATGCATAACCTCAAAAAGCGTTGATTGATTCATTTGTACATAGCGCGAGGGATATCCCCATCACGCGGCCAATTGACATGATAATGAAATGGCCCGACCTCCGTTTTCCTTCCCAGTTGAAAAGGGATGTCTCTATCAAAGCGACGCCGTGTCCCAATTGGACCGCTCCAAACCCATCTCCCCCAGACGCAGCTCGGTTACTGCTTGGTGATGTAGTTTTGTTGCTCGAACAGCGTGCCCTTGACCTTCTTCTCCTTCAACAGCTGCAAGTACTTTTCTGTAGCAATCCGTCAGCATTTCGACCTCTCTGACAGCCCCGTATGCGTATAAGAACGACAAGGGCACCGTATCCGTCTAGACTGACCTCTCAGATGACCGCACTTCTCAAGGTGGTTGACGCCCTCCTTCTTGTAGCACTTGCCCAATTCCTCGCCGACAAGACGCAGCATCATGGCGCCGACCCATTGCTCGCGGATGATGGCGTCCTGTGCCTGCTTGAACGCCTTGGTGTCGTCGTAGTCGACGCCGTCGAAGGTTGGCGGGACCTTGGGCTTTTGGGCCAGGAACATCTCGGACTCGGGGGTCGGCATTTTGACTGTGTGTATGTGGTTGAAGTAGGATCGTCACCGAGCGGAATGGGTTCGAATTGGTCAACGGGTCACCGGAGGTCGGAGGCGAAGGTCGCGGCGAGGAGGTCGAGCTTTTGGTGGTGATCGATATCGGGGCCGGGTTCGTCGTTGGCTGGCTGGCTGTCGGGACTGGAGGAGCAAGCTAAAGGTCAGCCAAAATCCGGCAGCCTTAATTCGCAGGCTCCAGGCCCGCAGCCTCTCCCCAGAACCGACTCGGCTGCGGCGCTCGGTACGTACCGACTGTTCATGCGGGCCTTCGCTCACCGCCCGCGACGCCCCGCTAAAAAGTTGAAATCGCAAAAAAAATTCTGTCGAACTGCCGCGCAGCAGGACCCTTCGCCCCAACCACCGGACCCTTGTGCCTTATAAGTCAAGCTACCCTCTCGGTGCATCTTTGAAATTTTTCCCTCGAGCATCCTCCCACCTCTGGAAAAGTTTTCTTTCGCACTCTTTTCCTTCCTCCCATCCTCTTGTCTTATCCTCTATACCCTTAATTCTTCCACATAACCGTCAAGATGGGCAAGACCAAGTCTACCACCAAGGGCAGCAAGGCCGCTGACCCTCTCGCCAAGGTGAAGAACGCCGGCGTCACCAAGCCCGCCGAGAGCCCCAAGGCCAAGTCCAAGGCCATCGCCAAGGACATCAAGAAGAAGAGCAAGAAGGTCGTCGAGCCCGAGTCCGAGTCTTCCGAGAGCAGCGAGTCCGAGTCCGAGTCTGAGGCTTCCAGTGACTCTTCCGACTCCGAGTCTGAGGAGGAGAAGCCCGCCAAGAAGGCCGCTCCCAAGGCCGCCGCTAAGAAGGCCGAGTCCCCCGACAGCGACTCTTCCGAGTCCGACTCTGACTCCGAGTCTGAGGAGGAGGCCCCCAAGGCCAAGACCAACGGTGCCGCTAAGACCAACGGCGCTGCCAAGAAGGACGAGTCTTCCGACAGCGAGGAGGACTCTGACGACTCCGACTCTTCTGACGAGGAGGAGGAGAAGAAGACCGAGAAGAAGGCCGAGGCCGTAAGTCATATTGTCGCGTCTTCATCCTTTCTCAACTAACAGTTCATGATAGTCTTCCGACTCCGACTCTGACTCTTCCGACTCTGACGAGGAGGAGGACTCCTCCGACTCTAAGGAAGCCTCGGAGACTGAGACCAAGGTTGAGGAGCCCTCCAAGAAGCGCAAGGCCCTCGACGACCCCGTCATCCCCGGCAAGAAGGCCCGCACCGATGTCTCTGAGCAGAGCTCCACCCTCTTCGTCGGCTCCCTCGCCTGGGCTGTCGATGACAACACCCTGTACGAGGCCTTCCAGGAGTTCGCCGACATCACCGGCGCTCGCGTCGTCTCCGACAAGAACACCGGCCGCAGCCGTGGTTTCGGCTACGTCGACTTCGCCAACCCCGAGGCCGCTGCCGCCGCCCTCGAGGCCATGCAGGGCAAGGACCTCGCTGGCCGTGCCATGAACATCGACTTCTCTGGCCAGAAGCCCGCCGGTGACGGCAACCCCGCCGCCCGCGCCTACGACCGCGCTCAGAAGCATGGAGACACCGTTAGCCCCGAGTCCGAAACTCTGTTCGTCGGTAACCTGCCCTTCGACACTGACCAGGACGCCGTCACTGCCTTCTTCAGCGAGGTCGCTGAGGTTGCCAGCGTTCGCCTGCCTACCGACCCGTAAGCCCCCACCTGCCTCCACGGTACCAAAAGACATCTACTGACATGATCAACAGTGACAGCGGTAACCTGAAGGGCTTCGGCTACGTCTCTTTCAACTCCATTGATGACGCCAAGAATGCCTTCTCTCAGCTGAACGGCCAGTACCTTGGTGAGGGCCGCAGCGGCCGTGCTGTCCGTTTGGACTACGCCGGCCAGAAGCCCAACCGTGACGGCGGTGGCCGTGGCGGTGGTCGCGGAGGTTTCGGTGGCCGCGGCGGTGGTCGTGGTGGTGGCCGTGGCGGCTTCGGTGGACGTGGTGGTGGTGGTGGCTTCGGCGGTCGCGGCGGTGGCCGTGGCGGCGGCCGCGGTGGATTCTCCTCCACCAACCGTGGAGGCCTGGGCGACTTCAAGGGCTCCAAGATCACCTTCTAAACGGTGACGCACGCTGCACAATGACGGATCATTCAGAGGGCTTATCGCGGGTTACACACACTGTGGGCTTTGTGGGCTGTCGGTTCGAGACAAGTTTCTTCCCCGAAGGGGGATTGTGGGCTTTGAGAGCAGTCTCTGCGGAGGCATGATGGACCTGAGGGCTTTTTCACTTTGACCGTGGGCTTGTGGGCGTCTCTTGTATATCAAAAGAGGCATTTGTGGGATCTGTATGCTATTGTGGGTTGACCAAGAGGGCATTTGTTGCAACAGCAACATCTTCACAGTGGGCAGACGGCTTATTATCATAAAGTTGGGAAGAATCTCTGCGTTGTCTACTCCAGGACGCGCGACGAGGGGATCAACTTTGACGATGACGACGGCTTCTGTGGGCTCTGGGGGTTGCTCTCAGCAGTCTTTACCTTTGGGTAGTCTGTTGACACGGCTGGTCAGGCGTTTTCTCTTCTTCGGTTACTCTTGAACTTGGAACGATACCATGCAATGCGACGCAGAAACGGAGTAAGTATACTTCTCTCCCGTGAATGTCATTTCAAAAAAGGCACATACTGGCCCGGAGGAATCGGCGTTTAGGAACCGGCTCTTAGTGTAAACCAAAAGTTTTGCTTTTCTCTTTCCAAAATAATACCATTTCAACTAAATTCTCTTGAGATACCAACATGCTGTGCAAGTGAAAGACGAGGTTGGTGTGGCTGGCACTGCTTAAGGTTTCATGCGACAACTGTCTTACTGCAGGGGACTGCCCGACTCCGCTCCCCATTCGACAACAACCTCGTGGCTCAGGTTCCAGCTCAACGGTGCGTCATTGGGCGGCACGAGGTGAGTTCAGCCCCCCGTGACGGCGGGTAATCTACGAATCTCCCATGCCACTAGAACACAACCGGCACAGCATGATCACTCCGCCCTCCTCAGCAAACAACGTCACGGGTGAACACCTGTTCGCCAGTAGAAGGGCTGAAAAACCCAGCTGGAAAGCGCCGCAAACCTGCTCAGCCATTCCGACAACGATAAACGACAGCAAGGACAACGAAACGGACGAGTTTGTTGGGGGTAGAGTGGAGCGGGATGGATGGCACGTCAGTGGGAGTCTGGCATGACTTCGCGGACGATTATAAGACGACAATCACGGCGTGTCTTGGGATCGTCCTTGTCGCAGGATGCAAGTGGCAGACCACTAGGAGAGCCGAACGGCGCAAATCCTCAAGCTCTTTGGCGGTGGTTTGCTTTTAGGGCGACCACTCCAGTCAAGGCCCAACGTCAAGAGCCGGTGTCGGTGTCGGTGCTACTACGTAAGGTACATACTGAACGTGCCATAGGTTGGTTCCTTGACGTGACGGCATTCGAAGTTCGTGGGCGCACCTCGCGCTTCCCACAGTGTGTCTGTCTGTCTGTCTTTCTCCACCGAGCTGCACCTGACCCCCGCTTCGATTGTCTTGGGGCCCGGCAGACGACGTACGGTGCAGTATCATCATGCCTGCAGACATGGGGCAGGTAATGCTAATGTTAGCGTCATGGACATGCGGGTATCCGCACTGTCCTTATCGGAGCTGTCTGCTGCAGGTTTGCGACGATGCCTTGGTGCTTCGAGCCTTCGCCGTCTGATGTTGATGTCGTGGTCTAAGCACCTGACACGGTGCGGTAGCCGGAATCTACAAGCGCCGGCCCAAAGCAGCAGGTAAAGTAACTCTGCACCAGATGCTTGCTGCACATGTACATCATCCTGCTCCGTTATATCCATCTGGCTCTCTCTCTCCAGCTCCGCCGTATCGCATGCCTCGATGGAGACCAGTCCCCTCCCCCTCATTCCCCCCCTACCTGCTTGCTACCTGCCACCTACTACCTGCCGCAACAAAGGCCCAGCCAGACCCAAGGCAGCGCCTCAACACCACCACCTCGGCGACCCTGCGTGCGTGTGCCTGGTAAGCCAGCCATAGTCGAAGCGGTCTACCGCATCCTTCTTCCCAACTTCAACTTTTTGTTTACCGTCCCCCATATCTTATCCCTCCGCCCTTTCGAACTATCAGAAGCCTCGCGCGAACAGACAATCTCGGACCGCGTACTAAGAAGTATCGCCAGCGTATCTTATCTTCCAAACCGCGGGGTTTCGGACGGAGGAAGCGCCCCATCCCCCACACCCGTCCAGCCACATCCCCCGGCCTCGACGATAACGACATCCCTTACGAACTACGACCACGAACAACTCTTTTGTTTCCATTCTTTGTTTAAGCGGCGTCAAAAAATAAGCGTATCATCATGGACGGACGACAACAACTGCGCGACGAGCGCGGAGGCCAGAACTCGCAGAACAGCAGGATGACGACGAACGGAGCGCGGTCCGCCGCCGTAGGACCGCACAGGAGGAACGACGGTCAGTGGCCTGCATCCCCACGACTCGATGCGACCGAGGATGGCGAGGGGCTGACGCGACGCTCTGCAGAATCATGGGTCGAGATTTCTTCGCAGCCGTCTTCGTCGTCGCTCTCGTCCATCGGAGACGAGATCGTCACCACCGGTCTCCGAGTCGGTGGGGCTATGGCCGCCCGCCGACGTCGCTTACACCATCAACCTGTTCCTCGGTCGTTCCACGTCGACCAAACCGCCATCCACGCCGGCACGAGCAGCCAGGAAGAGTATGAGGAGAGCGAGAGCGAGGAGGAACGATGTTTGACAAGTTCGACCGAGAACGTTCATCCGGCCCCGCCGGCGCCGTTCCAGCAACAGCAGTCGGCGCAGGTGGAGTCGGACGATTCCGACGACGGTGATGATATCGCTACGGCTCTGGGACGTGTCGCCGATGACCCAACTTTCAGGCCTCACCCAAATGCATTCTCCCACCCACCTTCAGGCTTGCACCGAAGCCACTCGGCGAACTCGGCTGTTCATCAACACCCGCACAGCGGCGTGCGGCCATCGCTATCACATCGGTCTCAAACGAGGGTGAACCGCGGCCCGCCAAACTTCATGTCGCCCGCATACCAAGCCGATAATGATGCTGCTCTCCGTGCCTCTCTCACAACCCTCCTATCCTGTGCTGCTGCCGCCCGCGGTCTGCCCAAGTACAAGGACGTCGAGCAGCAAGGCGCACCAGCACATCCTGGAGTCGGGCCCAGTTCTCAACCCGTGGAGCTGAGGCTGATGCCCGAGGCCGAACTCATGACGGACAGACCATCTCAACCACAAGGCGCATCGCCGGCCAAGACACCTGCTCGATCACGGACTGCCACATCGTCGACCCCATCTTCACCCAAGAGCGACGGAGTTGACAAGCACAAGAGGACTTCCTCTTCACAAACTCGCTCGTCAAGGGCAACCAAAAAGAAGAAGGTCGCCGCCGGCGAAGACGCTCTCATCAGCCCGACGCTACTGACCTGGGTCGTAAGCGCTGGCGTCGTGGTGTTGGTGTCAGTGGTTGGGTTTGGCGCTGGATACGTGATCGGCCGCGAGGTCGGACGCCAGGAAGCCCTCTCAGCAGCGGGAGTGGGCGTTAACGCCTCGACCGTAGCAGACTCCTCATCGTGCGGTAGGGAAGTTATTCGTTCTTCCGGCGGTGGTCTTCGTCGCCTCAGGTGGGGTGCGGGGGTTGGCCGAAGCGTCGTCGCTTGAATCAGGTTCGATCGTCCTCCGTCGTCTGAATCATGAGGCGTCGGATACTATTTACGTCCCTATCTCGTTCTCCCAGGTCCGGGGGAATCCGGGGTACTGGGGGAGCTGACGGGTTTTGACGGACCTGACGGGCTCCGGTTCTTTTTCTTGCTGCTTTTTGTTATTTCGGTCTCCTTCTCTTTTCGTCACAAACGGTTACGTGAACGCGGGCGAACGACGAATATAGACGACCTTCAACAATCATGGATACCTCTTCTTCCTATTTTGGGAAAAAAACGCCTGACAGACGAAAACGGGATAGGCGGGGCGTGTGTTTATGTTGCAATTCTTCATCTTCATCTGAAATGATCAACGATCGCGGGGTGGAGGACTTTAGCCAAGGGGCTGGGCGGCATGGCGTGAAAGCTTTTTTCCTCTTTTTCGTTTTCTCTCTTTCTTTTCTTTCCGTTTTATCATCATGGGTCTGGCTTTCGAAATTTTCCTATCAAGATCGCATCTGAGGGAGATCTGAGAAAAGGGCAGGGGCGTGAGGCTTGGCTTCTCGGACTCTTGGCCTCACCAGACCAACTACCTTGCTTCTGGATTTCTCTTGGCGACTATGGGCTCTTGCGACGCCGGCATACGTGAAACCAACTTTCCAATCATGTTGGTTTAGTCTAATACAATCGAAAGGGTCATGGTACGCGTGTTCGTCAGAAAATTCCCTCCCCCGTTTTTTACACTAGGACGAAGAGGAATCAAAGCATGTGAAGAAGATTTCTTACCTGATCGGACGTGTTATGCGTGTGTGTTATATGTGTGTTGCCAAGTCCAACCATCGTAACTTACATCGAGAAACTGGGAAGAAGAGCAAGGCTGGGACGAAAGAGTTGATGTTGGTTCCTGTAACAGATGCAGGCAGGGGGGTTTGGCAGGGACATACACACACATACACGTGAGTGCAAAGACAGCGAGCGAGAGGTGAGTTGCGCTCGAAACAAGACGAAGTGCGTAGGACGGATTCGCCGTGACACGTTTTAGCTGCAGCTCGAAACGAGTTGCCCTTTTTTCGAAACCCGCGCGCCGCGGCGGCGGACGGGCTTTTTTGGGCGGATTCCTCAGCCTTGGAGAACTGGTGCACGTGAGAGAGGCTGGGGCCACGACGAGGCGAGACCTCGTGCTTGGTTTTGCTTCACTTCACAGCAAGAACGGACAGATCCTTGAGAGAGAAGAAGGAGAGGATTCGAAACCTCGAGTCAACTTTCGTCTCATTCTCGGGCTGGGTAGGAAAGCCCGTCTCGACTTTCGGAGCAGAACAGAAGTGATGATGTTGCTTACAAAGAAGCGTGTTTGACGACGAGGGAGTCTCCCTACAGCGGTGTTTTCGTTCTTGAGGCCATACGTATCAACTAGTACACGGAAAGGAGCTAGTCTTTCCATACTTGGATTTCTTGAAAAAAAAAGTCAATTTCAGGTATTTTTGGTGAACCTCGAGATGCGCTACCCGCCGATCACAGATGTAAGAAATGCCAGGATTGCGTCCGAACGGTGATGATGATGATGCGATGCCTGTAGACCTGCTTCCCTTCTCTTCCACTCCTTCTTCTCCTCCCACGCCCCCCTGATCTAGATGTCGGAAGTTGACGGCCCTCCTCCGCGAAGCTTTTGCCCGTTGAACCGATTTAGGAACCATTGTCTTGACCTTGAAGAAAAAAAGTCGCCGACGCCAAGAGCCAAGAGCCAAGCGATCTGGATATCGTCTCGGCGATCGTTTCGTTACGACGACGCCCCGCGGACTTTCGGACCTCCTGGGCGAAGGAGACATCGTCATTTCGTAGAGCGGGGGTGAGTGGTTTCGCGAGGCTGTCGCTTATGCCAAAGATATCTTCTCCTTTCTGGGGTTAGGATTTGTCAGGGAGGCCAGGAGAGGATTGTCAGAGCACAAGTGCATGGGCTTGCGCTGAAGCAGGCTTGATCGAGTGTATTGGTTGTATCGTAAGTCCATTCTCTAAGAAAGTCCTCGTAGGTTCTGCAGAAGGACGGGTTCAAGCCCCCCAGATTCGTCCTCGTCCGGCCTGCCGCCTCTCCCGAAACGCCTAAGACAAGGCGCTCAAGTCGAGAGGTACACTGCTGCCTCTACCTGCCCTGTAGCGTCTGGGACCGCCGATGAACTCCCTCGGCTTCGGAAGCATGGCCTCGTCCTGGAACTTCCACCGTGAGTCTTGAACGACATGGCGTCCTCCTCCGCCGCCTACGGTATTCAGGCTGGCGGTAGTGTTAGTCCTCGAAGGAGGCGGGCTCTTCGAACCATTGGGAGCCAAAGTAAAGGCACTAGGGTCCAGCATAGATGAGCGAAGTCCAGACCCGGACCGGGCCCGTGAAGGGGGAGCGGCCGGCGGCGAGGGTGCGGCCGCGGGAGGCGAAGGCGCCGCAGACGGGGGTGGCGGGGGAGCAGCACTGGGTGATGCCTGTCCAGCTGCTCGTAGGGCAGCTTGCATTGCAAGAGGCGACGGTCCGTTTGAAGCGGGTGGAGGAGGGGGAGGCGCTGGAGAACGGGAAGGGGGTGAGGGAGCTGGTGCTCGAGGTGCGGCAGCAGCAGGGGGCGGTGGTGGCGCTGAAGGAGGTGCTGACGGTGGAGGTGCCGGGGCAGCAGATGGAGGAGGTGGAGGAGGAGCTCCAGGAGCAGGCGCACCAGGCAGCGGAGGAGGGTTGTTCGATGGCGCCGTAGAGGGCTTCCGGGATGCTGGTAGAGGTGGTGGCTTCTTCCCAATAGGAGGCGGAGGCCCCTTCATGGATGCTGACGAGCTTGGCCTGGGTACATCGCTCGGCGTCTTGCGCAAATGGGCGATAGAGGGCGGTAGTGCTGGAGCGCCTGGAGGCGGAAGAGGAGGTCTTCCCGGGGGAGCAGGGGCAGCTCCGGGAGGTGGCTTGGGCGCGGAGAAAGATGGCACCTTGGGCGCAGAAGATGACCGCATGTTATTCTCGGGATCCGACAGATACGACGAGTCGGCAGCGGCGCCCGTGTCGACCGCACCACGAGTCTTGCGCAGCTTGGGCATTCCTCCGGCAAACAGCCCAGCCAGCTGTGGTGCGGAATCCGCAACAGCCGGTGCCGGCGCATTATCCCGTCCGCTCTGGTCACTGTTGCTCCTAGCTCTGTTTCCTGGCACTGGAGGTGCGAGGCCTCCTGGGGGTTTGGGAGCACCGCCCATACCTGGTACTGGCGGTGCACCTCCAATCGGCGGTCCTCCTCCACCGCCTGATACCTTTCCAACGACAGGCGCTGATCTATCGTTCGTAACGGCTTTCTTGAGCGCTTTGCCTTTGGTGATATCGGATAGCAGGGCACCCTACAGACCACGTTAGCTAATTGCGTTCGAAGCTAGAGGGTTTGTATATCATGTGCGTACTCTGTTTGCTCCTCCACCTGATGGTCTCGACGGTAGACTACCGCCCCCTGGAGGTCCTCCTGGTGGTGGAGGAGGAGGGGGAGGGCCGCCCATACCGGGCATCGGAGGAGGCGGGGGAGGCGGAGGAGGCATATTGAAGTTGTTTCGCTGGGCTCGATCGCTCGTTTCTATCTATATCGAGATAATAATGAGGAAGTTGAGATGTGGTGGTTCGTAGATGGAGGTGTTCGATTGTCGGTGGTAGAAGCGTGGTCGTCGTGGTCGTCGTCGCCGTTGGCCGGGGTCACTCGAGGCTCATGCAGTTCGGACTCTCGTCAAATCGAATGCAACGACGGCGGAAGAGATGTCGTCGAGATACAGTGCTGTCTGACGACAGGGTGCTGTTTCAATGAAGGACAGTGAGGCTCTCGGGGTCGATCAATGCATTCCCAGGGGCGATGAGATGATGGTACTCTGGGGTAGCTTTTCAGCCGCGTGGTGTTTCGTCATCTTCGGGCAGTATCTTGGACGTCCACTCGACATGCGGCACTGTTAGGCGCTGGCAGTGCTACCGTTGCATTGGTGGTGGGCTGAGCCTGTCCGTGTGCTTTGAGGTACTTCCATTTGGCGGGAGATCACCACCAACACAGAAGTAGTGCGAAACACCATGGCTTTGGGCGTATCTGTGAGTACCTGTGGCTGGAGAAACAGGCACCTACCGTCGCCTCGCCTTACGCAAGCACTGGACGCGGCTTACAGGCAGCTACAGAGGAAACTGAAATGGAAGATAGTAAACACATATGATTCTTGCCAAGAAATTGAAACAACATTCGAGCTATCTTTACAAAATGTCTAAACTAACTAGCGCTGCAAAACATATCCGAGCCTTGGGAGAATGTAGCGGGAAACACGCATATTTCACGTATCAGCTCATCAGGCGTTGATGGTGCAGCGGCTGTGGCTGTCGCCAGTCCACGTTTCTTCAGTGACCTCCAGAGACTCCTGCCCGCTGAGCGCCAACCGCTCTCCGCTGGGAGGGGCAGCTGCTAGCCTCATTGGTGCGGCGCGCGCTGCCGAAGAGCCTCTCCCAAGCTGGCAGCGATCGTCTGTAAGGCAGGGCCAGGGTGGTCAATCAGAGCTCTTTCTATTGGCCAACATGGGGCTCTAGGTGGAAATTTTGCAACAGCTCCCAGCTCTCCCCGGGACGTCCGTCTCGTCGAAAGCTTCATTTTCCTTTGCTTCACTCTCCTGCGCTTCACATCTGCCGGGTTCTTCGTCGCCCTTCAGTACCTCTCTTTTGTCCAAGACCCCAAGAACCAAGACGACCTCTCCCGGTACATCGCCCAGTACGGCTGCTGCCTCACCCGCCCGCCGGCCATTTGCTTGATTCTCTTGGCTTCGTTTCCACGATTCCATCCTCACGGCCGACCGCCGCGCTGTTCGCCCTACTGCATCCCAGAGACACCAATTGACGACGCGGCCTCTCTAGCTCGCTCGTCTGTTTCCGCTTCATATCATCCAATCCGTCTCACCGCAGGTCCCTTCATCCTACGCGAACGCCCAGCTCCTCAGCTCCTTCTCACGAACATGATGCGGAGTGTCATCACCCGGCATGCGGCCGCTCAACCTCGAACCCTTTGTCGGTCATGCGTGACCGTATCACGCGCAGGTCAACAGACTCGATTTCTACACACCGCCAAGCCAAACGTATTTGCGATCGTTTCTCCACGATCTGCCAAGCTTCACGAAAACACCACATTGAGACGGGTTGCTGGGGAAAGTCGGCTGGCGAGCACGGTATCTACATCGGGCGACGGTCACCAGAAATCCGTGGGCACGAGGGCTTCCTCCAAGGAGCTCCCTGACCTGGGAGAACTCGTCGCTGTGGTTCAACAGAGCAAGCAGCGCTTCCTCTCGACGGACGGAATCCCCCCTACGCAGCTCGTCATCGCAGCCTTGAAAACGTGCCAAGCCGCCGCAAATGCGATTCAACCCTATCTGGCCAAGTCGGAGAATCGTCCGGCCTCGAGATTCACGGCGTCGACCTCGTCAAACCTGTTATCCCTGGACTCGAACTCGAATGCAGCTAAATCTGGTAGCACGTCGATCCCGTCAGTCTCCGTCAAGGATACAGTCGACACAATATCCGAGTCAGCATACGAAATTATCGCCCACCCCACTGTATCCATTGGTCCCCAGGTCTTGGAGATGTACGTAAACATCCAAGCTAGGCTTGGCAGGCCCGAGACACTTCCCCAAGTTTTCGAAATGTATGCGTCAAAGCCCAAACCCAAGGCAGTTGAGGGTTCAATCGCCTATATTCAGCAAAACCCAAAGAGGGCAGACAAGGCCATCGAGGCAGCTGTGGCCGAAACAGCTCTGGGGGCCGCCATCGACGCCAAGAATCTGGACGCCGCAGTTGGTATCGTCAAGGCCTGTTACTCGACACAAGCATTCTACCGGCAGAAGTTTTTGCGGAAGGCGCTTCTGCCCGTCTCGGCCGTGAGTGCGGCCCCAATTGGGGTCTACGCTCTCGCCTCCAATCTCTCGGCATTCCAGAATACAATGGAGCCCGTGACGGCCACGAAATTTGCCTTTGTCGCCATTCTGGCCTACCTAGGGTTTACTGGCACGATTGGGATGGTTGCCAAAACCACAGTCAACGATCACATGCGACGAGTCACTTGGGCGCCCGGTATCCCATTGCACCAGCGCTATATGCGCGAAGAGGAGCGCGCTGCCATGGATGATATCGCATGCGCGTGGGGTTACAAAGAGAAATGGAGGCACGGTGAGGAGGGTGGCATCGAATGGGACTCCCTAAGAGAGTATCTTGGTCTGAAGGGAATGATGCTGGACAGAGTTGAGCTGATGGAGGGAATGAGTTGAGAGGAAAATGTGTTGAGTGAGGGTTCGTTCATGAGACGTGCGGGGTGGCTTTCGCACCGACGGCGGCCTCGGGCGCCATTGGACGGGAGGATGACCAGGGAAGCTCGTCGTCGAGCTCAGGGAACCATAGGCGATTTCTGAGTGTTCGAGTCCTAACGTCGTTGCTAAGCCCCCCCTAGTCCGGAGAATAATGCGACCTCCGGCCAATCCAAGCCCACATCGGCCGTCACCAGGGTCCGCCTACAGATCGGCAATCTACGTCTTATCCCGCGCATCTTGCCAAGAGACTGCCCAGACATCGCCCAGACAGCATCGCCATCCACATGCGGATCACCACAAGCCAAGTCGACAACGCTGTCACTGTCATCTTGTTTCAAGCGCTATTCCTAGCCTTCCTCCGCTCTCGACTCAGCAGCATCAGTGCATCATTGGTGACAAGATGAGTTTGACAATGGATCCACTAGTTGCTGAGAGGCCCGTGGAGGGAAGCCGCTGGCCCTGCGGACTACAGACCGCAGACTGCAGACGGCAGTGCAGTTGAGTAGGTTGCAGTAGCGTCTTGAGCTTCTAGCACTAAACACTTCTCCCCACGTCGGTTCCATTCTGAGCCAATCTTGCAATCTACTTGACAAGCATCCAGACTTTGATCCATCTCCACCCGTCTTTCCCCAAGCCTTCTGCGCGAACACACCGGGGTGGCCCTCGGGACTTGAAGGACCACGACGACCCCTGCCAGCCATCAGATAGTGATAGCGCCTCCCTGCCGCACACGCAAGCCTGGGCAAGTCCGCCCCGTCTTTGCACAACCCTGCGCATCGGGCACTTTACAAAACGAGTCCTTCCTATAAAGAAGCAGAGCCTCTTGCATCACCACCTGTCAAAGTGTCACCAACATCAGCGCTCTGTCATCCGGAGCAACAAGACGACATCCAAAGGATATATATATACACGGTCACACCACCATCAACAACAGTTATACAATCAGCAACAAAGTTACAACAGCAACACAACCAATTACACACTCAACAACACGGAAGTTGCCAAAGATGGTTGCCAACGAGGAAGACTTCACTCCGTACGATCCTATTCGATGCGCACACTACGCCAGATTCGCCTCTCATCTCGACAGATGGCAATTCGATCTTCTCTACTGGCTGCTCTTCGTCTTCAACTTGTTCATCTTATTTCTGGCGGCATGGGGATACACTCGGTAAGTCCTCTGTGGCAAAACCGTTGCATCTCACGGTCTACTTTCAAACAGCTCACTGACCATCTGTTCAGCACGTTAGACGCTGTAGCCGACCTACCACCGACGGATTCAAAAAGAAAACAAGCCATCCGACGATGCATCTGGTTCAGCTTGGGATGCGTGTGTGTCTCATTGGTGACGGTCATCATGGAGGTGTTCACTTTGATGGCTCTGCAGTTCTGTGACGGAGAGGATCTCATGTCGCTTTACTGGTCCACTTTCACCATGATCCAAGTTGGATCTCTCATCGCCGTGTGCGGAGTCATCCTGGCTCTTGTGCACTCGCTGAGGCAGAGAAGGAACCCGTAAGTTTTCCCAACCGACATCAGATTCTTTCACATCTCACTAACACATTTGCAGGCCTTGGGCTCTCGCACTCGGCACACCCGTTTTGGTCATTGCCGGCCTGTTCCACTACTTGCACGGCTGCATCTCGAGAAGAATGAAGAAGGCTGTCAACAACAGGAAGAGGAAGATGAGCGACGCCAACACTCTCCCAATGAGCCAAGTGTACGTACACCGAATTTTCTTCACCGGGCATTTACCTCTGCCCGATGATCGCCGCCAAGATGGAACTACTTGTGCTAACGCGACGTTTAGAAACACTATTCAAGCCGAGTCCTCTGACGAAGACGAGGGTATTCAGGGAGCCGAGATTATCGGGCTCACAATGGACGGCGGCCCAATCATCCACTTCAAAGACGCCGTGCCTTACAGCATGCCTGACTCGAGCGAAATCATTGGGCGTTGCTCCAACGACAAGCCCATTGTCGTCTGCCGCCGCGATGGCTTCCAGTTGATTTACAACGGATCTGAATCCCGGGCGCCATCACCGAACCCGGCTGCCAAGCCAGGAGCCAGTGGTTGAGGCGTTGGCGGCTCCGTTGCATCCCGCGGCGGCAGGCCCCACCCTTGCTTTGGTGCGGCGAAGCCAAAGGCAAAAAAGGTCACAGTCTAGATCCCGCCAGATCGACCAGCCCCAACGGGACCCCCACGTCATACTACCAGGCACGAACGAGCAGAGTCCCTGCGAACGGAACGACAGAACACTCTACGCTACGATTTCAGCTACGCAACAACTGGAGAACTATGACTCTACAGCAACACGCCCGTTTTCCCGCCCAGCACGGCATAGCCCTCGTTCCCCACAGCTCTCTACGGACGCCTCCATCAATCTGTCTCCTATCCTCTTTGGGATTCTAAGTTCTCCCTTTCTCAGTCAACTATCCGGGAGAACCTGGTCAAACGTTTGGAGACGGGCGTGCCCTACAGAGCACCGGCGTCTTGTCCAACGACCGCTGAGGGCCACTGTGACTCTCAGCCCGGCGTGCCACGTCCACTAGTGGGAAAAGCCACTCCCACCTGACCATCGGGCGGGCGCCGGAACGACGGTCCCCAAGACCATCGGCACCTAGTGGCAACAAGCGGCCGATCATGTCGACGGCCTTGCCAACAACACCGCTTTTTGCGGACGCCGGCCGAGCGGGATGACGATGTCCGTCTTGTCCTTCGGCACCGAATCCAATTTTTTTACTCATCTACTCAAGTCATTCTTGCATATTTTGCCTTTTTTTCTCATTTTGCGGATACTCCCTCCTGTATGTGTCTTTTACTCGCCATCTTCTTGGCAATCTTTCTCCCGCCACACCCCCTTTTTTGCCTCACATTCGTGTATGTTTTGTTATGCTCTTGAATCCACATTGCATGCTTGGCGTTTTGGGAAATGCAGCGATGGACTATGGAGGGAAAAGGGAGGGGGGAAAGAGGACGGAAAAGGAGGGCCTCGGGAGCCGGGAAGGCAAGGGATCGGGCAGAGAAGGGAAAGGGAACGGGACAGGAGGGAGTGCGCGCATGTGGTGTGCTGTGCGCACCTTCTCATCCGTGCTCAGAGCCTCCCATATTGAAATCCACTATTATTTATTCTGGTTAAACCGTGCCATCCATGGCCGGCTGGGGGTGTGAGCGGGCGAAAAGAATAATAAGTTTTTTCTTTCCTCTGAAATTTTCAGTCCAAAGTGCATCAGGCCGCTACAACAGCCAAGACTTTTTTGCCCGTGTTGTTGGTCAGCAGTTTCTCGGAAAAGTCCAGCCCCTGACTCTGATCACCGTCTCTCTGGTCTCTCGGATAATACCTATGAGGCTATGTATGGGATTTTCATCAGGGATGTCATCGCTAGCGTCGGCAGTACTTTTTTGGGTGCAGGAATGTCCACGGTAAGATATCGGGACTCCGAGCGATACGAATCACCTCAGTCACATTATGCTTTTGACGGCCGTTGACGAAGAGAGCTCCCGTCTCCTTTCAGATTGTGTAAGACCAAGTCAAGCACTTGACCGTGGGAAGGGGAAAAACACCAGACTTGGATCGAAGATCAGATAAGCATCGTGCAAAAGATGGAACACCAACATTTCGGCACTTGACAAGCGACGGACGCATCACACACACACACACACATGTGATTCCTCCCGAGATTGCGCCAACGCCCTAGTGCCGTTCATCAAATGTATTTTACAAATCTACACCACGCCCAGCCACGATCACGGGAAACCGCGCCAACGGCGCAAAAGCCAATGGTTCGCGATGCCAAGTCTCGCGGGGCCGCGAGCCATCGTCATCTCAACAGAGCGCTGCGCGCGCACGGAAGGTTACTTGGGTGAGAAAGAAAAAAAAAGGTGGCTTGTTCAGGGTCCGAGACTAGGCGTCGTTGCTGCTGCTGCTCCTCATCGACTACGTGGTGATCAATCAATTCGGAGATTGAGTCTGATCGTGCTTCTGGTCGTCAATTCTTACGGATCAAGATGAGCTGGGCGAAAGGGCCGCGTGTTGCGGGCACCATGTTCTTGGCTTTCGTTTTGGTCCCGGACAGATGTTGGAAACATATTGGTGATAGGTACACGCAGGACGCATACACAGCCCGCATTCCAGCAGAGGCGGGCGGGCGGCCGTCGGTAGAGTTGGTTTGGTCTGTTGGATTGTTCCTTGTTTTACGGTTTCTTGGATTACAGCAGACACCGCGTCGCCGGGTGGGACGCCATGTCTCACATGCCTATCTAGAGGTATCTTGCGTGCTTTTCCTTTTTGTCTCTCTACGTCTGGCGATGACGAGGTCTCACTGACCCCCACCCCCCTTTGTATCTTTCCATCTGTTCTCGCTGACGATTTTCTCCCTTTTTGATACATCCGTGTGAATGCTATTCCGGGTCTGAGGTTGAAAGCAAACGAACAAGTCTGTAAGGTCATGTGCTCTAACGGCTATTGCAGACGCCCCGCCTTGCCGATTTGTAATATCTCGCCGGTGAGACGGTCGTCACTGCGCAGGACCGGCCACGACTCGCCGCCGGCCTTGGCGAGAGTCACCTCAAGCTTAGTGCCGAGGATTTTGAAGGTCGACTTTTCCGTGTCAATGGGCGCGAACAGAGGCACCTCGGCGGTGTAGCGCTTGGGCGGGGAGTCGGATGTAGGCAGATCGAGGGCGATGGACTGCGTCTTGAACTCGATCTTGGCATTGTCCTTGACAATCTTCTTGAGGAAGAAGGAGGCGATGACGGTAGACGGGGTCTGGTAGAAGTCGTTGCGAACGGTGTCGAGCTTCTCCTCACCTCCGCTGCCTGCGGAAGCACCCTTCTTCTTGCCGCTGCCGATGAACAGGTGGCGGTTCTTGGTCTTGCAGCCCTCGATCTTCATGAATTGGTCGAACTCAAGAACGCGGCGCTTGCAGCAGCTGTAGCCCTTCGAACCCTCGTGGAAGATGGGCACGCCGGGGTGGTGAACGCAGGATTCACCGTCGCGGGAGGAACCCTTACGGTAGGTTGCTGAACAGGCCTTGCGGCGGCAGGTGGTGCCATCGGGTATCTCGAGGGAGGCATCGTCGGACTCGGACTCCGGGGGTGGCGGGGGAGGAGAGGGAGCGGCCTGGGCCTGGGAGAGGGGCTTGCGCGCCGGAGCCGGGGCCGAAGTAAGCTTATCGAGGAGGGCAGCGTCGGCGGGGTCTGGCTTCTTCTGCTCGATCTTGGGGGGCAGGTCGGTTGTGGAGTGCTTTCCCGTTGTGCAGGGGGGGATCGTCATGAACTCCTCGAAAGTGAGGACGCGGGGCTTGCAGCATTTCCAGCCTGGAGTGATTTGCGATTAGCCGCGGTGTCTCGTGTGTTGCAGTCCATGTTGGAGGAGGAGGGAGGCTAAGCAAGGGATGCGAAAGCTTCAATTGGGCCAAGAGAGTGGAAAGGGGAGATCCCTATCGCACCACACGGGACAAGAACGGGAGAGATGAGGTCTCCAGTGAAATGACGAAGTGTAAAAAAAAAGGTAGGATGAAATCGGCAGTGCGGTGGTGCTTGGCGGGTAGCGAGTGAGTACCTTTCTGGCCCTCGTGGAAGATGGGAGGGCCGGGGTGGTAGACGCAGGGCTCCTCTGCATCGGTGTAGACCTTCCCGCAGCCCTGGTGGACGCACTTTTCCGCCATGGTGTCGGGTGGGATGGCTCGCTGTCGTTCTCGCGTGTTTTGGAAAGATGTTATTACAGTCGGGATATCGTGCACTTAAAAAAGCTGCGACTGGTGATGACAGAAAAGCCAAAGAAGGTGAGATCTGTCGAAAAGGCAAATTCTGAATCGACAACTGATGACGTTTGAGAATCGAAGAGAGGATGGAACGTCGGCGGCGGGTCTGCTTGTTTGTAAATTGCTCGAAAAGCGCGACCGTAAGTGGTAGAATGAGGGGTGGTCGTGGACGACGTCGTCGGTGGAGGGGTTACTATGTTCTCCAGGATTCCAGAATTTCCCAGGGGTCCTCTTTGCGATTTAGCGGCTCAAAATTATGCATGTTGGGCACAAGCTCCGTCTTATGGCGCTTCTGATTCGCTGAAGCCAGCCGGAGCCGTGGTGTCGGCATGTTCACCGCCTTCCCTAAAGAGAGCCCCTGCCCTCTTAGCTGACATAGCGAATGGGTGACAGGTTACATCCAGCTTGCTGGCCAGCTCCTTGCAAAAATTATCGGCAAGACGGCCGGGGTGGGAGTTCAGTTGGAAACACACGACCAGACAAACCAGCCCATACTTTTACCTTTGACAATCGCAGCATTCTATTGTGTACAGCAAATCAGCTGGCCGCCCAATCACTTATCGGACGTTTTTGAAACCAATCCAACGGGCGTTCCTTCGCACACCCTCGCTGCTGCCAACTCCGTCATCTCACCTCTTTGAAATCTTCATTCGCTGTACGCCCTCATCGACCCTTGTCCCTGGCCGCCAACCTTCAGCTCAACATTTCACACTTGCCTTCTTCCATACTCAGCTGACAGCGAAAACGAGGCTGTTTCACAGCTCTTCCACCGTCTTTCCCATCCCGGCAACTGGTAGTACGTATTGCATACACAAGCATTAGCGGGCAGCAAACACGTCACTTACAGAGGCAATCGCGAAATCTGCTCACGATTTGAATTTGCTGGTTCTGTCACCACACACAAACATGTTCGCTCCAACAAGACGGCTATTCCAGCAGGTCCACGCAAGCCGCATTACACTCTTCGCACGCGATGGTTGCGGGTTATGCGTCCGAGCCAAATCGGCGCTGTCCAACGTGTGGGACAGGAGGCCTTTTGACTTCAAAGAGATCGACATCACGATGCCAGAGCATAAACGATGGAAAGAATTATACGATTTCGATGTCCCGGTGGTAAGTTTGCCTTAGCTGCCAACGAGGAGGTAGAAGAACGTCCGAAGTTCCCAACCCGGCTTTGCCCATTTCTGTACGGAACTCACACCTTGTCTCTCTACCCCAGATCCATATCAGCAAAGTCGGGGCCCCTGAGGAGAGCCCAGACCCCAGAGTCGTGGGCAAGGCTGTCAAGCTCATGCACCGTTTCGATCCCGACCAGATCGAGGCCAAGATGGACCAGGTTGAGGGCAAATAAGGGAAGCTTTTCGCACGCGGCCGCAAATCTCTTGGCCAGCTTGGCTCCTGGCCGAGCCAAAACATAGCCTACCTACTACGTACATACCCCCTAATTATTCATTTCGAACCGCCGCGTCGGACGGTTCAGTATGATCCACCCTTGGCTGGCTTCGCCGCTCCGCGGGCTATGCTGAGAGACTCGGCCACTGTGTACTGCAATGCCGTATAATCCGTTGCTACACTGATCATATCGAATCCCTTGTCTCCAAAGAACTTGGACTGCTCGCCGCTCGTGCAGAAGATTCCGGCCTTCTTACCCGCCTTGTGGGTTGCCTCCAGAATACGGTCGATGGCGTCGCTCAGTTCCTTCTTGATGACGCCGTTGATTACCGGATGACCGATATTGTTTCCTGTCACCTGGTTAGATCTTCTTCCAGCTGGGCGCCCATAGTTGCTGATACTGACCAAGATCAAAGGGCCCGATGAACAACACATCAATGCCTTCGACTGCGGCAATCTCATCAACCGAGTCCAAAGCCTCCTTGGTCTCGATCTGGACCATCGTCAACAAGCTGTCGTTCGCTTGTTGCAGGTATTCCGTCATAGAGGGCGCCGGGTTGAATCGCTCCATGGCGAATGGTGAGCCGAAGCCTCGGCGTCCCCATGGCGGAAACTTGGCGGATTGAACGAGGTCCTTCGCCTCCTGGGCGTTACGGAGCAACGGGACGAGGATCTTTGGCCAGTCAGCAAGGCTCCAGAGCCATCCCAGCATGGAGTCTTACCCCGTGAGCACCACAATCCAGCGCACCTGTCTCGTGACGTCAGTGAGGTTCTCCGCGTGAGTTCGTTTTCGTTGTCTTGCTCACGCTTGACCATCCAACCCTGCATGTCCGGTATTCTCACAATGGGCGACACGCCGGCGGCGGCGATGGCGGGGACAATATCATGCATAGCCCCATCTAAGAGTCACAGTCAGCTCGGAGTCCTCCGCCAGTCCGAAGTCCACAGTCACCGTCAATGTTTCCGTGTTCGCAGTCGACCAAGACCCAGTCCACGCCGGGGCTCCGGGCGAGGGCTCGGGAGACGTTGGCACTCGGGATCATCTGCCACAATCCCAAGCTGGGACCGGCGCCCTTGTTGAAGGCTGTCCAAAGCCTGTTGGCCGTCTGCATTGCTGACATGATTATCTAGTTTGGGTGGTCCTGATAGGCGCGTGTCACAAGGTGTTCGGAGTAAATGGATCTGACAGCGGGAAGATCGTGTTGCTAAATATGTATCACGACGTACGCAGGACTGTCATCCTCAGCCCACGCCGTACGCCTTATGTCATATGCTGGTGCGGGGGTCATGACTGCGCGGAAGGAAGGCCGCGGGAAGTTGGATTGGGGCCCTTGCGGAGGTACTGGCACTACCTTACTATCGGTGTGTAATGAGGTACCGTCCTAGTGACCCGGAAGAGACATCCGCGAGCGGGCCGGACGATAGCCAGGCGGGTTCATGAACTCATGTCCCTTCGCAAATCCTTGAGACAGGCGGCGGGGTAAGGTTAGTTATGATTGGGGGTCATGGCGCGAAAACGTGGAGAAAGCTGCGCAAAGGCGGGGCAGAGGAAGTCGACCTATGGTCCGGTCACGGGTTGAATTGGCTTGTCAAATCCAAAGGAAAGCCCAGTTTCTCCGGCTTCCCTGAAATACTTCGATCATTCATCTGGAGTGACCTGAACCGATGCTATTGATCATGGCTTGCTCTTTGTTTTGTTGAACGTGAGAAAGTTAGTGTACATCTCGAAGACGCAAACCGAAGCCCTGCGCCATGTATTTCCTCAACCTACTCCATATTCGGGCATGTGTACGCCCTTTTCGCCCCGGACTTTTATCTATCTTTGCGCTGCTCATAAGCAGGTTCCATAACGTAAACGACTTACTTCGTCCGAGTCTGTAGGCGGTTCTGAGAGTGGTTTTCTTTCGAACCCGAACCTTATTGCACCAACAGTTGCCTCTTCTCCGGGCAACGCTTGTTGCAAATATGCCTGATGCTCTTACGGATGACTTATTCTCAGACGGATGCTCAACCGCCGCGGCGAAAGACATGGCCATTTGGGCAAGGCGGTGGGGCCAGGTCCTGCGTAGTTGAGCGAAGTGGCTCCTCGCCCTGGTCTCAGACTGTCCAAGATTACTAGTCTTGAAGGCAGCTGCACGAGATGTTTGTGAGTAAACCTGATCAACAGAGCTCCAGGTCATAACATACCCGAGATAATCCTCCTTGATGCTGCCAATGGCCCACATCTCGCCGACTTCGGTTCTCGTACCAATCACCTTGACGCGCACATGCGTTCCTGGCTCGATTATCGTGTCCTCGTTATTGGTGAATTGCGGCGGCGTGGCATTCGGGTCCCACTTGATCTCGGAGGGGATGAGCTACAGAGGACGCACCAAGGTTAGTCGTTGAGGAACTGCCTGGCCAGCGTGGAAGCGGCAACCTACATGAGCTGACACGAAGAGCCGCAGAGGCCCTGCCTGGGCGAAAAAGCCCTGGTGGTTGACTGAGTATACCACGGCGTCAACCTGGGTCATGTCAGAATCCGCTTCCCGACAAAGCCAGGCAGGTTTGTAGCATTTACCGTCTCGCCCTTGAAGGGTCGCCACACTACCGCGCGGTAGCCAACTGTGAACTCCGCCAACCCGCTTCCCGGGAGGATGCGACCCTCGGAAATATCGAAGGTGTCCATGATGGAGATGATATAGTAGCTGCCAGCGCAGGTTCCCTCCACGTCCTTCAGAAGCTTGCTGGTCACCAGCTCGTGCATATTGCGCCCGAAATATGAAGGGTGCAGGGTAACCCTGCGCTCCATGTTGTAAAGGAAAAACATCTTGGTATTGATCGCGGCGCGCTGGAATAGAAAGAGTCGTCCGTCGTGGGTAATGCCTCGCGCCGGTCACCGTAACTTCGTCGGGCGACACCTCAGCGGAACGTATATCTCGGTTGCGATTTGAAGGGAAACGAGAAGGTCGAATATCGGTGTCGAGTCTCGGATCGGTTAAACGTCGACCTGATTGACTCGGTGAAGAAGGAAGTTGAGGCGTAGCTTCCAAAAGCCGATCTTGTATCCAGGAGGATCTCGAAGCAGTCGGCAAGTGGGACGTCGCCGCGTGTCGCGCGTCCTGTAAAAGCAAATACGGAAACACGAAACGAGAGAGAAGTTCGTTATCGATAGGAATATGGCTATGCCACTAGACGCGCTTCAGTCGGGGTGGATGCGCCGTCGTCGTGGGACTCGACGGTTGACGGGCAAGAGGTTGCACAGGACGAGGCTGAAGAGGCCGTACGTCGAAGCATGGACGACGGGACGGGACCTGACCTTTGTGGCTCCTCGATTTTTTTCTGCCTTGTCAAGCCACTCTTCAGCCTTAGGCAGATACGTGACAGCCACAGCTTCATTTGCTCGCGCCTGCGCTAAGATGCGCACTAGCGCAAGATATCCGATTCGTTCCCAGAGGCCGGGGTAAGCGCGACGTCCGGGATGGAAGGAAAGTCTGAATTGAGTGCGAAGTCCGATTTGTGGACTGTAGAAGGCGCTTCAAGATTGGTGTAAAGTGACAGAGTGTCGTAACTGGAAGAGTCGAGAAAGGGATGCGACAAGGTGGCGCCATCAACGGCGAAAACCGCAACCCTAATAGCTGTGTCTCTTGTGATTTTTGGGCGGTGATGAGGGCTGGTTACCGAACCTAAATCTGGCTAACTAAATTCCACGCTCCTCCAGAATCCAGACTTCGCCAGATCGTTTGACGGCCGGTCGAAAGCCTCTCCAGCCCCCAAACGCGCTCACACGACAAATCCACGGCACAAGATTGGGTAAAGGGACTCGTATGTTCGGTGCATGCACATTTAGTGGTTTTTAGTGGACTCTACCCCCCGAATCTCCAGTCAGAAGCCGCAGTAGTCGCCCTTGTCATCTGCTGGAAACCCAGCGGTCCTCCCCTACGGACCCCCCGAACTGCTGCAAAAACGCGCTCCCAGCGGCCCCACGGCCTTCCACTCCTACGGCGTGTGTGGGACACATATGAACACCATTGCAACCCTGTCCGGAACACGACGGCATTCTTCATTTTCAATCCTCCTCTACGGCTCTAACATCGCCAACCCGCCATATCGCCGACCCCGTTCGACATTGAAGATCGCCGCAGACTCGTGTAGCACACAACCACTTTACCTATTCTATCCGCTTCGCGCCCCCACTGACGACCTCCTGCGGTTGACCCTCGACCCTGCACTGTAGCCTTGCTTCGGTCCTGCAGGAAACCTCGGCTTCCATCACCTGCCTCATTTTGGCTCACCTTAAGATCTCAACATCATCCAATCTTCAACGCCGCCAAGATGTCGCTCGACTTGGAAAAGCATTTGACCTTTGTAAGTGGTTTCATCCTTTGATGAAATGTCTTTTCGTAGAGTTGCTAATGTCTCTGAAGTATGGGGCATACCACCACAACACCGTCAACATCGGCATTCACATGGCATGTGTGCCGCTCATCCTATTTTCAGGATTTTGTCTCGTACGTAACCAATGGGACGTACCCTGGCCTTGACCTTCATGAGCTCAACCTTTCATCTAGGCCACCAACACAGGAACTCTCATTCCCCTTCCCGCCTGGCTTACAGTTCCCAACTTGGATCTCAACCTGGGAACCCTGGCAGCAATTACCTGGGGCGGGTTGTACGTGCTTCTTGAGCCCGTCGCCGGCACCTTGCTGGCCGCCATCTGCTTGGCCGCCACTGCAGCTGGCAATTCTTTCAGACTCGAGAACCCCGATTTGACGAACAAGGTCGCCATCGGAGTTCACGTCGTCTGCTGGATCTTCCAGTTCATCGGCCACGGCGCTTTCGAGGGCCGTGCCCCTGCTCTGCTGGACAACTTGGTCCAGGCTGTCTTTCTGGCCCCTCTGTTTGTCTGGCTGGAGTTCCTCTTCAAGCTCGGCTACCGCCAGGAGCTCAAGGGCCGTGTCGACAAGGCCGTCGAGAAGGAAATCGCCAAATTCAAGGCCGCCAAGGGCAATGGCGAAGCCAAGAATGGCAAGGCACAATAGTTAACACGCAAACCAGCAAGCTACAATCCTCACCATGGTATTGCGAAACGGAACGCACACCTTCAGAAAACACATTATAGGCGCAAGCCCAGTCCCGATCATTTGGCTCGACCTGCCAACGGGTATTCACAAAGCTAGGGTAATGAGGTCTTAAGGAGAAGCAGCGGTTGAACACAGGAATCGGCGGGGTCGGACCCGCGACATGGAAGCATCGGGGAGGCGCCATCACATCACACGGCGGAGTACTTTCATCGGATACCAATTTGAGCTTACGCGTATACAGACTGTCAGTCATTGGATCTGTATCTTGGTCGAGTTATGACACTTGCCAACGAGAGTTTTTGACGGACCTTTACGCGTTGCTTGCTTTCGGTCATCGTTCTATTTTTTGGGAAGGGAAAGGAGGCTCTATCTGCCTATGTCAGTTGCAAGAAAACGCGCGAAACGAGTACATAGTTCAAAAGGACGAAGCATTCACTCACCAACTATTGATCTCTCACTGCCTACTACCATCTACCGCCACCACTGACATCAGCCTCCTCGCTCCAGAGCGCGAGAACCTTCACAAGCAAACGAGCTAGCCTCCGAGACAAAAGAATCCGTACGAGCGTCAGATCGAGCATCAAACCGGCCAGCAGAGCTGAGCAGTCTCCTTAGACCACCAGATTTCGTGGGGGTCTCCTTGGGGGTTGATTGGCGACTTGAAGAGCCGTACGACTTGAAGTCCTTCAGGGGTCGAGGCTTTCGGCCTCTGCGGTCGGCAAGGGGTTGAGACGACAAAGCCCAAGACGAGGACGGAATCTGGGGAGTTTCGTAGGGTCTGTACGGGTTTATGCCTTTGTTGAGTCGCTTTTCCTCGTCTCGCCGCTGCTGGTCGTAGCCGTACGGGGCCATGTCGAATCCGCCGTAGCCGCCCTCCCGCTTCTCCCGGTGAGCTCGACGATCGTCGTTCATCCGACCGTCATTCGGGACGGCATCGGTTCTTGTCCCACAAGGGCCATGGTTGCTGGGCTGTGGGTGGTACGGATGCTTCGGCTGCGTTCCAAAGGGAGGTGTCGGAGAAAACCTGGTCGTCGCCTGCTGCGGGTGTGTTGCGCGATCACCAGGCGGGATGTGAGCAAGAGGCGGCTGGAAAGGCAGGACACCGTCGGTTCGCTGGTCGCGGCGGGCCTGTTGCATCGCGTATCTGTCGTCCCTATACGCGTTGACCTCGAGTTCCCTCTGTCTCTTTTGCTCCATCATGCGGTGTCGAGTACTACTCCGATGTTCGGGCGTATTCATCGCTGCATAGCGGTTGTAAACACGGCCCTTGGTCTCGCTGCCAGCCTGTGCGACCTCTTTGCAGTCCGGGCAGAAGCCATTCGAGGTGGTAGGCGGGACGTCGTTGCACCCCTTGTTGCGGCGTCCACAGAGGCAGGCCATGATTTGGTAGAAGGACGACTGGGTTTTGTGGAAGAGGGCCTTGCAGCAGGTCATTCGTACCTTGACGCGGTGGTTGCAGGCGTCGTATCTGACGATTTGGCACATTTGGTTGTCGATAATGAAGACTTTGTAGTTGTTGGCGGCTGTGATTATTTCTGAAGTGTCTTTTGGGTGGTCGATTTGATACAGGCCAGCTGATATCAGGTTGTACCGTTTGACAAGTGGGACACTGAGGCAAACGAGATCTGCCCTTTCTGGTTCTTGTCCAGCTTCCTTGCGCAGATATTTAACATCTCATTATTGAAAATCTCTTTCAAGATGAGGATTCTAGATGAAAGACAATGTGCATGAACTTTCTGACTGATTCTTGAATGGCATTGTCCTGGTTCTGGGTCAAACATCAGGATGGATGATGTTCTTTCAACAACATGTAACTACTCATTGATGCCAATTCACTCAAGTACCTTCCTGAACATTATCGGGTCTTAATTATCACAGAATTCTCATCTTCTAATTTTCAAGCTCTGGACAGATACCAGAGCAGTTATCACTGTTGTTGCAATCTTCTCTGGGTGATGTTTGTAATGTTTGTAGCAACAACTCTAAGCTTCTACGGCATCTCACATCGCTAACAATCCCAGCATATGTATCAAACAACCATTTGATTACTATGCCCCTGCCTAAAATAAACAATATGACTCATGAGTTTTACGGGTATATTGAGGAAATGAAAGAATGCCCAAGAAGGGTCAGGCATGTGACAGCTTCAGCAGAGGGAACAGAAGTATCGATGTTGTGCGGCTCATACCGGCTGTGTGTTCTTTGAGGGGCGTGAGTAATTGCTCATGTTTTATCTTTCACCTTGAGTGCCCTTTGTTCAGCTTGGATAATCAACCATTGTAATCGGTCATTGTGCTTCATATTATTAGATACCATCTGTTCAAAAGTCTAGGTGGGATAGAAAGAAAGCAATGACTAGCACTCATGAAATGTGAGCTCTCATTTTTATAGCATTTTTATAGCAGAACAAGTGACAATGGGAATATTGTTGTATCTTTCAAATCATCTGGAAATGTATTTTGTTAAACCACCACTCTTTGATCTACTAACATTTTGGGGTAGGCTAATCGGCCAACATCGCTGAAGACAGGCTTCATTATTACCACTTCCTTCTGCAAGTGGACGCAGCCGCCTTGTTGTCGAGTCTTCAGTTCTCGTAGGGGTCAGACGCCCAACTGTACGGACAGTCATCGCAATTCTGGACTTCTCCTGATTTCCCCGGGACAAAAGTTGAACTGTTGAAGACAATCAAGGCAACATAACCATTCGACAGGGTGGTATGAAGACATTTGGAAAGAAGCGTAAAATGTCCCAGTCATCCTAGTCGCACAGTTACCGAGTCTAAGAGGTAGAAGTAGTGGGAAACCGCGGGGTCTTTTGTACAGCCACATGTCGAGGAGCAGTACCCAGATTGCCATGATTCAACAGGACGCCATGATGAAAGTCTTGACGGCCGTACCACAAGACATTCGAACAGATAGGAACAGAAAATTCACAAACCCTTCTATCAAACGCATGATGATCTATTTGATCTTCCCGCGATTGAACGCCTCATACTCTTCCAAGATTCCCAAGCGAGATCTGCATGATGCACCTGTCAGATCGTCGTACGATTCTGACTCTGTCGCAGACTTAGCAGCCCACCGCATCCTCATTTCAAGTGCAGTCTCACATGGATCATCCAGCCGCCGGAATGTCGAGTCGAAGAGCATCTGGCCGCGGCAGCGCGGCGCCATCATCAAAGAAAAGGGCGATATCCTGTCTCGCATCGAGATTGCCAAACCGAAACATATGGACTACGACGAGGAGAAAATCTGCCAGATCAACACCAGATAATTCGTTTTCAACCCTGAGCTGACATCCGCCTCGGAAGGGCAACTGAGGTCAGATGGCCCCCCCTTTCGAAGTCGAGCGTCTCCTGTCGTCGTTCACAGGCCAATGACCAACTTCATCTTCGCCATCGATCACGCCAGTGCAAGGAATGAAATCTTCTCGCTGGGGAATGGCGAGGAAGGAAGGCATGGATGGTCGGTTTGCTCGAATGTCTTGCCATCAACGCCAGGAGTCATCTCGTATGAAGCCCCATCCAGAACGACGATGTAAGTCGAAGGGGTGTGACCCTCAGGATGCGAACAGGACAGACACTCCCGCAAGGCGCTTGCGGGCCCGCCCTTCTCCGCGGGCGAAGGAGCGGACCGTCACGTAGCGCAAGGCACCGTCGAGGAGGCTTGCCGTGAGCAGCGGGAAGAGGAAAGGCGGGTCCACGTGCAGCGGAAGCACGAGGAGTTTCGGAGCAAACATCTTGAGTCTAGACGCAAGGGACGGCACGGAAGAAAGTGAGCAAAGACATGGCAGCTGTAGAAGCGCCCGACCAACGCGGGATGGACCCAGGGCAGCCGTGACCAGGTGCAGCGGCGCCAATGGTGAGGGAGACGAAGCATTCCCGCATTTTGGGGGCATTCCCGGTTGTGGCTACTGCAAAAAGTAGTCTGCCTCTGTTTCTCATCATAATTCTCTCGTCGAGTGGGGGCCTGTAAACGAGGAGATCCGGAGTCGAGTCCGGGAGAGCTTTACATACTGACGCCGGTGATAATCCGGGACTGCGTTAGTTCTCATTCGCTCGCTCGGACTATTTCCATTTTGAACTTCGGCATGTGCCAAATCTTTCTCAGAGGTGCGAAGAAGAAGAATTGGCTTGGAAATTTCATGGGGATCTGACGAAGGAGGCGCCCGCTGCGTCGGTCTGGAACAACCTCTCCATCTGAATCTCACGATTTTATCACGAAGCGAATGGAAGAGCAACGGGACGTAACCTTAGGATCCAGTCGAAACATGCCGCATGTGTATGTGTGATTTGGCGGAATCTCTCTCTTAGCGTGATAATTTCATTCTTCATTGAAGGTGTTGCTGTCCCAAGTGATTAATCCGGATATGACGGTGCAGTCCTAATGCGCACATTTGATGGCGCATCTGCAACGAGCTGAAGTTGTGTCCACCTACGTATGAGTATAATGTCTCTCACCATCACCGATGGCTTCTTTGTCTTCATCGTTCCAGCATGACGTGCAACATCTTCTCACGATACCCTCTTCTTGGCCAACTTGGTGTTTTACGGGCCCGGAAACCTGGAAAATCAACATCACGATTGATGTTCTATTCTTGGCGGAAGGTCTGCACTCAGTTTCCGCGATTGAAAACCTAACCAAGTTTCTTTCTGGTCGCCGATGATCAACCCTCATCTTTGTGTTCTGGACCAACATGCGAGTTAGATCTGTCTTGCTGGTCAATAAAGCGACTGCTGCCTTGGGTCTCCAATGAAGACACGTCCGCATTACTTGTGAACTGCCCAAGTTGGTAAAGCTGCTTCAGCCTCAGAGGATCCCATTCCGGCCGCGACATCCTTAATGTCTCGCCCGTTTCATGGCGAGCTATTGCGCAAGATTCGTGTCTTCCTTGGAACCACCAGTGCGGTTGATTCGCCCAGGCTTAGACATGCGTCTAGTCCGGCCCGCGGCCGCCTCTTGCCAAGTTTGAATTCTTGAGAACGTCCGACTGACTGGGTCCAATCCTGTGATTCGACGGTTTCTAGTGAGACCTATTCCGTCCGAAAGCCGTCAGTTGTCACGTTTTCCTTCAGCTCAAGCCGCTTATGCCTGGGCGGCTTAAACTGGCAAGCGCGGGAATGCAAGCTCCCGTTAGGGAGAGCGGGAAAGGAGGTAAGTGGGGGATCAGAGGCTGGTTGGGCTGAGACATCATGCAGTTAATGTTTTCTTCACTCCATACGTAATAAGTATCCTGAGTACTCACAGCAATATTGAGCCGAGCGTGAATAAAACAACCCATCGTAGGGAATAAATTGACTAGATGTCCATGACTGGTGTAAGCATGAATAAGATGTGATGAGTCTCGCTGGGTGAGTTTGGGCGGATCTCTTACCACTGCTGGATGCCAGAAGGCTCATACCTCAATATCGTATCATAAAAAGGCGTGGTATGCAGTGCTACCGGTGATCGGCGGCGGGAGCAACGGTGAAGTCGGAATGTTCTAACTCTCATTTCGGTACACCTCCCCGCAAACGTCATGACAACTTCGGCCGAGATTGTCGGGTTGTCTTACCAAGAGGCATGAGTGATTATAGGAGATTCGCGCCTTTCCACAGAGAGTCGAGGCTGAGCGGAAGCCCTGAACGCCGTGGGAGGCATTCCTATATCCGTTCGCAGAGATGGGACGCTCCAATGAGCATCCAGGGAGACAAGATCTTACGTCCCTTCACCTGTGGATGTGTCTCGCTTTTGAGTTATCCATCAGAAACACGACGGGACGGATGGAGAAGCACGCAACCCAAGACACAACGACCATTGGTTGGACTTCGTGGAAGAAGCTGTCAAAGGCGCAGGAACTGAGACTCCCGCCCTTCCTAGACCGCCTTGGCTGGAGCCCGGCCCTTAGCCTCAGGGTCGAAGGCCCGCCGGCCGGCAACTTGACCCAAAGTTGAACGATGGTGTGAGAGACTTACACGACGTGGGTGTATGTTGTGATGTGCCTCATTGGGAAATTCGGCTGCGGCTTCAGGACCCCAACACGGTGGGCGGGTTCGTGAACGTGAAGTCCACGTTCAGACTTCTCGTCCCCTTGGCGCCACATGGTGACGGGAGGATACAGCGACGAAGACGGAAGGCAGGGCAGACGACATGTGAGGAAGGCGGGAGCAATGACGGGCTTGATAGAGAAAGAATCAAGACGCAGATGAATTATAAAAGGCTTCGTCTTCCGCCGTTCAAGTACGATATTCCTCTCATCATCACACAGCGCCTTCACTACAGGATAGTCAGCATCTTCTTCTCGATTCCCAAACCTTCCGAGCACTTCAACACCTCTTCAACCCCAAACACCTCTTCAAACCCCCAAACATCAAAATGAAGGTCTCTGCCGCTCTCACCCTCGCCCTTGCCGGTGTCTCCATTGGCAGCCCCATCGCCATCGGTCTCGAGGAGCGCGATATCGAGTCCCGTGCCCTGAGCCTGGTCCCCGTCCTCTCGCCCAGCGACGCTTCCGTTGTTCCCGTCGCGATTCCTGATATCCCCAACATTGGAGCCCCCCAGGCCTCGGGCCTTCCCTCGCTGCCTCCCCCCGCCTCCGAAATCGAGTCCGCCGCGAAGAGGATCCTCCAGAGCATCCTGGTGGTTATCGCCAACCTTCGTAAGCGGCCTGCAGCCCCTAGATTCTGGTTTCAGAGCTGACGAGTCTTACAGTCCAGGGCCTTCCCGGCAACACCCTCCCCATCCCTACTACCATCCCCGGAGTTCCGGATATCACTCCCGTCGACCCGACCCTTCCCGTCGGCAGCCTCACCCCTCAGCAGCTCCTTGTCTTGGCTGCTGCTCTTCAGAGCCAGCTTGGCAACCTCACTGCTCTCGGAAACAACGCCATCCTCTCCGGTGGACTCAACGCTGCTCAGCTGACCGCTGTTCGGGATGCGATTACCGCCGCCCAGACCCAGCTCGGCCCCATCATCGGCTCCCCTACCAGCGCTCTCGCTACTCTTGGCAGTAAGTTGGATTCCTACGCCGAACTTCGATGGCAGTCTGAACTAACATCACGGTGAAGACCTCCAAGGTAATCTGCCCGGCGGTGTCACCAACCTGCCCCAGCTTGAGGCTCTTTTTGCCGGTCTCGCGCCCGTTCTCATCCTCGTCACTTCCCTCCTCAACGCCGTCACTGGCCTCCTCCCCACCCTCGGCGGCAGCGGCCTCCCCAGTGTTGGACTTCCCGTCACTCCCACCGTCGGCCTCCCCGGTCTCACCGGCCTCCCCAGTGTTGGACTTCCCATCACTCCCACTGTAGGCGTCCCCGCTCTCACCAGCCTTCCCAGTGTTGGACTTCCCATCACTCCCACTGTAGGCGTCCCCGCTCTCACCAGCCTTCCCAGTGTTGGACTTCCCATCACTCCCACCGTAGGCGTCCCCGCTCTCACCAGCCTTCCCAGTGTTGGACTTCCCCTCACTCGCACCGTCGGACTTCCCGGCCTTCCCGGCCTTCCCGGCCTCGGCCTCTAAGCCGACAACCGTCACAGCTGGGACTCATTTCGGGCTGGCCATTCAGCAGTCGACAGCGTCGAATTTTGCACACAACCCATGAAGAGCTCCCGGCTTGGCTGATGAAGACCGGCACCCTCGTGCTCGACTTTCTCAGGCTTACACGATCACCCAACCTTCCAACATGCGGCTCTCACATGAGGAGTTTCGCAAACTTCTGAGTTGCTACATCCTGGAAAGGGTTCAGCGGTAGATCGTTCATCGATTGGGGACTTTCAAACTTGTTGCGAGCATGGTAGGAGTCCTAGCGGCTCCCCTTGGTCTCGATTTTACCTGGAATTTTCTTTTAATCATTCTTACAATGAACACCTTCACTTCTTCTTGTCCTCCTCTAGACTACGAAATCTAGACAGAAAATTAATAAACAGTCAATCCTTATTATATACCTGTTGGGTCTCGCGTGCTTTGATGGAGTCTGGCGATAATGAAGATTCCCTGGCTGTCAACGAAAGTCATTGGAATTGAGTTTAGCAAGGTCTGAGGAACGGGCCGGAGCTCGGAAAACAATGATTTCTCCCATGTTTTCCGGGTTTCCAGGCCTAACAGCCTCTAGGCTTGTCTTTTGTCGACCTTTCTGGCTTCGTCTGATCTGGGCAGTGTTGTGTAGGTTGAGGAATGAGACTGACGACGGTGGGATGAACGTCGTTCGCGACGTCTCGTTACTCCAGTGTTGTCTGATAGATGCATAGTATATCACTCTAAACAGCACTATCAAGATAAACGTAAAAGAATTAAACAGAGTGGGTCCGATCTCTTAGACGTCATTCCTCAACGACATCATCGAACCTTCCCCCACGATCGACCATCCCGTCCTTCCGCAAGCCACTTACAAGGGGGCTCCAGAGCAGGACGGCCGCGAACTCGACTAGAGACGATCGCAAACCCGCCACCGCGTCTATCTGGATCTCAGAAAGTTGGAAACGTCCGCGGTAGCGCGCCCCGCCCCAGCATCATCCATTGTCCAGAACAATCGGTCTTTCGTTCGTTGTGGTCCCATCTCCTACCATGCAGTGGTCTCTGCACATCTTTCCATCAGGAGGTCGAGGTCGTAATACGACGTCCCCCGATCCTGTCAATGTGGATGAGGGGCCTTTTGAAGACGAGGGACCCTGAATCAAGGTGGCACGCTCTCTCTCCTGGCGGCTTGCATTTGGCGCCGGCACTGGCTCCCCGCGTTCGCTGCCGGCGCTGCGCCCCTCCCAACCGGCGGTTGCATTCCCCACAGTCTGCGCGGCGGACGATCATTGCCATGCGTAGGCGGCTCACAGAACCGAACGAACGATGCGATGATCCGTCCATACGGTGATACGCACACATCTTGTTCGGTCCAATCTCCTCGCGTGCTATTCTTGCTTACTACCCTCGCCAAGCCTTCCCATCGATATCCCTTTGTCAACCCAAGGCCTGATATGCAACCACGCCAATCATCACCCCAATCGACTGAACCATCACGTGTCCACCTCATGATTCGCGAGGGTTTGCAACAAACGCTGCCGGTGTGTTTCGCCCGTGTGCTAATCCATGCCTTTGGAGCAACCCGACCCATTACCCTGCCTTCACCGTACCCTTCAGCATAGGAGGAAGGGATACGCTGCTTACCCCAATGATCGCCGGCGTTTGACTGGCTCTCCGGCCATCTCGGCCCAGGACGTGATCAGACCACCTGGGCGACCACACCGCGCGGGGTAAACAGAAAGCTAGGAGCAGGGAGAGGCACTTGCTCGCCATGCCATGCCGGACAAGCTTATACGGCCAGGGTAATGCGTCGATGAGCACTTGAGTGGTGACTCTGAGAGAAGGGGGGCGACTGACTATCAGAGAGGAAAGTGTTTTACGTACACTTGCTTGATGCAATGGAGACCCATCGGTCGGCTCCCCTTACTACTAAGTGCTAAGTGTCCTGTACCAGACTACGTGCCTGTCCGTAGTGCGTGGGCTAGCGGGCGCTACTGGAGACGTCCGACAATGATGTGATGGAGCGAGCGAGTAAAAAACGTCGTCATCGTCCTGACTGGCGCATCGACAAGCTTTCCCGCATCCCTTGTGTCAGAGGGGTGGGCGGTGGCCTCATTGGTGAAGTCATCTGCGAAGGGGGGGCGGGCGAGTCTGGAATACCCTAGACGGATACCTCTGGAACTTAGCTTCTGGCAGGTCGAGCTAAGGTGAGCTTGGGAAGAGCTGAGTTGCTTATATATGCTCTGCTTTCCGTCTTCCTCCTCTCTTGCATCAATTACACCTCATCAGAGCATCTTCATCTCGTATACAACACAAAAAACGACACCGTAACAATCACACGACCGTCAACATGGATTCCTCCAAGAGCAACAACAACGCGCCCGTCTCTCCTACCACCGGCCGCAGACGTGTACGCCTTCCCCTCATTTCCACTTCTACCGGGATGACGTAGCTAACGCAGTCCCTCACAGAGCTCTGGTTCCGGCACACTCTTCCAAGGCCTCGTTGAGCAGAAGCGTCACGATGGTACCGCGGCACGTAGGCAGTCAATGACCGATTCTAAGCCTCCACCTGGATTCATTGGTCAGATGTGGCAGAAGTAAGATCAAAGAGTTCACCGTCTTGCGGCAATGGCTAACGCTTTACAGCTGGACCCGCGGACCTAGCCCTCCGAAATAGATTACGAGACGATCATGTACGATGTGGAATGGTTTGGGCGGCGTTATGACAGGTCCACTGAGTCTGGCTGTATCCTTAAATAATGGCGTTGGCATGAGATTGTGCTCTAGCGTAGCATTACGCCCTGGTCAATAAACTGTTTTACAAACAATGAATGGTTGCATATTGTTCTCTCAAAGTGACAGCATGATGTTATCGCTCGTGTTGCTTCTAAACACTGTCAGTCCATGTGAGTGTGGACTATTTCAACTCCCTAATGATTTAGGCAAAGCTTTTACACATTTCTTGTGTTGGCACGGCGAGTTACTCAGGACATGCCATCATTGATAAACACACAGTATAAGGATTGTCCAGCACGTCAAAATAGGTTCCGTCATCAGTCCTGGCCAAGAGCCGTTCAACAAGGTGATGTATGGTGCAGATTAATCATTAAAGCTGGTCGCCTTGACCATCTATCAACTTACTCTGTGATAGTCCAAGCAGGCCAATTCTACTTTTTAGTAGTCCAGATCGGGTAGTTAACATTTGAACTGGTCGTACATGTAGGAACTTAATCAATCGGTATATATGTTGTCAAGCCTTCGTTCCAATCGAAATAGTTGACCATACATCGACGCACAGAGCGAGCATGCACTTGAGCCTGCTCTCACTCTGACCCTGTTCGGGCGTCTAGCGATGAATTACTCATCCCAGGTCATCACACCAGACATAGAATTACGAAGACCATTGTTGGGGACAAATGTCAGGCTTGAATTGCGGCTGCACAGGACCATCTGACCTAGAGAATCAAGAGGCATCTCTCTCTGCACATTAACCCCCCACCTGTAGTCCCCCATTGCCAATTTTGACCACCACACAACCCCGAAACTGAGATCAAGCATAGAGCTTTTTTCGACGGCCACAAACATGACCGTCTCTGGGAGACGCGACCAGCCCAAGCCCTCGAAGCCTCCTGGCTTCCATTCCAAACGTTGGCCCCGCGTATTCGGCACTGAGTATCCCAGTGGTGACGTTTTTTCGTGGGGCAGATCCTCCTCGGCCTAGTCCGAGATGCTGGCTCCGGAGCAAAGTAGCCTCTGCCGCGATGAGGTCGTTGGTATTGACGAGAACGACCTCGGCATATCGCTCTTACTATCGCGCTTATCTCCTTCAGAAAGGACCCCGCCTGGACGGCACATAGACAACAAGTACTCCAATATGGCTTGTCCTTGCTGCCACCGTCTGTCATTCCACGACAGCGGTTGTGTCACTTGATCTTTTCCACAGCCGTTGACTGTATGTGCGGCGGCGCCCGTCCCCCTGTCCACACATCCGGAAGGGATGGTGAGTCGGGGGCCGGTAACCCAATGTTTTCACAAATATTTGATGACACAAAATAATTTCTCGGCAGGCCTGAAGGCGCTGCACAAAACTCGATGGCGACAGGTCTGAAGGCTGTACGCAAAGTTCGATGGCGGCATTTTCCCAAAGGTCTTCCGCAAGCTGCGGCAATTTCCGAAGGGTCTTCCGCAAAAGTCGGTATCCACGGCAAGTCGACAGTAAAAATCAACTGCCATAGATATGGATCCCAAAACCAATGACCCGATCCTTGGGGTCATGGTTCCGGGCGTCGGGTACCGTCAACCCAGAGAGCAAAACGGTGACTCGACTTCCTTCACGCTCACTCGGAGCGATCCAGGACACGACGCCAGCTGGCGCCGGTGGGTTGTCCGATGGGTTGTGCTGGGGACCCACCCGCCATTCGAAAACGGGGGATCTACCACATCGGGGCCCAGGGGTCGATTCTCATCAGAACGGCATGAGAACCGAGGCCTTTTAACGTCCTGCCCAGGACAAAGCACGATTGAGGCGCCGTTTTCCGTTTCCGTGTCCTTCAGAAAGGTTAGCTCTATAGTCTTGTAGCCGGTAACTGCGCGCGACTTACTATACCACGCTGAAATTGGCACAAAGACCCAAATAGTACCACAAAGGGGGACAAACAAATCATCATCGTTCCTCATCAGAATTAGGTAGGATGTCGGATGCTCTAATTGCTGACAATATGAGATGCAGTCGTACGTTCCGGTTGCCCAGGCTTGAAAAAGGTCTCAAGTCTAGAAATCGTTACTGGAATGTGTAAGTGCCAACCCGGACAGGATGATGAGAGGCAGCCGTACCACATGTGACTCCGTAACAAGAATCATAACCGTAATGCCCGATCAAATGGGCTCAAATGCCATAGACCCTGCCGATCATTATTGCTTCCTTGCAACGCCGTGGGCCTTTTAACGTCCTGCCCAGGACACCGATGGGTAGATGCCACCAGCAGGCGTGGTTCAAGCGGCTCATGTGTGGTGACGACTTGTCCTAGAGAGCGGGCTGAGAGATACGGTGACCATGTCTGCCTACCCCATATGGTCGGTTCGAAGCAGCCGTTCGATATTATTCGAAGGATACTGCTTTGATCGAGTGAAGAACAAACAGAAGTTATCGTGTTTGGGATGTACTCGGGCTTTACCTGGGTGATCGAAATTAGTTCGAGTGCTACAACATAACATCATTGGTGCATGGGAGATCACATACCGCATGGAGGCTGAAGGGGAAAATATCCAACCTCTTCCATTCAGTGGGTAGCCAAAACAGCACCCATAATGATTTCAAGGCCGACAGCGACCTCTTGAAGGAAACGGGTGCCTAAGTTGAGGAAAGGCGAGTTTCAGGTCAAGCCAAATGGCTCGTGGATGGCTCAAGGCACCATTGTGAAGGAGATAACATGACGTTGGACGAAACGTCAGGGCCACGTGTGGATCACCCCAAGGCGGAGATGAGGGGAGAATGAGATAGCGGAGAGGAAGGTGGGCAGGTTGAGGAGTTGAGTTATTTAAGAAATCAGAGAAGGCTCGCTAGAGACGTCCCTGAGGCTGCAAAAACGTCATAGCCGAAGGAACCTGGAAGAAGTGGCTCGAAGGTCACCCTCGATGAGTGAGGAGATGTCGTGGAAACGAAAAGTGCGAGGCGACGTGCGGGCCGGCTGAGAAGGAGAAGGGTGGCCCTTTGCAATCTTTTGCTTACCTAACACAGAATACCTCAGGTAGCAAACGCGGTGGAAACGCGCGCACGGGTGCGGGTCAACAGTGATAAACTTACGTGTTTACGCACTTTACACTGTACCTCCTACATGTCTCACTCTCCTGACAAGCCAATGTTGAGCACAATAACCCAATATCAGCCCCTAATCTTAATGCGTGGCCTTTAGCTGACGAAATGCACTTACGTCACAAACAGGCATTCTCAGGACGTATCCACTGGTTTTTTCTGATACTGCTAACTATGACTGCCCCAACTCTTAATGTAACCAGACGAGACGTATATTTCATCCCTCGGTATCAACCTGCACGCAATCGCCAACCTGGATGGTTGGATGCTGAGAATGCTTCATCGCGGATATTCTGGGTGTCTCGTGGCCCATATGAGTGCCGAAATAAACTTTGCCATCGAATCTGCGAACTTTTGATAGAGTCACAAATGGCTCTTGGTGTCTCTCGCCACTTTCCTGGTCAACACAAACCATCTGACATCGTCGGCAGGACCCCATCAACTTGAAGTCAGTTTCGCCTATCGAGAGACTCGTCCACGTGTCTTCCGCCCATGCCATTTCTTCCCAATTCGGCGACGAGGTCCCAATAACAACGTTTGCCCGAAATGCGTTCGATGGCACTGCAACCCCTCCACCAGCTACAATATCGCGGTTTAGCGCGCGCAGACTGGCTGTGTTGATCAGGAGAACAGGGCTTTCATTTGACAGCAGAATTTTGCTTGTCGGTTGCTCCGAGTCCGAATCTGGCGGGGATGGTAGTTCCGGGAAAGCTCCTGGGAATAATCTTGGTGCCGATGTCCTTACTTGCTGATGCTTCTGCAACTTGGCTTTGGATTGACGCATATTGAGCCCTTGTCCACCAGCTGGAAATCGCGCCAGCACGCATGGCACGCCAAGGACGCCGCTGAAAAACTCGTTGATGAGGGAGGACTTGTAAATCTGCGGCGTGATGCTGTCACCGCAGACACGGGACGATCTTCCGCTGGAGGACGCTTTCGAGTCGAAGTGAACGGGGTCTGCGGAAAGGGGAATGCATACTTCGTCTGGCAAATGAGACGGCTTCTTGCCTCGATAGGAGACAACAAGCGTTCCGCGAACGAAATCGAGTACGGGCGTGATCAAAGCCATCTTCGAGTAGCGTTTCTGGCTAAGAGCTTGTCCTGACCCTTGGTGAACGAGACACCACTCCCTGTCCCATGCCAAACCCTCGGATTTCACCTCCCAAGACGTTCCGTGAGGCACAGAGTAGTATCCACAACTTTTGATGGGATAAACATTGATGCCCTGTACTTGGAGCCCCGTGGATGACGTGAAAGGTTTGGTCTCGACATCACAAAGTGCCGCCGCTTCTCGATAAAACTCGCCAATGAAGCCAACGAAAGAGTCGACATCAGAGACTGTGCTCATGGCGCCAAGGCTTGCCCGAATGATGCCCGTCGGTTTTCCTGCAATGATATCTTGGTCTGTTCCGCAGCGAAAGCCGGAGGAAAAGTTCTTTCGCACCTCCCACGGTTGCAAACCAAGCGCAGAGGCAATGCCACCAGGGCTGCATACTCCCCCAGTTCGAATATGCAAGTTTTTCAACGTTGCCAACTTTTCGAACTCGTATAGACTCACCCAAGCACCAGCCGAGTTGCGGATGTTAAATGAGACCATAGGCCCAAATCCTAAAGCCGCCGCTGCGTCGAGATCTAGCTGAGAGTAGATGGTGCAGACCGGTTGCCCGTTGCCATGCCGGAGAGCTTTCAGTCTCTCATATAGGCGTTTAGTCAAATATGACGTATGGGATGCTATAGAAGCCATACTTCCGAACAGCTTCGTATGAGCATCGAGAGCGGCATCAAGCGCGATGATGCTGTGGAATGGTAACGTGCCGTCCTCAAGCCTTTCGTGTAAGAACATGGTCTTAGGCGAATGCCACCGCTCTTTTCCGCAGACAACCGTGTCAACAGTGCCGCCACCAAAATAACGCCTTTGGTTGAATACCGGTTCGGCTTGTTTTCTAACGATTAAGGCTCCGAGGTCCGGAAATCCGAAAATCTTATAAAGGCTGAGTACAGTAAAATCGGGCGCGGACTTCACATCGCCGAGATCGAGGGGGGATGTTGCAACTAGTGAGGCGGCATCCAGAAGAGTATATAAACGCCCGTGGGAAGGCGGGGCGGAATCTCGTAACAAGGCTGGCCACGTCAAAGGGTACCGGCGACCATCCATGTGAGACTGAGCGGTGTATGCAAACAATGTGTCTGATGATGATGTCTTATGGCTGATGAATGGTGTCTGTCCAGACAGCCAGTGTTGAATATGGGAGTCATCAAGACAGTCGCTGTGGCGGGCCTCTTCACGGACACCTATTATGCTGGTATGGCACGCTTCGTGGTAGGCGAAGAGAAACCCTTCCGGTAATGCTCGAAAGGCTTCAGCAACAAGCTTGATACCAGCTGTGGCGTTGGCCACAAACACCAGATCAAATTCCGCAGGGTCAGCGTTGAAGAAGTTGAGAAGACGGAGGCGAATGTCCTCAATTCGGCCTGTTGTGTACTGAGAAGGCGAGGATGCCGAATGCGGATTGCCGAATAAATTTGACATCATGTCGGCGGAAAACTTCTCGATAAGAGTTTTTGGATACAAAGTTGAGCCGGCATGGTCCAGATATATCGAGTCTAAGTGAAGCGTCAATAGTTGAGCCTCGATGCCATTGGCGGAGACTACCTTTCAACATGGGGTACTCTGAGTCCCGAAAAACCTCCACACGGGAGTTATATCCTTGCATTTCTACATCGGACATGATGGAGTTGAATCAGCCAATGAATAATGCTTGCAACCAGGACACCGGAAAACTGAAGTTGATCTTAAGAACAAAGGTGTTTCGATGACAGAAGAGTGGCCAAGAATGTCGAAAACACCGGTTGCCCCGTGTGTTAGAAAAGCGCCGGATCAGGTGAGACAAAGCGATAGCCCAAGACCGTGCGTCTGGGATGCAGAAAAAGACCGAGGATATCGGACCCTGAGTGTCATTGCGGAAGAAAATCAAGAAAATTGCGGAAGAAAGGGATGTGGTTTTGACGCTATCATTGGGAGGCGGCCTCGCCCGCCATTCATGCTGAAATCGCCGGTCACCTCCGCTGCTGTGTCGCGGCATGCCACAGCATCGCGGGGAAGCATAGTGGAGCTGGGGTTGATAAGGTGAGGGCAGTGGAGGACCGTGGCAGCACTGACAGCAGAATGGCTCGTGTGCCCTTCTGTCTTAGGTAAGCGGAAGGACCCGAGCACAGACCAAGAAGGAAAGGGGGTGCGCGCGTACGCACGGACCATGGGCTGCAGTCGTCGCAGCTGTTTAATTGAAAACCGCGACAAAACGCGCAGTCGCGACTCTGGGTCGCGTTTCCCGGCCATCGTGCTGACCCCGGCGCCTACCATATTTCTTCCTTGCAGTCCCACCTCAAGTCCACACCTCATCTTCTCCTGCCTCTATGTTCGTCAAACTCTCGAGAGCACTTTCCCAACTTGAAATTTGCAACTTGTCAGTCACGGTTGCCATTCGGATTGCTTCTTTCCTGTAATATACATAATGTCTCGGTCTTCACTACTCGGCAAGCGGACAAGGTCCGTCAAAGATCAAGGTAAGCTCGACGGGGACCTGCCAATGGTATGAACGCTCTTGCTGACTGCTCATGTAGAAGATGCTCAGCTTCCTGCCAAGCGTACCAGAAGACAGACACGAGCTTTGCGAGAGAATGACGAGAACGACGACCCAGAAGCGACTGCCGCGTCCGAGAGTGACTCTCAACTCGACGAAAACTATGTTGAGCCTCTCGCGAAGACACTGAAGCGCTCTCGATCCCAGACACTCACAAAGACGACCCCAATCACGCCACAAACCCCCAGACACCGAGATGTCTTTGCGAACTCGCCCTCTACTCCTCGACAAGTTGTCAAATCTGCTGGCAAGCTGTTCCAGCGCATGACACCGCATACTCCCCTTTCTCCCGGCTCCCTTCAAACCGTCTATCACTCTGCGCGCCAGCTCTTCGCACGTGGAGCGGATCCCGGCCAACTCGTAGGACGAGAACAAGAGCGTGAGCAGCTAGCTCAGTTTGTCCAACAATGCTCGTCTTCCAGCCCCAGCGGTTGCCTTTATGTCAGTGGGCCACCTGGAACCGGCAAGAGTGCGATGGTCAAGGAAGTTACGGAGCAATTGATGGAAGCGACCGTCGTGCGACAGGCAACCATCAACTGCATGAGCATCAAGTCGTCCAAGGACCTCTACAACACCTTGCTCGACCTTTTGGGGCACGAAAGTGATCTTTCGGAGGGATCGGCAATGGAGGCGCTGCAGAAAATGTTCGTCACGAAGAAGAAGGATTCTCCCGTCTACCTCGTCGTCTTGGACGAGATTGACCACATCTTGACTATGGGCTTGGAGAGTCTGTACCGCCTGTTCGAGTGGTCTCTGCAACAGCCTTCCAGACTCGTCTTGATCGGCATCGCGAACGCGCTCGATCTCACAGACCGATTTCTGCCACGCCTCAAGTCCAAAAACCTCAAGCCGGCCCTGCTTCCCTTCCACCCATACTCGGCGGCTCAGATCAAGAGCATCATCACCACGCGCCTAATGTCCCTGCTTCCAAAGGACAGCAAGCAGACGTCAACTCCCTTCATCCACCCTGCAGCCATTGAACTATGTTCTAAGAAGGTGGCGAACCAAACGGGAGATTTGCGCAAGGCCTTCGAAATTTGCAGACGTGCGCTCGACATGATCGAGTCAGAAACAAGACAGCAACACGAGAACGAGGCGAGAGAGAAGGTTTTGCAGATGACACCATCGCGGAAACCCCTGGGCGAGAACTCCAACATGGCCGCCTCTGGCGGGTCAAGAAGTGTATCGCATGTTGCTGCAGCTTCTCTGAAGGCGTTGACGGCAGAGACGGCGCCTCGGGCAGCCATTGGACACCTGAACAAGGTCACGGCGGCGGCTTTCAGCAACGGCACCAACCAGAGGCTCAAGGCCCTGAACCTTCAACAAAAGGCTGCACTCTGCTCATTGGTCGCTCTTGAGAGACGCAACCGATCGGCCAAGATGGTAAACGGCTTGGCAACCCCAACCAAGGCGCAGACTCTCGCACCTACGGTCAAAAGTTTGTGTGAGACTTACACCATTCTCTGCACCAGAGACGCTGTTCTGCACCCGCTGTCAAGCTCAGAGTTTCGCGAAGTCATCGGAAGTTTGGAGACGTTGGGCCTGATCAACCCGGTCGACGGAAAGACGGGAGGGTTGGTGGCGACGCAGACACCCAGCAAGCGAGGTCGCAAGGCGGCTATGCCCACGGGCGAGGACAAAAGGGTGGCCAGCTGTGTCGGCGAGAAAGAGATGGAGAACATTGCCGAGGGTGTGGGAGCTGCTATCTTGACGAGCATTCTCAGCGGCGAGGCGTTGGATTAATTATTGTATTATGGGATACCAGAAGGAGTTCTTTTGGGGAGTATTTTGCATGGCATCGGAGTCCGGAAAAGCATTGCACGTGGCGTTTAAGGGGATATGATGCGGATGGATAGACAAAGCATCGGATGTCAGCAATTGTTGTCTGAATATTGACGTATAGATGGTTGGAGGACGCGAGGGGTTGGCAGAGCAGGTGTGGAGGACAGACAGCAGCATGGTAGATGCTCGCATGCCAGTACATGAGTGGTGTGAGGAGGCATTAGAACGAGACATTAATAGCATGATACCAGACGGTTAAAACGAAACATGGAATGTGGAGAGAAGAGCAGCGCAGAGCAGACAATACCAATACCGCCCGAGTCGCGACGATGCGCGGCGCACGCTCAGATGTGAGAAGTGCAGTGAGACAATGAGGCGAAACGGAGAGGCTGCGGCTGGACGGACCGGCATCAGCACGGGATTTGATTGTACATGGTAGTTCCTCAGATGGCAACGTGTTCCCGGGTCGGAGAATTGGGTGTTTCTCCTGTGCCTCCCCAGTGCCAGCCAAGACTCGAGTGTAGTAGGTTCCAGGTAGCAACCAGATCGGGTACGATCCGCTGCCGCCCGCCACCACGGTGTAACGACACGAGACTTTCTTACTTGTCGTGCCTCTTGTTCAATCGTCAATACCTTATCTTGCCTTTGGGCTCGGCTTGGCGTACCTTACCACCTTTAAGGTCGACTGGGCATCCACGGAGAACGTGGCTCAGACTACCTACCCTTACCTTCTTACCTTCCTGCCGGGTTCAAGTCCAGACGTCAACCCTATATTTCTAACTTGCGTTCTCGTTAAGAGAGACAGACACGGGCCAGGAGCTAGGACAGAGAGGCATTTACCTACACTCGTTGCCGCCGACTCTGAAGACGCCGACTGCCAGACGAGCGTGCAAGCCAGACGCATCGGGTACCCGCCCCTATTTTTAACGATAGATGCTACTGGTTCGAAAGAGCGCCGAATGCCTGCTTCTTGTTGATGACTGTCTCAAAGAGGAAGCAACTAGCAACGCACTTTGCCCAACTCGATGGGACTATTGAGGATTGATTGGTTGCTTGAAATCGAGTACTCACTGTTCTGTTGGAAGAGATTCTCGGGCATCGGCATCTGATGGCTCAGAATATCGTGCTGGTTGTATCCGTGCCGGCACGGCAAGGCAAGACAAGCAATGGAAGCGGCAAAGGGCACGGGGCACAGGGCACAAGCCAGCTCAGACGGCAAAGCTCCGGACTGGCGTCAACATGAGTGGCATGTCACGTCTTTTCCCTGCCGCTTACGATTTCGAGTCGAGGTTCACAGTCCCGTCCCCGAGGCCACACAGCAGTTCCCTTAGTCAGGCAATGCCGCAATAGCAGCCCCGGTGGTGAGGCGAGCCGCACAAGACAAGGAATGCACCCTACGATTGGGGCTGAGCTGAACCATCCCGTCCCAGGGGGTACGTATCTGGTGTTTCTCCCTCTTTCCTGTCACCCCGTCCACTTCCACTTCCACGTCCACGTCCACGTCCGCGTCCGCGTCCCACGTCGATGTCGAGTCGTCGATACCCGTCCTCCCCCCTGGCCCTTTCATCACCCATTCTTTGATGCCGTCCTTCCGCATTAGAATGGGGCCTTTTCGGTGTTAGTGACGGCCGACTGCAAAGTTGTTGGTCGAGTCTCGACGCCGGTGCTTCCACTGTCACATTCTTTCGATTCGGCTTTTCCAAAAGACCCCGGACAACTCAAGGAACCTAGGGAAGTGGTCTCAGAGTCCGTCCGTCTATCCGTCCATCCACCCACTTATTCCACCCTCCCAGATCCCTCTTGGGGTTAGATGGGACGGTCTCTCATACGCGGTTGCAACTCGCCAGTATCCGTAATCGAGTACTTCCACGGTACTGTACCGTACATTGACTGAAAGAAATGCCCCAAACCAGCTAAAAACGAGGCCCGCGCAACGCAATATACATCCGGCGCATCAGATGCACAGTAATACGTACAACACACTACGTGGCCCCGACCACCCCCCTCTCTCTCACTCCGGATCGTCTCTCTTCATCCAAATTGCCCATAGCACACTGCCCCGTGCCTCAGGCTAGGTAATCGTTCTTCTACTGAACCCCCCGGCACACCCACGGGCAATCTGAGACTGTGAACCCTCGAGATTTCCAGAAAAAGCGAAGCTTTCTTGGCAAGGCTCCCTCTTCGCTCTTGGCATATGCAACCAAGAAATCCATTGCCAGCATCTCTCTCAGATCCCAGCCTGCTAGTATACCTGGTATTCCATCATCAAATCAATTCCCCTCCCAGTCGCTTCAGTCGCCCTGTCCCATCGCGAGCACAGCACAGGTCCCTGACCGTGACCGTGACCGTGACCGTCCCGACATACCGAGACCTCGTGGACCCGGTCGAGCCGCCGCCGCCGCCGCCTGTGTCCAATACGCACGCTGTCGCTGTCGCTGTCGCGCTTCTGACCTTGAAGTGTCTTGCGGATACGGATACTCCAGAGTAAGCCAGGCGCTCTCGCAAGCCGTGCCGTATCACTGAGCTGTCTCGCCCTCTCTTCCACCACCCACCCCCCACGCCCGAGGCTACAGCCTACGGCCAAGCATATCCAACTGCTGCGAGCCACTAGGCGCTGCTTTGCGAATCCCCTCGTTGCATGTTGACGTCGAGGGTGCAATCGTCGTCGCCTCTGCTGCGCCTCCTCCCCCATCTCCGTTCATCGCCCGCCTTCCGACTCCGACTCCAACTCCGCCTTCTCCTCCACGTCCTACGGATACCCGTCCTCCACCACTACCGACATCACCACAACCGCCATCCCCATCACCGAATCCGACAACGAACCATCCACGACACCGCCAAAGGCCCGGCCCGCAAGTCGCTGCATACATGGGCGCATATTCGCATTCCAACGGCTCCGTCGAAGAAACAACCTCGTCCGCACGCTCGTTTTTTTCTCGCTTCGCCCTGCCGATCCGCTCGCGTACGCGTAACCTCGCCGACTTCCACGTCCGCCCCGACGACCCCCACCGCCAGTACTCGGCTGGCGACCATGTCCGCGGCGCCGTAGTCTTGACGGTCGTCAAGCCCGTCCGCATCACTCACCTCACCGTCACGTTACACGGCTATGTTCGCGTTCACAAGGGGCCGGCCGTCAGCGAGCCGCCCGTCGCGAACCCCGCCTTGTCCGGACGGACGTCGGCACAATACCATGGAAATGGCTACGCCTCGCTCTTCCAGGACGAGCAGGTTCTCAGCGGCGAGGGGAGGTTGGAGGCTTCGAAATATGAATTCAACTTTGATTTAGTTTTCCCTGAAAAGGGTTTGCCAAGTAGTATTGATGTATGGACCCTACCCTTTGGCCGCGTTGAAACGCATTGCTGACGCGCCATCACCAGTTTGAACGAGGCACGATTTCCTACATGATTACAGCGACACTTACGCGACCGACGTCAATATCTCCCACGACCTCTTGCGATCGAAAAATCCAGTTGGTGGAAAAAGTAGACATTGGACCCCTCGCGCCGCCGCGTCCGCGGACGATCTACCTCGAGCCGATATCTAAAAAGTCTAAACGAAAGAAAACGAGCGGCGAAAAGAACTCTCTGGCGGTGGACACGATTGATTATGGCAATGGCTCCGACATGGAACAGCGCGAAGCCATCACACCCGATCCGGCAGCCTCGAACGACGAGTCCACGCACGATCCACTTGAGCAACCGCGAAGTCCTACACACACTGATATACAGAGCGAAGTCAGCGGCGACAGTACTATCAGCTCCAGCACGGGCATCAGCCTGACGCGGGCCGAACCTCGTTTGGGCAGCACGTCCTTGACCAATTCCAAGATGCAGGCCGTGGACGAGAAGACGATTACGGCTACAATTGAAATGTTGAGGGGCGGCGCTTTGCCCGGAGACACGGTTTCTGTCAAGGTGTCCGTTCAACACATCAAGCGAATAAAGAGCATGCACGGTGTCATCGTTACCATGTATCGCCAGGGCAGGGTCGACACAGCGCCGCCAGCCTCCATGTTCGCCGACATAATGACGAAAGAAGAGACACGCAAGCTTGCAAAGGAGGATTACTACCCGCGGTCGCGTACGGGCCTAGGTGGCCTTTCTCTAAGTTCAACTTCTTCGCTAAGCGTCTTTCGGAAGGATCTGTCGCAGTCGGTGGCCCCTCTAATTATCGACCCGGTAACATTAGAGACAACAGTAACAGCTTCGGTCAAGGTCCCCGAAGACGTTTTCCCGACAATCAAGGGTGTGCCAGGGGAGATGGTGAGCTTCAAGTACCAGGTTGAGGTTCTGGTCGATCTGGGTGGAAGGCTCGCGAGCCAGCTTCAGGGCGGTGGTCAATCAAGAGTGGCGCAATTTGCGCCTGGATCTGGCGCTCCAGACAGCAACACTGGGCTGAGTGCCTGGGGTGGCAACGTCATAGACACCGACCGGCTGCGACGCGAAAAGGGTGTGATTTCCGTGGTGTTCGAGGTTATTCTGGGGACAACAGACAGTACGCGTTTGCGAGGGCGCAGCAACACGGTGCGAACGTACCAGCTGCACGAGGAATCACTCAGCAGAGAAGATGTCTCGAGTCCTTGGCCTGTCGACGACATCTACGCTGAGGACGGCGAGGGTAACTGGCCATTGGGGACCCCTCAGAGCACCGGCGCTTTGGGTCGACGACCAACAATCACTATCCAGCCGACAAGTCCGCCAGACGAGGAGGTACAGGCGCCAGCCTACATCCCTCCTCCAGAAGTCACAGACGAGGCCAGATTGACCGATAAGGAGCGAGCACGACGTCAAGAAGAACGGCTTCTGCCTAGTCAGCCGCCTCAGTCTGCGGAAGCTGGCCCGTCTGGGCCATCAGCGCCGCCGGGCCCCAACATATACGATGCGGACGATGAGCCCTCGCCAGAACCGCCGACGCCTCAGGATCAGCACCGCGAGGAAGACCAACCTTCGGCACCGACACTGAATGACCTGTCCACGGCACGTGAAGCGCGAACGGAGGATAAACAGGAACTCGAGCGGCAACGGCTACTGAACGAGGCCAGCTCGCCGCCAGAATTCCCAGACGACTACGATGCCGGGCCAAGCGCGTCAGCGCCTCCGGCGGATGCGGCCGAAGCACCATCAGCGCCAGCACTCACGGACGAAGACGAGTACGGCGAGCAATACAGCTACAGGACAGAAGGCGGTGCTGGACAGCCCAGTCACGCGTCGGGCTCGGAACCCTTGCCGAGGTACGAGCGATGACATATCGGGCGACGGAGAGTAGGCACGAAGGCATGAAAGCATTGGTTGAATAGTGTATAATATGTGTGTGTGAGTGTGTTGAGCATTGTGCGACATCTACAAAGTACTATAGAGACACAAACGTGTGATACGATTGAGAGCGAAAATACAGCAAGCAAGATGATATTGTTCAAAAAAATTCGATATGGACCTTTGAGCACAGGATATGGGATGGCACGCTTGGCATTACGTTGCCATCAACATCACGCCTAGGGGACATCGTGGAAACGGGCCAAGTAAACGCGGTGCGATGACAATCTTGCACCCGCCCTTCCCGGCCGCCATCATTCTTGGCACGACCCCGATCGTCTGGCACCGCTGGGAACGGCGACGGCCCCCCTCCCATCCCCACCGCTAGCCGCGAACCATCTCAAACTCCCGATTTTTGCGATCGAAGGAAATCGAAGATGGTGGGAGGAAGGGGGGAAGGGAGGTTTGGGTTCACGGGATGCTCCACTCCTCGAAAATGCTTGTTCAAAAGGCTTGACAAGACGATCAAACGGCCGCCCGCTTCCTCGACACCACGGATGCCGAGAGATCCCGCGGAACAGGCAGGGTCCAATGAATTTGTTTTCACGGGTTAGTTTCTCAGACCCCTTCAACCCGAAAGATCCTTTTTTAAAAATGAATGGGAATTTGCACCGACTGATGAACTTGCCAACTCATTTCCCGACGTTTAGAGGCCAGAACGGATCTAAAGCTAAGCCACCGCGCAGCAGCTGGACCAACAACCGTCTTAGCGATACCTTGAGGCGAGGGCACTCAAATCATCAGCGCGGATTACGTCTCTGGTGGCTCTGACGACGGGATTGGTTCCCTTTCGCTGAGATGTTGCCCCTTCGGCCTCCCTGGGACAAAAGGCGGCGGGCCAGGGGTCTGTTTAAGGATGGAATGGAAACAATGATGTCGCCAGCAGGAGGAGGAGGACACGACGGGTGGACGGGAGAGTTTGGGCCCAACGTCGAGACAGCCGTCGCCGCAAAGCTTGGCACGCCTTGGCCCGGCCCTGCTCCCCCGTTTACTTTTTCTGGTTCAAGCATTTGGCTAGCCCTGCCATGCGTCCATCACCTCACCCTACCAGAGGTGCTACTGATCTACTTCCTTCTTAATGCCGACGGGAGAGAACTTGTCAGAGGAGGGAGAGGAGAACCCTTATTGCGTCCGGGTGGCGTGCAGACGGGCAGAGAAGGCCGTGTGTCGTTCGAGGCAGGTGATTCTGTCAGATGAGAGTGAAAGGAGGGCAGGCAGGCACACCGTCTAGTTCCCCGGAAACGCGGCAAATTCGATGCTTTTTCCTAGGGTCTGCTTGTGGCTGAGGGAGGTCTGGTCTGGTTTCTCTGAGGCGGTTCACTGGTGGAGGAGACGCGACGATGCTGGAGTCAGAGTGGGTGGTGGATCTGTCTCTCTCGTTCTCGGGAATGTATCAGTACCTCACATTCGAGATGGGCCACCGTCAGCGGATTGCAGGGCCCCAGGTAATCGCCGAGTTTAGTGGGGGGGTCCCGCGCGTCGCGCCTTGTCTCGATTGCTTGGAACTGAAGAATCGTTGTCGACTCCAGGGGAGGATCACGTTCGGGCCGTCGTGTGTCACTTTGGCAAGCCGCTATTACTACGTACATGTCTCACAAAACACCCACGACGTGATGATGTAAAATAGGGGGTGAATCGGGCGTGTGACTTCTTTGATTTGAGTTGGCGATTTTTTTTGGTTGGGACTTTTCGAGGCCACCGGACCTACACGTGGGCGGCAGTCTGGGAGAGTAGAGATCTGGCGAGACATGACGGCGCGGGATGACTGGCGGCCGTCCTAGCCCCCAAAAAAAGCCTACAAGCAAAGGTAGGTGGCTCGCTCTGACGGAATGACCATCGTGATTCCGAGATCAATGCCAGCCAGCGCCCCCGCGGCATATCCCGATGGAATCTACCGCAGTACGCATGGCCCGTTCGGAATCCGGGGGATGATGATGAGATCGTGGGCCAAGAACACCAAGGAGAAAACAAAAAGGCTTGAGCACTCTCGGCTCAGAGAAACGGATTCCGAGTGGACACGGGGGCGGAAAGGACGAGACCCAACTTTGACGTTTGTTTCTTCGCTTCGACGAACTGCGGTGCGCAGTTCGGGCGCAGGCCCAGAAGGCAATAAATTGATAGGACGACGAAAGACTGGCTGGTGACTGGCTGGTTACCTACCCAGCATAGTAGTCGGTCGACGCATCATCACCGCCACCAACATCACCCACCGTATGCGACGCTTCTCAAGCCAACTACGGTAAGGATAGTGTGGCTGCGCAAGTCGCTGCTGCTGCTGCTGACTCCTCACCAACTCGCCAGCATGATGGGTACGGACATACCGCCAGCTCCAGCTCCATTCGGGATTATTCGCGGGTCGCGCACTCTAGTACAAACCGCAGCAGCTACGTGCAATCTATCGCCTCATTAAACATTTGATCGGGAACTCCATGCCGATGTATCCCCGCCCTCCGTCATCGGTCACTTTCCTACGGGAGGCACCGCGTGGAATACCAGTACTACTAGACGCAGTAGCTCAACGAGCCAAATCGTATGCTAACTACGGCATATGATCGAGGCCAAGCCAAGGGTACATGCGGGAACCTACCCGGGGATGCGGAATTCAAAGAGAAAACTGAAGAAGACGGAGTGAAGAAACACACAAGAAAAAAAAAAAGCTTAGGTAGGTAGGTAGGTCTGCTACTTCGGCCCCGCTACGCCTTCGCTCTCCCCGAGAGCCACTCACAGCGGCGCCGCGCTGGGCGTGGGTAAGGGTACAGCGCGGGCGGTCTTGGGTCCCCTCGGAGAGCAGGGGTGCACAGCTTTCCACTGCCTTCTTTTCCAGCCTGGCACTGGCAGGCCCGAAGTACCTGGCACCCCAAGACCTGTCACTTGGGCCACCTGGGGGCCTTTTTATCGACACACGTTCGCCCACTCTTTTTTCCTCTGTTCTCCAAGTCTCAGCATTCCATCCTTTCTTAATCTCATACATCACCCACCATACCAAGCGTTAAAAGCTTTTACTTGAAGTTCTTATATTCTTTTTGAGTCAATCGCATTCTTGTCTCTAGCGAAGAAAAACCACATCGTTCAAGTCCCAAAAAGTTCAACAAGATAAAGATGGCCAGCAACGACTACTACAACCAGCAGCACGGCGGCGGCTACGGTCCCGGCGGCGGATACCCCCAGCAACCCCAACCTGTAAGCTCCCTCACACCCGTCCATGACCTCAGCCGAGAATCGCGATGCCGTCCAGCGCAAATGCGCCGAATGCGCGCCCGCGCTGGCGAGATTCGCTGTCACACCAGGGGACATTCCGACTAACACGAAATCAACAGGCATACGGCCCTCCCCAAGGCTACCAGCAGCAGGGCGGATACTACCCCCAAGGCGGCCAGCCCCCGATGCAGTACCAGCAGCAGCCCCCTCAACAGGCGCCCAGAAAGCAGGGCGGCGGAAACTGCCTGACGGCCTGTCTCGCCGCGCTATGCTGTTGTTGCGTCATCGACGAGACGTGTGAATGTTGTGCAGAATGGTAAGGACCACCCACACACAAAGTTCGTCTATCAGCGAGCAGTCATACTAATAATTCCGATCAGTTGCGAATGCTGCTTCGATATCTGTTAAAGAAGAAAAGACACGAATGAGAAATGAGGGGGCGGGGGGAAACGGACGCCAAAACACCTGACGTTCGACGCTGTCCGGAAAGCGGGGACCGAACGAAATCAAACTGTAATGCGCCCGCGACGCTTCAAAACGCAAGCACCGGCATGCTTTGGCAAACGAGCGAACCGACGATTTCCCACGGCTATCACGGCGCACAGAAATTGAAGCCTCCTTGAGTCTGAGAGGACGAAGTTATCATGAGATGGGACGGAAGGACGAATGATGGGTGGGGTGGTCGGACGGAACGGCGGGTAAACAAGGCTTTATTTCACGATGGGTTTATGCCAACCCTCGGTTCTTTTCTTTCCTACTATCACGAGGCGTTTTGGGTATAACGAGGCTTTTGCCGAGGCGCAATTACTTTTTGCGTAATTTGATATTTGCAGTATTTTTGACTACAAGACATAAGTACCTGTGTGAAGAAGCGTTGTGAAGGTGGAAATGACCTCATAACGCCGTTGAGGTGACGATCGATGTATTAGAGGCACGTCTAAAAGACGCGCCTTCTTGGCAAATGCTTTCCTGCGGCTCTGCACCAATATTTCTCCTGATGCAGCAACATGAATAACTTCAACTTCGAGTTTTACATATTCACATAACACCACTAAAAAAATTGAAAGAGAAGTATCGCGATTCGACCAATTTTTGTATTCCCACCAAACGCTTTGAGCCCTCTGTAACTTCACAATGTAAACAGTTTAGGGATTCAAAGCAAAACTAATCGCTGGCCGTCATAAAGACTTTTCTATCTGTTGTCGTCAAACCCTTCTTAGTTGTCCAACTGGACGTAGTTGGCAGGGAATAGACCCTGCTTTCCGCCATAGCTGCCGAACCACCAGTCCTCGTCGGGGAATTCGAGGTCCGTGATGGTAGCGTTCTCGGGGAATGAGAGCTCTGGCCAGATAGTCAGCATATGTTTTCTTGGGTATTCTGAGCAGGGGTCTTACCGTTATCCTCAGCGGCCTCGTAGTCGAATTGGGCCGTGGCTGTCCGGCCACCACCGGCCGCCGGCGCCGGCTCCGGTTCCGCTTGAGCCGGCGCGGGAGGGGGTGCAGCTCGCGCCGCGGGTGCTGGCTCGGGCTCGGGCTCGTCGTCGACAAGCTCTACGTAGTTGCTGGGGAAGAGTCCGCTCTCGCCGCGAGAGTTGGTGCCCATCCACCAGTCCTCGTCAACCATCTCGATGTTGGTGACATACTCGCCCTCTACAAGCTCGAGCTCGTTGTCCTCGGCCTTCTCGTAATCGTATTGAATCAAAGCACGGTGGCCGCCGCTTTGTGCTTGACCTGCGGCAACCTGCTCCTGGCCAAACTCCTGCTGGGCAACAGCTGCCGCGGCGCCACGACCGAGGTCTTGCGTCTCTTCCTGAAGATCTTCCTCTCTCGGGAGCTCCTGCTCGATCTGCTGCGTGGGAATAGGCCTGGGGGGGTCTCTCTCGACAGGCGCTTCGAACTCCACCTCTTCTCCACGGGCCACGGGTTGAGCGACGCGAATTGGCGAGTCGGGCTCCTCCTCCTCTTCCTCCTCCGGTGCAGGCCGAGGGGGCATACCGGGAAGAGCAAATCCGCCGGCGGGAGGGGGACGGCTGTCGGCTGACGGGGGAGGAGGGGCTTCCTCCTCTTCCTCGTCGTCGCGAGAAGCGTAAGCGGCAGCGGCGGCACCAGCTCCAGCAACACCAGCAGCACCGACAGCGATGGGAGCTGCACCCTTGAAGCGGTCACGAAGAGCACCGACACCGCCGCTGGGAGAAGTGGGCGCTTCGCGTTCCTCGCCGGTGTTTTCTTGGCTGATCTTGCCAGGGATGCCACGGCCGTACTCGCCAGTCTGAACGGTAGCCCAGGACTTGCCAGCGTAGCCACTCTTCCACTCTCCGCTCTTTTGCACGCCGATGGGGGAGGTGACCGGGGGCGACACGACGTTCGAAACCGAGCCTCCTTGCTTGCCCTTCTTCTCAGCCCACAACTGGGCAGGAGTCTTGCCGCCCTGGTCGGCGAACGTTCGGCTGGCAGCACCGACGGGAGCAGCAGCTGGAGCGGCGGGCGCACCGAATCCAAGACCACCAGGGGCGGGGGCCTTGGTGCCGGTGAAGGTTGATCCACCGAACTTGTTAGCGACCTTGGGTTTGGGGAGAGATGTCAGGCGTTCTGACTGAGGCTGGTTGAAGGCAGCACTGCGCTCGGCCAAAGACCTGGGGCGTTCGTCCTGTTCCGCGGCGGGTTCCGGCTCAGAAGGCTTTTGTGCCTTGGCACGAATGGCCGCGATATCAACCTTGCCAATAGGTTCATACGCACCCTTCACCGGGGCCGGCCTGTCATCGTTCTTCTCCTTCGCGGCCGCACGGATAGCAGCAATATCCACCTTACCAATTGGTTGATACCCGCCCTTCACAACATCGGCTTGGTCTTGTTGAGAGTTGTTTCCGTTGAAGCCGCTGGCCGGCTCTTGTCGTTGCTTCGTGAGCTCCGCCATGTTAACCTTGGTAGGCTTGTATGCAGGCGCGACCTTCTCCAGCTGAGACCTGGTCACCGGCGGGGCGTCAGCACCCCAGCCATCCTCGTCAACGTTCGCGGGCTTGCGGTTTCGGGCGGCCACGATTGGGTTGACGGATCCGACCGATGATGTGGTGGGAGTGAAGACGGGCTTGGAAGCAACTGGCGGTGGGGCGGGGGAAGCCGTGGAGCCGCCTGCTGAGTACTTGGCACCGGAGGCATCGGCAATCTTGCGCATGACGCTCTCGGGCTCGAGATCGCTGTCTGAACGAGCGGTGATCTGGACGTGGTAGCCGTGGAGGATCTTGGAAACGGCAGCAGTGTGCGTGGTGAAGTAGCCCTTGGTCCGCTCGGGGACACCGCCTCCACACCACGCAATCAGGGCGTTCTTGGGGAGACCAGAATTAGGGTCCTTGACCTTGACAAAGGCGAATTGGATGCGACCCTCGTTAAAGTCTTCGATCAGATCCGAGAGCTCGCCATCTGTTGCGCAAAAAGAACACCTGTCAGCCTATGTCCCGCCAAGCGACGTCGGAAGCTCGGGAGGGGGTCGGAAACCTACCTCCAGTACTTTGGACCTTGAGAACGCTCTCCTTAGCCCCAGTATCTTGGAAAGCGTTGGCCAGAGGAGCTTGAACCGAGAACAGAGCCCATTGAGCATATGTCGGTGAGCTCGAGCTCGGGGGCGGGCCGTTGATGACTCCCTGGTAGCTACTCTTGATCGAGGGTCCGTTTGTGGACAGGTTGAGTGACGCCATTGCGAGTTTGGGCTGCGAGCTTAACCAGCGGCGGTTTGGGTCGAGGACGTCGAGAACTGGGTGAAATTGGGGGGAAATGAACAAAAAGGAGGGGAGACGGAAGATGGCAGGTTGTAAAGATGTCCGTCGGAAAGTCGCCTGTGTCTTACGGGCAAGAAGCTGACGTAGCAAACCAACCGCCTGTATTGCAGAGTCGTGGACAGCCGAAGGTTGGAGAGGCGCAGCACAGGTGGAACTAGAACTTGGAGGTGAAGCACGGTCCCACTGACTTCAATACGCGGGCAACGAGTTACGCAGTTGTTCGACTTGCCAAGTGTCGAAGCGGGGCAGGAAACACGCCTGAGAGAGGCTGACAACCCGTAGGGCAGCTTTAGGCAGAGGGGTACAGTGGGTTCAGGTACGAACACAGGCGGAGAGGCACAGCATCTTAGGTACGAATACAGGTAGAACTGCCCACGTTGAGTATCCGCTTGCCAACGAGCTTCTTGCCGTTCTCGCTCTCCCGAGGACGACCCCTCAGTTATGCAACTAAGTAGCATGAAGTGCCCGCAAGTCTGTTGAAGTTAGTCAGCATCTCAGCTAGGTCATATCTTCTTCTTACTAGATCTTTTGATGGCTTATTGAGATATTTCCACCCAATGAGATTCCTGCCGTTGTCGCTCTCTATGTGAGCCTCTGCTGTGCTGAAGTTAAATTCCACTTAGTATGCAATTATACACCATAAATCTTGCGCCAAATGACGCAACAGCATAGTTACCTCAATACAAGCATGTTTTCACCCGTGTAAGCCGTCTTTTACCGGCGGAAATTCGCATATCCATCAGAATTCGCAACCACCCAAAAATCTCGCTCACGAATTGCCCCTCCAAATACCCCTCCACGTATCGGAGACCCGTGGTTTATCAGCCGTTGGCTCATCCATTTCGTGATCCCGCGCCCAGCCGAACCTCTTCCGTACTTCGGAAACCATTTCTCACTCTCAACCTCCCCCACGCGACCCATCCCGCGACCTCCCCATCCCGATTGCGCTCCTCGAAAGCCCGACTCCAGCAGACCCCCTACAGATTCGCGATCCACGGAAACCCCCGAAAAAGAAAAGCAACAATGTCGACGATCACCGAGATCACCAGTCTCCCCGACTGGGAGAAGCACATCGCCTCCACGCCGCCCTCCACCCTCCACATCATCTCCTTCCACGCCCCCTGGGCCGCCCCCTGCGCGCAGATGGCCACCGTCCTCTCGACCCTCGCCTCAGAATACCCCGTCACCAGCCCGCCAGAGACCTCCTGGGTGTCCGTCAACGCCGAGGAGCTCAGCGAGATCAGCGAGACCTACAACGTCACCGCCGTGCCCTTCCTCGTCCTCCTGCGCAACGGCCAGGTCCTCGAGACCGTCAGCGGCAGCAGCGCCGTCAAAGTGCGCAACGCGATCGAGACACACGCCAAGAAGCCCTCCGCCGGCGCCGGCGGCGCGGCGGCCGTCAACGGCAACACCGGTGTCGAGAATGGGCCCAGCGCGATGCAGGTCGACGAGGCTGTGGACCCGGCCAAGGCCAAGGAGGAGCTGTTCAAGAGGCTGGCAGACCTCGTCAAGGCGGCGCCGGTGATGCTCTTCATGAAGGGCACGCCGAGCTCGCCCCAGTGCGGCTTCTCCAGGCAGCTCGTCGCGATCCTGCGTGAGCACTCCGTCAAGTACGGCTTCTTCAACATCCTGGCGGACGACGAGGTACGACAGGGACTGAAGGAGTTCGCGGACTGGCCTACCTACCCCCAGCTTTGGATGGACGGTGAGCTGGTCGGCGGGTTGGATATTGTAAGTGCACTGCGGCTTGCTCGTCATAATGCGCAAAAGCTTACATCTCAATTACAGGTCAAGGAAGAGATTGCCAACAGCCCCGACTTCTTGGGCCCTTACAGCATCAAGAGTAACGAGACTGCCGCATAGATGGACGAGGATACATCAGTTTATGCAAACAAGCAGCACTCATCACAGCATTCCGGCGTTATCCATGGACTCGTTGGTTGTCAACATACCCAGTTACACTCGCGTTGCGCCCTCGTTGGTTCTATTGCCACCGATTGCTTAGTCTCCCCTTCAAGCGCCGTCCAGCTTTTGGTAACCCTATCAAATGCGACTATCATGAACGACAACAGTCCTCAGTCGCCTCTCCAGTGTCAGTAAGTCTGTCTTGTTGCAGGCAAAAAAGCACAGGCCAAGAGATGCATTTCACTTGCCAGTTATTCATGATTATGGATGTTGGAAGGGAGTAGATGCTCGGTGATTCTGGACGGCAGGGCACAAGAATGGCACCATGATGAGAGATAAAAATCAGGGAAGTTTCCACCTGAGCAATGCGGATTAGTTACGAGTATAATGAAAATTTATTGAAGCTATCTGTGTTCGCATGGGAGTGACCCTGCAACGCTGTCCACAACGCTTTCGCTGAGCGGTCAATTCGGGTCGTTGTCCAAATCGTCATCCCCGTAGCTCCAAGGAGCCAACGAGGTCAATATAGGCCGTCTATATCGTCGTCACCGTCATTCGAAGGAGGCAACGAGTCCTGAACACCTGTGGTAGAACCCGGAGCCTTACTCAAGCTGTCATCACTATTGAGGCCCGGGTCCTCTTCGACGTCCAAGTCCCCTTCGGCGTCCAAGTCTCCTTCGGCGCCCGGGTTCCCTTCGATGTCCAAGTCCCCTTCGGCGTCCAGGTCCTCATCGGAGTCCAGGTCCTCATCGGAGTCCAGGTCCTCATCGGAGTCATCGTACCCTCCCGCTTCCGCTTCGCGTTTGAGAGTTTGCACCGTTTGCAGGCCGTACTACCGCCAGTGTTCCAGGACTGGCTCCAGAAGACTGATGTCTCGAGTCGCATCGTGTATGAGAAATCCAACGTTGGGCCACGGAGCCTTTGGTCTGTTGTCCTTAGTACCATATACATTACTACCAGCGGCACGTCATTAGTTTGCATTTTCCCGTAGCAGTGCGAGGGAAGGCGAATCGAGACCTACCTTGAAAGATAGTGCAACACTCGAGGGTATAGGGCCTCTCGAACGACCTCCATTTCCATGGTTTTGATGAACGCAACGATCACCAATTCGTCGGTCCGATTCCCCTTCTTCTTCTTCTTTTGTACCCGGCAAACAGTCAGGTGAAGCAGGTTGTTGCCCTCAGTTAGAGTTGGGTTGATCAGGCGTGTAATGGCCTGTTTTGGCGTTTCTCCCCATCGAGGCGCGGGAAGAAGGAATTTGTCGCAGAATTCGTGCTTGGGTTTATGATTACGGGCGTCGTCCATTGTGTAACCTTGAATCCCCCATGGTCGGCCATTCCTCGCCTCTGTCTTTCGGAACTTTGTCATGCGGGAATTGCTGAAGCTAGCACCGTATCCCGTGTAAATGACAGGGAAAAGGTCCGGATTCATGTTGGGTAATTCGGAGGCGGAATAAACTGCGGAGGGCGATGACGGCAGAACTGGTGGCGAGGCCATGGTGGGGAATATTGATGGAGGGGACGATTATGGATGATACTGAGCGGGAGTACGATGATGGAGGATACTGATCTGGAGTATGATGATGAAAAGATGTTAGAGAGATCAGGCTTTACGAATGGGAAGAAGTTTGCAGGCGTCGTACACACGGGGTTCGACAATGTCGATTCAGGGTTCAAGAACAATCTGTGAGGACGGAAAGAGCGCTGCCCATCACAGGACAGCAGGTCCCGTCAACAGCATGGCATGGAAAGACCTGCCGTCATCCCTGCAACGAACGTATCTAAAGAGAAGGTGAAGACTCAAAGACGGAAGTCTCAATCTTAGATATCATGTCGGCGTTGGACCTGCTCTTGTCGACCACAAAGGAAAAAAAAACGCGCGGAATGACATGCATGATCACCCTTCCAGCTATAGAAGCAGAAGAAACGAGCAATCTTTCGACTTAGGACCGATATTTGACGCTGTTTTGTCCTGCAGCAAGGCCTACCTTGAGAAACAACCGAAAGATAGCGGGAAACATGCACAAACAAATAGGCGTCATGATATAGTTTGGCAGCCGGAATCATCGTTGCTGATGCCAATAGATGACTTCGTCACTTGCCCTTTTGGATGTCATGTTCACGGAAAGATGTCCTCGACGCAAAACAAGACCCTCGAAATGTTGCAGTAGTGGTTCAATTTCCATGTTTTCCGGGCCTTCATTGCCAAGAAGCCCTTGATTCGTACACAACGAGTAATACGACCTCTCTGACCAGTCCCAATACGCTATTTCTAATTGCTTCTCGCTGTAAAGACACCATAAGCTTATACGAAACCCCAAACTCCATCATGTCCGTGTCGTCCATCGTGACCTAGGTCCCTCAGTGCGGCTTCTCCTCGATCGAGAGTATCACGAAACACCTGATCTTGAGCTTATTATGCTGCAGGTGCAGAGCCTTGAGCGGAAGTTGGTGGTTCATTGCCAGTACTGAGTCGATGAAAGGTCTTAATAAGGTCCGGAGAACCAGTCAAGGATGAATGCGAAGATTCTCCCATTTGACCGTTGGGTTCCTGAACACGACCTATAAGTTGCGGATCAGACAATTGACGGAAATTTGTGTGCTCTTGAAGTGCAGTAGTTTGTTGATCAATCTCATCAGTCGATTTGGGCAACTGAGCTTCTTGGGTGGCAACTGGGGAATCCTGAGCGGAAGAGCCAGTTTCCTGAGAAGTAGCCTGCTGTTGATCCGCAGATTGTTGAAGGAATGCCTGCATAGCATCTGCTGCCTGGCGGTTTTCTTTCAACGGGAGCTTGGGGAATCTCCGGGCAAAGAATTGTTGTATGGATGCCCGATGATCTGGTAGCTGACCATTAGGTCCCAACGGTAAATAGAAGAATCGTCGAGAAGGTTTCTGTTCAAGAGCTGTGAATCAATTTTGGATTCATAACAGACGACGTGGCCTCGGAGTTGGTTGACAAATACCTGCTGGTCATGCTCCTGAACAAGAGTTGCATCCGGCTGAGATGGAGTATCGTTCACCAAACTAGAATGCTGGGGCGATTCGGGGAAGGCGAAGACGACATCCTCCGCGTCGGTGAGATCCTAGCACATGTAAACACCGATAGCAGTCTGTCCGGCACTGAGGTATTCCGAAATAACAATTAGCAGAGTGCTTCTCTTTGTCTTGTCTTGCTTTCCAGAGGAGAGGAGGTGTAGGATGGGAAACAGGAAAAGCAATGTAGATTACTGTGAAAAATGACGACGAAAAGCACGCACCTTTCCAAGATTTCAAGTATACGAGGATACACCTGACGTCGAAGGGTTTTGATACGTAAATGGGCGACATCCGACTTGCCATCTCTGTATAAATCGTCGTCGCTGGGAGGTCGTACCTTGATATGGACAATGGTATCAACTTTGAGAGGATCAGCGAACCGGGAGTTTGTGGCATTTGTCCGGATTAGCCTGGCCTATTGGCACATCTTGACTTTTGTCGCCCACTTTAACGGGACGTGGCGGACGACTACCCCCTTGATCACCTCGCCCATAGTCTGAGATTGATTCCACGGGAGCGGGGCATCCCAGAGATGCGGGAGAAACTGGGCACCACTTGTCATTCCGTAGTCGGGATGGTCAAGAAGCGCCATGTCGTCGGTGAAACACCAGGTCGCAGTAGGTTGGTAGGATGGACTGAATCCGCCCCCGTATTCGGTAGCGCGAATATTGAGTTGATTTTCCGCATCATTATAAGTGTACGGGATTGTCCTGAACATCTTGACGCGTGCGTCGAACCAAGAAATCGGGGACGACACGATTGATTTGCTCTCCGAATTGAGGATATTTGGTATAAAACCGATACTGGTTTGAATGAAGTTGTATGCAGAGAGGATGACGGAGAAGATGGCACTGGAAAATATGTTTTCTCAACTTGTAACGGATCCCACACGCCATATAGAGACCAAAACCGTTGCGTACTTGCCTCCAATGCTTTGGAAGATGCTAATTTGGTGCTGTTGCTTCCAAAGCGAGAAAGACCTCAAGAAACAAGAAGCTACGCCCCGGCAAGACCTCACGAATGGAAGGAGAAGGGGGAATGAGAAGGGACTGTCACGGCAAAGAAAGAAGCAGTATATGGGATTCCATGCTCTTTTAACTTAGGAACCTAAACCTGCCAATCTTACTCGTCTCACTCGAGAAGCCGCATCTCCTTTTCTGTCCTTCCTCGTCACCGGTAGAGGCAGCAGGGGCCTGAAGATCCGAAAACCAAATAGACACCAACCTTCGTAGCTCCAGCACTATTCACAAATGAAAAGTCAGCAAACTTCGTGGTTCAGGAAGTCACCAGTTATTCAACAACTTACCTGGCAAGTACTTCAAGAACAGCCGGGTACAAGACCGATCGAAGCCACTTGATCTCGGTGTAGGGTTCAACGGTCTCCGTCCGGTGCACGGCGACATAGACCACCTCGTCTCCCGGATCTCCTCGGGCGCCGACGTCGATCATCTGAAAGCCCGTGACCACGCTCCACTTGATCTTCCGCTCGTCGATCTTCTCCATGATCATGTCGCCGAGCGTCTTCTGCCCGGGGATGATAGCTTTGTCCCAGATGTCGGCGAGCGCACGGCTGACAGGGGCGGCACGGAAGTTGTGGCAATCTATGACCACGTCTTCATACTTGCTGGCGCTGGGTGTCTTCGGCTCGTAGGTTGCGGCGTTGAAGCCTGCCCCGTAGGTGGTGTACCTGATACTGATGGACGGTGTTACTTGAGCCATGCTTGAATGATTATGATGCTTTTGAGAAGAGGGTGAACTTCACCTTCTGTGGCGTGTGATGCTTGAAGGATTCCCGACGGCCAAGGTGGATTAGTAGGTTCGCTATACAGGTGCTTTTTGACCGCTTAAGTTTTTGAGGTGCGTATGAGTTGGGAAGGCACAGTCTGTAGTTCAGCATAATAGGCAGAAGGCAGCCAGTGAGTACCTGCGTTATCAGCACATCAGCAAACAAGTCACCACCGAGGCTTGCATCACACGTAGACATGGAGAAGTTAGCTGGCATTATGGGAGATTGATTTGATGATTATGGGAAGGAGCTTTGCTCATTGAGGCAGCCCGAGTCACTCCACAGAGATAAACGGGTGTCCAAATGGAGACAGCTAGAGACAAGAACAATAACGGCAGACAATAAGCCCGGTAATCTGGGGTTGGAGGGTTTTGAGTTACTAAGACGACGAAGTCATCAGAGCTTGAAATTGAAGCACGATGCTGGCCCGCTGTTGAATACCCTTTTTAATACATTTTACTTCGTGTTGCTAACCATTTGGGGCCAGTATCTTACAATTATGGACAAGGAAAACCCCTAGTATGTGCCGTTTCTCGCCTTGCTCCTCCATCCCATTATCATGTTATCGTTCCTCTCCTTTGGTCGCCTAGAGGCTAAATGCGATGGTCAAAGCCGCAGCAGTGCCGATGAGAGCTGCGAAGTAACCGTTGTGTGTCTCCCTACTTCCTCCAGATGTTGTGAGGACCGAGGCAGGGGTCGTTGCGAAGACCAAGCCAGTTGTCGGGGCAGCGACGCCAGCCTGAGCCTGAATGTTGCTGGCGAGAACCATAGAAGTCATCAGCGAAGATGGGAGCGAGACTATGGCACCAAGACGAGGAACCGTCGTTGGTTCGGCGGGCTCATTCAGCTGTGGGACAGCAGTTGGCTGGATGTTCGAACCAGAAGACTGGGAGGCTCCTGTCGAAGAAGCTCCCGCGGTGCCTCCAGCCCGGTTGGCTTCAGTGCTGCTTGCTGATGCCGAAGTCTTTTCACCAGTTTTCGTGTCAGCACCGCTGCTCGTGGCAGGAGTTTGCTCCGGCGCGGCCGGGCTGGAGGGCTTCGCTACGGATGATTGAGGCGCACCAGACTGGACTGGATTGAGAGGCGGCGTAATCGCTGGCGGAGAGACTCCAGTGGGCAAAGCTGCGGACGTCTCCGCCGGAGGAGCGGCTTCCGGAGCTTTCGAAGCGCCAGCATCGGCCGAAGGAGTGGCCGCCGGGGGAGCGGCTTCTGGGGTTGTCGGAGCACCGGCATCGGCTGAGGGAGTGGCTTCGATCGGGACGGGAACAACAGCAGCGGGCTCGGTGACGGGAACTGCTGGCAATTCGGCTGGAGTGCTGGTGTTCGCCGGAGCAACAAGAACTGGTGGTTGAGTAGCAGCAGGCGCCTCGGCAGGGGCGGTGGTGTTCCCGGGAACAAGAACGGCCGGCTGAGTGGCGGACACGGCTGGCGCTTCGGCGGGCGTGCTGGTGTTCTTGGGTGGGATGAGAACTGGAGGAAGAGATACGGTGGGAACGGCTGTGGGCACGATGGAGACGCGGCTTTCTTCAGCAGGGGCGGTCTGAGCAGGAGCCTCCTTGCTAGCGGGAGCGGTTTGGTTGTTGATAGGAGCAGGCGACTTGGTTGAGGGATCAATAGTCGAATAAATGGGTGAAGGCGCAGCCTGTGTACCATTGTTGGCAGGCTGAGTAGCAGGCGGTTTCTCCGGCGCAGCAGATGTCGCAGGAGCGGACGGAGCAGGATTGCCCGCACCAGGGTCGATAGTCGAGTAGATGGGCGAAGGCGCAGCCTGGGTCCCGTTGTTGGCGGGCTGAGTAACTGGTGGTTGCTCCGGAGCAGCTGAGGTCGCGGGTGCTGAGGGGGCAGGATTGCCTGCTCCGGGATCGATAGTTGAGAAAATGGGTGACGGTTCCGCCTGAGTGCCGTTACCAGCACGCTCGCCGGTGGCAGGCTGCTCCGGCGCAGCGGAAGCGGTTGGGGCAGCAGTGGCATCAGCATTGTCACCACCACCATTGCCCTTTCCCCCTCTGCCCTTACCCTTGCCTTTGCGCCGGCCGCCGGTAGCAGGAGTGGTTTCCGCAGGAGCAGTCTCGGCGGGGGCAGATTCGGCAGGAGTGGCGTCAGCAGCAGTCGTCGCGGGAATTGTGCCGTTGGCGGGAGCAGCCTTGGCAGGTACGGCTTCAACGACGAGCCCGGCAGGAGTGGCATCGGGAGGCAGAGGGCCAGAGTAGATCGTCTTCGGAGGAGCCGGCGGCTTGGTGAGAACCTGGACTTCGGCGCCGACATACGTCTGAACGACGGGCTGCTCGGTGAGTTGGTTGATCTTGAATGCTTGGGACATGACGGTAGTCTGAGCGGAATCGGTGATGACCATCATGAAACTGTCAAAGGCCGCGATGGAGGCGTCAGGCGCCCAGTACAATCGGCCGACATTCTGGATTTGCTCTGCCAAAGCCGTTAGTAAAATCCCTCCCATGATCCGTTGCGACGGCCGTACCTCCAATCCTCTCCGCGACAACTGAACCATCCGTCACGCCATTGGGTACCAGATCGATGTTGATAGGTCCCTGTAAGCCCGCCGTCTGCCATTCAATCTGGAACTTTTCGCCAATGTTGAAATAATCTCCTGCCAAGGGCTTCGTGAACTGGGCTTCGGCGAAAGCTATGCTTAGCAGCAGAGCCAAGGACTTCGTGTAACGCATCTCGTCGGATATTTTTAGTCGATAGAAAAGTCGTACCGGGTTGGCTAGTCGTCAAAGGGCTCCGAGAAGAAGAATTAGAAGAGAAAAAAACGGCCTACTAGGGCTCGGGTATCGTGGTCGAAACGGAAACGAACGTAACGAAGGGATTGCTTAAGAAAAGCTGGCCTGCAGACGGTGTCTAGAGAAGCGAAAACATCAACCAACGATCAAAAAAGATCGTCAGTTAGAAAAGAAGACGAACAAGTAATGAATGAGAAGTGAACAAGGATGGATGGAAAAACCAGACGAAAGGGAGCAAGAAGAGCCTTCACAAGAGGCTCGAACTCTGGGTCGGTGGCTTTGATATGGATCTCGCGTGTAAGTCGACGCTACCACCCCAGACAGGGGGTTGACGGAGAGAGCCCCCGAACGTCATCTCAAGCCTCAAGGTTAAGAGCCAAAAGGCTCGGCAGGGGTGCTGGGGGCGTCTCATCGGCCGACACACGCTACTCTGTACGAGTCTTCGGAGCGGCGGACGAAGTCGCACGATAGGCTGGGTGAATGGGTCGGGGGGCCTCGATGTGATGGGGGCATTGAGTGCATTGAGAAACATTTCTCTCCGAAGGTGGGCCTAGCCACCCGGAGGCACCCAAGGCGGCGATGGAGGATTGCGAAACCACGGCACCATTCATCGCGATGGGGCGGGTCGTGGGAGTGGTGCGGAGGGAGGGGAATCTCATAAGACGCGAAGCCTGGTTTCGCGATCCCGGCCTGCTGCATCGCTTGGCCGCGATCCAGCTCGGCGCGTCGTCACTAGCCGCTTGTGTAGTGGGAGAAGCCGCACTGCGCAACGTTGCGGCCCGAGATCTCCTCCACGTCTGATTTTCTTTACGAGAAGCACTGCTTGCTCGTAGCTTCTTGATTCTCATCGTAGACTCGCATTTAAGCTTGAGGTCTTGCAGGGGAATGCAGGCAAACTCGTGCAGTCCGTTTCTTCGTCCAATGCTCGTTTGATGACCAGACGGGATTCGAGAAAGTCTCGATGCGTCAAGGAGGTTGAAGTCGGGATGACAGGGGCTAGTGCAAAGCGGCGGCTGAGACGTCGTCCTTGAGCAGATCAAACTTAAACCTCCCGGCCGGAACCAGGTGGACGAGTGGAGCCACGTTAAGGGACTGCACTGGTGACCCAGCCAACTCGCTAACATTGCGCACTGACCATTCCCCTGTCAACGCAAGCCGAGTGTTCTGGGGATGAACCTCCCTGTATCACCATTTTCTCCGTGTTTGACGTTCCAGTGTCATCGACTGTGAACTCGATGGCGTTGATCGTCCTCAGCCATAACATGGTAGGCAGTCGCTCTAGGCCACACTGACAGCTCAGCCAAATCCTTACGTGGCAGTAGTCCCATCCCTCTGTGATTTGAATAAGCAGCCTAATACCCACCGAGTTGAGATGCCTGGGAGCTTGTGGAATTGCAATCAACGCAAGGCGTATTTAAGCTTATGAAATTAAATTGCTTGCTGGGCATCTTGCTATGCTAACCTTATGTGGTTGGGTTCAGACGGAAATCTGTGTCGCGGTGGATCGACTTGGGAAACGCACCCCAGGAACTTGTACCCCTGACCTTAAGTGACCCTTAGCGACTGTCGTCTTCGGCATTCTCGCATTGCCACCACCAGTATTCCTCTCGTCTGCAGTTGAAGCGTACCTTCTTCGACAATATCATATAGGTAATCCATACACCAAGCCACGAGGATCCGTCATCATGGTTATTTGTAAACAGACTCAAGTGAAGTGCCTCTAGGCAGCAAAACTCATATCATTCTCCAGTCGCCTATTCGTGTTATCCCGTACAAACCCCCAGCCTTCACCGTAAAAACCCAGCAAGGATCAGCTCTGAGAGAGCCTCTCTGTCCTAACAACTCGTCGTCTTACATTTACATAGTTCTATGCCGACCAATCAAACCAATTGTCTGGGTGCCCCTAAGCTCCCTCCGATTGGTTTCCGGGCGTATTTGTGTTAGAAATGCCGTGGAAAGCGTCACCAAACGCAGAATCGTCCATCTCCGCGTTCATGTCCAATCCGTCACCCAAGGATGCTCCGTAGCTAGCCATTGCGTCACCGGCAGAGTCAAGGTCAGGCAGAGAGCTGAAGCCACCGGGAGTTTCTCCTGCAGGTGTTCCAGCAGCAGAGGGGGCCTTGGGAGTCGGCTTGGGAGCCTCGGCCTCAGCCATGGTGTTGTTGGCAGCCGCAGCAGCTGGGTCAGGTGACACGCCCCCCTTGGGCACGACCACCCAATCACCGCTGCCCGTTCCCTGGTCAGGTGCGGTGGGAGCGTCCTTTGGCGGTTCAGTGTTGCCCATCGTGACATCCTCTCCGGCGCCTGAGGCAGCCTGGGCTTCAGGCTCCTCAGGAATCGTCGGTGGAACCGGTGCCGGCGAAGCCGTGTTCGCGTTGGCGGGGGTGCCGGCTGTCGAGTTGAGCGCGGACATGTGAGTCTGCGGTGTGGGAAAGTTGTTTACAGGTGTTGAAGTAGCAGAGAAACCGGTGTGCATCTGATCAAGAAGACCCGCGGCGGTACCGCCCATGTCGATGTCAGAATCGCCAACCATGACGCCACTATGTTGGGAACCAGCCTGAGATGGTCTCCGCGATGCATCACCGCTTGGCTCAGCGCCAGTTGCAGCGGCCGGAGGGGAGACTACAGGTGCTGGTATAGGTGTCGGTTCTTTCACAGGCTCCGGTGCTGGCTCCTGAAAGCCTCCATCCTGTATGCGATGAACGTTGTGAAGGACCTCAATATGGCGGCCAAGGTTTGCCTCAACCTGAGCCACGATATCGTCCACCTTCTTGTTGTGCTTTTGCGGCCACGCGCCTGCGTTATCGTCCGAATCTGTGGAATGGCCTTCAAGACGCCAAAGCTCAGGACCCCGCTCCTGAATGGAGTTCTTGACTTCTTTCTCGGCATCGACGTATACAGAGCTGGCCTTGAGGCTGGCAAGATTCTTGGCGTGCTCTGCCTTCATCTTTTCCATCTCTGCCTTGGTCGATTCCAGATGCTCCTGCACTCTCTTCCTGAACTCGTCCGCGAGACCAGGCTCGAGGCGACCAATGTACGGCTTCTGAGGTACTTCAGTGAGCGCATTAGCACCTTGAGCAGTAAAGATGCCGTCGGTAAGAGACGCAAGTTCTCCTCTGAGTCCGAGTCCAAGATCGGGAGGCGCAATCTGGGCCAAGCCGTATGGAGAGGACACGATTTCTTCCATCCACTCGTGGTTCTGCTGGTAACGCGCAAAAGAGATGTCTCTCGGGGTGAGATGATCAAAAAGATCCTTCTCCAGCTCCTCATCATCGTGCATGGCCTCAGCGTGAGCCATTGCTTGCTGTTGTGCTTGCGCCTGAGCCTGGGCTTGAGCTTGAGCCTGTGTCTGGCGACCCCGACGACCCTGGGGGCCGGCCGGGGGATAGGCCATTTGTTGAGGAACGCGCCTTGACTGGGCCGGAGGGTTGTACATCTGAGGTCGCCCACCGTTGCGCGGAAACTGGATGTTCGGCCAACTGGCGCGATCAGAAAGCATGAAGTCCTTGCGAGCAATCTGGCCGCACTTCTGGAGATGGTTGCGGGTAGCCATAATGTGCTGCGTATCTTGAGAAACGGGAATCAGATTGACTGGGACGCGGTCAGGAGGGTCCGACGGGCCGTAGTGGACAATCCAGAGGCTGATGTCCGGCTGCGGCGCGTTCATCACGCCGGTCTGTGAAGGCACAAGACGGAATCTTCGTCGAGCGTGCATGGCGACTTGCTCGCCGGGGATGAAACCCGATTTGATGTAGTGAATCTCGAGAGACTGTCTCTTTTGTCAGCTGGGGGGGCATGACTGGCAGAACTACATGATGCATACCAGTCCATTGCCAACATCCTGGCGGTGGTATTGTTCAGGGCCCCAGACCATGCCATCGCTGGCAAAGTTTGTTCCTAGCCTCTTAAGAGGTTGCCATGTGAGGTAGATCTGGCCGTCGCGGGGTCGGTCGAGGTAAGTCCAGAAGAATGGGGCCTTGTCTTTCGCAACTTGAGGAGCAGCCATTAGCCATTTGGTGACTTGGGCTAGGTCGACGCGTGCCTGGTCGGCATAATGATTGGCAGAGATCAGGTGGGCATGATTGAGCTTCAGAATCGTCAGCGAAATGATCATATGCAATGCAAGTTGGTGCGACAAAGCCTACCAACTCCTGCTCAATTCCGTCACTCGGGTCCTGAGCCATGGTTTACGATCGCGGTCGCGGTATGCGGCCTATTTGGCGAGCACTAGGACGCGGTGTTGACTGGCGAAGAACAGTGCGGCTTTCCGTTTTTGCGACCTCGATTTCGAAAGCAATGTGCGCGGATTGACGTCGATGGATGGATGCGCGCGGGCGGGAGAAGGCTGAGGTTGATGTTTGAATTGGCTTGAAGGTCATTTCGCGTCCCCAAATTTCTCGCGACGAGGCTGAGGTGCCTGAGGAGATCCTTGTCACTCTAAAGCCAATAAAAATGACCAGGAACTGGGTCCGTGCGCGGCTGCTTATCGCCTATCGGCTTTTCTCAGCTCACAATCAGTGGTACGTATCTGAGGAATTCGTTCCCAGCTTTCCCAACTTCTTAGGTGTGACTTGAAGCAATCGAGCTGAGACAGAGTACATTTTCCAGTCTGGGCAGCTCTGGACGTTGCTTGTTTATAGATTCAAGTTACTCAAGTTTGTACAGAAAATCGCATACCCAAGCATTATTATCACGGTAACAAACAATGTGAGCAATCAAGTGGGAGGAATCATTTCATTTCATTTCATTTCGCCTGGCACGATTATACCAGGTATCATAGTGTGCCGTTTCCTATATTCTACTCGTAACCCATCCAAAATTCTTTTAAGCGTTGTAAGTAGAGGCAGAGACGTTGCCTCCGCGACCAGTCCAGTTAACGTGAATGTACTCGCCGGCAGGGTAGCGCTTGGTGGCGCTCTCGGGCTTGACGAGGAAGGTGTGGGCACTGAGAGAATCAAAGTCAGTTTCATTGATCATGTTTTGGGGAGAGATACGGTCGAACATACCCGAAGTAGTCACGCTGAGCCTGGAGGAGGTTGGCAGGGAGGTCCTTGGTGCGGTAGCCGTCGAACCAGGACAGGGCAGTAGAGAAGGCGGGAGTCGGGATACCAAGGAGGGCGGCCTTGGCGACGACGTCTCTCCAGCCGGGCTGGGCGTTGTGGATGGCGTCCTTGAAGAAGTTGTCGAAGAGAAGGTTCTCAAGGTCGGGGTTGTTGCGGTAGGCGTTGGTGATGTCCTTGAGGAAGACGGAGCGGATAATGCAGCCACCACGCCACATGAGGGCAATGGAGGGCTTGTTGAGCTTCCAGCCGTACTCCTTAGCGGCCTCCTGCATGAGCATGAAGCCCTGGGCGTAGGAGACGATCTTGGAGGCGTACAGAGCCTGCTCGAGGTCGTCGATGAACTGCTTCTTGTCGCCCTCAAACTTGTTGGAGCGGCCGACGTACTGAAGGATGCTGGAAGCCTTGGTACGCTCCTCCTTGAGGGCAGACAAGCTGCGGGCAAGGACGGACTCGGCGATCAGGGTGACGGGGATACCGAGGTCCAGGGAGTTGACGGCAGTCCACTTGCCGGTACCCTTCTGGCCGGCCTTGTCGAGGATCTTCTCGACGAGGGGAGTGCCATCGTCCTCGTCGTTGTAGTAGAGAATGTCACGGGTGATCTCGATCAGGAAAGAGTCCAAGACGCCCTTGTTCCACTCGGTGAAGATGTCACCAATCTCCTTGGGGGAGAGACCGAGACCGCGCTTGAGGATGTCGTAGGCCTGCAACTCGTGTCAATTGTGTCTCTCCATGTCATGGTCAGTGAGATAGGCCTACCTCGCAGATGAGCTGCATGTCACCGTACTCGATACCGTTGTGGACCATCTTGACGTAGTGACCAGCGCCCTCGTCACCGACCCAGTCGCAGCAAGCCTCGCCGTCGCTCTTGGCGGCAATGCTCTGGAAGATGTCCTTGATGTAAGGCCAGGCCTCCTCGTTACCACCGGGCATCAGAGAGGGGCCGTAACGGGCACCCTCCTCACCACCGGAGACACCGGAGCCAACAAAGCGGATGCCCTTGGTCTCGCAGTACTTGGTACGGCGGTTGGAGTCGGGGAAGTGAGAGTTACCACCATCGATGATGATGTCACCCTTCTCGAGAAGGGGCAGAAGGGTCTCAATGTAGTCATCGACAGCCTTGCCAGCCTGGACGAGAAGCATAACACGGCGGGGGCTCTTGAGCTTGCTGACAAACTCCTCGATGTTCTGAGCGCTGGAAGGGAGTCAGTTGACTGTCGTTGATTTGGTGTGCGGATTCCCAGGACGCGGAAACCGGTGCTTGTATCAAGTGGCGGTTGTTGGAGGATATCGATGATGAAAGGTGTACATCGAGACGGAGGGATATAACTCACCCCACGATGGACTTGCCCTTGGCCTCGTTGGCCAAGAAGCGGTCGACCTTCGCGACGGTACGGTTGAAAGCGCAGACGGTGAAACCGTGCTATATCAAAAGTTAGCAACCTTGACAGAGTCTTCAGCTTGGACCGAAATATTCTTACATCAGCAGCGTTCATGATCAGGTTCTGGCCTTGACTTGAAGTCAGTATCGTTTATACAGTGATGCTCTCAATGTTCTTACCCATAACGGCCAGGCCGATGAGGCCGAGGTCAGCGCTGTAATGCGGTTAGCTGGTTGTTCACATCCGGAGTTTGAGCATTCGGGCGCGAAATAAAGCGGGGCGGGACCTCGGAGCTGGCACAACGCCTGCCACGATGTTGGCAAGACGAGCGCTGGTTGTATGAGCATGAGGTTGTTGCGAGAGGAAGCTGATAGTAGCTCATGGCTAACGTCCATTGGCACCTCCCGTGAACCCGCCCGACCTCCGGACATGACGACCGAGACACGAGCACGCGCGAATTGGCACAGCATGGTCGTGTCGTCGTGTCGTGAGCACCGGAGGCCGGAGGCGGGGTGGTGGGGTAAAGCGAGGGTGAGGGGGATGAAGCAAATGACGATACTTACACTGGTCCAGACATGATGGCGGGTGGTCGATGAGATGTATAGGGTTGTTTTTGGTAGGAGAGAGGTTCAGACGCGCGATTCCACGAAGATTGCGGGAGCGTCGAGTTATTTATCTCAAGGGGAATGTGTCAAGAAGGACAAGAAGCTGGAGCTTTCGTCAACCCGGACGAAGTTTGTAGGGGGAGGGTCGACGGAGGGGTAGGAGGGGGGTGGTTTGCATTGTGGCAGGGGCCCCCCCATGACAAGCTGCACACTCCCACCTCGTAGCTTCAAAGTACTCACTCGCCGCAAGAGGCCCGGGGCGTACATGGTGCGGTACCTTGTGCTTCATCGCCGCCATCGCTGCAGTGGAAAACGCCCATGCTGACTTTCAACTTTTTCGAGGGCAGAAAGGCCAAAGACCGGGAAGAAAAGCGGGACGTGTCGGCCTCTCGACCATCGGCAGGGCTGCTTTGACTGAGAGCCCGGCTGGAGCGATTGGCTTTGTTGGCGGAGCTTACTCATGGGATGGAGGTACCGTCCAAGTATCTTTCATATTTCCCACTCGCTCTTCCATTGCTTCCGTCTGCAGACAACAGACAGAGAAAGAAGAGGGACGGCATCGTCACCACCAGTCAAGTTGCTCCATCGAGCCTGGTTTGCGGGCTCCAATTGGTCGGTTTGTCTTGGAGGGGCAGTTATGACGATGTCCTCTGCTACCTCATCTTTCTCGCTCCTGTCAGCATACCCAATTCCCGCGTCTGGCCCAAACATGAAATATCCCTCCCTCTCTGTTGCTTGTGAGGGAAACGCATTTGCAAAAGAATTATTACACTGACAAACAAAACGAGTAGCACCAAGCATCCGCTTGTTTCCGACTACGCCGTAGGCCTAAGCAGGTACCAACTTTGACCTGTTGCTTTGCTCTTCCGCGCGCTGCGACGCCGGTGTACACAGCTACCGCATTGTGGCCGTCAGCCGGCCCGCGCGGCGGATGGCGGCCCAGCAACGACCATCATGCCTGCTCCACGCCGGTGGTGTTTTAGTCAAGACTCAAGCAGAGGCGCGCCAGCCTGACGAAAGACGAAAGGCGAAAGACGGTCCTGACTCCTGCAAAAAGGGCGCTTCTGGATCCGTCCTGTTGTGGTCCGATTCGGCGATAGGCACCCTTTCCCATTGGTCGCCGCCGGTTTCTGCCTCACACTCTGCGTGTTCCAGGGAGATGTGCGACTCCGGTATTCAAACTTGATGCGTCAGACCCTGCCTCTGCCTGACGTTTCGCAGCCCACGGCCGCGGAGGAATCGCTCTGTGCTCGGTCTAACTTCACGCGGGGGGCACCTGCTAATCTGGCCCCGTCCACGTCCACGTCCACGATACCTTATTTGCTCAGCGTCGTGATAGACTGGCTGCATATAATATCACCCTCCCAACGGAACTCCGGTATTCGCTCGCTCATTCGCTTCGCCCGCTCATGGACCGTTCGTCGACAGGCCGAGATGCGAGAGACGAGACGACTTCGAATTGTCCCTCCCTCGAGCAGCAGCCTGCCGCCCTGCACGAACCAGCATGCGCCTCATGCCCCGGACTGCTGTAGAGGAAATTCCGTTTCTTCAGGGGAAAAAAGAAAAAAAAAGAAAACACCCCATCCCGTGCTCCGGGCCGTTCCAGCAAAGCATAGCAAAGAACAGCTTCCAGAAACTCCGGACATGGACCCTTGAAAAAGGCAGCGTCGCGTCGTCGTCTTCAGCCATAATGCGAGGTCTCGGCGTGATGCCGTGTGGCCGCGGAGGGAAGGCCGCAGAATCGCAGCCTTACACACCACCACTGATACTCAACCGCTTATCCTCTCCTCGCTTGAGGATGAGGAAAAACGTCGAGGCAGCGATGCCGCTCCCGCATGCGCATGCGCCTCGCATCTGTCATCCCTGGACGTTACTATCCCTGGAAGGACTGGACGACGACAGCGGGCCTCGCCCAGCATACGCGACAAATCATGATGCGCTTCAATGGTGTGCAGACTCCAGAACAAGTCGGTCCCAACCAAACCGAAGCTGGCCGTGAAAAATGCCCCTCCATTTCCTCCAGTTGGACTGCTTGGCCGAAGCAGCAAATTCAATCTATTGGGTTCGTTGGGGGCCCCACGCAAGTTTGCTTGCTCAGCCGGAGGGACAGAAAATATCGCACCTCCTCCATCTCCCAAGGTACCTCAAGGTGTGGATGGATGCAAATCGACGGTAAATCCGTTCCATGGGCATGCCACCATGTTTGTTTGGCGACATTGCTCACAAATCTGGGCCGTATGAACAAAGGAATGGAAACGAGGGGCAATTCCAGTTCCAGGTGGGGGTTAAACACCTAACACCGCGCCGCCGTCTTCGGGCCTTGGATCGGTCGCACTTGCACGGGTCGGAGTCCTCGGTTGACAACTCCGCTGTAGCTCCGCTGGGAACCCACGCGCATTATTGATTGGCATGGACCTGGCCGCGAAAAGTCCCAGCGGCTTCGAATGGGACTCTCCGGGGGGCCATGATGTCAATTCGCGGAATGCAGAATAATTGCACTAACAATTATCCGCCATGTCCGTCCGATATCTGGTCGACGGATAAAATGCGTCTGATGCAGGAACAGGAGGGTAAGCAATTTGAGCCGGCGAACAAAACCCAGCCGAGCGGATCGATACCACCACATGGGAGAACGCTGAAATGGCTCAAGACGGAAATTCCGGCGTGTTTTCCGCTTGAGACTCTTGCGAGGTGCTGCTTGGCGGAAAGACTGTACGAAGGTGACCTCGGCATTCGCGGTCGGGTTATGTAAGCCCGTGGTTGACGGCAGTTGGGACCCACCTCCGAACGTTCTCCATCTTTTACGAAGCAAGCCACAGCTAAGCACGTGACTACCTTCCAGCCCAGTTTCATGTGGATCCATGGATACGTGCAGCTCTCCTCCAGCCACAGCCGAGTCCTGGCCAAGGCTGCAACACCATAGTCACATTTTGCCAGACATCACCAACATCAACATCTTCTGATTTGCGACAACCCCGACAACCAACGTCGACCGCAGCAAAGCATTTAAGAAGGGGATTTCTTTGAGCAGGAACACAATCAGGCTCAGAGGTACGTTAATCAAAAACACTGCCACGCAAACTCGCGCCTTGGCGAAAAACAAGTCCAAAATCCGCAGTCATTCATCATGGCCTACCCGCCCCCTCCAGGTATCTCCAGCGGATCCTCCAGCAACACATCTCATCCATCCCTGCCCGCGCGGCCTCCTCCCTCAAAGTCATCCGGTGGCTTCAAACCCGCCTTCAAGCCTGCCTTCGGAGCGGCAGCAGCACCCGCCGCATCTTCCTACTCGAGCGCACCGAGCTACGCCAGCGCACCCGCCGCCAACTATGGCCCTTCGTACCCGTCCTACTCTCAACATGCCTCGCCCGCCGTAGGCGGCCAGGGACCCTACCAGGCACCTCCTTCATATCACCAATATCCGCAAGCCGGCGCCGCCACCGGCTACGGCCAGCCGAGCTACTCCGCCGCCCCTTCGACCGCGTCCTACTCCGCCGCGCCGCAGATCCGCAACCCCTTCCCCATCCCCGGCGCCGCGGGCCCCGACTACGACCCGGACATGGCGATGCAAATAGCCCAGTGGCAGAGCGCCTACAACTCTAAGGATGTCTCGTCGGCAGCCGCGTCGGCCACCGGATCCGGCGCAGCGGGCCGCGGTACGCCCAGCACCGCAGGACCCTCCGACATCTCCGACCCCGCCGCGGCGGCAGCGGCCGCGAACGCGCCCCCGGAGCGCAAGAAGACCGTCGTCCGCGAGGGCGGCGGCAAGAAGTGGACGGACGACACGCTCGCCGAGTGGGACCCGAGCCACCTGCGCCTCTTCGTCGGCAACCTCGCGGGCGAAGTCACCGACGACTCCCTCCTCAAGGCCTTCTCGCGGTGGAAATCCGTCCAGAAGGCCCGCGTCATCCGCGACAAGCGCACCGCAAAGTCCAAGGGCTACGGCTTCGTGGCCTTCAGCGACGCCGACGACTTCTTCCAGGCGGCCAAGGAGATGAACGGAAAGTACATCCAGAGCCACCCCGTCGTCGTCCGCAAGGCCAACACGGAGATCAAGATCACCAACGTCAAGGATAAGGACCACCACAACAACCGTAACAAGAAGAACAAGAAGCACTCGGGCCACGGCGGCGGCGGCAACAAGCACGAGAACGGCGGCGGATACGAGCCCAGCCTCGGCCCCGTGCATCATCACGGCGTCACCAAGCCAGGCCAGAAGACCAAGAACGGTCTGAAGCTTCTTGGTTGAACTCGGAGTACTCTGATTTCGATCTTGCGAGACATTCTTAGTCGGTCCAGGAGGAAATGCTGACGGCGCGCATTAGACATTTTTGCATGGAAGAGGCGTTGGGAGTTGGAGGCACGAAGCATACCCCGTGTGCAGCACACTACTGTACACAACAAGAAAATCAAGATTACAAAAGCAGAACATTATACAAAAACCAAATTCTTACACAAGATCAAATTATTCATCAAGAACAAGCTTCTCTTCAAGATTAAGTTTCTCTACAAGACCAAGTCTCTCTACAAAATCAAGTCTCTCTACAAGACCAAGTCATTCTACAAGATCAAATCATTCTATCAAACCAAACAAATCCAAACCATTCTATAAGATCAAGTCATCACTACTGATACCAAATCCTGAATCAACAAGCTTAGTCATAATACCATCAGACGCGTGATCACGAGTGTAGATGAGGCCTTTCATGTCACTTACACAATCACAGTCAACATCGCAGGTCCAAGTACGTATGTGATCGTCAAGCTTTATGCTCATTGTAGTTTCTCTGCGTGTCTAACCTCTGAAGGGAAATATACACTCAAGATGGGGATTCAAACCCAGCCAGTCTGGTATCTCAAACCCCCCATTTTCCCTTCTTTCTATTCTCGCCAGTATGGTATATCCACCTCGGTATGCAAGTTTCTCTTCCTCTGTCTCTGGCCTTCCCAAACCCGGGCCTAGATACCGTGACCAGTTACAACAGACAGTTCAAAAAATCTCGGAAGAACCTTAGCTTCATCCGGATGTGTCTGCAAAAACTCCTTGCCTTTCCACGTTCTGCCAGCCGGCCAGATGTGTGTACGTCAAATATACAGCTTTGATTTTTCTCGGTCCCCCAAAATGCACAACAAAAGAGAAGAAGAAAACCACGCGCGTCTAGTTATCGCGGTGGGCTTGCGCCGTCCTCGACTCTTGCGCCGTGTGACCCGGGTTCGGCATGATGTCGCCGTCGGCGGTGACAAGGTTGTCCTCGTAGTCGGTGCTGTTCCGCAGAAGACCCGTCTCCTCGCCGCCCTCATCGTTGTCGCTGCCGCTGGAGCCGGAGGAGTCGGAGGCCTCCATGTGGTCGCGCTGGACCTCCTTCTGGGCGTCCTCGCGCATCTTTGTGATCTTGATGTAGTTGTAGGCGACGATGGCGCCGATGGTGGTGATGAGACCGACGAAGTTGACGGGGGTCAGGCGGTCGTGGAAAACGATGGCCGAGGCGGAGATGGTGACGACTTCTTTGAAGATGCCGGCGATGGAGAGCGTTACGACCGAGGTACGCTGCAGCAGAGCGAACTCGGAAGCGGTCATCAGGAAGGCAATGCAACCGGGGAAGAGGAGGAATAAAGGGGTCATAAACGCGCCCCATTCGTTCACCAGGAGCTCGAGACCCTTGAAAAGAGCCGGGAAGCCCTCGAGAGGAATAGCGATGACGATCAGTGTGAGGAACATGACCGGTGCCAAGAAGAAGATGCTGGAGAAGGGATTTGAGGTCGCCGGGTTGCGGAGCAGAAGGATCTGGGTCAGACCCCAGCGGAAACCGGAGAAGAACGCGGCAGAAATCACGAGGATGAAGCCGGGAAGGTTGAACTCGACTTCTCCCGAAACCATGAGAACCACACCGGCAGTCATGGTCGCGATAATGGCAACGAGACGCCATGTCGGCTTCTCGAGTCTAAACAAAAAGGCAAAGATCAAGACAAACGCTAGGGAAGATGATTTGCACATGGCTATGGCATGATTAGCAACTGGGATACGCCTCGATGTTTGACAGTCAAACACTTACTGTAGAATGTGAGAGTAATAAACTTGAGGGAAGTGTTGCCGAGCCCGATATCGAGACCCGTCGCGGCACCGCATGGGCCAATGCGCGTCAGATAGAACATCTTGGTCATCAGCGGCCGTTCCGGCTCAGACTCGTGCCTCGAGCGACCCAGATCGGAGTGGCGCTGCGCATGAGACGGGCGCAGGGAGGGTATTAAGAATAGTACTAATGACGCCAGAGCGAATTGCACCAACATGTGGCACGCCGTCGTAAACATTGGGAACGAAAAGTTGAGGTGGTCCTTGTCGAACATCCATTTGTTGTACTGCGGGTGTCGACGGTCAGCTTACAATGACGATGAAGGGAAAGGTAGGGGAAGTTTGCTTACCAGGGAAATGCTGAGGGAGAAAATGTACCACAGCAAGATTAACACGATATTGACCAACGATGTTTTTACCACGTTTTGATCGGCCTCCTTTTTCTCCTCCTCGGTAATGCCTCCTCCTCGCACGATTCTCTGATCCAACCGCGTGTTGTTCCTCCTCTTCTTCTTCTTTCTCCTCTTGTCCTTGTTCGTCAGACCCGTCTCCTCGTCATCATGAAGATCTTCGTCGGAGAAGCTGTCGTCGTCGACATCTTTTGAGCCAGACGGTGTGTTGTCGAGGTCCTCTTCCGAGATCTTGGGTTCTTCAAGCAGATTTCCCCCTGAGCTCCGTGAAGGAACCCGGCTGTGATTGCTAGCACCGGCGCTCTGCATCAGACTGCTCCGGCGCCGGCGGTGACCGGCCCCTTTCAATGGTTCCATCTCGAATTCGTCTTGATCGGCAACGGCGACGACGGCTGGAGATTGATGTTGGCGAGAAGGAGATGGGTTAAGTGAGGAGGAGTAGGAGGAGCCCAGGCGCGGAGAAGCGTGGGCGGGATCGGCAGCGACGAGGTCTCGTGGCCGGGGGTCATCCGCGGTAGTCGATGTGGTCGCGTGTCCAGGAGAGGGTGCGGTAGGCGGTGGTAATAGTAAGGGCGAGGGGCTCAGGAGGCGGCGGTTCTGATGGTTGGTTTGGTGAGTAGGGAGGGCGTCGTCGTGGTCAATGGGGTCGGGGGAGGATGATATGGCACTGGGAGCAGAAGAAGGAGTAGGGTCGGGAGGCAGCACATGCACAAGGGAGGATGATTCTGAGGAGGAGGTGGACATGATTAAATCTGGATTCCACCGAACGGTTCACGGCTGGGGCTGGAAAGCATTTGCCATTTGGTACAGACAGCGGAGAGTAAAGGATGGGCCGGGACGATTGCATCTGGGCGCAGTCATTTGCTGTACGGGCTGGGCTGGCAAGCTGGCTGGGCTAGGCTGGGCTTGGGAGTGCTTTGGTGCTTTGATTTGGTGGCAGGCTAGGCCTTCCCTCCTGTATCGCCGTGGGGCCCAAGACCGGGACGAGATGGTCACGGTGCGGATCATTTCTGGAGTCAAGTGTCGCGCCCACACCGGCCGGTTTTAGTGGGCCGGGGTACACAGAGAATGGTACCTTGGAGAGGGGTTACTGAGGTCCACGGGTGCTTCAGTGGTTTTTCTTCCCACTGATGTCTTTGCGGCCAGCGGTGTCTCTCCCCTTTGCACGGCGCGCCGTGCATTCTTACCGCCAGTTACGGACCAATCACGAATTCGCATGGAATAAGTTCCCCAAGATGAAATGTGGGGCTAATCTTGGCGCGCCTCGGTGTGGAGTCGGCTCGTGGTCTCCTGCTGCAGGACTGGACGGCGGTCAGGGTCGCCTTTCAGGGATGTCCTTCCACATGGCTCCCTGTGACATGCCAGCTCACAGCGATGGGCATCACTGATTTCCCGTTATCCCAAGGAGGGAGGCGAATCCGATGAGAAATGCAAGCGGTACGGATGCCTTACTTCAGTACCTTACACCACAGATAATGCGCTGATGGATGATGCAGGCACACGCACCGCGACTTCAGGTACCGTCCCGCGGGCCTTCCGGGTCCTCTTCCTCCACTCTTGGAGTCTTTTCAGCTCCAGTGCCCGGTTTCCAGCTCAAAGATCCCCTCAGTTCTCTGTTAGTGCATTCCATCCATCTGCAGGAGCATCTGCCATCTAGCATCCCACCTCGGGAGAGCTGGTGATCATGGGCCACCCGTGGATCGTTGGAAGCCCGAGGGAAGGAAACATTGGGTCTTCCTGACGTGCCAGCTTGGCTAACAGATCCAGTCGTCTTGTCATTGACAAATTGATACCTAACAGTAACCAACAACGCATGAAGAAGCGAAAAATCATAACAATACGCGGTCTACTTTGAGTCATCGTCGAGGCTCCATATTGCTCTCTCTTTTTTTTTTTTTCACAACTCAATGGAACTAAGCTTATGCTTACCCGCTTCCCGAAGTCTGTCCTTTCCGCAGCCTTTAAGATTTAAGATTGCCTGACAACGTGTTGCTTTTAGGCGAAGTGAGCTACAATATGCCCAAATCAACAGACTGAGGCTGAGGCATTCGACCTGCCAGCTAATACCCCCTACCCAGCATCAGCAGCATAACAACAGCCGGCTGGGAGGGTCGTCTGAACAATTAACACCAAAGTGTCCTCCCGAGTTTCACACACACCGTTCGTCCTAGTCCGGCACTTGGTCGAAATGCGACCTTGATTTAAGCTTGGTCCAGCCGTCTCTCACACATTCGGAGTCACAGGTTCTTCGGCTGCTGGCCCACTGCTGCCGGCTGCCTTGCTCATGAACCTTCTCATCAGCTAAGTTGTAACTCAGCATGGCACAATACCCAGTGCCACTCACAGATCGCAGCTCCAGGCCTTCTTTGTCGGTTAGGTTCGTGGCCATGTGGTCGCTCGTCAAACCGGCAGGGGTTGAAAGTGCTCGGGTGACCAATTGCCCATCTCAATCCACCCACACTCGCTCTCACAATTCTTCCTCTTCGAATCACACGACCAACCTCACTTTGTCTTGCGAGCCGGGTTCTCGGGCGGTGCCGCGACCCGCTGCTCCCGAGCTCAGCGTCCGAAATCTGTTTGAATTTTTGACATGTTTGGCAAAAGCTAAAACCCGGCTTGGTTGCTGAGTTAATGGTGCTGAATAACAATAACAAGATCTACCTGCTACCACTCTAAACAACCGTTGCATTGTTTTCGTTTCTGGGCCCCGTTTCTTCCGGGTCCATTAACACGCTGTGATATCAGCCATCCAACAGCTTCTGCTTCGGGTTGTTTCGTTTACCTTTTCAGATAGACGAGGCTGTTTCTCAGGTTCGACGATCCCATCTTCTCACCTTCACAGGTCTAGACCGAGCTTCTGGTTCACACAGACAGCGGGGGGCTGGGAACGCTCGAGTCCGGGTGGCTTCATATTGGAAGTATTGACAGACAGTTTCTCGCATGGACATTGACGAAAAAGGCCCCGCCAACCTCCCCCAAAATTCGTTTGAAGAACTCTCAACCTCCAAGACCGTTGAGATTGTTTTCTGTCTCACACAAACCCACCCTCCTTGGAATTTTTCTGGTTCACCTGAGGCTGCTAAGTGAGACAGACGACCTCATCTCTGCGGTCACCCGCCACACGCCGTTTCTCTCCCGCCTCCCGCGTCTTCCGCCAAGGTAGCACACCAGCCCCGGAGGTCTCGAATACGGGGAGGAGCTCGGGGCAGCTCTCGCACGCAAAAGGGATGAGGATGTCCGACCATGATGTCAGCAGCCGTCATTCAGCCCTAAAGCGTAATAGGCATGTAATTTGGATTCCCGGTCCATCCTGCGACTCAGGCGAGCGAGACGGCGGTGGAGGCCTCGAGCGGAGGAGAGCTTCCACCAGGAAGAAGAAGAGCAATTGACGGACGGGGAGCAGAAGATGCTGGCTCTCTGGGGTCGGCTCGACTTTACAGTCCTGTCTTAGTCCGGGCAGGGTAGCTGTGTGCCTGGCCCAGCTCGGGTTGCAGATCTGACAGCTCTCCCGTCGATAGAGCTCCCCCAAGTGGGTATTTAGCAGCTTCTCGACGCGCCCATGACCGGGTCTACAGCGTCATCGTTCGACATCACAGGAATCTCTCGTTTTCTGCGCCTGTCTTTTCCTGGAGAAGTCAATTGACCAGCGCTGTTTGATTGCTTGACGGCTAGTGCAACTATTTTGCTCACTGAAGGATTCTCAGAATATGCAGGTCCCAAATCAAAGCGCAGGTGCCATTCGCTCATAGTTCGATCATAATCTGCGTGCGTGTTAGTGGATGTTCCCCTCGAGCACCATCGTGACAAAGCCGACCATTAGGATTGGTCTCTAATCGGACTCTTCAACATCAGCCACACCGCAGCTGCAGATCGCAAACGCTTCCAGTCCCTCTTCGAAAGCCGGAGTTTACCCTTTCCTCGGCCCCGAAGCTTGACCTACCTGATCACTTCCTACGCTACTGCAGCTTGGTGTCGCATGTGTATCAACGAACGCCGAGACATGAGAGTCGCAGCCTCAATCATCACCGGTTTCCATATCAGCTATTATTTGCTTTTTCCACGAAAATTGCCAAGTTTCTAGATTCTTGTCCTCGTAAGCCCTCCTGCGCCATCCCGAAGCCCCGGCATCCGACGTCATGGCTCAACAGTGCCCGACGAGACACTCTACCGGCAGCCATGCCGGCTACCTGCCGATCGAAGACTATGGTATGATCGGAAACATGCATACTTGTGCTCTCGTTGGAATGAATGGTTCGGTGGACTTTATGTGCTGGTATGAGAACATCTTCAGTTTTGCTCCTGCTGCTTGGCGTGTCACTTACACGGTAGTCCGTTGTTCGTTGAGAGTGACCAACACGATGCGATGATGTTTGTTGCATCAGTTGAAGTTGCAATCAACAACAAACTTGACATGCTGGTGCTCAAGTGAGCTTACATGCCGGCTAGTCGTAGGCCGAGGCTTCCGGGTCTCGTTCTGAGGAGTTCTCGCTGCTATTCCGATATCAAATGTTCAACGTCTAACGAGCTCTAGGCCGGACTTTGATTCTCCAAGCGTATTCTGTCGGCTTCTTGATCAGGGTAAAGGAGGTTTCTTCAGCATCTGCCCTCCTTCATCCAAGCAATGCACCACCAAGTGAGAATGCCCCTTCTGAAATGCGTAGCAGAGGAACTCTAATTGTCATCAAGGCAGCAGTATCTACCGTCATCCAACATCTTGCAGACCCGGTACATACACGACGATGGCGTCGTCGATCTGGTGGACTTCTTCCCTCGGCCCAAGACCGCCACTATCTTGTCCAAGACCAACCGCCAAAGTGCCTTCCGCGAAACCACTAAGATACAGGAGGAACTCAAGAAATGGCTCGTCCGCAGAGTCGAATGTATCCGCGGTCGCTTGGAGATGGGTTAGAACCTCAGCTCACAAACACTCTGCATCATCCGCTCACAAAACCCCCAGACATTGAAATCTTCCCGGCCTTCCAATACGCAACCGAATCGCACGTCACCACGATCCTCCAGGAAACACTCACATCCAACAGCCCAAGCAAAGCCGTGACCTTCCACAGTGAGCACTACAAGCTCCAACTCGACGTCACCGTCGACGCCGAGTCCGAGTCCGATGCCGCGCCCTCAATCACCTTTAGAAAAGAGAAACGCGATAGTATGCCTGGCGAGGGCGTCGTCGCGCACATCGAGATCCAGGAGGGCCAGGCCATATCCCTCGTCCTCCGCAACGACATCCCGAAACACGTCACCACGGACATCACCACCGCGGTCCTCGACGGCCAGCAGCACGACACGCAGTCTTTCTGGTACAACTGGATCTCCAGGAGCAAGTACAAGGGCCGCTGGCGCGAGGTCGTCAACCGCAGCCTGATGATCCTCAAGATGTTGACCTACGAGCCGACGGGCGCCATCGTGGCCGCGCCTACGTTTTCGGTGCCCGAGGACATCGGCGGCGTCCGGTGAGTTGCTCTCATCAACGATTTGCCCTATCCTTCATATGTGTGATCCGTCCGTCTTACTGATGGTTGACAGCAACTGGGACTACCGATTCTCCTGGGTCCGCGACTCGAGCTTCACCATCTACATCCTGCTTCGCCTGGGATTCTCTGCTGAGGCGGACGCCTACATGGACTTCATCAGCGAGCGCTTCATCAAGTCCCGAGGACCCGATGGCGAGCTTCCCATTATGTTCACCATTCGCGGCGAAACCGACATCCCAGAGACGGAACTCTCCCATCTGGAAGGGTACAGGGGAAGCAAACCCGTCCGAATCGGCAACGGGGCCGCCTTCCACCAGCAGTTCGACATTTACGGAGAGCTCATGGACGCCATATACTTGTACAATAAGTACGGGAAGCCGATCAGCTGGGATCAGTGGTGTTCAGTCAGGGAGATGCTCGGTGAGCGACCGTTTCCTGGTGCGGTGGGAGTGGTAGTAGCAAGCTAACACGAGCCTGGCAGACTTCGTGCTCACGCTCACAGACAGTAAGACGACCTCCCAAAACGCGCCTGACCTCGTTCACTGACGAGACAACAGAACCAGACATGTCCATCTGGGAAGTCCGCAATAACAAGCAACACTTCACGTACTCCAAGGTGATGCTCTGGGTCGCCTTCGACCGCGGTCTCCGCCTGGCCGACAAGCGCAACTTCCCCTGCCCCAACCGCAGTAAATGGCTCGAGGCCCGCGACAACCTCATGGAAGAGATCATGGACAAAGGTAGGGAACGTCACACTCCTCGCCGCTATCTGAGCAGCATGCTGAAGTGCTGTCGTGATCAGGTTACAACAAGGACATGAAGTGTTTCGTCCAGAGCTACGAAAACAACACCATGCTCGACTCCTCGATCCTCATCGCGCCCCTTGTCTTCTTCATCGCCCCAAACGACCCGCGTTTCCTGAACACAATGGACCGCATTCTCCTGCCCCCCGAAAAGGGCGGACTAACGAGCACCGGCCTCGTTTACCGCTACGACACGGAGCTCTCAGAGGACGGTGAGTCCTTTCCCTCCTTTCCAGATATCGTACCAGAAGAGAGAGAGCTATGCGCAGCTGACTGACACACCACCACCCACAGGCGTCGGGGGAAGAGAGGGCGCATTCAGCATGTGCACCTTCTGGCTCGTGGAGGCCATGACGCGCGCCTCCGTCTACGAGCCCCGGTACCTCGCCCGCGCCGTCAACCTCTTCGAGAACATGCTCGGTTTTTCCAACCACCTGTCCATGTTCTCCGAGGAGATCGCCCGCAGCGGCGAGCAGCTCGGCAACACGCCCCAGGCCTTCAGCCACCTGGCCATGATCAGCGCGGCCTTCAACCTCGACCGCGTCACCGAGTTCACGCGGTCGTGAGCTGGAGGCCCCCCAACTGGTGTGTCACTGCTAGGGTGCAGGTCTTGACACTAGGTAGAGAAGTACTCAGAGTTGGGGGAACACAGGAAGGTTCGGCAGGCGGAAAAATCGTGATAGATTAGATGTCGTTTCCCTACTTGTTTAAGACTGCGTTCATATCTTCATGATTGGGCGCTGAAGGAAAGACTGCATGTAATTTGCCTCAAGTAAGTCGCGAGAGACCTCAAGTAGAATCATGAAGTGTGATGAATTAGCACAACCTTCTATGCGTAACTTCGCCCGGGCTCATAGCCCAGTCCAGACGTGACTGTATAATACGCTCTCCCCAACTCGTCGATATCTCATGCCGGCCCCCTTAAAGACGATGCTTTTTGTGTGATGTAGTCTCTCTCCCATCCAAAAAAAAAAATAGTGTAATCACATCCCTTCCAGGGAAAAACGCCGCGCTATGCCCTTTGTAATCACGCCCTCTTCCTCGCCTTCTTCTTATGTCTCGGCGGCGCAGTCGGGGCAGTCGTTTTGACTTCGCCGCTGGCCTCAAGCTCCCATTCTTCCGGGCGGCTCCGTTTGAGTTTGCGACGCAAGGCTGCCTCCTATGACAAATCCATACTGTCGCGGTCGTCTCCCAGCCTGTCTCCCACAGAACTCAGCCCCGAGCTCGGCGGTCTCGACTCCTCCTTGATGTTCGGGGATGTTGCGGACAGGGCGTTCGTCGGTGATGGCCCGCACATCTTGGCCCGCCAAGTATGGATCGACGGCAAGTCGCCGCCCTCGACCTGGACCTCGCCCACATCGTTACCCTTGCCGATGATCGTGCCGTGGTACTTGGAGTCCTCGCCCGTTTTGCTGTGTTTCTTCTTCAAGACTGTGTGTCTGTTAGCCCCGCGCCTTCGTCGAGCACCGCGCCAACATCGCCTCGGGAAAACGAACCGTTAAGGTAATCCCCAAGCTCAAGCTCCCCATCGCCGACCGCCGCCTCGCGAATAGTCTTATTCCTCGGCCCGGAAAACCATTTGATAAACTCCTCCACACCCCTCACATCCTCGGAGCATTCCCTCTCGCGCGGCCTCTCCACCACGACCCCAGCATTCGCCATCGCAAGATCGCCGTTCTCAGCCGGCGCGGCTCCGGCCCCGTCCATTACATCGTCGAATATCTCCCCCAGTATAGAGCCTCTCCCCTCGGCGCTGACATCGTCCGGCGGTACGGCGCCGAGCTCCTGCAGTGCCATGCGGACGTCCACGATGCCCGGCGCATCGCCCTCCGGGTTGTTATCCGCGGCGTGGCGTGCCGTCGCCTGGCATAGCGCTAACATGTATTTGGCCGCCAGTTCTGTCAGGGAGTCGAGTACGACGGGACGCGCTGCGTGGTAGCCTGTTGCGCGCAGGATCTGGAGAACCGCGGGGCGGAGGAGGGCGTGAAAGAGGAGCGGCGGGGGCGTCATATTGTGTTGTGTATGTCTGAGTGTTTTCGAAAGTCGGGAAAGTCGGGTTTCTTAGGTTCGAGGAGAGTTTCTGGATTTTTGTGTCGTCGGGTAAGGAAGTAAGGCTCCAGAGGAAATCGCGGGTGCTGTGGCACGGCGAGTAGGCGCGATTCCGTCTGTCACCATCGATTCTGTAGGCTATTGAAGGAGCTTCGCATGATGCTGTGACGTGTGTATTCGAGTCGCCGAGTGGTGTAGACGATTTTGCTAGAATGCTGAATCTGGTTTCTCCCGGCAATCTTCTGCAATCGAAGTATTCGTTCGTTGGGCCGTGAAAACCAACTGGGTGAGTGTCGCGAAATTTCAGCCTCGATGGGAAGCAGGAGCTCGGACCACGCAGCACAACGCGGGAAGGAGCTCCAGTGAGCACAGCAGCGGAAGCTACGACTGAGTCAACAGTGTGAATACTGTATTTACACAGGATTGAATGTATCCGTACAGAGTAGTTCTTGGTTACTAACCCTTTGCACCGGGACTGACCGATCACGTGGAGACTGCTCCGTGGGGTCGAATTTTTAATGGGTCTTGAGATTGAATTTAACGAACGACCCAACCGATGATGAATCACCTCAGTCGGGTCAAACCGACCAAGCCCTGATCTGTGTCGCCTCGGCCAACATGACCTCCCGCTAAGCCTTGGTTCCATCCTCGATATATAATAACCTGGAAGGGAAGCATAATGATGATGGGTTGACTTTCACTTTGGTTATTCTGTTCGGCATATTAGCTTGTGAAAAAACTTTATTTTATTCATATATCGAGTTATTAGTTGAAGTTCACTTTGTTACATAGATGTAGAGGGTAGGTATTGTGTCGCTGGGGGTGACTAATCAGAATACATGATTGGCTGGCTGACCTTTCTTCCGGCAACGGTTAGTGGAACCCGATCTTTCCCATCTATCTACTGTCTATCCTTCCGTCACATCCTCGGCTATCGCTGTTCTTCGTCCTCGCCGCTCGAAACTCCTGAATCTTCACCCACGAACTTGACGACACAGTCCTGCTGATACTCGACGGCAGTGTTTATAAGTTTATAGTCAAAATGGCCTCCTCAATGGCGCTGAGGAGACTTGCCGCCAGACCTGCTGTAAGCAACTTCCCTTGCCCGTGACAGCCCCGTCCAAGACATTCTCAGTCGACCTCGAGATGCAGCTCAGCTAACGACAACCAGTTCTCGCAGGCGCGCGCATTCTCCACCACCAGATCCGTCGCCCGGGTCTTCGCGAACCAGCCTCTCCGTGCGAAGGAGGCTTCTCCCTACGTTAGCAGCAAATACCCCGTCATTGACCACGAGTACGATGCCCTCGTCGTCGGCGCCGGTGGTGCTGGTCTCCGTGCCGCCTTCGGTCTCGCCGAGGCTGGCTTCAACACTGCTTGTATCTCCAAGCTTTTCCCTACGAGATCTCACACCGTCGCCGCCCAGGGTGGTATCAACGCCGCCTTGGGTAACATGCACGAGGACGACTGGAGATGGCATATGTACGATACCGTCAAGGGCTCAGATTGGCTCGGTGACCAGGATGCTATTCACTACATGACCCGCGAGGCTCCCGCCTCAATTGTCGAGCTCGAGAACTACGGCTGCCCCTTCTCCAGAACCGAGGATGGCAAGATGTGAGTTGGCTCTCCAATTCGAGTACTTGGCGCCCCGTGCTGATGACGTTATCGACAGTTACCAGCGTGCTTTTGGTGGTCAGTCCCAGAAGTTCGGTAAGGGAGGTCAGGCATACCGATGCTGCGCCGCCGAGGACCGTACCGGCCACGCCCTTCTGCACACCCTCTACGGCCAGTCTCTCCGCCACAACACAAACTACTTCATCGAGTACTTCGCCCTCGACCTGATCATGCAGGATGGCGAGTGCCGCGGTGTCCTCGCCTACAACCAAGAGGACGGCACCCTGCACCGCTTCCTCGCAAACCACACCGTTCTGGCTACCGGTGGTTACGGCCGCGCCTACTTCTCCTGCACCTCCGCCCACACTTGCACCGGTGACGGTATGGCCATGGTCGCCCGTGCCGGTCTCCCCAACCAGGATCTCGAATTCGTCCAGTTCCACCCTACCGGTATCTACGGCGCAGGCTGCCTGATCACTGAGGGTGCTCGTGGTGAGGGTGGTTACCTTCTGAACTCCGAGGGTGAGCGTTTCATGGAGCGTTACGCCCCCACCGCCAAGGATCTTGCTTCTCGTGACGTCGTTTCCCGTTCCATGACCATGGAGATTCGCGAGGGTCGCGGTGTTGGTGAGGAGAAGGACCACATCTTCCTCCAGCTTAGCCACTTGCCCGCCGACGTTCTCCACGAGCGCCTGCCCGGTATCTCCGAGACCGCCGGTATTTTCGCTGGTGTCGACGTCCGCACCCAGCCCATTCCCGTCCTGCCCACCGTCCACTACAACATGGGTGGTATCCCCACGAAGTACACTGGTGAGGTTATCACCGTGGACGAGAACGGCAAGGACAAGGTCGTTCCCGGTCTTTTCGCGTGTGGTGAGGCCGCCTGTGTCTCCGTCCACGGTGCTAACCGTCTCGGTGCCAACTCTCTCCTCGACTTGGTTGTCTTCGGCCGTGCCGTCTCCCACACCATCCGTGACAACTTCACCCCCGGCACCAAGCTCAAGCCCATTGAGGCTGACGCTGGTGCTGATCACATTGAGGTTCTTGACAAGGTTCGCACGTCGGAGGGCCCCAGAACCACCGCCGATGTCCGCCTTGCCATGCAGAAGGCTATGCAGACTGAGGTCTCCGTTTTCAGGACACAGGAGTCCCTGGACGAGGGTGTTCGCAAGATGATTGAAATTGACGCCCAGTTCCCCGAGGTTGGTATTAAGGACCGTAGCATGATCTGGAACTCCGATCTTGTTGAGACTCTGGAGCTCCGCAACCTCCTGACTTGCGCGTAAGTAGACTCGTTCCCTGGACGATATCATTCGATGCTAATCTGCTTATAGCACTCAAACCGCCACCTCCGCCGCTGCCCGTAAGGAGTCTCGTGGTGCCCATGCTCGCGAGGACTTCCCCGACCGTGACGACAAGGAGTGGATGAAGCACACTCTCTCCTTCCAGAAGCAGCCCCACGGCAAGGTCGAGCTCAGCTACCGCAACGTCATCGCCAACACCCTGGACGAGAACGAGTGCAAGGCCGTTCCTCCTTTCAAGCGTGTGTACTAAACAATCGAAGTGTTACGATAGACGGGGTGTCGGGTGTTTTTGGGGATCCACGTGTAAACCGGAAATGTCAAGACAGTGTGAGAAGCTACAGCGGAGGAGGACGCAGGAGACGAAGCAGACGAGGAGGCAAATTATAATACCACGACACAGATCTTGTTAATGATCGTGGGTTAAGTCGCGGGTGGGATGCGCTACCTGCCCTTTGGGATACTTGAAGGCTGTTTGGGTTTGGCGCATACACTACAGGCTCGGGCTTTGGCTCTGGAGTTTAAAAAACGTGTAAAGTAGGAGGAGAAATTCATTTTGTTCAAAGACTACATGATTGTTCGTTTTCACCGTCTTGGACTGACATTGTCTACAGCTGTACGTGTCGATCACATCCTACGTTGCCTTCCCCTGACCAATGTCATGTTCTTCCGTGTGGAAGTGAAATTATTGATAACATTGAGAGTGAGGTTGGACTTTTGAACTATTATCTGCAGCCAAAACTCAATGTACGCCACATTAATCAATCAATGGGAAAACACGTCTCCAATAAGGCACTGACGGAGCAGATGACCAGTCGCGGTAGTCCTACTTCTGCCTCACAGCCAAATCCTCGGACTCGCCAGTGCCCGTGTATTTGTTGATCCAACCCAGCACTTCTCTGTGCCACACCAAAGAGTTTTCCGGCTTCAATACCCACTAACAAATGATTAGCGTACAGACAAAGCTGTGGGTGGATCTTGCATTGCACTTACGTGGTTCTCGTCAGGGAACATGACCAATTTGCTTGGTACGTTACGGGCCTGTAAGACGTTGAACATCGCCAGGCCCTCGGAGATGGGCAGTCTGTAGTCCAGCTCATTGTGGATAACCAACATGGGGGTCGACCACTGATCAAGATGGTGGGCGGGATCCCACTTCTCGTAACCTTCCCTGTTCTCCCAGAGGGTGCCCCCAAAGTCATGCAGAGGGAAGAAAAGCTCTTCCGTGGACCACTGGTTCAGTGTCGAGAATACGCCATCGTGGCACACCAAAGCCTTGAACTTTCGTCCGAGCTCGTGTCCCTGAATCCAGTCTTTGGAGAGTCAGCACAGTCACTTGCGAAGCAGCTCTCATCAACTTACTGATCATGTAGCCTCCGTAGGAAGCACCCAGAGCAACGGCATTCTTGGAATCGATGTACGAGATGCTCTTCTCAATATGGTCGAAGCACTTGACCAGGTCAACGTAGGGCCGGCCACCCCACTCGTTTTGGATGTTATCGGTATGTTGCTGTCCGTAGCCAGTGCTTCCGGTCGGGTTGGGCATGACCGCAACATAGCCCTGCTCGGCGAAGATGGCGGGGTTCCACCTCGTGCTCCAGCTGTCCATCCATGCGGCTTGAGGTCCTCCGTGGATAAGGAACGCAAGCGGGTACTTCTTGCTTGGGTCAAAGTTCGAAGGCTTGACCACTAGAGCATGAACATCGTAGCCCTCCGCTCCCTTGTACCAGAACTCGTCACACTGAGATTTGCTCAAGCCGAACGACTTTCCGTGCTTTGAGCTCGAGGAAACAAGATCGGACTTCTTGCTGACCGGGTCCAGTACCGAGTAGGCCGAGTTCTCAACCCTGGAAGACGTGCTGATAAAGAGCCTTTCACCATCATCTCCCAATAACTTCGCCTCCAGAACAGAGCCGTCCTCGTAAATCGCCGCAGGCAGATCCTTGGCCTGGTGTGGTGTAGCGGGCAACTTCCAGAGTTTCGCGCGGCCGTGCTCTTCTGCAGATACAAACAGCTCCGAATCGTCCTTGCTCCAAGTGATCCACTCAGGTCGTGCATCCCACCCGCCGACGCCGTCTTCCGTCTCGTAAAACTCTTGCACACTTGACAAGTCAAAGACGTCGGGAACGAGCAACAGTCTCGGCTTGTCCGTCTCGTATTGATCGCTCTTCATTCTCGTGAAAGCAACCTTTTTGCCATCTCTGGAAAACACCGGCGAGGCGGAGTAACCACGCAGCTTGCTTGTCTTGACGACTTGGGGTACGGGAGGTTTCTCCTCGGTGAAAGTCTTCAAGGGAATGAAGTACAGGTCCGTCTTGGTGTAGATTGCAGGAGAGATTTCCGGGTCGCGCGCCACAAAGACCAAGCCGTTCTTGCTGATATCAAAGTCTCCCGCGCCACCGAATGGGGGAACAGGTGACTGAAGCTTCGTGTCCTTAAGGGCATTGACCAACCCGGGACCGTCCAGCTTGTAAGACTGGCCGTCCTTTTTCAAGAGACCGTACCAAATGGAGTTCACGTTCTCGTTGCCCCAAGTATCCCAATGCCTAACAAACAAGCTCGAGTAGATCTTGCCGGTGGATAATTGCTTCTTCTCGGCTGCTGGGTTGTACATGGCCCCAGAGGGCGTGGTAAGCGCACACAGAGCAATGGCAACGTCATCGTCCGACAGCCGCTTCGCCTTGAGACTAGAGAGGCTTCCTTCGAAGTGGCGGATCTCTTTGACACTGTATTGGAACTGTAAGCGGGGACGTAAGACTTCGGGTGTACAAAGCACCTACACAGATGGCTCGGTGACATCTCCGAGTACCAGGCTTGTGGTTCCCTTATCGCCACTTTTGAGGAGAATGATCTCCTTGTCTGAAATCCATGTCGCATCGTTATAGGATTGGTCTTCGTACAGGAGGGTAGAGTGACCGCTCTCGACATCGAGAACGCGAGTCTGAGCCGTCTTGCTGTGGGATTCGAACGAGTACGTCGAGACCTAGTCGAGTCAATTCATGTTCGGAAGCTTTCTTTAACAGCATCCAATGGTTAAATTCAAGACAAAGGTGCCTTGAAGCATGCGCAAGCTCGGGAACTCACGGTGTACAAGACTTTGGTGCCCGCCGGGTTCGGGATACCAGGGGACCTGCGCGGGGCAGAGAGGAGGACCTCAGGCGTGAACTTGGAAGCTTGTATCGTCATCATGGGGGATAGTTTCAATGATTGTATTACGAAGAAGGCTTAACAGAGAGCTAGCTGAAGAGAGAGCTCAAGGTGCGGGCTCAGGTGTAGATGTATGGGATCTCCCTCAGCTATGGCGTGTGTGACGACTCGACCGGGGGATTGACCTGCTGGCATGGAGCTCAGTCGAGGAGCCCCGCACTAGCTACGAACCAGGCTAGCCACGGCTGTTAGAGAGCCGACAAGGTTCTCAGTCCCCTGCTCAAGCGCTGCATTGGTTCAGGCGCACCCCTCAAACCCATTAACCCCCTCACTGCAGACCATCCCATCGGCTCCGAAACGACTTGGCGCTGGAAACATGAGATATCAAGAGCTGCAGCATCATGATGCAAGAGAATGTGTCGTCGATTGCGATTGAACTATCAGGGTTTTCTGCAGTTGAATCCTTCTGAAAGTTTCAACACCATTAGCGCGAGAAGTTCTAAAAGCCAAGAACATCTACAACCGAAGAGGTATTTCATGGTGTCCCGAGGCCATCCAACTCCAGCCAATCGTTTCGAGCCGTCATCCGAGAAAGGCAGTTCAAAACTGCCTCTTCACTGCCCGAAGGATGGCTCAATGCCCAGAAACATCGACAAGCCGAGTCATGGCCGGACTCACGGCCCAGTTGCAGTACCCGACAGGCTCAAAGACACAGAAGTTGGTCTCCACAAGGAACTTTTGCCGCTTCTCGACGCAAAAGTGCCCGTCATTGGCGCGAAGTCTCGGCGCGAGTATTCATTTTTGGATAGCATCAAGCCGTAACGTGCAGTTTATAAGAGATTGCCACATGTTCACAATCGACAGGGCTCCCATAACTTGAAGAATAACACATCAAATAGTTTTAGGGTATCATAATCCGTAACTCCTTGGTTGTCGTGATGCTCGTGAGCAGCCATGTTCGATCCTTTGGCTTCAGGTGCGATATCGACCTGAGCACAAGTCGATTAACAGCCCCTGCAAAGGATATCTCCCAGAAGAAAGGCCCAATCGCCTGACGACGCCGTCATCAACGCTTGCGCGAGGTCTCGTCATCTCCGAAGTGTTCCCTCGCAAGTCGAGCAGTGTCATAGCAGATAGCAGAGGCACGATAGTCGCACTCAGGCGAATATCAGCACCTCAGCCTCCTCACTTTCGTCCAGAACCAAAGTTGATCCGCTTCTTGTTGGGCGCTTGCGAATCGTGGTCGCTATCCTCCTCATTCTTCTTGTTCTTCTTGCCCGACTTGGACGCAGTCGCGGACGTCGGCGTGGCGTGGTTCGACCCAGATCCGTCCTTGAACGAGGTGGACATGGGCGTCGGCGCATGCGAAGCAGGCGTAGATCCCGGCGTCGTGGCCTCCTGTGTTCCGTCGTCAGTCCAGCGTTCCTCTCACAGCGTCATCGAGAATGCAGAACATACACTACCAGGACGATATGAAATCGAAGACCTCGAAAACACCCTGTTCTGCTCCGTGGCGCCAGCTTTGCGACGCTGGGCCGCTGCACCCGTGCCTTTGATGTAGTTGTCGAATCCCGCAATGATATTGCCGTTGGGTGTGCTCTCGAGATATGTCGTCTCCTTCTGCTCAATATCCGATTCTATCGTCGCCAGCCGTCGCGCAATCGCTGCTCTCTTGTCCAGCATAGTCCGCAGCAGCGCCTGCTCTTCTCGATACTTGGCCATCGTCGGAGCCGGCTGCTGCGCCCCGGAGCCGGCGTTCGGCTGGTTTTCGCCCATCTTGTTGTGGCCGTAATATCGGGTTGGTAAGTGCGGTTCAGAAGCTGTCGGCGCGTAGATGGTATCGATGGTGCGCCGTCGAGTAGAGATGACGTGTTGAACTGGTCGCGATTGAAGATTGATGCTCTTGTCGCGTCGGAGCTTCCAGCAGCGGCTAAAGAACCGACTGGCGCAGCAAGCACCGTTGTAGGCCGCAGCCTATTGGCTGGATCGGCTTGGCAGTTGGCTACTGGGCACGTGCTTACCTAACCGAGAAGAACAAGAACCATCCCAATGAATTGTGGTGGCTTTGCTGCGCAGGGAAGGGGCTTTGAGCAGGACTGCCACAATCCATGGATCCTTCCATCGAAAAAAGCGTTCAACGGGTCTCACTCAGCAGCCGGGCATCGCCATCTTCAACTTGTAGCAATTGCCTTGTTCTTGCAATCGCAATCCTTATTATCCCCGCCGCCTCTTTGTCATGCTCCTGCCAAAATAAACATTATTCCCCAGCCGACGCAACCCAAATTAGAGTGAGAGAAAGCGTTTGCAGCGCCTCCCAGCCAAGGGCCCCGGTCCTAAGGCTGGAGAAGCCGAGGAGGAGGGCCGCCCTGACGAGGTCGCATGAACGACAGTCGGATCATCATCTGCGAGCGCTGTCTATCTGCAACATCGCATCCCGCCCGTCCACGCCCGTCCAAATCACGGGCCTTTGCCAGGTCATGCCCCTGACTCAAAGGAGAACCAAAGACAGGATGACAGCCCGTCACCGAGGAGAGGGGGAAAATTAAGAAAAATAAAATAAGCCAGTCCGTTGTTTCAATATGGCCAGACCACCACGGCAACCTGCTTTTCCTCCCGTATAATCCCCGCGGCTCTGGATAGTTCAAACGCAAAAAAAATGCAGATGACAGGCGGGAGGCAACTAACTGCCCCTTCTTGCCTCTCCAACCGGCCTCTGGCATGCATCGATTCGTTCCTGGTCTCCCTCCCGGGAGCCACGGCACCGTCTACAAGTCTCCGAGCCGGGGTGGTTTCCAGAGTTGCAGAGAGAGCTTGTCAGCCGCAAGCGCTCAGCCAATCGCCGGCCTGCAGCTGCATCTTTTTGACAAGAGGCAACTGCCATCCGCAGAGGCTTGGCCCCTGTTTCGTTTCACCACGTCCATCGTCGCCCAGTCCTCGTCGACGATCTGTGGTTTAACAGGTCAAGTTTCTTTCCTCCGGGGGTTTCCCATCCATCCACCCCCTTCCCCTCCCCTATTTTTTCCCTCGCGCTTCTCCAATGAGGCAAATGGAATGGAATGACTGTCACTTTTCGTCCCAAAGGAGGTTCCGCCGGCGTTGCAAGGTCCCTCCATGGTGGGGAAATTTAAGGTGGTGGTGGTGGTGCAAAGTGCAATTCTGCAAGACGGCAAGCGCCCAGCGCAAGAAAGAAACGACAGGAGGCTTCATCAACTGAATATACGGATCAAAGGCACTGGCTCCTGCGTCTGCTCCGGAGACATGCGCGCATGACCCCTACCTTCCAGCCTTGCCAGTACCACCAGTCAAATCCATATCCCCTTACCTTAGTTCCGTAAGACTGCGGATCGATGCTGTGCTCAGGGGTGTGGCTGGTCAATACTAAAAAGCACCACCTCCAATCCTGGGGTAAAAAAAGACACAAACCACCTCGACTTCGCCTTTCTCACCTTCTTTTTGCTTGGCTTCTTCGTCTGACTGTGTCACTCACTTGAGCCACCCTTTCATTCGTTTCTTTCTGTTTGCGCTTCTTGATCCTCGAACGACAAACCCGCTCCTCGGCCTTGATCGTCTGCTTCGTTCATCTCGTACAAAAAGCCGTTCGTTTCTCACCCCTCCGTATTACGATCTACGTCACGATCGTCCGAAATCAACTTTATATCACCCTCACGTCCTACACACACATAAACACTTCTCAAGCCCACCACCCCTCTCATCCCAACCTCTCGACAAGAAGGACAAATCCAACAAGATTTAAAAATCCTCCAAGATGGTCCGCGCAACCTTCCTCTCCCTCACCCTCCTCGCCGGCCTGGCCCTCGCCTCGCCCGTCGCAGTCCGCAACAACAACGCGACCGCAATCATCCTCGCCGCGGCCCCCAAATCGGCCTCGTGCGCCGGCGTGACCGACAGCCCCGAAGAGTGCGGCACCGCCGCGCAGGCCGCCCAGTTCCTCCCGGCCGCCTTCCAAAAGTACGGCATCTACAGCCCCGGCGAGATGGCCGCCATCCTCTCCCTCATGGCCTTCGAGACCGGCGACTTCCGCTACAACCGCAACCACTTCCCCGGCCGCCCCGGCCAGGGCACCCGCAACATGCAGATGGCCAAGTACAACCTGCTGTACGCCCTCTCCGTCCCGGAGCTCGAGCCCAAGGCCAAGGAGATCGCCGGCGACGTCGCCGACGGCAACGACCTGCCCGACGACAAGAAGAACCAGATCCTCGACCTCGTCATGCCCGACGAGTACACCTGGGGCTCCGCCGCTTGGTTCGTCACGACGCAGTGCGAGCAGAGCGTTCGCGACGAGCTGGCCGAGGGCACTGTCAAGGGCTTCACCATGTACACGACTGAATGTATCGGTACGTCGTCCACCGAGGACCGTGTCGAAAAATGGTCTCAGGCCAAGGCCGCCTTTGGCTTGCCTTAGATACGTGGCGGGTCTTCGTATCCATTCTTCTTCTTTTAAGAACCTTCCTGTACATACACTTATTTCGCATAATCGGATCGGAGTCATGAGGGAATGAATGATATCTCACTTAGTTCAATGAAGCAACTTCTTTACGCATTCTGAATTGTGATTGAAACGACTGCAGTGCGATGCTCGTACGCGATGTTGAATGAAAAGTGACGCAAAATATGTACAGCTCGAGGTGAGGCTTCGGGGGTATACATGATGTCGTAACATCCGGCCCCACCGCCAAGCAAGAATCGAAAGCCCATCCCGTTCCTCCCATATCCGTGTCAAGCCCAGTTCCTCCCATAGGTACACGTCGATTCCTGGAGTAAGTACCGACACCGAAAAAAGTATGTACGAAAACTTATGCACAAGGAAAAAATGAAGTCGTCGAGGAATGTCGAGTCTGTTTCACATCGATGAAGTTGTTGTTTGCGGTTCACGTTTGTTGTTCACGCTGATGTTGATATTGGTGTTCACGTTGATGCTGCGGTGTTCTCACGTTGTTGTTGACGATTTTGTTGGTCCCAGCGTCATTGGCATGTCGTCGACATTCGTTGCCGCCGTCGCTGTTGGCTGAGCCTTATGATGGCTGGGACAAAAGGCAGGATGAAGTCATGTTATTAAAACGTCCTATCATGTCTAAGTTATAATCAGTACTCTCAAAGGCGACCGTCGCGGTAGCCGATGACGGAGGAGGGCTGCTGCGACGGGCACGAGGAGGAGGAGGGGGAGGACGTGGCTTGCCTATGCCAGAACAGACACCCGTTCCCATGACCCGCTCGGCCGGGACGAACACGAGCGGCTCCCCGCTCCCGCTCTCGGCCTGAAGCACGCCGCTGGAGTCCGTCACGAACGGGCGGCACTGGGTGACCTCCATGATCAGCTTGCAGGGGCGGAATCCCGTCTCCGCCTGTCCCAGGGCTACCCGGAAGGTGCTGTTGCCGCCGACGTTGGCGTACGCGCTCACGACTTGGTAGTCGTCGAACCCCTTGCGCATGGCGATGACGTGGGAATCCTGGTAGATGGGCAGCGCCTTGTAGAACAGGTATCCGCCGTCTTGCGAAGACATGGCCGAGCGGAGAGCGAATATCCTCTTGATCCATTGGTATTGCACCGTCTGGGTGTTGTAGCCCGAGAGCCACATCGCCTCGCGGTTAAAGGGAGTGTCGCCGCCCTTGTATCCCTGCTCCAGCCCCTGGTAGATGATGGGAATGCCGTCCATCAGAAGTGAGAAGGTCAGCGCGTTCTTGAGCAGGGCCAAGTCGGGGGTTTCGCTGAGGAAGCGCTTCTGGTCGTGGTTCTCGATGAAGCTGCCGTAGAGCGTAAGGTCGCGTGCTTCCGTGCCAAGCTTCCGGATCCCGGCTGCCAAGTTGGAAATGCTTCCCGTCGTTGACTGAAAAGCTTGCGTGATCCAGTAGTACGCAGGATAGTTGACCAGCCCGGACATGACATCCTGGTACGGCGCTACGTAGACGGGATCCCCGTGGAAGACTTCGCCCATGGAGAAAACACCAGCGGCAGCTTCGAAAGGAGTCCAGAACGACGGTTCGACGTGCTTGGCGCTGTCCAGCCGGAGACCATCGAACTTGTACTTGGCGACCGCGCTCCGAATCCAGTCGTTCCAGACCTGGCGGATGCTAGGGTCCTCGGTACGTAGGTCCGGCAGGGGCACGGCATCGCTACCTTGCCAGCATCTTTCGACGGAGGTTTGGTTGTCGTAGTTGATCCAGCAAGGGGGCAGATGGTACGCGGAAGCATTGCTGAAGGGGCGGAAGGTGGAGTAGTCAACCGAATTGGGGTTTCCGATCCAGGCCATGTGGTTTGTGACGACGTCGACCATGAGGTACATGCCGCGGGAATGGAGAGCATCCGACAGAGCAATGAGGTCCTCAGGTGTGCCAAATGACGGATTGACTTGGTAGATGTCCTTGGCCCAATAGCCATGATACGATTCGCTGTCGAGAGGTCAATTCTGCTCTCCACATGTCTGTGTCTTCTCTTACACATGCACATCGCATGGTATAAGTCGGACTGAGCTTCAAAGACTTACCCGTCAGCGGATTTGCCGTCGATGTTCTTGACAAATGGCGAAATCCACACTGCCGTCGCACCGAGACCTTGGATGTAGTCCAAACGCTGGATGATACCCCTCCACGTACCCCCGCAATACGTCTGCTCCCGATCAACACACGGATATGTCGTCGAGCCGTCAGTCCTGGCAAACCGGTCCGTGACAATCTGGTATATCGTCTGAGACCGCCATTGCGCGGGCGTCAAGGCCGATACACCAGCTGTCAGGGCCGCCGCCAAGACCGATGCTGAGAGGAGCTTCATATTGACTGACTCTGGCGCCTAGAGAGTGACTGATATTTTTGAAAAGAATGTACAAAAGAGTGACTTCAAACCGGAAAAAGAAAGCAAAAAAAACAGAACAACAAGAAAAGAGTGTGTTCAGAAACGTCGTCTCGTAAAACAGATCGTAGGTATCGTGACGTCGTACAGCGTTGGTTTATATATGCTTTCCCGCCTCGCTCATGTCGGAGCAGCCCGCGAGTCGAATAGACTTTGACGCGTTTAGTCGTTTGAATGTAGATTAAGGAGCTGATCCTGCTATACTCCCGTCGGCGTTCCTGCGGTGGACAGCACAAGGATCCCCAGGGCGCGCAGATAGTCTGCTGGGCTGACTAGTCTGCGTTTTGCTGGCAACACCGGGGCCTTAAGGCGCGGCGATGGAAGTATATGAGATGAGGTTGTGATCTTTTGGGCAAGGCGGAGTCCCAAGACGGAAATTTTCGACGTACAGCTACCAGGTCGAGTCGAGGGAGTTGAACAAGGTTTGATTTGGACGGGGGTGGGCTCTCCGCAACTTCAACTCATCTGGAACTTGTACTTTAATAAATATCGGTTGTTGGAAGAACAAGCGCAAGCGCGCCTTTTGTCTCCAGGTTTTGCTTCTCCTTTTTTCTTTGGGTACTGATAACTGCGCCGCCTTCTTTCGTTGACCTTCTAAATCAAGGTTCAGAGGGCAAGACCCCCCCCCATCACTCGTGTTTTTTTTTTCTTCAGCAGAAGGAGGGTCGTATTAACTGGGGTCGAGCTGGGTCGATCGGCCCTATCGGCGGGGGTGTCCCATCTCTCACCGCCCCCGGGAGGCCGAGAAGGGGGCACCGCCAGTTCGGTGATGTCAAGCACGTGTTTGCTTCCAGGTCATGGAGAGCCGCTTAGCTGAAAGGAGCGGAAGAGAGCAAACGCAGCATGAAGCAAACCAAGCAATCGCGTGGGATGGGTGTGGAAAGCTTGCATTTGCCAAGTCGTGGGATGCCGAGATCACACCAAAACTTTGATCTAAAAGGCGGAGTGCCTGGCGGAGTTGGAGATATTTCTTTCCCTCCCACATAGGAACCCAATTTGCGCCCTAAAAACGTGTCGAATCTTGCTCGCCTTGCCCACCTTAGCGGCATGACTCGGCACGCCGTGTGGGCATGTGCTGCGCGGAATTCTTGTCCGTCCGGCCCCCCTCACTATCAAGACGACACGCGCAAGCCGAGATCATCCCCGCATCATCTCTTCAATGACGGGGGTGTTACCTCAACTCACTCGCAGCTGTCGCTGTCAGGGCCGTCTAGTCGCCGACCACCTACCCACCACCACGGCTCAGGGGACGGACCGATTGATGCACATTACGGCCGGCATCGACGCCGAATGGCACTCCGGAGGTTACCATCTCCATGCCGCATTCGAACTGTCATCCCGTCCTCTCGGCCAACCACAGCCACGTGGTTCGTCCGATGCGACCTCAGAGCAGACCTTCTTCCATCGCCAATCCTTTCGATCCTGTAGGCGACATCGGGCCGTTGGGTCACGTTCTGTCAAAGCTGCAGGTGATTGAGAGCTTAAAAGAGAGCAGGGTATTTATTCCAACGTGTCAAGAAAGACCAACGGCCTTTTGTCTTCCTCTCAAGCCATTTCCAATGCGGAGTCTCCGTCGTCTTCCTATAGCCGACCAAATGGCCAATCACTCCGAGTTTCCCAACCCTGTCTATCATCTCGTCGTCACATTACACCTAGATTCTAACCGCACGTGTCGTCAAAATCGACCTATTCAACCGGCCATATTGGTGTTTCCAGCGCCGTTGCCGTACGGCATGCCGGAGCCGTCCGTTTCGGGAGATGACTGTCCCGGGTAAATTTGCTGAAAGCCAACATCACCTCCCCAATTTGCGTTCTGCGTGATCGACTCGAAGGCGTTCTAGACATCGTTAGTTGCCGGGGAGAACAGCGTGCACAAAAGTTGAACATACCCAGTCAAAGTTGGCGGGGAAATCTCCTCCAGCTTCAAGATTTGTGAACATTGAGAGCGGAGATCCCACGCCATTCATGCCGAAGTCGACTCCGCCATAGTTTGGCGTCATTCCTGTACCCGACATTGGCAGTGATACACCAAAGTCCATTCCGCCAAACGTGCTCTGGCCCTGCATGCTGCTCTCTATAGCAGCTGCCGTGTTAGGCGTCATGCCTCCGGATAGCATGCCGAGCGTCATAGCAGCATTGTGCTCAGTCTGCATCTCGGGACTGCTGTCGAAACTCGAAAACTGCTCACTCTTGAAAGTGTCAGGACCTCCGGGGCTGGGGCTCTTGATCTTCTCCAGCATGATGTCAAGAACCTTTGTGGCCTTGTAGGCCTCAATGGAAGTGTCGGAAAGGCCCTTCCAAATTTCTTTGGTTGTCTCAAGATTGCTGAGCATTTCAACCCTCTGTTCCGGCGTCCAGAACATTGCTGACTCTGAAGACCTCCGCTCGTTGCTCGTTTCCGCCACGCGATCAAAGTGCAGGTCAAGAGCAACCAACATTGCAGACAGAAGAAAATCCTTGGTGGCAATCGAGTTGACAAACCACCGCAGAGACCGAAGCCTGCCGTTAGCCCTGGACTCCCGGTCTAGAGTCACCAGGTGCCGCAATGTTTCCAAAGCGGCCTCCACAGCGGTTCTACGAGAGTAGGCGTACCGCGGATTCTGTCTAGCCCGAGGAACATACTTCTTATGCAGGAGGCAGATGATCTTCAGGTAGAGGATGTTGATGTTGAACCTCGCAATGATGAGCGTTACCGGATCATGTGAGTTTTCCAAAGATGCGACCTTGAGATGCGGCGGCAGTTCTTGGTTGATCTCGCGGAGCCGGGCGTCAAAACGCAGAATCTCGTCATACGGCACCTGTCTACCCACCCGGTTGGTGGCCTGCAGAATGTCACCCATCTCTATGCAGAGCTTCGACTTGGCGATCATGTACGCGATCGGAGTGGGCTCTGTCTTCGGCCGTGACGGCGGCAAAATCTTCGTATCGGGCCCAAACTCTTCGTCGAAGATATTGTTGGGCAGTTGAGTATCACAGTCGTGCCCGTAAATCATTGACGGCAGTGATACTTGATGTGAGAAGACCGTATCGGCCATTCTCACCAGCGCCCACGTTCGCCGCCTCATTTCCTGTTCAGGTGTCAGCGAATGGATACCCACGCAATCAAGACGTTTGCTTGCTTACAGCTTGAAATGGTGTCAATGAGGGGAACCACTTTGCATCGCGGTGGTACCCCATCCGGAAAGCAACTCTCGTGAGCAACGACACGATCAGCCAGATCCCCAGATCGGCGTCCCACCGTGCTGAGTATTCCCCAAAGACGTAGAGGAGCATTGTCTCTACGGTGTATTCGACCGGTTTCGTATAATCGGCCGCGATCAAGCACTGCACCGTGCGCAGGCGGTATTCGGACGCTAGATCTAGAGTTCTCCCTTTCCACTCTGGAGGCTCGTCTCCGACCTTGTGGTAGCTGAGCATGGCCAAACACAGGATCGAGTAGAGAAGGCCCAGCCACATGATGGGTGTTTTGGACGGATCTTGCCAATGCGCTCTGAGTTGCTGCTGGAACGTTGGCGAGTGAATGATGTTGACCGCGTTATCCATGGAGTTGAAGTATCGCGAACAAAGAGTGAGCACGGCCGATTTTGGCGGTAGCTCTGCCCGTAACTCAATCTCGGAAGCTGGCGCAGCCCCCAGTAAAAATGTCGGTCCTTCTCTGGCGCTCGCCGGTTTTGACATCATAACCTTCTCGTAGCTCTTTTCGAATTCCTTCTTGTGCGTGACGAAGTAGGACTTCACTTCCGAGATATCCGCCAGAATCGTATGCCAGTGTTCTTGCCCAATGTACATGGACTTGCCCTTATCCGAGTCGACCTTCAACACGCCCAAAGATGTCGCCAGTTCGCCATCCGGATCACTGTCGTCGCCGTCGTCGTCGTCTCGCATTTCTTCTTCGTCGTGATCGATCTTCGCGGAGGCGGGTGTGCTGTCGGTAGTCGATTTGCTGTTGGAGGTGCCAGTCGCGGCTGCTGCTGCTGCTGCTGCGGTGGCAGGATCAATACTCGCGCCCCCATGCATCAAAGACAATACTAGGCCTTCTAAGCGGTCAATACGGTTCTGCATGTCATCCGGGCTTGAAGCGCCTTGACTTTGGTTCTTCTTGCGTGTAGTAGGAGTGGCGTAGGAACATGAAGCCGTATCGGCGCCCTCACGCTTCACGCAATTACTGCATGGATGACTCCTATCACACTTCCTTCGAAAGGTCAGTATTTGCACAATCCAAGTTAAGGTGGTGATAAATCTCACAATCTACCGCACAGGTTAGCAAAGGTCAATATGGGGACTCAACACGCGGACAGCTTACTTCCTAGTCCTACAAGGGTAGCAGCTGAGAGGTACCCTATTCCTCTTCCTCACGACTCGAAACTGCTCCTCAGGAGAGCGACCCGATCCTGAGGAGGGCGTCGTCGACGGGGGTGTAGGAGTCATGATGATAATACAGTCCGCGAATCAGTAAATCGCGTCGGCGCGACTGGGTGACGATGTCCACGGATGGAAGGTTGTGTTCTCGGACTAAAAAGTGTCGTCCAAATAACACACGTAGATACGGCGCAATGCCTCGGAGGGGATAATGCCAGCTGCCGAGGTCTTATACAATAGGTCTGACGAAAGGCCCGACTAGGTTGCCGTCAGACTGTCGACAGGAGGGTACCAAGATAGCCACTGAAACTTTGACAACAGCCAGACCGTTGGCAGCAGCCTAGACCTGTAGGAGTGGAGGAGGTCGGGTCGTGCAGATGCCGTGGGCTTCGACGGGGGACCGGCCGAAGTGAGAGGCGCATACAACAAGAGCCTTGGACAGTCAGACTCCACTTCCCAAACGTCTATGGGAGGACCACGGGGCCTCCGATCGTGATTGGCAGCTGTCGATTTGCCTCGAGTTTGCGGTCGCCTATTGAACGTTTGCCCCCAGATATGAGCAAGTATGGCGCAGCCTTGCTACTATTCTGCTTCTAGAACAAGTTGCTGACTGTGTATCGACTCGGAAGATGTGGTATGTAAGACTGCGCAAAGGGTCGCCACGGGCTCTGGCAGATACGGTAAGATACGCTCCAGTCCACGTACCAGGAGAAGCAGAGAAGGGTGGCCGGGTGTTTTCCGCGATGCGCAAGGGGGTACGGAGGAGAGTCTGTAGACTCCTGTTGGGCCTGACAAGAGCGGGCGCAGCAAAAGGCAGAGAGCAGAGACGATTCCCCGCAGGTTCCCGCAGAAGTCTGTGGCAAGTATCGGAACGGAGTAGCGCAGCGCAGCGCAGTCAGCGCGGGAAGTGTATAGAGGAGGTCGAGGTCTCGCAATGTTACGATGAGCTTGGAAACCAGCGTCAGCTTTTGGTGAATTGGGTAATGGCAGGATCGCATTGGTCAGCGGCCAAGTGCGCCCAAGCAAGTCGCAACTCACCGCTGGTGCTGTTGATGGTACTTCTGCCCTTTGCCTAAGGTATGCTAGACTAGGTGACTAGGCGCGAAGGAAGTTATTGGAAGGGCGACCAAGCCACGGGTGGACAAATGCCGTCGGAGGCGCTGTAAGAAAACCTGCAGCAAAGGGCGCAAGATACTTGTCGAGGTCGACGGCGATTGCGAAGGCGAAGGCGAGTGCGTGGGCGCGGAGGAGAGCGGAGGAGAGGCAAAACCTGGAGGTGGAGGGGAAGAAGTGAAGTTGCGTATCGCTCCGCCGACAAAAAGATTCGATAAAATCATCGGTTACAAGCATCAGCGAGCATCTGATCAGCCATGACTGGCAGGGGTTGGTTCACTGCGCGGGAGGGCACGTAGGGTACGTAAGTGTAAGGGGGGGGTTCTCTTTGGGCCCCGCCACCGTTCCTAACATTCTCACCCGTCCCGAAAGGCAGGTCAAGGTGCTGATCTGACGTCCAACACGGCGAGCGTCTGACGCATTTTACACGACAACGCTGGTGCCTGCGGTTCCCGTACCACCTCACCTACCTTGGGAACGGTAAGGTATTGGATGGGAAGTGTAGATGAGGTGCTAAAATGCGACGCTGGTGGGGGTTGACGGCTCTACGTCCCAGGCTCCGAGCCTGCAGACGGTCGCCGGCGTATGTGTACACGGGCAGCGTGCCGCCCCATGCCCTGTAGTGTCCGGGACTTCCCAGCTGTGCCCCCCTCGCTCGCCGGCAACTCAAACGACAGCGACTTGGACAGGAACCCTGAATTTCTGGCGGAGTCTGGACCTGCGACGGAGTTAACGGAGACAAGAGTGGATCCAGAATCAGCAACATCAGGCGCAATATCACGATCAGTTCTTCTTGACGTTGGCCGTGTCAGAGGTTCAGAAGGTATAAGAGTCATGGGATATCGGACGAGCCCACGCTGTCGATAGGATGGAAGTTGACGGAACACAGAGGTGTGCCGCAGTCTGCGTGTGCTGGGTCCAGATGTCCTGCTGTGTGGCCGTCATGTTTCCGCCGGTGTAATATCGCTTCTGATCCTTCGACTTACACGCGAACCAAAGACCCTTTCCTACCTACTTACAAGGTACCGCTCGCCCTACATACCGTACCAGGAAATCTGGAAGATACTACAACCCGTGCCTTGTCAATGCTGCAAAAAGCAACATTAACGCTGAAATGCATCCCAATTTGCGAATATTAATCATGCTATCTGCCCCTTCAGGACAAAAACCGGCGGTAGAGGAACAAAAAGTGATGACGAAAGCGGGGTGGCTTGGAGGGTTCGAAGTCAAACAACCACGACCTGGAATGTGAAAGGACGACTGATCCCCGCAAGGCTCCGTCCGGTAAGAGCGCCGGGCGGCCGGTGCGTCGTCCCAGGTGCACCCGCCGGAATTCCCTGCCCCACTTGATGAATAATTATCCTGACCTACAATCACCTTCCTGTGCTACAACATTCTTCTCTCTCTTTCTTGGCCGTCCAATCTGCAACAGGCATCGGACATGACGGCGTCAAACATCATGTTGGTTGCTGACAGGCAAAATATCGCCTTCAATTGTTACACAAGTAACGGGCGCGCTTATTACTGACAAGACAACCAACTCCTCCTCTGCCGATCAACTCGGTAGCCCCGTCAGGCCAATTATCGCTTCCCACCGTCGACAAGGGTGCCATACTTATGCACTTCTTTCGGCCGCTCTCCGTATGACTCACCTGTGGATGATACGCCAGCTGGGCCAAAGTATCATCACATTTGCAGTCTGGGATCTTCAGACGAGTTGACTCTGCAATACCGCCGAAGACACCTCGTATGCCGACGGAAGCCTCTCTTCACAGCATTTGTAAGCAGCGACCCTCATCGTCAACACGATCAAGGATGGAACGAAAACACCATCGTCGTCCCATCACCGTACTTGTATACGGTACCACACCCAAATCATCGCCACTCTGGGGCGTGTGCCACGGGGAAACACTCCCGCCTCCTCCACCCGTTGAACGGGTCTTTCCGACATGGATTCTCGCAATCTTCTGGTTGGCCAAAGAGTAACCAGTCACCGAAGCGCACGCTGAAGTTTATTCAGACCTCTGCAACCTGTGCCTTGCAAGGCCGAAGACGATCTCTCAAGCTCCGTTGCGGATGGTGTTTGATCCTCCGGCTGGCCAACCAACTTCTGGGCAAGCTAGTCCCTATGAGACCGCGCTATCAGCACCAAGTCCAGCGAGTGCTTCCCCTTTGGTAAGCACTAAGCTCGTAAAATGCTCGGCCCATGCCGAATCGACAGAGCCAGTTCCCCGGGTTTCGTTTGGCCGCATGTCACACGCAGCCCCGTCGAGCCCTCGCGTGGAAAACAACTCTCGGCAGTCTTCAAATAGAAGCCCTCATCCGACGGGACGACGGGTTTGCGCTCAACCTTCGGAGAAATCCCGTCTCTGTGCGCCCGCAAGGCCGCAATTCAAAAGTTCCCCTAAGCCAGCGGCCGTACCAACTGTATGGTGCCTGAGCACTTGCAAGAGGCTGCTTGCCCAACGTCTCTCATGGCTTTTGAAGCCACCGCAAACGCCCTATGCGTGTCACTGCCGACGTGAGGCTTCAGAGAAGTCAAAAAGCATCTCGATCCACGGAGCACGTTCTCCAGACTTAGCTCATCTCAGACGCACAGGTACCGTTCTCGTTCGAACGTCGCGGCAGTTATCGATTCGTTATAATCAGATGCCCGTTTTTCCCCTGTCAGATGCCGGACGCATGGTGTGAACAGGAGCTTTGCGGATTGGGTACCATCTTCGATCCTCAAGTCTGGTCTCGATGAAAATCTTTCTACGAGTTCTTTCTTCAAGAGTCCCAAGACCAGAGGCGTTTACAACGCCTGGGTTGTTTGTCCCAAGCGTAGGTGACATGTCCGAATGCGAATCCTCCAAGCCTCTGCGCTCTTGGCAGCACTCACTTTCATACTACGTAGGTGCTCCTTCGATTTTCTCTGTCAGTGCACGAAACAAACCAACGAATCACTGCTGTCCCTCATTCTGAAGCTCGTGATCCCGGGGCATTATTTGGAATAATGCTACATGTCCTCTCCGTCAGGAGAAGGAGTGTCTAACATCACGGGCTCTTACCACATCTTTCCACCCTGCGTGTATCTCACCTGCTCCTCCGATCCATGGCTTTGGCTACGACGGTTGGAAGTTCGATCATCTCAGCAAGGACAATAACGATGTTGAGAGTTCTGGTGAGTATTCTTCAAGTCGATTCCAACTTGGAAGTATCTCGCAAAACACCAAAATATGCCAGCGTGGGTTGCCATAGTAGTATCCCCATCTTCTCTACTGTTCTACTGCCATTCTTATCGTTATGATTGGTACTACCATATCCATGAGCCGTATTAAGTGGTTCCTAGGTTCTTGAATGGCTTTCTCTCGTAGACTTTATTTCAAGTGTTTTCATTACTATCAAATATTCATATCTCATACTACATATCGAGGTCCTGAGACGATTCAAATATGAAATCTAGGACAAGAGACTAATCAACGCATCCAGCCACCCGGAGTCAAGAAACGCCTCTAGAACCCAAAAAAGTGAAGATATCAAACAGCCTACCAATCATGCCAGGTTATTCCTGATGTTAGCATACTGGCTGCCCGGGTAACTCAACAAATTCTGCGTCGAGTCGAGCGATCCCATACGCTTCGCAACGGCCCCGACGATACTGTCGTCTCCCTTCTTGTCGCCAGCAGCTTCCCAGAATATGAAGCCGCCCAGGCCCTGGCCCTTCATGTAATCGGTCTTGACGTTGGCGCTCTGCACGTTATCGTACGAAACCAGCTCTCGCGATTTCGAGTCGTAGCTGTACAGCGCAACGGCGGCCTTGTCGAAGATCTCCGTGGCGCCGGGACGCGGGAGTTCCTTGTAGTGCCACACGCCTGGCTCGATGGACCCCTCGCCGACGCCATCGAACGGCAGTCCGATGCCGTCGGTGTTGCGGAATGCGCGCCCGTACAGCGGCATTCCAAGCACGATCTTGTCCGCCCGGATGCCCTGCGTGAGGTAGTACTTGAGCGCGGCCTCGGCGCTGAACTTGGTCACCTGCGGCGCGTCGGGCCGGGCGAACAGGTTCGCCTGGTGGCCCGCCGTCTTGTCCCACGACCCGGAGAAGTCGTATGTCATCACGTGCCACGCGTCGACGTAGGGATCCATACCCTTGAGATCCATCTGCTGATAGCGCGAAGGACCCGCGGGGGACGCGACCGTAAGGACGAAGTGGTAGCCGGGGGCGTTGGCCGCGGCGTACCGGTCAAGCTCCTCGCGGCAGGCCTTGAGCAGGGCGACGAAGTCGGCGGCCTCTTGCTGGGACTCGGGGTACTCCCAGTCGATGTCGAGACCGTCGAAGCCCCAGTCGGCCATGAGCTTGACGGCGGTGGAGGCGAAGCGCTGGCGGCCCGCCGCGGTGGCGGCTACGGGGGCGAACTTGGACGACCAGGTCCAGCCGCCGATGGAGAGGACGGCCTTCATGTTGCGGTGCTGTTTCTTGAGGGCGTAGATTTGCTTGACACAGCCGTTTGCGTTGCCTTGGGCCTGCGAGTCGCCGGGGTAGGCTTTCTCGGTGTCTGCGAACGGATCGGAGGAGATTCTGCGTCTGTTAGGTCTCGGTGATGAGGTGCAGTGGGCAAGGTCAACTTACACCGAGCCGTCTGGTTTTATATCCGCAAACGAGTAAAGCAGATGCGTTACTTTATCACCGGGTATGTCTGCCGGTTGGTTGTTGGCTTTGTATATGCCCCTGAAATTGGTAAGCTTAAGTAAAAGGCCGAACAAGTGTTCGCACGTACCAGTTCGTAAAGTACAAAACAGTTCTGTAGCCAGACGCTGGAGGTGTCCCCCCTCCGCTGCTTGGAGACGGAACTGTCCAGCCAGCATTTGGAGCTAGAGATGAAGATGCCGGACTTGGCGCCTTCGAGGATACTGTGTACGGGTTAGAAGGGACTGTTGGCGGATTTGAGGCATTTCCGCCTCTCTGCGTTGTTCTGGTGGCCATGGTAGTCTTTGTAACTGTTGTAGAGACAGTCACAGTGTCTGAGGAGGCACACCCGACCTGTGGTGAGGGCGAGTTCATCATGGGCACAGCGCCCACGACGGTGAGGATGAGAGGGAGGAGGAGGCGTTTTGCGACCATGTTGTCTGATTAGTGCTCGAATTGGCTTGTTGTGATGAGACAAGAAAGAAGAAAGGAAGGAGGGAGCAAACTAGGGAGATGATATATGCTCCTTCTAAGGCAACTCCGATGCCTATTGAGATTGGCAATGCACGAGCGGAGATGCTTCACCTTGAGGAATGTGTACGGCGGATGGCACAGTTCGCCAACCACCACAACCAAGCAGCGGCCACCAGAGGAATGAGATAGAATGCATGAAGGTTCTTCCATGACGAACTGTAAAATGTTGTTCAACAAGATTGCACGTCAGGGTACGCAAAGCGTCGATGATTCCAGGTAAGCCAATCCGGAACATCGATTGAGGTTATGGAGACGCAAGTTCCAGTAACAAGCCGGAGTCACTTTATTCTAGAGCTACCATCTTGCAATTTTGAAAGATTTGTGCGGAGATAATGCGTTCTACAAAGTCCAATTAATATCTCTCGAGAGTTAGAAATTGAGACGGGCAAACATCGACACTCAGCAGTCTGCAATCAAGGTGTAGAGCTCAGATTGCCGAAAGAGCAACTTCGTCTCTACATCTCCGAATCCGTTGTATGCTATCCAGCGTACAAACTCTTGGGGTTCTTTGGGACAGCATTCCGCAAGGTGGTCGCACTTGTGTGAGTCTGCCGTGAGGTTGAAGTTGAGAAAGTTGCATTCTCCGAACGTTCAATGTTCCAAGGTAATGGTTACTGCGCCCCGCTTTTCCAGGCACCTTACTGGGACACCCTGAAGAATGAACCCTGCCACAGTGCCACAGCGGGAGGGCCCGCCACTATCCCAACTCGCTCCACCACTGACAGCTGCCATCCTGTCCCATCCCAACAATCTCACCACTTTTGGACGTGATTCAGGTCAGCTCATTTTGTTCGAGAGCGGGTTGATCATGAGATTGCTGAAGTTACCAAGTCTCTGAAATAGGATTATTGATGGCGCAGCTAATGATGCACAAATCGAGGCGCTGTACCTTACATCTGGATGGGCGAGAGCATACTCGCGCCACTTCCTGGCACAATGTCTCGGTTAGCATCGCCAGCCGTTAATTAACGACGACTGCTTCAAATCGGCTAAGGACCGTAATCGATCAGAACTACCCAAACAATCGTTCGAATCCGTAATGGATAGTTGCCTCCCCTTCCCAAACAAATCCCAAATTCGGAACCTCAACTCTGGACGCAAGACAGGACTCACAACAGGTCGTGAAACGTATCTCCAGCTACCTATCTAGATCCTGGATGTTCTAACATTGTCTTGCTTATTCGGCTCTTCTTTTGAAGCGATACTGACAGCAGGTCTAGAACATGTCAGCTCGTGCCATGTGAACAGATGAGATCATGAAATAGACCTACACAGCTTCATTCAAACTTTTGCCCTCAAGTCCTAGTGTCTTACTCCCTGACGTTGCCGTTTCCCTCTCCCCTTCATCCGCAGTCTTCCTCTCGAATCCCATCATGGCCGTAGGCATCAGCGCAAAAGCCCCCAGCAAACCAACAAATGCAAGCCACGCCTTGCCATCAGTCTCCCAAATCCAGTCGCCATAGCCCTCCTCGTACAGTAGGAAGCCGAGCAGCGCCTCGGACGTAATCATGAAGAATGCCGCCAGCCCACCGATGGCCAGCCTGAACCACGCAACGCGCGGTATCTCATAGGAAACGACGACGTAGCGCGCCCATATTATACCGACAAGTGCCTGCAGAGGTACGAGCATGAGCTCCGTCTCTGGAGTAGAGAGGTGCTGCCTGGAGACGGGCAGCAGGTGTTCCTCGTATTTGCAGACAACCCAAGAGAGGAGAGTGCCGGTCGCGAAGGTAAGAAGGAAGTAGGCCCAGGCGATGCGAACGATGAAGAAGGCGAGAGCGACGTCCCAGAGGATCTCGATCACTGAGTCTGTCGTCTCGAAGAGGTAGTGTCCCGTCATCTTGATTCGAAAATGATCTGAAAGTAATAGTAGTTGGTAATAGTGGATTTTATTTCGCCGAAGCATTTTACTGTGTTCTCTCGGGGGCCTGACTTTGTGCCCATTATATGTAGACATTCTCTGCTCACGCGACTAATTTTCAAGGTTCTTGTGATATGACTGAGTTGAAGACAGCCAGATGTGTGGGGTGATCGTGGAGTGATGTCCGGGGAACCGCGGGATGATGCACCCCAAATGCACAACTACCTTGCACGCGCCAATGCCGAGGGGGCTCATATGGTATGAACGCGCCAGCTCGTCAATTCCTGCGCGGCTCGGATTTGTAGGTGCGACAATCATCGCTGATCGCGGGTGATGGGGGATGAAGTGTATTTTGGGGGGTATCGTCTCTCCGTATAAATGGGGGCAGTCCTCTTGCGTTCCTCCTTCTAAACTAATAAACCAAAGGGGATAGTTCGTCGGTCTCTTATTAAATACCGGTCTTCTCCAGCTTCTTGGCCAGTTCGTCCACCTCCTTGTCCTTGAGCTGGACGGTGGGCTCCTCTTGAGCCTCCTCGGCCTCCTTGACAAGGATCTCGGCTCTCTTCTCGGGCTCGAGCTCCTCTTCTTCCTCGGACTCCTCCTCTTCCTCGTCGGAGTCTTCTCCCTCGAGGTCGCTGAGGCTGTCGAGACCCCAAGCATCCTCGTCGATCACATCGCCGCCGTCCTTCTCCTTACGTGCCTCGAGGAGCTCGCGGATCGCAACAACAGACGGGTCTTCCTCCTCGAACTTGTTGCCGTTGAGCTCAACCTTCTTCAGCGCAGGCAGGGATTCCGCGGCAGCACTAGCGATGCTGGTGAGAGCCTTGGGCGTGATATCGTTGAATTGCAGGCGGAGGATCTCGAGCTTGCCCTGCTTGCCCTTACCAAGAGCCTTGGCAACGAGAACAGTGCCCTTGGGAGTGAGGTAGGCATCGTTCAGACCGAGCTCCTGCAGGTGCGACCAGGTGGGGAGCACGCTGGCAACGGCCTTGGCACCAGACATGGTGAAGGTGTTGTCCTGGAGATCAAGAACGCGCAGCTCAGTTGCGTGATTCAGGCCCTGGCTGATGAGGTGGCTGATACCCTCCTGGCGAATGCCGTTCTGGACCATCTTGATCTCCTTGATCTTGTTGTGGAGGCTGAAGGCCTTGGCCCAGGCCTGCATACTGCCGTTCTCCAGACGGTTGCGGCCGCAAATAACGGTCTCAAGGTCTGGGACCTCCTTTCCTTCTTTTCTGGCCGCCTCCTTCTTCGCGTGCAGCTCAGAAAGCGCATCCGCGACCAGAATACCAGCGTGGGGGCCGAGACCGTTGTTGTTCAGGTAAAGGTGCTGGAGGGGCACGTGAGCTGCCAGGAAAGCGACGACGGGAGCTTGGGTGTTGATGCCGAAGGCATTGTCGTTGAGGTTGATCGTGTTGAGCTTGGGGAGGTTCAAAATGGAGGTGAGGAGGGAGGAGAGCGCCTCGGGAATTTCGCTCAGGAGGCGGCCGGTAAAGATGTCGGAAAGGTCAGCGGACTGTCACCGTATAAGTTAGCATGAGCGCATGTAATCTAACAAATGTTCGGAAAACCAACCTGAAGGTTCTTCTTGGTGGCTAAGACCTCCCCAAGAAGCTTGCAAGCGCCGACTCCCAGAGTGTTTCCCAGAAACTTGACCTCCTCCACGTCAGTCGAGCGCAAGTCGGCGATATGGGGCTCGAGGTCGGCCGCGGTGTCGAGCTTGAGAGCCTTTCCCTCGAGGGAGAACACCTTGCGCGTAGTCGCCATGATTATTTCGATTCAAAGAGAAATGTTTTGGTTTGCTGGGAGCAAGGTGGCAGGTGTTGCGCAAAATGAGTGCCTGGCTGCGTTGTGATGGTGGGGGAGGGGCATAAACAAAATAACTGAGGATTTCGAGACCCCAAGATGCAGGGGTTCTGCCTGGGTTGCGTGGGTGCCTGGCTGCTTGACACTGGCAAGGGGAACCAGTGCCAGCTGGCGCCAAGCTGGTAGAAATGCCCCGGAAATTCGCAGTCGACTGGACCCACCGGACAAGCTCCCGCGAGCCACGGTCGTCGCGATCCAGGCGCAAACATCATTTGAGTTGTCAGGAGCGTTGTATTACCTGGCGTTGTTTCCCACTTAATCAATTCCTTTTGCATACTGCTCCCATCGCGGATCGGGCAGCTTCTCCATCTCCTGCAGAACATATTCATCAAATCCACGATTACAATTCGACCCTCTCGTCAAGAAATCAATCCCACTGGCGTCGAATACAATCTGATACCGTTTTCTCCATCCTTCAAAAGATCTTTCCATCATCAAATTGCCCATCATGGTCCGCGACTCAACACCACCCGAGTCGCCTTTGTCCTCGATGGATAACAGTGATGCTTCCGAAAACGAAGCCCACGACTACGAAGACGAATCGCTTCTCCGACCATCGAAGCGACAGAGGCTCGGAGCCACGTCGACGACCTCTCCTGCACCCGCCGCAGTCCACGAACCCCATGAGCCCGAACCCGAGGCAGACCCCCTGGAGGGCTTGTCGGATGTTTCATCAGACACGTCTGGTGATATCCCCAGTTCCCCCATCAACGCCAGACTCGACGAAGAGGACTTTCAAGAGCAGGTGACCGTGTGTGCCTGGGAAGGTTGCGATGCCGGAGACCTTGGCAATATGGACAGACTGGTAGAGCACATCCACAACGACCACATCGAGAGTCGTCAGAAGAAGTACACATGCGAGTGGAACGGCTGCAATAGAAAGAGCATGGCTCACGCAAGCGGCTACGCGTTGAAAGCACATATGCGTTCCCATACCAGGGAGAAGCCCTTCTACTGCTACCTCCCAGGTCAGTTCCTCTCCTTCACCCTTCTACGTACATTCACTAATTGAATGCAGAATGCGACCGTTCATTCACAAGATCCGATGCCTTGGCGAAACACATGCGAACCGTTCACGAGACAGAGGCGCTGCGGCCCTCCGATCCTGTCCCTAAGTCGATGCAGTCAGGTCCTACGGGCAAAGGCAAACTCAAGATCATCATCAAGACCCCTCAATCGCATGCTGCCGGCCATGACGACTCCATCGACGATGGTGCGGAGGACGACGAGCTCTCGGCCGACCTCTTTACACCTCTGACCGAAGAGCAGGGGTTCACCCAAGAAGAGCTTAACATGCCTCTTGAGAAGCTCTACCGACTTTGTAGGTTCCAAGTCAAGTGGGCTCAGGAAGATTCGGCCAAACTCCTAGAAGAAGTCAAGTATTGGGAGAAAGTGTACAAGGAGCAATGGCAGGAGAAGGAAGTCCTCCTATCCCAGGTCGTCCAAAGCGAGGTTGACTGGCACAAGCGCAAAGCAGCTGTACTTTCTGGCGCTGCAGACGTGCAACTGTCGGGTGTGATTGAGAGCCAAGAGGGCAAAGCAGAAGGCGATGAGACGCAGTCACTAGCGAATGGAGCCAACAGCACTGAAGTTGAGGTAGCTGGTTAGGTTCGGGCGTCTTCACGAACGCCCAGTATTTCCTATGCTTCCGACTAGAATGAGGACAGGGGACATTTCATAGGGGTCCCTTTGGGCTTGGGTGAAGCCAAAGTTCCCTGCATTTATTGCGGCAAAGAGTACTCATATTACTATCTTTTGGCAACGCACGCGCAAGCCTGCAAAGCTCTACGAGGTGTGATGAGGAGAAAGAAGACCAGAAACGACATAATCATACGGACGGAGGGGCTCATTAACATTGGGATTCGGCATTGCCCAAGACGACCAACCAGAAGAGATTGTATGTTGAACAGGCAGAAGAAAGCTACACAGAAACGCCTGCTTGGGTTATTTCAAATCGCAAAGGAGCAAAATATCGCACGGAGATTGGCACGAGGCCAGGAAGTTCCCTGGTATCTGAATACATCATCGGGCGAGCGGGGTTAGGACTGGATGGCAGAGGCGTTCGGCGTGATGTATATTAGACAAACAGTTTATCATTAGTGTCCTTGAACAAGTAGCAGTCTACTCTCTAAAACTACAGTAGTGCTTCGCCTCTAGCCCAGGTGACGAAGATGCGGAGGGACGACGGTAGAGACGACGATGATAGCGGTGAAGGTTGACACAACAAGGAGGTAATAAGGTAGATAGGCTTGTCGCTTCGTGGCTATTTGACTCTAGGATTTAATTTCCCAGATTTCAGGCCACCTAATCTTCAGCCTCTTGGATACTCAAGCCATCCTTTTGGTATGACTGCTTTCATGGTATGTTTCCTAGTCGACCGAACTGAGTACCCATAAGCCAAAACCTCCAAATCTATGTACCGCAAGCAACAGTCTCATCGAGTGTCAGACCTCACCGTTCTACATTCCCTTCTTCTTGGTGCGGTAGGACTCGGTGTTCTTGAAGGGGAACGAGCTCGTGTCCTTGTCGAAGCCGTGCTTCTTGCTGCGGCGCGACTTGTCACCGGCGAACATCAGGCACCACAGCCCGAACACCGCGAACACGGTGCTGCCCAGGCATCCCAGGACGAAGGCCGTCTGGTCCGACCTGAGCCACCTGCTGTAGCAGTAAAAGGCAGCCGAGGCGTGGTGGAGCGATGTCAGGACCAGGGCCGCATTGGCATAGGGAGATACCGTCCCTTGCGGTGCTGTGTGCGTCTAAGTACGTTGCGTCGTATCAGAGGGAGAACGGATTCTTACTTTGGTCCTCGGAGGTGAGCGGTACCGCCCCGGAGAGGGTCACGACCAAAAGGCCGAGAGTGAGGAGGGCGAAGCCCAAGGAGCGGGCAAAATAGTCCTCCAGAGCTGAGAGACCAGTCAGTTCCTGAATACCGAGAGACGAAGGCGAAGAGCTCACTGGTCGCGGCGACCTGGTAGTCATCTGGACGTAGCAGGTTTCCGATGAACCTCGGCCACACAATCAGCGGTATGGCCTGGATGGACAGCCATCCCAGGTTTCCGAAGCTATAAGATGAGACCGCCTGTTGCAGAGCATCTGTCTTTAGTGGGAGCTTCGCCTCGAGAGGGTGGGAGAATGGTTTCTTACGTCCATTGCTGAGATCTTGTGACCGCTATGTCGGATTGGGTTCTTCGTTCAGGAAAGACAGTTCGAATTGGTCAAAACCACGGACTCTTTTGAACCTCGAAGAATACCAAGATGCTTGTAGAAGCTGTCGTACGTGGATGAACTCAGTTACATAAAATCGCGGCCAGCGACGTCATTGGGCCCCGGCCCGGCGAAGCGCGCGTTCCCCTGCCGTCTCCCAGCTGGGTGAATGGGGCGAACACGCACTCCGACTGGGCTCCCTGTCATCGGGTCGCGCGCGCTGCACCGCCTGGAAAAAGCAGCCCCCTGTGGCCCCCCTGTACGATTTTGTCAGCCCGGCCGATGCCGCGGGGGGTCGCTCCACTTACTTTTCTTCGCTCCCCCCAATCCGCCACCTGCCGATTTCGCATGCCGGACTGACATCCAGTCTCCTTCGAAGCCCCTCTACGAGCCCAGTGGTGGGGGACGTATTTGCAATCACATCCTGTCCCAATTTCACTCAATCTTTTTTTTGCTAATCAGTCTGGCCGATTTTCGCATCTCCGGATTCGCGGAGAGGAAAACGAATATATACTTCGCAGATAGCACGGGTCTCCAGTCTTTTGCATTAGCAAGCAAATGACAAAAAGGCGGCCTGGTACCTCTTTCGCCTCCTCATCTACATCGACATCTTTGCGCCGTCTCTGACTTACTCGAGCGCTCTGCGTCACACTTTACAACAACGAAAGGTCTCTCTTTGCGATACGCCAATCTCGACCAATACTGCAACCAACCTAGTTCCTTTCGGCCCAACAACCACTCACAATGAGTGCGATCCTCTCGGCAGACGACCTGAACGACTTCATCAGTCCCGGCGTCGCCTGCATCAAACCCATCGAAACCCTCCCCTCTGCCCCGCCCCCGCCCTCGCAAGATGCCTCCCTCGAGACCGAAGTCATCCTCGACGGCCAACCGGGCTCCGCCGCCGCCGCCGCCGCCAACGCGCCGCCCGCCGAGATATCCCTGACCGACTGCCTCGCCTGCTCCGGCTGCGTCACCTCCGCCGAGGCCGTGCTGGTGAGCATGCAGTCGCACACCGAGGTCCTCAACACGCTCGACTTCGGCCCCTCGCTGCGCATCGTCGGGCCCGACGAGAGCGGCCAGTTCCGCGTCGACGGCCTCGAGGACGAGAGCCGCAGGCTCTTCGTCGCGAGCGTCTCGCCCCAGACGAGGGCCAGCCTGGCCGCGGCCGCGGGCAACGGCACGACGGAGAAGGAGGCCGGACACATGCTGGAGAGACTGCTCAGCGGGCCGGAAGGGCTCGCGGGCGGGGGCAAGTGCGGGAACGGGTTCACATGGGTCGTCGACACCAACGTCGCGCGCGAGGCCTGTCTGGTCATGGGCGCGGACGAGGTGCTAGGCGCTGAGAATGCGCCGGCGTCTTCCGCGACGAAGCCGATCCTTACTGCTTCGTGCCCCGGCTGGGTTTGCTACGCCGAGAAGACGCATCCCTACGTCCTGCCGCACCTGTCACGAGTGAAGTCTCCTCAGGCGTTGATGGGCACGCTGCTGAAGACGACTTTGAGCAGGAAGTTGGGGATCCCCCCAAGCAGAATTTGGCATCTCGCAGTCATGCCGTGTTTCGACAAGAAGTTGGAGGCCAGTCGCGAGGAACTCACAGACGCGGTATGGGCAGGAGACGGAACGCCAGGTCGCGGGGTCCGCGACGTCGACTGTGTTATCACAAGTAAGGAGGTGCTGATGCTCGCGGAATCAAGAGGCTTCAATTTCTTCGACCTCCCCCGGAGTAACCCTAACCTCCAGCGCGCAGTTTTCCCTGACGCGCGATTGGATAAATTCCTCTTCCCCCGCCGCGCCTCCCATCGCTCGCCCCAAGCCGCCGGCTCCTCTGGCGGAAACCTCTACTTTACTCTCCAAACGGTGGCATCCAAACACCCCAACTCTCAGATCCAAACAGTCCGTGGACGTAACGCTGATGTCGTCGAATACATTGTCGCATCCTCCACAGGAGACCCGATATTCAAAGCGGCAAGATTCTATGGTTTCCGCAATATTCAAAACCTGGTGCGCAAGCTGAAGCCCGCGCGGCCGTCTCGCATGCCCGGTGGCAAGGCCTTCGGCGCCGCGAGACGGCCTACGGGCAAGTCTGCCGGCCTCGAGTATGCCTACGTCGAGGTGATGGCCTGCCCCGGCGGCTGTACCAACGGCGGTGGTCAGATCAAGGTTGACGACCCAATCATGGTCGAGCGCAAGGGCTTCACGACGAAGCCTGGTCCGCCCGAGCAAAAAGATTTCCTTGCTGAAGTTGACGAGGCGTATTTCTCAGCCGAGGACTCTGACGGCGAGGAAGTCGTTTCCCAGAATGGCGACACTCGCGAGGATGTTGTTGACGGAATTTCGCCTTCTTATATTCGAGATACCCTGGCGCATTGGGCGAGCATAACTGGCATAGACTTGGGTAGACTGGCACTCACGACGTATCGCGAGGTAATTAGCGATGTCGGCAAGGACAAGACGAGCGAGACGGAGCGCGTCGTTCAGCTGGCGGGAAAGATTGGCGGAGGTTGGTAGCCGTCCTGTCGATAGAGTAGTAATTCAACCTTCCTTGGTGCCTCGTTTGGCAAAGCCAAAACCACCTCTCCCACTCCCATCTGGTCCACGTGGTGCTCGAATAGCCTGTTTCGGTTGATTGTCGTCCCTGGGAGTCGATTGTCCAGACTGCTGGCCAGAATCGCCGCCGCGTCTTTGCAGGGAGACACCACCGCCTCTCGGCGAGTAGCTGGGATCGAAGAGCTCTCGGCCGCTGTCGGACCGACCCACGTCATGCCTACTGCCGGGCCGTCTGCTGTCCTCCTGCCTGCTCGAATTGCCTCTGTGGGCCCCTCCTCGCCCTCGTCCCCTGCCGCGTTGGTTTCCTCTGCCGCCATCGCCAGACCCTCTAGGCGGCGTGACAGCCCCCGGGCTCGAGGCGCCAGACGAGGGGTTCGACTCCCCAAAAAGCCTAGCGCGGGCCTCCTCGTACCTGCGCTGCTTCTCCTCGAATTCGCGCTGCTGCCTGGCTCTGTTCTCCTCCGGTGTGAGCTGCGGCTTCTTCTCGGGCTTGTCGTCTGCGTCGTCGTCGGCGAGGGACAGCTGAGAGACTCCGGTGACGGGGTCGCGGCGGGCGATCATCTGGGGCGCAGGCTTGCGGCTAAGTACTTTGACCTGGGGCTTGAAACCGGAGGCCAGTGGGACGGCGGGTTGCGAGTCGAGGAAGTTCATGGGCGCCGGAGCGTCACTGTTGGGCAGCCGTGGTCAGTCAAGCTGCTAGTGAAGGAGGCACTCCGGATGCTTTGCAGAGTCCTGGATGGAGAGGCGGACTCACGCTTCTTCCCACAACTTGCGATTCGACTCGGCGTGCCGCGCAAGACGCTCTGCCTTACTCAGTGGTGCCTGAGGGTTGGGCTGCTGGGGCTGGGAGTCGAGCTTGTCGGCTTGCGCCTCCCAATCCTCGTCGTCCCATGCATCGGGAACAGGATCCTTCTTGCCCATCTTGGGAGTCGTGGGCCGTTGCAGGTTGCGTGTAAGAGCCCGTCGGGTTGATGCAAGCTGCCTGTCGAGCCTGCAAGGTGTCCAGGGAGTGATGCGAGGAGGAGAGGGGAGGAGCGAAGCGTTCGGTGACCGTACGGAGGCTGGCGGGTACCGGTAGCTATGGTGGCAGCATTGGAATATTCCGAAAAGCAATGCGGGAGATAATAAACATTCAGATCTGACGTTGATGGAAAAAGGTGGGATGAAGTTGACGACCTCGTCCTTGGCTCCGTTCCCTGAACCGTTCAGGTTCGGGGCTCTTTTTTGGTAGGTTTTATTTTGGCTTTCCCGCGGAGGGGCTGAACTCGGTCGGTACCTCCCGCTTGCAGTAATGGCCGCACAAAACCACGTACCGGCCAAGTCCCTCCTTCCGGGCACTTGTGTGGAGGGGCAGCGCAAGGGTGGGTGTCAGCAGGCGCTACATCGGATCTTGGAAACACCCTTGGAATGGTGGGGTTGCCCGGCCCGCGTGTGTGTGTGACGGGGTCGGACGTGGACAGAACAGGACGACGTCCCCATCCCCTTTGACATCTGCAAGTCAGTCAACTGCGTAAGCAGGGCGGATACTTGGACTCTTCGACTTTGGAAAGAAGGAAATAATCATTCTCTCCTGGTATCACCCAACACGATTCTTCGTCTATTCGGTTTTTGTCTCGGCTTACAAACCCTCATAACCTTGTTAACCCCCCGGCCTGGGCATACATTCCTCTTGGCGCATAATTAACGATTGCCAAATCGGGCCCTGCAGCAAGCCAACGGCATCAGTAAGCACCCAGCTCCAAGCAGCGCCCATGCTTCACAATCCTCTAATATTCACCAGGACTTGGACACACTGAGGATAACAAGAAACGATGGCGCAATCTGCCCAACTTCAGACACCTGGGCCCGAGGCGGGAGGTAGCGCCGGCGACGAGAAGGCGGCCAACTGGAACACCAAGAAGTTCCGGGAGGAGTACGAATCCTTCAAGGCCAAACTCGTCGATCAGCGCTTCGATCCGAGTAAGATCATCGCCGACGCTGCAGAAGGATGTGAGGACCGGACGGAGCTAACGTGGCCCAGAGCACTATCCAGACCCGCTGGGCCCCAGGAAGACTTCTGACGTTCGCAATAACCCAAAGAGTTCGAATCCGGAGTTTGAGAGGAAGATTGATCAGATCATCGCCGAGTACAAGGCATGATGCCGTCTCTGGCGGGCTGTGTAAGAGAGGGTTCTGGGTCGTCTAAAGAGGAGGTTGAGAGGGTGATGTACGAGTCTTGAGTTTGCTAGGGACGACAAGGTCGACCAGAAATTGCAAATCATCTTATTCGTTTGAACGTTCGGCTTCATTCAATATCTCCTTCGACTTCTTGGTCAGATGGCCCCATATTAACCGGGCATATATGTTATTCATTTTACAGCGCTCATTCCAAGAGAAATTCATAGGACGTGGACTGACGCTGCGGATATAATGGGAAGACCCCAACGCTGGTATGTCATCGTCAATGTACGCGACCTCTGCCCTCCGACGTGCTGAGTTGACCACAGACTACAGCTGCGCACTCATTGAGAACGTATGATGAGGGTTGGTTTGAGGGGTTCAGTCTCTGAGACGAGAAAAGAAGCCATTCTGGAGTCCTAAAACCGGGATGTCGAGAGATGCCCAAGTTGTTCATCTATGGCCTGGGCTTCTAAGGGTATGTTCAACCCACACTTGCAGAGATAGAGACGATGAAAGACCCCCAACAATGGCGACATCTTTCAAAGCAGATTCAAACTTCCTTCCAAAGGACCTTTCTTCCAGAAACACAATCAATAGCATCGTCACATTAGAGTGTTCAACATACAACAACACCTTTGTCACAGCCCCCTTTATCCATCCCACCTCTGCCCTCACAACTAATCTCCCAAAAAAAACCTCACATCAACACCCCTCTCTCATCCGAACCCAGAAAGACCTGCCTCACCTGATCATACTCGACAGTGAATTAATGAGGTCTGCCTCAGTCCACAAGGGCACCTCACAAACAGTCCAGGCTCAGTCCCGTCAACCATCGTCAAGAACCTCACAACCACCTCACACACACCAGACGAAAAACGCACCCGCGGGGATGGCTCCGCTCTGATTCACATCCGTACCTCCTTGATCTGCTATATACGACTTTGTAAATCCCCATTTGCTTCTTTCCTCTTCCAATACTCGACATCACCAAACCTTTTTCACATTGACAAAAAAACAAGAAACAAACACAAACATCTTCGAATACAACATCATCATCACAAGAGCAACGATGGCTTCGAAAAGTACCTCGCAGACCTCCAAGACGGATGGCTCTACCGAGGCGGCTGACCCGGTACTCGCCCTCTCGGCCCCGACCCCGGCCCCGTCTCCCCTGAACCCGTCCTTCCAGAAGCAAGGTACCTCGCCTCCTACGACATCCTCCAAGCTCATCCGACACAAAACTAACAAACGCGCAAAAGGCCACCAGTCCCTCGCCGCCCGCCGCGCCCACCGCCCCGAGGCCATCACCATCCCTCCCGCCTCCCCCTCGCCCTCCGAGCTCTCGACGATCAAGCTCGAAGACCTCGCGAGCCTCTCCCGCGCCTCCTCCGAGCTCCCGCTCCGGGCCCAGGGACCCAACACGAAGTCGCCCCGCGTGCTCATGAACACCAACACCTTCCGCTGGGTCAAGATGAAGGACGGCGTCTGGGTCAAGGTGAAGCGCTACCGCTTCATCATCATCCGCAAGTGAGCACGGCGCCGGTCCGGTTTCGAGTACGATTTTTGCTCTCCTCTTTTTGCGCGGAGTTTGGAAAGGCGTCGGCCCCGTCGGCTATCGTGGAATTGCGTCGTTCGATCAGCATGGGTGTTGGAACTCTTCTTCGGTATTTTGGCATTGGGATTGCAGAGCATTACCTGGTTGTATTAAAATCGCGGAGAAAGACGGAAAAGCATGTGATACCTTTGGAGGTCATTTGGCGGCGTTGCGTATAGAGTGGCATCTCGAAGCACAAGGAGTCTAGCATAGCACTTGTTCTTATAAAGACCTGTTTCTCTGCCGAGCAATAGTAATCTTTCTTGTTCTCTGCGTCATCGAGAAGCAAATCAGCCGCGCGAGCAACTCTACAAACGACGCAATCCTTGATATTCAGCTCGAGTTGCGTGATTGCGGGACATCAGGCCGTCAGAAGCAGCCAAATTCTGGTCCATTGCCGGGGATTCTTAAAACTCATTGTTTAGTAGTCGATCTCCCATTCGTTCCGCACATTCACCTGGTTCGGAGGGAAGCACGAGTCGTAGATAGTTTACGCGTATGTACAAAAGACCAGAAGCCTTGAATGGCACACAGTCACACCGATATAAGTCCATGATATTAAATCAACGTCGATAGCGGTGCCGACATATGGCCGAAATTTGGCAAGCTCGGGATTGGACCCCGGGTGCCAAGTCGTCCGTTTCCGGCAAGTTGAGCTACTCGTCGTTGGGAGCTTGCACATGGCAAGCCTGGAGCTACCCCTCATCGGCAGGATGCGGGTGGATTGACACCGGTATTGCATCAAAGGTGCATAGCCAAGGTAGCAGCGCGACGGTTTGTTGGAGATTAACTCCAAGCTTCAACGGGTCCTTTCGAGGCGTGGCTGCTGAACTCTCCTGCGAAGGTTAGAAAGCTAGAGCCCATCAAATCGACTGCCTATTCTCGGTCAAGAGCGTGCATTCTTCATGTGAAGAGGGCAGCTCGAAATGCACGAAGGGTCGTACGAACAAACAAGCGAAGGTTCGTCGGCATGTTGTTTCCGGGGGGGTTGAGGAGGGGTGGCAGCTGAGAGGAACTGGGTTCGAAGATTGGATAACAACCTTCTTTCTTGTCAAAGGAGCATTTGCGGGATTGGCGAGGTGCAGATCCGGCGGGTCGGGTCGAGGATTCTTCGGACGAGGATTGCTCGGGGTTGGGGTTGCGAAACGTTGACCAGAGACGCGCACTCTCGCACGAAGATGGGCGGACCGAAGAGAGTTTGGACGCCTGCAACAGAATCACGTACTGGTGACTCACTGCTGAGCGCTCTTGTTGGGGATGCGAATGTCAGCCATGCGCATGGGGGAGAAAGCCTCCAGCCTAGGGTATCGACAATCATTGGATGCCCAGTAGGAAGTAAATCAGATGCCGCGTGAGCGCGTCGCGAAACTTGATTGATGTCCTTGTCCTCGATGTTGCTAATAACCGCAACCTTGGTCGAGTGTGGTCCTGTTTGCAAGTTAGCTGCCAGACAGCTCAGCAAGTTGACCAGCTGCTGTATGCGCAATGGGCCTAATGACTCGTTGACGCAAAACCGCCATGTCTCGAACGCTGGGCAACGTCGGGTCGGATGGGAGCAGGATTGTTAGCTCGATGGGAGGACGAAGGACATGGAGAGACCGGTTGACGTAGTGGATTCCACCAGTTACGTAGCGGCGGGACAGTTGCTCCACCGCAGATGAACGGCGGGGTGATTGTCGGTTGTCGTTGGACTTGCGTCCATCTTGCACAATGCGTGGGGAAAAGTGCGGAGTCTGGAATCTTTGGGAATTGACGACGTTTCCAGGATGACTTGTGGTGGTCGTGTCATGGAACGTACAGACTTGGTTGACAGGGCTCTCCAAGTAAGCGTGAGGTTGCGACGACTGGACCGGTACCGATACCTCGACGAGAAAGGGGGCGACAAGCAGACCGGAAGGCACTCGCAAGTTTGTCATTTGACGTTGCAATATGTCCAAATTGCAAGCCGCTGCTGAGCCACCTCTCAACGTTGATTCGTGTGCCCTAGGGGCAAAATCTCTATGTCAGAAGACATTGTAAGCGCTTGTTTCCGGCCGGTCTTGCATCTGTTGAAGACGCGTTGTACTTGGTTGGACTTTCGTATATCTCGATCCGACGTAAACCCCTTCTCCTTAAGGAAGGAGACTTATTAGTCAAGTCATTTTTCTCTCCAGTTCTTACCTCAGCTGTCCAGTATTGGTATGGCAAAGCCGGTCCTTTGGTAGCCTGTAAAAAGCATGGAGTAGTATTGTAGGGCAGACCGGGCATACCAGTCGGCCGAGTAGGAGCACAACTGCCAGATCTCGGAAGGTGATAGGACACACTCCGCAGCCAATGTCGCAGTTCTGCGCTCTCCAGAAGCAAGCAACAGGGGAAGACAGACCGGGTTTAGATATGCGAGGGCTAAACAGGGCCAATTGTGTCTGATAATTGATCAGCTGAATATGCGTGCAGCTCGTACGGACTGGGTGTAAGCTGTGAAAATATTGTCCATTGCATCGCCCTAGAGGCAGCAAAGACAGGGGGCGCAGAAGATTGGTGGGGGCCGTCCCGAGACATTCGAATGCGAAGGAGACCTCAACGGTGATTTCCATGGCATCCATGGATATTCACAAGCAGAGCCCAGGTAGGAGAAGCCGGAAATAGGATTTGACGGCCGCTGACTGACTGGGCTGGCCGGAGCAAAACAACAGAGCCCCTTTTGGGCTCAGCAATACGATTCGAGCTTTGCTGCAGGCGAGCCGACGGAAAAGCAAAACAATTGCGACGACATGCTGGATGCTGCGACCTTATTAGGCGGTGCACAGCATCATAGCATTGCTCAGTCTTAGCCAATGCCTCGTTCCGAATTGATGTTGGTTTGCAGTTTGGTGGCCGGTTCGAGTCATCCTCCTTGTCAATCGAATCGTCGCCTCAACCCACCCCCGCGGTTCGCTCGCCCATGTCAACGAACCCTGAAGTATCCGTAGAAGGTGTGTCCCGCTGGCGCTGGCGGGGTCGGCATTCCGAGAGGATCCTCTGGACGGCGGTCTCGGAGGGCAGCCAACGCCGTGACCTGGCCCCCACCCGCGTGAGCCGAGCGTTTCGGTAAGAATAGGTTTTCGCAGACATCGTGTTGGGCTGCTGTCTGGCGTAACACAAGCACAAGCTGAAAGAGGTTTGATGGCGCATGCTCGCTCAGGTCCGGGCTGCATATCAAATATTGAGCGGTCGGTTGCGGCTTAAAGCTCGCTCAAACAAGGCGGTGGACATTCCTTCGACGGCGTCTTCGGTCCGTTCTAGAAAGTCATCTGGAACACTGTGGCCCTGTATCCGTAAGGTAATCAAGCAAGCCTAGCCGAACTGAGGGGCGGCGGACGAACAGAGCTGGAACATTTCGACTGACCCAGGCGAGATACATCAGCTTGGCGAAGACACAGAGTTAGAGAGTTAGAGGGTAAGATACCTGGTAGGAACGGCGCATCAGAAAGGTACATGGGTACCTAACCATGTGTCATGGCTGCTTGGGCGCGAGAAGAGGATCAGAAGAGGAGACGAGGGCGGGGGATGAAGTAAAAAGAGGAGCCGGTTCGATGTGTGCGTCTATGTGGACTCAGACTGAGCATGAGCAGACTGAGGGCAAACGCGGGTGAAAAGCCCGGCTTCGGGGGAGGGAGAAATTGCAATGATTACCTCTGCCGTTAGTGGACGGGATGGGATGCAGTTGTCGACAGGAGTATTGTCGATACCTCAAAGAGGCCAGAACAGCCCAGACCTGACCATCGACTTACAGTTGATTTGTGGAACAGAATCCGGGTCAATGTCCAGCAACATTTGCGAAAAACAAATAAAGAAGGGATGCAGGGCAGGGCAAACGACGGGAGGTACCCGACCCCAGGTATTCAGGCCAGCCAAGGCAACTTTCGTAGAGGCACGGGCGGCTCCCCGGTGGAAGACTTTGAGGTTCTTTCCTTCCGGGCCAAGTTTTTGTGTCGAAAGAGGTATCAAGCTTGTACCATCGTCACTGCCTCCTACCTCCTACCTTACCACAGTACTACCTATTTTCCCACGGCAGGTGCCTTTTGTATCTTTGGCCGCCGGCCGCTCCTTCCATGTTCCCGTGGTTCAGGCATCTGGTAAGACTGGACACTGGACCGCGACTTGTACATCACAGGGCATCCAGCATCGTCAACCTGAGGCTGGACATCCGAAAATATCCCAGTTCCATTTCTTTTAAAGCTCTGCCCATGGCACTGACCGCAGCTGCACCACATGCTAAGGTAATTGGTGTCGTGTCGTCAGGCATCTCGAACCTCGCAAGTCGATATTCTACCTATGGTTCCATTTTACCGAGCGAACCGTCGTCCTGCCTTACCTAAGGGCTGTACGAATACCTAGGTATGCTACCTATCCATGGATGTTTGTGTCTCTCACATTCACCAACTCACTCAGGTCCACTCCGCCTCTCACCTCATCTTTTTCGCCTCGCCTATCAGCTTTATTACACGCTTGATATCGCCTACCTGACCTTCCTCCAAACGGCATCCTACCTGACCAACCTCCCCTCTCCATCTCTTTCCATACGTCGTCGACCTTACGGATTGACCTGAGGTACCTGTTACCTTTATTGGTATCAACCAACCAACTCCACTCCCAACGTCTTGGTCGGGTCTTCTCCGTACGAACCCTCCGCCCAAAGTGCCACTTCACGATCCGCTCGCCGGGAAAGCGTCTTCTGACTGGACGGTCACATCGCCGACTCCCTGGCATATTCGGGCCTTGGGCCAGTCCACGTCCACGTCCATCGCCTTCTACCGCGTTGCGTTGTCGCCTTCGCCCCACTGCCACACACGACCTACGACCTGTCCAGCTGCCCTGTCCAGCGGTTCAGCACCTCACCTCAGTCACCTCAGACAAACTATTACAAGGCCCTGGTCCAGCGAAGCAGCCAGTCTCGAGCAGCCAACAAGCAAAAACCGCCAGCAACACAGCAGGCCTCACCTGGACTCACTCGCGATTTCCCCTCTTCCCTCCACCCGCCCGCATCCACTCTCTCACGCACACACCACCCACGAAGCACACAAGACTCGAGAGTCTCCTCACCGTCCAAAGCAGGCAGTGGGCAGAGTCGACGCTGCGGTGCCTTCACTCCATTCCCACTTCTCGACTTCTCACCCCGACGAGAGAAAAAAAAAGTCTCCAATTCCAACTCCAAAAAATCACCCAACTTCCCGCCCACCACACCGCACCTGCTGCTGCGACTTCTTTCTCACTCAACCTCGAACACCACCACCACCACCACCGCTGCGATTGCCACCACCACCACCACCACACCTCGCCTTCGCCTGCCTTTGCCTGCGTCCGCGGCTGCCACAAGGGACACACGCCTGCTGCGCAACCATCGTGTCGACCAATCCGTCGGCACCGCTGCGATATATCGGCCTGTTTTGACGCCCATCACGGATCTGGGCCTCTGCCTCGACTAGGCCTCCTCTTTCCATCTCCATCCCAACGTACCGTCTTTTAACAGCCAGCTGCCCACCATGTCTGGCTCCGAGGGCGCACATGCAAACACGAGCACCGGTGGCTTCGACTTGTTGAAGCGGGCGACCCAGGCAATGATGATGTCAGGCCCAACCCCCAAGTGAGTGCACTTCCATAGGTTCTCTTATGCATCCCGTCCCTTCCTGCCTTGCCTTACCTTGCCTTGCCTTGCCTTTCATACCCACCTCACCGATTGATTGATTGATACGGGTTCGCTACCTGCGTCTCACCTGAGCTTTGCCCATCCTCTGCACCATTCTCTTTGTTCTGTTCAAGTCTCTGTCCCTCCCTGCCGCTGCTGCGTTGCACACAACATTCCTCTCATGTCACCTTCTTTCTGTTCTGAAAATTTATCCACCCCCCTGGCCAGTGGCCTGCGCTGCGTCAACGCCGGCTTAGTCAAAGCTCTTAGGGACGCTACCTTGAGGCAGTTTGCCTACCAGGTGCCTCAGTTGGCCTGAGTTGCTTGATATCGGGCCTTGGCCCGTAGGGTACTTCCTGATTGGCCCTACCCCAGTTTGTGTAACTGCTTTCCAAAGCTGGAGAAGCTGGAGTTCAAGATGTTCTTCTTCTTCTTCAAGTTACCTCATGGCATTGTTCGGCTGCAATATGTCATCGAGGCCTCACAAGCCCCTCGTGACAACGCGGCTGCTGTGCCTGGCCTGAAGCCGGAGTCGGACCCGGGCCTAGATCTGGACCCTGGACAATAAGCCTCCCCTCTCAAAGGTTGTCCCCTCCTTGCGGCTTGTCTTCGCGGCACACACACACATGCTACCTCGAAGCGTGGCGATGGAGGGGTGGTCGGTGGTCGGCCAACGACGAGCTTCTCGGGAACAAGTACCACGCACGGGTTGCTCCCGCTCTTGATGCTTGTTGAGGCATTGGAGGACTCGAGTTCCCTCATCTGGCTAGTGTCGGTTGCATCAGACTGCCGTCAACGGCCCTTTCAGTCTACCGCTGCTTCTGCTGGATGACCCCCAGACGATCCCGGACGGACGGCCGTCCGAGGCTGCAAGCAAACTGAGCCCGGCCGGCGCCTTTACGCCTCTACGCCTTTTTGCTGATTCTGCATCTGCTCCTTGCTCCTTGCTCCTGGCTCCTGCACCCCCCGCGCCCGTTCTGATGGCGCCGGACAATCTTACCTGACGGCCTGGGGGCGTCCTAGTCCGCAGCTGGTCATCCCGCGAAGGCCATTGTCGTGTGTGATATACGACGCATCCAGGTCGCCGAACCACCAAATTCAGTCTCTTGCACATGCAAATCGCTGCATTACCCCTCGTCCCATCGCTTCCCCTGCCCGCTTACCTACCTCACCTCACCTCTACCATTGTACATGCCTTTCAACTTACCTGAGGCACGGTACATTTACCCCATCCCACGCTTACCTGAACCCCTCGTTCGGCCGCCAGTGCGGCGACGAGACTAAGAATTGCAAATAGAGGAGCCGGTGCCAGTGCTTGCTTGGAATGCCTTATCAAAGTTGAGGCCTGACTCGCATGTCTAATGCCCAGCGGCAGCGGCAGCGGCAGCAGCCAGCGGTAGCAGCACCTAACAGCACCGGGCTGCCTATTACCCAGGTAGCACCGGTTCCTCTACAGTTGCCAGTCAGCATCCAATTCCTTCCAGCCTCTACCCCTTTGGTCCCGAGTCTCTTGAGGACCTTTCTCCCCCTCTTCCCCTCCAACCGCCTGCCCCGCCATCTACCTTGACTGTTCACGAAAAGAAGCCCGCCAGGGTGTATTCGGAGACAAAACCCACTCTGCCCATTTTCCCATTCGACGCATGTCTCTTTGAGCCATTTGCATCATCCCCCTCGAATTGCACTACCGGCTAGCTATTGCGACGGCATCCTTGCTTCCACCCAGCCAAAGAGGACGAAAAATTTCCCCGTTCTTTTCCGTCAGTGGAATGGCCATAACCCTCTCCTAACTCCGCCTCCATCGCTTTTGAGTCACTCACTCGAAGCCGTCTTTCAATCTCACCAGATTGGTTATGGGCTTGGCAGCCGTCATGAGCTAGCTGCGTACTCCTCCAGTTCGCCTCCGCTCTTCGCACCGTCGCTCAGCGTGTTTACCCCCCTTCTTATCGTGTTATCCGCCGTTATCTTCACTTCGCGCTCTTACCGACGCCAATAATGATGAACCTCACCGTTGACCACCGAAGCAGGGCTGCCGCCGCGTCTGACGACGATGGAGCGGATCAAATCGGCTTTGACACGCCCCGCTCCGGCGTGGCAACTCCTCAGCCCGACCTACATGACAAACGCTTGCCGGGCATCATGAGCTACTTCGGCCAGGTTCGTACAGATTCTATTCACAATTCTGTATCTGCCCCCGTCGCGTCGGATTCTTTGCGAGGGCCATCTGTTTCTGGTCCCTCAAACGAACAAGTCGAGAAGCAAGGGACGACCTCTCAGGTCAGCTCAGTGGTTGCCATGCCCTGTGGCGAATCTGAACCAATGTCCCCATCACTTCCCTGCCCCGAGCCGCGAGCACCATCACAACGTACTGCATCCAAGGTACTGCCGGGAACACACCACTACCCGACGCCGCCGATATCACGACGGTCGTCGATGGGGCGTCCCACGAGAAGTCTGTCATTGTTGCACGGAGACGGACGGTCCGCTGCATCCTCATCTGCGCGACCGTTGCTCCAAAAACGCTCATCAGACTTCCCGACGACAAAGTGCCGCAGTCTCACCCTCATGTCTCAACCCTCAAGCATGGTCACTACTTCAGTCGTCCACGCTCATCACATCTCAAACCCCAGTCTTCCCCCGCCCACTACACCAATGTCTCGTACACATTCCCAGATTGGTTCAGCACAGGAAACCACTCTCCTTGACAACTCTTCCTCACTTGATCAGCTCAGGAGGCTAACACAAGTCGCGGGCATCAAGAGTGGTCCACCAACCCCCACCCGAGCCCTTTCAGCAGCCCAGCCTTCTGAGGAGAGGTCAGGCTCCAAACGAAGCAGTAATGAGACGGTGCCTCCCAGTGGCACACAGACGCCGAGGGGCACCACTGGCGCGCAAGTACCTGCCGCCAAGGGCAAGCTCACGATCAAGATCGTGGAGGCGAAGGGCCTGAGGCGCGCCAGGGACCCTTACGTCGTTGCCGTCTTCCAAAGAAGCGAGCTTATCTCGGGAGGCCCGCGTTCCGTGGAGGAGGAGGAAGAAAACGTGAACCTGCCGCCGCCGTCCATGGGGGGCATTCCGATCCAGAGGCAAGGAAGCGACTCAGGACGGCCGGCCATGTCTATTCCGATGCGCAGCCGCCAAAGCAGCAACACCAGCATCTCAGACTACAACACCTTCCGCAACAAGTCGAAACTGTTCTTCACTCGTCCGAAGTGGGATGCCGAGGCAGAGTTGTAAGTTGAGACTGCATTCCAGCCCAGTGACATGAGACTAATTTGTACAGCGACGTTGTCGATTCCAACATGCTGGTGGATATTTCCGTCTACGACCACAGCGCGAATGGCGAGGAGTTCCTTGGCCACGCCGATTTCCAGGCCAACAAGGACCCCAGCAACCCAGTCCGCGGCTGGTTTGCGCTCCGAGGCCACGCCGACACCATGGCTGAGAACACGCCTACCGGAGAAGTCTACGTCGAGGCCGTCTACCAGCGCACTGAGAGGAAGCATTTCGGCCCCGAGGACTTCCAGATCTTGAAGCTCATCGGAAAAGGAACGTTTGGGCAGGTCTACCAAGTCAGGAAGAAGGACACGGAACGGATTTACGCCATGAAGGTCCTCTCCAAGAAGGTCATCGTTCAGAAGAAGGAGGTAGCTCACACCGTTGGTGAGAGGAATATCCTGGTCCGAACAGCCATGTCGGATTCGCCCTTCATCGTGGGTCTCAAGTTCTCCTTCCAAACGCCATCAGACCTCTACCTGGTCACCGATTACATGTCCGGCGGAGAACTCTTCTGGCACCTGCAGAAGGAAGGCAGGTTCGATGAGCGAAGAGCCAAGTTCTATATCGCGGAACTTATCTTGGCCATCCAGCACTTGCACAACAACGATATCGTCTACCGAGACCTGAAGCCAGAGAACATCCTCCTCGACGCAAACGGCCACATCGCCCTCTGCGATTTCGGCCTGTCCAAGGCCAACCTTACCAAGAACGACACAACCAACACTTTCTGTGGAACGACGGAATACCTCGCCCCCGAGGTACTTCTCGACGAGTCAGGATACACCAAAATGGTCGACTTCTGGTCCTTGGGTGTTCTCGTCTTTGAGATGTGCTGTGGATGGAGTCCCTTCTATGCGGAGGATACCCAGCAGATGTACAAGAACATTGCATTTGGCAAAGTCCGTTTCCCTAGAGACACCCTGTCGCAAGAGGGCCGCAACTTCGTCAAGGGCCTGCTGAACAGGAACCCAAAGCACCGCCTGGGCGCAACAGATGATGCTGAGGAGTTGAAGCGTCACCCATTCTTTGGCGACATTGACTGGGAGCTCCTTGCGAAGAAGCTCATCACTCCTCCTTTCAAGCCCAAGTTGACATCTGCCACGGATGTGTCCTACTTTGACCCGGAGTTTACCAATGCGCTGGATAACAACGGCTCACTGAACGAACGGGCCGCGGCCCTTTCCAAGGGCTTTGCCACATCCACACCCCTTTCACCATCAGTGCAAGCCAACTTCCAAGGCTTCACCTTTGTTGATGAGAGTGCTCTTGACGATCACATGAGGGATAAGAACCGATATGATGATGAGGAGATGCATGACTCTCACCACCAAGACGAGGACTGGGACGATTTAGAAGAAATGAACCAAAGAGGCAACCGGATGAGCGGCATAGTGCGCACAACCACCAACGATGAGCAAATGGTTGGAGGTGGCCATTTTGACGTTTAAGGGTTCTGCTATTGGATCAGCCTTTCCGTCTTTCAGTTCTATTTTGAGGACAAGAAAAAGTTCATTCCAGCCTGTTTCCTTTCACAACCAAACACACGGTCGTCTTTACGAAGTCAAAAAACGAACATTCATGGATTCAGTGCATAAGGGCGGTCAACCTTGCATGTGATAATTACGGGTGTACTCGGTATAACGGCGTTTTGGGCTGAGCGATGAAGTTGGGGGTCCTGCCTGATTGGTCTTCAGAATGCTGCTTTTTTTTCCAAGCCGATCGAAGCACCTACAGAATACGCTTTTTGATGAGAGTCTGGATACCGATGGGTGGCTGCTGACATTGGTGACAATGTTCCCCAATCGCCCATTCTCATGATGTCCGTCTCGCTCTTCTTGCATGTTCCAGGCCAGCACAGGACTTTCCTTTGGTGCGGAGAGAAAACGAGTTGTTTCTCGTGATGGGGTGGGTGGATTAGCATTTGGGTTCCCTCGTCAGAATGACCTCGGTGATTATTTTGGGGAGGTCGTTCTTTTCGAATCGAGTTGGCTCTGCATTGAATCCGAGGCCTCACTGTTTCTGGTGATTTTTTTTGGTCGAGCCCAAGGGAGAGGTCGAGTCGTCTCAAGAGAACAGAGGAAGAAAGAGAAAACAAAGAGACAGAGAGGAAGAGAGGAAGAGAGAGAGAGAGAATGGGAACGAAACTGAAGCAATGTTGTCTGTAATAAACTAATTAGCTAAAGACACATCGTTCCCCCCCTTTTACACCTTTTGCCTGAATATCTCCCGAGACGTGTGTTCATGTGGTTCGTTTACGGCGACAGTCAGGAAGGGAAGCAAGGGGGTTGGTTGAAAGACAGCGGACGTGGTCGATTGGATGGATCGTGTACACGCCAGTTGATACTGGATCGTGGAGATGGATGACTCTAGCACACGAGTTCGCATGAATATGCCCAGCTGTTCGTCGAGAGTGGGGCCCGTAGCATGAGTCTGTCTGTAGGGACTTGTTTGTTGTTGTTTTGAAGTGGGTTGGTTGGTTAGTTAGCTGGGTTTGGTTGCTGGGATCGACCGCATTGACGACCCAACTTCGATATGACTCTTGAGGACGGGATTCAGTTATGCAAATGATTCTCAGGGTCTTTGGGCGTCCCTCTACGATGGTCTTTTCGTAACCTGTTTACTTCGAGGTGTTCTGGAGTTTTCTGGTAGACAGAAGGGTGATCTTCCGGAATGTTCCGGGTCCACATATCTGGACCGCCCGTCGGTGTCCGATCTGGTGACGGTAGTTTGGATAGATGTTGCGGCGTTGTCGATATTGCGGCTTGGAGCAAGCTGCAAGTTGAGGTCGAAGATGTAATGTAGACAGCGAAGAATATCCGGATGCTGACGAAGTATGCCAGTATGAATCCCTTCATTGTGCAGGCGCTTTGTGAGTTCTATAGCACACACACGACGTCCCAGGCGAGAGGACGAGCAATAACACCAAAGAATGAAGCATGCGGATAGCATTTCCTAGCCACTGAGGTTCAGTCGGACAATATACACGGGATTACCACCTCCCAGCACACCATTTCCCCTCGGAAATTTTTCACTGCTTCCCCTTCTTCCTACCACCACTTCTCCCCTACCCTTTCGTTCGGCAGATGACAAGGAAAAGCGCTTTTTCCTCTTGTCGTTAGAGTCGACGAGGAATTCTCGGACGATCGGTCGACGTCGTTTTATTTCGATGCAAAATTTTGTCGGTCGACGGGGGTTTTATAAAAATGCGTTTAGTGGTGAGCCTCCTCCTCGTCCTCCTCGATCATGAGCCAGTCGCGCTGGGCGGGCTGGCCGCCGGCGGCGACGGCGGAGGCGTCCTGGCCCTCGACCTCGACGGCCATGCTCTCGTACTCCTTCAGGCTGGCGGCGAGGTCGGCCTCCTCGGGGGACTTGGGGGTGGCGGGGATGGAGAAGGTCTGGACCTGGCCCTGGGCGTCAGAGTCCTTGACGGGGGCGGGCTTGTAGGCCTTGAGCTCCTTGAGGTAGAGCTCCTGGACGAAGTCGGCTGTATCGGGCAATCGGGGTTAGCGACGGTATCTCCAGCTGTGTTGATCGACGGCGAGCGTGCGTGCGGGGGAAGGGGCGACGAGGGGGCTATGAAGTGATGAAATAGTCGTAGCGATTATCGATGATCGGATTGGGAGCATGGGGATAGAACGTGTTCGATGTCGTTGAGGTCTGGGTTGATGATGGGCCGATATCGTCACTCGCAGCTTCGGAGCTTTGCCTCCCTTGGCCGCGCCGGCAAGCCGGACCAAAGCCAACCTCCCCACCACGCATCGGCCAACAACCATTGACAACAACGACGACGACGGGAATCGAATCTTGTAGGAGAAAAGGATGGTTACGAACCTCTTCGCGAGACCGTGGGGACGATGAATCCCCTCATCTGGACGGCGCTGGGCCTCGCCAGCCGAGTGACAGCCGAGACGGCGCGCTATTACCCTCACACGTCAGCTTTTTTTTCCTGTCGGTTTGCCTTGGTCTTCCCGACCGACCGACCGCGCGAACCACCACCCAACACCAACCCGCATCATCAAGACTGGGAAAATCAAAGGGTCGGAACTCACAGTAGCTCTGGACAATTGGACGAGCATCTTGAATGTGGGTTGTGGCTGGCTCAATTGGGGAGGAGGAGAACGAGAACCGCGCGGGGGGGGAAGGGGGATGAGGAACGGTAGAGGTGGTTGAGGGTTTTGTACGGATGGGACTGTAAAAAGCTGGAGAGTGAACGAGCCAGCGAGCAAGACCAACCAGACCCAGGCCCAGCAGCAGAGGAGCCGGTTGGACGACGCAGTGATCACCGCTGCGGACGTGTGTGCCTCAGGCCACTTTTTTCTCTAGGTTCCATTGTCGGCTGGTTTTCTTTTTTTCTTAGGCGCCTGGCTCCACCTCGGGGAAACGAGGAGCAGAATTGGTTGGCGGTGGGCTGGAGATGGCAGTCACGTGATGCATTCTTTTCCCACCGCCGAACTACCTTTAGCGCCCAGCTAATAGCGGTCTACGCTGCGGCAGGCTTGTTGGTTCTCTGCTGCAAGAGCGGTTTCGTCAGTCCACCGACATCATGGTCTCCCCACGGGGCCTCCCTAGCGACACCAAACGTTCGGATCTGCTTGGCCGTAGCTCCTTGCGATCTGGCTAGCTGGGTAGGAGAGCTCTCATCTTGGGTTCTGTATGACCTCACACCTCACAGACATCGGACTTGTCGTCACCATCCATCCCATCGTCTTCGTCTGGTCTTCGATCGAGGACGTGTCACTGACACCACCGTCGTCCGTCCAACTTCTGTTGTCGTCTGGCTCTCACTTGGTCACAAATAACGTCTCTTGAATGGGGGTGAAAGCGAACGATCAAGTGATCATGAATTCATAGCCTCGTCGTCATCGAGGCAATAACGACGAGGCAATAGCACTACATAACGCCAACCAACTCCTTTACACAAGACAGATGCCGCCATCTACCTAGATGCGGTGCCGAATGCCAATAGCCATTATCGGGGAGACACAAGCGTGTCTTGTAGCCAAACACGTGTAAGAGACACATCCATCTCTATACCTCCGGTTCCAAAGTTGCTGTTGCTGTCGCTGTCGGGTTTCCGCTCATCGTCACCCGCTCTATTTCTTTTGACGGTAGGGAATGCGCTGCTGAGACTCTGAAGACTCGTGGCTGTGTTCCTGCTTCATGCGTGGTGTCCTGCGCGTCTCGCCCCAGACGGCAGCTCCGAGCCACATGACGCCCAGAACGGCCGCGACCACGGAGTATGCGATAACGTATCGGGTCGGTGTGCTCGCCAGCTGGAGACCGAGACCGCCGTTGATGATGCCGAGGATCATCAGGGCACGGCCGTACCAGATGTGAACGTGGCTGATGGCACCGCGGGTTTGGAATTTCTTGTAGTAAGCGTGGTGCGCGTATCCGAGGAAAGGCTGGATGGCCAGAAGGGCAACGACGACAGTACCAAGCAGAGTATGGGTTTGCGCGAACAGCTACGGTCACTCGTATCAGCTTACGGTTCTGGTCAAGGGCCGTGGGATGATGGATGGGCGTCCCAGTGATGGGCGGGGACCAGTGCCCAGTTTACAAAAGAAAAAGCAACTCACATAACCGTTGTCGCGGGCGTAGGCGTAGCCAGTGCCGAAGCCTACCCACATCAGAGCAAACGCAACGGACTGCCAGAGAGCGTGGGCCATCCACTTGCCAACCAGGGGCATGAGGATGGCTCCGAGAGGGTACAAGGCAATAAAGACGATCGACATTATAACGCCGTGGGCGAGAAGAATGGCAGACTTGCCGCCACCACCGTTAAATACAACGCCACTGCCTCCGCTGGTAGAACCGCCGCCACTGCCATTCCCTCCGGTCGCCGCTCCAGTGAACGGGTTGCTGTCGGTAGAAACAGTCGCCTTGGTCAGGTCGAGGTTGAAGTTGGTATGGTCGTCGTGCTGCTGAATGCTCTGGCTGTTGCTGGCAGAGTTGATGGCGCTTCCGGACTTCCAGGCCGCGATCCAGGAGGTGGTGGCCGAGTTCAGGGACATGGAACCACCGCTCCAGGAAGCGCAGTTGGTGCAGAGAACGTTGGCGACCATCTTGCCATCCACAATGCCAGAGCCACCGAGGAGGGAAAGGTTGGCGCCGTTCTGGGAGACGGTCGGCATGTTGTGGCCGCGGGCGGTACGGGGGCTGATGGTCACGTTGCCGGCGCCGTCGGTGTACATGATGAACATGTTGGAGTTGGACATGCTGGAGCCGGTACCGAGGGCAACCCATTGGTAGCTAGTCGGGGCGGACATCTGGAAGTAGAGGTTGCCGGAGCCAGAGCTAGCCGACGCCTGCGGAACGGCGACGCGGAAGCAAACATCGTTGGGGCAGGCCTGGACAGGCTCAGCGGAGCCAGTCGCCGCATCTGGTGATGTTAGTCAAGATGTCCTGGAGAGCTCAGTATTGCGCTGGGACGTACAGAGAGCCGCCGCCAAGGCTGATGCTGTGAAGGCCTTCATGGTGACCGGTGACTTCCTCGGCAATGTGGTTTAGAGTAGAGCTGCGCTGGTGTATGTTAGCGGTGAAGAACGAAGCACGACCGCCGTCTCCAGGCAAAAACGGCGAGGCGTCGTGGGTGGTTAAGCAAATCGGATGTTGGGGTGATGTCGGGGTATAGCGTACGTCTTTGTATGTTTGTATGTAAGGAGGCTCCGGGTCTGTCGTTTGGGTTGTACGGCAGCTTGATGCAATTCGGGACGAGATGGGGGGTGGGAGCTCCGGGTTCTTATGAAGAAATGTCGGGTGCGCGACGGCAGCTCAGCGCCGTGGCACATTAGCGAAGATAGGATGTGTGGTGCGGTACTAGGTTCAAAGCGTCGGATCGTTGGAAGAGGGATGTAGCGGAGTAATTCGCGGTAAGGTGGCTTTGCCCTTTGGGTCGTTGTCTTGGTATTCTGCCAACCGTTTTGCTGTGATTTGCGTTTGTTGGATGGGCACTTGCTTCTTGCTTCCCTCCACATCGTCACCCCCGAGAGGAATTCTTGGCGTGGGAGACTGGGTAACGTCTCGTCTCCCATACACTAGCACAAAGTCATCTCGTTTTCTCTGGCTTCTCGTGTCGATTCCGGGACTCGGGCCCTGGTCCCTGAATGAACTTGGCTCATGCCCATCCTGCTCTTTTCTCTACCCACCATACCATTCGCCGCCTCATACAGTACAACATCTTGGCTTGGGGGAGTGCGGACAGCGGGCCAACTCTCTTCTTCTGTCTCTCTGACACTTCAGCCACGCAGGGGACGATCCCTGGCGCACCTGTAACCAGCGCATGAGATACTTGGGCTTGTGGCAGGCTCTATCGGATTGCTGAGTAGTGTAAGTCGGAAGCTAGTGCCCGCAGCCATCTGTGTGATTAGTTTCCACAACGTACCTTGGTCGAAGTGGTCGTAGAAAGACAGCTCCCATACGTAGGCCGGCATACCTAAGCTACCTTAGGTAGACACAGCCACCCGGCGCAGAAGTTGTCATAGGCTCAGATGCCACGGTGATCTGCTAATATTGCATAACAGGGTTGCAATGTAAGGTCGAAAAAAACAGAGATGGGGAGATAGGGACCCGCGTCGACGGACCCGGTCGGTACAACACGTTCCCCCGGGCCAGCGAAGGCTAAAAAATGGGCGGGGAGACTAATCAGGCACCTGGTGCCCCTGGTCGTCATTTTGGCTCCTTGCAGAGTGTCTTGGATCTGGTCTGCTACCCTCTTCTAGCGTGTCAGACGGAATCGGGTGAAATGTGATTGGGTGACAAGCTGCCCAAGCCCCCGGGTGCTAGAGGAAACAGGACCCCCGGCCTGGTCGAGGTCCAGCCCGCGCTCTGGGATTGGGCTACGGGCTTGGCTGGGCCTGGCTGCGGCATCATTTATTGCTGTTGAACGATGATATCTCTCAGCATCGCGAACTGTCGAAGAGACTGGAGATATGAGATGCATGATTCCTGTTCGTCTGCCCACGTCGGGAGGCAGAAACGCACATGAGACTGAAGAGATGCCGTTTCGAGAAGGAGGAATGGAGTGTAAGAGCACAGGCTGGGACCATCCTGGGAAAGTACGGCAAAGTTCTACGCAGATGGGACTAGTCAGTTAGCATCGTGTTTCTACAGTATAGCATATTGCCGTTGCCTGCTTTTTCTCGGCTATGGGCAATGACTGATTCCCAAGTGGCCTGAACTCTATTAACGAGATGAAGACACAACAGAAGAGTAATACTGAAGTACCTTACAGCAGTCACCGTGGTGAGGTGTGGAACCCAAGTTCAACGAGAGAAACTGGAAACGAAACGGCGAGTTGATGGACATCGATACCCTGCATATGCGCGTACGTGGTTTGCTGAACACCGATGCTATGTGACGCTCGTGCGAGAAATGCCAATGCCAGTGCCAAAAGTCAAGGCGAACAGGCCAATGAACTGGCGGGCTGGGCATTGCAACTCAGCCTCCCGGATGTAAAAAGGAACCGTTGCGGGCGGTCTGGGGGTCTCTGCTGCCGTAAGCCTTGGTCAGAAACATTCTGGATCTGTTTTGGCAGATGTCGGATAGGCCTGTAATTAGTGCAAGTCGATGAGAAGATGCGTACGCAAGCATTCCACAAGAAATGCTTGGCTTGGAGTTTGAAAGAGTGAGATTGACCAACGACGGTAAGCCAAACTTGTGCCTGTGGAACGGAGTACCGATCAGCTATGATTAGCGCATTTTGGCAACCTCCGGGCCACTAAGGATAATTGGAACACTGGAGGCAATTGCCGTTACCGAGCAAGTGCTTCACACACTCACACACTCACTCGGGTCTCTCTCTCTATTGGATGAGGTACACCTACCTGTGCCTTACCTCACTTGCTCGGTGCACCACCACGAACAACGCACCAAGCAGGAGCTGGAGGAAGAGCGCATGAGGCACAGGTCTCACGGGCAAGCACCTGCATACACAGCTGTGATGTACACGGACGCTGCTGCCCACATGCCGAACGGGATGCCAACATGCGGTTCGTAGGGCCGTCGTCGTTGTTTCCTTACTTATCCGTACCTAGGTACTCGATTAAGGTAGGTACGAATACATTCAAGGCAAGCGGAAAGGATATTACAGAGCCTAACACTAAATCCCGGCGATTCAGATTCAGAAACACCCGCTCAATAGAGCTTCAAGCATCTCATCCACTTACACAAACAGACGCCCATGCTGAACGCCCTCAGGTATCACTGAGAATGGAATGCAACATTAATTACTCGCTTTGAAGCAGTGCAATTTTCTCTAAAGGCACTGCCAAGTGCACTTCATACTGTTATCCTGCCCCTGCTGGCAACGGTGACGAGGCATGTTGTCGCCAAGGAGGGCTTATCTTACGGCAGCCGCAGGCTTCGGCATTGCTTCAGCCCCTGCTACACTGCTGCATCTCAGCCCAAAATTCACCGCTTACTATCATCAACCGTATTGGCTGAGGGTATCGTCGCCAAAGTCAATTCTATTTTCATTCCGAGAGGCCTCATTCACGACCCCTGTCAGACTGGAGTGGAGGGGACCAAGGGCTCTCACTCTCAACAGGGCATCACTATCGCCGGTCAACGCTTCGACCGCTCACCGAGGAATGCAACCATCTCAACACCAAACCCACGTGTGATTTCTTGGACACTACAGAGAACATCCGACCTTCTCGACGAGTACGTGCACACCCCATCCGGCCAATATTGCAGATGCCGTCGATCAACCGTCCAACAACGAGCGACCCGTCCACCCGTGCCGATTTGTCGAACCCGCCGACTAACAGAGCACCAGCGGGACAAGCGCGGATCAGCACCAACGCAGGCCGCGCAATGCTTCTCGCCCTCCAGCCTTCCCATTCCTCATTCTAGACCCCGTTCCATCTCAAGCAAGGATGCTCAGAGATAGCAAGCTCATTACCCAAATCGGAAGCACTCGACCTGATCCCGGCTACCCGCGCGCTTTTGACGCCATGTCAAAAACATGAAACCCTCTTACTGCATGTCGCATGGAACTGGCGCACGAGGACGCAGCTTTCTGTCTATTCGTCTGACGTTGCGCAGTCACTTGCCGGTTCCCCTTCGTTCTTGGCCAATGTCATGACGCATATTGATCCGAATTATGCGTCACTCAGCGGGATAACTGACTGTGTTTCCTCATCGCACAATCACGGCACGGCCCAAGACTCGCACAGTCGGGTAACACGGAATCATCACAAATCGACAGAGGATAGAATGGAGGGAAGAATGGCATAGCTTCATCTCGCAGATCTAGGGACAATCGCCGGCTGGCTTTCGTGTCAAAGCTGCAAGCCCAAGCTCTGCCGAAGGGCCGCACAAGTTCAGGATCACCAAGCATCACCCGGCAAGGCGCAAACGACACTAAAACGCTGTACTAGTAGCAACAGCCTCCAGTACATACTACGTACTGAGCTTCACCGACGCCAAAGTATGAAAGCAGCATCGATATTGCGTCACGGTATGTGGCTCAGGGTTGTTCCCCACGTTCACTTCATGGCGCCAAGCATTCCCTCCAACGACTGCATGCCAGCGTCAAATGTCCCACGCCCCATCCCGGCCCTAAGGCAACAGAGGACTCCAATGTTGGATCGTAAACGACAGGTTCTGGAAAGCTGGCTGCGCATCACCTCCAACGGGCCATGCATCTCGATACCCTACCAAGCCAGCGACACTGCTGCCCGTCGCCGCAACTTTCCTCCTAGAAACCATCCCAAGCTTCTAAACTCAAAATTTGCTACTACTTCGGGACAGCTGATGCTCGTAGTACGTCAGATGATGCTGGGCAACAGTCTATTCCAGACACTGAAAGTCGCCAATCGAGGCAATCCGTCACGATTGGCAAAAGTTACCGAGAATCGTCCACCAGCCGAGACGTCGTCCTGTCACCGCGCCGTCAACCAAAACTCTGATTTGGTCCCGACGATCCATTATGCCTAGTCGGCCATCAACCCTTCGCTTCGAATCTCGATGTCTCAATCCGTCCACGGCGGCCGGAGTGGGGCCGTGTGCGGGGTCCTCGCCGGGAGATTGCATGTGCCCGGGGATACTGAGTCGTTTAGCGAGTCGGGCGAATAGCTCCATTGCAACGCTAGATTCTGGGCAAAGGCGCAACAGTCGTTCCGCCCCGAACATGAGTTACCCCGGGCGCGGGTCCACTTCCAACCGCCGCCGTTGTTGATGTTCAACTAGTCTCTGCCCAAGTCACAGTCGGGGGAGGCTGAGCATTCTGACACTTGACGTTTAAGCTTCAACTCGACGCCAACAAAGGCCCTCAGGAAGTGGGACTTCGTCAATCCTGAACCCTGGGCCGGAAACCGGGTTGTGAGGACACAGGCACGCAGGGCGCCGCCAAATAGGCGCGCCCGGGGTCCGCAATTCCCGTCGCTCCGCAAATTCTTGTCCCAACTCCATGTTGTTTTCATATTAGGGAAACGCACCGCCACAGGGAGAGTTCAACGCCGATCACGAGTACTACTACTTGGCACTTTGTCGACTACGTCTATCGCTGTCAGGATGGTAATTACAACTCGAATCGTTGGTCAGCCGGATCCAAAAAGCCCTTCTTCAGGCCTGGGGTCAATGACCACACCCTAACTACCCTGAGCTGAGCACCGTCTGGCGAGTACGACGTCCAAAAGAAGATGACGCCAAGGTCACGTAATCTTCTAGACTTTCTCCCATCGGCAATAAGCGGGATGCGGAGTATAGAAAAAACGACATTTACCGGGCCGTCTCTGACTCGAGGCACGTCGCCTCGCAAGGCTGGAGAGATTACGATCAACTCGAGTCTGCAGGGCGGCGGTTCTGCACCGCGAAATTCCTTCCCTCCCGTCCGAAGTTGGCAGCACACACCGCGCAATGGGGCCGTATCCCACCAAAAAGGGGCATGATCTGGCATCGTCTGCTTCCGGGCATCAAGCGCGCAAGGCATGAAGGGTTTTGGTTTTTTCAACCTAACATCCAACAACGCAGGAAAGAGGTGAGGAAAAGTCTGAAAATCCTTCGTCATGCACGCGGACGGACAAAATCCCCGGCCAAAAACGTGCTCGACCTTCGCCGGTCAGCAATCCGAACTTAGCAGGAACACAAAGCACCCGAGCGACCCGGAGCACCGAAAGATCCTTCCATGAGGACGGAATTTGTGCTTTTCTGCAAAAGTCGGGTGAGCTCCTTCAGGATCCCGTCGTACCTGCCTCTCTCCCGCATGAACCGCTCCGGAGAGGATGGTATCACGTCAGGCCTCGTGGGATAATTCTAACGTGTTTAATGGTGCTTGAAGGAGTACTGACGCTGCAGCCATTTTCGTTGGATGCACAGAGTTGCGCAGTCCACCCAGGGATAACCTCACTCGGCAGATCGGCTCATCCTGTGCGGACTCGACTTCAGATGTAGACAGACAGTCCTCCTGGGATAAGGGTTCTGGAACTCACGGATCGCGACTGCGAAAGCCAAGAACAGCCAGCACAAACAACGGACGAATCCAAACCTTGCGCATGAAAGGTCTCCTTTCGCCAAGAAGGGAACTCAAAAACTCGTATATTCCATGACGATGCGTAACCGAAAGAATAAACAGAACAGGATATTAGCCAAGCAACAGTCTAATCGTTGCTGAGGAAAGAAGACATCGATTCTCGATGCCCGGGCCCCGTCTCTGTACAGCCGAATCGAACGGCAGACGAACTCGGGCCTCGTGACCAAACCAAACTGTTCGCTTCAATAACTCCTTGACGACTGGCCGAACGTCTCGTCAGTCTCAGTCATGTTCCTAACTTTTCCCATCCTAATCACTGCGCGCAATATGTTCTTTCGCACCATTTGCTCCAGCGCCGTACGCTCCATGTCTGCATGTCTATCGTCTAGACCTCTGTGGTGAATCTAAATGCGTGACTCTCAAGCAAGCTGCTCGAAGCGACAAAGCTGAAGCCGCCGAAGGGGTCGTCCTCCTTGCCTGACAGAGAACTCCAGTGGTCCTTGGCCGTCACCACAGGGCTCAGGGACAAGTCGGTGAACTCAGGCGCAAAGTTCTCGGCCAGCTCGGGGTCGGTGATGAACGGCTGGATGGGGGGCTCGACCTCCCTGGCAGCCAGCTTCTTCCAGTCGATCTTGCGGAAGAAGCGATGCCCCTTCATGGTCTGCAGATCCTTGGGCATGTTGGCCCCGAGACGCTTCTTGGGGTCCTTCTTGAGAAGGCGCGTCAACAGGTCCTTCGAGTCAGGACTGAGGAAGTACGGCATGACGAGCTTCTGCTTGACAATGTTCTGCTGGATCTTAGCGTGGTTGCCGCCACGGAAGGGCGGGTTGCCCGTCATCAGATCGAATCCAAGCGCGCCAAACGACCACCAGTCGACAGCCTTTCCATACTTCTGGCCCTGAATGACCTCAGGAGCCATGTATTCAACAGTACCCAGCATCGAGTTGCAGTGGTCCTCGGAAGTGTCGACCGCGACCTTGGACAGCCCGAAGTCGGTGAGCAGCAGATGACCCTCGGCATCCAACAGGCAGTTCTCCGGCTTCAAGTCGCGGTAGACAACACCCAAAGTGCTGTGCAAGTGGGAAATGGCGAGCAGCATCTCGGCCATGTAGAAGGCTGCGACGGGCTCGGCGAACATCTTCTCGGTGTTAAGATGGGTAAAGAGTTCACCGCCCTGTCCGTACTCGAGGATCAAGTAGAGCTTCTCATGGTCCTGGAAGGCGTAGTAGAGCTTGACGACAAAGGGGTGTCTGTTGACCGACTCGAGGATCTGGCGCTCCGTCTTGGTCTGCTCGATGAGCTTCTTGTGGACGGTCAGGGAAGCCTTCTTGAACTGCTTCTGGGCGAAGAGTCGGCCGGTGGAGTTCTGCTTGACCAACAGCACGGTGCCGTAGGTTCCCTTGCCCAAGCAGCGCAGCGACTCAAAGTCGTTGGCCGACATCTTGCGCTGAGGAGAGTTGCCCCCGACAGGGATGATGTTTCCACCGGTTCGCTCACGAACGCTCTCGTCGACGTAGTCGTGGGTGAGGTTGATCTCGTAGCTCGTCGACCCGGCCTCGGAGCGTTCGCTACCTGCCTCACTCGGGGTGCCGTCGTGGCTGGTGGTGCGGCTCATGGCGGCGCTGCGGATGCCCAGCCCGCTCGAGATGCCGGTCTCGCCAGAGCCGTTGCGGCTGGTCATGACGGTGCTCATGGTGCTCGTGCGGGACGAGGTGTCGAGGCTGAGAGGCTCCATCTGCAGGCGGAGCTTCGCGATGCCGGAGACGGCAGGCGAAGAGGCTCCGCGCATGACGGGGCTGCAGTTGGCGCTCACGACGTCGTCGATGCGGGCGGGGCGACCGGCTCGCTTCGTCGACTTGACGGAGAGGGGCGGGGTCGGGGTCGGGGTGGGAGCAGCGCCATGGTCGGAGTCCTCGTCGCCGGAGGTGACGGGGGTGTTTTGGAAGCCGCGCACCGTGTTCAGTGCGGGCGCCGCCTTGGCAATCATGGCTCTGGTGGGTTTGTGAGGGTTTTATGGAGGTCGCTCCTTGTAGTAGTGAATTGTGCCCGTAAACGAGGGGCGCGCGTGGGCTTTCCGCTCGCGCCCGAAAGTTGCGATGTGCTTCACTTTCGTAGGTTGTTTAAATAGGGAGCACAAGCAGGGTGCCTCGTCGTCGCTCAGGGTCAGCGCGCGGCTCGGACTCGTAGTTTCGCTCTCGTTTCTTGTGGCTCGGGTGGCGCATCTGGTGCTTGAAGAATGAGCAGGAGTTGTCGTAGGCTTCTTTTTTACTATGCATTGGGTGTCGGTCGGTTTGATCGGTAAGGTGAATAATGGGGGTGTTGTTGTCTTCACCAAAATGGTGGTGTTGTTCAGAGGAAAAGGGAAAGGAGGAAAGTTGGAAACAGGGCCAGGCGGGATAAATTCAAGAAAATTCAGCCCGCGCCTGCCCGCCCTGCCCGCCCACTTACCCTTGCGCTTCTTTCCTTATGGGGGCCCGGGGAACAGGCCACCACCGCAGACAAAGTACCTTGGACGAGCGGGAACCAACCAACCAGCGCGGCAGACCATGTCAGCCGGCGACTCCTTCCTTCACATGAGAGTGGGCGCACACTGCCTTCCACTTCAAGTTGGGTGGGCGGAAGCCAAAAATTTGGGCATTACGGATACCCGCGCTGGGTCTCATTTTCCGGATCGTCTGATTGGGCAGGCGCAGGGGCTGTTGCACTCGCCTTGCACCTCAGCCCGACATTTCTGGGTTTTCAGAACTGCATAATTCACTGAGATGAGTCCCTCGCTGCCTTGCCTTATTACAGAACTAAAACTTCAAGGTAGAAGAACGATGCTTTCTATTTCCACTTGTCTTCGGACCTCAGGTACCTACCTACCTGCCTTCCCTTTCCGTGTCGCAGCCCGGGTAGCAGCGGGGATCGGCGTGTGACCCTGTCATTACCGAAAGCGGTTTGCGGCGTCACGGAGCAGGAAAGTCCCATTCTGTGAATTGCTGCATAATGTTACAGCAAGTCCCACCAGCGCCGTGGTCTCTTTCCCGGCGAGTGCTCTGATCTCAAAAAAAGACACCGAGGTTGCTCAAATTTCGACGGAGGAGGGAGGCTGGCAAAGGATCCTTCGTGGATTCTTTTCGCCTTGCCCCCAAGTTTAAGGGGCAGGACAATAGACAGGATGACGTCCCACGGATTTTCGCCGGCATTTGTGGGGTGCCCCGTGCCTGGGTGGTCTGACTACGCTTATTTCGCCTGTTGTCTAACAGGTATTTGTACACAATGGCGCAGGGCGGCCGCTAATTGATTCTCCTCTAAATCTGCTATTTTTATGCCTCTCTCCCTGCCCGATTCCGCGGTGAGAAGATGCCCTTTATCCTTCGCTTAGGCGAACGAGGGAAAACATCAGTCAATAACAAGGCACTCGATCGGAATGCTGGCAGGAACGCAACGCTGCCGGAACAAAGAGAAACTCATCAGACGAGACGTCGGCGCCGAGAAAGAAATGATTCTGAGGCATGTCTCGGCCAGAACGACGCCGCCAGAAACACGGAATGCGGAATGCAGAATGCAGAATGCGACGCTGAACCCAAGACGGTGCCTTACGTCGGGCTGGGCTAAAAGAAGGTCCGGACTGCGGCCAATGCGTGCCTCAAATGGCAGTCGATATGATATGGCTGAGACATTCGTTCCGATTCAGCACTGAGTATGTTATTTCATTTTTTCTACTCGCATCTACAGCTCCTACACCGATGCAACTACCCGTAAGTTTGGGTTGTTGTCGCCAAACAAACACATGTTCGTCGCAGCAGCCCGCGAGCACGCAAACTTCTCCACTGGTTCCCACTGAATAAGGTGCTGTGATTTCCCGCTTGCCCCAACCCTGTTGAAACCTGGACGACGAACCGCTCTCGCAACCTAACGTCACGCACGGGTGATTAAATAAGCCAGCAAACTACAACTCACGATCTGTCACGCCAAACACACCGCCAATGTTTTCTGTTAATCCTGACCACCGGCGTCAGGCCCGCCCACCTCAGTTCGCCTCCACATTCGTCCTGTAATGGGTCTCAAGACTGAACCTCGCAAACGGGCTCCTCTGCCTCAAGCGCTTGCTGTACCGGAAGAAGATCCACGGTGTCACGCAGAACGCCCCAGCCAGCCCCGCGAGGATCGTGCCCGCCACGTTGGCGTTCAGCCCGGCGTACATCTCGTGGGCCACGAGCGGCATCAACCCCGACGCGACGGCCCGCACCAGGGCCAGCCCCGAGAAGGCCGACGCCGAGTACAGCAGGTACGAGTCCGCGAGGTATCCGCTCAGCGTGTGGCTCGTCTCGTTGGCCGCGAACCCCACGAGGACGAGCGAGGCCGTTGGTATCATCCAGTGCACGCCTCCCACCAGCGGCGGGATGGTCCACGCGAACCATGCCAGACCGATGGCCTGCGCGGGTGCCGCGAAGGCGAAGCCCATGATCTTGTCCTCGCTTCAGGATGCCGTCAGCGTGTGTCCAACGCAGGGAAAGGGGTAACTTCTCACGGCTGAACGGGGATCTGCTTCCGTTGGCAGTCCCGGACGACCTTCATGTCCCAGAGACGAGGTAAGAAAGTAAACAGTACTCCAACAGCAATGGCGAGGAACGGCAGCGAAGCCTGCGTCTTGGTGAATCCAAGCGAGAGGTAGACTATCGTGAGAGACTCGGTGAACAGGTATATCATGCCCCAGGACGAGGCAGAGATGAGCGCGACCATGATCACCAGGGGCTCCGTGACGAGGATTTTCCCAGGCCTGACCACGCTAATCCGGACCAGGGCCCTCCAGTCAGGGGCCTCGTCGGGATTGTGCCAGCTCAGATCATGAATCACCGTCTCCTTCCCGATGCGCCGAATAGTCCGCCCGAGCAGGAGGCTAGGTCTGCTCTCCTTGACACCGAAGAGGGCGACAAACAACACCCCGGTGGTGACGGCCGCGCTGTTGAACACCCAACGCCAGCCGACCGCCTCCGAGATGTAGGCCGCGTACACGGGTCCGATGCACAAGCCGATGACAGCCCCCGCGTTCCAGAGGACGATGACCCAGACCCGGCGCTTGGTGTTGAACATGTCTTCCACGCTGCCTGCTATGACCACTGACGGCACGGCAGACGCCAGGCCTGCGACGAAGCGGCCGACGTAGACCGCGGTTGGGGAATGCGATACGCCCGTCAGGAGGCTGAACAGACAGAAGGCCGCGCAGGATACCAGGTAGGGGAGACGACGACCGTAGAGCTCCGAGAAGGGTGGGATGATGAAGCCCGCGACAGCTTGTCCAAGTTGGTACCTTGATATGCGTCAGTGTTTGTGTAAGCTGGTATATGGCTTGAGCTCACATTAGAGTAAAACCAACGAGAGACGTCTGTCGACTAAGCCCATATTCTGGCCCGGCTTCTGTTGCAGCCACTGCCTGAGTAAGAAGGTCAGCATCACTTCGTTCGATCAGAAATTTGGGTATCAAAATGCTCTCAATACGACATCTCCCGGTGACAATTATGATGTATTTTGCCTGAGAACAAGCCGCTACACCTCTCGTGTCCTGCCGATTTGCGGGCCGCTTCGGCGGATATGAGAGCGAACATCAATTTCTACCTAGGGCTACTCACTCCCGTTGTGCTTATGACAGTGCTAATCGGTGTCAGCCCACATCTAGCAGTGGCACCGAATCGTGAGAGATTGATCTTACGTGTAAAACTCGAAAAAGATGATAATGACGGTATCGAACGTCTTCCTCGCCGTGGACCAGTTCCGAGGGTGCTTCTTGCAGCTGCGTTGCCAGTTGATGAGGCCGTCGGGTTGTCGTTCCACGCCATAACGGGCGAGAATGGTTGCTTCATCCGTTTCCTGGACCACATAAGCATCCTTCTCAGCGACCAGCTCATCTGAGCTGTATGTCTTGATGGTAGTCATTTTGAATGAGCGGCAATGAGCCTGGGATGGCCGCTCTTGCAAGGAAAACTACGGATGATAATGATGAGTGACCACTATGTAAAGAGATGGAGTAGAGAAAGGCTCTACACCATCCTAGACCAACAGGCCAGACGACTTATAAAGGCATATCTTTCACCGCCTGTCACCAATATTACAGCTTCAACGAACACACTTTACCCCAGATAGGCATCTCGCTCGCAGGACCAAGAACAAACGCCTTCAGCTCGCTTAGAACCCCGACTCCCAAGATCCGAACAGATCTCGCAAAAGCAATGTCATTGTGACAACCCTCACCTCACGATTCCCAAGGGCTCGTTTTTCTTTTCCGCTTCGGAGGGCATCCTCTTCAAAAAAGGATGACATGCTGCAGGTGAGACCTTTGACGGTTACATCTGCCATAAGCGCTTGGGGTGATGCCGCCAGTGCAGACGTCCAATCGGGGCCTCTCCCCTGACCTGCTGTCACGGTGTGCGATGGGCAGGGCTGGGTTCGAGTCCGAGCTGGTGAACCACGGCGAGTACCCTCAAGCGAGTTGGTTTGCAGTCAGGCTTGACCCTTTTTGAGAGGTCGCCGTCTGCCTGGAGGATTATTCAGCTCGTATGCTTAGGAACTTGACGGGTCAAATGTGTGTTGCCGTTGTCGGGAGTCCGCCTGGAGGATCTGATGGCGGTGGCGTGGTGAGGATATCGAGTGAACGTGACAACCTTTTCGATGAGTTCAGCTACCAGTCTTAACCCTCCGAGGAAGTCGGAAGATCTGAGTTCAATGCATTTATTTAAACCAAGTCTCAACTTGAGACGAAACCTTCTGCAGGTGTGTACTTGATCGACAGCGGCTGTCTTACTCGAACAAAGTAGCACGGATCGTCAGGCGAAGTCTTGCCAGAACGAGCAGCAATGCCAGGAATTGAGGACTGTCCTGTTCTTTGGGGTTCGCCCCGGCAGACCGGCGCAGCATTTGATTTCAGGAGTAAGTCCCCCGACAACGCGCAGACTCGTGGCCTCTCACACCCCGCGCAGGCGATGTGATCACGACTCCTTCCAAAGGCATGCTCCAAGCCATCGCCCAGACGACGCTGCACGACGATGTCTTTGGCGAAGACTCCACGACGAGAAATTTCGAGCTCGAAATGGCCAAGATCTGCGCCCACGAGGACGCTGCCTTCGTCCTCTCGGGGACCATGGCGAACCAGCTCGCCCTCCGCTCGCTGCTCCACCAGCCGCCGCACGCCGTCCTCGTCGACGCCAGCGCCCACATCATCCACTGGGAGGCGGGCGGCGTCGCGCACCTGTCGGGCGCCATGGTCCAGGGCATCCGGCCCGCGAACGGCCTCTACCTCACCCTCGAGGACGTCGAGAAGCACGCGGTCCTGACGGATGACGTGCACAAGTGCCCCACGCGGGTCATCAGCGTAGAGAACACCAGCTCGGGTGTGATCGTCCCGTTGGAGGAGTTGAGGAGAGTGAAGAGTTGGGCTTTGGCGCGCGGTGTGGCTGTTCACATGGACGGGGCGCGGTTGTGGGAGGCGGTCTCGGCTGGGGCGGGCAGCCTGGAGGAATTTGGCAAGTGTTGCGATGTACTGACGTTGGACTTCAGCAAGAACTTGGGCGCCCCCATGGGTGCTATGGTTCTCGGGCCCTCTGAGCTGATCCGACGACTGCGACGTATCCGAAAGAGTATGGGTGGTGGGATGAGGCAAGCTGGCGTTCTCGCGGCTGCGGCGCGACAGGCCGTCGTTGAGAACTTTGGACTTGCTACTAGGGACTCTAAAGGAGTCTTGGAGGGCAGTCGTGTTATGGCAAGAAGGGTTGGGAGAATGTGGACGGTGAGAGGAGGAAGGCTGCTGAAGCCCGTCGAGACGAACATGGTCTGGCTAGACCTCAAAGGATGCGGCGTAGGAGCCGGTGAGTGGAACGAATTGGGCAGGCAGCATGGAATTAGACTTGACGGGAAGAGGATTGTGCTGCACTATCAGATTGACGAGGCCGCTGTTGATCACCTGGGCGATGTGATGGACTCTGTGTTTGGTGTAGTTAGCAAGGAAGGAGTTGAGCTCGCGGCTCCGAAGGCTCGGCTTTGAGCAGGCAGAATCCAGATACTTCCTTCCTCTGCAAACAAGATCCCACTAGTCGATCAGGACGCCCGACTTTTCCAACCACAAACTGCATGTTAGAAGCCATGGCTCGGCTGACGCGTCGGCTGGGTGGAGAAGATTTCTATGTTTTGTTTTACTTGCTAAATCGCTGATGATGTATCGTCTATGCGCTTGACTCGGGCTTGCTTTCCTCTGTCGATTCCGCCGCCGGCTTGGCTTCCTCCGCGGGTGCGGCAGCTGGCGCCTCAGCAGCAGCAGCCGGGGTCTCCGCCGCAGCGCCGACCTCAGACGCCGATGCGCTCTTGACGTCCTCGCCCTTCAGGCCTCCAACGACTCTCAGTCCCTCGGCTCCCCTTGCCAAGTCATCCAACTCGCGCTTCCGTGACAGGCGCTTCTGCACCTGGGGGACGAGTGCTGCCATGTCGACGAGCTCACCGTCCTTTTGAGGGTGGCCCTCGGGCAGACCCAGCTCCTTGATCCTGACAACTCCCTTCTGGACCTCATCGTCTCCGAGAATGATGGCGAACGGTGTCGCGTTGGACTCGGCGGCCTTGAACTGGGGAGGCAGCTTAGGCTTGACCTTGTAGAGGAACTCGGCCTTGATGCCGGCATCCCACAGCTTGGAGCAGACCTCGAGACGTTCCTTGATCAGACCAGCCTTTGAACCCAACGACATGACGAACACGTCAACGGTACTTTGAGGGGCTTCGCTCTCGGCCTGCATTCTAGCCTTGGTGATGCTGAAAATTCTCTCGATTCCGAAAGAGACCTAACGTTATTAGTAACTGAACAATGCATGCTTCTGAGAGAGAGGGTACGTACACCAACGCAAGGAATCTGTGTCTTGCCAGAGAACATGCCGACGAGGTTGTCGTATCTGTGTATCCGTTAGTCACCTTCCAAACGCTGCCGAAAGCTGTGCTGCTTACCGTCCTCCAGCCGCGACACTTCCAACGCCAACGCTCGGGTCATCTGAGCGGTCATCGTCGTCCTTGTCCTTGCTCTTGCTCTTCTTCTTGGACTTCACTGTTGTGTCGTCCGCACCGGGGGTAGCAGCAGGGGCAGATCCTTCCGTAACAACCTCGTAGATGAGGCCAGTGTAGTAGTCGAGGCCACGAGCGAGCGACAGGTCGAAGGAAACTCTGTCGAGCGTGCCAAAGGCCTCGAGGTAGTTGAAAAGGAGCTCCAAGTCGGCCATACCAGCCTTCATGGAGGCATTGGCGGCTAGCTTGTCATCCCGCTGCAGTTTGCGAAGCAGATCCTGCTTGCCCTTCTGAATTACCCACTCGCCGATTCTGTCGGCAACCTCTCCGTCCAGTCCCTTCTCCTCGGTCATCTCCTTGCGCACTTCCTCCCAAGGCAGCTTGTCGAGCTTGTCGACGGCAGAAGATATCGTCCTGATCTTGTCAGCGGGGACGCCGCAGACCTCGAAGATACCGTCGAGGATCTTGCGGTGGTTGAGCTTGATGGTGTAGTTTCCGTTCCAGCCAAGGCCCTCGAAGACCTCGACGATGATGCGGAGGATCTCGGCGTCGGGGAGCATGGAGTCGTAGGTGCCGGCAATATCGAAATCGCACTGGTAGAACTCGCGCATGCGACCCTTGTTCATGGCGGGCTGATCACTGTAGTGGGGGTCAGTTTGCCGTTGATAGTGCGTGGTGTATGCGAGGTGTATCGTACCGACGGTAGACCTTTGAGATGTGGTAGCGCTTGACGCTCTGGATGTCCTTGTTCATGGCGAGCCATCGCGCAAAGGGGACGGTCAAGTCGTATCGCAGAGATGTAATCTCACCACCCTGATCGGCCAGGTCGTAGATGAGCTTCGAGTCTTCGCCGTACTATCAAGGAGATGTTGGTCAGCATCGTGATTCGGCCGGGGTCCCGAAGGAGTGGATCGCGGGGTTGGTGGGATGCCCCTCCATTATCATGGATGGACGCAAACATCGTACCTTGCCTGAGAGAATCTCCTTCAATTCGAAAACCGGGGTATCAAGCTCCATGCCACCGTGCTTCTGGAAAACACTCTTCAATTGCGAGAAGATCTTCTCGCGAATGATCATGTCCTTGCCGAACCCTTGAGTCAAAACAACACATTAGTCCGGGTCGTACGATTCGCGGCGCAAAGGCGACAGGGCATTGACTGACAGTCCTTGGTGCCCTTGGGGGTCTTGAGCTCGAACTTGGTCTTGGCCATGGTGGGCAACTCGTCGTCGGATTGGCGAAAAGGCTTCGACGAAGAAAAGGCGCGACGACAGGGTCTGCTCGTAGGCAAAAGAGGGGTTGAAATTGGGCTTTGAGAAAGAAAAGTCAGTCGGCGGACCGGTCTGGCAGACCTCGAGAAAATTTGCAGCTGGATATTCATTCACCTGGCTTTTCTCGGGCTTTGCGCAAAAGGGGAACCGACTTAAAGGGGAACCGACTTAAAGGAAAAGCGGCCCTAGGATCGTGGTGGTGACTCAATCGCAAGTTCTGGAGGGGCCGAATGACTTGCGACGAGTTTTGGGGGGGTTTGTGAGGTCAAAAACGCTGCAAGGCTGCTATTCGACTGGGATGTGCCCACTTGTGGGTTGTCCAATGGGGTTCTCCTGCGAGTGATACAGATCCCTGCTCATTCGATAAGGCTAGCCGCTGCAATTTTTCGGGTGATAAGGATCTATTATCATCATGACCAAGGATTTCCATACTATCTCTCAGATTAATCTATGCGCAGTAAAATATGTCACTGTTTGGAGACGATATCCCAATTGGCTTCTCTGGGGCAGTTCCTAGGTAGAACCGTCTCAAACCGATTATCCAACGGTTTGTGCTAAAGGTTTAGACTTCAATTCTGCTGATCTGCCTTTGCATGCGTTAGGCTACGGTCCCAGCATCGGATTCATTCCGCCAGTCCCGGGTCTTTGGCGGGATGAGACAAATCTGTGGTCCGATCTGACAAGGAACACCGTGCCGTAAGACGGGGAACCGGATGCACCAGGCGGGGCCGGTATTTCGGCCCCGCAACGGCTCGAACCACTGTGCACGGCCCCATCAACCAACCTTTTTAACACGACGTCATCTTTGCTCCAAGCTCAATTGCTCTCCATCCATGTAGAAGCTGGTTTCCAAGCGGAGTGTTCAGCGCGTCTGTCATATTTCTATGAAAGCTGATTCCTGTGGGCGAATGTTTCCCAACAGCCACTATCGCGGGCCAGAAGCACATGTGGCTGTTTGGGCGTCATGCCGTTCATCCTTCAGTTGAGAAGAACACCCGCTCTTCAACATGATTCATACACGGCTCGGATGACCGAGCACGCCTGGAATCTACGTATCCAATAGCCGAATCCCGTGCCTAGACTTCTTCGTTTAGTCGTTTATTCGTCGATATCGTCGTCTTCGTTATTCCATTACTGCGTCGATGTTAGCGACAACATTCATAGATTGGAGAAAGCTGGGCAAATACGTACGAGCATGCTGAGCTCCAATCCACCATATACTCTCGCCTTGAGAGTCACTTCAACGTCGAGATTCAATCCCAAGTGTACCGCGAAACTACGATTCTCTCGAACCCTCCCCCCAGCATCCTCCGATTTTGGATAGCTACGTCGCAATGGCGGTGTTTTACGCTGCCTCCGCTTGCCTCGGCTGATGTTTTGGCTGATTTTCCTGAAGGGAAGCTCTTTATCAGACTCAGTCTCTGAGCTTGATAGGTCCGTCGGCTCATCCGGTACGTCTGGAACGTCCATATTGGGAGGGGGCGATGGCATTTCGTAATCCATAGAGAGATCAATGCCGGAGTCTCGGTTGCGATCATAATCCTTTGGCACTGCTTCTGCAGCTGCTTGGAGAGTGCTGTTTTCCTCTTCATGCCCTCCCATGTCGATGAAAGAAGTCTGCTCAATAGGCAGGGAGTCGTCAAACGGCATCGGACACCATACAAATCGCGGGTCGGCAAATTGCTCGACGAAGCTGTACATCTCTTTCGGCAGCCACACGACACTATTCCTCGACGTCATCTTCGTTGTGTTTAGCGAATGTGTGTAAGCGAATGTAAGTGAATTTAGAAAAGAAATTAGTTGATTCTAGGAAAGCGAAAGACTCGAAAACATGACAACAATGATGTTGGAAAAGCCAGCGAGCGGTAGAAAGGTCCTCCATCAAGGACGAAGCCCTCCGGGCTCGAGGAGGTCATCTCCATTTTATCGAACCTGCAGAACATCGAAAAGTCTTGGCGCAAAGCAGGATTGAGGCTCACTCCGGGCATGTTCAATGAAATCATGTATGGGGTCGGGTTGCACTGGCGACTGGTTGGCTCCGCGACTCCGTGTTATGAGCAGGACTTGGCCAGGCCCTGACCGAGATCTGCAGGCCGATCGTTGTGGGGCCCACGGGCCTGAAGCCGGATTTGGGTCCCCCCTCCTGAGTGAGGATTACGGAGTTGCAGCCTGCACGCCACCGACGTACCACTGTTTTCTTGGTCTTGGTTTATTTTGTGGCCCATCGCAATTGGCTGCCCAAAGGGCTTTGAATGTCTGTCATTTTTAGAACATTCTCAGGGTCCTTCTGCGTGGCCCACCTCGAGGGCGTTACCGCCATCGATGTGGACGATGATCGTGACCCCTGAGATGCAGAGTTGGTTTGGAGACTGCAACCCCCCGGTCACTTCCCAGAGATTCTTGTCACGAAGGTTTTCTTGACTGTCGTCTCGCAATGTAGAACTGCTCTGGACATCAAGACGAGTATGATCGGTCAGGAGGCAGCGCCGCTTCGTCTGAGTGTCCTACAGTCGCCAAAGGAAACAACCCCAAGCAATGCCAGAAGTGTCCGTAGATAAAACAGTTCAAGCGGCATCTTCGGTTGTTATTGTGTCTTTGGTAACATGAACCAACTCCGAACCCCCTTCTGCATCAACAAATCGGACCCCTAGACCTCTCGCATGGGCAACAATCTTAGCATCGCCAGTCGCCTCTCTCAGCAAAGCCCTCGATTCCATGTTGAGGCCATGGGCCAAAGTCGCGAGTGAGCTTCCCCGCCATGCCGGCAACCCAAGAACATGCGTCTCCCATATGGATAAAAGGCAAAAAATACAGCCTCCTACCAATGCTGTCAGGGGCAGCGTCAAAAACGACCAATTAACTCTGATTCGAATAACCCATTCTCTTCCTGTCCCTAGGTAGGGCTCGGTCTGCAGTGATCTATTGCGCATCCATTTGGTGAGGCTAGCGGCCACATTGTCAAAAGTTCTTGTGATGTTCTTTGACAACCCAAGGCTAGATATAAAAGGTGGCTGCGTCCCCTCTTTCAGGAAGAAAGAATCCGGATAGACGAGTTGTGTAGGTGGTGAAAACACGTTGTGGAACCAACGAGTTAGGGATCCAATGGTGTTGTAACTAATGTTGAACCTCAAGTCATTGTCGATATTGATCCCGGTTGTCGAGAAGTATTCGTCCTTTGATATCAGAAGCTGGAGGTTGGTACGTTTGAAGGCACCCTGGAACAAGGTATAGTTGTGATACTCGTTCTATGTCCCGATCGATGTTTGGTAAGCTCTTTGCTACTGTTTCATTCATGACGAATGAATCGAGGTTACGAGTTGTGAAAGAACCAAGGACACTCTCTTTCAACGTACTCTGTTCCACTGTGGTTTCATATATATTGGTACAGAAATACAAAGCGCACTCCTCGGCAGTGACCTCACTGTGTTCCCAGACTTGTGTTCTGTTGCGGTACTGCTCATTTGTCTGAAGCATGGAAAGTGAAATGATCAAGGTTTTCGTATTTCGGAATGAGAGGGTTTCGCCCGGATCTAATGTCGATCGCGCGGTCAAGAAAGCACTAGTCTTTCCGGAGGGAGATTGAACCTGGTTGTGTGGTTCGGAGCAGAGACCATTGAAGTTTGATATGCTCAAGTTGCGTTCTGTGATAGAGTAACTGGTATAGTGACCCGTTCCATTCAGCGACAGGACGGAGTGGTTGTCGTGGGGTATTGTGATAACGGTGGCGTTTGTCAGATCTGCGACGCCACTGGTCTTCTTTATAGCGTTCGAGATGTCGTTGCAAGCGCTGCAAACCGCCAATGATGCAAAAGGATTCCATGTGCAGTTTCCGGTAGAACATGTAAACGCCGGCTTTAACATATCAGCCGTATTGAGGTCGGAGAAGCCTTCCCAAACAGCTGCAAGAGCGCCAAAGTCGTATTCAAACCTCATTGGCAAGACAACCACATGTTCATAGGGTCCCGGCATTGAAAGAAAAGCGATACCGCTGCCGTCAATAGTTTTGACGGATCCAGAATCCAGTCGCACGGTCTTTCCGATAGTGGCCGTACTCTCTGCGCCAGAAAACTCGACTTCTTCCCCTGAGAAAGTGATGACGGCCTGCAAAAATGGTTCGAATCCCACAAGAATGACGGCTGAAAGCGCACCCAGTGCAGTCCAGTGGCTAGTAAATACGTCAGTATGTAATTAAAGACCTAGTTTTAGTGAGGATTACCGAAGCCTGGTCCACCACAGCAAACGAAGGCTTCCCCATGGCCCGCGACTAGCTTCTTCAAACCGGTCGAAAACCACCATATTGTCCTCCCTTCGTCGATACCAGTTCCACTTTCCCTGGCTAATGCGGGAACTAATAGCGAATGCAAGACTTGCTCGGGAAGCAGCGCCTAGAATGGAGATCACTGCGTTGAAGGACAATGGTAGTTGCCAAGCTGATAGGGGTTGGTTTTCGAAGACTGGTAGTAGGACGAGAATTGCAACAAGAGAGGAGATGCTGAGAACCACCGCAAGTATCTCCAAGTTCCATTGGTAATGACTGGAACTGATAAGGTTCTTGCTTCTGTTTCCTCCCCAGCCATCTTTCTCCGCTGCCGATCCCTTGCACTCGCTTGCGGACACCGCCGTCGACGACGCATCGCTGATCAGGCTTTGGCGTGCATCGATATTTTGGTCTTCATCGATAGTGTTTTGGAGCCCCCGAGGATTTGATTCTTCGTGAGACGAAGCTGCAAATAAAGAGTTTGGCTCTGGGGAGAGCAAGGATTCATGGGGTTCGTGAGCCGACTCGAAAGGCGCCATTGAGGCATGATGAGAAGGATCGTGCACAACTGGTATGTTTTTGAATTCTTGGCCCTGATAAAGACAAGGAGAGAATCATCAGAAACGGCCGAAGCGTAACTTGGAAATAGCCCGGTGTTTGATCGTGATGTTTTCTAACAGCAGTCCAACCAGTCCAACGGATAGATAAAACAATGGAGAACCTAAACATATAAGTCGGCGAGGCCCTCAGAAAGTAAAGCCCCCCGTCAGCAACTACATAGAAATCTTGCACAAAAATCAGCCTAATCGTGTAACTACGCACTGCAGAACCACAGCATCTTACCTCATCAGTACATCCAGCCTCACTCAGGTGATACTTGCAACGCGTGTTTTCTTGTGTATGGTCATAGTAGAAGCGTAGATGCGGTTTGACTTTCACAGCCTTACCTATACGAGTTGTGGCTTGCGTTGCCTACGCAATGGATGTAGCCATTTCAGCTCGATGCAGTACTACAGATACAAACCAAAAGATTCAAGCATTGCCATGCGTTGGTGACACAAAATCGGGATTTGATTAATTAGAGACTTCGTCAGACTATCAGCAGCTCAAACGCACAACAGATTTGTGTGCCTTCGCATACCGTAAGATAGGCAAACCGTGGGGTTAATTACATTAGTATGGCTTCAAGCCATAGTCTCCTAGTGATGCCTTGGATATCCGAGGGCATCGTAAGGAGTAACTTCCGCTTCGACCGCACCTTCCTTGTGATCCCCCGAGCTGCCAGCTTCTGCGTCCGGCGGCAGCCCAGGGCTCGGAAGGACCATGGTACTCGGGAACACGAACGTTCTCCCGACGGCATCGGGTGCCCCAGCCCCCATATTCGAGCCCAACTCGAGTCCGCGGCCCCTACTCTTCTTCTTCGTGCGAGACCTCTTCCATAGCAGCGTGAGTCCTCCGACAAGCACCGCCGCCAGCGGCAGCCCGACGCCGAGACCCACCCCGAGGCCGACAATCGAGGACCCCTGGCCCCCGCCGTCGCTCCCGATGCCACCGCCCATCCCGCCGGCGCCGTTGGTTGCCGTGGCAGCGCTTCCCGTGACAGTCTCAGCGGAAACCAGGATGATCGAAGTGGCCAGACTTGTCGGTATCGATCCTGATGATGTGGTCGCGGTGGTGGTATTCGCCGCGCAGGTGTAGTCGAGCTTGAGAGACTTGCCGTCCGAGCAGGTGTTCTGTACCGAGACCGTGACGTTGGCTTGTTGGTCTGCAGGGCACTTCGTCATGCAGCACTCGACGCTCGACAGGAGTTCAGAGCCGGTACAGACGCAGTTGTTTTTGCACGAGTTGTTCACGTCCTCCATGAACTGGGAGAAGCAACGGACCTGTGTGGTGCTGCTGTTAGCGAGACGTTTTCCGGATCATCAAGACGAATAGCAAAACATACGTGACATGGCGTGGCATCTGCCGAAGCCGTTGGGGAAGGATCCTGTGAGAACCCCTGCCCTGCAAGGGCCGACAGCAACAAGATCGGGAGGAGCATCATGACAGCGACTACAATGGGTCAGGAAACGACAAACACACATCAAACGACGCAGGCGGGTAAGGGATCCTTGGGGTGTTTATACACGAGAAATGAGAGGACCGCGCCTCTGGTTTGGAGCTAGCCACAGGGGCTGAAAGAAGCTTGGGAGACAAGCTTTGACCGCGGTCTTTCACGACACGACCGGTCGACGCCACGGCCCGGCTCAAAGAAGACCGAGTGCTGGTGATACCTCTAGACATCTATTCTTCTATAATAAATGCAATTGAAACCACGGCTCCAGCCGTGACGGTAGCCTCAGCCTCCTCTAAGCACCGGTGCACTTTGAATACACTTGGTAGAAACATGGGGAAGAGGCATGCTTGCACCTTGCCCCTACCAGTGTCTACGAAGTGTACTGGCACTAAGAAGACACTGCCGTCCCGCCCGTAGTCGCGTACCTCGTACGAACGTTGGCTGGTCTCAGCCGAAGGCGAGGTCTTCATCGCATACATCATATTTACATGTATAATACAACTGAAGTGGTGATGTGACGACCAATTAAGCATGGTCGTCTTTGATACCCCAACTACCGACAAGCGCCATCGCCTTATCGTCGCCTTTGGCAAGACGATCGTCCTGCAGCGTATCCGCTAGGCACTGCCACGGGTCGCGGCTGCCACCCCACTTCAGGAGCTTCTCCTTAAGACGCTCGCCGTTGGCCCGGTCCAGAGCCTTGCCGTCCGCGCCTGCGGAGAAGACGACTCTCCAGACGCGTTCGGCTAGTACGCGGTCGAAGACGTAGCTGTAGTAAGTGCTCCCATAGCCGTGGAGGTGGCCGAAGAAGCCCTGCCAGCAAGTGCCGGGTGGATCGGGGCCACCCTGGGCGTACTGCTTCTGCAGATCATGGAAGACCTTTGTGGAGTTGAAAGAGCGGTCGGCAACTTCCGGTCCATGGTAGGACTGGTCGAGCAGAGAGAGGAGGATCTGGTTCTCGGTATCAATGCCCTCGAAGCGCTTCGCCAGACGGATTCTTTCAGCTACCATCTTGTACGGCAAAGGCTCGTCAGTCTTCCAGTGGCGGGCAAATAGACCTAGCACCGACGGATCCGCGGCGAAGTGCTCCATCAAGGTTGACGGAAGCTCGGCGAAGTCGGTAGCACACCGCGTGCCGGCAACGTTCTGAAGCTTAGTGCGGGCCAGGATGGAGTGAATAGCATGGCCCATTTCGTGGAAAAGTGTCTCTACCTGGTAGTAGGACAGTAGCGCCGGCGCTGAGCTGTTCGCGTCATGTTTGGGGAAGTCGCACACCAAGGCAATGGTAGGCAATTGCATCAGAACCCCGTTCTCCTGCAAGCTCTCCATGCCATCGTTGGCAGCCTGCTCGGGTCTTTCGAACTTGGGCAGGTCAGACGAGCTGTTGTGCAAGTCCTCGGCCGCCTCCTGAATCTCGTAGGGGGCGATTGCCCGCGAACATCGCACCGTGAAGTGGGCAGGGTTGGGAGACTTGTCCTCTCTGAAAAACAAGTCGCAGTACAGAACAGCGATCAGGTCGCCAGTGTCAGTCACAACATCCAATCGACGAACGTCCTCGTGCCAGGTCTCGCCCGGCTGGGACTCTCTAGGTTGGAACGAGATACCGTAGAGGCGAGTGAACAGCCTCGACATGCCCTGCATGACGGTTCCGATAGAGAAGAAGGAAGGGAGATGGTCAGGGTGGCGGACGGGAAGTCTCATCTCAGCCCGCACGCCATCCATAAGGAAATCCTTGTCCCAGGGGTAGACCTGCGTAGCAGTGCTGTCTAGACGAGTCTGCTTCAGCTTCAGCAGATCCGCCATCTCTTCCTGAACCATGGGAGTGTTGTTCTTTTGCAGCGCATGAAGAAACTGCGACACGGCGCTGGGAGACTTTGCCATCATCCTGTCTTTCAAGGCGAGGTGGCCGTAGCTTGAGAAGCCGGCGAGATTCGCCAGTTCAGAGCGAAGCTTGAGCATGGACTCAAGCATCTGAACGGTCTGCTTCGAAGCGGTGCGCATTGCGGCAAAAACTTCCTTCCGCGTGTTCTCGTCCTTGACGCTTCTGAGCGCGGCCTGCGCTTCAGGTCCGGTGGTGGGGAGGCGCAACTTGCCCCTCATTGTGAGCGCCCGAGCGATCCCGGGATACAGCCCGTAGAAGCTCGACGACGGCAGCACGACTTCCCTCTTGGCGGGGGCCATGTTGGATACGAACGCAGAACCGACCTCGCTAATCTGCTGCGAGAGGTCGACAAATCGATCTCGCTCTTGCTGGGGCAGGTCGACGGCCGATTTGGTAAAGTCCAACTTCAGAATCTCCGCCACCGTGCGTTCCTCTTCCGACCAAGCAGCAACGACATCAGGATTTTCCATAGCCTTGATGAGCTGGTCACTCAACCCAGTCATGGTGTTGAGCTGGTTCATATACTGATATACCATGGACCAGGCCCCTGCAGCTGCTTGCTGAAACCTCGGGTCTGGGTGCGTCATTCTGACAAAGTCTGAAAGATCGAGAACTCTGCAGAGGAGATCGCTTAAGCGGTCCAGATCCTTAACGATGCTCTGGTACTCAGAAACACTCGAGGCATGTAGGACTCGGCGGACGATCTTTTGCGCCTTGTCCAAACTTCGGCGGGCAAAGACGTAGAAGCCATTCGGGCTGGTGAGGTATCGGTTCTTGAATAGGCCAACGCTAGGACCAGCCGCCTTGAATGCTTTCGCAACTCTGGAGGGCGAGTCGAAGAGCTCGCGCAGAATCGCATCGTCGGTGTTTCTACCCGGAGGTGCGTGGTCGGCCGGGATGCTCGAGGATGCTGCGGCAGCTATCCACCGGCGCTGTTGGCCGCGGGAAGCTTGTCGGACGCATTGCGTGCAGACCCAGAGGCCGCGACTTGGTGTTTTGAACATTATGAAAAAGTGTTCTGGGTCGCAAACATGTCTGCCGGCCAAGACAGGATTCCAGAAGTACGAAAGCAAGGAAATGGAGTTGGAAGGCTCGGATCTCTACCCGGGACTGGGAAAATGTTGGATAGGGATAATTATCGACGGCACGATTAGTTGCGTAACCGGTACCTCCAATGGACCGGGCTCTTTTTTGTGCAAGGGTACACTTGCGTCTGTGAGCTGCATAATCGAATTCCCGAGCTCCGGAAATAGCCGCAGCGTGGGCCTCGACGCTCTTCTCTACATCATACCAAATAATTCTCGCGAGACCAACATCAAACTCCCTCAATCGACCAATTGAGTGGACCATGGCTGCTAGAGTGTTGCTACAACGGGTAGGTCGACTAAATGCACCACTTCTTGTTTGATTTCAGAACTGACGTGCATGCGATAGCGCGCCGCGCCGTTGGCAGCGACCGTCCTGATGGGAGGATTCGCCCTGGCTCCCCGAACCGTCTACGCTGAAGCTCCTGAGACCAGCCAGGTATGTCCGGGATCGACGCATTCATCGACGGACTTTCCATGCTGACATTACCGCAGTCTAAGAAGCCGATCTACGACGAGCCGGAACCCATCCCAACGAGCGGAACCCTTCCCCCGATCCCCCGGACCGAGCAGCCCCCTCCGACCGAGGAACCCTCGAAGCCCCGAGGCCCTACGCCCACTGAGCGTCTCGCCGTCCAGATCGGAAAGGCGCGCCTGGGTCTGTACCAGTACGCTGTCGGCGCTGAGGATGCCGTCAACCGGACGATGGACCGCGCCTTCAACCTCGAGCAATCTTTCACCGGCACCATTGCATCTCTTGCTCCCCCTCGCGAGAGCGGCGAGACTCTGATGCCGGGAGCCATCTACGTGCTTGTCGCCGCCATGGCTGGAAGCATCATCACCCGCAACCGCAGCATCATTCTCCGCGCTACCGCCCCTCTTGCTCTTGGTATCACTGCCGGCTGGACGGTCCTGCCCATCACCATGGGCAACGTCTCCAACCTGGCCTGGAAGTACGAGCAGCGCTTCCCCGTTATTGCCCAGGGCCACATCAAGCTCCGCGAGAGCATTGAGAACAGCTGGAGGGCGACCAAGATCCACAGCCAGATCGGTGTACGATATGTTGATGAGAAGGTCACGGATGCCCGTGAGACCGTCGAGGACTGGGTGAAGAAGGGCAAATAAAAGTAAGGTTGGGACTGTATCATAGAAGCAGAGGCGAGCAGAGTCGCAGCTGACGGTTCCTTTGTAATTCAAACAATTAAAAATCTTGAAGTCATGTTTTTGAGCTATTGAGTTTGATATTTGTACTATTTGTGAGGCGAGTATAAAAAGGTCTATTTGTCCCCCGAAATTTCGTGGCCAGCCTGCCGAAGGGATATCGTTTCGCTATGCTTTATTCAAACCTCCCCAAACGCCTATGATGCAATCCACCCCATTATGGGAGCCTCTCATGTTTGAAGGGGCACGGCAGCCTGCGGCTTCTTCGCCGGAGATAGGTTGGCCCCTACGCCTCTCTCAGACTTCTTCCGAGATGCCTGGTTAGAACGGCTTTCCCCCAACTTGCCGCCCGCTGCCATGGCGCTCGGGTTGGCCTTCTTACCAGCTTTTCCAGTCATCTCCGGGTCGATGCCCTTGTCCAAATCTGTTTGCTGGGCAAGCTCCATCAAGTCGTCCAAGCCCATGGCCCGACATATTTGGGTGTAGGTCTTGCACTGGTTCATCTTCTGGTACATTCCGCTTTTGCCAGGGACGATCTGACAAAGGAGGTATTTCGTGTTGCCGAACTTGTTGGCAACCTCGAGAGCGTACTTGATGTATGTGGCGGCAACCTCCTCCCAGCTCGCGATGCCTCCGTCTGCCGCTGATCGGAAACAGCTGGAGTTTGCCTCTGCGGCAGTCGCAATCATGGCACCGTCGACTCCGTACTCTTTGATGAGGTCTACCGCCTGGTCTCGGCTCTCGACGTCGCCGTTCATGATGCAGGCGACTCCTGCCTCGTGGCACACTTCGGCGACCATGCGGAGTTGCTCGCGGATCGCGCGCTCTCTGGGTCGCATGGGAGTGGTACGGCAGTGTATTGTCAGGCCGGTGATTCCAGTGGCGCAAAGCCTGCGGACGAGAGCCTCTGTTTCCTCAGGGGTAGATAGAAGACGGATCTTGACACTAATCCCGATCTCGTATTCAGGCATGATGTTCGCCACAAGAGCCTCGAGAATCGCGCAAAGCTTATCCGGAGTTTTGAGCAGAGCCGCGCCCATTCCACCGCTAATGCTGAAGGGCTTAGGGCAGCCGGCGTTGACATCAATGCCGGAGACGTCCGCTGCCACCAGTTTCGCCGCCTGTACCGCGAGCTCCGGGTCGGCTGTTCCGATCTGGAAGATCAGCTTGCCCGCCTCTTTCTCGGGGTGCGTGCTGAAGACAACAGCTTCTGGGATCGTCTTTGGCGGGTTTTTCTGGCCGAAGGAGGGGATTTTGGTCCAGTCGATAGTGTTCGTGACGGGGTTTACTCGGCGTGTCGTGCCAATCATGGCTTTGTCGACGGTTTCGGGGCCTAGGAAATCGTCAATAGGCACTCATTCTTTCAGAGTGTTCGCGACTCACCCCAGACCAAATCCGCGCCATAGTGCAACGCCAGGAGGCGAGAGGGGAGTTCGCCGGAGCGGACCATGGGCGCAAGAACGAGCTTGCCCCTGTAGTCGACCCCGCGGCGGGGGATAGGGACTTTCTTGATTTCGGAACCCATGGTCTTGACTAAGTTGCGAAGGGACATGACAAGAAAAGAAGACAACGCTACATAGCTTGCGACAAAAGAGAAATGAGTCTTCGGTGTGAGTCTCTCGAGCGGCGATGCCTTGACGGGTTAGTAACGGAGAAAAGTATCCCAAGGCATCTTATCGATAAGCGTTTATCGGAGATAGACCCACTCTTTATTTTCTTCGTTCACCTTCCTTTATTGACACCTAGCTCAATTTTGACGACCCTGATAGACATCTCACGGGGAGTGCGGTCGCCCGGATCACCTCGATTGACTCGTCTTCTGTAATGTAGGTTCTCGGGATGTAGGTTATCGGCACAGCTGCTTGTCTCGTAGTCTTTTCGGCAAGACACATCGTCAAGCGGATGGTATTCGGTTGAACATGGAAACTGCAGGTGATTACGGGTATGGGGAAGAGCTGCTATTAGACCTGGAAATACAGCTGCAAGGTTCGCTTTTCTTTTGAACCACTGATTACAGTTGATACTTTGTGTGACCACAGGGTCCGGTATGCTTCGTCTTAGTCGACTACTACAACTTCAATTGTGACGAGTGACGCTAATCTTCCGTTGCACTTTAAGTTCAGATATAGCTGTCCTTTCTCTCTCAATGACGAATGGATAGTTGTTCAGGTTGGAAGCAATAGTGAGGTCACCGCAGTGGATCGCTTCATCCGCATCTTGCTTGTCGTAGAGTTGACGCGCAGGCGTGTCAGAAAGACAACATAACAGGTCTGCCGCAGTTCGTCCCGTGTCCGTGTCATTCGTCTTCATCTTCCTTGCTCAGTATGACACTAAAGTAATCTTCGACAGTTCAAAAGTCAAGTTGGCTTCAAGATAGACTATCGGCTCTACAGATCTGACTGCCAGTCCGGCATACTCGACATCCATGATATGGAATTCATGGATGTACACAATGCTTGCAGTGGAGGGGCAATGAGGGGCAATTGGCAGGGGTTCGACAACTGAGCGCCTGAGGCTGGTAAGAATTTTTCGGCCAGGTTGCTGTCGCGACAGAGAGTCTGCAACCAAAAGGTTCTCCCGGTTTCTCCCTCGCCCCGTACCTATCAACAGCTTTCTGCAGCTGCCCCGATTACCGCTGTACCTTCGACCATTGAAGCCCCGAGGTGAGAGCTCCAGAGACCCTCACGGCTGAAGACCTGAGCCGGCTTCGCCTTAGCGCTTCGGGCAATTCTTCTCCCATTGCCATTGAACCTCGGATGAGATCATTCACTGACTCTGTAGTTGTTGAACGCGCCTCTGTAACAACTAAGCTCAAACACCGCTAGTTCCCTCTCACGTTTCCATCTTCTCCCCGTCCATCCTTTATCTTCCTGCCAACTTGTATACATGCCGCTCTCACGAGGCATTAAGCTGCAGCCAACGCTCTCCAAGACACGTCTCTTCCCACTGAAGGCTCCAGGTGGTCGCGTATTACCGTCCGCCCGACCCAGCGCCCGTTCCACCTTCTCACCTCCGTCCCCGATTCAGGCCCTTTCCCGGGCCAATCACTCAGCAACCCTGGCGGCACGCACCAAGCTAACAGCCGGGTCTGCTACCCCTCCCCCTCCATCCCTCCTTGCATCATCCGCCAACCGCAGCACCACCGCAGCCGGTATTAAATCCAAAATTCCCTCCCAGCGCACCGCTCAGATTGCCCGCCACTTCTCTTCCATCTCCAAAGACTCTGACCCGAGCCTTCACCACCAAGAGAACGCAATGGCTTCCCAATACTCCGTCCGCAAGGTCGGTGCTCCCAACACCCTCGAGCACCGCGTCTACATCGAGAAGGATGGCGTTCCCGTCTCCCCCTTCCACGATATCCCCCTGTACGCCAACGCCGAGCAGACCATCCTGAACATGGTCGTCGAGATCCCCCGCTGGACCAACGCCAAGCTTGAGGTATGACTGAACTCCAATGCCTCGCCCGATGGCCGTCGTCTCGATCGGCATTGCTGCGAAGACTCGCAATGCCGACATGGACTCGAGTCGCCAGACGCAAAACGCAATGGACAAGTGGCGCTGACCGACATTTCCCATCCAGATCTCCAAGGAGGAGCTCCTCAACCCCATCAAGCAGGACATCAAGAAGGGCAAGCTTCGCTACGTCCGCAACTGCTTCCCCCACAAGGGCTACCTCTGGAACTACGGTGCCTTCCCCCAGACCTGGGAGGACCCCAACACCGTCCACCCCGAGACCAAGGCCAAGGGCGACAACGACCCGCTCGACGTTTGCGAGATCGGTGAGCTTGTCGGCTACCCCGGCCAGATCAAGCAGGTCAAGGTCCTCGGTGTCATGGCCCTTCTCGACGAGGAGGAGACCGACTGGAAGGTTATCGTTATCGACGTTAACGACCCCTTGGCTCCTAAGCTGAACGACGTCGAGGACGTCGAGCGCCACCTGCCCGGCCTTCTCCGTGCCACCAACGAGTGGTTCCGCATCTACAAGATCCCCGACGGAAAGCCCGAGAACCAGTTCGCCTTCACCGGCGAGTGCAAGAACAAGAGGTTGGTTTCACAGTGCGGCACGTCAATTCGTGAATGACAGCTAACATGCTTCGTAGCTACGCCATGGACGTCGTCCGTGAGTGCGGTGAGGCTTGGGAGAGACTCATCACCGGCAAGGTCCAGGCCGGCTCCGTCTCCACGTAAGTTATCATCAAAACCACTGGTGAAGCTAGAAACTAACACCGTCTGCAGCGCCAACGTTACCGTCCAGCACTCTCCCGCCCGTACTTCCCCTGACCAGCTCCCCCCTCTGCCCCAGCACCAGGAGCTCCCCGCCGAGAAGATCGACGCCTCCATCGACAAGTGGTTCTTCATCAGCGGTGCCTCCGCATAAGTACGCTCCGCTTCATGCTGATTTGGTACGAGCGATTGTCTGCTCAACTCAACCGTTATCGCTTGGCTAGTGAATGCAGTTGAAAGAAAGTCGAAGACCAACGGCCCAGGGCGGCATAAACTTAGAAATACCAAAAAGTAAAAGTTCCACAATACGGCAGTTAATCATTCACTGTGACACTTAAGACGAGCTGGGACTCGGGCTGGCGTCTTCTTCTGCGCGGACAGCATAGACCAGTTCCAACGTCTATAATCACCATCTGATGTCTTCGTACATGCTCTTCGTACATGCCATGCTACGCTTTTGAGCCGCCAATTCCACTTCACTCGAGATTTCCCTGGGAATATCGGTTCATACCCGTACCTTAAACGCCGTACCGTACATGCAAATGCCATAATAATACACCCAAGTTCGTCGCATCGCATTTCCTCCCGCTCTTAGTCGGTCAAGTCGGCCTGCTTCTGCAGACCGCGAGAGTGTCGATCGACCTCCTCGATGAGGTTCTTGATGCCCATCCGTTCGCAATCGAGGTTCATCTCCTTGCCATCCTCTGTTCCAACAGTCAGTAACAAGATCGACGGTTCCGAGTTCGGGGTGGCCGGGCGGGAGAGAAGCAAGGACGTACTGAACTTGACGAGAAGCGAAGGGGGCTCCGTGGAAGTCCTGGGCAGCAGAGTCGTGTTGATGGTCATGCCGCTGGACCGGGCCGCGGGCGGGATGAAGGACAGGAAGAGCCGCGCCGACTTGGCCGCCGGGGAGAAGGGGTTGAACTTCGTCTTGATCTCGGTCATGAATTTGGTAATCATATTGGGCTATTTTGGTCCAAGAACGGGCGGCAAGTTAGAGGGGTCGATATTTCGGGAATGGCGAGGAATTGGACGGGATTTGCTATGGCCTGCGGTTCGCAAAATGGTTCAACGTGAAGCTGTCACCAAAATTTCGCGTGGCGCGGGGAGTGGGAGCTTGGACGTTGGTTGGTGTGGCTTGCCGTCTTCGGTTTATAGAGATACCCGTATAGTGGGGTTCAAGGGGAACATAGCGCGGGATTCCACACATTTCGTCACTTGGAAAGAGGCCAGCATTACCTCCTATCCAGGTACTCTTACACGCCACGTTTACCCGTCACAAAGTCGAAAACCTCTGCATCGCAAACCGCCACGAGCCGCGGACACGACGCCGAGCAGAAAAGATGTCGTTCGAGGGTCTGCAGGAGCGCCTCACGGCCCTGCAAGAGACCACGTCCCAGCTCAAGGAGCTCATCGACCGGTTACAGAACCTCAAATTCCAGCCCGGCTCGGTGCCGCTAGGAGCGGACGAGGACAGCACCGTCAGCGCGGAGCTGAGCTCCGAGATCAGCCAGATCCTGAGGGAAGAGGAGGAGGAGCTGGAGCTCTTGGGGGAGGAGGTCGAGGATCTCAGGGCGGGACGGCCGGGGAACGAGGCCGAGCACACGAAGACGAGGCTCAAGGATGGGCTGGATAGGTTGAGGCAGGAGCTTAAGAGGTGAGCGGGCACAAACGACAGTTACAATTACATTGTCACGGTTCGGTTGCTAATTCAATTGCACACAGCTCCCGAATCACGTTCCGCAAGGCACAGCTCACGGCGAAGCGCAACCTTTCGCAAGCGCAGCGCCTCGAGCGCGAACTGCTCCTGCAGTCGTACTCGCAACCCGTATCCGAAGTGTCCTCCCCGTCGCTCGGCGCGCAGAAGGCGCCTCTGCCCGAGGTGATCCGGCACCGACAAGTCCGCCAGACGCGCGACGACTACAACACGAGCTCCCTGACGGAGGAGGACAAGCAGACGGTCGGGGCGAGCAGCAACGTGACGACGGCGCTGCGCGAGACTCACCAGCGGATACAGGAGGAGCTGGCGAAGAGCGAGTTCGCGCACCAGGCGCTCGAGGAGTCGTCGCAGGCGCTGAAGCAGCTGAACGAGTCGTACGGCTCGCTGGACACGATGCTCACGAGCTCGAGGGATCTGCTAGGCACGCTTCTGCGGTCGCAGAAGAGCGATACGTGGTATCTCCAGACGGCACTTTACATGTTGATGGCAACGGGCGCGTGGCTGTTGTTCCGGAGGTTGTTGTACGGACCCCTTTGGTGGTTGGTCTGGTTGCCGCTGCGACTGATGTTCAACATCAGCATCGGTAGCGGCCGCGCCGTAGTCAGGTACGCAGGCTCCGAAGGACAGGCGTCGGAGTCGGCGGTCGTTGGCGGCCAGGGAAAGATTGACGTCGAGGGTCTACCGGATGAGTCGCTGCCTACTGCGGACGTGCGCGAGCCGCAACGATCGGCGGGCGTCGGTGGAGATCCCGACTCTTTGGTAGAGAAGGTGGGTAAGATTGTGGAGGAGATGCCGGCAGAGATCGGCGAGGAAACGACGACAGACGATGGTGATGCCGCCGACGAGAGTACGGAGGCTGTGGTTGACCCGGTGCCCATTGATGATCTGAAGCAAGGGGTGCAGGAAGATGTCAGACAAAGAGATGAGCTATAGAGTGTAAAGCACTGCATCGTCTGGTCGAAACGCCCGACGGTCTCAGTAGAAAAAGAAACATCGTCACATGGCCAACTGCCTGATCTTCATGTCCCGTCGTGTTTTCAGCCAAGCGGTCGTAGCTCTGGTGACTATGGCGTAGATCTTGTGGCAAGCCATTGCACGCCCGGCGCGTCTAGTGTTCTTTGTTAATCGACGTAAATCGAACGCATTCCGGCCGTTCGTGGAGGAATTCGATGTACAAACGGCGTTCCATCAATCTGACCTGAGCTTCTCCTGACTCGTCCCATGTGATCCCGCCGAGCTTATTCTAACATCCGACAAGCGCACCGTTGGGATACCTCAGAGAGCCGGCGACGCTCCAGCCAATGAGGACTTCTGGAGTCAGCGCAGGGGTTGCTCATTTCGCGGCTCCATTCGCATTGAAGCCCAGTGCAAGGGAGGAAAAGGAGGAGATAGAAGCGTTTAGCGTCCGGACGGATGAAGGACGGCATGACGTGGTGAAATTTCCGGTCCATGACAGGCGACTGGGAGCCAATGGTCTATGCGGCAGGTGTACAGAGTAATTATGTTGGTGATCTTGTTACCAAATCGCCATGGTCGCACGAATACCCGCACTGTTTGGAGGAATGCTCACACGACACTACACAAACGACTTTCTTTTTCGTTCCAGTCTGTTTCGATCGCACCGGGCAGAAGAACTGAAGTGGGAGCACTGCATCGCCACGCGGAGGCCTGACGGCGCTTCCTTCTAGGCGGGTCGTGGCTCGTACGGGCCTGCCGGCACGGCATTGGTGTCTTGGAGGTGGTGCTATATCCGCAGACTGTAGATCTTAGATCGGGAACTGAGTGGTGTGGTTGATGGGCATCTCGTATTCATGCACTTCGTACGAAATCCTACGAGGCGAAGCGAACACGCATTTTGGGCCGGCAGATTGAGCATTTTTCTTCCGCCGCTGCTGACGACGGCTCTTGAGCGGTGTTGTACAAATGGCTCTGGGTATCATTCCGAGTCCATGCCAGGCTGCCGGTCTTGTGTAAGTCATTATTGTGTTTGACCGACAACGGGTGACGGCATATGACGATGATCGGCTGTCGGTCGGGAGTAGAGTAGGCAAATGAAACCACCGGGTACTCGAAGGTTTGAAAGGATTGTCATGTTGTCCCTGTTGGAAGCCGTCACTAGTTGTCGTTCGAAACGAATCTAGGTCGTAAGGGGCCTTGAGGAGTATTCCCAGTGGGCTGCTGGAACATCCCCCCAGATGTAGTTGTCGATCCGCCATCGAAGCTTGGAGAAAGAGTTGGCGGCGGATAGGATTCGTTAGGGCTCCCTCGCAATTAGTCATCATTTAATATTGTTAGAGCTGGTTTCGGTGCACGGCTGCATTGATTCCTCCAAGCCCTTCCGAAATTTGGACCAGTCGGGCATCGCTGGCCGCTGCTAACCTTCACGAAACTGACGCCGTCAAAAGCTGGATTCGCTAGCCAGGCACCACCTCAGGCTACTGCAGCGGTGGCATCGAGTGCGGCCCTCCAGTATCCAGCGCTTTGTCTTGTCAACAGGTAGACAGTGGTCGTCCGGGGGCCTGAAACGACGTGGAAAAAAGGTGGTCTCGACCAATGGCACCGTGCCATTTGCCATAGGTAATCCCTGCATTGTCCGAGAAGACGCGCCTGGTTCGTGTCACCGGAACGAAAGTTCGTCCTGTTCTTCTTTCCGGGCGGCTGCGGCTGTCAACCTAACTTCGTCTGATACTTTGCCTCTGCAGATATCGAAGTCAATTGACTGCCAGAGTGGTCTGGCGCTGGCAATACCGGCATACCTAGTGTCAAGCCCCCCTCGTAAGAAAAAGTGTGTGCAAACAAACAGATGGAGCCGTGGCAAAGTTCGACAGAGGCCTCGACAACATCGAGAGTGGAATACGAACAGACCACCAGACCAACGACCCTCCACTCTGATGTAATCCAAATGGAGAAGAAACAGGGGACGGGCGAATGGCGATTGGGAAGCGGGGAGAGCGAGGGGGTCGCCAAAAGGACGGGAAAAGTGCAATTTTAAAATTGGATGAAGTTGGCCGAAATGATCCACTTCAGCAGGCATTCTCACGAGTCACAGGGGACCAGCACCTTCTTTTCGAGCAGGGACCTCTGTGGCAGGTGGCTTGCCAATGGTTCCTACCTTACCAGTGTTAAGGTGACGGGAGGTACCTTTACTCTAACCTTAGCTGAGGAGATACTTTCAACAAGCATCAGATCAGGCGCTCTCCTTGAGTGAATCCGTAAGGTACCTAGTCGCGTATCCGTAGTGTCCAGGGGCAGGTCCCAATCTTTCCCCAGACGCGGCGCGATCCAATTCGATCGTCGCTTTTTCTCCCCTTTCCTCGCTTGTGTTTGGTTCTGGCATCTCTATCCACAACAACAGGGACTGGGCAACCGGCTCAAGTCGAGTCACAAGCCGCTCTGTTTCTGTTTGACTGAGAAAGAGAGAGAGGCTTTTTCGTTGCCCCGTCTCGTCTGGGTAGGTTGGCTTCTACTGCCGTCTGCCGGCGCCTCGAAGAATCTTTCTAGGTCCCCGCCGCGCCTCTGAACGCACACCTCGACGCTCTGAATCCACCCCAGATGCCGCCCTTGCGTGTGCCCTCGGACACGAACAATGCCAGCAGCCATATCCGTAGCTGAACGGTGGGTGTGAAGGAGAACGCCCCATCCCAAGGCTAATCATAGCATGGGGCGGACCTTGGCTTTCCAGGTTGTCATCCCCCAAGCAGGAAAAGCTCCTGGTCGTTCCGTCCTGCGAGATTGGTTTGGGTTTTTCTCTCAAGAGTCAACGCGCAGGGCAGGGTACACCATTATAAACCCGCCTCCAGACCATCCACATCTCTCCTGGTCCCCTTCTCTCCCTTCTCCCTCTTCAGCCTCTGCTCTACATACATTCGTTGCTCGACGCCTGTTCCAATCACTCTCGTTGTGTGTCCGACTACCAACTACACCTATTCTTAATACACCAGTGTAATACACCAACTCCCGCCAACATGCGTTTCACCTCCATCATCATGGCCGGCGTCCTCGCCGTCGCCGCCAGCGCCCAGTCCTCCGGTGCCGCTACCACCACTGTCAGCTCCAGCGTTCCCGAGAACTCTGCCCAGGCTGCCATCACCAAGTGCCTGGCTGCTTGCCCGGCCACCGACGTTAACTGCCAGTCCAAGTGCATTTCTGTAAGTTACCCATGGATTCTGGACCTGGGGACACCAGACATTAACGCATGTTTCTCCCACAGGTCCCTAGCCCCAACGCGGATCAGGTCAACCAGACCACCGACTGCGTCGCTAAGTGCGACCAGGGTGACGGCTCCGCCGCCGCCACCGAGAAGTTCCGTGTCTGCCGCGACGACTGCATCTCCAAGTACTACTACACCAGCGGTGGCACCCCCGCCGCCACCGGTGGCTCTGGCTCCGGCTCCGGTTCCTCTCGCTCCGGCGCCGCCGCCACTGCCACTGGCTCCGAGGCTGCTGCTACCGCTTCCGGCGACTCCACCGCTACTGGCTCCGGCACTGCTACTGGCACCAACTCCGCATCCTCCGGAACTTCTACCCCTAACGCCGCCCCTGCCCTTGTTGGCTCTGCTTCATTCGGTGTCGTCGGCCTCATTGCCGCCGCCCTTCTGTAAATGGGGCTTGCTTCTTTTGTTTATTGCATTTGAGGTTGGAAAAAGGAGGATGATAAGGGATATCTGAGAAGATGATGGGTATATACCACTTGGAGGATTTATGCTGTATATGCAGTCAATAATGAATAAGGCAGACCATAGCGATCATGTAATGTATCGGCGGGTTAGAAATGGCCCGCTCCAATCAATCACTCATCATACTCTGGTCCAATACTTGTGGCTGTGCTGGCAGATGTTTGAACCGCATATGCTCGAGTGATGGGATTCTGCAAATGGCACATAAATGTCCCGCGGTCGAACTGCCGAACATGGACACCCCAGCCCATATTCCGCCATCGAAGCGGAGCATGGCTTCTGCCTTCGTCAGATGAGGGCAAGGTGATACTCGATTCGACTTAATCCTCTGTATGATTCTACGTCTACTTTCTAGTAGGCACCGTGACTGGAATGTCGCTGAGCCAGGGGACGCCCAGCTGTTTCATCTCAACGGCCAACTGGAACAGATAGTCCAAGCTAACCACCAAGGTTAGCAAATCGTCATTTTCATGAGACAAGGACGGGAATATGTCATCGACATCAGCCGACTCACCTTTCACACTGGGTCTTGGCTTTATGGACATTGTCGCCCCAGACATAAACACCATGCCTCCGTACGAGCACGGCGTACGTGTCGGGGTACTTGTCCATGGCCTCCTCGAGGAACTCGGTCAGGTCCTCCTCGTGCGCCGTATTCTCGATGACGGGGATGCGCAGGGTGTCGTGGTAGCCGAGGTTGCCCTGCTTCTGGAAGCCCCTGCCGAAGCCCTTGATCTGCTCGATGTTGTTGATCTCGAACAGCTTGTCGTTGCCGGGGCCGCGGCCCTCGAGGATCAGCGTGACGAGGACGGCCCAGTGGGAGTGCGTGTGGATGCAGCAGCCGGCGCCGCGGCGGGTGAAGGCGGCGAGGAAGAGCGGGGTGCACTGGGAGGGCTTGTAGGAGGGCGGCGAGCGCAGGTAGACGCGGTTCTTGAGGGAGGCTTCCTGCGCGGCGAGGGAGAGGACGTAGATGTCCTGGGCCTTCATGAGCTCCTTCTGGACGCCTGACGGGGCGATGTAGACGAGGTCCCTGGGAGGGGTGTAAGTTTGTGGTCATGTTTGTGAGAGGCGGCTTTGTCTGCAAGTCTTGTTCGAATTGTGTCTTTTATGAAAGAGAACAAACAGCAAACGCATGGTCTGCAAACAATAGAATATGTTTCATTGTAAAATGAGACATCTCACTGAAGGTCATGATGATACCAGAGGAAACGTATTTACCCATCGCGAATAGAAGCGCCACCACCGGTGCCGGTAACCCAGCCGAGATGCCAGAACTTGGCGCAGAGCGAGGGAATGAGGTTCGCGGGATGTTCGGGGTTGTTAGAGGTGACGAGCTGGTCGGGGTTCTCAATGTCACTTGCGGAAGCCATGGTGGGCTATTTCTGAGCTGCGTTCCGGGCGGGATCGCGGGGTAACGGCGCGCAGGTACGTGGGCTGGCGGCTGTGGCTCCTGAACTGGTGCGCCGAGGGCGGGAAAATTGAGGAAATTGGAGGAAAAGAAAGCACTGAGACAGTCTCCTTTGTTGCAGAAGTTTTCGGGTTTCAGAAACCGGGTTGTCGCTGTTTTCTCACTCGTCACACTGAGATATCGCAAGTCGCTCAGATAGGTACGGAAATTTTCTACCAGCCACAGCACATGCGAATGAGGCTCAATTGGCCAGTGACACCTCGCGCATTCCCCACATGGCAAAAGCACGCAAGGCACGGAACGCTCCTCTCTCTGCGTCTAACAACCTACCCTACCTTGCCTTAAGTGCGCGAGAGCGAACCCGCAACTCGCGATTGGTTGGTTGAATTGAGTTGGTTGTCTGAATGGGGCCATCTCCCCAATTGGAGCGCAAAGTGCCCTGTAATTAGTAGTGTAGGTAAATCTGCAGATTGGAATGCCGCGGATGGCGGATGACAGATGGCAGATGGCGGATATGCGGATGGCCTATCGGTCGCTCGAGCACTCGCACTAGGAAGCTAATGTGACTGACCGGTGAAGAATCGGCAACTAACCCCGTCAGATGAGGCTGAATTGGCTCAGGGCGGTCGATTGAGAAGAGGACACCTTACCATTTCCAACGGGCAGTAAGAATGAGATGAGCCGCCATGTTGCTATTTACGGATGGTTATATGACAGAGGGGATTGCCGGCTTGGTGAGATTGGCGGTAATTACTTGTGATGGAGGGAATGACTCTTTGTGATATTAAATCACCCAACCCGCCTACCCAAAACGGTACGACGACCAGCCGCTGGGACGCTGAAACTTTTCCGAGATCGCATGGCCGGCCGGTGTCAGGCATGAGCCGAGGCTGCCGTCTACCATATTTCGTTGTTCATGCCTCTCAAACTCCCCCCTACAGTTCCGATTATACTGGAGGTATATTCAATGCATTAGCCCAAGACACTCGGGAGTATCCGCCACGCTGCTGGCTTTCGGATCGTGTTCCTGCTGCAGATATACACCTAGATAACGCTGAAAGGTAGATAAATTATGTATCATGTAATGATATCCCATGCTCCCAGCAGACTGGATCAGCCAGAGCTAGAGCTCGGTTTCGAGTTCCATACAAGGATGAGGCTTCAAGCAGAGGAGGTTTGGAAGCTCATCGAAGCACCGTGAATCTCCCCTCCTTCCCTTCACTGTCAGCACCTGTGGATCCCCTTTGACCAAGGGCCCCATCACAGCTTGCGTCCCCGCACTTTGTCCAGCCAGTCAGCCACAGGCAAAGAGCCCACTGTGAAAGGAACCCAAAGCGCTGTGAGGCATCACATTGGTGCGCTGGTGCGGTGAGGATTGTAGGTGAAGGGCTACCCCGACGACCCCTGGAATTGTGTGTTGAGGCGCTGCACGGCAACTCTGGTCCCTGAGCACTCTAGACCGAGGAAGGTAGGTCTTCCCCAATTTTCTTTCAGTTCGTTGCTTTACCACCCGAGAGGTGATAGCTCCCTACCTGGCCTTTTCTGGGTGCAGCTGCTTGCCGTGTGTGTGGTGGTACCTTACCTCACCTCTAAGGTGCAGCCAAAAAAAAAGGACACGTTGAGCAGAACCCGCCCACGCGCTTGTACCTCCTCCAGCGCTCCTGCCTCACGGACTGATAAATCCATCTCCCTTCCTCGCCCCATTCCTTCTTCCGAAACTTATTTTCCTCTCCTTGGGAAATTCCTCACAAGACAATTCCTCCTCCTCCATCACCTGCGCGCTGGGAGCAATCGTCTTTGTCATTCAATTGGCAATTCTTCCCTCTCTACCTGCCTAAGCTACCAAGCTTGAGGTCATCTTCTCATCTCTCTCACTCTCACCTGGTCTACCCGATTTCTTGCAGTCTGCAAGTTTGACATTCGCCCAACATGAAGATTACCGCTGCTGTTGCCGCGGCCCTGCTGGCTGGCAGCGCCTACGCCGACGATGCCCAGAAGGTTTTGAGCGACGACAAGTCCTCTACTGCCGCTGAGTCTGCTTCCACCATCGCTCCTACTATGCCCACCTTCACTGTAAGCTCTCCTCCTACTCAAGTCCTTTCTTTGTTGCGAGATTGGGCCCCCTCATTGACTGTGCTGGCTTCTGGCCTGGACGCACGAGCTCAATGCACGCGGAAACACCTGGCATGCCTGGGGAAGCTTCTCCGCACCTGACTCTTTACTCTTTTTATCGCACGTGGCAGCTTGCTGACAATGGTTTCTTACAGCCTACGACTCTCAAGGCCCCTTTCCTTGAGCAGTTCACCGACGACTGGGAGTCCAGATGGTCCCCTTCCCACGCCAAGAAGGACAGCAAGGACGAAGAGGAATGGGCCTACGTTGGCGAGTGGGCTGTCGAGGAGCCCAAGATCTACAAGGGCATGGAGGGCGACAAGGGTCTTGTTGTCAAGAACCCCGCTGCTCACCACGCCATCTCGGCCAAGTTCCCCAAGAAGATTGACAACAAGGGCAAGACTCTTGTTGTCCAGTACGAGGTCAAGCTCCAGAGTAAGTTTCCTGGCTTCGCCGCCGCCTCAATTGGCGTTGCAATAGGATGCTAACAATCTCCTTCCAGATGGACTTGAGTGCGGTGGTGCTTACCTGAAGCTCCTCCGGGAGAACAAGGCTCTTCACTCCGAGGAGTTCTCCAACGCCACTCCCTACGTGATCATGTTCGGTCCCGACAAGTGCGGCCACACCAACAAGGTTCACTTCATCTTCAACCACAAGAACCCCAAGACCGGCGAGTACGAGGAGAAGCACCTCACCTCTCCCCCCACCGCTCGCATCGTCAAGACCACCGAGCTCTACACCCTCATCGTCCACCCCAACAACACCTACATTATCCAGCAGAACGGCGAGCAGGTCAAGACCGGCTCCCTCCTCGAGGACTTCTCCCCCGCTGTCAACCCCGCCAAGGAGATTGACGACCCCAAGGACACCAAGCCCGAGGACTGGGTTGACGAGGCCCGTATCGCCGACCCCGAGGCCAAGAAGCCCGAGGACTGGGATGAGGACGCCCCCTTCGAGATTGTCGACGAGGAGGCTACCAAGCCCGAGGACTGGCTCGAGGAGGAGCCCCTCACTATTCCCGACCCTGAGGCTCAGAAGCCCGAGGACTGGGATGACGAGGAGGATGGTGACTGGGTCGCCCCTACTGTCCCCAACCCCAAGTGCTCTGAGGCCTCTGGCTGTGGTCCCTGGAAGAAGCCCATGAAGAAGAACCCCGACTACAAGGGCAAGTGGACCGCTCCCTACATCGACAACCCCGCCTACAAGGGCGTCTGGGCTCCCCGCAAGATCAAGAACCCCGACTACTACGAGGACAAGACCCCGGCCAACTTCGAGCCCATGGGAGCTGTAAGTTTCACTCAACACGATTTGACTGAATACCACATGCTAACAATACTTTCAATAGATCGGCTTCGAGATCTGGACCATGCAGAATGACATTCTCTTCGACAACATCTACATCGGTCACTCTGTTGAGGACGCCGCCAAGCTTGCCGAGGAGTCCTTCAAGGAGAAGCACCCTCTTGAGCAGCTCGCCGAGCTTGCTGACAAGCCCAAGGAGGCCGAGAAGCCCAAGTCCCCCAACGACTTGAAGTTCCTCGACGACCCCGTCCACTTCATCAAGGAGAAGGTCGACCTCTTCATCACCATCGCTCAGAAGGACCCCATCCAGGCCATCAAGTTCGTCCCTGAGGTCGCTGGCGGTATCGGCGCTCTCCTCGTCACCCTCCTTGCCGTCGTTGTCGGTCTTGCCAGCTCTGGCGGCGCTCCCCCCGCCGCTAAGAAGGCTGCCTCTGACGCTGCCGACAAGGCCAAGGACGCCAAGGACAAGGCCACCAAGGCTGTCGCTTCCGGCGCTGACACCGTCAAGGAGGCTACCAAGCGCAACACCAGGAGCTCTTCGTAGATTGGAGCCGTTGGAGATGAAGATGTGAATTAGCTCGCTTTCTCTTTATATGCTCGGCGGAAAACAGGCCAAGGGATTTGTCTGAAGCAAAACACCCGGCTACAATCAGGAACGAAGAGGAAAACGGATCTGGCTTTTTTCAGTTAACCTCCCTCACTATATGTCTGTTTTTGGTCATCGAGGGACCGGAGAAGCATGGCGTAGGTGTATACTAGGCAAGCAAATCAAAAAAAGGATTGACCAATATTTTTGATGTTGACTCGTTCTGTTGACTCATTCTGTGATGCAACAATGCCGCGGCGAGACTGGATCATCATATATAGCATCGCTGCCTCAAGTCGGTATCACGTCGGAGGCCCACCCGTCCTTCTCCGCTTAACTACGGGCCAGCTGATAGGTAAACCGAATCGCGCCGTTTACGCCCTTTACGCCTAATATTTTCCCGCTGCACTGCGCCCACCTGACGCCCGTGGCTTCTTGCACGGATCCCCTCGGTATAAGGCGGCATTGGGGCCGGCTTCGGCAGGGGGAGCTTGGGGAACTCGGCAGGGATTTGGTGGTAGCGTTATCTTACCCCACCCCAACCTTTCCCCACACTCTTGGAGCTCGCCGTGTTCCCTTGGACCTTATAAGGGACTACGATGTCGCTCGACTCCGGCTCCCGCTTGCGTGGCTGATCATTGGTTCTTAGTGTACGGACGAACAGACTGCATAGTGTAGCACCATCTGTTTCTAGTTTGTCGATTGTGTCTTCAAAGGCCTCCCTTCTTTCACCCTCCCTCTTCATCCCCCCTCTCCTCTTCACAATGCGTCGAGCCATTTCTCGAAGCATCACAACCGGCGCCAGCCGCACCTCTGGAGCTTCTCTCGCCCGCTCTTCTCTCCTCTCGTCAGCAGTCATGTCTTCTTCCTCCAGAATGCCCGCCGTCGCGGCGAGGAGGATACACGCCACCGCGCAGCACCTCAATGCCGCCCTCGCCTCGACGGCCGAGTCCTACCCCAAGACTCACGAGAAGATCGCGAAGCCCGAAGATACCCCCTACTTCCTGGACAACCAGTTCGTCAGCTCCAGCGCGACCGACTTCATCGACCTCCATGACCCGGCCACCAACAACCTCGTCACCCGCGTGCCGCAGATGACCACCGAGGAGCTCCAGTCCGCGGTTGCGTCCGCCGAGAAGGCCTTCCCCAAGTGGCGCGCCATGAGCGTGCTCGCTCGCCAGCAGATCATGTTCAAGTTTGTTGCCCTGATCCGCGAGAACTGGGACCGTCTGGCCGCCAGCATCACCCTCGAGCAGGGCAAGACGTTCGCCGACGCCAGGGGCGATGTCCTTCGCGGCCTGCAGGTCGCCGAGGCCGCCTGTGGTGCTCCTGAGCTCCTCAAGGGCGAGGTGTTGGAGGTCGCCAAGGATATGGAGACGAGAAGCTACCGCGAGCCACTGGGCGTCGTGGCTGCCATCTGCCCCTTCAGTGAGTCCCCGAGGTGTCAGTCGTTGATGAGAGTGAAGCTGACTGTTTAGACTTCCCCGCCATGATTCCCCTCTGGTGTATCCCCATCGCTACCGTCACCGGCAACACCCTCATTCTGAAGCCCTCCGAGCGCGACCCCGGTGCCGCAATGATTCTTGCCGAGCTAGTCCAGAAGGCCGGCTTCCCTGAGGGCGTGGTCAACGTTGTTCACGGCGCTCACAAGACGGTCGACTTCATCCTTGAGGATCCCGCCATTAAGGCCGTCAGCTTCGTCGGCGGAAACAAGGCCGGCGAGTACATCTTCAACAAGGGCTCCGCCCACGGCAAGCGCGTGCAAGCCAACTTGGGCGCCAAGAACCACGCCGCTGTCCTGCCCGACTGCAACAAGAACCACTTTCTCAACAGCGTCGTCGGCGCTGCCTTCGGTGCCGCCGGCCAACGATGCATGGCCTTGAGCACTCTCGTCATGGTTGGCGAGACCAAGGAGTGGCTTCCCGAGCTGGCCGAGATGGCCAAGAAGCTCAAGGTTGACGGTGGCTTCGAGGAGGGTGCCGACCTCGGCCCCGTCATCTCCCCGCAGAGCAAGGAGCGCATCGAGAGCCTGATCAAGAGCGCCGAGGAGGAGGGTGCTACTATCCTGCTCGACGGCCGCGGCTACAAGCCCGCCAAGTACCCCAATGGCAACTGGGTCGCCCCTACGATCATCTCTAACGTCACTCCCGACATGAAGTGCTACCGCGAGGAGATCTTCGGACCCGTTCTCGTCTGCCTCAACGTCGACACCCTCCAGGATGCCATCGAGCTCATCAACAAGAACGAGTACGGCAACGGCACCGCCATCTTCACCCGCTCTGGTGCCACCGGCGAGACCTTCCGCCGCAATATCGAGGCCGGCCAGATCGGCATTAACGTGCCCATCCCCGTCCCCCTGCCCATGTTCTCCTTCACCGGTAACAAGAAGTCCATTGCCGGCGGCGGCGCCAACACCTTCTACGGCAAGCCCGGCATCAACTTCTACACTCAGCAGAAGACCGTCACTGCCCTGTGGCAGAGCGCCGACGCCGTTGCGCAAAAGGCCGATGTGTCCATGCCCACCCAGTCGTAGGCGTTATCTCGTGGGGTCTGATAACCGGCCCGGTCCCGCTCAGGTAGATGGTTTGCCGGCCTGCGGGACCGGACCCGCTCTATGTGGGACGTTGGTCGGATAGGAAGCCGACAACGGCTGAGGCGACGATAATGTTAGGCAAGTGAAGCCGGTGATGTTGGGCGGTCTCATGGCTGGACCGAAAACGGAAGGTCAGGACGGTAAAATGGAAGATGCATAAGCAATCTGCGCGCATGATATATGAGTTGAAGATTTATTGAGATTTTTGCAGAGTAGCCAAAATGAAGCTTTTTTTTTCAATGAATATTTGACTGTCTGCAGAATGGGTGAATGTCTTTTTAGATGGTGGATGAACTCAATTGAGGAGCAGATTTGAGGCCACTCGACTCAACCCACTTCGGGCTGCCAACAGCTGTCTTAGTAATAGCCTCCCTCCATATCCCATATTCGCATAGGTATGTAGGTGGTAGACCTGCCGTCTCAAGCGGTGCGGGCATGCCAATTAACCTCGTGCATGACTTCATCGACGACGACCTCCACCTCGATTCTAAGTCAATGTTGAAAATGAAACTCACTCGAATGGGCCGCCCCCTCAATTGAGCCTTCTCTTTGACCAGATGAGAACAGAGCCAGGGCTTCAAGCGTAAGTGCGAATCGGATCAAGACTCAGACTCGACTTGCGCCCAATCTCGTCGAGACGTCCGACTTACACCAATCGACGCACGACGAGAGGCCTTCAAGAAGCAACATGTTCCAACTAACAGACCTGCCCGACACTCTCTTTCTAGACATCATATCCCATCTCAGCCCCCGTGAAATCATCCTCCACCGCCTCGTCTCCCGTGCATCCCACGCAGCGCTCACCAGGACCGACTTCTCCCGGACGCTCCTCCACATCTTCTTTCCCAGGTCGCTCGAATGTCGCGAGCTCAAGTCTCAAATAGCAGCCGAGAACCAAAAGCAGTCGTCGTCCGGGGCCTGCAACGGGTCACCCGAGGCGGACTGGCCGTCCATCTTCGCCTCCGTGTCCCGCCGCTACCACAACCTCTCTGCCGGATCATATCACATCCTCGAAACGATCCCGATACTGAAAGACGCGAAACTCATGTACCCGTTCACGCCCTGGAACCGCCACCTCCAGCGCGACGAGATGTCGATGCCCCTACAACTCCCGGATCGGAGTTGGACCTACGACGACGGAATCTTGGTCTACCCTCGCCCGTCTTCCAACCCCGTACCCTCCATCTTCAAAGCTCTGGACCTCTTCTCAGGCTTGGAAACGACAATCCCCTTCGCCTGCACCTTCAAAATTGTCCGCCGCCTCCGCCTCTGCCACTCCGTCCTCATCATCGAATGGGCGGAGGCGGAGGGCTCACACCCCCTGAACGACCTCGACATAGCCCACCGGCACTTCGCGACCGCCTTCACAGTTCACAGGACCTCCTCCCCGCTCATCTCAACCTCATCGTCGCCGCCCGAGGTGACATTTCGCTCGGAGTGGAAGATCCACTACCTAGGCCTCCCCCTGACCCCCTCCGACCGCCTCGTCTCAACCCACAACGCAACGCACTACGCCCTCTACGCGCACCAGCCGACCCGGTCCCCCTGGGGCGAGGACACGCCCCTCGAGCGCCTCGTCGTCTGGTCCCTCGGGCGCCCCTCGAGCTACAGACCCAGCCTCGACCCCTCCTCGTCCCGGAAGCCCGACCCGGACCCGGGACCCGCCGTCATCCTGCGCCTGACGAACGGGGACCTGGACCACTGGCACGTCCGACAACGGGACACGCCGCGCCTGATGAGTATCGCCCTCGACGCGGGGCACGTCTTTCTGCAGGAGGAGGACCACTTGTGGACCGGCGGGCCGCAGTCCTCCGAGACGCCCCCGGCGCGGCACAGCGTGCGGAGCACCGGGATCCCGCTGTCCCGGTGCGGGCCGCGGTGGGTCGACGAGTGCGGTGCCGAAGGCGACGCCGAGCGCTCCTTCTGTCCCGCGCGGGGCGCTTCCGATGCCTCGCCCGGCAGGGCGCCTTGTTGGCGGCACGAGGAGTTCCCCTATCTCACCGTGGCGCAGGTCGTCGACGCGGCGGCCGGGACGAGAGTGTGCGGGAGGCGGTGTTTCGCGATGGAGACGGTCAGCGCGAGCGGGGCGGGCGGCGGGGACGGCCGAGGCGAGGTGCAGTTCCCGGACGACATGTGGAGGGCCGTCATGTCGGGGGCGGCGCTGGCGGGCGATGAACGATGGGTAATCGGGGAGGACGGTGCGGGGGACGTGAGCGTGGTTCGATTCTGATAGGGCTGGCGTGAGAAGGTCGTCCGATGAGGAAACGGGTAGATGGTTTTGGGCAGATGCTTCGCCGCAAAGAGGATAGCAGGCTGCGGGCACCGGTTCCTTCGGGGGAAGGATGCGAAATGTGCCTGCTAAGGCGGCACCTTGAGAGGACGAGTCCCCTTCAGGCCGAGCGGCAAGGTTCATGTGGTGCTTCCTTGACCTGTCATGGTGGATTTATGGGGAAGCCGGGGGATGACAGCTCACTGCGGAACCCAAGCCATGGTGCCATGTTCTCACGATAATGGCCTCAGTCGGGCGTGGCTCACGGAGAGCTGACGAAAGATCTGCAATGAAGATTCCATCTATTGACATGTGTCTGCCTGCTATGGTAATCCAACCTCAAAAAGAACCTTGAGCGGTGATAAAAAAAAATGACAAAGTAGGAAAACCAAGCCTGCTTTGCAGCATGTTGCTTACTATTCCATCTCCCCTGAGCTCCTGAAAATGCCGAGATAACAACCGCACCGCCGCCGCACTCCCCAACACCTGCTGGACAAGTTGGAAGAGAGAGAAAGTGATGATTTCATGCCTGCGTTTCTTTTTCTAGGTGCTTGATTTCTTTCCAAGCACCTTGATTATGTGTGTCGTGATGTGATGTGAGATGTGTATGATACAGAAACGCTCAAATGGTCGCCCCTGGGAACAGACTAGATATTAAAGGTCTGACATGTCTAAGTAGCCATGGGGGTCGCGGTCGGGGTGGGAGATGAGCCGTTGGGCAGCTGGAGGAAGCCGTCGTAGTACGCATCCAGCCAGCGGGCAGCCTCCTCGCCGGCGTCATCCATGCTCGAGTCCCACCTACCGACGGAGCCAACATAGCCGTCGGGTCGTACGTTCACGATGGAGACCTCACCGGGGCCGAGACTGCCGAGCCACTTGTTGGTGCAGAGCTGGCCGCGTGTGTCCTGCTCTGGGATGTCGTCCAGATAGAACGTCCATCGGCTGTCCTGCAGGAGAGCCGGCAGGTCTGAAATCTCCACATCGGTCTTCGGCATGGTCGCTGTGACTTTGTTAGTGGGGCTGCGGGCTCCTGTCTCGGTTTCAAACTTACTAATCAAGGCAAATGTGAAGAGATGGCTGACGGCCGTGTACCGCTCAGGTCGGTAGTAGATATCTTCAGGAGAGGGTAGTCTAGGTTGCGCGGCATAGGAAGCGCTGGCAGAAGCAGAGAGCTTGCTGATGAACGAGTTGGCCGATGCAATTGACTGGCAGAAGGTCTCCAAGAAGGGGCTTGACGCCTGGATATCCCACATCAAGAGGTAGATGCGGAATTGGCCAAGCATGGGAATGTCAAGCTGGATATCAACGGGGTTAGAGTCGATATACCGGGTCACCTTGGCCGGGGGAAGCAAGCAACCCGGCCTGGCGTCTCCCATGACAAGACCCTGGGGGTCGGGCCTATTAAGGAGGCTCTCGGCGTACTCGGCACCGATACCAGAGATGAAACGGACGTTCGTCTTGAAGTTCTCTGCCAGTGCAACGGCATCACCACCAGCAATCTGGTTGGCATGCTCGTAGTCAAAGTTAACGAGGTCCACAGCGATTTTTCTTCGCTCTTCCTCGTAGCTCTCAAGCAGCGCTTGCTTGGCCAGTCCGCGGATGGACAGGTTGAGCTTCCAAGCCAAGTTCCAAGAGTCGTGCATAGAGGTGTTCATACCCTGAGCAGACTTTGGGGAGTGCGTGTGACTGGCGTCTCCAGCAAGGAATGCTCTGACGTGGTTATCGCAGAACCGGCTGGCCACTCTCTGACCAATCTGGTAGCGACCAAACCACTCAATGTACTTCCAGTCGACCTCGAACGGAGCCATAATCTTCTTCGCACGAGCCATGACAAACTCCTGGCCAAGCTCTCGCTTGTCCGCCTTTGGGTTTGCCTTCAACTCGATGTAGAAGCGAGTCATGTTCCTCTCCCTGGGAATGATCAGAATAGAGCCATACTCCTGCGAGTAGACTAGCGTCTTGGACCAGATATCCGGGAAGTCGGTGATCAGCTCGCCGTCGAGAACACCCCAGATGGCGGGCTGGGACAAACCAATTGCCCGCGCATCCGGGATGCTCTTGCGGACCTTCGAGTGTGCTCCGTCACCTATGCCTTATTAGTCGACTGCGCACACCGCAATTGCTTAAAGACTCACATCCGACCAAGTACTGCGTCAAGATCGTCCTCCGATCTTGAGTGACGTTCGTACGGCAGTTGATCTGGAGGGGTCCAGCCTTGTTTTCCGGCACGCTGTAGGACTCGAACGCCGTGTTTCTTCGCACCTCAACTCCACGCTTCTTCAGGTCATCGATAAAGAGACCCTCGACCATGCCCTGGTGCACCAAGAGAATGTAGGGATCCAAGACGTCAATAACGGGAGGGTAGTGAACCTCGCGGCCGAGTCTGTGGAGAGGCTCGTCGGCGGTGCTTCGCCAGAAGGAAATATCGTAAACGCGAACGCCTCGTAGCAGCAAAGGGTCAGCCAGGCGCATTTGGCGGAAGGTCTCGATCGTCTTGGGCTGGAGTCCGTCTGCTCTGCAAGGGTGTTAGCGGGCTGGCGGCATGCGCGAGGACGCTGGGCGTTCTACCTTCCAACAGGCGTCTGATCGGCTCTGTCGTCAATTACCTCGACTTTGATACCGAAACGACTGAGGTTGGCAGCCAACATGAGACCTGCAGGACCAGCACCAACAATGCACACCTGGGACTCTATGGGAGGCTCGGGCAAGCTTCTCAGAAGAGTAAGGGTGTCTACGGTGGCGTCCAAGGCGTTAAGACGGCCGGCGGCGGTGCCAGCGTTGCCGTTTTGGTCGTCCATTGAGCCGTCCGAGTTGAGTATACCGGGAGCCATAATTCGTACAGTGATATCACAGTCTCAACACCTCAGTAGGCAGGCGGGGTCGGCCGTTCGTACGTAGCGAGTGTTGTCGAAAGGGGCCTGGTTTACTGGAGGGCTAACTATGCAAGGACGACCCAATGGAATGGTGTTTGGTGCTCTTCGGGATTGTTCAGACAGGCCGCGCTCGCACGGCAGAGGTCGGAGGCTGGAGGGAACGTGGGGTCTCGTTGTGCTATGCGCGGTTGAAGTAGGCAGGATACACCACACTGGCGCAAACACACAGCACACACACTAAGCGGGCGTGGAGCTCGAGCTCGAGGCGAGGACGGAAACAGAGGTACGGCTCCAGCCGTTGAGTGGTGCAGTGGTGTTCTCGTCCGAGGTTTGTGTGCGACAAGAAAAATGTTGGGTCCGGAGGTGGTATTCGAGATATAACAGTATGGGATAGGGTCGCCGAATATGCAGCCAGACCAGGGCAGATCAGGACCGGGGACCAGAACAGTGGGTGCAGCAGAACCAGCAGTAAACCACACAGACGAAGCAGACCGAGGGACAAGGGCTTGGACGAACGGTGAAGGAGAGAAGAGGACAAGAAAAAAAACACAAAAAGGCACTCAGAAAAAAAAAGAGGGGGCGCAAGGAACCGGACAAGCTTGCGACTGCAGACAGATAGCTGGATGGTTCGACAGAATTGGAGATTGCCTCGCGGATGCTTCAAACGATTTTGGAAAATGGCATGACATGAGCTCTGAAGCGCGGCGGATGGAGTGAGAATGGGCTGATTTTGCGGATTATCTAAGTGTGGCAGGCATGCCTGTCCACACTTTAAACGGCTTTTGATTGGACGAGCCCCTCCGAACGGGATGCCAGTGTCCAACCCATCAGACGCTAATCCCGTTCGGGAATGCTTCAGAACGTGGCAGGTGCGTTCGACTTCGATGCTTTCCGCCTGCTGCCGCTATGTACCTTACTACGTACAAATGTCCACGGGTAGGTATTGTGTACACGGCGGGGTGGAAGCCACGACCGTTGATGAGGCCACTTTTAGCTTCGTTTTGAACAACACTCCGCGGTCATTCTAGTGGGAGAAACCACAGACATCAACATCGTCTTCTTTTTTCTCTTGAATGGACTCCCTGCGTCTGCTCGTCCCCTCTAACAATACCACCACCACCACCTCCGTCTTGGTTCCGCCTGGGTACCTTAGCCCTCAAGTGCTCAAGTGGGCCACGATTAAGTTCCTTCATTGAGAGGGGAAGACTACCTTCCTTACCTTACATTGATCCATCACAATGGACCCTCAACACCAACCTCACACGAACGACAGGCCACACTATGCCAACTTGGTGCAGCTACAGCGCGGTGGCATCTGTCATGTTCTCAAACGGCCGCCTGATCCCGACATTTTGCCCAGTTGAACCCCATAAGTTTCCTTCTACTTCGATCCCACCATCCACTCTTCTTGTCCTTCCTCGGGGCTAGGTCCGGCCGAGACGGAGGTTGGAAACGCACAAACGTGGAATCCCCCGATGCCGGGCAAGACAATGGACCGCATCGTATGCAAACGCACATCTTTTACTGCGTATGGGAACCTCCTGGTCCAACAACGTCGCAACACAGCATCTGACATGTCACTGTCAACGTCCCCTGGCGGGGCAACATCGCAGTTTCTTTTTTCAACCTCTGACACCGGCTTTCCGCAACTTCCAGAGCCCCTTCCATCCTTCCACTTCCAACCTTCCAACACCTTCGGCATCCCCCTCCCACACCGCTGCTGCATACCTATCCAACTCTGACTATCACTCCAATCCTATCACATCACCCTCACCTATCATAAGAGAAGTCAGCCCGATATACCATTCTTCGCGTGAGTTATGCGGCACAGCAAGCAAAATCGCACGACAAGATGTGCTGCTGAACCTATGAGATCTTGTTTTCGGATTGCCGTAACCTGTGCCTCATCCTGGCGGATTTACCCTCGCCTTGCCGTCGGCCAGTCTGTCTTGGCATGATTTCCTCGTGCGCTTATGCAGAAAACGCAACACCATGGATGCTCTCCAGATTTCCGATCTGACCCCACCCCAAGGCCACGACCGAGGATACCGCCAACCTGGTCGTCCCCAGGCTCGGTTCTGAAAGGTATTAGTCAGAAGCCACTTGTTCTTTGTTTCGCTACTTCTCTTACACTAGATGCCGAGGGGTTCGTGACGAGATTAGCTGCGTATCCTTCCAAGTTTCTTCTTGATCAACGTGGGGCCTCGCGCCAGAAGCCCTGCTTCTGAACCGCAGTTCGTCGATGCTTCCTCCCAAGTCGCAGATTGAGAAGATGCTGGCCACAAAGCACTGGGGCCAAACAAAAACCGGCTCGCCTATGAATGCAGCTATCCCGAGGCCGCGGCTCGCTTGATGAGATGGTGCAGCCGTAAGCTACGTCCCCGGCGGTTGCTGGGTCGTTCAGGAGAACGGCAACTTTTGCCGTCCTTCTGATTGAGCACCTCATGGTTGAACGAGATGATCGACGGCGTCAAGATGGGCCTTGAAACGTGGATGGGCCTGTTGCCATATGCTAGGGCAGACTAAAAACTTGGAATATGCGGAATCCCGGCCTTAACCAACGCGAATCCTGCTTTTTGTCTGGACATTGGAGTCGCGCAGGTATAGGACATTCACAAATGGTTCGATCCTGAGCGCAAGGGGCGTCGTTCTGAAAAGACTCAATCGCCCTGTGTAAGGCGACCAGAGACAGTGGACCACTAACAAGAGCGAGTCGCCTAGCCGACTTCCTCTTGACTAAATAGAAGGCAGCTGAGCCTGCCTGGGAAGAACACATATGACCGAATGACACATGTCTGCCGTATCAGTTGAGTTCACGGCAAAAATCTCGGCCACGTGCGTCAGGGTTGTTCAGTGTCTCAAAAGACTCATGTTTATCATCTTCTCGTAAAGTTACACCGGCATAATCATGTCCGCGGACATGCCTGCGTCTTCAAGAACTCAACCTTGACCTCTTCCGCGCCACCAAGCACAAGATCGAAGCTCGTACTCCATCCACTCGTCGCGAGCTGCGTCTGCGCCGCGAAAACAACATACTCTCCCCTCTCATCGCCCGTCGCCGCAAGATCAACAGTCTCAACCTCGAGCTTACGCACAATGACCCCCTGCCGCCGCACAAGATGCACAACATCCATGGCGACCGGATCCGAAGACCGGTCCTTGCGCACGGCAGCCGTGACGGTGAAGGTGCGCTCGTTGTTCACACTGGTCCGGTTCACGCAGGACTCCGACTCCAAGTACAGCAGGGCGTCGTTCACAGGATACCCGCTGCCGCCATTCTCGTAAACCGTCGTTGCGTTATTTGAGGGTGTCGTGAGGTGGATGTTGAACTTGCTGACGCCGCGCGCAGCGTCCACGGGGGTTGAGAATTGATACCAGACGAAGGTCTCTCCGTGAAGACCTGTAGATGTGCCTCCATCGTCCAGTGCTGTAGATACCACAGTGCTGCCGCTACCATCCCGGTCGGAATAAACCAAACTGACGACCAGGTCGTCGGTGCTGCGGCCGGTGCCCTCGGTTGTCTGGACGCGCACCCAGCCGCTGAGCGCAATGTTTCCGTCGTCGCTCAGCGCCATGCTGATGTACGGCTTGATGTCGACCGGCTCAATGGGATCCGTGAGTGTCACACTCGACGGCACGGTATCAATCATACGCGTGAAGACATCAGCGCAAGCTGCTCTAAACCCGCTGCCTCCCAGCTCCGTGATGGTCTTGTTCCCATCCGACGCAAAGATCCGCTTATCCGAGTTGATTGTCGCGTTGCTGTTGACCACGAGGGGATTCGTCGTCGTCCCGTCGAGGTACTCCGTCGCGATCTTGTTGTCGAATGCGTCAAACGTGCCGTCGAAATGCGTAACCGTGTCAGGGGTGCGCTCCATGTTCACGATGTCCGGATTGTTCACGCTATGCACGCCCCCGAGAGTATGGCCGCACGCAACCAACTCAATCATCTCCGTCTGGCTGAACCCTGCCCCCGCGAACCTGCTCATCGTCGTGTTCAGGGGCGTATGCGGCTCCGGCACGCCCGCGGGGCCGGCCTCCTGCGCGTCGATACGACCCGCGCGGAACGGCATCTTTACCCCGCCACAGCCGGCGTTGGCTACGACGACGCTCATCGCCAGCAGGTCGGAGGCGGACGCGCGGGCGGAGTAGAGGTTGGCAAAGAAGCTGAACGTGTTGTTGAAGGCGACGCCGCCGTTCTCGGAGCGGTGCACCTCGAACCAGATGGAGCCGTCCAGGCCGCCCTGGCCCGCAGCCGCGTCGGTTGTGGCGACGTCGTGGAAGGCCGTCCGTATCCATTCCGCGGCAAACTGGCGGCCATTGATGTTACCTCCAAAGGAGCAGGGCGTCACGCCTGGTTCTCACAATTAGAGATGGCAGTTCGTGATGGATCTGACAAGACTTACCGTCGACGAAACCTCGGCTGCGGTAGCCCGTCTGAAGGGAGAGAATGTCCTCGATCTCGTCATACTGAGAGGGCCAGACGTATGCGGCACCCGCGATGTATGCCCACGCAACGGCGCTTGCGGCGATGATTCTACCTTTCATGGCGACTGTGGCAGATCGAGGATGATCCCGCCAGAGAGAAGAAGATTAGAGCGAACGAGGGGAGGGAGGGTAGTAGTAGCATTCTGCCAGATAGACGCGCGACGGCACCAACCGCACTTTTAATAAGTTTTAATACGCATCATCGCATTGGATCCTTTTCGAGTCGGCGGGTTGCTTTATTGACTCCATAGCGGGGATTTTTTCTTTGCAGCAATGAGGAAAAGCCCCAGGTCGCCAAGCAAGCAGCATCGGGTCCCTGGCCCAATGCAGCAGCTCAGGCCGCTGTCGTGGATCGTGACGGCGGCTCAGAGGCGGTCGATGCAGTTTGCAATCTCAGTTGCGTCTTCTTTCCTGCATTGGCCCCTGAAGTCCCTGCAGGAGAGAGAAAAGCACGAGTTTGCTGGCTTGTGATCTCGGCCGAGTGAGTCCTGTCGCTACTGGTCTCCGATGATGGAGGTTGTCTGGGCAAGGTTCAGTATGGTTGAGGAACTGTCAATGACGACAAAACCTAGGTAGGGGAGGATCCCGCACGGAAGGGCCGCAACGGGTAATTATCAGATGGAAAAAGTTATCTGATGGAGCAGGGGTTGATATTGACATCTCCGCCAGATGGGTCGGAGCCGCGAGTCGAGCTGCTGGCGCCCCATAATAACCGCCCCTGGGCCTTCAAGACGTTCCGCGATTTATTCCTCCATCACACATTACACCCATACATGCTTGCTTTCGACAATCCAGCCCACGCACGAGCTTTCGGCGCTCACTACCTGAAAAACACTCGAGATCAAGTTGATAGACTCTTCAAGGGTAAATGAGGAAAAGCTGAAGATGAGGGCGATGATCGCCGGATCCCTGGTTCAACAGCACCCAGAGCAGATGAACGGGAACTGGCACTCTAGGACGCGGAGAATACTCGCGTGGACACTTTGGAAATCGTTTTACAGAGGATGACTAAAGTTGACCAGGACGAAGAGAAGAATCGGAAAACCGTCCTGAAAACTTTTGGTGCCAATCTTAGTGGAATGAAGACTGCGGCGTAAGGCGCAACAACGCAAGACTGGCAAACCAAGATGCAAGAACAGGAAGCACGCGAGCCTGCAACAGCAACTCAGCACACGAGCCGGCTGGGAAGTCATACAGAGTCAGAACACGGAACTCAAAGCTCAGCTAGATGTAGCGGCGGCAGCAACGGTCGAGTCTGCGGGCGCAGAGAGCGAGAAGAACCGTCTGGACACGAGCTGCATCGAGACCCAGATGACCGTCAAAAACGTATTGCGACAATCAATGCCCAGTCTCTTGCCACCACAACCATGATCGACGAGTTTCGGGACTCGCCGAGGGAGATCCTGTGAGGTAGGGGGGAGGTGGAACTGGCCAGAAATATCCAACCTGGGTGGAATGCGATGGTTGTCGACGCCCCTCAAGACCTTGAACATTCTCGACCGATACAAGTCGTACTCTGACGCCGCCGGCATCATGAAGGAGGCTGTCTTAACCGACGAGAATCACGAGAATCTACTGAAGTTCGCCGCCGACGTGGAGCCCGACAAGGTCTACTGTATCTTCCAGGTGGCCGACTTCTCGTACACAGACACCAACGAAGTAATCGGGAGGAGCCAGCCCTACAGCCTCTGTCCGGCTGAGGGCAGCAAGTGCCATAGTGACCAATTGTGCGTCGGGGATGGCGTGAATTTCATGGTCCTCCGACTTCCACCGAAGTAGCAAAAGGAGAAGTGAGTGACAACTATCTCGTGAGGGCAGTGCTTTGACGATATCAACAACTTCGACACCAGAAACCGTCACATACGACCATACCCATTGGAGAACTCGGGATCCCGTCCGCTCTCCCTTAGATAAGCCAATGAGGGCAGGCTCATCTAGAAGAGCAGGATCCCTGCTGACTCAGCATGCAAAACGGTGGCCCAGCTGCGCCCCGCCCTTACGCTGCCATACCGTCCTCCATTTGTAACTACTTCTATCCGCCCATCCACCCCAATAAAATTGGCCTTCTCTTACGCCCCCACCATCTTCCTTCCTAGCTTGCCTTACTGTCACCTCTGGTGTTGCCTGCCCCCTATGTAGGCTATCAGAATGGACACATGAGCCTCTCGTATTATTATTCTGCTGTGTACATAAGATGATTACACGGACCCCGTTGTCACACCCTTGTGACTTTTTGCAGGTGTGGGCCACAGGTGGTGAATTGAGCTCCCTGGGTGGGGCCTCCCTCCTCCACAACGTTCCATCAACCCACCTTCACCACAACTTTCTCTCCCTATAAACCTCACCCATTCAATGTTCAGGCTTTGAACATCTAGCGATCTGGACGACAAAGACACCTGTTATCCGCGAGTGCACCAATTCAAATGAACATTGGCCATTAGCTGATAAAGCCGTGCCCCCCCAAAACCGACTTCAATCGTGCATCCAACCCAATCATGGTGCCAAACCAAGTTAATGATGAAGGCGACACCTTCCACAACGCTCTTGCCTTTGCATACCGTCTTGCGCTTGGCCAATTCACCACAGCGGATCAAGAAAATCCTTCTTTCCACTTGTCGCCAGAATCATATGAAGCTCTCCTTCACCACTTGCAGAGCGAACCGTCGCCTTGCCTTGACGTTGGTGGCGAACTTGGACTCGGACTCAATCGAAACAGACTCGACACTCGGACTCGCGCTGCCATTTCCTTCTTGGATTCCGACTGTGATCAAGCCGCTCGCCATTCCTTCCGCAGCAACCTCGACAAGCTCCGAATCGAATACGATGCCGAAGATGGCCTTTTGACCTTCAAGATGCCCGAAACACGCGTCCATACCGACTTTGCTGCATCAATCTGTCACAGGATTACCGTTGCGGCCGAGCCTCTCATCGAGGACTTCCGATCCAGGGGCACCCCCGATATCGAGTTGAAGGGCAAGTCGAAATCGCGATCCAAGAAGGTTCCTGACATTGCCTGGGGTCGCTCCCCCCTTGAGACGAATCCTCCCATTGTCGCCGAGGTTGCCTACTCCCACCCCAATGGATCCAAGGACCTCGAAATCCTTAAGAAGATCTGCCAGGGATATCTAGAGGGCACGCGCGGTCGTCGCAAAATCCGGACTGTCCTCGGTTTCAAGATCTACTACCCTACCAACCCAACCAGCAATTTCGAGGCTATCCTGGAACATCTCGACGAGTGCTTCGCTGGCGTCTAGGTGACGCAGCCAGACGGCTCTGCGAAGATTTTAATGGACTGGAAACCGTTTAGCGCCGATGCGAGCTTGTCGCTCTACGTATCCGACATGGTCAGGGATGCGTCGGACATTCCTCACGGACAGGTTCGCCAGTGGTGAGAAAATTCCCGTCCCCCATCTTTCTAACTCAGCCGCCCTGGCCAGAGGTCGGCTGTGATTACCAATCTTCCCAGTGGAGCTGTGCTAACGAGCTCTTTCCAGTTTCGACTCCCATGAACACTCCCACGACGATCTCGCGAACATCCACATTCCATTTAGCGAGCTTCGAGACATGCTTAGAGTCGCCGTCGCCATCGCCATCCAGGACCGCGATATCCCGCACGACAGCGATGAGTCGGAGGAGGAGACAGAGATGGCAGACGGAGACATCCAGCACCGCAATATTCCGCACGATAACCAAGAGTCGGACGAGGAGACAGAGATGGCAGACGGAGATAGTGCCCGCGTGCGGATGTGACACTCAGAAGTTTGCTCGAAAACACGAGGGGGCGTATCTTGGGGAAATAGAGCAACATCGCAAGGACGGGGTGGAACGGACGAGTCGGTCAAGATGGCGGATTACACGTATCGAAGAGATCTCGGCCCGAACAAAACAAAGGCTATCGGCGGAGGAGATTTGCGGTCTGGTGTGTATCTTTCCAGGTCTGGCATGTCTCACAGGCTGGCCTACCACGAGGTTGCTGGGAGGCAAATCACGCCATAAGCTAGATGCATGCTCCAAGAGGGGAATCTAACAAGTGCTTAATGCAATTATCTTCACGTTTCGGTGACTTGTCATGGCTAGACAACATGTGTCTGCGTAGAACCACTGCAACACGGGAAAAGTGATTCGGTTGACCGACCTCCGTCGTTCATCATGGACCGTTTCGTGTCAGAATACGCGTAGTTCCGCAGCGCACACGTTCCGTACGCCATATCCAGCCCGTTCAAACTGACAGCTTCCTGCGCATTTCTTTACCAAGTACACCGGAAGCAGGTTAGTAAGGCAACTGGATGAAGCCTGAGGGGCACATGTTGAGCGGGGTATCCAGGATTCCAACCTGGGAAGCGCTAAGGCATAAAGTTGATGTTGTCTGACGGCATGCGGAAATTCTATTCGCACGCCCTAGGGTACTTTAAGTTATAGAGCGTCTAACGGGCTAATAGCCAATTTATCATCCAAAACGGTATATCTTCGGCCACATAATGTTCCGCATTGTCCGTTTTTAGGAACGGTGCCCACTACTTTAGGTTGGCGAAGCCATTACGAAGTAAGCTGGTCCGGCTCCATCTAGACGATTCCAGTGAGGGCCGGATTAGTAGTTGGGTCGGTGACGACCAGCGAATACCTGGTGTTGTATGTTTTTGTCGATTTCTTTTTGTACCTCGCTGTTCTGTAGCGACACGGAGTGGCAGGGGGTTTCAGGAACAAGCCCGACAAAAAGGTAAATCTTTATGCATGACAATACTAGCAGGAGGAACGGGTAAAAGCAAAACATTTCTAAATTCCAGTCATCTATCCTAAGTAATACTATCCAGCCACCTTTACAAACCCCAACTATTACTAATAACCCTATGTGTGACAACGACACCCACCCGGGTAAAACCGACTGTCGTCGTCGATCCGGCCCCATGTGCGAGTCCGGTGCTAGAAATTCGCTGTCGAACGAAGCATCTAACTTTCCTGGTTTGCCACCTGCAGGGCGAGTGCGGCGAATGTGACGACCAGCCGCTCGGCGTCCGTCAGCTACGCTGCTTTCCACATCTTGTAGACGACCTTGTGCCTGAGCATTACGGAGTCCGGTTTGCTTGATAGCTGACAAGAGCATCGCAATTAGCATGTGTATGGAGATGAGGTTCCTTGAAGTCTCGTAAGGGTTGAGCTGGAAGGCCAGGTCGTTGAGACTTATTCATCTTCATTACTCGCCAACTCTATTGTGCTACCTACAGAGATTAAGTCGTTAAATTTAACGTGATATTAAGCCATCCATCACTTCCCCTCACGCTGCCTTCGAGACGAGCTTCTTCTCGAACCAAACTGAGAAAGATACCATCTTCGCGTCGACAAATCTCTGCGCGAAGTCCGCAACACAGATCACAACAGGGAAGAAACAAATGGTGGGCAGGAAGACGCCCCAACCATACTGAGCGTTCGTCCCAGAGCCTGTCAAGGGCATGAAGAAGGCGATGAGAGGCCACCCGTACAGCCAGAGCAACGAGCCGTGAACGAGGTATATAGCGTAAGAGATGCGTCCGAGATATTGTGTAAACCGATTTGTAAAGAGACGCTGTAGAATAGGGGTGCGGTCGACCGCGAAGACGAGGATGACGGCGCCGAGCGGTATCCAGAACTTATCCGCCTGGGGAAACTGGGATGGCGCCATGGCAGCGAGGGTTTTGTAGCCTGGGGTGATGGCTGCGTCATTGGTCAAATGAGGGCAGGATAACAGCCATAGAGCGCCGAAAAAGCTGACGATGCCAATGAACGCCTTAAGAACGGGGAATGCTGGCCCAGATGTCCTGAACACTGCGGACTGAAAGCGAGTGAAGCTATCACGACGCCATGGGAGGGATTGGCTGAGCCGAGTAAGTGTCGGCGAAGATGAGATTGCGTACTGGAATCGTGTGAAGCTATCGCGGCGCCATGGTTTCGACCAGAGGGGCAAATTCTCCATGTCCCCATCTTCGTACGAGGTCTCTTGTGATACCGACTGGAGGTGAAAATGAACGTCGGCGCAGAGTAGTCCAGCCAGAAAGAGGAAGAATTCCCACCGGGCGAGATAGAGGGCGTACCCAGCGATGAATACATGGAAAAATAGTCTGGCGCGGGAACTAAGCCTCGAGAAGGCGATATGGGCCATGAAGATCACCAGAGAGCAGTCGAATTCGATGGGAATGGTCCACAGAACTGGGTCGTAGATGTAGTTGTCTCCTCTGTGGAGGTTTCTGGACAAAGGATCCGCGAATCCGATGGTGCTCATAAGCCAGTGTCGGAGCTGGTCAGAAAGAGTCTCTCCCTTTGGCGGCCTCAGAGAGGGTGTGCCCGATGCAGTTTTTCCTTTATTCTCGAACCAGCCATTGTATACCATCAGAGCGATGAGGAACGTTGTGATGATTGGCGGGCCGAATATACGAATGAAGCGGCGAAAGGCAGCCGATGCTGCGGCAATGGCGAAATCAGCCTGACGCTTCTGGTGAAGGAGCTTCAGGGGCTTATAGCTGAGGGCGAAGCCAGAGATGACGAAGAAGACGCAGACTGCCCAATATCCGGACACAAACAGGCGGACGATCGGGAGTTGAACGAAGAGAGGCTGTGCGTCTGACCCATAGCCCTTGTGTATTCTCATTGAGAAAGTGAGCAAGGACCAGTGATGGCAGACGACGAGGAAGGCAGCCACGCCTCGAAGTCCATCTGTTCAAGTTAGTCATGTTCGTATTCAAAGGAGGGCAGATCTTACCGAGCCATGCTGTTTGGTGAAGGCGCCTTGGAGGCTCATTGAGTTTCGAAGGATGCCAAAAGCTCGGGATTATTGCCAAGATGATGGCTCTGGGATACCGGATCCATGGAGGGAGTCTTCGGGGAGGAATCGCAATGGGTTGATGCGTTTCATTGCTTAAAGGGTCTTCCTCCCCAAGACAGATCTCTTCCTCAACATCCAAGGGATCCTTCTCCTTCTCTGCATCTCTGTAGTCGAAAGTCTCGACGGGGACCTCGTCAACTGTAACCGGAACATGTCGTGGGCCATGCTCAGTTTGAGACTCCAACGTCCCAGGCTCGTAAGATGCCGTCATATTCGCAAGGTTTTCGTTGTGGAACCGGCGCGCTTGGGGAGATCTCGAACGAGTGAGAGTTGAACCCGGGGGCTGCGCAGGTTGTCTGAGGGTGGATGCCAGGGTGAGGGTGGCTCTACATATATCTTCTGAGGCTTGACTGATCGGTACTTCTAGGTGTCGATGAGGTAACTTTTGCCATCCTGTTCCCGCATACATTGTCAATGACATGCTGCCCTCCGGAAAAGACGGTCGACATCAGCCCTTTCATCGCTTCACGTGGAGCAAGTCTCCACCGCTGTCTGTTTTCGAAGAATTCACGCAATGGTGCAAGTCTAGATTCCTCTCAGGCAGATAATGATGATAGCCCACTTGAATCTGCTTGGCACTCAGGAGAGGAGATGAGTGGCGTTACTGTGAAGAGCAATGTGACGGCCTGACTGGCCGCAATCCGTCGTTGATATCTCATTCCTTACGAATCGGGATGGTTTGTATAACCAGAATCCGTCCACGATGAACATCGGCCCGAGCTTACAGACATCCGAGCCGGCCTTTCAGTAAACCTGCGGACGGTTGCGGTCGAGCATGTCACCGAACTTCGAGATCTCGCTTGTTCATGACCCTGTGCTTACGTCCGAACCCTTCCGCATTCTGCACGGTGTCTCACAAATCAGGATTTCAACGGCCGAGGTTGGCTGCGAGCGGCCTCCCGTTGTACAATGCTGGGGTTCGAGAGGAGCCGCAATGGGGTCCAGATCGCCGGTGTAACCGTGACTAGACCCATACCAGCACTTATCCAGAAGCGGCCGGAAATCAACATGACGATGTAGAGGCAGCCCCCATGTACTTCTAACTGCAGCTTGTGCAGGAAGCGGAACCATTCCTCGGAACATAGACTCCTCGAAACATGGACTCGTTCTCCTCGTGTTGTTAGATATCCAAAGCTAGACTGCCACCAGCATGGATATTCATGGAGCAACTTCTTGCCAAGTAGATAACATGACATGGTTTCTGCTGCCTTTACACGTAGTTTTACGGTGCGGCTGACTATTTCAGATAGCATGGTCGAACTGGAAAAAGAGTTATGAAGGGAGAGCGAGGAAGAAACAGGTAGAGGGGCATCCAAACTGAATAGAAATCCGTACGTGTACACGTTTTCATGGCATGTGCTGCGTTAGCGAGTCGTGTCTCACTCAGCACGATCGGGCGAAAAGACAAGCGGATTATGGCTGCCAACATTTTTAGTGATATTTTTTTTCGTGCTTTTCGACGAGACTGATTTGCAAGTTTAGGTTGACGGGTTATTATTATAATTTGTCCCTGGAATTTGCTGCAAGACTTTCACTATCGAAGCAAGGAGCAGAGCCAATCATTTTACAAGAAGCAGTATTCATCTCATCTCCAGATCTAACCTCAACACAACAGACGCGTTGGACAGATGCAAGGCTCAATAACCAGTAAAAAGTGAACAAAACGTAAAAAGGAAGCGGCCAGAAAGCCGCAAAAATCAAAATTGATAACTGTGAGATTCGAACTCACGCCTCTTGCGAGACCAGAATGCTATCCTCTGAGAGGACCAAGTTTACACTTGAGTCTGGCGCCTTAGACCGCTCGGCCAAGTTACCTTGTGTTACAAAATCTATCACAATTAGTAACTAGGTACCTCTGCCCCACCTACGCCTCTAATCGCTCGGCACACCTCGCTCGGCGTGAACCACTAACCGTGGAGATTCATGAGATGCGCAAATCTTTCTGCTAGATTTCTCGGGAACGTTTTCGTGGCTGTCTGGATAGCGCGGATCTCTGCACATGTTCATTCCCGCGCCGCTTTTCCCCAGTTGGCAATTCACCGATGTCTCAGATCGCGATCGATGGCTCTCCGAGGTCTTAGGCAAATGCGGTAGAGGCGTTTTTGAGCCCTCGATATGAAATTCAGATGTACCGAGCACCGTTTTCGGAACGGAAACGTCGGAATTATTGGTTGGTGATGCGATATCTCGTCATGATGTGTTGTGGGCGAGGAATACAACTACATCATACCCACCCACACTGGTCAAATCGGCATCCTGTTGTTATTCCTTGCTATCATCGTCGTGGCTACCATCGTCTTCCGTCATTGTCTTTGTGGTCCTCGTCTGACTATAATGTCTTCTCCGCACGTCTTGGATCCAGGTGCGTAGTATACACAAGATGAAAAAGCAGATTCTCTAGACCAGCCTCTCCAGAGTTGAAATCAACCGACATAAATATTCACATTCCAAACTCGATGTAACAATAACTTTAAATTAGTGACAGTTCTTTTACTCGTGTATGTTAGTCAATCTCCCTTCATTTTGACACAGACGACCAGTCGATTCCTTCCAGTCAAGCGGGTGACAAGAAAGAGGCACATCCTGACCCCGATCTTGCCCAGAATACCTGCCATAACCCGGATCGACGTCCCCGGGAGAAGTCGCTTTGCCGAGACTTTCGGCGCGTCAACTTGGGTGTGACGATTCTTCTGTTGCTCGCCTGCCAGTTTTACCATCTTCACATGTTCGTTCGATACCGTTACGCCAGGCAACCTGAAGTGAAGGCGGACTTTCATGTTCACCGCCTCCGCTGGCTACTTCAAGATGCAGTCCTACACCAGTTCTTCTGCTGCGTTGATGGGTTCCATTATCAGGCAGTCCGCGGCTCGTAAGTCGCGGAGCTTCGCTTTTGCTGTTCTTTACATATCCGGCCACTGACCAAATTTTTGTACTGAGCTATTGACTACTTTCCAACAAGGAAGTAAGTCCCCTTTGCTTACTGTTCAGCGCAAGCAATCCCCAATCCATATCCTGTTTCACACGCTCATCCAGCATTGGTTGAACTGGTGCTCGGCTCTGAAAGAGCTTTACGGCGGTTTACCATCGCGTATTCCACGGTTCTTTAACACAGTACTAGCACTTCAGCCCGTTCTATCTCTCAATGAATGCTCATTCAGTATATCGTCGAAGGTGGTGGCTCTTGTTTCTTACGCCACTCATATTCCAAGATGCAGTTCTGGGGCGATAATGCTGCAATAATGTCTTCCGATATCCGACATCTACAGACGGTCCACATCGTCGTTAAACAAGCACATCACCACCATACTAACAGCAGCCTTTACACCAGATTCTTCTATAAGCCACTACGTTCTCGCCACGCACCTAGCCCTAGCGGTACAAGCTTCTTGATATCAACGGGATATATCTCACCTTGGAACCAACCCTCAACCACTAGGCCTACCTCGGTCTTCTCCATCAAGTACAGACGCTATAATATCGCATAGTCAGGACAATCGAAAGGAAAACTTGGCATGCCTATCAGCACGGACGCTCGTGGACAACAGTAGACGGTATCGACTGCGCTCGAAGCTTGTTCTGACAAGTAAACAAACTTCTGGCCCTGGGCGCGTTTCGTCTTTCGACCGGTATATCACAGCAATTCATAAGCCCAGACCATCGGAGAACGCGTTGTCTACGGCCTCACATCTCATAACGCAAGATTCTATCACGAGCCTACCGACGCCAGCTGAAGTACTAGACGACGCAGCCGTATAAACGCACAGTGCAAGGCCATGTAGCCATGGACTGCGGCCATCGACATGTTCCTGAGATCACGGGAGACTTTCACACGCTAAACAGCGAAAACCCTCGACCAACATCGGCGGCATCCTGAAACCAAGTGGCTTCTAGGAGGTATCACACAACGCATCTTGCAGCTCAAGTTGATTTCGGGACACCAACGGCTTGCCTTCCGGCGCCACAACCAACCCAAAACGAGGATTACCTTTTCAAAGAACAGAGTTCGCCCCAGAGCTAGTTGAAATGGAACAGATCTGAACAACATCGGCGCGATCCAAACCTAGGCGTTGTCTTCCGGCGTCAATCACGGAAAAAGAAATGGTTTCCTTCGGCAGGGTCTCAATCGCCGCGAGTCATCCTCCAACCACCCGACTAAAAATGCGCCGCGCCGGCTTAGAGCGGAGAAGAGTCTTCGACCACATAACATGAGAAACTCTCCGGAGGTCCAATCCGCTCTTCCGGCCGCCAACGCTTTGCCGGTAGTCAAATTGGCTAGAGCATACCAGGGACAAGTGGCACTCTCGCTCGCAACATACACCGCCAGCAGCAGCTAGCTGGACGACGCCGGTCTCCCGGGGAAGCGCGCTCGCGCATCCTTCGCAACTCGGAGGCCATATTGCGGGTGATTCCAGCCGCGGCATTACAAATTCCAGACTCAGCCGGCCACGCCCGCCCGCGCCCACAAAGCCCACAACGGACGAGACCAGAGAAGCGGGGAGGCGAAGTCGTCGTCGAAGCAAACTCGTCGACAATGGCGTGGCGTCGAGCACGTGCCCTTCGCGACCAAGCCGGATAGATTGACAGCAACGTCAACTCCAGTAATTCTTCCCGCGAACAGACGAGCAGCGGGCGATCCGCCGTCTGGGCCCTTTCGAGGATCCCCTGGCTTGTCAACGTCGTGACAGTGCCATCCGGCGTTGTGACACGGACGCTCTGTCGAGTCAAGCCAGGCGGCGGCGACAGCGACTCTGCGCGGATCCCCGAGCGCGCCCGCCTGACAAGTCTGCAACCCCTCTTTGTAGATTGACTCTTGATTGACTTTTGGGAGGTCAAAGCAGCTGCAAGACATTCTTAGCGAGAAAAGCAACGATGGGCAGACGAAAACTCTGTCATGGACGAACCCGTATTCAGGCGCAACGGCCGCAAAAGGAAGTGGTCGGGCAGCTGTGGGACGCCGCCGTGCCGGACGGAGGGTGGTGGTGTGTGTCCCCCTCTCGGCGACCGAAGCCCGGAGAAGCAAAGGTCGCTGCACGTGAGAATACCGTTCGGACGTGGTGTGATGCCCCAATGACCCTCATGGCGGGACTTCTCCCATACGCCAAGGGCTCTTCTTAGGTTGATCAACTAATAATCCAGCAGCGAGACCGTCATGGGCAGTGGCTAACCGGCAGAAAGGCAGACCGCACTGTTGAACCTGGTGATCGACGGGAG